TCGCAAAGCCGGAGAGAGTTCCTTTTTACCAAAGTCACCGCCAGGGTTCATGGTGGCAAAGAACTGGTAGCCGTCCGCGCCAACAACAAATGAATTATCAACTCCCTTTTCTGCCAAGAGCAGTGTCCTTTGAGGTTCAAGAACCGAGTTAAGTCGTTCCAAAACAGAGTCATCGGCTAATGAGATTTCGTCAAGGAGGAAGAAGTGGCCTCCTCGCATAGCCTCAACAAGCGCACCATCTGACCATTCGAATAAAGCCATGCTTCTGGTCTCATTCGATGTTATCCGCTTTTTGGTTTCTTCCGGGATGCTCTCGAGGACTGCCTTGTCAAGCGATTTATACCTCTCCAGCCTCTCTACTGCCGAGCCAGAGGTATCAACATCGCACTGTCTCAAAACCTCAGTCACATCAACATCTAGAGCCTCGAGGATAGCACCTCTGTTTCGTATAGGGCGTTGAGAACCAATAATGTCTCCGGTCTCCGTGTTTTGGTGCGCATTGATAATATGCAATTGCCTACCCAAAACTTCTGCGAGTAGCTGGACAACGGTTGTTTTACCGCATCCAGTTTCACCAACCAAGAGAACAGGCTCATTGTTCTGTAAAGCGCGAGACACCAGCACATACAGCCTCCTGATTGCGTGGGTCCAGACAACGCCTTGCGCATTGGATCGGCCAGTGAGGTGCTTCAGTTCTGGCGCCAATTCGGCAGAGTAAAGATCCTGAGGATTAAGCGCAACTTTGAACACTTTCTCAATGACTTGCTTCACAGCCAACCTTTCCTCATCGTTGCGCACTCTTTCAGCCAGGAGCATAAACCCATGAGCAGCAATTTCTTCACGAGTATCCGCCTTTCTAAGAGCCCATCGAAACAGATCTCGAAGAGTGGCAAAACTGTCTTTCTGCTCAAAGAGTCTGCTAGTCTGGCGGAGGCGTGACAGCTCCTTGTAGACATTGACAATGCGTCTACAGTCAGGAGGCGAGGTATTGCGGCTGCGCTGCTGGAGAATGAACTCCAGCTCGTCCTCTGGAATGTCGTCGAAATGCAGTTCGAGGAATCGATTTCGGAACGCTCTAGATAGCACCTTTCTTCCTCCGTATAGGCCAGGAGGGTTTTGAGTGGCAAATAGAATAAAGTTTTCGTGAGGCTTGACAATTTCCTGCGTTTCGGGGATTAACAGTTCGCGGTTATCGTCGAGTAGACGGTTGAGAGCTTCGAGAACATCCGTGGGTGCCAAGTTCAGCTCGTCAAGAACAATCCAGTGCCCCTGTCGCATAGCCTGAACCAGGAGACCCTCCTGAAAGCGCAATTTCCCATCAGCTCCTGAAACGTAAGTACCCAGATACTCTTGAAGATCAGTATGCTCGTGATTATTGATTCGAACAAATCGATTGCCAGTGAAATTTGCCAAGTATTCAATCATACTCGTTTTACCAGCAGATGTAGGCCCTTGAATCAAGATTGGGAAGCGTCTCGTGGAAGTTGCTCGGACAAGGTTAAGAAGATTTCTCTCCACATAAGGCGTAATGATGTAATCGTCTCGCTCTATGGGAGTCTGCTCGCCTTGAAATAGCCAATATTGTCGATCTCGATTCTGGTTCTTGAATTGAACATAGTTTCTACCGTCGCCGGGATGCTTTGGAGGCTGAGAAAGAAGAGATTGCGGATTTCCATGCTTCTCTAGGAGGTGGTGGTAAATTAATGGCAGAAGCATCTGTTCAGACTTTCGATCCAGTAATGTTAAGAATCCCATGGAGAATCCTTCGTACATGGCTCGCCGTAGGCCATAGAAAGGCGCTATTGTGTTGACATAGCTCAGGACGCGGGTCAGTGTACGAAGACTAAAGTGAGGGACTTCGTTTGCTCCATCTACAATTCGTTTCTCTTCCGCCATTCGTTTGGTGTTGAGATAGAGGCGCGCAATGTCATCTCCAGCTTGGTCGTTCTTATTGCTGCCATTGCCCAAATACGTCTTGATGATTGTGAGAAGATCCTTCAAGTCTTTGTCGGGGCTTTTCACGTAGAGCTCGGTAAACCTAGATCGAATACCGATGGGCAAATCTCTCTTTCCAACATCAGTCGCCGGATTCATCGCACCGAATATACGGAAATTGGGGTGTGCCACAATCTTTTCAATCTCTCCTGTTTCGGATAGAAGAATAGACGGCTTCTCGTTCGGTCCAGTAAGGAGGTCTGTAATGCTTTCAAGAGTATCCGGGGAAGCCAGGTTGATCTCGTCCAAAAGGACCCAGTCGCCATTTCTGACAGCCTTGACCAGATTTCCTTCCACAAAAGAGAATGCAAAGCCGGTTGACCCGCCGGAAATTTGGATCTCGAATTGCTCAAGAGTACGCGCGAACTGATCCCATCTGGGCTTTAGATCCAGGAGGGTTTGCAGCTTCGACTGAGTCTTGCGCCTCTTTGTCGGTTGTGCATCACCATTTCTCTCCTCGGCCTTTTCTGACTGAATTCGCTCAAGTTCAGATACAATCTTGAGAAACATCTTGGGCGCCTCTCTCCACAATTTAGACAATCTTGACCACTGTCCCTTGGCAAAGCACTTTCCGACTTGCTCGAGGTATTTCTGGTTCTTTGATGCAGATATGCCCGTGGCTGCAAACAGATCCTCGAACTCTTCTTTCAAGGGCACAGCGAGACTTCGGACGTTGACCGGCTTGAAACCACCCAGTAGATCACCCACCTCACTCTGCTGTGAAAGATTGACAGCGATAAGCTTATGGCCAAGCGACTCAGCCAATTGCTGAACGACTGTCGTCTTTCCTATACCCGTCTCTCCAACGAGAAGAACTGGCTCGTTGAGTTTGACGGCTACAGCAATTTGCTCCAACAGCTTTTTAGCGTGAGCAGTGCTTGCAAACGGTCGTTTTGACTTGTGCAGTCTGTTTACAATCTTCTTCTTCCGCAGCTGGACACGCCCAATGCTGAATTGAACATCATTCTCCTCCAAAGGGGGTATATTGGCAGTCAAATAATGGTCTGCCCGTTCTTTGGACAAATGCATCTCTTCGGCAATGGCGTATATAAGCTGCTTACCAAGCTCATCGTCTGGACAGCTTCCCACGAAACAGTCGACAGCCTCCATGAACATCCAGTCTCGCGTAGTTTCGGTTATGGGCTCCTCTCCAGTTGTTGACCCCGCGGCCAGCAGGCACTCTTGCAACCGCCGACACCACTTGAGCAAATCCCGTAGGTTCATTTGTCGATTCATGAGTCGGCCGCGAGGTAAAGCACGAGGTCCGTTGCTGATTTGAGCCAGACGGCTATAGACGGCAATGATTCCAGGAAGAAACTTGCGCAGCATGGGATAGGTTTGCAGAACGACCTCCTCCAATTCTGGCTGAACCATTGGTTCAGTAGTCAGAGATTGCCAGAAGCGCATACCAACAATGCTAGGAAGATTCTCCCGTCCGTTCATGCCCCGAGACGTCCTAACAGTCGCAAAAAGGCGGAAAGTATTCGCAGCTTTTATCCTCTCTCCTCGGCTCGGAATCAACAGTTCGTTTCGCTCGATCAGGGGAAGAAAAGTGCTGAGAACTTCGGTAGGGGCTCGGTCGAGATCCTCCACCAGTACCCATCGGCCTTCTTTGATCGCTGTGGTCAGCACACCCGGGCGCCATGAAAAACTGCCTGGTTTTGAGTCTGTCGAGTAGAGGCCAATCAGCATTTTTGCGTCGGTTTGCTCGTTCAAGTGCAGCGTAACCATGCTAGAGTACATTCCAAGCTGCTTGGCGATTTCATTGACCAGCGCCGTCTTTCCGACGCCAGGTAGGCCGTGAAGGAGGATAGGTTCGGGTTTGCGAATCATGGCGGCAAGTCGTTCGAGGTTATTCGTGGTAGTCGCTGTCATTACAAGGTCTGAGGAGTTGCCATCTGGAATTAGTGGTCGTGGGAGAACGATTTTGCCGTAAGAAACAGCATATTGAGTGAGGGATTGGAGGATTGGTTCGTGGTTGTGTTCGGATTCCTGGTCTTCTCGAGCAACTCGCTGGCGCAAGGCGATAATCTTCTTCGCACGTGCATGCTCATGCAACGACAGAAACCCATAATCAACCGATGCACCGTCGAAATCGGCAGTAATGGCATTCGCATTGCCGACGTGGGTGTCGATAAGGGATTCAAGTTTGTAGTCGGAGGCGTGAAACAGCTGACAAAAGATGCGGATCGCAAGATATCTCACTGCCCGGCTCTCATGCGCAAACAAGCTTTGTAAATACTCGGGTGAAATCAATGGGCTGAAAGTTCTCAGATCAAAGCTGAATAGTCTCCAATATGCTAATAAAACCTGCAATAAGGCATCTGCATCCAGGCCCAATGAGGCGTCGAGGGCGGGCAGCACCAAGTGAAGTGAGGGTCCCTGCGCAGCTTCATCGCCAGCTTTACCGGAACATTGCAGAAAAGTCGAGAGATGGGGCGCAAACGGCAAAAGTCTAGCTATAGCGGATGCAACTAATAAGCGTCGAGGCCCATTGCCGGCGTTGAGAATCCAGCGCGCGCAAATGTCTGGGAAAACGTCTTCAAAATGCACAAAGATTCGCTCTGTAAGTGATGGTGAGAGCGCCGCCTCGGACACGGCATCGAAGAGCTTCGTCGACGACTGATGCTTGATAATTTCAAGCAATTCAGAGGGCAGATGATCCAGCACAGCCGCATCCCGAAGGAGCGACCTCTTCTGCCTCGAGACATCAATCATGGCCATGATTGCGCTCTGTCGAACGAGTTTTCGCTGCTCTCCAAAGTGTCGCCTCTTAACTTTTTTTTTTTTCTTATATGAGAGCCCGCCAACTTTTTTTTTCCTAGTCGGGCACAAGGGTGCATCAAGGAGGGGCTCGGCGCTACGAATTTCCGGGCCAATCAGGACCCGCCATGATCCCGGCAGGCTGAAGCTTTCGAAAAACTTCAAGGCCCGGGCATCTTACGAGGGCCAGCGATCTGAGAGAATACCCCACGAATTGCGAATTGCAGCCAATCCCTCTCAACAACAAACAATGGCTCTCCCGTGTCGGTTTGCGGCGCGCAGCTGCGCTCGCCAGTTGCGATCAGCGACCTCTCCTCGATCCTCCGCACAAATGCTCCGAGCGTCATGCACAACGAGACGGTACAACTCAACAGAGGCCGCCGCAAACCCCAAGATTGCCGACATTGTCGACCAGATCAGCAAGCTGACGCTGCTGGAGACTGCCGATTTGGTCTCAAGCCTAAAAGTAAACGCCCTCAATTCCACAGAAGCACAGCGCCGTATCCAATCCCCCATGGTCCAGCAAGTAACTAACAGCAAGTCTTTTAAATAGAGCACCCTGAACATTCCCGATATGCCCATTGGCGGCTTTGCTGCCGCTCCTGCTGCCGCCGCCCCCGCTGCTGTTGAGGAGGCCGAGGAGGCCCCTGCTGCCCCTGCCGAGAAGACCCTCTTCACCCTGAAACTACAGTCATTCGACGCCGCCGCCAAGGCCAAGGTCATCAAGGAAATCAAGGGCCTGCTGGGCTTGAGCTTGGTGGACAGCAAGAAGTTTGTCGAGAGCGCACCAAAGATGATGAAGGAGAACGTGCCCAAGGAGGAGGCCGAGAAGATTATCGCCACCTTGAAGGAGCTTGGCGCCGTGGTCGGAATGGAGTAAAGAGGATGGGGAGAGAAAAGAAAGGAAAAAATATCTTGGGAGCACTAGCATGATCTTTATGACACGATAGATGGTCGAGGTACATGTACAACAAAAAATTTATGTATTATATATCAAAGAAGAGATTCAATTTTTTTCTCAACTTGCATTCTCACGATGCGAACAACTCAATTTTGCAGTCTTATTGAATTTGTCGTTTTTCCAACAATTATATTTCGAAAAATACTTGGGTATCTCAATGCTTCGTGCGACTACATGCGAGTTCAATCCTTCGATGCGATACACCCTAACAACATAACGCCGCCCAATGCTATATATACTATACCAACGTCCAAGAACCGGAAACTAATGGTGGTTGCCATTCGTCGTCTGCAGGTGCTGACACTGCTGCATCTCCATCTCTTTGGTGAAATCATCTCCCTCTTCAGTGAGCAGCCGGTCATCGTCGTCACCAAAATCGCTCGTCTCTTCCCAGAGCTTGTTCATCTCGGCATCCTCTCCTTTGGGTACAGCCCAGATTCTCTCACGCTCGCGCTTATGTCGTTCACGGTCCTCTTCAATGCGCTGTTCAACCTGGCGCTTATCAAGACCGTGAGTCGTGGGCCGCCGCCGGGATTTCGACTCAGAAGCCGGGGCGTCTGACATTTCAACATCGCCGTTGGGAGAATCGAGCCCCAAATCATCATCGTTTGTCCCCCTCTCCTTGATAACGTCCTCAATTTGGATAACGGCCTGGTGCTCCAGAAAGCCCTTATTCTGAAGCCCTATCAAAACCTGCCGATGTGGCGTCAGTCAAGTCAACAAACGAGAAGAGAAGAACAACGCCTGAGCATACCTTGCGGACAACCTTGACATTGGCTGCCCCAGAGCCATCATCGGGGGCCACAGCATCAACGACTCTGATGATGTCTCGCTGCATCATGCGGATATAGTCGGAGTGACCATCGCGCTGCGCCAGGTCCAGGAAGTGCTCAATGAAGTACATGATATTGGCACGAGTGTTCATGTTATTCTGCTACAGCATCAGCCTCAAGACGTCTATCAAATACAGAACAGTCCGCCCTCTCACTTACCCGCTCAACCTGCTCCAGGATACATGAGTGCAGGTCCTCGTCCATGTCCTTGTATTTGAGGGCATATTGTGCCGCTTTCTGCGCCGAAGCAACAGAGGCGTTCAGATGCTGAAGCTGCGAGCTGAAGCGCATCCGGACCTCGAAAGGATCCGCCATTTTTACGGGTGATTCCTCCGCCAGGGGATATTTTCTGGCAAAGGCGGCGTTGTCGAGTCTGAATTGCTGCTGCAGATGCACGGCGCAAGGCTGAACAATTGGGTCCAGTCGACTGCGAACTGTGAGTGGCCTGTGCCTCAGTGTGGCTGAACCGGCTGAGCCCGCTAACAAATGCAGAACTACTTGTACGGCACTAACACCAACTCCTACTTCATACACACAAAAGATGCACCAACCATCGATGAATGGATCTCTTCGTCTTTTCTCGCTAGTCTGAATCAGCTTACTGGTCATGCTCCGTATTGCTGCTCCGAGCGTTTGACTGCTAATCTCCAAAGATGCACGCCACGGTAAAGAGCCGGGAACGAACCGTCAAATCGGCCCAACAGCCGTAGATTTGGCCCCCTCCTTGGGCACTTGGGTCCCGAGTTCAGAACCCCTGAGCTCAAAACAGCACACTCAAATGACGCCCTATGTATAGCAACAGATTGTCCATGTACTCTGCAAATTGAATTCATCTACCTGGGATGCTCCCACCCAATACGAGTGATGCAGCTCCATCTTCGGCCCTCTGCAGCATAAAGGACAGGTAGCAATCCAAGTCGCAGCACCTACCACTTCACGTATTAGTGGCCCGCGGCGACAGCGAGAAAATCCGGGGGCCAGAGCAGAGCTGAAGGGTGAGTTTGGAGCGATGAAACATGGTCGGCCGAGCCGTTTAATTCATGCCGCGTAAAGACAAAGAAAGGCAAAATGCATTCCATCGTTCCGCACACTGCCGTGTTTACACGCAAATCCTTGTCCCTTTGTTTCTTGTAATATTGCATTTTGACGATCTGACTGGGCAGCAACCGTTACGGAGGGGTGGTTCAGCCGTTTAGGGGGGTGATTTGGCCCCAGTGCTGTTTTTTTTTTTTTTTTCCCTTACTCGCAGCAGCCCAGCTTTCCTATTTATTGCAACTTGGGCCAGCTTGAGATGGACAAAGGAAAAAAAGGTCCCGGCAGTCTTTTCCCTCAACCCCCTTGTTCTCGACGCTGGCAACAACTCTAGTATCCATCTTTCGTCCTCTTCTTTCCTTCTGTCTCTCTTCTCTTCAGTCTCTTCGGTGCTTCTTTTCAGATAGAATATTTCTTCTTTTTGGCCGCTCGGTCACCGCTAGTAATACAGAAATTAATCCCGGCACCATGCCTACCTCCAACAACATGCTGGCTCTCACGCATCACAGCACTCCCCAGCCTCCTCAGGACCTGACCATGGCGGTCTTGGGCTGCGGTAAGTGAAACTTCAACTTCAGCGAGGCATTGGCCATCTATATATAATGATGGCTCGTTGGAAGTTGTGTTCGATCAGTTCGAGAACCTGTTGAGCTCATGATTTATGATAGGGACCATGGGAATCGCCATCCTCAATGGCATCCTCACCTCCCTGGTCGAGATGCAGGGCCCTAAGCCGCTTCAATCTGGCTCCTCTACGCCCGCAGAGGACGTTCCGCGCTCTCTGCCGTCTCGCTTCATCGCCTGCGTGAGGACGCCCGAAAGCGCAAAAAAGGTCAAGAGCGCCCTCTGGGAGCACTCATCCATCCTCAAGGTTGTCCGCAACGAGAACCTCGCGGCCGTGCAGCAGGCCCAGGTCATCGTCTTGACCTGCAAGCCCTACATGGTCAAGGAGATTCTGGGCGCCCCTGGCATGGCCAAGTCTCTGCACGGCAAGCTCCTCATCAGCGTCTGCGCCGGCATCACCGTCGAGCAGCTGGAGATTGCCCTGCACGGCGCAGTCCCCTCCAAGGACCCCGAGGAGGACGGCCGCTGCAGAATTGTCCGGGCCATGTGCAACACTGCGGCCCTGATCAGAGAGTCCATGACGGTCATCAGCGCTACTGTGCCCCCCCTGCCCCTCGAGACTGAGGTGCTGGTCACCTGGATCTTCAAGCGCGTGGGTGACGTCGTCTATCTGCCCGCGCGATACATGAACGCCTCCACGGCCCTGTGCGGCTCTGGACCGGCCTTTTACGCCCTTTTCCTTGAGGCTGCCGTCGAGGGGGCCGTTGCCATGGGCCTCCCCCGTGCTGAAGCCACCAGAATGGCCACGCAGACCATGCGAGGAACGACTGGCCTCATCCAGAGCGGCGAGCACCCAGCTCTTCTCCGAGAAAAGGTGTGCACTCCTGGAGGCTGCACCGTCAACGGAGTCCTTGTTCTGGAAGAAGAGCGCGTGCGCGGAACCATTTCCAAGGCTGTACGAGAGGCGACCTTGGTGGCGGGCCAGCTGGGTAAGAACATTCTGGCCACCAACAATGTGTCTCAAAATGACATTCACGAACACTACGACGAGTAATTGACTGCACTGGCTGGAGGAAGTTTTCTGATTTAACGGTTGTTTTTTTTTTCCTCTTTATGAAAGGAGCATGTAATGTAGCATGTTTTGCCAGCTCGGGGTTTCCTGTTATACAATAGAATACATAGAGCCTTTTTTCCCCTGAAAATGTCGTATCAAGACCCACCCAACGCCCGCTATTATTGACTTTTATTAGTGAAACTGAGCCTGTATTATGCCATGACAACTGCGTTTCACGGATCTTCCACTCTCGCCTTCTTGCTAGACGATGCGTCGGCTGAAGACTCCTCCAGCTTCCGCTTTCCATTTGATTGCTTCGAATGCTTCGCAGCACGATCATGAGCTGCCAACAGTCTAGCGTATTCCAGCTCTACACTACCCAGTGTTTCTGACAGCTTCTCAATTCTCTGAGAGACGTCTATTTGAGAAAGGATTTCTTTGTTATGGCGATACAATCGCTGTTTAACAATAAGCTGCCACAGCTTTTCCTTGTGCTTGTCCGCGGCGGTAGGTGACGGGACATCGTCGTCCAGAGACATGGTCGCGCGGACAGATGGTGGCAGCTGGGACATCAGATGCATCTCTAGAACTCGATAGAACTGGCGAGGAGCAATCTTGGCCTGCAATCGAATTTTCTCGAGCTTTTGTGCGCCAACGATCAGGGGAGGTAGCGGTCCTGTTTTGGGAACCTTTACTGAGGTGTCGAGGCGAAGCTCGTTGAATTCAGGCATTGTTCGCAAAAAGGTCAAGTCGCAGGTATCTCGCAAGTCGTCAAAAGCTTCATTGGGATTCTCTACAGTGAATTCGTGTGTCTGAGCGTGGCTGTGATAGTGCGTGAAGACACTGTTGTAGAGGCGGGCACCACTGCCCTTGCCTTGGAATGGTGGGAGAATGATGAATTGTGAGAGCCTTGTCCTGCAGGGGAGCAGAGATAAATCCATGTAACCCGTAGGGAGCTCCCAGTCGTCGGCGGGAGAGGGTGGCGGTGTCAAGGGTGGCTTGAAATAAAAGAAGCGGTAGACAGTGGCATAGCCAATAAAAGTATACGCGCTCTTCTCCGGATCGTCAGTGGATTTTTGCTTGCGGTAGAGGAAGAAGAAGGTCCACCGGTCAGCGTCTGAATAATCCAATTCTGGCGAGTCTGACTCTGGATCCGAGCCGATATAGGAGCCTCCGTCGATAAGCATGGGAACCAGGATTTGAATGCGGCTGTTTAGCTGCTTCACGGCAGGGTCGACGAGGCTGCCCTTCCAGATTTCATACTGGCCATCGGCGCCTTGAAAGGTTTCGTGGAGCGTTCCAGGGGGGGACCAGTCGTTGCCAAGCTGCTGTGAGCTGCTCTCAAAATCCGACGCTTTCGCAAACGCAACTACGCCCGAGGTTAACAACAACGGTGTCCAAAATCAAACTGTCCAGCGACGAGTAGCCCAAACCTTTTGGCAGATGGCCTCCACCCTCCAGAATCTCCACCACGTCAGTGGGTTCATGTTCACCGACTGGCTTGAACTTTTTGCTGTATGCTTGGCGCAGGTGCGGCCGCATATCATTAGCACGGTACCGCAGCTGGATCTTCAGGTCCTTGTATCCAAAGATTTTCTCTTCCTCGCCAAAGATGGAATACGTGAACTTGGGTTGGAACGTTGCGATTGTGCTCAGGCCCGATTTCGACGGCGACACGAGGCTGATACTGATCGCATCGTTGGCGTCTTGAAGCCCTATCCAGAAGATCAGTATCAAAGAGGTTGCGCCTGCGACGGGTGATTTCGAGCATTTAGCTTACACTCTTCAAGGTCAGGGAGACCAGCCATTGCAAATGGTCAAAAGAGATGGCCGACTATATCGTAGCAGGGAGAAGATGAATATTTGAAGCTAATCCAACCAGTTGTGCGGACTGAAAATACCTTCAAGCGACCAAAAAAGGGCAACGCAAGGCGAGAAGGCTGTGGTTGCTGCAGCGAAAGGCTGAAGGCGCAAATCCTCAGCTTGGATCCGAGGCGCGCCACCACAGCCTCGAAGCGCGTTTGCAGGCATGGCGACGCGATTCAATTAAGCGGCTGCATCCCACGGCGCCGATGCCCCAAATCCAAGGCACCAAGCCCGCCTCGCAGCGGCTTCATTCCGCAGTTACGTCACGCACTAACGTCGTCCCGGTGGGTCTTGAAGGCCGTCCAGCAATCTCACGAGACATGCAGCGGGCCAAGGCTTATTGTCCCCCGAACTGCTACTCCATACTTTCTGCCCGCCAAGCACCTCAACCAGTGGCTGCATCTTTGTCTCTTGTGCCTTGCAGTTGAACCGCAGCGCTTCAGACAGCCGAAATATCCTGCGCCGCCCCGCGCCATCGTCCTGCAGCGTCTGCGATCCGAGCGCATGGCGTTCGCCCCTGAGCCGTCACGATGCCTGAAATTGCGAGTGCCCCGGCGCCAGTTGGCTCTGCCATCTTCTCCATCGTCGCCCTCCTCCTAGTGTCGCTCGGCGTGCTGCTCATACTGCGCTACTACCTCCCGCTCCGAACCACGCCGGCTTTCTACCTCGTTCCTATATTCTTCGCCCTGTGGCTTCCGTCGGTGCTCGTCCTGCTGGTTCCCATAGACCTTGCTTCAAGCGCCATAACCGACGATGTCGCTTCGAGGGGTATCTGGCTGCCCCAGCGGGTGGTCTTGGTCCTATGGCGAATCACATATTGGTTGACATTTTGCTTGACATGGTGAGGAAATAGATTCGGACTCGACTCCTTGGTTTACATCTCTAACCGTGCTCACACAGGTTCCTCCTCCCCATACTTGCCGAGTACTCCGACACTGGATATCGCGAACCCTGGGACAAGTTTATGTACTCCCTCCGTGCCAACGCTCAGTTTTATGCGATGGTCTTGGGAGCTAGCGTTCTCGGACTGGTATACATATTCGCCTCCTACGAGTTCTCCTTTACAGCACTCAAGGCCCTCATTATGGCCCTGGCCTACTGCTGGGGCCTGGTGCTTGCCATTTACCTGATGGGCCACGGCCTCGTCTCCATACCAAGGCAGCTGCTTCGAAGCGGAAGTATCAGCGGCAAACTACGGAGCTTGCAGATCAAGGCGCCTCGAGTATATGAGAAGATGGAGGACTCCTTAACGGGAGTCGAGGAAATTGAACAACAGATTGCGGAGCTCAGTCGACGAAAAACAGGAAGTGCTGCGGCCTTTCAAGATTGGATCGAGGAGCTTCAGGAGATGGCCAGCATCCCGGAATCACAGCCCCGATCGACACTTCTGGATCCAACAATAAATACCCAAGCCGTTCCACATGTCATCACCGAAAAATACCTGGCCGATCTGACTCGAAAGTACGTGCGAGCACGTCACTCACGATCTCGATACGTTGGAGAATGGAATCGACTGGTGCAGTCAGCAGCCAAGCTTCAGATGATCTTGGACTCGGTGGCTTCCAAGAAACTAGACTTTGGCGGCGCCTCTCCCCACGCTGGATTCTGGGACAGGGTCAAGATACTAACACCATACTCTCGATACGTTTGCTATTTCTACGTCTTTCCCTACATGCGGATGGCCTTTGGCGCCGTGTTGGCTTTTGCATCGGCCTGCATTGTTTGGTCGGAAATCGTCAAGTACCCCTTTCCTAAGCTGTCCATTATCCGCGTCAGCGTTGTCCACCACTGGGTTGGTGACAAAGCCCAGGTCGGCTTCGCAGGGCAAGTCATTTCGGCATTCTGGATTTGCTACATGTGCATTGCCGCTCTTTCGTCAATGACCGAAGTCAAGGTGTGGCGCGGACGAGCTCTTGTGAGAAGAAATACCGGTCACGAGGCGGCATTCTGGTACGCGATGCAAGTAGCGAAGCTCAGTGTACCGCTATCATACAATTTCCTCACGTTTTTGTCAAGCGAGGTCTATGAAAAGACCATCTTTTACAACTTCCTCGGAAAATACGTTGATGTAACCCCCTTGGGTCAATGGTTCGACAACTTTTTCCCCATTGCCCTCGTCATTCCTGTTTTCGCTGCCCTTTTCGGCGTGTACGGAAGGGTCAAGCGCATATTTACCGGAGTGGACATCATCGACGAGGAAGATGACAATCCTTCAGGCTATGGCACTGGTCCTTGGCGCGAAGGACGTGATCTCATCGCCAGAGAGCTGGGAGGCAACTCGACTCCGCGACGCAGCGGTACCGCAGCCAACGGGGCCTCAGGCCGAGCAGCCCCGATTCTATCCGTTCCCGCCATCCAAGATTCGGTCGCTTCCCCATCACGGTCGCCGGCCCGTTCTCCAGTCGGCAACAATCATCGAGCCGGCCAATCAACACGTCCTCGCTTCACGGATGAGCCACCCGAAGACGACAACATCTTTTCGATTCTTGGACACCGTATGAAGAATACCGTTGATGCATTTGAGACGCCGCAGTGGTTCCAAGATATCGGACAGGGCATCAAGAAGCCAAAGTGGATGGGAGGAGATGATGCCCAGCCTGCCGCCAGTGGGAGCAGCAACAACGACAACGATAATGGAAGCAACATTCGAAACTGGTTTGGGGGCGGAGGGGATAGCCACATTCGCCTCTAAACACGCCTCATGATGACTTTTATTTCTTCTTCCCTGTTGGCTATTCCTTATCAAATTTTAACGGTCTATCTTGGATACCGGTTGAAATACCGCATTATGATGGAGTTACGGAGCTTCAATATTTTCTCTAGGTCTTGGCGGAAAAAATTCTTCTTAAACCTCTTGTTAAAGTTTTAGATTTTTTTCATCTTCTCAATTTTTGGACTTGACTTTATTTCATTTTACTCGCCCAGCGTCCCGGCAGTCGGCTCCAAAATATCATTCATCTATACCTTTTTAATTGTTCATGTAGAATTAAATAAAATAATATATATTAAACTTTATACGATATGCGTCGCATTCTATCTGCTGAATGTATATTATGCTGTTTTAGAAAGTCAAAATTAAGTAAAGATAATGTTCATGGCTCGAAAAGTCGTAACAACCTGCTAAACATGCTTTCGCAACCGCCAATGACGATAGAAGAAGAAAGAAGAAGGATGCTGAAGCATAGGTATGTATGCCTCATCCCCAATAGACATATACACAATTGTATAACAGCGTATGTAAACCCGCCACCAATTTCATAAACTCATCAAGTCGTAAAAAGAAAAATTCATCGTTTCGATAAAAGAAGTTGTTTACCCCAGCATTCGTCAAGGCGCAGGGCTAATGGTCGAGTTCCAAGTATTCGCTTTGCTCATCGTCCTCCTGCGGAGCGACTTCATGATGCTGACTTCCATCTGCTCAATGTCGCCCTCCAGCTCCTTGTCGTCGTCTGCATAGCGGGCTTCCTTGCGGCGGTCGTACCAGATCCAGGAGCCGACGATGAGGACCGTCAGGGGCACGGTGATGATGAAGTAGACCCAGAGCCAGTTGGAGATGACGGGATCGGCTCCTTTTTTTGTTACATTGTGTAAGTATGAACGCTTGATTATTCGTGAGGGGGGACCAACCAGATTGAAAATTGAAAAAGGTCATGCTAAAGACAGAAGCAAGGTACGTGCCCGGCAAGAAGAGTGCGCCCATTAGAGATATGGTCTTCATGGCTGTGCTGTCCCGCTTGCTGGCATGTGCGATCCGACGCTGTTCTCCGGCAATTTCGAGGTTGAGCCGTGCCTCTCGCTGAGACATGATGTTATAAAGCTATTGAAAAGGTTTATATTAGCAAAAGCCCGCATTTTACAACAATAGGAATGTAGAAGCGCAAAAGGGGGAAAACAGGAACACCCCTTACCGCTTCTCGCTGCACTTTCAACCTCTCCAGCGTCGTGTGGATATAATTCTCCAATCCCCTCAGCTTGACTCTGTAAAACTCCATCCGGGCTATCATGCTCCTATGCAGCTGATCAATCGTCTTCCTATGCGCAATCTCCTCATCCGTCAAGAAATCCTTCTTCCAGTCATACCAAAGGACCTTGAACCGCTCCATCGACAGCTCCATCTCCCGCACCAGCGCAAAGTACGCCTGCGGCCGCTTCCACATGACGTGACTATGGCACTCGACCAAGTCACGGTTCAGCCCGTCAATGGACAAGATTCCATCCTGAAAGTACTGCTCTTCCGGCTCGACTTCGTCGCGCAAGCTCACCGCGTTCTCCAGCCGACGCAGCCAGTCTCGAGCATCGCGTTGCTTCTGGTCGTTGGCGGGCGAGAGGTCGTGCGAGAGAATAATGGTCGGCAGGAGCATCGGGTGGCCGACCTGGCCGTAGCACTCGCGAAGGTGTTTGAGCGCCTGGATAATGTCCGAGCTGGGCGTGCCCTTCATGAAGCCTGTGGTGATGCCGGTTTTGAAGCCGTAGGACAGCATCATCTCCCAGCCGCGGGTTTTGCCTTTTTTACGGACATCTGATTTGCGGTGAACGATTTCTGTACTCTAGCGTCAGAAAAATTACATTTTGAGGCTGGGTATATTCCACATACGTAGATGCGGGTCGTCGTCGTCCTGGTCGTAGGCGCACCAGAAGAACGGCCCAACCACAGACGACGTTTCGATGCCTCGAAAGGGCAGCTTCAGCGTCCTAATCATGGACATGTACTTTTCCTTCTGTAGGGAGATGACCTTGGGCATAAATGTGTCCTTGTGCTGAGCATCTTTTTGGACGCTTTTTTAGAGACGAGGGTCAGCGCATTGTTCTTCGTTTGGGCATGCGGTGAATTAAGCGGTTTGATCCAGCATCGTCATACGCATCAAACAAACAAAATAGCAGACAATAGAGACTTACATGAGTCGTATGCCGCTTAGCAGCTTGGTCCCTTCACGCATCTTCTGTGGCGGCTCAAAAGCACCCTAAAAGCCAGCACGGCTCATGTCAGCCCCGGATTTCTCATCGAACCCTTCATTTGATCCCATCTCGGCCCCGTCTCATCTTCATCCACGCGGCCCAGTAATTTCTTCAGATGAGAAAAACATCAGGCCAATTTTTTTTTTCGCACTCACTCTTTGGTTCAGAAAGTTCTCGAACTCGGACATGGGCAGCGGATGCTCCTCGACTGAGTTGTAAAACGGGTCCTAAGCCTCGGCATCAGTCCTCATCGTCCTATAACCGCTTGTTTCTTCTCCTTTTTGACTTCCATCTCTCCCATGATGAGACGCAGCATCCCATCCAAGACGAAGGCTGCAGATATCCAAGACGCAACTCACAGAGTAATTGAAAATCTCAATATAGCTCGTCTTCTCCTCCACAACGCGACACTCATCCACGAAGAACTTGAACATGTAATCATCCATCTTTGTCGTTTTTTGTTTTATTCTGCGGCCTGCCTTGGCACTCGTCCAGCTCCAAACACACACGCGCGCGCTGCTTCTTCCCTCCCAAAAAGCAGTCGCTGTCCTTCTCCACAAAGACGCCCTCGATTTGGCGATGGATTCGAAAATCGGCTCAACTGTCTTCAATGCTGCCGCCCAGCCTCTCCCGCTCTCAAGTCAATGGGGGGGCGCCGCTGCCGAGGCCGCTAGCAAAAATAAAAAAAAACAAGCTCTCGATCAGCCCGCTAATAATAGGACCCGGCCACGCCAATTGACGCTCCAACGATGGGAATCGGTGCTTGGCCCAAGTATCCAGCGAAAAGCCAAGAAACGACAAGCCCGATAACCCAGGGGAAAATGAAAAAAAAAAGAATAGAAAAGAAAGGTATCAAATAATACAGATGCAAGTAAGGTGTCTCCCCACTCTCGGGGCGAAAAGGGGAATTTCCAAGACAAGTGTGCTGTATGTAGATGGGCCCTTTGGAATACCCAGTGTAAGATGCATTAATAAGTGGGATTTGGGGGGGGATTAGAAAGAAGAGAGAGAGGGAAAGAGTTGAAGAAAAAGCACGACAGCGATAGGCTCAGCACACCCCAGCCTCGCCAGCAGCCAGTAGCACCTATTACTACAGCACTTTGATGCGGCAGAGACACGCAGGCAGGGGGATCTATCACAATCCCCACGTCAGCTACTCAGACCCGACCCAGGCCCAGACCGAATAATGCACCCCTGTAACAAGAGAAATAAACAGACAGAATCCAGAAGCCCAAGCAATCAATCGACAAAAGGCTGTCAGGAAAAGAAGAGCCCAGAGAAAGAAGAGAAAAATCCCCGTAGCACCGACCGCTATAACAGATTCAGATGTTCATCAACGCTCTCTTTTGAGGCCTCTCTATTATCTTTAGCGGCTCCGCAGGGGGCCAGAAACTGGAGAACGAATTGAGCTTCATCCTCCTTTGGTAGGCATCTGGTGCATCTTCTCATCTACCCGAGGGGGATGTTACACTAAAAAGAGAATTAGAGTGGCTCAATTGCTGTTTTAATCTGGGTATTTCCTCCCACCGCCTTTCTGCGCTCGTACGCCATAAAAGAGCCGGCCATGTATTTTTACCTGAGCACACGACCACTTCCACTGTTGGATTGAATGATTCGTTGTTGGCCATCCCAGCAAAAGGACTGGACCCATGGAAAATTTCTGCAGCAAATGCCGACTTATATACAGGCTACCTGGTCCGTGGGCCTGCAACGCGTCAGACTCGCAGCATGTACCTCGAGGCAAGGTACAGGGACACTTCTGCATGGATATAAAATCCACCAAGAATGACCATTGCCCAATTCCTTTACGCCACTGAGTAGGCACTGCCAAGGTAATCCAGTAGCAATTGCAAGTAGCCAAGTATCTGTAATGATAAACAGCAAGTATAACAGATTAGATGCAATAGGTATATGTATAGTATTACTAGTAGGTATGATGAGCGCAACAAAGCACATCTCCAGACTCAGCAGCTCCTTCAACCACAAAACAAAGGCCTCGGTTCTGAGACAACCACCCCAGGTCATAACCCCAAGTATACATTTGTCAGACCTCCATCTCCCACTCTTGTCGCCCTCTCGTAGCCCAAAGAAGGTGAAAGGGAGAGTTGAAATGAGAGAGGACAGAAAAGGAAAGAGAAAGGAAGGAAATGGATGGATATACAGGAGCTTCGTATAGTTGGCTACTGGGCGAGACAAGAAAGACTTGGCGTCGTAGGTTCAAACACAGCTCCCTCCTCCGAATACACGTTTTCCAACAGACTCCAGGTCAAAAATGAGCCTCCAAGACCGATCGAATCCCCTTTTTTTTTCCAAAGAGAGAAGAAAAAGAAATATAGTTTCCAATGCAGAGCCGCCATCCCAAGATGCAGCGAAACAAACACCCAATCCATTCGCACCTTTGCAACCACACGCGCAAAAAAAGAAGACCCGACAGGCGCTTCTTTTCTCTCCTTTTAGTCACGTATCCAGCGCATCGTCGTCAATCGTCAATATTTCCAGGTATGTCTCCCCCTTGAATACACGCCCTTTAAAATTCAGTAAACAGGTTACCATACCTATAGAGTTCAACTCGTTAGCCTACAGATACGCTTCACGGAGGAAACAACAGAGAATACAAAAGGCAAAAGGAAAGATTCTACTCACTCGTCATTGCCGCCCGGACCCCCATACTTTTCGGGGTCCTCAGGGTATCTGTCAAATTGACTGGCATCGCCGGCTCCAGCCTTGACTGGCGGCGTGTAGGGGGCGTCAATGTCTTTGCGCGCCAATCGATCCCATGTAACTTCTGCGAACCACGGGTGGTTCTTGACATCTTGTGAGCCTCCAAACAGGTTGCCCAATCTCTTGGTCAAGTCCGCCGTAATCAATCGCTCGAGCAAATTCTGGGCATCCGGGTTGATATACGCCGGATACTTGACTTTGCCCCTGAGAATGTTTTCGTAGATGCGCATGGGAGAGCCGCTATCCCAAAAGGGCGTGTATCCGCAAAGCATTTCGTATATCAGAATTCCAAGGGACCACCTAATCATGTGTCAGCCAGTCGCATTCACTAATGGTAGCCATTCATCAGATGAGAAAAAAAAAGGGGGCAACTCACCAGTCTACAGACTTGTTGTAGCCTTTGTTAGAGACTACCTCAGGAGCCAGGTAATCTGGTGTACCACACAGCGTCCACGTCTTGTCTGGCACTCGCTTTGCGAAGCCAAAGTCTGTAATCTTAAGATGCCCATGCCGGTCCAGCAGTAGGTTCTCAGGTTTCAAGTCGCGGTATATAATGTTCTTAGAGTGTAGATATTCCAGCGCCAGCGTGGCTTCGGCAGCGTAGAATTTGGCGACCGGATTAGGGAATCTCTGGTTGGTTTTATTAGCATTGGGTCCATTAAATTATATAGCAATTGAGGGAGAGAGAGAGAGAGAGAGAAGAATTGAGTCACGAGGACTTGTAGATGTATGCGGGGAAGATGGATATGATGATGGGTCATGGTTGCCATACCCCAGATTTTCTTAGCAGCGAAAACAGCTCACCGCCCTCGACGAAATCCATAACCATGTAAAGGTTCTTCCAGTCTTGAAAGGTACCCCACAGGGTAATGAGGAATGGGTGCTTGACGTCGCTCAACATGCGGCGTTCGTCGTTTGTGTGCTCGACTTGCTTCATCTTGACTACCTGCGCCTTCTTGAGCACTTTGACGGCGTAGAAGCGCTGGTTATGCTTGGACTGGACCAGGTGAACGCGACCGAAGCTACCGGTGCCGAGCGTTCTCAAGATCTCAAAGTCGCCCAGCGAGTACTTGCCCTTGGTGACGCGGGGCTGGGACAATGATACGCTGTGTCCATGATGAGGCTGCTGGGGTGGGTGCTGTTGTTGCTGGGTCTGTTGTTGGGGCTGGTGCTGCTGCGGTTGTTGTTGTTGCGGAACAGCCTGCTGCTGCTGCTGCTGTTGCGGTGGATCCAGCTGCATCTCCGACGGCAGGTGTTGCTGCTGCTGGGCATTGGAGTCGGCCATTACGGGAGCTGAGGTCTGGTACGGCGAGGGCGAGGGGGCGTAGCCGTTGGTCGAGCCGTCATTCTGGGGCGAATTGATGAGGTTGCTGATGCTGGGGAGGTTCTGCGAGTCGTGGCCCGGCGGCGCGTAGGACTGGACGTTGACGGGATTCATGGTCGAGGTCGACGTCGACGTCGGGGAGACGGGAGGAGCGGCCTTGGCCGTGTCTCGCTCGGCTGAAGAGGCGGCAGGAGCTGGAGCTTGCGCAGAGGCTGGCGCAGAGGCTGGGATCGAGGACGCGGGTGCGGAGGCGGGAATGGGAGTGGATGCAGACGGCGAGATGGAGCCAGGCGAGACGGCGGTGCCTGGAGGAGCAGCCAGACCTAGACCTAGACCTAGACCAAGGCCTGTCGTTGTGCCTGAGCCTGTGCCTGTGCTGCCACTACCTGCGCCGGTGTGATTGCTATGGCTACCGCCGGGCGCTCGCGGCTGCTGCAGCGTCGACGAGTCGAAAAGCTTGGAGGCGGGCGCCGAGGGTGCGACGGGGCTGGTGGGGTTGCTGGCACTGCTGTGGCTGTGGCCGTCCTTGTCGGGGTGGCCCTCCTTTGTCAGCTTCTTCTTGAGGAATGACCCGAACGAAGGCATAAGGTTCAGGTTGTGGTGGTTTTGCGGAGAGAGAGGCCGGAAGCAGGGGATTGGGGATTGGATTGAGGGGAAAGCAAAAAGGGCTCGAATCGAGGGCAGCCTGGCTGTTCGCGCCGATCTGGGCCGGGGATGCTACTGAGCTGGGCAAGTCTGTCTGGCGCCGCCGTCTGGGCGCTGGTTAGACGCTGGGGCTTGGGTTTGGGGGGGGTGATGAGGGGGTGCTTTGCAGCGGGTGCGGCGGGCGGTCGATTCAATTGATTGTTCGTGCGTGCCAATGGCGGGAGGCGGGCTGTGTGTGATTGAGGCGCCTGGAGAAGAGCCTGGAGAAAGCTCCGGGGCAGCTGTTCAGGCGGCGCGGCGGGGGAGGCTCAACTGAGTGCCTCCAACGGACGTGTGCTGCTTTAGGCGTTTAGGGGGGTGAGGGCGCCGAGGCAAAGGCGGGAGGCGGCAGGCCAGCGCTGGAGTAAGGTGGGAGGGAGCAGGTAGCGGTCGCGCGCTGATGGCGTATTGTTTAGGAGACGGGCCAAAAAGGACGGGCTCGTATCGTTCCAACGCGGACAATTGGCGGTGCGGTGCGGTAGCTTGAGGACTGCTGGGCTCGGTCAGTTCTGATTGATGCTTGGGAAGCTTGGAATCCCCCCAGCCCCGAAAATGCGCAAGCTGGTCTGGCTTGATTCGCGCACGTACCGCCTGCGCACGAGCGCAAAATGTAGCACAGCAGCGTTTCCCAGCAACTGAGGCCGGCAGCAACAAATGGGATTCGCGGCTTTCGCTCGGCTGCCTGGATCGGCTGCAGCGCTGCTAATTAAACCCGTTTGATTGACGGCCAGGCGAGCTGCTTATCCACAGCAATTCCTCCGGCAGTCTTCGTCCTCTGCTCCTTATTCGATACTGAGAGCTCTCAACGGCTCCGGTCGGGTCAATTGGCCGCTTGGACAAGGTGCAGGCCCGTCTCTTTTCGTCTGGTGCTCTCAATCCGATCCAACTCAGTTCGCCATGCACTAGACGGAGCAGCAATTGAGGACAGGTGATGTCACCTGAATCGCCGCACCCCACGGTTAGCACTCCGTAGTACAGTAGCTGAAACGGTGCAGCTGCGTGCCAATGCAACTGTCGTCAAGAATTAGATCCTGGGCACAAATACATACAAATACGTTCAGCCTCTGCTTGCTGTGTGTAGGGAGGTCTATCCCTTGGCAGACCTCAAGGAGCCTGTTGGTGGCTGAATAAGCGATCGTAGATGTGAGTTGTGACGCTAGGTAGTTGCCGGCAGCTAGAGCTGCAAGATGATGATGGCCCAGCAGCAAGATCCAGGTAACAGGCTAATAGCAGCTCAGCCGATTAAGAGTGCAGTGGAAGAAACAATCTCTCGTGTGTTGCAGGATTGGCTGTATTTCTGGGTAGAAATATTGCTCTAGAGCTTTCTTCTCTTTCTTTCGATAGCATATGACGGCTCTTGGTGATGAAATCGATATGGCCGAACCTGCCGTTAGTACTAGTCGGCCTCGATTGATTCGCAGCCAAGCTAACAAATCGCCACAAGTTGCGGGGATCGATTCAGCTAAAATATGTCGACACAAAAGGCCAATCTGGTCCCTAATGATATAATCCCGGGATCATTCTGCGTAGACACGTAGTCCGAGACGTTGGTGATTCAATTGATGAGGTTGGAGCATGGACGGTCAGAAGGAGAGTGTGTGTGAGGAAAAAAAAGCCAAAGACAGCTTGGACAAACAATATGACGAGAATTGGGGGCGAGGCCAGCAGGAGCTTTTAGGCCCTGCCCAATAGTGTAGCCAACTGGCTTTAGTGCATCCAAGTTTGACTCAAGCCCGTTTTTACTTTCGCTTCCCCTCATTCTCGGCATGGATGGACTTTTTCCACGGCCTGCCGATCTTGCTGTTGACGCCGTCGAACTCTGAATCCTTCACGTATACGTCAAGGGTACGTTGCTTGTAAGCCCCGAGAACGAACTGCGGGATAGCATTGATATGTCGCACAGAAGTACTCCTTCAACTGTCCAAGAACGAGGCAAGAGATATACAAAGTAATAACAAGAGCAACAATAAAGGGTACTTGAACAGCAACCCCCAAGGAGCATCAGTGCAACAAATGATGATTGAACGACTGTCAATTGTGGCTGAAATCAAAGGTTTGGAACTCATGTTAGCTCAATTCTAGCCCCCTACCCTGTAGCTTTAAAAATGACCGTAGTTTTGGACTAGACCACTTTAGGGCAGCTTCTATTCCAGAGCTCTCATATAACATGCAAAATGCCAAGTATTCGACCAAAAATTAACAATGCAAGCAATTTATCAACAAGTGATGCAAAAACTTGGGCCAATAAAAGTGCCATTTCGTCGCTAATGATATAATCTTCATCAATTTTTCCATAAGAAATCACCGCCACCGCGTGCCCCGTCAAGCAATGTATCAAATGACCCAACTCCCCAGCACAAAGAAAACCATTGACTGCTTTCTTGCACGGACAATGGCGACGTCCCTTTCCAGCCCGCCTCTTGACTCAACTCGAATTATATGATTCTGACCTCTCCTTGGTAAGGGCCCCCCTGCCTGAGTCTAGTTTAGATGGCCGAGTTTGCGTGTCTCTGCACACCTTGTCCCCTGTACCTAATACGATCTCCAGCCCATACTTGTGTGTATCTTTCCTCCGATGCACGGTTCGCCTAGAATCTGTGGCTCTTGGTTCTTGACCTGTAAATGGTGAATCCCACATAGCCACCGCCCGCAACGAGGATGAAGAGGATGATCTTGGTGAAGAACCATGTCCAGCTTCCGCCGCTCTGGTCGCTGTTGCTGCTGTTGCTCTTGCTGCCCCTGTACGAGTTCTTCGGGGATCCCTTTGAACCAGGACCATTGGCCGGGCTGGTGTAGAGGTTCTTGGACGAGACGGAGATGATGTCGTGGTGGTCGCTCAGCTCGCCAGTCTCGGCACTGAATCCGAGATAGGCAATGTTGGGGATCGCAGGAGGGTTGTCCACCTCAAAGCACACCGTCCAGTCGCCGACGGTCTTGTACTGGAGCTCGAGCTTGAGCGTCTTATCCTGGAAGTAAGTCAATCGCATCTTGGTGGGAATGGTCGAGTGACGAAGACCCCGGGCCGAGCAACCTGCCAGCTCCGTCTCCTTGCCATCGTTGTTCTTGTCGTAGCTCGCCTGTCCGTCCCCAAACATGGCCATGACGTAGGGGAAGACAACGCCGGGTCGGTTGTTCTTGTATGTGTCGATAAAGATGCCCAGGCCTTCGAATTTATCCGCATGCCCAAAGACGGGACCGATCTGGCCTCGCTGCTTCGTGATCCACATGGCGAAGCCATCGCCGTAGAGCTGATTCTTGCCGTGGATCTTGAATTCAACCTCGACTTCCCAGTTGGTAGCTGTAAGGGGCACTCGTGAAAAGAGCCAGCCGTTTTGTGAAGGTCGATCGGAGGTAAGGCGAATATATCTGTAGCACGTTGAGCTTCTGGACCGGAGAATATCTGCATATGCATGTGCGTGTGTATCGGAGATTGACGTACGAGTCTGTTCGAATGATGGTATCTCCGCCAAAGTCAAACCATCGGCTCTGCATGTCAGAGTCCAAGTAAGGCTAAAGAGAGGGGGGAAAAACACAGTCAGCCTCTCTATCATCTGCTAATTTGCGACTACTTCTCCTCCTTTCTGCTCGTCTGTTTTGCGACTGACTTGTTCGATGGAGTGTGTTTTGAGCTGCGCCATGTTTGTTAGCCCACAACAACATTTGCGCATACCATGCTCAAAAGCCACGAACCGTTATGCTTCTGTAGTCATCCTGGGCCGCCGCAGTCCACGCAAACGCCGAGGCGAGCACGGCCAATAGCGAGGAGAGCCGCATCTTGGAGCGATTGTGGCGGGTGATGTTCCAATGGTCGGTGTATCAGCGAGTTGGCCAATTGCAGATTGGCACAAGGTCCAGCGCCGCCTCTCGTCTTCTGCGGCTGGTTGCGTTCTGGCAGTGGCAAGCAGCAAAGGTTGGTCCAGTTCACATGGGAGGCTCCATGTGCTGTAAAGGCCACATTCGTGTTAAGCCCGCGACACAGTGCTATTCCTGAAACAGCTAGACGGTGAAGGTACCCGCTCTCACTAAGGCTGACTGCGGGAGCTGCGAGGTACATGGCCGTGCATCTATAATTAGGAGCAAAATGCTTAAAGCGACTCTCTTACAGATTTACGGGATGAGATGTTGTATTATATGCCCTGTATAAGTGAAAGCATTTCTTTGGGGTTTTGGTTGGCCCGTTGTGTCCATTAGTACATTTCAATACCTCGTGGAAGCAGTTCTCTGTCTGCTGGGGGCTGGCAATACACACTGTGCTGTCTCGACTTACATTGCTAGCATTGTTGAAATACGAGCTCTTACTGCTGGTATGCGACATGCATAACCACCCGTTCAATAAAAAGAATTGGTATTCAAGTCCATATTTTCTACTCATATTGGTTATCAATAGGCATGCAGTATACTCTGTGTCTTTTCGATTCGATAGAGGGCCATGTCCTTCTGGGCAGGCAGTCACATGCCAAACGTCAGTTGCTCCTCATAGGATCATCATCATAGTCAAGCCGCAGGTGTCTTGAACATATGATTCCTTCTATTAATAGAAATCAAACTGAGTTACTGGATTGACTGCTAGAAATGTAAAATATCTGCAAGTCTTGTATCATTCCCAATAAGAACTGTACTTTGACGCCACACCTCCCACCAACTTAGTAACCATGGATCAATACCGACGCCACACTCAGCCACAATCATTTTGCAACTCCAAGCCTTCCATCTCCAAAATCTTTACAACCCATCGCCCCGAGCAGTTCAAGCAATTCCGATAGCGAGCCACCAAGTCCGAACCCTCCAGCACAATTCTCTCCACAATGGATTCCTCCTCCGTCAAGCAGTCTGTCATGAAGCAGGTCCTCGCAGAGGCCAACCTCGCCAATGCCCGAGTCCTCATCGAAGTAGGCACTGCCCCTCCACCTTTTATACGAAACCCTGCAATAAGCACGTGTAATGTAAGACGGCATAGACTAATGACTTTTACGTGAGTTATAGAAACTCCAGGAAAACTGCTTCGAAAAATGCGTCCCCAAGCCCGGCAGCTCCCTCTCCAGCAGCGAACAGACCTGCATGACTTCCTGCATGGAAAAGTACATGGCGGCCTGGAACCAGGTCAATGCTGCGTACATCAACAGAATACGACAGGAGCAAGGAAACAACTAAAAGATACATGATACGGATAAAAAAAGGGGGGAGAGGAGAAATGAAACTTCAAGTTCTACACGGCAAACGGCATGCCGTTTGGACGGCGCATTGGGGGGAAAAACATAACTGGGATTATCGACGCCATTGAGCTGAGATTATGCCTCAATTCAAAAGCTTCAAGGCTCTCCCATATGAATTCTTTGTACTACTACCATCTATTCTTCAAATTAGACTGGCCTTGGTGCCACGGCGCAGTATCTAGGAACGGGCTTTAGATATATAGATATTGGATCACCCACTCAGTCTCTAATCTACATTAACAAAGAGAAGAAACAAAAAAATATGACAAAAAAAAAAGCCATTTGTCCATCATTATGATTTGAATTTGGGTATCTATTTTTGATTACATATATACATATACATCATTACTCCGCCGCAGCCTTCTTCTTCTCCTCCTCCGCCGCCCTCTTTCTCGCAAGATATCTCTCCTTGGCACTCGAAATCTCCCCATCCGTCTTGCGAGTCTTTGCCGCCCTCTCCACTTCTTCCCTCTTTGCCTCGGTCGCCTCCCTCGAGCGCTTCAGCGAGGCTTCCAGCTGGTCCGCGAGCATCCGCGACTGTCTTTCCCGCATGGCCTGCTTGCGGCTCATCTGCTGGCCTGAGATTTCCTTGCGCTCTCTCTCCGCCGGGCGATCCGCCTCCTCCCGTTGCGCCTCCACCTTCTTCTTCGCGCCGACGTTGAGGCCGCCTTTGAGGAGCTGTCGCTTATCGACGACTTGGCCGTCTTCATTGACGGAGATGGAAGCTCCTTTTTCGTTGAGCTCCTGTGCCGCTTTGGCGAATTCCTTCTCCTTGTCAACGTCTGCGTCTCCTTCATTCTCATCGTCTTTCTCCTCGGGACCCCTCTTGGCCATTTCTTCTGCGGCTCGAACAGTCTCGGCATGCCTCTCCTGCTCCTTATCCAGCAATTTCCTGTAAAAAGTCGTCATGCCAGTACCCTCGTTTTTCTTGGCTTCCTCTTCCTCTCTTTTCCGCTCTTCTTCTTCTAACCTTTTGTTCTCCTCTTGCTGCTTCTTATATGCCTCCGTCACAAACTTTTCCTTATCGGCAAACTCCTCTCCCTCTGCTTCACGCTCCCGCGCAATCTTCTTCTCTTCGGCAATCAGTTGATCTCGTTTCCGCACATCCGCCGCTCGCAACAGATTCTTCATGTATTTTGGTTTTCGTTCCTCGTCCTCTTTTGAAATATTCTTCTTTGGCTTCATGGAGTCGTATATAGAGTCGTATTCGTAGACGCTAGCATCTAGTTCGGTGGCCGCCTCTGCGTTCTTGCGAGATGCGAGCGTGCTGGATAAGTCTCCAAACATGGCGTTGGTCTGGTTTTTCGATTTGAGTTTTGGAGGTTCAGCTATAGGGCCTTTCTTCGATCTGGATCCCCTCGCTGAATCTGCTGGTGCTGAGCTGGCTGCTGTAAAATCTTCCAAATCGCCCCCGATTTCTTCCACCTTGGTGCCCTCATCGTCCGAATCATTATCGTGGCTGTCAAACATGGGTTTTGATCTCGCAGGTATCGGCTTGGTTGCGCCAGGCTTTTTCGTCAGGTTGAGCCCGAACGCAAGCTTCGGTTTATCCATCTTTTCAGTAGGAACAAGCTCGTCCTGGAAGAATCCAATCAAATTCCAAATAATAGAAGAGCCACACAAAGATTGTAAAGTAGCAATTGTGCTGTAGCAAAAGTCTTGTATATTATTTCAATCGCAGGATTACCCAAAGGTAGGCTGGTATGTAGAGGCAGAAGGACAAAAGAAGCACGGGAAGAGCTACAAGGCAATACCTGCTAGGCGCGCTGACCAAATGCCGAACACCACGAGCTAAACACGCGCCAGGCGGCTCCGCAATCCAATGAATCTGCCAAGTTGACAGTTTTAGAGGGCTCCCGGGTAGTCTGGTCGTCGTCGCAGTGCTATGAGAGACTACAGTACAGCGATTCCAGCAGCCCGGCTACTAGTACCTACTAACCTATTAGCACGTAGTAGCCACAGACGCATCCATTACCATCGATTGCTCCAGAGCTGCGCATCTCTGTTTTGCACGCACTAAAATCGAATCCTACCCCAAGCGGCTTTTACCATCAGAAAACTCCCATGTGGCGTCCGACAGCTAACACACAACATGGCAGCCGTCATCTGCCATGACGTGATTGGCCCCCGTGCTGCCAGCTGCAGTAGGTAATCCCCCAAAGCGGCGATAAACTGTCCAGCCGCCACCACGATAGGAAGAATGAACTTGAGACAAGTCCTCTCTCATGCTCCCCCGTCACGAGGACAGCATCACAAAGGCATTTCTCCGTTTATATTATAGCATCTGTCTTCCTACTCTCTGGATATTATCCCAAGCTGCAAACTATGGAGTTTTGCAGTACTTGCACCGGCAGTCTTGCCCAGGATGATGCACACGACCGCAGAGTCGAGTGCTGTTACCGAGTTATCTGCGCAAAGTGTATACAGGTTAGCCACCCACCGTGCAGCACTGCTCTCATCTCCGTACCTATTCGAAGTAATATGTACAGCCTCTTGATGTCCTCATCAATATTGATATGCACCTGCCCCTAGAAAAACCCGCGCTTTGCATCGTACTGCCCCTTCTGCCAAGTATCAAACATGCCGTCGCCGTTACCGCAAGGCCTTAGAGATCCTCCATCGTACTCGTCGGTTCCAAACTTGGGATACAGGTCCATCCCATCTTCTGCTCCTCCGCCACCGTACATGGCAGATGCGCCGACAACGCCACCCCCTGCCGAGAGCAGCAAGAGCAGCTCCGAGCCTGACGAAAAGGCCGTCTCAGACGATACGCTGCATTTTCTAGACCACGAGCGCGACACCGTACAGTCCTTGTCGCTACGGTACGGCGTGCCTCCCGCAGCGCTGCGGCGGCGGAACAACCTCACAAGCGACCACCTTCTGGTCGGTCGAAGGACTGTTCTGATCCCTGGCGAGTTTTATAAGGGCGGCGTCAGTCTCTCTCCTCGGCCCGTCGAGGGCGAGGATGAGGAGCTGAGAAAGGGTAAGATCCGACGCTTCATGACAGCCTGCAAAGTCTCAGATTATGATTACGCTCTGCTGTATATGGAGCAGGCCGGGTATGACATTGATGTCGCCATCACGGCTTACATGGATGATGAGGCTTGGGAGAGAAGCCACCCAAATCGGAGAGATAGCGAGGCGAACAAGGTCCGCAACCGTGGCCTTTTTTGGAGGGGACTATAATCCCACGGCATTCTTTCGCTTCTTCTCCTTCTTTTATGCTTTGGCGTTTTTTTTTTTTCTTTCATGGTTTTATTGTCAGAGAAATGGGTTATTAGAAGTTCATATTTCATGTAAACGTGCAAAATCTGCACGAGCATCATTTCCTTGGATGCTTTGCCGAACCCAAACGGCATATATAAGCCCGTATATAACGCCGTCATCCTTTAACCTTGCTTAGCTACACTTATATATATCATCACTTATACCACAATAATATTAAAAAAATTCCAAACGCTCTAAAATGCAGACCGAGTTCGGATATCCTATTACACCAAGTATTAGCCTGTATTCTTTGCCCAATTATGGTTTTTAGATGTTTCTTACCGAAATTTTCCGCTCAATTTCTCGGACAGAGCGGTCCAGCTCGGCTGCAATCATCTGCTTCTTATCATTTGGAAGCAGTGTGTATCTCTCACAGAGATCGCCATCGATGACGCCCTTCACGGGTGCGTAGTAACTGCGATACATTAAATGGTCTCGGCCTGCGAGTGGAGGATCTTCGGCCCTCAGATGCAGTTCTAAGCTTTGGAAAAAATCTGTATCTTCTCGGGTGACAAAAGGAATTAGGACACCAATTGTGCCCATAAGGCCACTCCACAACAGAACATCCTGTCCTCCGACAACAAGACTCGTTTTGGTAATACTCGTCGGAATGTCCTGTGTGTAGAGGTGACACATTAGATCCAGGCGATGAGACCGTCCGTGAAGGTAGTCTCTCGCATTTAGCAGGTGAAGCCCTGCTTGCTCCTCATCGGCCTCTTCACTGGCCTTCTGAGGAGAGCGAACGACGAAAATGTTGCCAAATTTGTCTCCTCCAGCTACTGTCTCATAATCTACCATTGTTGAGCAAGTCGTCCATCGAGCAACGGTGTCATCCACGAAAGGAATGAGCTTGTTTGTCGTTTGTTTATAGACGACATATGTTATACCTTGCTGCACGTCTCCCACAATGATTCTGTTGCCTTGTGTGCTCAAAGAATTAATAAGCTGTGGTGCTACTTCAGCTTGCGTCTTCCGCAGCAGTTGTCGCATGCCGAGATCGTATATGCGAAGTATTTTGCCAATGCCCACCAGCACGCGCCCTTGGAAAGGAATGATGGCCATCGGAGGCTCTTCAACCTTCGTTTTATGAATGAAAACCAAGCCTCTACCCTCTTGTTCGAACCGGTAGATATGGACATACGCGTCAGAAAAACTGCGAGGGTTCACGACCATATCTTTACCGGTTCCAACAACAAGGAAGGTTTCGTTATCTTGGCTGGCAAACGTAACGATGGCGAGGCTGACCGCGGCCTCGTTTTCATCTAAATCTATCTTTTGTAGAGCCTGACCATCTTCAGCCAGGGGATCAACGACGCTGATGCATGAAGCCCAGCGTCTGTTGCCTCTGGGATGGCCAAATTCTTCTGGGGAAAGAACTTTGGCGTCACCATTGACACGTGCTGGGTCGGCGAGCAATTTCGCACAAAGGTCAGGGGATAGAGTATGATTATCCGCTTCGATTACGTAGAAGAGAGGATGCTCCGGATGCTTCACCATCTTCTTGGGCGTATAGGTCAGGGGAATAGAATTCTGGATCAGCGTGTCTCCAAGCCGATCAACCGAGAAAATGCTAGAAAACATTAGCATCTTGAAACAACGCTTCTAGATACGTAAAAAAGGATAGAGAGAAAGGATGTCTTTCAGTAGGAACAATTGGAAAAAAATGCGTATTGATGAACCTCATAGCCCATAGGCTTGGATCCCAAATTTTTCATCATCTGACATGTATGCAAGGGGGGGAGAAAGCAATCATTGCCACTTACCGCAAGGTCTGTCCTTGAATGCCCACGATACCTTCTTCGCATTGCTCACTAGTAAAATTCCAGCCCCATTCCAAGTCAACGTAGCTGAGCGGTGTGACCACAAAGCTCTTGGTGATGGGATCGGCGTATCCGAGCCAAGGCCGAGAGCTAAGACCAAGTACACACGTCCTTCCTTGGACTGTTACTTGGAATAGTCTCACCTGCTTCGGTCCCAAGAACTTTTGTCTGGTGTCTGTTAATTCGCCAGTAACTTCGTCCAAAACTGTGCGTAGGTACACGCCTGAGTAAAGGCCGATATGCAGGTAGAGAGTTGAACCGCCGGAAGATGAGTCCTCCATGGATATGATAGCGAGAGAGGTAGGTGCAGCTGTCAGCGCTTGGACTGACTTGTTTTCAAGCGTAGATTCCGGGTCGAGACTCAATATGCGGACTGTACAGTCATCGCATCCGACTGCAAGAAACGAGCTTCGCAGTCTGCCCTCGGGGACTTCGCCCAGACTCAAGCAAGTGACTGTCCCAAACATTTCTTTCTTATCATCATACTCTGCCAAGGAACCATCATCGTCCATCTCGAAATAGACAATCTCGCCCGAACTCAGAGCAATCGCCACCTGGTGAGCGTTGGTAGAGGCGGCCACAATAGATCGATGCTGGGGGGCGTCCCATTGGTTGACCTGTCCATTGCGGATGTGCCTGATACCCTTGGGATGAACTTGAATTAGACCATCGTCGCCGAGCAGCTGGGCAGCTAGGGTGGGAACACTAGTAAGAAACCCGGAGTCGCTTACTTCTTCCACCGTCTCTCCTATACTAAGAACAAGAGTTCCGTTGGTAAAAGAGAGAACGATGTAAGCGTCATATTGCTCACTCCGGTTCAGCTTCAGCGTCCAAACTGCTGATGGGATACCTGGTAGCTCGGAAGATACGATTTCATTAATTTCAAGCCCATGCTTGAGCGTCCGGAATGTGCTTCGAGCACCATTGCCACAAACGGTGTAAATTTGAGGAGCATCCTCGCCGGTCAGGTTGGCAATTTTGCAGTCGAGGAGGGGATTCATGGAGGGAATGCTCTCTACGAGAACTAGATTTTCCAGTGGCCTGGGATAGAAATAAACAGGTGTGTAGGAGGCCTGTGCATCGACGGGAAAGTCGTCGCTGGTGAATTCTAGCTCTTCGTCGTCATCTCCCAGTTTTTCAAACTGGTAGAAGGAGAAGTTTCCGAACTGGCTGGCAACGTAGAGGAAACCACTCTTCAGAATGCAGAGGTTTGACGCAGCCGGGACTGTGTCAAAATACTTGATCTTGAGTCGTCTGACCTCTCCTGTGGTATTGCCTTCCTCATCTTCCACCATATCGATGGTGACCTTGAACATGTCGCCGTCTTCTGTTTGAAGCAAGAAGAAGAAGGCGCCGGCGCTGCCCTTTAGTTTGTGCATAACACCGGAAACAATGGTGCGCTTTCTTGAAGGGTCCTCTGTTGCTCCCCGCCGTCGAGGGATCGGAACTCGAAAGGCCTCTTGGTTGGAATGGCGATATGTAATATTTTCCTCGCCACAGACCAGGACGCCGCTTGGGCCATCGTTACCACCCGGTACCTGGAATAGCAGTGACGCTGTTGAGTCTACAGGCTCGGACCACTTTCTGACGACGTGATTGAGTCCGAGATCAAGCTCATAGTACACAAGCTGTGTTTCCAGCTCTCGCAAAGCTTCCCCAGTAGAATCTTGATCCACCTCGGTATAGTCTATTTCTAGGGCGGCGAACACGGGATTGGCATATCCAACGTCTAGTGCCACCATAGAAATGACCAACACACCAGGCTTGTGGGCTTCGAGAGGCGACGAGATTGTGAGTTCCGCTTGAGAGTTTCGATTGAGCACGTATACGAGCTTGTTCTTCTCTATTGAAGCAACAAGACACGCACGTCCCTTGGGATCACACGCGAGGTATTCTCCAGGAATGACTCTCCGCACACCAGATTTTCCAAAAGTCTCCAGATGCAACCTGCTAAATCGGTTCTCCCTCGGAAGATACTCAATGATGGTGATTCGACCAGAATCAGTGGCTAAGATCAAGTAATCTGCAACATGAAGATTAGCCCGTTGCTTGAGAAATAGCGTAGCCGCACTCCATTGAGTCGTATGGGGTTGGCAGGGTGCGTTTGAAAGCTTTTTAAAATTTTCACCATCACTATGTGGCCCTCCAAAAAAAAAAAAAAAAAATCGGAGCTAGATAAACTCACCCTTATTGCTGCCTGCGAGGCGAAAGGCCGCCAGAGACCTGATGATGCCAAAAATGTCATGAGACAAAAGAGTGATAACCTTGCCCTGTGACGGATCAGGCCGCAACAGAGCCAGCCGTGACCCAGCACCGGTGATGATGAGCTGCTCCTTGGTCCCCGCGAACTGACCCAGGACCGCTTGGACGACATTGGTTGGCGGCTGGATCGTCAGCGAGTAAAGGAACATGTTGGAAGTGGTCGCCATGTTCCCGACTGGGCGCAGTCAAGCCTGCGCGGCTCTACAGAGGCTTGAATGGCCGATTGAGGAGCTTCAGTCGCGTTGGGAAACGGCTGTTGTGGTTTGGAAAAGTAGTTGGCGGAGCTTTGCTCTAGCTGCTTAAAAGTTTGGGCAAATGGCCGGAAAGATGGAGGAACGATAATGCGGCGGTGGTCTGAGGGTGGCCCGAGCTCCTTGCAAATTGCGCGCACCTCGTCTTTTATACTGGCGATGAGAGTTTGACATAGCGGGGGATCTCCGACAACATCAATCAAGTCAATCAGGCGGTACAATGGAGCCGGCTTTGCGTCGGGCGGCTCACAACCTGTGTGGGCGCTGCTCAGCGTCTCTGCGGAAGCAGGTGATTGCAGGAGCGGCATTGAAGCCTTTGGCACCAGCATCAATTCGCAGTATACACTCTGCCAAGTCGTTGGACGCTAACCGTACCGTCACTGGATCCAAGTTGACGAAAACTGCCCGCGAATATTCGAGCTCAGCGTCTGAAGCCGCTACCGGCGAGAGGTCTCCCGCAGCAACACTTCGTCTGAGCCCAGACGATCTCTTCCACCCTTTTTCCAAGTCGCCAGTTCCCGAATTCCGTCGCCGAGCTGCGTATATGCGACAGAATGCATACTGCCCTCACCCTGATCACAAGCATGCAAGAGTCCCGCTCGATTCGTCCACCGTTGGTGATGCTGCTCCCATCGCTGAAGGAGAAATGGCTCCCGCGCATGTGGATTTCGAGTGCCCAGATTGTGGTATTGCGGTCTATTGCAGCAAAGAGCATTGGATGGATGATTACGAGAATCACTTGAAAATCTGCGATACTCTTCGCCAAATCAACGAAGACGACCACGATCTGCGATCCGGCAGAGTATTCCATGAGGGTAACCTCCCAGATCTCCAGATGGAGAACGCTGCGGTCAATATGACAAACTGGGACACTTTCATGTATACTCGAGAGTTTGAAGCAGTGAATTCGGATCGTTCAATGAGGCAAATTACTCGACTTCTCACTTATCCGATTACAGTCGGAAGTGTCCTCCATGAACTGAGCCCCTACAACATCCAGAACGGGGGCCGCTTGACGGTGGAAGGATTGAAGAGTTTTAGCGGTAAGTGGACGTGAAAGTGTAGAAGATGTTTGTTGTTTTAGGTGGAGAGCTAATGTGGTCCTGGGATCCTAGCTTTGAGGTATAACCTGCATATTCCGAGATCAGGCCGTGGCGCTGGCGTCAACCAGCTCCGCCCGGAGCCGCCGCCAGTGAGATTGTTCATTCTCGGTGCACGAGCTGAATCATCTCTGCCACGACCTATATGGGTGCAGCTTGCACACTTGTTCCCTGAAGCAAGGCTACACCTCATCTTCATTGGACCAGAGAGCATGGCCAACCGAGATGACGAGTTCCCCTTGCCTGAACGTACGCCATCGAATCCCTTTGGCGCCGTGGTAGAAGACCGAGTGTGGTATAACATGAAGATTAGCACCATTGTGGATTATTACCATACTATCCACAAGACGGGACAGTTTGCGCCGTACGATCCTTACTTTGACTGCTTCGTCCTCTTCCACCCTGGCCTTGGCCACCCTGCTAGCAGCCATGACTGGGAAGAGACTTTGCCTCTACTGCTGGAGACCAAGGTGCCCATTATCAGTACGGGATATACGCAAGTCGATATGGAGCGTGATGTGGAATGGGTCAACAAAAAGTCCGGAGGCGAGTTTGATGTGCTGTTGGAGCCTGGAGAGAACACTTTCCGGAGTCTGCGATGGGATCTCGACGACATGGACCCCCAAGATATTACATGTGGTAATTGGGGCGTTTGGGCTTTCCGAGGAAAGAGGTATGCTTTGACACTGACTGCGTCTCCACCCTTCTCCCTACTCCAGACTGACTGACAATGTCAACAGATATGAGACTACGACGAGGGACCTAGAGGAATAGAAGGGGTTCGACGGCTTGGATCTCAGTGAACGCCATGTCATGATGTAAAATTTGACGACCATCTCGTATGATCTGACGATGATTGTACGGCCGTGTACATGTATTTACGCATAAAAGCACCTCTCCAATGTATTATATCTAGGAGGCGTTTAAAAGGGAAGAGAGGGTCTAGTGGCATGGAAGAAATCTCCATCACAGGTGTATTATATAGGCTGTTTGTTCTACACATCTTTTTCTGCTCCATGTTCCAGCTTAGAGGGTCTACAAAAAGCAATACCAAGCAATACCCAGTACAGCTGAATCATCGTGAGTTTTTTTCTGGCTGCCCATGGGTATCTGCGCATAATGCAGTCAGCACACTAACACCGGTCTGCAGTATCCAGCCCACATCACTTTATGCACGTGCGGGGTTCATGCAGCGCGCACGGTGCTAGCCAGACCAAAGCTGCGCCAGACATCCAACTGCATGCATCCCAGACCTGCGACCCAACAGCGACCCAACCTAACTTTGACAACCAGCCTTTGCGGCGCCTCCAGGAGCATCCCTCCTGCGTCTGCATCTGCCTCTGCCTCTGCCTCTGCCGCCCTCGCCTGCTCGCGCGCAATGCTCCCGCGACGACGCCTGACTCTCCGGCCATGACCGCCGCCTCCACCGCCTCCGCGCCTCTCGCTCCCGCCAGAGCCCCGACGACGCCGCGACCCAAGCATGCCGCCTCCTCTCCGCCCCCCGAGGCCGGTGCCGTGGCAGATCGCCGGAGCAACCGTCCCGGACCGGTCGACCCGCTGTCTGATCGGGCCACGCTGAGCCTCATCCGCCGGACGCTGTGCCCTCAAGAGCTGGGCGACAAGGGCAGAGATGCCCAGCGGCCGATCGAGGAGCTGCTGCCGCCGCTGACGAGCCGCAACGATGTTGATCTGCAGCTGTACGCCTTGCTCGCCATCATCATGCGCGAGTTTGTGCAGAGCTGGTACGGCAAGATCACCACGGATGAAACGTTTGTGCCGGAGATCCTGCACATCATCGCCCACTGCACCACGGCACTGGAGCAACGGTTTAGGAAACTGGACATGGAGAGCCTGCTCTTGGACGAGATCCCAGAGCTGCTCGACAGACATGCTACAGGCTAGTACCTAGTGTGGTGTTACTCTACATGTTGGATCTGCCACTGACTAGGACGCAGCTCGTCGTGTGGCCTCTCGAGCTGCTCTGCAACCCTCGGTCGAAGCTGATGCCCGAGACGTCTACCACTCCATTTTGCCCCTGCCCTTTCTTTCACCCGTGCCTCGCGCAGGTGATGCATCATCTGTGAGGCTACAGAAGGACAACGAAGCAACGTATCGCCAGCTGCTGGTCCAGGCCGTCCTAGCCATCCTGCTCCCGACTGAGGATTTGGAGAACCCTTGCTTGACTGCCCTCGTGGAGCAAATCCTTTCGGAGCTAATCATCGGCAATGTTATCGCTGGCAAAGCATCCCAACCATGGCTTCTCTACGAAGCCATCTGTATCGCCGCAAAGTCGCTGGATGAGCAGAAAGCTAGGGCAAAGACAAGGATCGTGTCCGGAAAAGACCAACCATCACCATTGTTATCGGACCTTGGCCAAGATGCGGACAAGTCTCCAAAGTGGACGGCCCAAGGGGTCTTTGTGTTGGCTATTCACCTGGGCATCCTCCTTTTCAACGCAGTTAGATTCATGGTGGTCACCTTGGCGGACTCCATGTCGTTGCCGCCTCGGACGGCGCTTCATCTCGATGAGGAAGCCGCAGATGAGGTTCAAAACGACAAGCAGCCATCACCACCAACGGATACGGACCTCACTCCGGCTAAAGTACCTGTGCTAGCTTTCAAACTGTGGGCTTGTTTTGGAAACTTGATTGAGCTGGAGGACAGGAAGCCCTGGCTGGGTGGCTTCATATCATTATTACAGACTGCCGCCGTCAACGGGCCATGGCGAATTGCGGGGCTCGATGGTCCCCTCGACAGGTAAGATGTGCAATTTCCTTGTTATATTGATCTAATATCGCGGCTTTACTCCTCTCTCATGTGTCTTATTCCCTCCCCTCCCTGGCCATTCCTGAATTTCTTTGTCACCTCGCATCTTCTGCAAGTCACTGGACCTCCATTTCTGGCGGCCCCTGGCCAGTGAGCTCTCGGAACAGGGTTCCCTTTCTGCTGGATTGCGACTCGGCCATGCACCGCATCTCCATCAATGGCACGATGCATGTTGCATGTTGTACACAATCTGGCCTGGGTGACACCCTCGGAGTCTGTCTAGTAGATGGGCTCTATGCGACGAGAGGGCTGTTACGACCGGCGCTATTTACCACACCACACCGAGCCTTCTAGATCTGGGCTGCTAGTTCCCCAACTGGCCGGCCAATTGAAGCGCAGGATTCGCTATCTCGTCTCCGATTGCTCGAAATTGTTGCGCCGGCCTGGGCCACTGCGAACCGGCCCGTCCATCGAGAAGCCTTCATTACGCGCCGGCTTCAAACAGGGGCCATCAGCTACGAGAGAAAGCGGGTCGCGACCCTGGCCGTCTAGTCTCGCACGACAAAGTGGTGTTGGAAAAGCTCTTCGTCCGTTCAAGTCACCCGCTCGCCCCGTGCCGCGCCACCTCCAGATGGCCATCTGCTGTCGATTGGACCGGTGTCTTCTAGAGCAGGCAGTATGATGGTGCCTGAGCGCGCCGTTTTTCTTCAGTCACACGCGAAGGAAAAAAAAAAAAAAACATTGTCCATTCCACTTCTCCACCTGGTGGCGCTCGGTGGTTTGACTAAGGCCACTGACGGGACACATGCCACTCGCTTCTCGTCTGCTTCTTATTGCGGAAGCTGAGATGATCAAAGGGCTCATTGAAAACTACTCGTCAGAATCGACAGGTTTTCGGCGAGCATGCGCTTATGCAGGACGGTCTGTTCAACTTGTCCGGCCTCGTAACGACCTCCTAGCTTTGTCGCATTGCTCGGCCGGCAGGGAACGCGACACATCACTTTTTTCTTTGCATTGATATCCATCGGGAGTCTCTCGTCGCACTACGCAGATCCAGCATACGCCTTCCCACACGCCGGAGAAGTTCCTTTCCTGCTTTCCCCGCACGCAGCAAGCCTTTCTATCCTATCTTGTCGACCAACCTGGCCTTCTCTGCGTTACTACCATGGGGAGTCTCCCCCGTCTCCTGATCACATGTACATGCTCATGTTCTGTCACATCTTGACAAATACATACACCCGTACATCGGAATGACAGGAACGAAGGCGAGATGCCCCTAACAGACGCCGCGCGCCTCTTCGCAAGCTAGCTGCCAACAACGGTTCTCAATCTTAACGCCGTTATGCTTTATCCCTCCCCCCCTTCCTATCTTCCACTACCCCCTCCGTTTTGAATCTCGCCTTTCATCCCCACCTCTTGCGGGCGGATCCGATGGAATATCATCTTCTCTCTCTCTCTCTCTTAGCCTCGTTTTGCTGCTTTACGATGAGACTAACCAAGCTAACCAATGGCCCTTTGCTCTCTTGCAGACTCCTCTCGCACCACATTCAATCTCTCTTCGACCCCTCTCATCTACCACCCCTCCTTCGGTCGCTCCGAGGCGCCCTGTTCCCTAACAACAGCCCCGGCTCGTCCAGTCTTGCAGCTCCCCAGTCGGAGGAAGAGCTGCTCGCCCTGCGCCGTAGGGCCGCCCGCGCCATACGGGGCCTGCTCCCCACAAGTGTGGCCCGCGTGTACTTTGGCGGTCGGCTTTGGCGCTTGGGCGGGTTACTTGGCTCTGGCGACAATTTCGGACGGTCGTCTGCCGCGGTCGACAGGGAAGATGACGAGAGGGTCGTGGATGAGCTGGCGGGTCTCCTCGACGTTGTTGGAGACGAGTACTGCAACAAACATCTCATGTATAGCGTGCTGGAGCTCGTTCTCGTGAGGCTGATGCCAGAGCTAAGCGAGAAGGGTGTCGTGGAACTATGGGAAGAAAGACTTGGCTAATCACCCATGAAATAGAGACCATTTTTCTTTCAGGTAACCTATAGAGTGTATAAACAAGGCCTTTTTCTTCTTCTTCCCTCTTTTGCATATATAGGTACTATACTAGTATGGACATGACAGCAGTAGTGTAGTACGACTTTTCCGTCCGCACCCCCTGTTCTAGGTCCTGTCTAATAGACACGCCTCCACATAGATAAATCCATCCACATGTATGTATCCAGTACATACGGTATGTTTGTCAAAATGCGGCCCATCTAAATGAAAGAAAAAGAGGGAATTAAACGGGGGTCTTTTAGCGGCCACATTGGCCTTAGCATGTTAGATGCCGAAAATTATGCCCTCATATGGATTCCCGCTCACAGGGGACCCTCTTTTGATCACTAAGTAGTCTGCTTTAGTAGTATAGGTATTGAGAAGAGGAGAAGGGAAAAAAGTACATTTAGAATCGAAAAACAATATGAGAATAGCATGCTTCTCCGTGAGGAGTTTGGTACCAAGTTGGCCCTTGTGTAACTTTTTTTTTAATTTGGACTCCCATTCATATCCTCCTCATATCCCTCGAGTGTGAAATCCATGACAGAAGCAAAGTGAAGCAAAATAAAGAAATAATAATGTAGTTTTTTTTTTCTCCCAAGGACATAAGGAAGTTAAGCTGTGTGAAGCTATAGGAGAGCGAGAACACGTCATCTCCTGTCTTATATTCAGCGGCGCCTTTGGGCAGCCGCGTTATTCATTCTTGTGCCTTTTTGTATCAAGTAGAACCAGGAATGCGCAAGAAATAAAACAAAGTATAACCAAAATGCAAGAAAAGACGAGACAATGGGAAATCAACGCAGCGGCATAAACAGAGGGCGCGCGTGAGCAGCAGGGGTGTCTTTCGTAACTTGACAGATGCTAGGAAACAAAGAAGAACAGAAAAGGAGAAAACGTTTGTCACACAGGTGTTGGGTATAAACCAGGTGGAAAGTTAGAAATGAGTGATATGTGAATGATAATAAAAAAAATAACCAGTTTTGATGCTGGTGGATCTGTTGCCAGATGAAGTCGCCTTTCTCTTTAGTTATAATCCCATTTCCATCATCCAGGTACCTTATCCATTCCTTAGAAGTCACTTCCGTCGCCTGCGATGCGGAAACGGGCGCCTCTCTATTTATTTTGAGATGGGGGTTTGCGACAGCTTGCAACGACCTCATAACCAATATTTGTTGTCGCTCGGGAGTAGTAGTGAAAGCTGCGCTCTTCTTCCAGATTTTACTGCTTATTTGTTCCAGGGATGCTAAAAGAAATCCGTAACTCCAGTAATATTTTGAAAGCAGAAAAAAAAAAAAGATATTTCAAAAAAACAAGACCGAAAAGACATGGGGGCGAAAGGAGGGTTGCAAATGCTTTAGGGGAGCTCTACTTGTCTTTCATGTTTCCACAATCGTAGGCTCCGTCATTGACTGGACTTCTCCGTCGTCACTCTCGGGGATCCTTGACAGTCCTCCTATAGAAGGACGTGTTGTTTGGTGCTGGTGTATTTGTAGTTTTTTTGTAAGTTGAACGATGGTGGCGTATTCGCTTTTATCAAACGGGCCATTTGGGGTCATGTGGTGAAGGTAGCTCAGTAGTGTTTCCGCGGCACGTCTAGCGTCCTCTGGTGTTGGGGAAGTTGGCGAAGAATCAGCAGTGTTTGATGATACAGAACTAGCGTTTGCAGAGTTGTTGTTTGTTCGAGCGGCAATGCTTGAGTTGCTGCTGCTGCGGCGTAAGGCTGGTGGTGGCGATATCGTGGTGTCAAGCGTGAAAGGATTGCTTCGAAAGTCGTTTGTCGGCGATTCGATTGCTGAAGATGCTGTGACGGCAGAGTGTCGAGGTGTCAGCGGGCCTGTGCTTGCGTTTTGATTTAGGCAATCGATATTGAGGGATGGGAAAGTGTTGCTTCTCTTTCCGCGGTGCTGGAAATCAGGGGCTGCAGGTTGTATATGGAGACTGTCTTGAAACGCTCCCACGTTAGGGTCAGGTGTGAAATGGAAAGCTGCAGTTGGGTTAATCGTCTCAGAAAACGAAACACTCGTGTCTTTCAAGTCGCTTGCTAGTGAAGTAGAAGAATGAGACCCAGCATGTCTGTACTGGAAGTCGAAGTCGTGTCCTTCAGCCTGCAAGTCCTCCTCGCTACGGCTAGCAGAAAGAGGCGAGAGCCGATGAGTGGGAGAGACGGGAGAGATTGTATGGGCCGCTTTATCTCCTGGGAAGCGTGGAATAGCTGCAGACATGATCATACTGTCTGGAATGTTCGTCTCGGATGCTCGACGCATCAGCCGCCCAGCCCCTATTCCGTGCTTTTGCTTGAATTTGAGGAGCCAGTTGCTGTTGATGTTCGTTAACACTGCTTCTTGGTTGCCGCTGGCCCGAGCAAACAGCCGGGCTTGTTCCATAATGTCGTCATCTTTGACTTCAAAGCCGCGTTGCTGCTGTCGCCGAACATAGTTGCTGAGCGTTCGATCAAAATCAGGATGCTTTCCTTTCAAACGTTTGAGTGCTGCTCCATCAGGCTCCGGGTCTCGCTTCAAATACTGCTCTTTGTGTCTCAAGACTTTGGAAACGGTGCTTGCGTTGAAAGTTAGTCGATTATCTTCCGTAGATGGCAGTGGGATCAGTGATGGTCAGAGGAATCTATCTACCTTCTCTCGACGCCAAATTTGGCGCCAATATCTGCCTGCCGAGTGCCCGGATTTTCTTCATGGTATTGACACATGGCCCGTTTCTGCTCCGCGCTCAAAGTCTTTCTCGCCTTCTCGTGATGCACAAGGGGCCTTGGCGGCGGGTCAACCGGAGGCAGACTAGATGCCGGTGCGATGGACAGCGGAGGAGCAGAGTAGCTTCCCGAAGGCGTAGGGTTCGTTAACTGACTCGGCCATTGAGTGTTTAGCATCGGCAGTTGATGGTGGCCCATGATGGGTGCAGGATGTATCATTTGATGCGTTGTAGATTGAGAAGGAGTTGAAAGAATGGGCGGAGGCATCCTGTTGAGCGATTCGGATGGTAGCCCGTGCGATATATATCCGCCAAACGTGGCGCCATATTCATTCAAAGGGCTGTTTCCATAAGGGCTTTGGCTATAAGGACTGATACTGGCCCAGTGGTCATTGTTATATCCAGATCCGTTGCTCTGCACCATGGTAGCGTCCTGGTCTGAGCTGGCAGAGCTGTGAGCAGCGGTGTTCATTATATTCCAGAATGGTGCGGCCCAGTCTATCGCTGGGTTTTACTAGCTGCTGAAAAAACTGAGCAGGTCAGCACTTGGCAAATAGGCTCTCTCGAGGAAATAGGGATGAGCAGAAAGGCGAACAGAGAGAAGCGGAACAGGTGGGGGTAATATTCGTTAAACCGTCAGCGCAGAGACAAAGTCCAAACCTTGTCTTGCGCTGTCATCAACAAGCCGGTAGTCGTGAGTCAGGAAGGAGTATGTATGGGAAGTGTTTGTCGATAGCAAACATGAGACCATACGAACCTCATGGGCAAGATATGCAAAGCAATGGCATAGTCTTTTCCGTAAGGGGAAATGACGCTCTGGAGTAAACGATGGAGAACCAACAACTGCAGATGCCAGCGAAGGGCAAATCGCTGCAACGCAAACCAGTGATGAAAGGAAAGTATGGTGTATAACTGTGCAAGATTTTCGAAAGCAAGGCAAACCAAGGAGTAAAGAGTGAAGTCTTTGTGACAAAATTTCTGAATGAGGGGTGCTCTGCCGGATAATGTATCGCTACTTGGACCGGCTCTGTAGAACGACACCCAGGAGCAAGCAGAAATCACTTGTCAAGGAAAGCCCTGCTTCTCACGTCACTTTAACTACTACTGAACTGTGCAAGACCCGCTGGTGGGCTTCTTCCGCGCGGTAACGGCCTGGTGAGACAATGACGGGCTTTTCTTCGCCGTTACTCGCTACCGTATGCTTTCGTGGGGGTGAAGGTACAAAACTGCGGAGAAGGGGAACGACTCATGTCAGCCCTGAGCAAGAGCAGAAAGTAGCATCTGGCCTGTTCGAAGGGCGGTGATGCATCTCGAATGATAACTCAAGTACCGGCCCCCCAGGCCCGGCTGGCCGTACAGTACAGGCAGAAGCTGTTGCACCGCGTGCTCGTCCGTGCGGCAAGCGAGTCCGTACAAGATCTGACAAGCTGCAGCAGGCCGATGCTGTTGGTCCAGGAGACGGCAAGTTCGGTGGTTTGCTGCAGACGAGCAAGTGGCCCGCCCACCAACCAGTGCCATACCACCAAGCCAGGCTAGACCAGGGTATCCAAGCAGTAGCATCGTCCAGAGGCGTACAGGTTGGCACTTGTATCCGTCCGTAGCTGTACTCCCTACAAGTACAGCAGCTCCCCAGGGCCAAGTACAAGGCGGTACAGTACTGTATTGTCTGCGAAGGAAGCGGAACGTTGGCCGTGGAGACGGGCAGGTATGCAGACGCAGACGCATGCACGAAGAAGCACTGTGCTAGAGTAGGTTCAGGGGACCTGATGCAGGGGGTGCCTTGAAGAGGAGGGGGCGTGCGAGTCCGGCGAGGTGATGGGCGCCTCCCTATGCGTGCGAGAGCGAGTGAGCGAGAAGCTCTCGTACCTGTAAGTGAGTCTTTGTGTGTCAGTCCGGCTGTCTAGCTTGCTTCTCTGCAGGTCTGGCGCCCATGTTTGCTCCAGTGGACGGAGGGTGGGATTGCGTCCCAGAAGGGCATGGGCACCAGAGCAGCGTCCGTGTTCTGGATAGGCTAAGATGGGAATGGATCATGGAGATTGGGCATGATAGGGCAAACATTTGACTAACGGCTTGACCAGGGCCGGCATGGCCAGAAGAGGCAGCGTCGGCGGGATCTGGGACTTGACATGGGGCTTGACATGGACCCGTATGTAGGTACCATCCAGGCAGCCCACACGCACTGGCGGTGCATTGATTAATATTGGTTCGTGGGAGGTCGGTCTCCTGAGCCTCTGCAATCGAGCTTTGTGCACGCATCATCCATACAGTAGAGCAGAGCAGAACCCTCTCTGTGTTGCGCGGCCTGCGGCATGAAGCCATCTAGATGCTGGCCTGCCTGCCTGCCTGCTCGTACATGCACAGGCGGTGCGACGTCGGGAAAAAGTGTTCCAGCATTCCGTACCTTCCCTCTGTGACGTCGGCGTAGAACATGACAAACAATGGGCTACGGCCGCCAAGGATAGACATCCACGACGAGGGACCGCGAAGCTTAATCTACAGGTACTTGTAATCACCTCGGACGCACACGAAGAGAAAGAGAAAACCACGCGAGCGCAATACTTCCGAGAGCCATGCGCGATACGCAAGAAGCCGCCGCTTCCACGGCCCATGTGGTTGTCCAGGATCATCCGTGGTCACCGACTACGACGGCATACACACTTGTACTTGTACTATACTGTACCTGTGCTGGCTGCCGTCAGGGCTTCATCGCGATTCCGGCGTGAAAGAAGGGTATGACCCGGCTGCCTTCGCGGCTCGACGATGCCATCAACCGTTCTAGGAAATGATGTCCCGAGCAAGCATTTGGGCACGATTGTCATGGAACAAATCCACTCCATGGAGCGAGGCAGGCAGAACCCAGCAAGTACGAAGCTCTTGTACGCGGCAACTTGAGAACCCCGGCACATGATGGAATAAGAAACCTTGATCCCGGTCTGATCAAGTGCCAGCCGCAGCCAAGCCCGCTCAAACACACCGTCTCTGGGGCTTGGGATTATACAGGTGCAAACACGAGTCGAGGCAGTATTCCGCAAAAAGAACAAACAAGTCCACAGGGAATGTGGTCTTTTGGTGAGCACTGTTGTATTCTTCTTTGCGGCGTGTTTACTGTAGCTAAGCTCTCTGCCAGGTATAACAAGCTGCACCCAGCCAAGACTCTCACGCACTTCATGCTGCTGCTTGGCCATTGTCCACCCTCGTAAAAGGGCTAGAGGATGCTTCTGTGGAGCGGCCCGAACTAGCTAGCGCAATTTTCGCAAATGATGCAGATTAACAGCGAATCATCTGCTTAGTTTGAAGTACGGTGTATGCCCTCATGTACGAAGTGCCGCAGCTGATCATTAAAACCAAGCTAATAAACGGCGACCTGCAAAGCAGGCTACTCTATGGACCCAGCTTGAGACCAGGGAGGCTCACTCAATCCAACCTTGCCAAATTGATGATGCCTACATTCAATTTTAGGTATGAAACGAATGGAAACTCCAGAAGCAGTCGTCCACGGAGATTTGAAGTTTCCCTAAGATGGCAGCTCTTTAGCAGTGTATGGGCGGACTACTCCCTGCTGCCACTGGTATTGGTACCCGTTTGTACTTCCACCAGTCGTGCTCTTCTCCACGTTCTCAGCTACGAGCAAGTCGTACACGCTAAAGCATAGTACTACAGGGGAGGGGGGTATCCTTACGGAGCAGCTCATTGGACGTGCCAGTAGCTGTACTTGCAACAAGAGAAGTTGCAGCCACCATCTCTACGCTATCTTGACTATGCCGTACAGGTATACAATACCTACTACACAGGCATCAACGTGCATACACACCGGTCTCAGAATAAACCCGCTTATCCCGGAGCTGTTTGCTGATCCATTTTGCTCGGATGAGATGTTCAGGATGAGACTCTACCCGAGACCTTGATACCAGCATATTATGCATTGCTCTCTGACAAAGATGGAGCGAAAAGTTTACAAGCATAAACTCATTTGAGCATTTGGACTCTTGCTAAATCATCTCATGGTGATTACGGAGTCTATCACGAGCGAGCTCGGCATGGCAGCGGAGCAAGTACGGAGTACTCGTCTGTCGAAAGAAATACAAAGTACACGCCCTTTAGTATTAGCTTTCAAGGTCAATCCTAAAGCTCAAGGCACGGGAGCGCGGGAGGACCGTCCGCATTAACGAGGCCCGTGCCACTAGTCTATTCCTTCCTGAGGTAAATAACGGAATACTAGCACTCGATCTTCTCATGGAGGCTCGAAGAACGGTGAACGCGGCGCGCTGGTAGTTTGAACGCTAGGCTAACAAGATGGTGTAAGTGTTTACTTCGTACATTGCTCTACAACGTCTATATCGCCTCAGATTTTACTGACAAGCTATTTGTGCAAAAGAATGGATATCTGACTCGATTTGGTTTCGAATGAACGGCCTTGCTCTCTCGCAGACCTATTTCGGCAAACTGTTCTTTGAGAAAAGCTATCCAGCACCCCAATTCTGGTATTCAACACTTGAGCTATTGCTGCTGCTGCTGCTGCTGCTATTTCTAAACGTATTTGGCAGTTATATACATGTATTTTGACATGTGGACTGGCTGCCTGATTGCGCTGCAGCTGGGGTGTTGGATAATCAAATTGGGGTGCTGGATAATTTCTCCCTATTCTCCATCTGCAGACAGCGCTTCCCCAGCGCCCTGAAGTCATGTTCCAATCCAGGGAAGACTTTCTGCAATGTGGTGCGTCTAGGCGTTTACATTTCACTGTCAGGGTATTATGGAGCGGCAACTCTACCGCCATTCCGACTACGGCTTTTTAGACGAGATGAAGCGACCATCTGCCAACATGCCTATGCATATGGCGCCAGTCTCTCCGCCCTATGGGATCTGATATTCAAGTCATTCGGCAGAACACTCGGAGTAAAATCTTTGTTTTACTTGTCATTATCGCATCCCATTTTACTTTTTCTTTCAAAAATACAGGGAATGTCAAAGAAATTGACGAGTCAAGCAGGACATCCAAAGTGTCCTTATATTGACATTTACTCAACTAGGCTACGGAAGTACCTTACCAGACCGATCACTCATACAATGTGAACTTAGTGGTAGGCTAACTACCTACATTATAGCTTTCTTCTATAGTATAGCCGGCATATCATTGGCCCGACCTGAAGTCTTCAATCCAAGGCCGTGACTCCCGTCAACTTAAAAGCTTTAAACTCTCGGCATCTCGTCCTTGTCCTTGATCAAATTGGACAGGTATATATAACCAGGGGATTGTGGCGTCCGCGCCAAGAGCATAGCTGCCGCTTCAAGGCTCACTTCCAGTTGGCCAATTTCAGCCCCTGCCGTTCTGTGGAGGGTCCGTGCCCAAGCAAGAAATACTGACTAGCGGTAAACTACTCGCAGCGTGCACTTACAGCTAGATATTTCTCGGCCTAGCATAGAATTGCTCCGCATCACACCACGCGCTTCAACCTGGAAATGCTAACAGGCGTCCAGGAATCAAGCATAATGAGACGCAGCTGGGCCAAAGCACTTCATTGTTCTCCGATATTGGACAGCGGTGTAATTACGGGCATGCCATTCGTGGCTCGTATCGGCTCCGTTTCGATCCCACTACTTGTTAGCTGAGGGCCAGTCTAGTCAGGATCTTCCCGTCAAACCCAGAGCTCTCGTCACTCGAAAAGGACCGGCCTGAGGTTCTTTACGGTCATTTGGGCTTTGTGAGCGCTATTACTACTAGTAGTAGCACATCGCTAAGAAATGGGAGCTATTCTGCTTGAGGCCAAATAACTGCCAGTGTGGCTAGGTCGAGGCCAACATCGAGCATCCAAACGTGGACAAACGTTACGCGCCGCCTCCTTCTATATTTCCAACAGCAAACTGATGCAAAATCTTGCCTGTAAGCACATTTCCTGATTATATATAGACTATCTCCTTTTGAAATTTACATCTCATATCCCTTTAGCGGAACTGATTCTCTAGCTGTACACAATTTTATCCAATCAAAACCTAGTCTTATATTAGACTAAAGACAGCGGCCAATCCCGAGGAGATCTGCGGATGTCCACTGCTCTCAACACATTCAGGTGCCGACGATGTGGATCATGACTGGCTGATGGTGATGGATGATTTGGCTAATTACAATCTCATAGGATCCTTTTCCTTGAATGAAGACAGCCGCGTGACGCCGCCATAACAGGAAAACGCCCCCGGAGCCGGCTTTGAAAGTTTACCAGTTCCTTCGTGGACGGGTTGTCGAGCTATCTTCTGTGTAATGATTCTAAGCAACACAACACTACCACGCTCAACAGCCAGCAGCACTACAACTAGGTACTACCATATGGCAGGTATCGCTATATTAGCCCTTGATAGACGGCAGCAGAAGAGCAATGCGGTAAGTGTTGTCGAGCTCCCGACTGTTGCTATATCCACGCAATGGAGAGATAAGGCATAGGCATCTGCGCTTATTACACTCGCGCCTCTCTGCCTTGCAGTGCTTCATCCGCAAACATGGTTCTATGATGCGGCTCCGCGGCACATTAGGCCGCCGCCGAAAGCACATGCAGTTCAGTTCGCACATCCGCAAGGGGGCATCATCTCTCGCTCCCCAGGTCTGCAATGTCATCCAGGTATCACATCATGTACCTTTGCCGGCTCCCCTCGCAGTTGAATTTGGTGATTGTTGGCATGTACAAGTACTTGTACTGCTCTGTACATACCTGTCAAGGCCTCGCAAGGCAACATGGCAAGGCGTCCATGTATCCAACAAGGGCAGCAATCTTGTTAGTGTCATTCAGCGGCAGGGCAAACAGTGGTCTGTGCCCTGCGACTCTTGATATCCGACTCCGCTGCGGGCGAACTACTCCGTACTCAGTACAAGCCGTAAAGACATGCATGAGCCATGCCGCCCGCCGCTTTGCTACAGTATACAATGCAGGACGCCACCGAAATCCTGCTTCCCGCGAGAGGAGAGCCCGCTTCACCTCAACCACATGCGAGTATTGCTACCACTGAGGATGCGATAAGTACCAGCCCTGCTCCAAGACATGCAGGGCCTAGCTCTCTGGCTCCCCCCGTGGTTTAGCCTCTTCAAGTTCCGTCCCCCTAGGCATGGGCTTAAGCTCTCCACTTATTCGAAAAGCGACTCGATTCCTATCTCATGCCGGGTACCGCACGCCTTAATAATCGCGGCTCGTCTCGTCAATGTGACCAGGTCTGGCGCGTGGTGACGCTGTTTGCTTCTCTGGCAGCGCGGTGCTGTGAGAATGGATAGCCCCAGGATGTCTTTCTAATCCATACCGTAAGGTACTTACTTGTATACTACTACAAGTATGCCCGCCGTTGGCCCACTTCCCATCCCAGGCAAAGCAACAACCTTGGGGGTTGACAAAAGCATACGTCCGGCACTTGGCACCTGTGTGGATCAGGAACACTGGGAAGAAGAAGAAAAATAAAGAGTCTGGTCGATAATCATGGGGGAATAGGTCACCGCCAAACCAAAATAATGCGCCTCCCGTAATCACGGCTCCACCCATCGCCCATCATTTTGGGGCTCGTCCTCGCCTGGGCGGCAAGAGAAGCTCTCTGAAAGGCTGGGCTGGAGACAGTCCAAGGTCCAATACAACTCCCTGGGGCGCCATGCAGCCAGCATCGGCCTATATCCAGCGAATCGTCTTCTTGCGTCGCCCATCCAAAGCAACCCTGCGGGCTTCCAATTAGCGTCCAGGTTGCAGGCCAAGCCACTTTATCACGACTTTTATTTCTTTCTTTCTTAAATTTTTATTTTTCAATCAATCAATTTTCTCTCCGCCCACACCCCTCCCCCCCTCCCCTTCTGTCTACCTGTACCTCTTTCTTTCCGGGGTTTCTCTTCGTGGTAGCTCCAAATGTTGGGAAGGGGAGCTTCTCCTTCGTCCACAGCCCCAAAGGGGACTCTCGCCATCCCCACGTTTCTACTTTCTTACCCGTTTCTGCTGCGAAAAAGGCGGCCGCAGATCGAGAGGCCCTCGGTTATGCAGGACCAAAGCATATCGGCCCCGGGGATTGGGCCATGGCCACCAACGACGGTTTATGCTTTTCTGCCTTTTTCCCACTCATCTGTTCAGCTGTTGAGCAAGGCGCTATACTCGTACAAGAGCCTGGCCAGAAGTAGACATATATGATGAATCAATCTGCGTGTTCCGTCTCTGCAGGCTCCAGCCCATATTTACACCCATATGTGTGTGTACTTGATGGTTGGGAGAGGGATATTAGACACTTCTCATTTCTTCTCAGTACTGTACTGTACAGAGCAGAGCGCACAATGTACTTTCAAGTACCAACTACAGCTCTTCCGTGCGGAAATAAGCCGACTACCCTGTCACCAAATCGTGTCCGCTGTTCTCTTATTTAATCTTTTTTTTTTCTGTTCTGTTTTGTCGCCGTAGCACCAGCAGCAGCTGTTGTTACCTACACCAATCTACTCCATCTGGTCCACTGGATTCCATTGCCGCCGATCCTCATCGTTTATTCCCTCCTGCGACTTGCCGAGCGGCGAGGTTCTGCGCATTGACCGGCAGCTAATAGTATTCTGCTCGTGCAATCTGCCGCGTCAATGCCGCCGCATAGCTGCCGTCCATCCCCTGCTTTTGTCCCGGTCTGTCGTCTGTCGTCCAGCAAAAAAACCTTCCTGAAATGGAAAATCATGTAGCATAGCCTGTACTCTGAGCCTAGTTTCTGAGCGGAAATTCTGCTTTGTCCAGAATCAGAGCATTGAAAAAGAAAGGCCAGGGACTACATATGGCTTTGCGGGCAGGTAGGGAAGATAACGTTCTTGGATTGCACGGGCATCGGAAGAGCGCTGTCCCTCACCCATCCGCCTGATTGCCCACCCTAATGTTGGGCTTTGGGATATGAATCATCGCTTGATAATGGTCACTAGGATTGGCTATATTAGCTTTTGCGTGTTCATTCCAGCATTGTTCAATATAACAGCCGAAAAGTAGAAAGTAAAAAAGTAAAAAAAAAAAAAGGGGGGGGGGGGGGGGGGGGGGGGGGGGGATGCGGCAAGAAACGTGCTCATGCATTCCTCTCTTCGCGAGACCAGTTTTGAGGACTGCTGGGGGCGGGTTATGAATGGACATGTGAAAACTTACCAACGTCTTCATCTTCCAGCTCATGCGCCAAACCAACCCTCTGTGGCTGATGCTTTACCGACTTGCCATAAACAACGGCTGACTTGAATTGCTCCACGATGCTACGGTGAATGGCGTTGCACTGAATGTTGTGTATTGCGCATTAGTCAAAAAAAAGTAATGCGCATAAGGCGTGGCGTTTGCCCATTTTGGCAGGGGTCTTCTGTTACTCACAAAATCTTCCACCGTGGATCTCGATGCTCTGAGTACAACCGGGGCTGAGTAGTCTGGCGCTCTACCTTTGGGCTTTGTATACACTCGTTTCAGGCTCAGCTTCTCCCACATGGATTCCATGAGCTCGTCAATGTTCCATCCATGTTCTGAGCTGATGGGAACGGCGTTGGGGATGCGGTACAACAGATCCAGCTCTTCGATACTAATCGAGTCAATCTTGTTGAGGCAGTAGACTACCGGAATATAACTATTCAACAAATATTAGCAGCAATCCTACGTCCACATGTTCGCCGTTTTGCCGCTGCATGAGAGGTCTCGTGGCTCACCTTCGGCTCTTTGCCTCGATGATATCAATGAGGTCATCAATGGTGGCATCGCATCGAATAGTAATGTCGGCCGAGTTGATACGGTACTCGCTCATGACGGCCTTGATCTCGTCGTGGTCGATGTGCGTAAGGGGCTGAGTGCTCGTGATGTTCAGGCCACCCTTGTCCTTCTTCCTAAAGGTGATATTCGGAGGCGACTTGTTGATACGGATACCGAAGCCCTCCAGTTCAGCTTCAATGACTCGTTTGTCCGACAGGGGCTTGTTGACGTCCAGCACAATGAATATCAAATGGCACGTCTTGGCAACGGCGATGACCTGGCGACCTCGTCCTCGACCATCCTTGGCTCCCTCAATAATTCCAGGCAAATCAATCATTTGCAAGGGGGCACCTGCACGCATATGCAGTCAGTTCCTTAGTCCTCACAGTACGGCCAAACAAAATGGAAAAAAGCAAAGAAAAAAACGCCACAACGGCCCAACGGCCGTTCTAGCTTGACTTCGTTTAGGCACGGCAACACACCATTATACATGACCTGGCCCGGCACGGACGTCAGGGTTGTGAACTCGTATGCTGCGGCCTCGGAGTGCTGGCCGGTCAACCTGCTCATCAGCGTGCTCTTGCCCACCGATGGGAAGCCGATGAAGCCAACACTGGCCACGCCCGTCCTGGCCACGTCGAATCCTGCGCCGCCACCGCCGCCGCTGCTGCTGGGGGTGAGCAGCTCGCGTTTCAGCTTGGCTAGTTTGGCCTTGAGCTGGCCCAAGTGATACGACGTCGCTTTGTTTTTTTGAGTCTTGGCCATCTATGCGCAGGGGGGGGAAAAGCAAAAAAAAAAATGTCAGCATCTCTATTCTATTCTCTTTCGCTATCGAGTGCTTCACGCCGGTTGTCGGAACTGGCACGTCGTCGGTAAAGGGTTTTCGATTCGTGGAGAAACATACCTCGGCCTCGATCTCTTTGATCTATTATCCGCCAATGTCAGTTCAGTCAGTCCAGTCGGAAAGACGCACAAGAAAAACGAGAGGCCATACCTTTTCCACAGTCGTCGACATGATGCCGGTGGTGCCCAACTATGCCACTGAAAGTCTCCTTCTGTTGCTCCCTTGTCCGGATTACGCTTCTCCGATACGTAAAACTCGAAGTTGTCGCAATGTCTGCGGGCGTCGCTTTTCGTTGTTTGCTGAGGCGGAAGGCCGGCCAAAAGTTCTGAATCTGGTTATGCCAAACTTGTTTGTGTGTGGTGGTGGCATGAATATCTTTTGGATGGGATTTTGGTGGGGTAAATTTCTGGTTTGTGGCTTGCGGGTGGCCAATGATGTCAGCGCTTTTACCAGCCTAAACCGCTTTGGGAAAGTAGGTATTTTATCATGATATGTTTTTTTCCTTCCATGTCTTTGGCCAATTACTTCTTTGTTGTACCATTTACTGCTAAGTTCATAGCTCATCTTGTTGGTTGTATAATGTTACGTGTGGTATATCTACATATACAGCTCCTCTTGGCATCATCGCCTCGTACATATAGCTGCATACAGCATACTAATAAAGAGCCAAACCTCTGCTATATTTAAAACACACAAGGCTCTTGTCGTCCATGTTATCTTCATTCCCAATCATTTCCACCAAATGAAGAGAGAGAAGGGGTGGGAGGGAGGGGGGAAAAGGGAGGAAAAGGGGGGAAGAGGGAAAAGTGAAATTAGGGAAAACCCATGAAGAGCTGTTCTTCATTCCCATCTTGCTTTGCCGATTAAAAAAAAAAAAACCCCCTGACATGGAAAAACAGTACGAGATAAAGTGAAGAAGAAAAAAACGCCCTTCGTTGCACATACAAAATTTGCCTTTCTTTCCATTTCCATTTCCATTTCTTCACACCCATGCCTATCCAAAAAGAAAAAGAAAATCACAGAGAACAATTCCTATAAGCAGCAGTTGAACTTGACGCGCAAAACAAGCAAATCTGTCCAAATATACCCCGTGTGGCATACATACCATAGCACCCCGTCCAAAAGCTACATAAGTCAGCAGAAAAAGGGAAAGAAAAGGCAAAAAACTTTTTTTTTTACTTCTTCTCGCCCAGTTCTGCTCATGCTGTTAAAAAAGAAATCTGTTGCAGAAGACTCCCGTGTGTCCTGTCAACCAAGATAAAAAAGTCATCCACCTCCTGCCTTTTTGGAAGTCACCTTCAGAAACGTGTTTCGCATTGCATGTTGCAGTTGCATCAGAAAAAAATTGTGCGTAATATTTGCGCGTGTGTACAAGGAAGTGCGCGGCGTTTCGTCCCTTTTTCCCCTTTAGCCTCCGAGTCTATAGACATTTACATGAAAGCCAAATAAAAGAGATAAGTAAAAGAGATTGAAGAAATAGGAACAAGGGAGGAAGATGAACCAGAATTCAAAACAAGATGTGCCGTACAGATCTGTGTACAGCTAGAGTTGGTTTCATGAATTTTCCCTTCCTCGTCCAGACCAGGTCTCTGTTATATTCCTTGAGTCATTAAATACCATTAATTGTATCACTCTCCGCTGTCGCTTCAGCCTTGACTCTATCCGGGCTAGTATGTCCATTTGTACCGTTGACGTTCGGCCTCGCCCGGGGGATCGAAGTTGGGCTGATTGGAGATGAATGGATGCCATTTGGGACCGGCGAGGGACTCTTTGTGTCTTTTAGGAGATGCCCAAGGCCTTGGTTCATACAAATGACATTGTAGTCGGTGTCGTCGGGATAAGCACGAACTAGTCCACGCCGAGGAACTCGCACCTCTGGAAAGGGGGTTGAGCTAGTTTGGGAAAGGGTAGGGAGCTCTTCCCCGACAAGGAGTCCATTGACATAAAACTTGAATCGTGGAGCGAGACCATGGTAGCGGCTCGCTTCTGGATCTCGCTTCCACTTCGCAAATGTCCTCCATCCTTTGGCCTGCTCCTCGGTTTCTAAGAGCTCGCAGTACTCCACACCTAATTTGATGCCTCGCAGGTGTGATATATTGGGTACGACATACATAAAGTCAGAGACCTAATACTCAATTAGTAAGAATGACCTTGAAGGGGTACTTTCATATTGCGACCTACCTTCACAAAGAACATGTCCATGGCTTGAAACTTCTCCCATGCCTCCTGTTTGAGCCGATCTCTATTGTTGTAGCTCAGGCTATGGGGTTGCTCATCGCCGTAGCACCCAGGCAGCTGCTCGCCAAGCTCCCAAAGCTTCTCAGAAAACAGAGTATATCGACTCCATTCTGTCCTCCATAGACTGAACTTGGCAATTGGGGTAACGGGTACGCGTGCCCAAGAAGAATCTGTTGGTGCGTCAGTACTCAAGATACAATAATCAGAGAGATACAAAAAAAAAAAAAAATTCGTCTACTTACACTTAGGAAGATCCAAGTCTTTCTCTCCTAGCAGCAGAGCGACATGCGTATTAAGGAGCCACAATTCACGGCCCTCAGCGGTATTGTTCGCCTCGGGGCGGATCGTGTCGTATCGGGCACCGCGCATGTACTTGAATTTCTCGGCAATGGCTGTGGTTTTGGGGTTGGACGCAGTGCAGAGCCATCGCATCAACGGGGGCAATTTCTCCAGCCGAGCCCGTTCTTGTTCTTCTCGCAGACGTTCTTGTTCTTCGCGGCGCTCCTGTTCTTCACGCAGGCGGCGTTGTTCTGCTTCTCTGGCGGCGGCACGTTTTCGCTCCATTTCTTCCCGTTCGGCGCGTTCCTGGCGTTCACGTTCTCGGCGTTCTTCTTGTTCGCGTTGCTGCCGAGCCTCGGCTGCTTTGCGTTCTAATTGTTCTTTGTGAAGTCGCTCTTCCTCTTCCTGTCGCTTTCGCTCTTCTTCCTCTTCCTCTTCCTTCTTCCTCTTCTCCTCTTCTCTCCTCTTCTCTTCCTCTCTTCTCCTCTCTTCTTCCTTCTTCTTTTCCTCCTCTCTCCTCTTCTCCTCTTCCTTCTTCTTCCTCTCTTCTTGTTCTTGCTTCCTCTTCTCTTCTTCTAAGCGGCGGCTTTCTTCTTCATGTCGACGAGCCGCTGCTTCTTCGGCCTCGCGCCGTTCCCGCTCTTGCTCGCGAAGTTTATTGTTAAGCGCCTCCTCTTCTTCCCGCTTCTTTCGAAGCTCTCGTTCTCGTTCTCGTTCTCGTTCTCGATCCCGCTCTTCCTGTTCCTTTCGTTTTTTAGTATCGTCTTCGCGCTGGCGGGTCTCTTCGGCTTCTCGCTTCCTCCTCTCTTCAATTCTGGCGCGTCGTCGTTCATCTTCTTTCACAGCGTCTTCTCTATCGGATACCTCCTTCTTCTTGGGCTGTTCCTCCTCGTTTTCACGAGTCTTTCGCTCACGAGGTTTCGGGTGCTCCTTGACCTGATGTGCGTCCAGCATTTCAACATCTTCATCTTCTTGCTTGACTCGTATCGATTTTTCGCTAGAATTGACCCGAGTAGAGTCTTTTCGCTTAGGCTCTCGCTCATCGTGACTGCCCCTGGGCTCTTCCTCGCGATTTCTCCGGGGGAGGAGAGATGAAGATTTGGATGTATTGTCTCGTGATATACTAGCTTTGCGAGGCTTCACTTCTTCAGAGACGGGCCGCCTTGGCAACCGTTTCTCCTGGCTGTCGCTCTCCAGTCTTCGGCGCTTCACAGGTGCATCGTCCTTGTCAACATCGCTTGGCCGATCAGGTGTAATGCTATTTCGATGCCGTTTGGTGATGCCGTCCCCAGATACTGCTAGACGATCCCTCGATTCATCGCGCTTCAAAGCCTTTGTTCTGTCGTGATACTTTTCAGATAGCTTAGGCCTGTCTGCACTGTCTTCATGTCTTGGTTCGCTAGGGCTCGACGGCTCTTTCGCTCCAGATGATGTGGTGGAAGCCATACTACCACGCTTCTGCCTCTCTCGCTCGTCCCGTAGTTCGCCTTTGGATATCAGCTTTCTTCTGGGTTTGACGGTTTCTCCTTCTGACGAGAGGCCGGTAGCGTCCGATTCGGTTCGTTTTGGCTTTGCTACCCCTTTACGAGCTGGGGGAGCTGGAGATGCCTCACGATCTGAGACATTCGAGGCTGCGTTGTCGTCTTTCCTTGGTCGCCCAGGACCTCTCCTTTGAGAGCTGTCGTCGCCGCCACGGCCAGTGAAGGAATCCGATCTCTTCTTGTCCCTTGTTAGCGCCGCCTCTGTCTTGATGGTTGAAGCCTTCTTAGGCTCTCGGGAAGGGCTGGTAGCGCTTCGCTTATGTGTCCGTGCGTCGTCTTTGGCCTCGTCTCTCTTGCTTCGTTTCTCTTCCCTTTCTCTCTCCCTCTCTCTGCGGCCAGGCGACTTTGCCCTAGCAGAGTCTTTGTGTGTCCGTTTGTACTCGTCGTAGGCATTCTTCAACATGTGCTCCTCTTCTTTCCAATTAGAACCTTGTCGACGACGGGCAATTTCGTAATATGTCTCTCCTTTAAATCTTTTCGTAGGATCAAAATTCTGTTGTTCCAAAAGCAGTTCGACAACTTTGATATTCTCTTGGCCAATAGCCGCGAGCATTGGCGTTGCAAATTCTGGCTGTAAAGACCTGACTGGTAGGGGGTCTGCACTGGCGCCACCGAGGCCCAAGAGAAGTTGGATTACCAGGTCATGGCCTCCTCTTGCTGCGGCTACCATGGACTCGGGGTCATCAAACCCCTCCTTGACCTGCAGAATGCGGGCTACCGTCTCTTCATCGCCACGGCCAGCAGCCTGCCGCAGGGTTTTGTCGTCCAATGGCATGTAGAGCAAATCATTTCTCGTCTTGGTCGAGCGAACAGTTCCGGTCCTGCGCCCTGTCGTCACTGTTGCGGCAGGGGAGCGGCGAGGGCTATCAAGGGCATGAGAGTCTCGCTGGTCATGATAATCGTGGGAATGGCGGTCTTCAGAGGTCCGTCGCCGCTCACCCTGCCGCTTTTTAGCTGCCAAGAGCAGTGCACGGATTTCGTCGCCATTTTCAGTGTCTTCCGTAACTCTATCGATAGGCTCTTCACCATTGACGTTAGCTTTACGTGGGTTAACGCCAGCTTCTAATAGAAGCTTGACGACGCCCACGTGGCCGTTATCAACAGCGTCTAGTAAGGGAGTATCCTTATCGTAGTTGACGCAGTCAAGATTGCAACCTGCATCGATGAGCAGCTTGACGATGTCCTCGCAACCATTAATCGCGGCGATTTGCAGAGGCGTGTTCCCGGCATAGTCTGCCACGTTCAAGTCCTCGGGACGATCAGTGAGCTTTCTCTTAGCAGTCTCATATTCCCCACGAGCACAGGCTCGAGCCAGCAGGGTTTGGCCGTGCGCATCGAGATGTTTCTTGTGAGGTGCCATTTTCACGGGCGAGGCATGAGACTCTGGTATGGCCGGAGTAGCAAGGCCTCGTAACTTGGAGCTGCGGGGATGAGGGCTCCCGCTGGCCGAGGATTCGTCAGAATGGTAGTCTGCAGAATAAAGGGGGGGCGGTAAACGCTTCTTCTTGAGGCTGCTAGAAAGATGATGTGCAGGTAATTGTGTGGAGACGCTTCTACGATGCTGTCGAGGGTGAGGAGAGATGGAGCGTGTCCGAGTGCGAGATTCATGCTGAGATTGCTTCGATTTAGATTCCTTGAGGGTGCGGCCGTTGTCGAGGCTGACGCTTGTGGTCCGCTGGCGGCGGGCCTTTCGTTGATCACCTTCGTCGTCGGACTCGGCCTTGGGAGCCTTTCGCTTGTGAGGCACCAGACGCTCTCCAGACTTGAGCTTGTCGCGCAGAGACGACGAGACGGGCTTGGAGGGAGCGTGGATGCCTTCAGAGTCCGAGGGCGAGCCGGCGGCCACGGCGTCAGATCGCCGGCGGCGGTGAGGCGGAAGCGGGTGCTGTTGACGCTGGTGGTTCTGACTGTGGGGAGGCGAAGTCGGTGCAGAACTCAGGCCGCTCGAGGCGCCGTCCTTGCTGCGAGGTTGGCGGTCCTTGTCGACAGGGCCCGGCAGCCGTTTCTTGACACCCTCGCCGGGTCGACCGCCAGCTGCGTTCTTGTCGCCCTGGTTACTGGCCGGCGGCGGCTGGCCGTTGCCTCTGGCCGAGTCGGCGTCGCTCTCGCTCCGGTCCTCCTGCCTCACCTTTCGAACCTTTGAGGGCGAATGGCCATCCTTGCCCGGCAGCACAATCGTCTCGGCGTCTGAGTCGCGGTCGGCACCAGGTGCATCGTCGTGTCGGGCGGCCGTGGAGGACGACAGAGACGACGACTCCCTCGTCTTGAGCCTGGACGGCGACGATGGCCTCACAGGAGCAGAAGGGCGCGGCTTCGGGTCCGTGTCGGAGCCAGAGCCTCGTCGTGGGCGCTCGTGTTTGCTTTGCTGCTGCTGAGGGGGAGGGCCAGCATGCTTGAGCGTGTCGGACTCGGCAGCATTCTGCGCGTCCATGACATTTATCTTCGAGAATTGCCGGTGGCTACCACCATCATGGAGATGAAAGGAGTGTCGGCAGCGTGGACGCCGCAGAAGAGGCCGATTGATCTGGGCACGTCGACCGCCACGTCAGAGCTGCTGGCAATAGCCACCTGCGGAGATGGATCAGATGGAATGGGGGCAGAGGGCCTAGCAGCCGGGGGACTTTTAGGCACGACAGCACCGGGAGGTCGCAGAAGCAGCAGGCCGTGAAGGGTAGGTAGGTCGTCCAAGCCGGAACGGAGAGAAATGAAGAAAAAAGATGATGAAGAAGATGGAATTAGAGCTGCTACAATGGCGCTGGTGGATGCGCGGCGAAACCAAGTGGCGGAACACGAATCGATGCTGTTTTTTTTTTTCTCTCTCCTCGGTCGGGTGTCGAGAGTGCAAAAAGAACTAGAAGATCAATCACGAATCGATGAAGCGTGTTCACCGTAGCGTAGCGCAGCTCAGGGCACGGAGAACGGAGAGCTGTTAGTACTGACGTGGGAGCTGGGAAAAACATTGAGTCCAGTTCCATGTTGGAAACTGCCGGGGCTGGGAGCTGGGGGGGACAAGTACACGGCATGTACTGCTGCAAGTCGGCCTTAGTACGCATACAGAACAAGGACTACAGGTGCAAAGTAAGACAGCGCAATAGCGGCCTTTGGGGCCAGCGCTAGTGCTGGGTGCTGGTGCTCGTACGAGGCGGCACGTACCCACAACGTCAGTGGCCGCGGAGGGGTACTTGCGAGTACCGGGCCAGAGGAGAGCAGGCTGGAGCTACGGACGAAAGCACGAGATCAATGATGCTAGTAGGTACTGATGGTGCCAGGCTAGCGAGGTGCAAGTGGACAGCGCAGCACCGCATGGCAACGCAGCGGCAATTGAAGGCAGCATAGCAACCAGCACAAGAAACGACGCAAAGAGGCAAAAAAGCAAAAGGCAAAAACCGCAGCGACCACGACAGTCTGGAAACAGGGATGCAATTCGAAACTCAACCGCACGCTGCCGCCCGCCTGATTGGCCGTGGCCGCCAGCCGCTCCAGCCGGTGCAGCGCCATCGCGGTGCAGTTGTGCGGCCGAAACAGCGGACCTCCAGCCTAAACAAACCCTGTCGAGCCCTGCCATCCCGCGTTGCCACCCTCCAAAGCCCCCTCCAAAAGGCCCTCCCAGGCCGCGGTGGTGCAGCAGGCCCCGCCATCCACCAATCACCGCTGCCGGCCGCACCGGTAGTCCTCGAGCGCACCACGGGCTTCCTGGGCTTGAAATACGGGTGCCGTCGCCTCGATTCTGCGAGCTCGCGACGACGACGACGAAAAAGGGAACCGACAGAACAAGGCAAAAGCCAGAGACCGCGTGCCTGCCCTTGCCTTTGCATCCGGGGAGGAGCCCCGGCGTGCTGGTGCTGCGCATCTGCTCGTTGCATCATCACCAATGCCATTGATCAAATGCTGCGCTCTTTTTGCTCCAGCCCTTCTGTACGACCTGCAGCCAGCACAGGAGAGGGTCGAGTCTGACTGCCGGAGGCGGCTCAACGCGACGCCCCCCCAAACGCAAATGCGCTGTGCTCGCTGCAGGCCGATAACAACACAGCAGCCCAGCGCTCGGCTAGCCCTAAACGGACGCCCGGACTGGCATTCGCTGCTGCGACGAGGAGGCAACAAGAACGTGAACGCTGCAACCCCCTAGCTGGATACGGCCATTCGCTAGCCATCACCCCATTGTCCCCCTCTTGCTTGCGACTCGACGACAAACCAACCATCCATCCGCGCTCGCTGCTCTGATCCGGACGGGGCTCTCGCGTTGGACCAGTCAGGCCGTGGCGTAGTCCACGATCTCCTGTTGCCTGGAATTCTGACCATGGCGGCCGCAGGCTGCAGTGACGGCAACGCACGGCTGCCGTTGTCTCTCGACGCAGCCAAGATCACGTCGCTCCCGGCTACTGCCTACTATCTGCCTAATTTCATCAGCGAGGAGGAGGAGCGCATGATTCTCGATAAAGTGCGTCCGTCACCGCGCCTGGTGCTGTCGAATCCTGCCTGCCCTTGACCTGGTGCGGCCGTGCTGATAACAAACTCCCCCGCCTTGACTCCAGATAGCTACTGCTCCCCGGCCGCGATGGAAGCAGCTCACGCATCGACGCCTACAGACTTGGCCATCGGATCTCGTCCAAGACAGGCTACTGGACGCACCGCTGCCTCCCTGGCTCGAGACGCCCGTGGTGTCGCGGCTGCTGTCCCTCCCGCTCTCCGACGACCACGACGGCGATGCTGTGAGACACATCTTCGCCGATAGCCCCCATCAGCGCCCGAACCACGTCCTCATCAACGAATATCCTCCCGGCATTGGCATTATGCCGCATAAGTTAAGTATTATGAACAAGTAGATACTACCCTTGCCAGCTTCGAAATGCTCATCCACCCTAGGATGGCGCTGCGTATTGGCCCGTCGTGTGCACCGTCAGCCTGGGCGCCAGCATCTGTCTCAACCTGTACCGCAACAAAGAGGACGGCGCCCTTGACCCCGATCCTGCTTGGCGAATCATCCAGGAACCTCGTAGTCTTCTCATCACTACAGCGACTCTATACACGGACTATCTGCATGGAATCTCCGACATCAAGCAAGATTTAGACCTATCCGCCGATACGATTGTAAATTGGCCGTTGCTTCGAGACCCCGAGGCGTTTGCCAGCGGCCAAAGCGTGAGACAAACCCGCACTAGTCTCACGTACCGAGATGTCCTCAAAGTTTCCAAGGTTGGAAACAGGTTGGGTCTGTTCAACAAGCGATAAAGGCTCGTTCAGAGCTTCAGGAGCAACGTAGTCTAGAATACAAACGGAATAATGGCCCATTTCCCAACCAGCTTGTCTGCACCAAACTTTTCGGCATACCATTTTTTCGTGCCATGTGCCGTTAAACTGAGATTCGTCACGACGAACAACAAGACGTACAAGACGGATCTGTTAAAGAAGGCTCCTGGGGGCGCCGCAGCGATGGCAAGGCCCACGTAAACCAGGCATTCGAACGTGTAGTGGGGGCAAACGAGGTACTGGAACCAGCCCTCACTTGGAAGCGTGTATTTCTTGAGGCCCGCCAGATACCTGTGGCAGTTGTTTTGCTGAGCACCGGCAAAGCCAAAGATTGCGGCCCCGATGATGATTTGCGGTGTAAACTCAATTGGCTGTGGCGACTCCCACGATTTGAGGATTGCCCCTGCATACTACTGTCAGCCTTGTTCCCAATGAAGAAATCCGCGAAAATGTGGCCAAGACACGAGACGAACCTGATCCCCGTATCCAGACGCTGATGCCCACGACTGTGTAATAGACCACTGCAAGAGCCCAGTGAAAGGCTGACATGGGAGACGATCCGGGTTTTGCGACAAAGAGACACTCAAACAGTCTCCTCGCTCCTTGGGAGCTCATCAGAAGCCAAGTCACCAGCGTGGCACTCAGGGCGACCTCCGGAGATTGATCCTCCACTGCAGACCGATGCTGTATCTCAGCCATGGCCCGCATAATCGAGCCCTTGGATATGTATTGCCAGCCCCAGAAGATTGACCATGACACAGATACTATGTAGAAGTGTACGAACCACGAGTGAGGCACCTGGGCATAGCTTGTCAGGACCAGGAGAGAATCTGCCTTTGCCTCGGCCTTGTGCCCAGGAGCTTGGCTATTTGGTCCATGCTGGGTATGTGCCGGCCTCCTGGCGCCGTACGCGAACAAGGCCTTGCGCGCATTTTCCGGGAGAACTTGCATCGAGAACAGTATCACGGAGCTGACCACGCAGAAAGCTTGGCACCATTCTGCCGGCGTCGTGCTGGCCATCTTGGTCGCTTTATCGCTACTTTGCCAAGTATAGAAGTCAATGTTTAGCTGCTGGATTTGACCAGAAGATGTAGACAAGAGATGCCCAGTGGGAACGGAGAAGCAGAGAGATGAGGCTTCAGCTTCCAGTCTCGCGGATGCACGGGGCTGCGCGTTGAGCAATCCAGGCCACACTCGACAGCTCGACACTGGATGCCCCGCAAATTGCACATGACAGACCCCCTCTTTGAACGAGCTGCAAGCTCACCTGAATCAAGACCTCGAGCCGCAGCGGCCGGTCGCATGCTAGGTGTCAAACAAGACTAAAAGGGGCGCCGCCGCTGTGCCGCTGTGGGGTTTGGGGGCCTTGATTCAGCGTCTGACGAGTAGGTTCTTGCGGTCAGTGTGTCCTTCCAAAGAGAAGATGTGTGTGCCTGCGGTCGAATGGCTATCGCAGGAGAGGAATAGTAGAAGCGCCTCTTTGCCAGGGGGCAATTCAGCGGCACGGCAATGGCAGAGTTGACAATGGATGAAGTGCCGGCAATTGGAAGAGGAAGTGGAGATGTCCATGTGCCACCTGTTGTGCTCAAAGTCCAATGTGTAAATGTTCTAGTAACACCATCAATACAGCTGGTTGAACACTTATCCCACCCATTTCCTGGGTGCGAACCCTTGGTAGGTGAGTTTTCTTTCTCTCGAATTCCAACTCTTCTACCTCTGGGTGGTCTAGTTGGTTCATGGCGTCTGACTGTAATGGAAAACATCTCATCAGAAAGTCGGCGGTTCGATTCCGTCCCCGGAGAGTTCTTTCTTCCGGAGAAGAGTTACATTTTTGCTTTTTTTTTTTTACCCCCCTTTTTTTTTGTTCGTCTCAAAGAAAAGAATATTTCCACAGCCTTCTTTCTGTTCAGTAGGGTACATGTAGGTAGTAGTGAGATGGCCATTGATTAGATTGGCTGCTCGATGACGCATCTTGCAGAGCGACGTACAATAAATACGTGCAATTGCCAAGTTCTCTGCTCTCCTTGCATATACGAATTTGTACTCCAACATCATCTCACAGTTACTGGCGTCTTTGGCGCGTATTAAAGAAGTCTTTGGAATCACGTGGGACAAGATACTCAAAACTGGCTTCATGATGTCGGCCAACGTCATAGTTTCCTTGCTTGCTGCCATGCGTTGCTCCTGCCTGTACTAGAAGAAATGTTAGAGCTGCCACCAATTTCATACAGTTTCAATCACAACGACGAAAAAAAAAAATCAATACAATTTCAGTGTTACAAAATCTTATTTCATTTCACTCCATCAGGCGAGCTTTCTATATACCATACCATGCTGTACCGTACCGTACCCAATGTCCCAATCTGTATCCCTTGATTTCCCGATATTCCCTATCGCCAGTTCCCATATCCACCATGCCATGCCAGGCTTTTACTCAAAGAATGCGCCTTTACCAGCCCCATGTCTTGCACTGTTGCTTGGGGTTAACATTCTTGTTAACCGCCAAGCAGTCTTGGTACTGGGCCTGGCACTTCTTGGCCGCGTTGGAAGGAGTGTTGTCTCCAAAGCCCCAGTTTGCCGTGAACTGGCTGATGCCGAGCAAACGCTTGGCTGCCTCGCCGCGCTTGAATCGACCGCTGGAGCCATCCTGGCAGCCCTTCTGGTAGACGTTTGTGCATTGCGTGTATTGCTCCTTGCACGCATCAGAACAAGCATTGCCGCAGCCTGAGGGAGGATACGAGGGGCAGTTCCGGCTGTTCTGGTTGATGTACAGCTTGAAGGGGTTGGTGCGCCAGTCGCTGTAGATGTCATTGCAGCTGACAAGAGGCAGGGGAATGCCGCCGACGGGGTTTCCTGGACCGTACCCGTACTTGGGGTTGGAAGGCTGCGTGCAGATGTTGGTGGGAGGAGGAGGGCACTGGGTGGCCGTCGTTGAGGTGGCCGGAGGCTTGGTTGTGGTCGTCGCTGAGCACGGAACGACGGTGGTGGTCGTCTTGGGAGGACTGCCACCTTGGCCGGGGTTGTGGTTCCAGCAGTCGCCCTTGGAGCATTTCCCGAACAAACAGGTCGAGCTGCAGTACTGCTGAATGCCACTGCACCACAGGCCAAAGTTGAAGCATTGAAGAGCGCCGGGGAAGCCAGCCTGAGCGAAGCAAGAGGCGACACCAGCTGCGCAGGTAGCATAAGCCTTCAGACAGTCCTTTTCATTGTTCCAGTCGGGCAGAGGAGGGAAACACCAGTCACCGCACTTGTACTCGCACGAAGGTGGAGTGGTGACGGTGGCCGTGCACAGAGAACTGGTGGTTGTGGTGCTGGTAGTCTTGGAGGTTGTTGTGGTAGGGGGAGGGGGCGGTGAGGTGGTACTCGTGGAGGATGTGGAAGTCGTTGTAGTGGAGGTGGAAGTTGTGGAAGACGTGGAGGACGTGGAAGACGTTTCGCAATCATCTGTGGTGGAGGAGGGTGGAGGAGGCAGCGATGTTGTCGAGACTGAAGAGGTTGTGCTGCTGGTGGTGGGAGGCAGAGATGTTGTTGAGTCTGTAGAGGTTGTGCTGCTGGTAGTAGGGGGCAGAGATGTTGTCGTGCTTGAAGAGGTCGTGCTGCTACTGGAAGGGGGCAGCGTTGTTGTCGAGATTGAGGTCGTGCTGCTGCTGGAGGGAGGCACCCAGCCACACGGCTCCAAAGACTCAAGATCTGTGGCAATGTACAGGTCCAAGAGTCCACGTCCACCGCAGGTCTCTGAGGAGTTGCCGTTGCAAGCGAAATTACACTGCGAGTCGTCTACCTTTACGGTGCTGTTTGCAAGAACGTTGCCACACCAGCATTCGCTTCCAAACTCGGTACCAGCCAATGGGAAGCCTTCTGCCTCGCAGGCAGCCAAGCAAGACTCGGTGGTGAAAGTGGAAGAGTCAACATCTGCCGACCAGGAAAGAGCACGACCTTGTTGCGAGTTGTCCGAATAGCAGCCAGCAGCCTTGTAATCGCCGACGGTGACTTGCTTAGTAGGGAATGTCGGGTCTTGCCAAACGGAGAGGATGTTGTTTCCACCACATGTCTCAGATTTGTTACCGTTGCAGGGAAAGCTGCACTGAGAGTCATCGATTTGAGGCCCGTCAACAGTGCCGCCACAGAAGCAAATACCATAGTACTCGAGGCCAGCATAACGGAAGCCATTGCCTATGAAGAGCAAGGTGTTAGCTCATGGTCGTATAACAAACAAGAAACACTCGTCTGAATGGTTTACGGACCTTTGCACTCGGAAACGCATTCCTCCACAGTCATGTTGTTCGAAGACAAAGTTGAGCGGAAGATGAGAGCATTAGGATTACCGGGGCCGCCATCTTGAAAGCAGCCAGAGTAGACAAAAGGTTGAAATTTGTCCAGGCAAGGAGGCAGCTCCACGTTCCAGGCTTGCGTGGATGTCACGAGTGAGAGCGTGGCAACCGCGGCCACGAGGGACCGGGAGAAAGACATTTCGATAACGAGGATTTCCAAAAAGGCCCAAGACACTCAAGGTTGTCGTGAACTAGGCAATGTTTGTCTAGAAGCTTGAGTTACTGAGGTTGGCAATCTGAACCATCGACGGCGGGAATCAGAGCTTTATATACACATCGTCAAAGGGCTCATCTCATATTGAGATGACATACAGCGCAAAGGCCGGCCTCCCCGTATGTTGGACTATATCCGCTCACCATCTACGGCATCCGACTTGGAATTTGGGGTCCTAATTTTTCAGAGAGATCACCAGATCGGGCTGAAGTATGCCCCTGTAACTTCCTAACCCCTGTTCCCGAGAGAGATGCGCCATGCAGTTAGCCCATGTCGTCCATGTCAACTACATTGCCTGGCTAGGACTAATAAGCAGTGGTGGACAAGAGAAGACGGAAACAGGCAGCAATGCCAACACCGAGAGCTTGTTGCCAAGCCAGTGCCGATGTCCGTCCAGCCGCTTTGTGCTCCATACTACCAGCACTAATAGTAGTAGCTGGCCTGCAAGGGAAGAGCAGCGTTGATGCAAAGACAGGCCAAGACATTCTGTCATACCCATCAGGTCAAGACAAGAGGAATCTCACTCGCAGGATCGCCGAATAGGAACGACTGATGGATGGCAGCTCTGCTCAGCCAAAAGAAAGTGGGAACACCACCAACACACACACATAGTTGGATATGCCTGCGTACGTTAGGCAGCATTAAGTCTTTCTACACAGTACATATCAGATTCGCTAAGCTATTACAAGACAGAATGCGAGAAGGGACCTCTGACTGGTAACAACTACCGCTTCAATGATACATTACTCCGCCGGTAGGCATGGGCTAGAAACGTGGAGACTGTCTCTTAATCGAATAGCACCTGATTTCTGACCGGTAAGTATTCCTAGATGTGGTTAAGTACCTCATTGTTATCTGATTCTCATGGAACCTATCAGCTAAATCAGTGCTTATAGGTGCCAACACTGGTAACGAGCTACGCTGATATCTGAACCAATGCATATCTCTAATAGCGCAGTGATCTCGGAACAGGCGCTCAACATCCCATGATTAAAGGCCTTGACAGAAGGAAATTAAGTAACAGAAAGGTATAACAGCAGATGGCAGGCTGAAGTGAAAGCAAGAGTGCGTAATTCAAAGCGCGAGATACAAACAGTGATTGGGTAGAAACATGACCGGGTGTTTCCGAACATGCATATAGACGACGTTCTGGACCTCTCAGCCTCTTTCGATCCTTCTCGGAACCCGATATTGTCTACCTTTCCCTGCCAGGAGATTGGCTGTTGTTGGGGTTGGGCCAGGGCGCAAGCAGTTTTCGTGTCAGACTCTGCACACAAACTACACTTAAGCATATTACTACTACCTACTCGCATACTAATACCCATGTACGATACTGGTGCCACGATTTTTCAGCTCTGATGCCGGGGCATCGGGGCTTTACGATGGGCGAATAAGCACGCTAGACAGGCTTTGCTTCATAGATCGAGGCCCGTGGTGGGTCTCTTTCCCGGTCTCTCAACTGACAGGTAGGTGTTGGACACAATCCAGTGGTGGCAGAAGAGCAAACTGAAGATGAAGCATAAAGACATTGGCCAGAGATATTACTAACTAATCCTCCATCTTATGAAAAATCAACAAACGGCATCTTTGATCTGTCAGAGTACATGATTTTTCGATCACATCTAGCCGCGTCAGAGGCAATATCGAGTTGCGTCTTGGCTACTGAGTAGCTCTACGGTGGAGGGTAGCATCACAGGCCGATATTGCTACCGTAAAAGAAATAGGCATAGGCTGATGTGGGCACAAGGGAGCATACAAACTTCGCTGCCAGCTCATCGTGCGTCTCAGCGCAGCTGTTTGTGTAGCAAAGCTGCATTCATCCCACGGCCACAGAATACGAGCTGGCTGTACTCTCTGCCTCTTCTTTGCCGTGGTGGATATCGCGTATTGGCGGCATGTAAGGTGAGCTGTGTGCAGGAGCATCATTCGATATGCATGCGCTGAGAGAAGCAAAGGCCAGTGGGCAATCTCGACTCAACCGACCATCCGACATCCACCGCTGCTCGGTGCTGCTAAGAATAGAATTGGTCAATATGGAGTTTGTACAACCACCGCACTCGTATTGTCTCCGAAGGGCGTGGCCTTGGCCAATTTACGGTGTCAGCTTCGAGGTTGGAAAATCAAGCATTGATCAATAGGTTGAGGTATCAGATTGATAAGCAAGCCATCGATATTAACTTGCAGTCTCAGATGCAGTGCAAGCAGTCAAGCACTGCGCAGATCGATCTCGGTCTCCATCAGCCCACCACGCCTACTAGGCTCAGGGTCAGGTTCAGGTTGAGGATCCTGCCGCTCAAAGTGTGTGCTATTGGACACACCATACATGGTGGAGTCAACGCCAAAGCCTACCCGAGGTCATCAACTTTTCGGTCGCCCGGGTGGTCGGCAGGGTTGTATTACTGTTACGTGTTAGTGATTGCTTCAGGTCGGGCTTGTCTGGCTTTGCCTACCAGGCAATATGTTAGGCTTCGGGTGCCTGTCTATTGCAAAGGTGGGGGGGGGGGGGGGGGGGGGGGGGGGGGGGGGGTACACAATGCATATTGCATGTTTTCCTTTCAATTCATGTCTTGGTTTGGTAAATTGCCTGCCATTGAACTCTCTGGTAAGTAATTGCACTTGTATTGTTACAGCTAACTACTACATGAGATTGGTATCACGGGTACCTTAGTACTACCACTGAAGCCTCCTTCGGTATTTACACCGCCTCGGCTTCTCATTCATGACCTTTTCCCTCTTCATCTAAAAATGGAAAATACGATCCATTCTCGACAGCAAAGGTTGTTCAGCTGCGGTGGCAGCCGTGCGAGCCACCGTATAATTTGTTCTCTCCCTACATTCCGTCGAATTAACTTCGGCCCCCATCCCAGCCAGCCGCTTTGCCAAGGGGGGCCACTCTCACCGGATCTACTGCCCCTGACTTGCCCATCTACGCTTCCCCGCCGCTGCTAGACTAGGATCTCTGACTTGGAAGCAAACAGCATTGGTCTCTTCCCGCTTCGACAACTCCGTCATACTGTGCAGTCTCAACACCAAAACAACAAAGCCACGATGCATAGACGGCAAACCAGTCCTGAGAGCAGAGGCCATCCACCGCTGCAGGATTACGGCTCCTAATTACGCGCCCGTCCATGCTTCGCCAGGCGAGGCAAGGCCTTACCGTGCCACGCAATCCACAGCTTTCTCAGCTTTTCTTCTTTGGTTCCATTTCTGCAGACTTGCATTCTTACTATGACTAGATAGGTTGGAAAGCCTCTTACGTAGTATTTTTGCAGCCTAACAGCCCAGTTCACCGACATATGCCTCATGTTTTTCCTCTTTGTTCTCCCTTGCAGCTCAATCTCAATCCTTTCACCTGAACTATTGAATCTTGCAGAGCTGCACAGCTTGCTTTTTTTGCGCCTTTATGCCGCCCCCTTGCAGTATAGTAAGGCTGGTACCAGTGACCAAAGACTAAACCTATTCTTAAATACAAGCTAGAATAAAACATTGCTAGCCCAGTAAGCCTTTAGCTTCTCGTCAGGTGTTATACTTTTGCCTAGACGCAGTACCTGCAGCGCGGGCGGCTATAAAGGACAATGATTGCGTTTCTTTCTCTTGTCTTGTTCTATCTTGTTCCCGTAATTGTGGCTGGCTGTCAGGTCATCAGACCATGTCCCTTGCTTCGTATATTGCCTCGACTTGGTTTGATATCGGCTTGCGGGGAACTCAGAGCGCTGACATGAAACTATTACGGTACAGCTTGATCAAATCTAGTAGGTATTCTGATTCTAATCATAGAGGTAAGAGAGTCCTGAAGATAGATGGCCGGGTAACCGACCTTTTTTGTGTTCTACGACCTATAGTCAAAAATATGAGTCTAAACGTCACTGTACGGACGATGAGTGGAATAGATGTCCTGAGAAATGCATGATAAAACGCTTCACTCAGCCATATTCAGCCCTACCCCTAGCAATGGACCTACATCTCGGCACGGTGATCATACGCAGCAAAATTGTTGAAAAGATAATGGTCATTTATATAGAATTACACTTATATAGCTCAAACTACCCTGGAGACATCGTCACGTCAAACGCGACTCTCCCAAAATCACACAAAAAAGCAGTGAATGATAGAACAAAGTTTTTTATGTGCTTTTTTGCTGTCTTTCTTTCTCATCCATTCTGGCGTGCTCGTACCTCAGAGGACGGCGAAATTAATGCTGAGCTCTAGAGTACATTCAATGCAAACCAATCCTTTCCTTTCTTTGAAAGAATCTTTTTTCCCCAAAAACGCCAAGTGCAAAAATGTGTAGCTAGGACTATCCATGCGCTTTCATTCCCTTCATGACTTGTTCCTCAGGTGAGGAGGAACCCACTTGCCAGAGGTTCGGGTAGGCAGGCTCTCTGTAGGAGCGGCAGCGGACTCAGTCTTGCCGTTCTCGCCCCGTCTTGAGTCCTCGCGAGGAGAGTCACGAGGAGAATCACGAGGAGAGTCGCGGGGAGAGCTGCGAGCGTCACGGAAATCACGAGAGTCGCGAGAGTCACGAGGGGGAGGACCTCTGGCCGGAGGGGGGGCATTGTCGTCTGCTTCACCGCCTTCCTTGGCTGCTTGTCGGTCTCTCCAGCTTGGCTTGCTGCCGGAGCCAGCCAACTGCAGTCTCGGCGGGCCGCCAGATGGGCGATCGCCAGACTCTGTCCGTGCCGGAGCACCGCCGTCTGCGGATTCTCTGGCGGACTCTCTCTCACGCTCCTTCTCTCGCCAGCCGCCGCCGCCGCCGCCAGATCCAAAGAGGGGTCGTCGGCCCTCTCCACCGGCGGCAGCAGCAGGAGGAGGCTGTCGCTCCTTTTCTGCTTTACGACGGGCAAGTGCTTCTTCCTCACGTCTCTGCTGAAGTGCGGCCTTCTCCAACATCTCCTGGCGTTCCTTCTCGCGCTGTTCCTTGAGCTTAGCAAGTTCAGCCTTCCTAGCCTCGTCGCGTAGACGCTGTTCCTCCTTCTCACGAGCGGCTTGTTCCTCTTGCTCTCGGAGGACACGCTCTCTCTCTTCTCGCTCTCTCTTCTCGCGCAGCTTGCGGTCACGGTATTCCTTCTTGCGGATGGCAATCTGCTTCTCGAGCTCGCGCTCAGCATCCCTGCGGCGCTTCTCAAACTCATCGCGGCGTCTCTCGTGCAGCGATGATCTGAAGCTTTCATATAGAGGTACCAGACGGCTAAGACGGTGCTTGAGTTCGACACTCTCCTTGTGCTTCTCTTCAGCCTCTTTGAGGGTCTTGGCCTTGACTGCTTCATAAATCTTGCGATCACGCTCGGTCTGCTTATTGTAGTCGTCGGTGAGCTTCTTAACTTCTTCCTTTCGGTAAGCTCGCTCCAAATGGTCAAGTCGCTTGCCAGTAATGCGTAGCTTCTCGCTGACATCATTCTTCTCCCGCTCCAGCTGAGCCAGCTTCATAGCACGAAGTCTGTTGCTGTCCAGGTTGTCGATATCATCCAGATCAATATTCAGAGCCTCGCCGCTCATCTTGAGGTCAGCAATCTGCTTCTTAATCTCCTCTTTACGAACGCGGTCATGCTCGGCCTTGATGCGTCGGGCCTCACGCTCACGCTGCTCCTCAGCAAGTCGCTTATCTTCAGCTTCCTGCAGAGCTTGCTCTCGCAGCTTCTTCTGTCGGGCATTCTCCTTCTCCTTCTTAGCTTGGATCTCAGATGCCTCATCCTTGCGCTTCTGGATGATTTCCTTGCGTGCAAGAGTCTCAATATGCTCCTTCTCAGCACCAGCCTTTGCGCGGGCGAGAGCAGCGTCATGAGCCGCTAAACGATCCTTGTTAAAGTTGGGATCAATGTAGTGGCATGAAACGAAAAGTGACTTGGCAAGTCGAGTCAGCTGAGAGCGCACAATCTCAGAAGGAGTGCTCTGCAGACGCTGAACGTTGCCGCCATCAGCCTCAGCGGAGCCGGCAGATGATCCGCTGTGTCCAGCCTTGGCTGATGAGAAGACATCGTTGTCGAAGCTGAGGACGCCAGTAGCATGGTCCATTCGGATGGCAAGATCACCCTTCTTGTTTCCGTTCATGATGAACTTCTCGATGGTGCCGCGAGTGACCTGGTAAGGCTCAGGGAACTGAGCCAAGCTCTCGACAAAGCTGAGGTCGACAGTCTCGTAGACCTGAGAAAGCTGCTGGAACAGACGAGTGAGAATGACCTGTTGGAGAGGGAGAATGTATTTCTCCATCTCGGCATCGGCAGCAATCTTGGTCAGGATGGGCGAAATCTTCTTGCAGATGAAGAGAGGGTGGAAATCAACCTCCAAGATGTTGTAGAGATCGCGAATCTCAGGAGCAGATCGCTGGAGAATAGACTTGGACATGGCATCACGGAACAGTCGAGAGCGAGATGGGGCCTGGCTCATGCCAAGAAGGGTGGTCAAGCGAGTGTTCTTGTTCTTGCGGGCCTCATCGAAGTCGACCATGGCACCTCGGGATCGGGAGGTGCTGATGACAGGGATGGCGAGGGCAGACAGGAGAACAAAAGAGGCGGCCCTCTGGAGATCAGCATCAGAGGCTGGGGGGTTATCAGCCTTCTTTCCCTGGCCAGAGGCGACCAAAGCCGAAACCTGGCGCAGCAGGGTGTAGTATCTGGACCAGGCAGCAGCGTGGAAGAGGTAGTTCTCGCCAACGAGGAAAATTCGAGTGAGCTTCTCGTAATAGTTGGCCATCATGATGTTCTTGGGGGGTCGCTTGCTGAGGTTGAGCAGAGTGTGGATATCCTCGACACTTCGGAAAGCCTCCTGCCAGAGTTCCAGCTCGACGGCAACATTGAGCTGCTGGAAACGAGTCTCCAGGTGGCGCTGGAGGGTGTCGGGGTCACTCAGGTTGATGGCGTGCATCTGAGACGAGTACTTGGCCGCCGTCTGGACGTGGTTTCGGAGAAGCTCGCAGAGTCTTCGGAACTCGGTCTTTCGGGTGTACTTGAGGCAGAAGTCGAAAGCCTGCATGGCAGTGCTCTGGTACAACACCTCGAGGCGAGCATTGTTGCGGAGAATGTCAAGGACGGTTCGGTAAGCCTCCCAAAGGAACTTGAGCCAAGGGGTGACGATGGCACGGTCGGTTCGATCACGAGATTGCTCGCCAGAGACGGTGGCGAGGAGGATGGACTCGGGGGTCTCGCTGGCTTCCAGGTCGTCAATGTTGGAGGTAGCAGCCGTAGCCTCAATGGTAGATTGAACTTCGTCCGCCTTCTGCTGCGCAGCAGTAACCTTCTCCACCGCGAGTTCGATAAACTTTTTCAGGACCAGCTGTGGGGGCGGTCAGTAATCCGTTGTAATCTTCCCCCCTTTGTCTCTTTCATCTTCGTTCATCCCCATTCAACTTTGATGTTTTACCCACCTCAATAGTCGAAATGTTGGTGTTCTGAGAGAGATTCTTGTACTGGTACAGGGCATCCTTGGCCAGCTTTCCCTTCTTCTGTTCGACGGAGAGCTCAACCAACAGGAGCATAACCGGCTCGAGAGAGGCGATGGCAGCGCTTCGGGAGCGCTTGTTGGTGATGTGCTCATGGAGCAGGGTCAAGGCCGTCGGGGCCTGGTTGACCCCGATCAGCTCGTGGGCGCGCTTCAGGACATTTTCGGGCTTTTGATGCGGCGGGGGCGGCTATCGAGAGGGAGCAGAGTCAGCATCACAGCCCAACGTGGGAATTTGCGTAGGGAGGGGCAATAGGCAATGGTTGGCAGCGAGACGGTCAGTCGCCATCTGCCTTGTGCTACGCACCATACTGGGCAACCTCCTCGACGGATCGATGTGAGCCGGGCTAGGAGATTCGGGGGTAATGAGTAGCCGTCGCAGGCCTGACGATGGTTGAGATGGGGCGCTGGCGTGGCACTCGTGGTGGTGAAGCCTCGCACACTGGGAGGAATTTTTCAATTTCGTGTGTGGACGCTATCCGAGCATGAGGGGCTGCGGAACGACCCATGTCACGTGCTGCTTATGTCATCATTTGCTTGCTATTGTTTCTCTGCACTTTGCAGGCACCGACCAAAGCAAAACGAGGGATTCATATCGGACAGAGTTTGACGCCACGAGTGAGTTTGCGATGTGCTTTAGAGATTTCAAATACTCGCGTATGGATGACTGGCGTAGTGTTCCGCGAAGTTTCCGTAATTGATTGGTTGCCAAACTGATGCACCGTTTCGGGCGCACTCCAGGCCTCGTTCAGCTCAAAGTCACATGATCCCCATGTATGGTGGATTGACGAGCCGCTAGCAGAATTAAGCATTCGGACCAAGAACGAGGCGCGCCCAAGCAATCTATCCAATCGCCGGCTGTACCTATTTGGATCGGTCACAGTAGACAGGCCTACCTGGCCTGGTATACAACTGAGCTTGCCCAATCATACATCAATTAATCTGAGCCATGGAGGGATCTTCATCCCGAAGATCTCGCTCGCGATCTCCGCCTCGACGAGCGCCCAAGGGCGGCGGCGGATTTCGATGGAAGGATAAGAGCCGCTCAAACGACGACGGCCGCGACAGCTACGATTCAAGGAGAGACAGATTTCGCGACCGGGATCAAGGTCGGGACAGAGATCAAGGTCGAGACGGAGACCAAGATCGGAATAGAGACCGGGATCGGGATCGAGGCCGAGACAACGGAGGAAGGCAACGACGGGATTTCCGTGACCGCTCGCGAGACCGTGGTCGTGACAGATATGGCGGCCGTGACAGGAATGAAGGTCGACCAAGATCGCAGTCTCCTCGACGACGCGAACCGGGGCCAAGAGACGAACGCGACGAGGTGAAAAGAGACACGCGTGATAGAAAGGACAGGAGAGAAAAAGAAAAGAAGCCTCCCAAGGCTGCTACGGCGGCGGCGGCAGGTCAAGAGTTCATCATCGTCCATGTCAATGACCGTCTTGGCACCAAATCGGCCATCCCATGCTTGCCATCAGACACTGTTGGGCAGTTCAAGCTCATGATTGCGGCGCGCATTGGACGAGAAGCGGGACAAATCATGCTGAGGCGACAGGGCGAACGGCCATTCAAGGATCACATCACGTTGGAGGACTATGGTGTTTCGAATGGAGTGCAGCTGGATCTCGAGGTCGATACCGGCGATTGAAGAGCATGCTTCTCTTTCTCCTCTCTTCTACCTTGTCTCTCATTCTTTCCTTTAGGAGCAGCTCCTTTCTCAGCATTCATACTCTTGATCTGGAATATCAAATTGCCCCGTGTGCTTTTAGCATGTATGTGGATTTTAACGTCTATAATGACCAATCTGATTGCTTACTGACAGCTGCTTAGACTGTGCTGAGTGCATAATAAAAGCACCAAGACGTAGCTGTACTCGATGTGACGTCGTAAGCGGAGGCTATTTCTCATCACTCAAAGACGTTCAAGTCCACATTCATAAGTGGTGAAATCTTTTCATGTTTGATGTGAAGCTGGCGGATAATAATAGTCATATTCGTTGGCTACCACGCCATTCTGCAGCTGACAAGTTCCAATAATAGAGCTGACAACATCTTTGCGATGGACTTGGAATACCGGGAACAACCTGCCTAATAGGTCCCTGTCTTACTCATGAGGATGATCTAGATGCAGAGCTGCAAGTTTTACCGCTCGTCTCGTTTCAGGCCTCTCAGCAGGATGAAGGATTTCCCAAGCGAGGCAGAATCCGACTTATTGGGTTCTTCCTCACCACTTGGACAAGCAATCATGATATCAGAGCTAAAGGGGGCAAACCGGGAAAAGAGAAGAAGGAAGAGAAATTACAAATACAGGTAGCTCATACTACCACCATTACCGAAAATTCCGCAGCAACAGTTGCCTACTTGGAAGTCTTGGCTACTGGCTTCTAAATGAGGAGAGGTGCCGTCAAAACTCGTACGTGTGTAATTTAAGCACCAAGTCACGGGGGGGGAGCTGGGCTTTTTCTTCGCCAGGCACGGAGTAGCATTTCATGGGTAGCGAGCTCCGCCGCTCCATACTGAATGACGTGACGGCGATCGCATCTTCCGTCCCTCCGGCCAGGCGTCTTCCGATCTGGTCCAAGAATTGGGTAAAAAACGGCAAAGTATTCCATACAGCCTGTTTTCCTTGCACTGAGCTGAGGTGCCGTCGCAACAATGAATCACGAGCAGCTGAGTTACGAAGCACTAAAAACCGGTGGTAATTTCGTGGTCGAGGTGCTGACGCGATGCGTCGCATAGCATAATACGGAGCTTGCAGCTTGTACTGCTACTTGTAAGATTTGGTCCCCATTATCAGGACCAGTAGCAGGGTTGCCTAGCTCCTCTCTGCTGCATTTCGCAGGCCAAAAAGGGCAGTGGAGGCTAGACCCGACACGGTCTAAGCTTGATTGGACGAGGCGAGAGACCGAAGCGGGAAATGGAATGCAGCGAGAGGAGAAGGAAGGAAAAGAAGAAGAAGGGAATAAAACAAAGAACAAGGCTTTGGATGTAGATATAGATGGCGTATGTACTTTTTTTTTTTTTTTTTTTTTTTTTTCCGCGAAATAAGCGTCTTTGTACCTCAGATGCGGCGGGCACAGAGTCGTCTGCTATGTGAGAAGCATTGACGGGACCGAGGTTTGCTCGCACGCGTTGGCTGTACTTTGCCCAGCCCGTCGGTAAGTAGCTGTACCTACAGTATCAGCAGCAAATTGGCGCGCTCCTCTTTCTCCTCTCGCTCAATTGCACACACGAGCTGTGGCTCTGCTAATACATTGGATAGGTAGCCGGCGACAAGCCACGGCACAGCGCACAGCTGCTCGGCAACACGGTAAATCGACAGCAATCTGCGCAATCTGCTTGACGAGACAAGCCAGGGCTGGCAAAAGTGCAAATGCTAGCGCCGCCGTCGTTGTTATGCCAGAATCCTGTAGTCCAGGACTAGCAGCCAGCTTTGCAAGCTACTGCCTTGGCCCGTCTGCTACGGTAAGGGGTACATGTACTTGCTTTGCAGCCGAGCGCAGGTCACTCGCACGCTACATGAAGCAAAGCACTGGAGCGGTCCACCTTTTGCGGCCTTGGGGGCCAATCCTGGGGCACATCCGCGCTGCGCCGTTGCCTCTTGGTGCGTGCTGGTGCGCCGTGGCCCCCTGTCACTCCAATTTCCAGCGCCGTGCACGGCCCACCCTCGCAGCTGCTGCCCAGGCAAGAATGGGCGCCCACCCTGGCCAGAAAAAATAGTCCCGGGCTAGGTGCTGCCAGCAGCAAGCCCCCTCCCCGGAAAGCCCCCTACAGGAGCTCCGTCGGCCAGTTACAGCGGTGCCCACTGCTAATTATCCGCCCAGCGTCTCCTGCTCCTGGGTCCAGCACCGCCGTCTGTGGCGGATTCTTCCAACTCTCTTCCTCCAGGCCTTCCAAACCCCCAACCTTACTCACACACTCTCGCTCACGCTCACACTCTCTTTTTCTTCCCCTTCTCATTCCCTCACACACACATTCACGTAACGCACGTCTCGCCTTCGCGATCAATCCCCTCCTCTTATTCCCCCATATAGGAGTCTGTGTGTCGTCGCTGCTTCTCGCGACCATCAACGAGGGTTTCAAGAACGGCTGGTAAGTCGCTGTCTGATTTTTTTTTTCCCTCTGCGTTTCCTCAATTGCGCTGTTTCGCGATGCGTCCAAGGGGGGGCGGAGACAGTACAAAGTACCGCCTCTCACTGGCAAGACAACGGCACCACGACCACGGCTGGGCGGATTGTACGGCGATGGACCAATTGAATCGAGATGGGAGCGCCGACAAGAGGGAAAAGGAGCATTTCGACACGCTGCTTTGTGTGTGCCTCGTCGTCGACAACCGGCTATGGCGGAGCCTGCGGAATAGAGAGACGCATCGCTGCCTCGTGCCGCGTTGCTTGCCTGCTCTTCCATCTCGCTACCAGAGGCGTCTGCATTCGTTGCACCGCCTCTGTCACGCCATGGTCACGCCGTGGCCACCAGTCGCGCCTCCCTACTTGCAGCAAACAACACGCTGTTTTCTGTCTTCATCCTCCTCTACTGCATCGTGTTTCATGTTGTCATCAGCCCTCTTTGTGCTTCCAGGAGCTACCAATCAGCGACAATTTGACCGACTAACCAGGCACCTGCAGGCAGTTCTCCCGACGATCCATCAATAAACTCACATCGTCCCGGCCGACGACGCCTTCGAGCCTGCGAGCCATTTAATTACCGACTTCGGTCCAATCCAACTCATTAGTCATTCTTTTTTAATTTACGTACCGTTACGATGCCTCAGTATACCTCCCGTGATGTCGGCGACCCGACCCAGATCAAGAAGACGAAGCAGTCCATGGCAGACCTCAAGCTTAGGCGCCTAACGGAGCTGAACAACAGGCTGCGTGAGGATCTGGACCGGGAACGCATTCCCGTCAGCACCGCCTCCAAGAGGTAAGAAAGAGCGAATAATCTTTAGCTGGCTTGGACTAACGCGATATTTGCAGCATAATCGCGTACTGCAATGGTACAAGAGATTACATGGTCCCTTCAGTATGGGGAACTGTGCCCAAGGGCGAGGACCCCTATGCACCACAACAATCCGGCGGCTGCTGTGTTATCATGTAATTCCGTTTCTCCCCAGAGGTGGAAGAATGACCATCGATGACGTTTCAATTGGGCGGGATTTTTGACGCGGCTTTTTCACTTTTATTTCTTCCTCTTGTGTGATATGGGTTTTTTTATTATTCTCTCTTTTATTTTACAACGCGACGCGGCTGGGAATCAGACAGCCAGCGACGGATTCGCCGACGTCGACACACCACCAAACAAACAACACACCTGATCCGGAAAGGCCTTTACGAGAAACTAGACGGGACTCTGAGCTGGATCGACGCAGTCTCAAATGATTATACCAATGCTAGAGAGGGGAGGGGGCGGTGGGAGGGAGGAAGCAAAAGTCGCCTGGGGATCGAGCAAAGGCCCCGCGCTCCCTTTTCTCTACGAGTTTATTTTTTCAAGCTCTCTCTTACTTTTTAATAAAGCAGTCGAGTGGTTTCATCTAGGACAGGAAGGAGGAAAGAGATATATCCAACGATGAGAAAGAAGGAAAAGAAAAGGGTCTACGGTGGATTGGGAAGCCGGCTCTTATATCTTTGTCTTTTTTTTAGCATGTATTAATTCCCGTTTTTTCTCTATGGTCCTTCTCTTCTTAAATCGAAATGGCCCCCCCTGTACACTTTTTCTTCTTCTCTTTTTTTCCAACCATTCCAACTTGTTTTGCCGTTTTCCACATTTAGATTCGTTTCCCTTTTCCCGTGTGCCGGAGATGGATGGAGAGTCACAGCGCGGTAGCATATGGTGATTTGCGAGATATTTTCACATATATTCCCCTTTGGAAGTTGAGCTGAAGTGGCCGGCTGGGAGATTGTCGTGTATAATGTCGCTTGTAATGCGAGTGGGCGTAGATAATTTAACGGCCGAGTTTTGAACAAGGGTGGCATTTTATTTATTTTCCTCCGTGAAGAGATACCTAATCAAGATATCCTATAATAATACTGACGATGTAATATCAATTCTCAGGTATAAGACTCCTCTTTTTTTTTTTCTTTCGCCAACGTTCCTCTTTTGTGTTGGTTGACATCTTAACGTGAGTCTTCATGGGCAAATTAATGGCGCGACGCTGCCCGTTTAGCTGTTGTGTACAGGTAGTGGTTAGTTGGCGATACCCTGTACCTGTGTCCGAAACGCGTGCTGCCTGTTTGTCGCTCGCAAGCAATGAAGCGAAATATTGGGGATGATTAATGGAGTAAATAATCATCTCATTACGAAACAGGGCGTTTACAGGGAGATTGCCATTCTTCTGGTGTGCTGTTGAAAACTGCCTTTTTGCGTCAACAAAGCAAAATAGAAACGATTTCTCGCTAGCCATCATGGGCACGTGAGGGTGTGCTGTTGTAATTTTCTCAAGCCTCAAAGTTTGCTTCCCAGCTCTTCATTGCTCATTGAGTACTTTGAAAATTATGAGGTACAAAGCAGAAAATATCAGGTATACAAAATCGTTCCATTCGTTGCAGTAATATTCAACGCCCCAGTTCCTGCAAACGCAAAACGTCGCTCAATTGTACGGTCTAAATGTACAAATAGAAACCAACATTCCCCACATAATCCCAAGCAACTCTTAGTAAACCAAATCGGAACTTCTGCCAAGGTTTGGTTAACTTTTGACAATATCGCCTCAATCTCACGCAAGACAAAACCACTCATCCTCTTTTTCCATATACTAGTCCAACTTCCTCATCTCCATCCAAATTTCCTTCAATTCCCCTCCGTAAAACAAACTTGAATTCTCGAAGAAACTATAAAAAAACCAAGAGCATCACCCGCCATGTCTACTGCTATTTCTTCTCCACCGCCCGCACAGCTTCTTCAGCAGGGCGCCGTCCTGGCACCTTTACCACGCATAACGATCCAGTTTTGCACTCAGTGCAAATGGATGCTGCGAGCTGCCTACGTACGTCAATCTTTACTTACTTCCTTCCTCATCTCTCTATGAATTAGCTTTTGTTTTTTTTTTACTCCCCCATCCTCTCTCTGCTCGTAGTTTTGGCACATTATACAAACCATTTTCTTTGCCTTACAGTGGACTCTATTGCTGAGATGCCGCAACTCAAACCCTTGCCCATCACCTCATTCATATAAAACACAGTATACTAACATTCATATAAAAAAAAAAGTACGCTCAAGAACTCCTCTCCACATTCTCCCTCTCCCTCGGCGAAGTCGCCCTCCAGCCCTCCACCGGCGGAACCTTTATCGTCACAATCTACCACCCTTCCGCATCTCCTTCAGAGTCCTCAGAACCGCCAGTCATCCAATCCACTGTCCTCTGGAACCGCAAAACAGACCAAGGCTTCCCCGAGACAAAGGAGCTCAAACGCCGCGTCAGGGACGTCATTGAGCCGGGGAGGGATCTGGGCCACGTTGATCGGGACCATCGTCGGCCTGCTGCTGCTGCTGCTGCGGAGTCCAAGACTATAGTAGAAGGAGACGCAAACAAGGAAGAACAAGTTGACAAGAAGAAGCAAGGATCAGCAGCTTCTGGAGCTGGCGTTGTATGCGAAGATTGTAATTAAAGCCGCCCATAAAGCGGGCAGTGAATTGTTATAATGAAAGCAAACAAGTACGGCACATGTCGCAATAAATCTGCTTCCTCTTGAGTTGAAATTGAAAAGCAAAAAAGGAAAGAAACAAGAAAAATAAAAGATAATGGCCCATTATTTTCTAATATCCATCTAAAGATCCCCAGCTGAATATACTTACTTCAATACCTACTATCACATGCTCAAACATGCTCAAACAACTCCTCACGCCGTCCATGGCCCAAGCGTCCAGCCACTTTTCGGAACACCAAAAGCAGCAAAGCCAAGTCAAGCCAAGCTACTTGTACACACATATATGTCATCTCCTCCTAGCTGCATGAACAGGATCCATTGCAGGTTACACGGCAGGCATCTCGATCAGTTCTTGTTGCGCGCGTCGACAGGCCAGACATCAGAGAGGAGTCTGGGCCCAGCTACGTCATTGCCATTCACACACAAGACAACTTTATACAGGTATCAGGACAGCAATGCCAAGTATGGCATGTGGTTTCAAAGTGACATCATAATGTATTTTTTTTTTCTGTGAATGATTTTATCTGTGAAGCTAAGAAACAGCCATTTGTCGTGACAAAAGTTTGCATGTTGGGACATTAGAGGCGATGCGAGCTAAACCGCCGAGTCGATACATTAATGCAGGAAGGGCTCGGCGTTTAATATTCTCGAAGCAACCCGTTTTCGCCACCAGGGCCCAGCGACGGTGCGACGTGAGAGGTAGAGATGAAGAGAGTCGGAGAGTCAAAAAAGAGACAAAGGCCGGCGGTTTGAAAATCGTCGAGACGGACTTGGTCGTATGTTCCAGCCGAGAGAAGCAGACCAAGCCAAGTCATCTACTCTATTTTAACGCCGGCTTCCAAACTTTTGTTTCTTCTCAGCAGGCTTAAGGATCTAGATGGAAGGAGTCATGTGTTAGTTTTATTCCCTACTACAGTTTTTGGGAGAGAGGCCATTCAAGTGGATGTGGTACTAACCTGGAACGAGCAGAGCAAGCTCTCGTCTACGCTCATCATGGCACCTGCGTTGTCAAACTCGCCACAGTAGTTGGGGGCACTAAACAGAGTGACGAGCTGGCGCTTGGAGAAGAACTCGTAGCCATCTTCTACGACCTGATGGGCACGGCAGATGAGGTCCATGTCGTGCTTTTGCAGGAAACGGGAGACCACGTCGGGACCAAATGTGAAGGACACACCACGGTCGTTTTCGCTCCAGCCAGTAATATCCTTATCGGGATCGGACCACAAAAGGTCGCACAGCAGACCGCAATCGGGGATCTAAGGGTGATGGTGTATTAGCAGGTGCTCTACGAGTCAACGAGATGCGGACAAGGGGGAAAGGAACATACATCGGTGGGGCGCATGACGCGACGAATCTGCTCCATCGAGTTCAGATCGGGGCTGAGACCTCCGTGCATGGTGAAAATCTTCTCGTCGATGATAGCGGCGATAGGTAAGCAGTTGAAGCAATCCGTAAACGTCTTCCAAAGCTTGATATTGTATCGGCGCTTGCACTCATCGTAGAAGCCGTAGATACGGTTGATGGAGGCGCACTCGTGGTTGCCACGCAGAATGAAGAAGTTCTCAGGGTACTTGATCTTGTAGGCGAGGAGCAGGCAGATGGTCTCGAGGGACTGCTTGCCACGGTCGACGTAGTCGCCCAGGAACAGGTAGTTGGCCTCAGGGGGGAAGCCACCATACTCGAACAAACGCAGAAGATCGTAGTATTGGCCGTGGATATCGCCGCAAATCTGTTGAAAACCAATTCAGTATGTTGCTTGACCCAGAAAGGGAGAAGAGAAAAAAAAAAGGGGGGGGGGGGGGGGGGGGGAGGAAGATGTGGTTTTCTTTTCCCGTCTTCCAACGCAATGGCGGATTGCCAATGAGCAATTAAACAGGAACAGGCCGACATACCTTAATAGGAGCCTCCAACTCAAGGAGGATGGGCTGGGAAATGAAAATCTCACGGGCCTTGGTGCATAGGAAGCGAATCTCACTCTCGAGGAGCTGGACCTGCTTTCCGGGCCGGCTGCCTCGGACCTCGAGCAGCCGGTCAATTATAGAATCGAGATCGACCTCATGTTGGTCTGCCATCTTAGAGATGCTCCCCGTGGGAGAAACGGCTCGCGTTTATCGAATGGATGAAGCCGAGAAAGGCTGTGTGTTGAAGAAAAGCGAAGGAGGGGGAAAGAAAGGGAGGGCGTGCTGGGAGCAGGCCGATGCGCAGAAATGGTGCGGCCGTCGACTAAAGAAGAAGAGCAGATGATGATACACTGGACAATAAGCACTTTCTGGTAACGAAGTGATCAGGAATCCTATCATCAGACGTTAGAAGGGAAATCAAGAGATTCATCAATAGTGCGAGTTTAGTCATCGAAGGGAGCTCCTCCCCTCCTCCCAAGCCGAGAGAGAAGAGAGAAAAAAGGGCGTAGCTGTAAAGCAGACCAACATCCCGACAACCGGTATCGATCCCCAGGCCTGTGCCATCGAAAAGCCCATTGTTATGGTGTTTTCCCTCATCACGTCTATTTTTTCCCTCCGTCTTTTATTTTTTCCCTCTCGCTCTCCTCCCCCCAAAAAGGAGGGGGGCGACTTGGTGATGGTGATTCGATGCCGAAACAGCGGGAATTGCGAGAGAAAGAGCGCGCGCCATCACCAAAGTGGGGTGAGGGAAAAGGGTTCGAAAAATACTCACAGCTAAAATGACGATGAGGCTTCCCAAGCTTCGTCAACGACAGAACCGACGCGAAGAAGGTAAAAAATTAGAAAAAGAGGGCGCGGGCGGGGGGCTCAGAAACGAAGTCTAAACGCGCGATGACAGGCTCTCGTGGCAAGATGGCAGGGGCTCCGGTTTTGGGAACAAAAACACCGCCGAGGATGCAAATGCCTTATTTTGGCTGTTCGCTGTTTATTTACGATTCGTCGTGGTTGCCTTTCGAAAAGGGCTCGTCGCTGAGGCAGAAGTCTTTGATGGCTTCAGACCCAAGAAGAAAAAAAAGGGGGCGTCGAGGCGATTCGTGACCGTCGTCTCTCTTTTTTTCGCTCTCTTCTCTCTTGTCACTTTCGCTCTTGTATCAGGGCGGAGCCAAGAGGCAAAGCCCGTGTTCGTCGCGTCAGATAAGGCCCGTCAAACGGGTTGCTGATTCTGAAATCGGCAGGTCGATGGCAAAAAATAATCAAATAAATGGACGATGATGTTTAATCGCCGGTTCGTCGTTGGAAAACAGAGGTCGTCGTCAAAAGAGGGCTTCTTTGACGGAGATCGCTTTTGGGGTGGTGGAAGGAAGAGAGAAAGAGGTAGGCTTTTTTTTCCCTCCCCCGGCGAAAAAAAGAAGGGAAGAGTGGGTTTTTTTTTCCAGTGCTGGGGCGACGCTTGGCCGGCTCGCTCGCTGATGCCAGCAGGAAAAAAAGGTGCTAGCAGGCTCTGGGGGCGTGTTGTATCACGCTGATATCGAATCGAGTACTACGGCCATTTGGCATGCGCGGGCCTGCATTGTGATATCACCAGAGAAAAAGGCGTGCGTCAAGAATCAATCGCCATGCAGGCCATCGTCTTTCCCCAATTCATCTTTTTGTGTGTGTCTTTTGTGTCTTTTCTTTGTCATTGCCAGGAGTGAGTCAGCTCACGATGGAATGCTGCGCTCTCACATCGCAATCAGCCAGGGATAGGTCAGGATAGGTACAGTAGCATCAATCCCAAAACCGCTTCGGTAGCGTCCTTGTCCATGCTCTTTAGTGGCCCCCCCTCGCTGAACTTAGTTTTCCAGGTCTCCAGGCACTTGGTCCAGGGGGGGCCGCATCAGCCTTTTGGTGGCTTCGCATCAGTGTAAAAAAAGAAGAAACACCCATGGGCGCGAAAAATTCGATTGCAGCGCCGCGCTTCAGCAGCCGCATTCGGGCGCTGCCCCTCCTGGAGCTGTGCAGCAGCATCAAGTGTCCAAATCCAGCCTAAGCGACGGATCAAGACTGCTCCAGCTCTGGCTGCCTGTCCCCAATTTCTCATCCAATGCTGCTTCTGCTTACGACGTGCCATGCCCTGTCAGATACGGCGCACCCAGCACTGTTTCCTCTCTTTTCCATCTCGTCTCCCTCCATCCCAAAATCCTCATCCCTTGTTTCTTCCAGCCTAGCTCCGGTGCCCATGCCGCCCGCCCATTGGCCAGCCTAGAGCCGGTCGGAATCCGCTGCCTGTGGGCTGCTCATCCCCCCTTCCTTCGTATCGCATCGCATGCGCATCGCATTGAAACTGGAGACGCTTCTGTCACGGGATTTGCACGGGAAACTCTCCGATTTCACAGGGGAAAAAAAGAGAGTAAATAGCGAACATTGTACGCATTACATATTCCTATCATGCATCCTCCAGATAAGCACCCGTTTCTGCTGAGAAACATCAATCTCCCCACGTCCGGCACCGGTGCCCGAAAAAGCAGCGAAAAAACGCCACGCAAGACGGGTGTGTAGCCTCCGCACCCGAATATTCTCTTCCCCTCCATTATTAGAGCCGCCGAACCAACCAAAAAAAAAAAAAAAACCTGGATCGGAGGACGGCTTCCCACATCCAGCCAATAGATGCCCGCCATCCAATGCTATCAATCATCTCATCGAATTTCATGTATCAAGTCCCCGCTCTTCTGCCTTGTTCTCCTCCCCCTCCCCCTCCCTTTTTTTTTTCTCCTGATTGACAAATGGCTCTCCACCGTACGTATCTATCTGTAGATACCCAGTAGCTGCTGCTCTTTTCTTTTTTTGATCTGCTCTCAGCTGCTGTTGCTCATCATGTTGACGGCATCCACGGAGCTGCGGCGTAGACGGGAATTCGTTGAAATAAGATTGCGAGTTTAAAAACTTATTTATATCCACAATGCCATAATAGACTTGACAAATGGCAGTCAGCGGCGTGCACAATGGGACGATTGAGCACAGCCTTGAACGTTAATTCCTAGCATCATCCTACTATCATCCAACGCGTAATTTTCCACATGTACCTTGGACAGCTCCCCTCTAACCCCGCCACCCCGCACCACGCAATGAGCGTGTACATCCACGATACGTGGCTTGTGGGAGAAGTTTAATGTAGCGGCGCTTTCAGCTTGGCTTTATGAAACACCAAATCAGCCAATCGACAAAGTTTCAAGATACCAAAGTAGTTTCAAGAGGGAAAAAAATACATCTCGAGTCAAGGCCATTTGAATACGTTAATCCTACATATGAATAAAACGAGTAACAATCCCTTTATCCGCCCAATTATCATTTGACCCACGGGCATTAAAAAAAAGACATTTCCATTTCCTGCTCATCAAAGCAACGCCCTCTCTGCTCAGTTCCAGGCAGTCAGTCAACCTTTCGTCCTTCCAAGAAAAAAGAAAAAAAAAAGAAGAAAAAAAGAGGATTAAATGAGGAACATTGTTTAAAAAAGAAGAAGAAGAAAACAAGCAAAGCAGACAGATGGGTCAGATTGCTAGGTGTATCAATAGAAGAGAGAAGGACAAAAAAAAAAAAAAAAGAACCCAATGCTGTTATCCTTCCCGACGCCAAAGCCTTATATACCGATGCCTTCATACTAAAGCGCTCAGTTGAAGAAAGGAAAAATGTCGGAAATCAAAGGGAGAAAATAAGAGTCTCCTGGCAAGCCTCGCGATGTAGGAAAAATCCTTCCCCTATCGTCGTCTAGTCGATGCTCTTCGCTTCCTTAATCTACTCGCCTTGTTCTTAGCACTGCCACCACCCGAATTGTCCTTGGACTCTTCCGCATCCATCACTGCCGCGGCCACTGTATCGCCCATGTCAATGCCCAAATCTTTAAAGTCTTCGTCGTCGAGATCCGTGAGATCTTCGCTTAGCGTTCGCACCGCATCTCGGCCAGCCGCCCAGTGTTCCTCGAGAATAGATGTGCCATGAGGCTCAAGCGCTCTCAGGTACCAAAGGACGCCCCCTTCTGAAAGAGGGTCTGCCGGCTCATTGCCCAGGCTTCCATTGGACTGGGGCGGCGTCGGCGGCCCTTCCTGAGATGGCGCAGCCATGACGACGAAGCTGCCAGTACTGTTCGGAGGAGTTTCAGACGTAATGGCTGAATTGACCCGCACAGTTTTGATAGCCATCTCTTGTGTGATTCCAAGGCCGACTGCAGGACGGTTGGTCATGATACCAAGGCCAACCGTATTGACCTCGATACTGTCACCCTCCTCTCTCTCTTCGCCGTCATCGTCATCATCGTCCTCGTCGTCGTCCTCGTCGTCCTCGTCTGCCTCTTCCTCTTCTTCTCCGTCATCATCGTTCTCAGCAGTGTCCATGACGTCACCATCATTAGAAGTAATGCCGCTCTCGCGAGTCAGGGGTTCGCTTTTAACAATGGTAAGAGGTTCGGAAGATGGGTCGGGCGCGTCAAGCATGATGGTATCCTCAGCCCCTTCATCCGGAACACTGTGTGCCGTGCCATTGACTTGTCGCCCAATATCGATGCTAGCGTCTATAAGGGCTTCCAGCTCCTTTTGGAGGCCGTCGGATGGTTTCGTTGAGATTTCGGATTCAACCTGCAGCGAGGTTTCCAGGAGTGGCTGCACTGCCTTGAGAATTCGCTTTCCAAGCTTGCGTCGCTCTCTTATATCTGCAAATTGTGATCCCACAGTCGGGTTGCTGCTGCTGTTGATTTCCATCGCCGGCGCCGGAGCCACTTCTTCGCCTTCTACATCCTCTGATACATGACGAGCAGGTTCCAGATCTTTGGGCAGAGTCAAAATGCCCTTGTTAATAACATCGCCCAGGTCTTGTGCAAACCCCAAAACATTGACGTAAACGCGCTTCTCAATGCTCGCCTGCAAGTCAGCAAGGCCGTCCGTGAAAAGTCCCTTGTCTAGCCTAATCAGTGATGAATTAGTTAGTACATTGATGTTTTAGAATCAGAGATCATATGAGTGTAAGACGACTTACGCAATGGCCTTTTCTACAACAGGCACCAAAAGCTTCGCCGTGGGGAAATAGCACTCATCCACAAAATCTTGCTCCAACTCGGCGGCATCCAGCTTGAGCTGTTCGCGCTCCACAATCTCTTCGGCAAGAACCTTGAGCTGCTCCAGCTCGTGGATAACTCCTTGAGCAAACTCGATACGGCGAGCCAGCCTTGCCTTGCCACTGGGGCCCATGGCAGCAAAGTTGCGTCTCGTCAGCTCCATCGAAGAGAATGACTCCATCTGCAGCTGCAAACGCTTGAGAAGCGCGGCGCCCCTACGTGCCTCTCGCTTCAGGGTCCAATATCGACAGGCCTCGCTGAGGTAGTCTTTGCGTTTCCTAAATGGGAATCGCTGGATTGATGCTTCGACAATGTCAAAGACAACCTGGGGGATGATGGGAGCTCCCGATGGGAGCTTCCACAAGTTCTTGGGAGGCTGTCCTTTCTTCTTGTCGCCCAAAATAGCAAGGTTCTTGGCTCCCGTCATCTGGCTCTCATCTGGCGGATGATCTGTTATGGCGGTTCGGTGCTGCGCCGCAATGACATTCGCCATGGCTTGGTTGTCTGCCCAGATGCGCCCACGCATGTTCCTCTTATAGAACTTCTTCGCGGCTCGTGTCGCCTGGTGGACTTGGTATTCTTGGGCATGGTCTGGAGGGCAGTGCTTGTCACAAAAGGCCTTGAGGACCATGCTGCCGTCAAGAACAGCAAGAGTCCCTTGAACGGTCTTCATCTTGAGGAAAAGACGGGCCCTCCTTGCACAAGTGACATGGAAAGCTTGGTAGCAATTTTTATTGCCACATTGAATGCAGGCGCCCATTCTCTGGCGACAGATGTAGCAGGTCAGCTTCCATCTGGTCTTGGGAACCTTTTCAACATCCATGACAGGTTCCATGAACGTGTGGTTTCCCAGAGAGACTTCAGGAATCCACATGGCGCAAAGCAGATGGGCCCATTTGGACGAATTCGTTTGCTTGAATGCACCGTCTGTATTGGGGCAAAATATGCACGTCTAAGAGAAGAAGAAGGAAACATTGTTAGATATGAAAGGTCTAAATGATGAGTGACAATATAGATGGGAGCTCTTACTGGTATTCCGCGACCGCATAGCTGGCATTTCCGACAGAGCCACTGGCCCTCTGGAATAAACGGCACACCATAACATTCTTGGTGCACCGCAAGGTTGCAGCCGTCACAGAAGACGATGGCGTTTGTGTTTTCGCAATCTCCATCATCACATATTGCGCATTTGCTGTCCGGCTCTTCGCCGCCGTGAGGCTCGCCATTTACGGCCACGGCAGAGCTAGACCGCGGCCGGTGCGTCTGGGGCGGCTTTGGGTTCGGTTTTGGTATTCGTCTCTCTAGGGCGTGCCACTCCTTTTCAATCTTGGTCATTGTAATTTCAAAGACCTCTCGGGTGATGGCTTCCAGCTCGTTTTGTTTGCGTTGAGCGTTGTACTGCTCAAGCCACATATCGTCTTGCTCATCCATATCATACTCGACGCGGCCAAGTCTTGACTGGTGTACATGGTCGTCGCTCGCGGCGACTGAAAACTGTTCAAACTCGTCGTCTGCATTGCCATCGGTGGCTTTGATGAGCGTTCGTTCGGATCTGATGAAGTTGTCACTCTCTTGGTAGCCAACATTGCTCATGGCCTTGTCGACATATCGTGCCTGGCCAAAAGTCTTGCTTTCGAATAATTCGATGCGATTCGTCCTTCTATATGAGGGTAGTTTTAAATCGAGCCGTTCCTTGGGTGTCTGGTTTTGTATGGGAAGTATCTTGGGGGTTCGAGGTGTAGGAGCAAATTCAAAGGGACGGATGTTATAGAAGCTGACGACTTCTCGCGTGGATCGACGAGGGCGTCTCGATGGCGTGCCGGCAGCAGAGTTGTCGTCTCCTTCGGCTTCAGCGCTTCGCGTTGCTTGGGGATTCGGCGTATTGCCCGTCGAAGCGGGGTTGACAGATTTGGACGGGGTCATGGACTCCAGATGAGGTGTGGCAGGGGGCGGCGCATCCAGGGCCGGGGTGTTTGGCGCCTCTTGTGCGATGATTCCGTCAACGTCGTCGGCGGCAAATATGACAAAGGGGAGCTCAATATCAAGGTTTGGATGAAACTCTTCCCAGCTGCGCTCCTCGCGAGGCTTGTAGTCCTCGGCTTGCTTCACAGACGCAGCCATGGCCGCGGCTGACCCCCATCGCATCTCGTCGCTATCTTCGTTCGCGGCGGTCCTCGCTCGTGTGCTTCTCTCCCGGCGTGGGGGGAGAGGTGAGCCCCCGTTGAGGGCCAGGCGAGCTGCACCAGATGTTCTCGATCGCGACCCGGCGTTGGATCGGGCTGTGTCGGGGGTCTGGATGGCGTCTGCGTCAAGGTACCGTCCACCACCTCCAGGTCCTCCCGGCACGTAGCGCCGTCGCTTGGGAGGTGGTTCAGCAGCAGCAGCAGCCGCGAGGGAGGCCTGTCTGGCCGCACGCGCAGCGTTGGTGGTCCCCGGCGGACGGCCTCTGCGCCGCCCCGTGGGCGTTCGACGGGGCGTAGGCGAGGTCGGAGCCATGGCGTCCAGCAGACAGCGGCGTTTGCAGGCGGCTCAGGTCAGGGCGCAAAGCGGTTCGCAGGATCGCTCACGGCGGCGGGTTGGCGGATGGGAGGCGAGGGTGCGGGATGGCGCGCGCAGCAGGCGGTCGGACTCGATGGCCGCGCAGCAGGATCAGGCCCCGAGATGGCAGCTGGAGCGCCACGGGTCATACGGCAAGGCAAACAGGCCCTCGTTGGCGAGCAGTCGATGGGCGATGGCAGCATCAGGGGACGACGTGACGTCGGCTGGCGGCTCTTGGGATCGGGGGCGAGCGAAAAACAGACAACGCGTGAAGGGCCTGCGCACGGACCACCAGGCCGTGGCGGGTTGGCGGGCAGTGGCAGGCCGCAACGGGCCTAGTCGCAAAGTCATGCTTTTCGCTTTTGGGTTAGGCGCGCTGCCGGCTAAGAAGTGCGTACCTGGAAAATAGTGGACGGATGACCTAGAGCGAGTCTAGAGTGAGCGAGCCGATATCGTGTAGAGAGAGCACGCTCATGTCTAGAAATTCTGTCTCTTTTTTTTTTTATCAGAACAGTGGCTGCAACGAGTGCCATGATATTGACTGCCGCACCGGCTCGTCTATTGCCAGCCCGATATCTCGTGCGCCATCCTCATCCTCGACGCACTCTTCTCAGCACATCGCAGCGCTGCATGACAGCAAGCATGCAAAGAAAGCGGAGCCGGCAGTTGACCCATCTTCATCTAGGCGACATGTGGTATAAACTGTATCTCATGCCACCACCGATCGTATCCATAGGGCTGGCGAAATCCCCCGTTGCCCCATGGACATGGCAACGTGCCCCAGGCGAGCCGATGAAACAGTATTAAATATACCAGTCATGTGCGCGCGGATCGCCAGCCAAGGAGAAGTCAATGGAACAACGAGACGATGGCCAAAGGCATCCAGCACACGCCCGCATGCACTTATATACCCTACTATTCTCCCACCGTTGTTCTCTTGAGCAATGTAATCACCACTGACGCAAGCACTCTAGCAAACCCAAAACGCGGCAGATGAATTGTGCGCCCGGGGCCGAGGCGGCTTGCGGCTCCTCCCGGCCTCTCACCAATCACGCCTCGCCCCGTCAGAGAAGCCGTCTCGGCGGTACTAAGTTCATGCACTGCACGGAACGCCAATGCGCCTCTGCCATCGATTCAGGGCACCGGCCAATTTGGATCGGAGGCAGGAGCCCATTCGTCCCGTGTCCCGCGTCCCCGCTCCTCCATAAGCTCTTCCCCTGGCCTCATTTCTGGGGTCCAGCTTCTTGGACAGATCTGAGCTGTCTGTCAACGTAAGTGTCATCACTCCCTGGGTACTGAGGTAGTACCTATCAGGGAGGTAGGTACGTAGTAGAGTAACTGAAGAATTTGCTAATTGATCACAGCATACCTATCTATCTCATAGTCTCCAGTTGGGAATGAATTGAACACAAAGAGCCATTTCCCCTAGCAGCCAATTGGCAGTTACCCAAACCTCAACGGCAGTCGTCGCAACTAAATCATCTACCAAATGCGCATAGCAACATGAAAATTGACAGTGTAACTCAATCGACTCTAGCCAATATTGTACGCGTGCATTGCGGGCGTTGATTAATCAACTCGGGTTCAGCAGCGTTGCAATCACCTTCTTAACACCCGATCGCTCAGAGATCCAATTAACTTAAACGACGCCTAGTAATTCAATTAACTTGAAACGGATCTATATGAGAATCACCATCACATGAGAGGGCCAGCGCATGGCGAATAGATGCTACTCCTTGCTGATAGCCTCTGAAAACTTGCAAATGCGCCTACACCTGCCTACCTAGGCAGCAAATGCAGCGAGAAAAACCCTTACGTGGCACTCCAGGATCATTCTCTACTACACACTAGGTTAAGCTTAGCATACAACCACGGCAAGCAAGTGGATATATCTCAGGCACTAGATATGTACCTCCATGTGAGTGTGTAGTGTTTAGTGTTTAGTCTGCATTCAAAAGAGGCTTACGTACATGGCATTGCATCATACTGCCTGCAAGACATTTTGCCTAAAGGTTGGCTGACACTTGTCAAGAGGGAAACTAACTTGGGTAGTCACAATGATAGAGGCCGCGGTAGAGCAATGTGGAAACTCGCATCTTTTATCATTCTTCCATCAACACTCATCAATCTATCTATCCGTAGTCCTAGCTCATGATAAACCCATCTCGACACTTGTGACGCTCAAGCATATCTTTCGAAGCAATAGAGTGTCACCCCAAAAGCTATAGGAGAGTGCGTGTGAGACACGCGCAAGCCTAGCCCCTCGTCGTCGTAACGCCGTTTCCAAGCTGAGCAGAAAGATAGGTTGCTCTTAGTTCAAGACAAAAGAAGAAAACTCATGCCAAAAAGAAAAAAGTCATGCAACATTCGTACGTGATAAGCCACTTTTTTTGAATCCTTGCCGGCCTCTGAACATCAATGTTTGAGACAACCATCCGAAAAACCAGAATAAAAAACATCATTGAGAAAAAAAAAAAAGAAAAGCAAGAGTTTCAAATAAAACTCAAACAGCGACTGCAATTCGTCGTTTCTTGCCGTGACGCCCCATCCGCTATGCTCCGTACATATAAGAGAGAGAGAGAGAGAGAGAGAGAACCAAAATATACCAATCAAACCATGAGTCTGAAAAGAAGGAGAAGAAAAAAGAAAAGAAAGAGAAGAAAAAAGAGTCCAATAAATAGACAGATGAAGCAAAGGGTAGCGTAGGTTAATTTGCTTGTGTTGTTTCATTGCTTTCGCAGCCAGTTACGGAGAAATGGAGGAATATAGGGTTGAGAGGTAGAGTTGGGACAACAATCCTAGTATATAAAGACGTGGAGAAGGGTATTGGTATTGTGGGTATCATTCAGAAATGGATGTTAGCCTAGGATGCTAGGCTTGGAAAGAAAAAAAAACTCAGAACGCTCAACTAAGTCATCATGAGTGGCCTCCATGAATAGCTTGCATAGGCGGTGCGTGATGAGTGGGGGTATGAGCCGCCAGGAGCGCAGCAGTCGAGGAGGGGATGTTTGCTGAGCCGTAGACATTGTTGGCATCCCAGCTCTCCTCGCTCAGTACGCTGAGATAGCCATCGCCAACCTTGTCACGTAGAGCCTCTATTTTGCGGCGATAAATCTCGCCGTTGGAGTCCCAATCTTGTGGCGGGATATTGCCTGCACTAAATGAAAAATCCGCATGTGCGTTCTCTATGGAGAAGGGGCTTGCATATGCATCAGGAGGCGAAGCCGGGGTGCTGGCTGCGTGCGAAGCTCTGTAATTGAAATTCATAGAGTTGGTAGCGGCTGAAGGAGATTCAATCGGGAATCTGAGACTTTGCACGTCGATTGGCGAAGGCTGTGGGATCTTGTCACTAGTTGAAAGATCGACGATACGTCGTTTTGTATTTCTGCGACGCCGCGTCGAGCTTGTGTTGGTTTCGCTGGCAACAGCCTTGGGAACCGGCCTCTCCTTGCGCAGGACAGTGGTCTCTCTGGCAGCAGCGTAGACACCGGGCTTGCTTACATCGACACCTCGCACCTCAGTCACAATCGGCTTTACAACCGGAACCGACTCGGGAATCGGAACTCGATCAGCGAGGATTCGCTTCTCAGAAGAGCTAGGTCCGCTTCCATCAATGACAATATCTTCGGTGTATCCCGGCGTCAGGCGAAACAAGTTGAAAATGGTCACACGGTAGTCTTTGTGCGTGCGGGTGAAGGGGTTGCCCTCGACCCAAATTTCACGAATCTCCGGAATTCCGGTCAAGCGTGCAAGCTCCTTGGGGTCTGTGAGCCGGTTATCTCTAAGGTCCAGCCTTTCCAAGGGATACAGCTTCTCGATGCCTGCAAGAGATTGGAGTCTATTGGCTCGCAGGTTGAGAGCAGTAATGGCTGGCAGAGGGTTTCGGGTCAGAGAATGCAGAGAGTCAATCATGCAATGCGACAAGTTCAAGGCACGGAGAGCAGTGAGAGTGGAAAGACTGTCCGGAATTTGGCTGAAGAGGTTGGACGACAAGTCGAGGGAGAAGAGGGTGTTGGATAGAGGGGCCAAGCTGGATGCGGGAATTGAGGTCATGGGATTGTCCGCTAAGCTGAGGTGCCTCAGGAAGCGCCATTTTGATGGGGGGAGAATGGTGGCTCCCAAGAGGTTGCCAGAGCTGCCCCTAGAATGGTGGTGATACCAGGAGTCAGATAGGCTGGAGTTGGAACTCCCAGATCCAGAACGCCTAATTCTCTGCTGCTGAGATCGGATGTGGTGGTTGCGAGAGCTGGATGGTCGTGGTGGAGAATGGCTTCTTGGCCGAGAGTCCTTGTTGAGAGACTGCGGTAAATCATCCGTAGACTGTCTCCGCAAGGTACGGGCAGAGCCATCGGATGTGTTACCGTCTTCGACAGCAGCCTCGCCCATGGAGCCGACGCGAAGCTCGCCAAGAGAGGCTCGAGGGTCGGGTGATCCGGGCATTGAGCCAGGGACGGAGCTGGGGACGGACACGGACCGCGAAAACTCACGCCCGGACATGGGCGGGCTTTTTCGAGGACTGTGGCTCCCGTTCCAGCTTGGTATTGACGGTGAAGTCTGAGATTTGGATGTTCTGCGGCGTCTCTTATCCATGTCGTCTAAGACGATGTCAATCAAGATATCGGAGGGATCTTCTATCCCCGCGTGCTTGACCGTAAGCGAGCGGAGCTGGTCGGCCATGCGGTCCCAGCCAAAGAATTGACGAAAATCAATGTTGCTCACTTCTAGAGCCTGAACATTCTTGAAAATGTAGAGAGGAACTGCAGAGTCAAAGGGAAACTCTTCATAGCCCTTGATGAGGCGAGCACGCCAATCAGGAGCCAGCCGAAGGCAGGGAATCTTGGTAAAGGCAGAATACAAGTACTTCATGTCCGCCTCCAAGGCCGCCTTTTGACGCTCCGTCCGGGCAGCAGATATGCTGGCACCGATGCTGAAGCTTGTCCACAAGGCAGACATGCCAGACATGACACTCCGAATGCTCGTGACGGAATGTATTGAGCCAACATCTGAGCTGTGGCTTCTAGACCGCTGGGTGTTGCTTAGAAATGATACGTAATTTGCAGACGACGAGCTGTCGTGAAGATCTTCTAAGCGAACTTTCATGGGGCCCACATTGATACCCAATTCTTCGAAGCGAGAGAGGAGATAGAAGAGATGGTGGGGAGTCAGAGCCAGCTTTGCAGACTTGACATTGTGAGAAGTGAAGTTGAGGGGTCCGAGAGATAGAGCAGCGGCCAGCGAGCTACCAGTAGACACAGCGGTCGCAGGACGATCGGGAAACGTCGGAGACTGCGAAAGGGTGGCAGAACTCGTGCTTTGCGTGGCTCGATGGCGCACCTCGCGGCGCTGGAATTGCAGAGCATTGGCAAGAGCCTTTTCGTGAGTGCGCACAAAGGCAGCAAGTTGCTGTTCTCCAAGTTAGCATACTTCAAACAGGCCCTCCCATCAGATTGCAAGCGAATATACCTTGATGAATAATCCTCCGTCTTCTGAATCCATTTCTGAAGGTTTCAGGATCATATAGGCATGGAGGTTGAAGAATAGACTGTGTTTATATGTATATCGGCGATTAAGGAACGGCAGAAGAGCGTCGTGAGCGCCTGATCCAGACGAGTCTAACTCTGTAAAGTCTTCGGTAATTGACTCTCTTTCTCTCTTTCTCGGGAAAAAAAGAAGGCCCTAGATGTGCAACTCAAGCCACACTATATATCCATTCGTTAGCGATGAAGAAGCGAAAGAGAATGGCATTTAACTAGTGTAGCGGAATATAACGGAATGAGGGGGATAAGGACGTTTAAAGAAGAATTATGCGTACATCCAGGATGTAACACCGGGGAGAGGGGGGGGCGGGATTCAACAGATGCCGAGACAGGAGACTTTCACAGAAGCATGAACAAACTATGGCATCTGCTGATGAAGCAACGGCAGCAGATGCGATTGCCTTATCAGCACGCCTGTTTCCTGTCCAGAGTCATGGACGCAGAGAGGCCTCACTAGCATCCAGCCGTCACAGAGGACAGAAAGGGGACGCAGCACCCGAAGGAAGACACCAACCAGGGCACGCGAGAAGTGGTTATCGCCAGGGTTACTGCTAACTGGCTGCAACGAAACACACGAGATGACAGCCAAGACGGTGCCAAGAAGGAAGTCGTACGCGAAGGCAAAAGAAAAGAAGGAAAGGAAAAGAAAAGAAGAAGACGACGAGGGTTTGTACGAGGCAGGTGGTGGTGGTTGGACAGTAGGCAGCGTTTGTTGGCCTGAGGAGTTGTTTGAGGGAGAAGATCACTGGGGAGTGGTGACTCTCTCCCTCTCTTTTTCGGCGGCAGAGGCAAAAACAGGCAGAGGCAAACATGATCGAGCAGAGCAAGGCAGAGAAGAGCGATAACAGACAGTCTAGCAGTCGTGACTCACCGTGGTACCAGAGGAGGCGGCGAATTGGGCAATGCCTCGCAGCGGCAGAAAGAAGAAGAATATACAAGCAGCGACGAGACTCGGCGGCAGGTCGGAGAAGAGAAGGAAACACAAAGACCGGTCGTCGTGGCAGGGCGAAGCCGAATCTGCCGGCAGATACGCGGGCTTCGAGAGGGCGCGAGGCGTTGAGCGGTTGCGTCTGCGTCTGCGGCTGCGGCTGCTCTTGACGTGGCCTCGCGATCAAGACCTGGCGTTGCCTGTTGCAAATGCAGAGCCTTGCGCGGTTGAGCAGACGAAGGGGAAAGGGTCCGGAGGCAGAGATGGAGGGGTCTTGGGATCTGGAGGGCTCTGCTATAATAACAAAAGCGCCTGCCACAGCGCAGTGGGCCTAGCGACAGGGCTCTACAAGGCCTGCTGATTGGGGAGGGTCACAGGTCATCTCGCGGGTTAGCTGGGGGGTGGGCCACCAAGTAAGTACCCGTTACAAGCGCTCTGGCCCGCCATTGGGAGCCACGAAATGCCCCAAGGTCGAGTTGCCGCGCTCACCAATCAGTCGCGGCCGACGGCCAGCGTGAATGCAGGCCCAGTTGAGCGGTTTGCGCAGCATAGCCGTCTTCCTTGCTTGGAGACTTTGCGAGTCCACCAGCGGGCATCCAGCGTTAGTCGCAGGAACGACGTCAGGTCTTGATGGAGTCTCTCCGCCTGATGCTGTGCTGTTCAGATTTCTTTCTTCTCTACTCTGCTTTCTTTTCACCGATTCGCAAGTTCAAATCAATGCCTTATCGCTTTAGACGGAGCATGGAGTGCTGTTCTGCTCCAAGTACTGTCTACCACTATCCCGGCAGTGGCGCTAATCTATGGAGCCCAAAAGGACAAGGACTGCGGAGGCCTGATAGACTCGTTCGAAAGAGAAAAAAAAAAGGTGTACGCTAATTGAACGTAGATAAGAAAAAGAAGAAGTTAAAAAAAGAAAATGCTCGAGACATTAACGACGACTCCAAGACACAAACACGCACAGCCTTTAGAACGGTCGAATCTGGAAGAAGCATCTTCCTCTCCGCTGCAGCACAGCGCGGCGCGCAGCATCCAACTCGGTGCATATCAGAAGCAGGGAGGCGCGCAAAGGCTCCAATCACCGAGATCAAAAAGTGGTGGTGGTTTGGAGGGTCCATCCATCATCATGTGGGGGTTTTTTCTTTTTGACGCCAGCAGGGATCCATCCTTGAAGGCTGCAGCGAGGCGCAACCCATAAATGACGAGGGTCTGGCTACGCAAAACACAGCGGAGTGACGGAAGTGATGGGCTCGTTTCAAAGCCTGCACGCCAATCGAGCGGCCAGAGACCCTCTGCCCATCGTCACCGTCGCCGTTGACATGCCTTGAGCGTTTATGCTTTATGCCGCCTCGTTTTCTCTCGAATGTGATTTCCAAGGACTGGCTAGCAGCTTTCTAGAAGCCACGCAGCCACAATTCCACGCCGCCATGCGAAATCAGAGAGCACACGACCCGTCTGCGGCTGACAACAGCCCACCCACCGTCCAAACCCCAGCTCGCAAAGGTCTCGTCTCCCTGAGCTACGTGCTTCTGCGGTCGGGTCTATTGCCCAGCGCAGCCTAACATTCGCTGCCTCCCTTGCGGTGTCTCGCACGCCACCAGCAGAGAGATCCGACCAGGGCCGCCGCTGATTGGGCAGCGCCCTTCTATCGCCATTTTAGGCTCGCGATCGCTGAGAGCCACTCCCTGCTCACAGCCGCCGGTGGTGTCTTGCAAAGTCCCAGATACATGTGCCGCTCTGTCATGGGACTGGTGCGGCGCGGTGGCTGCGAGACATTGCCCAGCTGCTCTCCAGGAGACAATGTCGCCGTTGACTGGACGCCCGGTCAACGCCACATGTCGCCTGTCTGTGTACGCATGTGTTTCGTGCCATCCATCCAGCCTGGGTCCCAAGGGGGCGCGTGGGAATATCGGGAATTTGGATGGTTGCAGCTACGAGATGCTATTGCTCGGAATGCGCTCGCCGAATAGCTCCAGGCCGGCCAGCCCCTGTCAACGGCCATGTCGAATCATGAATCCAATTGTCTCTTTTTTCGGTCGCACGCCGCTGCGGAACCCGTCCCTGGCTTGTCCAGCCATCGTCCGCTGCCATGGCGAGATGCCAAGTTACCACGGTGACCCTCAGCTTTAACTCGACTTTTTGTCTGTGCTTTTCGAGGACGGGCCACCAATCACTACTAGTATGTAGCAGTATCCGTAATGGCGCAACTATGCGACAGGGTCTATGCTTGCATGATGAACAATTTTAGAGACGTCAAAGCGCTATAAAAAAAATTTGGGCGCTCGATGCCGTCACTGCAAGCCATGTATCTGCTACTATTCGTCTCTATTTCCTCATTGGGCAGTGGCAGTTACAGCGGTAGCCGCGCCGAATACTCACAGCCTCGGCGTCCGTCACTGACCTTGGCCTTGACCTTGGCTCTGACTCCGCAGCAGGCGTACGTGCTGACGGCTCCGTCCAGAGCATCATGCCATCGCCGTGGACTTGTGGGATGTTGACCATGGCCAAAGCGAAAAAGAGCCGCATGAATGGCAGTTGGCTCGCAGGTGGATGGCATGGTTCGACTGACTTTGTCCGTTTCTAGTCGGCAGAAGACGCATCGTGAGTCTTGTTCTCAGCTGATGGCCCAGAGACCGTAACAGGTCATGGCATGAATCGCGCCGTTTTCCCATCAAGTCGATGGAGTCGGCAAAATCCAAGTCCACTTGCGGCATAAAGCGCAGTCTTGACAGATCTCGCGGGAGGAGACAAGACGTCATTGCAACTGTGACGTGGCGCGAACAACTCCAACGTACGATGGCTCTCAGGCGTATTGCTCGATCCCGCCCAGCATCATTCTACAGTCCGTTCTATAAGTCCAATAGGTGCCAGTAGGTAAGGTACAGTAGTAGGTATTCAACACACCCGTAGCGCCGTTGTACTTGTAGATGGAGAGCGCGAGATCTTAGCGGTTCAGTGGGGTCTGCGCCATATTGTGCAGCTGCTACTTGTACTTGGTTCCATGTATGTACACAGTACTCTATACCTACATCCAGTCCACGCTTCCATCGCACCTCGATCCAACGTCGAAAAATGCTCCGCGCCGGGCCGGCCTGTTCCTGCTTTGTGCCTCGCAACTAGAGCGTCCGAGCCGAGTCGGTTTTGTTCCCTTCTTCCATCGATATGTATCACACACTTGCAGCCAGGCGAGCTGGTCCAAGTCAAGGCCCGATCGCTGCGCTGGGATGCTGGAAAGGATGCGAGCATGTGTGAGGCTAGCCTCGCGAACCCGCTTTGGCGTTGCCCACGGGATATGCACCAACACGCTGTTGAGATGAAAAAGGTGGCGGGCCTGGAAATTGCCCGCCCGCTTTTTTGCAGCGCCGCTACCAGCGCCTCGACGTCGCTAAACTTAGCGCACGTAGGGGTCGTTCTGCTGGCCCCGCCCGCCTTCCCGAATGACAAGCCCGTCACGGGCCATGCGCGCCGCCAAACCCGAAAAAAAAGGAAGAAAGCGACACCACAGGCAGAGACATGATCTACCCACGAGACGTTCTGATATCCGTGATGCCGTGGTCAGCATGTTGCATTGCGCGCATCGAGACGACAGGTGCCTGTGCGTCGATCTTGTCAGGCACGCTGCGTCTTTCTTTGTTTCGTCCGGCCGCACGTCTCATTCTCTCTTACGGGCGGTGCATGCAGTATCCCGCAAACTCCCCCACACACAATGGTCTCAATGCCACGACGGATTGTGGAAGCCCGCAGGAAGAAACGCAGATGCTCTCTTCGCATATCCCGCCTCTGCCTGCACAGCAATCTGCATCTATAGTAGCCTCGAAAGGCGATGTCATATCCCCACCGGCAGTGTAGCCTCGTCGTTTGATTGGGAGACATGGATGTCACTCCGATGCCAGGGTATCGCGCAGTGCCCCCACCCAGCAGCAAAGATGAGATACGACCAACCATCGACCTGAAGCAGACGCTTTTTATGATAAAAGACAAAAGGACAGCGCCGTCTCGTCTCGGACGAAGCGAGAAGCAGTTGCGTCCAACGCATCTGTGCCAGCGCCCCCTTGCGCGTCTTGTTCCGGAAATGAGGATCAAGATGGGCGGTCCAAGACCCCTCAACCCACAATCCGGTGTTTCGTGCTAGCAGTTCATGCCTCTTCTGCTCTGTCGTCGCCGAGAGGAAGCAGCCACAGTGACCGTCCAAGCACGCATCTCAGACATGGCGCGCGATGATTTTCAGCCGCTTCTCGCTAGCTCGACTCCGTGGCTTGAACCCGCGATTCTAAAGGACTTTCCAAAGGGATACCATTTCCACATTTAGCCGAACGCCCATATCAGTGATCGGCGCTCGTTTTACGCAGCCATCGTTGACATGACTCTGCGCGAGCACAAGTGTCTGACTAAGAAGCACCGACGGGCGGTTGACAGCGACGTTACGAGGCTATTCTGATGGCCCCGACGGTTGAGCGAGCGATTCATTTCATACATGGTTCGCGAATCTCCTAGTTTGCCCCTCCATTCGCCCTCACTCATGTTTAATGTCCCGTCGAGATGCACAGCATGGCATGCCGGACACAGTCCGTGCCACACCACCTCGCTCTCCAGTTGAGGCGGCTGCAATCGCGCTCACCGCCTCGGGTTGATGTGCGCGACGGCGACGGCGATGTGCTTGGCGCCCATGCCATGACGATAGGGCATCTTAGCCTCAGCTCAGCCATCAGTCGTACTCGCACAGAGGCATTGCACACGTTTTTTTTTTTTTTTTCCTCCTCTTCTTCTTTCGTCCTCCCCTACTCTTCTTCTTCCCCCTCCTTTCAGTCTCAATAGGGGGGGTGAGGACTTCCGCAACGAGTAAATGGACGGCTCTCTACGCTGCTAAATGCGCGTTACGACGATACTCGTCCAGGCGCCTAGCCGGAGTCTGGACCATTGTGAGACACCCGAAAGGCGTCAGCTTGCCACCCTGCGCACAAAGTCTGGCACTATGCAAAGCCACCTCTTGGCTGCTTTGTCTTGCCCCAGATAAGCATGCTTTCTGTCACTCGTCGACTTTTGATATTGTGCTTCTTCTCTTGACCGGGGGGGGGGGGGGGGGGGGGGGGGGGGGGGACGTGGTGCTGCCCAGCCAATAGAAACAGGATTGTTTATGAGAAGTGAAAACGTAAATCTGAAGCCCGCGCTTCTGGCTTCACGCTGAGAGAAGCATAATCGAGCAGCGCGCTGGCGAATCATTCGCGTCGCACGCCTGGCGTCTTTTCTTCTCCCTGGCAGTTCCCCATTGACTCCATTCATACAAGTACCTACAATAGGTCCGAGGTGGGCTTTCGGATCATCCCATCATACGAAAATTGGAGCGCTTGGTATGACCCCGGAGAATGTCAGTGTGTCGTCTACCCGAAAGGCTGGGGTAATGTTTCGGCGTCACATTGACTGCCCATGCGTTGATATCAGTTTCAGCACGACTGCAATACCTATTACCCTATTTGCATACTCCTAATTGACTCGGCATAGGCACCTGGTAGCGGCGTGATAATGATTAGCGGTACCTAGTACGGTGGTGGTAGCAATGAACTGCTACTGCTACCACCTACATGCGACATCTGAAGCGATGATCCTTGACCGGACCCTGATACCCTGATACGTCTTGTGCAAGATCAGCACCCTTCGTACAGCCGAGAGACCCCGAATTCTCCTTCAACTGCCGACGGAGATCGGTTTTCCAATGTTCGTTCAAGGTGAGCCTCTTGATAGCTCGGCGATCGTCAACTCCAAGCACACGCACTACCAGCTACGCCAAAAGCAGTAGACGTTGCCTTGGAAGAATACTGCCACAACTAGTATAAGTTTCCTGTCTTACATGGACTTGAACCATCTCCAAAAGTTTCTAGACCGATGCGTTGGTCTGCCCCTCCGAGCTTTCTGTGGACGAGATGATCAACGCGCCCCACTGCTTTAGCCTCTCCATACGACAAACTAAGAAGAGCCTACATCCATCCAAGGGCATCTAAGAAGCGGACATCACGTCTTTAGGCCCTTTGCTACGATGTACAATGCCATTAAACGAGCCGTTTAACCCATAAACGTCTCTTGTCTCGGCCTTTTGACAAGCAAGCCAGCTAATGGAACGCCGATCATGGTTCGGACGCTGGCACGCCAGAATCTTTTTTTCGTCCTTGACAAGCCAGAAAAGCTCAAATCTGTGTTGATTTCCTAGGATCTGCTCGTGGCGCGGTACGAGCGGCTGTTCCATAAATATCAACCAGCGGACCCAAGCGACACATGACTCCAAAGTGGACATTCCAGCGTCGACGTCTACGGCATTTCGCGATCTCCATACCCTCCGTACTGCTCCCCTTCTGGCACACCGCTGCACGCCCCCAAAGGCCTCGTCAAGACCAGCGGCAGCGGCAAATGCTCGCCATCAAACGAAGAGCTGCGGATAAGGGCCCTCTCGTGGCCTCCGCAGTCTGGGAATAGATGCACATCTGGACTCGAGCCCGTGCGTCATACCTGCCCATCTCGTCTTCATGCTTCTGCTGGGCTAATGCACGAATGCTTGCCTAGGCCGCCATCGTGGTGGAACGGGCAGACCCTTGGTTGGCTAGAAAAGAAGACCAGCGTCCTGATATTCTCTCTTATCAGTTTTTCTTCACCCTTTTGCTGCGGGGGATCGTCGGCGCGCGCCTGCACCATGACCGAGAGGATGTAAAAGCAAGGTAAAATACGCCACTTTCCCAAGGGGTCTCTGCCCATTGTATGTACTTGTACCTTTTGCGATCTCAGATCGTAGCTAAAAGCAAGCATTCCTCAAAATGATCTCAGCAGACAACAGACAAGATTGTGAGCTAATCGTCCGCGTGTGATTCAAGATTGAGAGATTGTGTAACGTCGCGATCTACACCGACCAGCCCTTTGGACGGCTGGTGGTGGCAGTCATAACAGCGGTGAGAGAGAGGTTTGCGCTCCACGAGCATATTAGTTTTTTTTGCCTTGTTCCTCCCTTGTTTCGCCTCTTTGCCTCTATTGCCTTTTGGTTGGTGTGGTTGTAATGGAATGCCTCTCCGCCAATTGAATGCATCGCCTGGCACTAATTTCATATGCAGAGCCGAGTCGGAAGGAATCGCAGCCCGGTGCATATATCCCACTCCATGACAGACGCACCACGATGGTGTCAGTGGCAGTAGTACGGTGCTATTTACTAGTGGTGATGCGAGATATGCGAGCGATGAAGCGTCTGACGATGAAATACTCTTAGCTCCAAGGCTAAGGCGCTTCCTCCCCCCCACGTAGAGATCGAGGCGTGATGCTGAAGATTTTTCTTCCTTCTTCTTCTTCTTCGGAAGCCTTCTTAGCTTGGGCTCGTAATAGGCATAGACTAGGCCTGATGCCTACTCCGTAGAAGCTACATTACTACTGTAGTAGGAGTTGTTCTAATTTTGTCCAACTGACAACTGAGATGCTATACACGATAGCGCTGAAGAGAGTTTACACTACGGAGCGGATTAATATGGTCCGGCTGACGAGAGTTGCGCTCTTTTAACATTGGCGCTGACGTTTTCAAGTATGATTACACACTACATGTAATCTGCCTACCCGGTATGAGATGATGGACTGCGCCTCGGTGAGATATTAGAAATACTCTGAGCAGTGAAAGATGGGAGTTGTGAGGCTCTCTATTATGTTGTAGAGTTTTGAAGAATTTACTGTTTTGTGACTGGTATTCGGAGCTAGTAATACACGTAAGATGCGTATGGTTGTTCGTTTGAGACTGCATACAAGTATCAAATATGCTACAAAACCCACACAATTCATGAAACACACAGAAAAAAGAAAAAGAAAAAAAAAGTAATCGAATCAACTCTCGATTTGCTTATTCAAGACGGCAACAGGGTAGAAAACTTATTTTTTCAAAGTCATGATGGCCGTGAGTGATTATGAGCTGTTTGAAGAATATAACGCGTCTTTTGAGTCAGTTGTTTTTATATGTAATTTTTTCTTGTGTGATATATGGACAGTTGCAGATGGTTAGCAATGAATAAATTTGGGTTGGTTATAACCATTGCGTTTGACTGCTGGAGTGCCATGATGAGGTATTACGTCTACGATCGTTTTATAGGCACGACGAGTCTTACAAGTCAGCAGCGTTTATTTGACACATTTCGTGGTCATTGCGGGAAACTGGAGTAAGATGTTGGGTATTTCAAATCAAGCGTGGCAGCAGTCACTGGAATCCTCCCGAGAGCGATGGCCCCCCTTGGCGTTTTTGTGCTGTTTACCAAGTAGAGTGTGTTCTTAGAGTCGGCAGCGTCTATATGCATGTTCTGTGACCATTATCGAGCAGTTAGAGACAGCGGTTCAACAGTCAATCAAAGTGTGGCAACTGTCACTGGAATCGACTTACCGAGAGCGGTGGTTGCCTTTGGCATCTTTGTGGTGTTTGGCAAGTATGGCGTATCCTTTGAATCGGTAGCTTCTGTTGCTTCTTCTCTCGTTATGACTGAGCATCTGTGGATGAGATTTCAAAACGCTAATTTGGTGAGGCAAAAGTCACAATTTGAATCCTTTGGAGGGTGATAGAGACCTTTCCTTTGGTGCTGAGGCTGCTTGAAGAGTATAGAGTATCCTTCGAGTCGGCAACCTCTGTATGCACTTCCTGTGATGATGACTAAAGATGATGATTTTAAAATTTGTCAAATTGGTGAGGCAAAAGCCAATTTTCAATTGTTGGGTGATAAAAACCTTTGTTGCCTCGAGGCTGCTTGAGGCGTATAATGTGTCCCTCGGGCCGGCAGTCGTATTTATGTGCATCGTCCAGAACCACTTATCAAATGTCGAGAAATCTCCGTTGATCATGGTGCAATTTGAAACATATTTCGAGACAAGTTTATCTGCGTCATGCCGTGCCTGTGCAGCATATCTCTTATCTCTTCTCTTCGAGGCTGAGGTAATATCCATCTCCACCTATATCATGACTCTCGGTTAGCCGAACATTGCCGAACTTATATGGTGCATTCGCCAGACTATTACGACGCGTGAGAAAAAAAAAAGAAGAGAACAAAGGGATGAGGCAGTACACATTATTTATTTGTTCGGAATGCTGGGAATATTGTAGATTTGCGGCAAATGCCTGCGTTGAAAGTCTGCTACCTCGTTCGGTGTTAGCCCGTGGTCGTGCAACTGCCGTTGAGCTATCAGATGGCTTTTGCTCCTCAGTGAAGTCGATTTTGAAAATATTATACACGTACCTTAATTGATTGTATCAAGTGGAAGTGGGAACAATTAGCGGGCCTTGAACTAGCATGACTTTTTAGCCCAAGGGCAAGCATGATTCAGTGAGTCCTTGGTTGCGTGATGTTTGAAACTGCCATAATATTAACAGAGCCCGTGTGGCGTAAAGGCAATTTAAACATGATCCAAATTTTTCAACGAAGAAAGGGGGTGGCGACGTGATTGTGAGATTCATTCATTCTTGTATAGCTGAGTAGGCGAACGTGGCTAGGATGCCTCGTGCCATAGCTGCTAGGTAGAGACTCGTTGTAGAGCCACATTACTTCTGCTTTCGGTAATGTTTGCGTTGGTTCAAAGCAAACAACTATCACAGCTCTCCATGGATATTGGACCGGACTCCATGGAGGTGAAGTGCATTGAGACTGATAGACTAGAGTTTCGTTGACTCGGTATTTCCCGCAGACCTCGTGATAACTTGACGAAGCCATCACGTATTCAACCTAATCGAGAAGGCCGATAAAAAAATAGCGTGTTTGTTCTCCACCAAAGGAAGAAATCAATGGGTGTTGTGCCATTTAGAGCTGGGCAGCAATCTTACGCCCCTCAACTACCAAGGTATTAACTCAGGGACCGAGTTAAAAAGTACGATCTGATGGATTCGCTACCATGTCCGATAGTCAATCGGTGATTATTGTCCGTCATCGGAGAGCTATATGCAGCTGCTGATACAGGGGGCCAGAGAGTTTCATCAGTCGCTGCAACCCATCCCAAGCGTCAGATAGCTGCGCCCGACTCATACGAGCTGCAAGGAATATGGAGTAGAGGGACCGGCAACTGATCCTGCGGCTCTTCACTGCAAGGCTAATGATGGGTCTGGATGTTCGAGACTATTCTTTTAATCAAAATCGATAAATTCGAGTGTTTAATTTTGCCAATAGACTAAGCGCGGTCTGCACTTGTCCAAGGATCACATCTTCACGTAGATGAAAGAATTCAGCATCGAGACCGAATGCTGCACATTCATGTAACTTGTATATAGCCTCGACAAGGATGCCAACAAAATGAAGATGAATCATTCAGATTCCAGGCTGGTCGATAATCGCAGGGCAGGCTGAGAGGCAATTCGGTACAGCTCGGCTAAGGGCTGATACTAGATATTACCAAAACAGTAAAAGTTTCGTTAGCCTCAGTGCCACATACCTGATCGGGAACGTGTTTAAATTTGGGTACACGCTTAAAATTGATGTTGAAACGATGGGCATTGTGGCGTTTCCACGTTTCTAGACTTTCACGTATTCTTTTCCTTGTTGCAATTGCCGAAAGCCGCCAGCCTGACGACACCCTGCGTGTGCCTAATTGACGATCTGCTCGCCCTGCTACCGCCGAGCAAAAGTTCTCCTCGTCTCTCTCAGCCAATGTTGTGTGAATTCGTCAATCCTTTCACTTTTTTTTCTTTTGGCTAAAAACGATGAATGCGCCATGTCATCACACGCAGAGTTGAAAAGGATTCCCTGCATGCCATCGTGATCGTGATCAATTGACTAGTAGCCGCAGCCCTATCAAAGCATCGACAGCCGATTCCGTCATTCCGGCAACAGACCCACTTTTCCGCAGGGCTGTACCGAAGGCAAGCTGCCAAATGCTTCGTTTCTGTCCTGGAAAAGCAGAGCTTTAGAGTTTGTCCAGCTCTGGAAAGAGGGGAAAGCCGCTGTGGATGACGGAGCTTAAGCGAAATAGCTTGTTTTGACCCCTGGAGCAGGAGCCTCATGATCGCGACGGCTAGCAGCGCGGCATATGGCTGTCGAGGCACGGCTGCGAGACGCGGCAGACGCTGGATGGTGTTGAACAGTAGACAGTAGCTGCTATTCATCGCTAGCTCTCTTCTGGGAGGGAATAATTCTGGAGCGCAGTAGTTTCGTTTCTATTTCCGGGATCCACCCGTTGTATCCCATTTCGACTAAGCTCATGCGGCAGGACTTGCCGATGAGCCACTCAGCGTCTGGGACCTTGGCCGCTGCGGATGCACTTTCCTATTGCGGAGCTTCACAGTGCCTGGGCGACGTCTATTTTTCGGCTTCATCCGCAGTAGCCAATCACAGCCAACCACAGCCCGTCATCGCCCCACTGCTGAATTCTTTTTTTCTTTTATTTTTTCTCTTGCGTGCAGGCTGCGGTGGGTCCGCCAGCTCCCATCAGCGGCAGCCCAACTCGAAGCTCCTAAAATTCCTGATGCCTGTCTCAGACTGGCGATGACGTCCAGTCGGCTCTGCGATGACCGGACGAATGGACCGAGGTTATGGCGCTGCAATATCGACAGCACACATGCAGCTTCAAAATATGGCACTTATATATATATATGGCCATGACACGCCATTCCCTGGTGATTATGGCATGATTCGAGCACACACACAGTTGCCTGCACACACACTCAGGATCCAAGCATCCGTTTTAGAGCAACCTCATCTTCTTGATTGGCCCTTGGCTTAATCCGCTTTGAATATACAACGTCTACAATGGCAGTAATACCTTCAGAAAACTCCTCGACTTCCACCTTGGAGGGAGGAGACGTCACAGATGTCGACAAGGAACAACCCAATCAGCTTGAGCCCATCAGCCGGGTCTCTCAGCCAGCCCCTGTACGAAGGACATCAACCGCTCGCAGGTCGCTGAGCAACCCCGACAAGGAAGTCTTCGACCCCAATCTGGACGTCAACCTCCCATATGGCACTCTCAACGACGATGCCAATCTTGACGAATACCGCGTGGAGACCCGCACGGGAACCATCCCAGGGCCGCTTGAGCCTCCTTCAGTTGCTCAAGCTTCCGGCGGCAAAGGTGGCGAGAAGCATTACAAGCTCGTGACATTCACCGAAGATGACCCCGCGAACCCCAAGAACTGGTCCAAGGCATACAAGTGGTACTGCACCATGGTCGTCGCCCTTACGTGTTTCGTTGTGGCCTTCTGTTCTTCAGTCATCACGGCGGATCTCATTGGAGTGAGCAAGACCTTTGATGTCAGCTTGGAGGTTTCTTTCCTCACCATTACGGTGTTCGTTATTGGTTTTGGCGTGGGACCCATGGCTTTTGCTCCCCTGTCTGAAATCTTTGGACGACAAGTCATCTAGTAAGTCTTTCAAACAGATGCTGCTGTTGATGTACCTGCATGCTAACAATTTCACAGTGCCTCGACACTCCTGATTGCAGTCATCTTCACCATTCCCTGCGCTGTTTCCAAAAATATTGGAACCTTGATTGTCTGCCGAGCCATCGACGGTATCGCATTTTCTGCTCCCATGACCCTTGTCGGAGGCACACTTGCAGATTTGTGGAGGAACGAGGAACGTGGTGTTCCCATGGCCGCCTTTTCCGCCGCTCCCTTTATTGGACCTGCTAGTAAGTAACATGCGCTGAATTTGCATCCTGTTTTGAAATTGTCTAACGAGATTCAAACAGTTGGCCCTCTTGTCGGTGGATTCCTCTCTGATGCTGCTGGCTGGCGCTGGCTGTACTGGATCCAGCTGATCCTTTCCGGTGCCGTCTACGTTCTCATCACCTTTACCGTCCCCGAGACATACGCACCCACCATTCTTGCTCGCCGCGCCAAGAAGCTTCGCAAGGAGACTGGTGATGAGAGCTATGTTACCGAGCAAGACATTGATGAGAAGACCATGGGCGAGCGAATCAAGGTCTTCATGATCCGACCCTTCCAGCTGCTTTTCAGAGAACTCATTGTGCTTCTTATTTCGCTGTACATGAGTGTCCTCTACGGTCTTCTTTACATGTTCTTCGTCGCCTTCCCTATAGTGTACCAAGAGGGCAAAGGCTATACTGCTGGTATCACCGGTCTCATGTTTATTCCTCTAGCCCTCGGCGTTGTCATGTCTGCATTCCTCTCCCCGCTGGTCAACAAGCACTACCTCAAGATGTGTGCCAAGTACAACGGCAAGCCTCCCGCGGAGATTCGTCTGATCCCCATGATGTTCTCTTGCTGGTTCATCCCCATTGGAATGTTCATCTTTGCGTGGACTTCGTACACGGATCTTGACTGGGTTGGACCCGCTTTCGGTGGTTGGCCCGTCGGCTTTGGCTTCATCTTCCTCTACAACTCTGCAAATAACTACCTGGTCGACTCGTACCAGCACCAAGCCGCCTCCGCTCTGGCCGCCAAGACATGCATTCGAAGTTTCTGGGGTGCCGGCTGTGTTCTGTTCACTGAGCAAATGTACCACCGACTCGGCGACCAGTGGGCTTCTTCACTTCTGGCATTCATCGGTCTGGCTTGCTGCGGGATTCCCTTCTTCTTCTGGTTCTTTGGCGCCAAGATTCGTGCTCACAGCAAGTATGCCTATGGCGGCGACGACGAGATGGAGAACCCAGAGCAGCCTAATGATCTCGAAAAGTCCCGAACCAACAATGGCGCCGGTCGTGGAGACGATCTCGACTTGGCCAGGGCGAGGAGCTACGTCAGCAACCCTTAGACAAAACAAACCAACAAACCAACAAACCCAAACCTACCAACCAACCAATCAATCAACTAAACACACCAAAACAAATAACAAATCAAACTCCGGCATTTACAAGACATTTGAAATGATTTATAGATTGATATCCCCCTGCACATGATAGAGTTAGATTTTGATAGCATTTGAAAGGCGTTCTAGGGGTGATGGAAAAATACCTGGGCATATACCCATGGCGGACGAGGTTCAAAGCATAGACTTAATGGTAATAATGGACGGCTTACTGCATTCTTGAAAAATAAAAATTGATCTTAAATTTCTCTCTCCCCCTTGCCTGCGAGGACTGTAGCCAAATGACCGACTAATGATGACCGCTTATAAAATCGAAACACCCATGATCCCATTGTGCATACATGTATCCATAACCCAGCCCAATACTACCACAAAAACTCCAAAGTATATTATACTTTGCGATCAGCCAATCTCCTCCAACCTGTTCGGCGCCCCATCTAGATCGGCGCCGTTGAATGGGGGCGGGGCCACTCTGCGGGAGGAAGCGAGAACAAGTTTCCGCCCGAGCCCCACCGTGGCGAATATATGACGATGGCGCTGTAACGGTCCTCGTCCCATTTTTAGGTAAAGAAATCAAAGAAAACGCAAACAGGGGTATATAGATTACAGATCGTCCTCTGGGCGGACTGCCGTGTAAGTGGTCACGACGGGCTGGACCTTGGCCACTACGGTATCGGGGCCAGCAGGTTGTAGTGCGAGTGATGATTTGCGGTTTCGACGGATGAAGTATCTGACAAGTTCCATGTTAGTATTGTTGCTAATAGATGGAGAGGATCTAGATGGCTGGTTGAAGATATGAGATTGGTTGACTTACATGATTGCTGCGATGGCTGCAAGGAGGACTGGCACGCCGAGACCAACGCTGACGCCGATGATGACGGCGTTGCTCACGCGGTGCTTTCCAGACTTTTCTCCTGATGATGCGCCTGAGCCATTTGGTGATGAAGCGGTAGTGGTTGGCGGCGGTGGAGGGGGAGTGTACGATTTTGGCGTTCCGGATGAGCTCGTCATCGTCACGGCATCGGCTGGGAAATCGACTCTCTGGAAAGTGGATGTTGGGCTTGCGGACCAAACAACAGGCGAGCCAGACGCGACACTTGACGTGAGGGTTCTTGTGATTACGTTCCTGGTCAGGCTTTGCAGCGAGGCTGGGCAGTTGATCAGGCCGGGCGAGGCGCAGACGATTGCGCTCTGGGTCTCTGTGGTGACTGTGCTGGTCACGGAGCGCTTCGCAATAGCATTCGTCGTCGTGGCAGAGATTGTGCCTGTGCCGGTCTTGCTCGTCACTGCGCAGACCTGCGCCAGAGTGGTGTAGAAGATGGGGATCTCGGTTTCGGGCGTGGGACCCCATGTGTTGCCCAAGAGGACGAGCGAGGCGCCGGCGCCGGCGCCGATGCCAAAGGTGTAGGCCTGAGCGATGCTCAGTCGACAATTGTCGCTGTTATCGTCTCTCTTCTTGAGGGAGTCAACTTCTCCTAGGGTGATGTTGGTGACGAACTCGGCAATGTTGGCGTAGATGCGGGCTTCCACGCCTGCGCCGATGTCGAGATGCTTGTTTGACGAGGTGAAATCGTGCAGGGAGATGCCGATGCGGGCTTCGAGGCGGAGGACAGCTTCGAGAACGACGCCGCCGCTTTGGATTGTCACGGGGAGGAATGCAAACTTGCCGCCGTCACTGCAGCTTTTTGATTAGCCCCTCTTCATGTTCTCGGTTTAAATGTGTGTAAGTAGGTAGGTGGGCGAAAACACTTACAAGTCTAGCCCTGAGGCTGCTTTGCCAAAGAGTTCAATCTGAGTTCGGACATTGTCAAAGTGAATGTGGAAGCCGCTCTGGATATCGATCTGAGCGTTTGCGCTGAAGATGAGATCGACTGAGAAGACGGCACCCAGCAGCAGCCCGTTTCCGAGTGCTACGCCGGCCAGGGTCTTGGACTGGTAGATGTTGAACGTGTACGTGATGCCGTTTGCCAGAACGGTGTCAATCTGCATGTATATCTCCACGTCTGTGAGGTTCACGTCCACGTGGTACTCTGGAAACGTCAGGTTGAGATTGAAGTCGATGTCTGGTGGGGGAAGGTCTTCAACGTCTTGCAGCGCTTTAGAAAGACTTGTGCTGTTTCCAAATTCGTCCACAAAGGTGTCCGTGGCGTTTTCGACATAGGCTTTGATGTTGTCGAGGACGCTTTTGAAGCTGTCTTCTACCTGGTCCATGGTGGAGGTGACGTTGATTGAGCCTTTGGAAGTGACCTTTGCGCTGGCTTGGCCGGTGAAGTAGCATTTTGTGCATGTGATGGAGATGGTTGAGTCGCTTGAGTCGAATGGGCTTGTAAGTTTGGCATGTTAGCTGGCAACTCTTTCTTCTGCTAAGTTCTCTCCGCCTTTCTGGTAAACTCACTACTTGAAAATCGTCACGCCATCGAAATCCAGAGAAAAAGAGGTCGAATTGTCGAACAAGACGTCTGTGTCGTTTCTCTTTACACTGGCCAGCCGTCTTCGAACCTCGGAGATGGTCTCATCAGAAGACTTTCCGGGCAGGTTCCTCACGGTGAGAGCTGAAGACGCAACATGCGAAAACAGCGTGTAGAAGAGAGTAGCGAAAAGTAAAGATTTCAACGACATGGTGACTTTCATTGCTCCCAGCGGCGCTCACTCTAGTTGATTTACATGCAATCCACTTAATTCATCTAGAAAACGTGGTTCGAGCCGGCACTAGCAATGGGGAGCATCTTGGATTTTAAAACAATCTCCATCGCTTACCTTCAAACATGCCCCCAGAACGAATAATCGACCCCCGTTTTTTTTTTTCCCTCGCCAAGAAGTGCTTCAAGTTTGCCCAAAACACTTCCAGGACAGGGCTGCGGCCGTGGATGCGGCTGAGGCCCCATTTCCCATGCAAGTAAGCCATGGAGGTCTTTTCGGTTAGAGAATCTGCACACACAGACCTACGGCCCATTGCGCATTTTAGCGTGACAAATACCATTTTTTTTTTTAGGCATAGAAGAGAGAAAAAAGCAGGGTGCAACCAACAACACACTCGTTACAGGCCTGCAGAACAGGCTGCGCAGGGGGAGCTTTTCTGTGCTGTTGGCCGGGCGAGTCTGTGCTTGAAGAATAGAAACCCTGCCGTTTTCCATCTTGCCCATGCTCGGAATCCTTCGCGCGGAGAAGTGCATATGGACCCTTTCTGGGTGTTTCACAAAATGGTCTCATTATTGCTTCAGCCTCCGGCCGGCCGCATGCGCTGCCCAACAGTCCAACCAACAGCATATTGAAGATCTTGTGCGCTTTTGGGGGCGGCGACGATTCCGCGGAGCAACTGAAGATGCCGTCGCAAAGATGGACAATCAATTGAGACCCCCGGTCTTGTGAGAGAGCCTCAATTAGGTGCGTCTACGTGGCTGTGTTGGATTGGAATAAGGCGCACTTTTAATGTACAAGTGTGCGCCCCACGGCAAGGATTCAGCTACATGCAGTAGTTCCCAGCACATGCGCTTTGTTGTCCTTGCCGAAATACTATAGATGAGGATAAAAATAAAACTGGGACTAATTCATCATATCCGTGAGGTTTTAGGTTGGTTGCCAGAAGGTTGCCTAACCTGGCGTTGTAAACATAGTTGTGCGCCCTACTAGTAACTCCATCAAGTTACGCTGATTGATGTGCGCAAACTGCAAGGCTAGGATCCTACCGGATAGCCGAGCCTTTGCGTCAAGTAAAGTGTCTGGTGACTGCTTCGAGTAAACATTTTTAGCTAACAAGGCTGTGTGGAGTGGACCGAATAGCGATAGGCGAATACATGTATCGACATGTAAGCTTTTGGATTGCGCTGCGAAGTACTAGTTTCTGCATGGTTCCGACGGAAATGCTAGGACTCGAGGATGCATGTATCCGTCTGATCCGTCTATTCTTACAACCGTCTTGTTATCCAGCGAATGACCGTAGACTGTATTTTTAGAGACAACTCCACAGACTAGGTGGCTTCTGTGTGTCGTGGAACTTGATCCAAGAGCGGGATTGGCCGGCCGACTATTTGTAGCACAGACTGAGCTTGCATGTGAGGAGAATTTAAGGGTCCTGTAACTTTTGATCTACACTCATCACATGGCCTATCCTAATGTAATTGTAGTTGTGAGATAAGGAAATAGTGCTTGGCATTGGATGCGTCAGGGTGCTCAAGCTGACGCCTTTTCATTAGCAATGTCTCAAGGGCGAGCCAGGGTATAATAAGCACATACCACGCCAGATCACCAGCCTTTGTATAAGGAAATTCATAGCTAGGTTTACTATGAATTGCAAGTTTCTATGCTTTTATGACTCTGGCATATTTCTAGAACTTGAAAGGACTACCCCAAGTCTGGATAGCTGTTTTCAGACCCCGAACATGCAAGTATTGACGTCTTATACGGGAATTAGTAGTCAGTAAGCAGCCTGCTAAAGAAGAGGCCCTCTAATAATTCCACACATGGAGATTTCAGTTTCTATGCATGATTGGAATCACACAGTAAGAATGAGCTAAAAGAACAAACTGTTGAAAATTCTAATAGACAGGAAGCTCTGTGGAATTGACTCTTTACATGTGGAAATTGAGACTTTGCGACGACCAAAAGCCAAGTTATCGAATATTACTTTTTGTTTTTCATTTGATCCCGACAGGCTGTTTCTAGCTGACATGAGGGATATTGGCTGGCCAGCTTGTCAGAAATGTCTCTGGCTGCTGGAAAGCTAAACACCGAAAGACTTCAAATATGATGAAAGCCCGTGCGGCTAGGAAAGCTACCCCAATTCCACCACCCAAGATCCATTGAACCCATAGTTCACAAGGAATCCTGGCCCTGATCCCTTCTGAATTTGGCCTCAATGTATTTATTAATCTAGCTACCAGATAATTGACCGCAGACAGAGTTGGGATGGCGGATGCAGTGAGGATGGAGCTGACTCTCCACAACATCTGCTCGGCTTCGGTGGGGAATGCAAAGTTCCAGGCTATGCAATGGGTGCACCCAAACACGACTAGGGCAAATGCTGAAGCAGAGAGTAGATTTGCGCGGCTTGCTCTCGTTGACAACTTGCCACGGTGGTCAATGTGTACGGCGTTGTTTGGAATCCAGACGGTGCGCCTGAGTGGCCCCATCGTGAATGGACCTAACAAGGCCAGACGGATCAGCTCAGAAGCTTCGGGATAGCGTGAGGCGGGCATGGTAATTGTGTAGCTGACGTCTTTTGGCTTATGGATCAGCAGCATGTATGTGATGCCGGAGCAGATGGCAAAGGAAAGTGTCATGATTTCGAGTTGTGATGTGGGAAGGCGTTGATACAGGCGTGTGATGAGATTGAAGAGAAACCAGCCGATCTGAACCAGCGCTACCATCTTCACGAACGCGTCGCCCTTGTTGCGGTCGCCCAGATCGTCTTCAGTCACAGCCGGAAGTCTGTCGATAATGCCAATTTCCCGGGCCAAGAGTAGCTGATTGGCGTCCAAGATCCAGAGGTCGCCCTGCAGCGCGCGCAGATTGTAAAACCAGTTGTCCCATGAGATGAGAAATCTTGTCTGCTCCCATGGGTCTCGAAATTGATTCCACTCAAGAATGTCCAAGGCTTGAGCAGCCGTGTCCCTATTTCTTTCGTCCACATGCCAGTCGACCTCGCCGATTTGGCGTGGCATGGCCCTCTGTAGCACGTCGGTAGATAATTTGTCGCGTCTCAATAGCCCATCTAGCTTTCCTCGGATATAGTCGAACTGGTCACGGCCTTGATCGCGGCCTCGGTCCGTCCCATTAGATATCTCAATAGGCTCTAAAGGGTATGTATCCGTAGGAATGCGTTCTACAATTCCCGGGGTTTGATCATGAAGAGCTACTCCATCATGTGTAACCGACGATTGTCTAGTAGGGGGCAATACCGGAGACTCTGAAGCACATGCAGACCGCTTGAGAGGGGGGGTACTGTTTGGTAGGACCTGTGGAGTGGCATCCGTCGTCAAAACCGATTCCGTATTTGAGTCGGCGTTTGCAGGGGAAAATTTGATGCCGAAACCTCCCATGTTGGCAAAGTAGATGTGCGTGGTACTCCACGGAACTTTGTCCTCTTTTCTCAACTTTTCAAACCTGTCTTTGACAAGTTTCACAGACATGCTGTCGCTCCAAGCTTTGCCCAGCGGCCACTCTGGAGCGAGAATGTTAAGAAGCATCCATTTTGCTTTGGTCAAGAGTCTGAGTGAAGCGCGCCGGTATTTTTGCTTCCTGCTGTTTGGGCTTAAAGTGGACTGTAAAGGCAAGTTCATGTGTAGAATCGACCATGTGCAGATCAGCAGGATGCTGCAACAACCCCATATAATATCGAGAGTTCCTCGAATATATGGAGCGGCAACAAAAGGTACAACGCCACGGGGAATCGTACAGTTGCTGTTGAATATAATCATGTCGTTTGAGTAGCGGGTGATGATGGGGCTGATGGCGAAAGGAAAGTAGTGTACAGGTAAGATGACTGGCTATAAGGCTGTTAGTCGAGAAAGATGGCCCGTCAAAGTTCACAGCCTCAGCGCCTATAGAACGGCTTTCATTGGCGTACGGCCATGGCGCGGCACAGCGGCTCAGCGCCTGGCACTGCCCAGATCAGCCTTGGTATACACGAGGTGTACATAAATTCAGAACACGCGTAGTTATAAAAACAACTCCATTATCAGATTATGATTAGCTATATTATTATGACTGTCAAAGTTCTAAAGCTTAAAAAGACTACCCCAGGTCTTGAGAGTTGTCTGTAAAACAGCCTGAACCTCGTTGGCCCCTGTACTCGCAGCCTTGGAAGTCTTGCCAGAGATCTGATTCCCCCACTGAATCTCCCAAGCCTGCAACTTATGGTAAAAGGCAGTCTGGTTGTAGCTCGAGTGCTTTGTCGTTGCAAGGTAGTCGATGAACTGTTGCCATCGTCCGAGGTAATAGTCTCCGACCAGTCCAGCCCACTGCTTGGACGCATAATCTTCAATCTGCCCAGTAGGTCCCCACAGAGTGACTTGATTGCGAGCGTTGTACTCGAGGAAGCTGGTGTTGGACGGGTTGCTTGCGCGAGCTGCGGCGATCCAGGTGGCGAGTTGGAAGTTTTCATTCGTTGCGAGAACAGCGTCAAGAGTCTTTAACAGAGCAGTGAGCTTGGATCCGCGAGATCTAATCTCAGCGGCGTTGGCGGAGCTATTGTATGCCGTAACAAGATCCTTGTAGAGGCCATCGAAACTGTTGACGAGGACTTGGCGCGTCCAGTCAACAAGATCGTACTGGTACGCTGGGTTGCCGAATAGCTTCACATCTTCCAGGCCGGCTTTGAAGAGCTCTGTCCAGGCATCCACCATGACGGCCGGATCGTAGTTGATGGTGGTGCCATGACGGCCAACGCGGCCCAAGAGACCGTTGATATTGGGAGTCAGCTCCAGTATCGACTTGGGGACAGCATTGACTGTCAAGTTTGTATTGTTGAAAACGGTAGGGCGGAGAAGCTCCCACCCGGTGTACAAACTCTTGACATTTTCGGTTCCATATCGGGCTGAGACCCAGTCATGGAAGTAAGTCTCAGTGTCAATGGGCTTGGGGCTCCAAGCTTGGTCCAATAGCAGGTCGTACATGATCTCATTGCCCTCCTGGCCTTCCATGGTCAGACCAAATCCGACCAGAGAGCTCGAGTTTCGCACCGCCTGCATGGCGTTGATGGTCACATTCTCAATTTGGCCGTACAAGCCCATGTTGCCACCATAGTCGTGAAGCTCGCACCAGATCCAAGGCTTGCCGTAGAAGGAGTTGGTGCGGAGCCATTGCGGAGCCGATTCAGCAAACAAGTCGAGAAGCAGCATGTCTGAATCCTCCGTGATGCCACCCAAGAAAGCCTCAATTGCATCATTTGTCCAGAATGAACTGTCTGCGGAAAACAGCCAGGCCTGCATCACCCAGATTGCGTCTGGCGAGGCAGATTTGAGGGCAGTCCAGGTGTTTTGACTGACGTTTCGAAGGTAGCCCAGGTCGCTGGAGAGCGGCTGGTTTTCGTTGAACTGATCGAGGGTCCAGAACTTTGTGACATTGCCGTAGAGCTCTTGCTGCTTGCCAATGAATAACTTTTGCAGCTGAGTAAAGTGCGGATCGAATGGGTTGACATATGTATCAGCGCTCAAGTCCTCTGCAAAGTTTTCCCAGAGAGGACTCGTGGACAGAGAAATGCCCGGAAACACGCGAGAGATGTTGCGCGGCACGAATCCTGGGAAAGCTGGCAGAATGGGCGTGATGCCGAGTTCCTTCATACGATCCAAGATCTGGAGCTGCAGGGCGAATTGATCGTCAACCCAATTGCCAGGCATGTTGCCGTTCCAAGATCCCTGGATATTGCCAAAGTGGTTCCAGGCAAGGAAAGCAGGTCCGCTGATGAAGGAGCTGATCTCCTCATCGTTGAGGCCAATGTCGGTGAAGACGTCAATGAAGATCTTCTCGACACCGATCCAGGCGAGGGCCAGATTTACTCCGCGAAGCGCCATCCAGTCCAGCTGTGTCTCCCAGTCCTCCCATGTCCAGAAAGCGCTCGTATAAGAAGTCGTGACTGTGTGGCGCTGTTAAGTCGACAGTTCAAATGGGAGTTGGGATAGGGACATCTGAGCTTACCTGTATTCCAGTGATAGCGGTAGGGAACTACACTGGTACCTGTAAGAGGAGACTTGAGCTTTGGAAGGTTCCTTGGAGCTTGATCTAGCTGGCTTCCGATGTACCACCAGATATCAACATTTGCCTCGCTGGACAGATACTTGTGGAGGCTTGGATTCAATCAGAATTATTGCTCTTTCGCCATTTGACACCAGGACAACTCCAACAAGACTCACCCTGACAGCAAGGCACTCGTTGTAGTGCCCTCAATTCGAATCTTTCCATCCCTGGTTGAGGAAACCGTGTAGCTATCATTGGTCAAAGTAGATCCGTGTGATGGCGACTCAAGCGCAAACTCAAAGGACTTTGCATGGTTTGGGAGACGGCGCTTGACAAGAGACTCGACTCCGGCCGTTGACGAGGTGCTGCTGGTGGCAACGGCGCCAATGGCCGAGAGCAGCCAGACACAAGTTTTCGAGGCACGCATCGAGGGCGGTCAAGCTGCTGGGCCTTTCCAAGGGGACAATTTGCTCTCCCAGGGTCCGAGAGCTGGTGTGTCTGGAGACGCATTTTGACAGCTCAGGGACCGAGCTCTTATAGGAGGACTCCGGGCATGGATGTCATCACCGCATGAAGCTAGCTGGCATGTGGGGGTTGCTGGCTTTCTGGAAGCCTGAGCGTCGATGTAACAACCACGTGGAAACGCGAAGAGGTTGGCCGGACCGGGGTCGAGGAAAGGCGGCATCTCATTGGCGTGTAGGCATCTGACAGTTGAAGCCGATGACGGGTTCGTGTCTTGTTGTTGCTAGGAGTGGATAGTCGTTATCGGCACGATCTGGGAGCTGATGGGGGAAAGACTGGCCTCAGCCCGGCTCTGTGGTTTCAATGCATGCAAGACAAAATGGGGGTATTGCCTAGTGCAGGCTTAAGCAATCAAATGCTACCTTTGCGCATTGGATCAATCTCTTCGGTCGTCGGCGCCGGTAACCCGATCAGGGTCATCGGCATATGTTTGTGCCTACTTGAGAGAGCCATTCCCCAGCATATGGCCAAGACACTTGCCAATCTCCATAGTGGACTGCTGTAACGTTTCTAGTTTGCTTTCAGGACCTTTAGCTCGCTGGCAACTGCAGGTTTCCAGAGTGCTTAGCTGCTTTCGGGGATAAATGTGGCGTAAGAGTTTGCTTTGGTTCCTGGATCTGCCGCGACTACACTCACTACGGCAAAAAGGCTTGAGAATAGTACACTTGTATGGAGCTCAGCTATTGCCTAGTAGGAGTTGTGTGAACAACTATTGGTTATCAATGAAGAGAGCCAGATAACATGCCCAGCCTCTGCATAGAGGACTCCAGCTGTGGAGAGCCCTGTCACATCGGCATATGGACGCTATTGATAATTGCAAGCATGCGTGGGGTAATGTCTACTAGAAGCTGGTAGGTGTCTATCTGACATTAACTTATCTTTTGGTATTGGAGACTCGAGATGACGCGTTTCGTACGTTCGTGTTGGTGCCACTTATACAGTCTTGTACCAACTCTTACAAAGGCCATAATCAATGACAACATAAACCTATTTTACGGCTACATGCCTGACCGACAAATCACTCGGCATCGCGGCATCGGCGGTGGTGTAAGTGCCACAGCTGCGGACTAGTACTTACATGTAGCTGGCCTACAGACACACAGGGCAATGTCTTTCCGAGCTCGGATGAAAGGATCAGCTCATTTGCACATGGTAACTTGAAAATGCAGCATGATGAGCTTCTCTTCCTTTTGTAGTGCTTCATTGTGCGCTTTGGAAGCTTTGGTTCACACTACATATCTATGGTTGTAGTCTCTAATACGTTTCGTGCGCTTGCATGCTTATTGCAGTTGTAGATGTAACCTGTTGAAGGATCATCAATAGCTCTAGCTCATTTAGAGTCATTCACGTCTCTCATCACAAAAAGAGAGAACAGCAAGTCGCGCGGGGATTGTAGATCAATGTCACATCTTGTTATAAATGCCACCATGTAGAGGCGCTTCATTCTGACCAAGGCCATGACAAAATAGGCCACATAATCGTTTGTATCTCCATATGGAATCAGTCATGCCATTAGCATATACATTTATATGTATGTATTTTGACATGGACATGGCAAACTATCCATCTCACAGTTATACCTATTTGACTAACACTACACTCGGTATGAGGCCAAATTATATATACCTGCTTATATATAACAAATCAATCCATGTTTTGATATCATTCATGCCTTGAAAAAAGTCAACATTAGATCATCTTCTGTCCTTTTTCTATACAATGTTTGCGCGCTTAGATTAACCATATGCGTACTACTATTGCCCATTTTGTGCCTGTATAGGCCTTTGCATCATCGCATGGCACTCCCTTGCAAGCCGCCTCGCCTCATCAGTCAAAAAGTCCCTCTCCTCGCTAATCTGCAGCAAAGAGCGTCTCCACGCCTCCCAATGCTGTGCCATTGTCGCCTCAACCGAAAGCCGCTGTCCAGGCTGTCCACCGAGCACCGGCCTAGGCCAGTTCCTCACTTCGTCTGGATCCAAGTCTTTTACCAACTTTGTCCCCGCAACAGTCAGCCATGAGTGTATCTCGCCAATGACAACATCGAGGCCTGGACGCCTCAGACTGGCCAAGTTCAACAGCTCGTACACCCAATTCTCCGTAACGCCGCCGAGTCCTCGAACGTATAGCGTGGCCTCGACCGTACCAATCTCTTCATAACGGCGGCGCAGCTCAGCTTTCTTGTTGTCGGGTAGCGGCTCTCCTATTACCTCCCAGCCATTAGGGCCGCGGGTATGGAGTCGGTATAAGTCGCTCCACAGGGGAAGGAGTCCTGGTAGGGCAGGCCAGTTGATTTCTTCCGGCGGAATTCTCTTGATGGCTGCGAGGAGCTCCAACAGCTTTTCCCTGTCGTGTTTTGATTCCACCAGGGCTTCGCAAAGTAGTCCCATAAACCGGTATAGTTGAGTAGGTGGGTTGACCTCGTCGAGTAAAACCTGGGTTATAGATAGCGCAGCCTCCTCAGCCGTAATATTTCCCTCAAGGTAGTCGATGAGACAATCCACGTCGTCTGAGTAATAGTTTTCGCCCTGTGCGGTTTCTCCAGCTGGCGTGGCATGAGCCTTTAGCCATTTCGTCTGAGCCGGCATATTGAAGCTTCGATACCAAGACACGAGGCTATGATGATGAAGAATCAACGAAACCGAGAGCGAGAGATGGACAAGAATTGAAGGTTAAAACCCGGCAGTTGCGATGCCTCCTGGTTTTAGTGGTGATGTAGAGTTTTAGAGCTTCGCGCTACAGTTGGTGCACTTATATTCGAGGTTATGCTGCAAAATCGCAACAAGGTTTAAAACGACCCAAGCAAACGCTCCTCAGAACAGCGACCCGGCCTAGGTCAAATTGCTACCATGTCGTGTTGATCAGTTGGACTGCTCTACTACCTACACGTATTGATGCATGTGCATACGCATCCTGCATATGTATGTACATGTACGAAGCAAAAGTGGCCTGTCCGTCGTGGCTGCAAAGGATCGATGCATGCCACCATATAGATACGAGCATTTTTTTCTCTAAACAGCCCAGACGTGTATGCATTAAGCGACTGCGACTCTAATGACGTATCCCGCCCGGCGACATCAATTGCGGCGGCGGATCCTACGGTTAGCCACGTCACCCGGAGCAGCGACGGCGACGAGACAATACATGGACATGGAGTCAGTCTTTTGGTTGCTGACTCGCGCTGGCAATTGGTAAAGATACGACAATACGAAGAACAGCTAGGCAGCGAGGTAAGCAGCGGCCTCATGGGCGGCCCGTAGGCCAGTGTCCCTTACATGAAGCTATGCCACTTAGACGATCAAACGGTTTATGGAGTACGGGATCCTTGTCAAGTATCGGCGCGTAGGCCCCCGGCAGCTGTCGAGCGCCGGCACTCTCACCTCCACTCACACGCATGAGAGAGATTCGCCTAAGATGTCGACCGTATTGGTGGAGGGAACGGGGGAAAAGCGGTCGAGAGAAGAGAGGAGAAGAGAAGGGTCATGCTGTAGTCTCTTGTTTGGCTACCCAGCTGGCTCGGCATCAATGTCAAGTGAAACAGCCTTTCATCACAATGAGTAAACATTTCGGCCTCTGCTCTCCCGAGCTCTTTAGTTCTTCCAGGCTTTGCCCCTCTTTCTCTAAGAATCTCTACCTACCTACCTATACAATAGGTCTGCAGGCACTTACATCACCTGTCTTTGCCGCCATTACCTTCTGTTTCTAGATAGCAGATGGTCCATGTTGCGAGATGTATACGAAATACCCTTTACGATCCTTGCTTCTATCGCCTAGGCACTCCTTGCTAGCGCAGCTTTAGTATAAAGAAAATCCAGTCCATCCGCCAAGACCGCGCCCCCTCACCATCAGCAAAAGCCTACAGCAGAAGGATTCTTGAGAGCAAACTGAAGTGGGGGCCAACGCGATCGGGTGATCTGCTCATAAGTGTAAACCTGGTGAAATCGGCAGATCTGATGTTAGTAGCAGCCCTACGAGGCGGAGCTCCCTATATCGGCATGTACAAGTAATTAATTACCTTGTTGGTAGTATTACGAACTTGGAGCTCCGCCTTTGGGCTGTCTTATCACGTGTACACTCGATTATTCGATTGCCAAAGAAGAGCGGTCATGGATGGAGATTGTTTGTATCTCTTCTTCTGTTAGAGCTGACTTGAAGTAATACGCAAGGAGGAGTAAAATGAAAGGAGTAAGAGAGACTTTGGGGGCTGATATTTGCTCCATTATATGTACATGTACTTTGCACATCCAAACGTTGGCAGAGAAGCGACTTTTTCGTACCTATACAACAAGCCTTTGAAAATAAATTGGTGGTGCCTATTAATATTTATAGATGAGGGTTAATTCTTACTTTCTATACCTAGGACCTAGGTAGTGCACGATGCAGGGAATACTCGATCGTCGGTTGCGTTATGTGCCATGTCCTCTAAGCTGACATGTACATAGATGCCACCAGACATCACATGCAGTATCACTCTTGCTTTGCACACGGTAGATTAGTATTACATTGATGCTACTTCAGAAATTGTCTTCAATTAGTGCATTCTTACTTGCATTCCCATGTGGCGTGTACATCTCAACATGCTTCTGCACTTGGTATAATGAAAAAAACATCGCCGTCGCCTATTTACTGCAGTAAGATGGTTCTTTAATCACAAATACCTCGTCCAACATATTTATGTTACTAGAATTGTTTTAGCCATCAGCGGCGCCTGACGATCCACCGCCTCGTGGCCCTACAAAACTCAGTCTCCTAGAAGTACATTATATGATGTACCCCTGGCCAAGCCAGATCGATTTAAGTTCTTACGGCCGCGTCAGAACTTTAGATCTCTCTTATTTTCTAATTTCCTCTTTCAACTTTTGCCTCATTGAGCACATTACCGCCATGCTGTCGATATGTTATATGCTTGCCATACTCGGCACAATGGCCTTCACGGGCCTTGCCGCTGCACCTCCTTTGGCAATCATCCCTAAAGTACCTGTCACCTATCAGGGCATTCATCGCAATGGGGTAGAGGCCTTCTTGAATGTTCCGTATGGGCAAGACACTGGTGATTATTGGCGGTTCAAACCTCCTCGACCCCATATACCTGTCCCTGGAAGTATGGTCAAGGCGGACTCATATGGCCCTGCTTGTCCCCAGCCTCTGGGAAGCTGGATGGTGCCCTTGTCCTTGACAAATATTACCGCTATTTCAGAAGATTGTTTAAACTTGAACATTGTTCGGCCACGAGCGACAGAGGCCAATGCTTCTCTGCCTGTCATGGTATATATCCATGGCGGCAGCTTCTGGGCTGGCTCCAATAGCGAGATTACAACTTCTCCAGATGGCCTGGTTCTCGAATCGGTCAAGAACAAGCTTCCAGTCATTCATGTCAGCATGAACTACCGCCTTGGGGGTGAGTCCAGCTGTTTGACGTATTTGACGCGCACGGGTTTATTTAGAGCTAATTACTTGAAAATAGTCTTTGGATTCGCGCAGACCTCAGCACTCAGGGAGACTGGCTCTGAAAACGCCGGCTTGAGAGACCAACGCCTAGCCATGGAATGGGTTCGAGAAAATATCGCATATTTTGGTGGAAACCCTGAGAAAGTCACCATCTTTGGGCAGTCTTCTGGAGGTATGGCGGACAATATTCATCAAACACAGCATAAGTACAAAGCCCAGCTCTAATATTTGAGTCGATCTAGGTCTTTCGGTGGGCGCTCACATCTTATCCTACGGCGGCACGAAACCTGTTCCCTTCCAACAAGCCATCTGCCAGAGCCAGGCAATGGAGCCCGGAATCACAGCTAATTACACATTGAATGCCACAAAGGCCGTCGTCGACTTTCTTGGGTGTAATACAACGGATTTACACTCGGTCGAAACCCTTTCATGTCTTCGAGATCACGAAATGCAAGCTGTACTTGATGCTTCGATCGCAACCCATCGACCAGATGTTAATATTGGCCATAATTGGCTTCCAGTAGTAGATGGGGACTACTTACCGGATTATCCTTCAACGCTTATTCACAAAAAGCAATTTGCTCGAGATCTCGTCATCATGATGGGCTGGTGCCGCGACGATGTTACGCTTTTTACCAACACGAACATCTCCACCGCCAATGATACTCGAGACTTTATCGCTGATTATCTACCCGGTTTATCAGACGATCATCTGCAGACTCTTCTTGAGCTTTATTCCGTGAAGAATTTTCATGCAAACAATAACCTTTCGGGAGAATTTTATCGCGCTGCCAGGATATTTCGAGATATCATCATGACATGCCAGCCATATTACTTTGCCAACTTTCTCAAATTTAATAGAAATCAGATCTATTTGTACGAATGGAATCAGACTATTTTGGATCCCATCCTGGAGCATCTCGGCCACCCAGCCGGCCTGGGCCCCGTCCACACGTCCGAGTTCGCCTACATCTTTGGAAACCTCTCCCACTACAACGTCAGTGGGCTGCCATTTAATCCATCACCTGCTGACCACGAGCTCCAAGTCAGAGCTTCAAGGTCCTGGTCGACTTTTGCCAGCGTCGGGAGACCAGGTCTGCCGTACTATGACACTTTTCAGGGGTGGGCTCCGGCCTTTGAGCGGGAAGGACAGGTCAAGGTATTTATTGCTGGAGGACCAAATGAGGGTACTTCATACATAGAAGGGCCACAAGCCAATCCAGTGTTTGCAGGGGAGAGGTTGAGACAGCGATGCGAGTATTGGGATAATAGCGTAGTCAAGGAGCTTCAATGGTAGGATTTGAATGGGTGATGTGATGTTTTGGCTGCTACAGATTTAATAATATACATATATACAGCACAATCGAACTAATCGTAATTTGTCTTGTTAGCTACTTATACATATATCGGTATACTGTACATTCATTCGTGAGGGCTCTTTTCCAATCATTTGAAACCAATGTTTACAATACGCTCCAATGTTCGGAACCCATCGTGGGCATATCCTCTTGTAACGTCCACTTTGTACTGCTTCCCGTCCACCTTGATGATACCGTATCCCACATCGGTCCATGCCGCTCTAACTCCATTAAACATATTCTTGAACGCACGGCCGATTCTCCGGAAAGGCATGGTGAGGAGGTGCTCGGTGTCGAACTTCCATAATGCCCTCTTACGAGCCTCCTCTTCAAGCTGCTTCTCCATTCGTCTCAGCTCCGGTACATATTCGCTTGGAAGCGAAAATCGAGTCTTCAGTGCGACATTATCCAGTGGCGTCGTAATGACCTTGGGGTTTAAAATGGGAAACATGCGCTTGACCTTGACTTCAAGCTGGGGCACGGCAGAGGCTATTCCTGGTCGCGCAGTAGTCTGGCCGGCCGCTTGGACTGGTGGTAGCACGCGGATGCTGCCAACAATATTAGGCGTCTTGGAGAGCAGATAGAAGCCCATGGCTCCAAGCAGAGCATACGAGGCTCCGAGGGTATAGCCAACCCACACCGGGACGCCTTCGGGCTGCTGAACGGCAGTCGGGCCCGTCATCACCGTCCAGGTGATGATGGTCAAGCCGCTCGACCAGCATCCAAAGTAGAACCAGAAATGTGAAGGCGCCTCGTACAGTAGAGTTGGCGTGGGCTTCGACGCCAAATTCTTGACAAAGGCATATCGGCTGGGAGCTGCTGAAGCGGAGGCAAGTGGTGAAGAGCTCGATTGGCTGGCTGTCGGTTTCGGGGTGGCATCTTTACGGAGCTTGGGCTGAGGTTTCGGCGCTGTAGATGCTCGTAACCGCAGCGAAGTTGTAAAGAATCGGGACTGGGCGGAGGAGGCGTCTGGGAGAAGAGTTCGTGGAGTGAGGGTGGCCCAAGGGCAGTGGACGAGGCGGAAGCCTCTCGCGAAGCTCGCCATGCCAGAATAGCAATGGTGGGTCGGCTTGCGCAGTTGACTGGAGGAAGAAGAGGCTGATCAATGGCGAACCGGGTTCAGTCGTCATAAAGCGGTAGCCATCACTTGCAATTGCTGCTTTGGCGAATCTATCGCAGCATCATTCTCTAAGCAACCACTTACAGAGAATTATCAGTCGATCCCTGTAATTGGCGTTATCATGGCCAAGCGCTAAGATAAGCCGTTAGGCCTGTACCTAATTCTGCCGTGGCGTCGGCATTGGCGCTGAAGTTGCTTGAAAACACCGTTCAGCGCTAGCGCTTGTGGATCCATGCGCCTTATATCAGGTGCGTCGAATTTCAAGGTCGCAGCGCAGCATACCTTTTAGCATAACAGTATATAGAGTAGTAAGTAATAGAAGACTGATGTCAAGGACTTCTTTTCCAATCTATCAAATATATAATTCTGAAATCATTGAGTACATACATCTTTCTCGTAACGTGTAAACTCAGCTGCTTGTATGAAACCGCAAGCCTGCTAATCTTGCCCACGTAATTTTTGGCACCCCACCAAAAAAAGTTGGATGGTCTGTGCACGCCTTCCAGCAGGGCCGATTCCCAACAGCAAAGAAAGCTCTCATCTGCCAGTAGAGCCTCCTTCGCTCGAAGCATCACCAACTAAAACCCGCGTCTGCCTCTCTGCGCTCAATTGGGCTTCAATGGCTTCACTCGCGGCGGCGTGCCGCATCTCAGCCCGGCTCGCAGGTGGTCGGGCGACCTCTCGCGGTAAGTCTCCTGCCGGCTGCTTCGCGCAGCTCCCCACCAGGGCGTGGATGACAAAGAGAGACATACGCTTCAACATATTCAATCTGTAAAAAAGAGAGCATAGCTGACATGGCTTGGTGCCTTGTACAGGCTTCACAACTTCTTCGCGATGCCTCGCCGCCCAAAACTTCACCATGCCGGCCCTCTCCCCGACAATGACAGAGGGAAATATCGCCAGCTGGAAGGTCAAGGAGGGCGATGCCTTCAGCGCCGGCGACGTCTTGCTCGAGATCGAAACGGACAAGGCCACCATGGACGTGGAAGCCCAGGATGATGGCATCATGATGAAGATCGTCTCTCAGGACGGCAGCAAAGGAGTCCAGGTGGGCACGCGCATTGCCGTTCTGGCCGATGCCGGAGATGATATCAGCGCCCTGGAGCTGCCCGCAGATGAGCAGCCCAAGGCCGGTTCACAGCCCGCAGCGGCTCCAACTTCGCAGCAGGAGGAGCCAAAGGCTGCTGCAAAGCCCGCCCAAAGACCAGAGTCTGCTGCCAGCGGAACATACGAGCACAGCTACCCGCTGCTTCCCTCAGTTGGCCTTCTCGTTCAGGAGCATGGCTTGAGCAAAGAGGACGTGAGCAAAATCAAGGGCACAGGACCCGGCGGAAGACTACTGAAAGGCGATGTCTTGGCCTACACTGGTGCTATTAACGCCGACCGACCCGCCACCTTGTCCTCGCATTTCACCAAACTGGCTCACCTGGATTTGAGCAACATCAAGGTAGCTGAAAAGAAATCGGCTAAGGCCCCCGAGCCATCAGAGGCCAAGGCCCCCAAAGCTGCGCCCAAGCCGGAAAATGTCCTAGTGGAGCTCCCCATCTCATTGGAAAACGTAGTCGAGCTGCAGAGACGGCTCCAGGACTCCGCCGATGTTTCTGTGTCAATAAACACATTCATCTCCAAAGCTACTGCATTTGCGAATGGCCGTCTGCCTGTCGTGCCCCGCCAGCCGACCACGAATGAGCTGTTTGACGAGGCCCTTGGTCTAAGCAAGGCCAAGACCAACAAATACTCCCGGGGGTCATATGTTCCCACAATCCCTGACTTCTCATTTGCGACCTCTCGGCGAACATCCGCTAAGAAATCTGACATTATTGACATCTTGGCTGGCTCTGCCAGAAAGGCCAGCTCTCCGTCAGCTCGACGGCCCGCCCCTAGACCGGCTGCTAGGGTCACTGCCGACGACATTCACACCTTCAGTCTACTTGTCCCCAAGGAAGAGAAAGTCAGGGCCGAGCTGTTTCTAGAGCGGTGCAAGCTCGCCCTGGAGGAAGTACCCGAAACATTGCTATGATTTTGAAACCCCGAAATGTAATTATAATCATCCCCCCCCAAAACTAGATTTTCAAATATTTTTTTTGAACACTGGCTTCATTGTTACTTTATGTCTTCCCTGTTTCATAAAACATGAGTTGTCTCTTTACCTGCTATGGATGGACCTTGAGCAAGGCGAGTGTGTGGCCGTTTGTCAAGGGGGTGACGTCTAATCTTTTTGCATTCACAGCTTGCCCTCTCATGCTTCTTAGTGGCCTCACTCTCGATTACAAGGTAACCTCAGTCTACTTGGCAACGCATGTATGATGTTATTGTGGGCGACTAATTTAACAATCATCCACAGATATCCATACCAAGCTGCGTCCGAGACACGGCGTGTTGAGTGAAATTAGAAGCTTGCCGCGTCTCGCAGCTAAAAAATATGAAGACTGGTGTGAACCGGGATATTCACCAACGCTGAGCAAGCGAGCAGGCTATTTAGTGCTATGTGTGAGCGGCGTCATGCCCGACTGGCTCGGCTCTGGAAGCGAGAGTCACACGCCGGAGCAATCGCAGCTCGCTTTGTCTCATGCATATTCTACTGCTACCTCTCATGGCCCCCAAATTATACTACATACTCCTGTTTGCCAGTGCCCTCCTGTCCAAGACCCCAGTGTCCGCCTTGCTTTCCAATGCGATTGAGCAACAGCCGTCTAATCCAATGTTGCTGAAAGTTGTCTCACAAGCGGGAGATGGCTGATGAGTCTTTGGCCTGAACGACGTTGCGTTTTCTGATCCCGTTGTAGCACCGCCTTTCATGGCCTAGCGCCTTTACTACTGACCAAGCCATACCGTGTAACAGGGACAGCATCGCAGTCTCAGCTCCGAATTGATTCTTGCTTGTTCAAGCCGGCCACACCACTCTTCCACCAAATGCAAGGGTGATCAGGCACGTGGACACTCGTCGCCATGTCGCATCTCAGAGACGTCGAATGGGACGCCCGGCATCCCGGCCGCTCATTTCCAAGCATCCCATAGCGCGGCAGCCAGACCTTCGTCTCTCTACACCGGCTGTAGCTTACTGCCCTGCCATTGGATGGCGGGGTACACTCGGTGAGTGTGGCGTGGATGATATGCATCAGGTACGGTACGTGGCGCAAGGGATGCTCCCAGCCATCAGGCCTCTCAGCGTTTCAGCGGGCGCTAGTATACGGTCTAGACTTGCGTGGTCATCGATGCTCGTCCTCGCCGGGCTCCATGGACACTGGTTTGCATGCTGCTACTCAGCCTACTGCTGCGAGGGGGGCTCACTTGCATCAACCGCTGCTGCACAAGCACGTCAAGAAGCATGTGACTACACTATGTCGCTGAAGTGTCTACTGTACGCTATGAACGCGGCATCAAGGGCTAGGCCATTCGCGTCAAACCACTTTACGGCGTCAGCTGCTGCTGTGCCTTTATGCTTGCCAAGTGGCACGAACCTTCTATGGGGCTCGCGTATATTGATTGACTGGGTGGATATATACAGACCTGGGATGTTACTGAATGAGTGATTGCATGAGACGAGCGCGAGAAGGCATCCTTGCTATTCGCCGGCCACGGAGCTGAAGGCCGTGAGACATTTATTACCACTTCGAAGTTCGGGAGCGAGTGCAGAACATCAGTACCTAAACCACCGGCCCTCTGCTCGCGGGCCGTCACATCTTTCCGTCATTCTGACGCTTTGGCACGCGAGGAATCGTATACGAATCTTGTCTTACTTTAATATCCTGGTAATTTCATCTTGCGGCTAGAAAGCCCTTTTAAGAGGTCGGACGATGTGTTGTGTACCCTGACGCTCATGCCCTCCTCTCAAGAAACAAAATTTCACCTCTCCTCACCCCTTGGAATCAAACGGGTGCACACGTCAGTTCCAACAACGCACATACAGGGAAAAATATGCACAAGGCTGCGATGCCCAACTATGCACTTTCATCGCATTGGTCTCGTTAGACTGACAGCCAGCGCTCCACTTCTTAATGGCCCGTCCACACTTGCGCTTACACGAGCCCTCCCAGTATCTTTTCTGAAGAGATACTGTAATGTTTCGATTTTTCCAAGTGGATTCTGGAGATATTCTTTGTGGCTTTTCTTGATTGTGGCTTAGAGAAGCAGCGTTGCTGTACCATGCCAGGCCTCCTTTCGGTCTCCATGTCAAAAGAGTCGTACAGTGTTTCGCTCTTTGCTTCTCGTCTAGACCGCATGTACGGACCTCCCTTGCATTTGCTATTCTCAATTTCTCGTCAGCAAGTGTCAAAGCGATTGAGTCTCTTAGCTTCTGTGGTACATATTTATGACCAAGTGTAAATTCGCCGAGCTAGAGCGTTAAAAAAGAAGGGTCTTGTAGTTCACACTTGGTCCAAGAGTCGAAGAGTGCGCGCTACGTCCTTTCGACAAGTGTGCCTTGTACATTGCTTCTCTCAACATCTTGGCTGGATGAGCTTCATGAGCTATCCAAGGTTTGTCTGGTGTGTATCACAAAATATATCCCACGCTAACATGGTCACGGCAGCAGCTCGAAATCTCCTTATCTTCCGCGATGTCTCAGTTGCCAATAAAGCTTCCCAGGGTTGCTGCATTGACTAGGTAGACCGCCAGGATGGTTATATGCAAGACAGCAGAGTCGCACTGTTCCATAAGTCCATGCCCAATTGGGATACATTGAACTGATGCCATGTATATAGCTGCAGAGCGGTCTGAGATGGCGAAGGAGCAAGTACTAGTAGTAGCATCTCCACCTCACGCGCGCGATCGATGCAAGCCCAACCGGGCCCCAAGCTCCTAACTCGGACAAAGACATTAGCTGCCTATCATTAACAAGGGTCTGTTGCTTGATGTCGGTTTCCACGGCGAGGCTCAGCTAGAAAAAAGGCTGGGGGCTAGGGGCTGAACTCATCCTTGACGCCACGATTTCCGTATTCATGCTCTTTGCAGGACACATCATCAACGCCTCCTCATATCCAATGTCCAACACCATGAGCCTTGAAGATGGGAGATCTCCGCTACGTCACCGATGGGCAGCGGTACCTATCTAACGCCCGACGCCAAGAGGACTTTTGGGGGGACAGCAAACAAGCCATGTTGGAACCATCAGGCGGGTGCCCGGCCCTAGCACTTCTTTACCAATCACTCGGGGCCATTTATCTCCTCAATAGCCCAATGGGGACTTGCCACAGACCACCAAACGGCATATGCTTGAAGCCAGGCAGTTTTGGTTTTGGGGCGTGTATGTATTTTGCTCCTGTCCCACCCACACGTCAGGCAAGCCGTACACCGGTTCCCTTCTTTGCTAGCTTGATATTTCCCCAGGTGTCACAATCTTTTGAAGCTTTGTTACTGTCAGTCTGACATTACATCCAGCTGCCCCGTCAATCAAAAGCTGATGTGTTGGCTGTGGCTCTGCACCAGGGGGGGGGGGGCCGTGTTGAAGCTCGTCCCATGAACAAAGGCGGCCTATCTCATCAGCTGTCCTTCCCATCTGCATGCTTCCGATTCAGGCTTACGGCCATATCAATTCGAAAGCTCTTTTTTCTGGCGGTCTAACACCAACATTGGTATATACCCTTGATCGGAGGGGAGTGACGGGGCGATAACCTCTCATCATTGCATTGGGGGAAGTTTGTGCCTTACCGCCACGTGGGCGAATCTAAACTCTCCCCGACTCTCTCGACTGAGACTCTTCTCAACGCGGGGGGCCTCTTGAAACAAGAACTTATAAGCACAGGATGACGGTAGACAAGCTGTCGTGGAGGTTTCGTGAATTGCTCTACAGTAGCTGGTGCGCCCGCTTCTAGGAACCATTACAAGAAAAGAACGATACCTGGCTTCACACGAAAGGGCATCTATCGGATGCGCAGCGCTCTTCGCCCGCCATGACCCGACCAAGAGTTCCAGACGACAAGAGACAGAGGACTGCGCGTGCTTGTGACTCTTGCAAGCGCAGAAAGCAGAAGGTAAGTCTACGAGTCATCAGCCATTTCTCATTCCTTTGGCCCCCAGACACTCGGACACTTGGACACTTGGACATTGGATTTTGTCATTTCTCCTCTGTACGCTCCGAGACACACACCTCACATATACACACATACACATACACATAACACATATACATGCACAAGGGGAAGCAAACTATACCGCGACCATGTCTGCGCTATTGCACATTGCCACACCTCAGTTGGCGACTATTGAATGTCGCGATATGCATGTCACCCCCAACATGCGTCCAAATCCCAAAGTGCGGCCACTTCATGCGAGAAAATGCGAAAATCGTCTGGTCTGGCTGCAGCAAACTCCCCCGAGCGAAGCGAAACGTATGCGGGCGAGCTGTTTGCTTTGTTGTTGCCTTGCCCGCACAGCATACGTACAGCCAGCCCGTGTATGTCTGTCTGTGCAATGTGACAGATCTTTTACATCAACGCCGGCCTGGACGCTGGCGCCCGGCTATAACATGGCTTGAGCCGGCATAAGTGTGCTGGCAGGCGGACGCATTGCCTCTTTCGACTACCAAACCGCCTGTAATATATTAAAAAGCCATTAAAAAGCCAGCCAAGCTGCATGAAAAGGGCCCTCGCTAAGGCTTTGCATGCGACTCTCAACGTCTCGGTTATGTACGCTGCACGCGCTGACTTTTTGTGCCTCCAAGTGCAATGGCCTTCACCCGTGCAACACGTGTATCAAGAGAAACTTGATATGCGACTATACAGATGGCCGCGGCCCTGCGAAGCTCATGTCCGTCCATGCAACATCTCCGACAGGCCAGAGCAACGCCTCCGACTCCGTGGACACGGTCGCTGCCACGTCCAGCCGCGAGGCGACGCTCGAAACATCTCCAAAGAAAGCGACCAAGCAAGGCAAACCCGTGCGACAGGCCAAAAGACGAAGCCGGGGCAAGGCAAAGCGCTCTCCCAATGTCCATGAGGCTTGCTCCGTCAGCGAGGGCGATGAGAGCTCTCGCCAAAGCACAGGGTCGGAATCAGACGAGGAAGCCGAAATAATCGGCCATATCCGAATGCTGCAAGACCCCATGGAAAGGCTTCGTAAGTAAAAATTGATCCTCCATGATTTTGATGCTGGAGCATGAAAAAGAAACTTGACTAATTGCCGTTGCTTGTTGCCAGTTTACATTGGAGATTCATCCACCCTCTCCTATCTGCAGTTAATTCGTATGATTGTTTTCAACACTACCGGCCCATCGGCGTTTACGGATGACCCCAACCGGCATCACATCTTGGAGCCCGCTGCGTCAATTACTCCAAGTGCCATGGTTCCCTATATGCTACCAAACAGAGATGTAACGAATTTTTTAGTTGAGTCTTATTTTGTGAATGTAAGGTTCAAGATCCTTCCCCTTTTCCCACTCAGCCTCTTGTTTCATAGGTGTCTAACTCGCCGCAGACCAGTGCTCTAATTGAGCTGTTTGATGCCAAAACGTTTTATCAATATCTAGATGCCTGTTATGAGACCCCGCTAGAGGTCAACTCATCCACCCTTTGTTTAGTTTATCTTACTTTGGCGATTGGTCTTGCTCTTGCAACGCCTGTCCCGAACAGCCCCGAGGATCTGATGATTAAAAGTTTGCAAGAAGCCCCGGAAGAGCGAGCCGAAGCTCTTTTCCGGGCTGCCAAGTGTCTAAGCGATCCTCTTAACGCAGTTGAACATGCAGACTTTTGGATGATTCAAGCTTGGACATTGATGGCGTTTTATATGTTGATTACATCGAAGCGTAACGCGGCATACGCATACTGCGGTTAGTTGACCCCGTTGAGCTTGATCAATCGACCTTTGGCCCTAACAACCTAGTCTAGGAATGGCCGTTCGTTCTGCATATTCCCTTGGTATGCACCAGGAAACTGAAATGAAGTTTGAGAATGAAACTGCAAGGCGAAATGTCTGGAGAAGCCTCTTTGTGCTAGATAAATTCCTTGCCACGGCTCTTGGGCGACCTGCTGCTATATACGAAGAGGACTGTTCGAGTAATGTCCTGTACCTACCGGCAGATCAGTCGCCCAAATCAGCTCAAGAAGAAGAGGATATCAGACAGGCCGGTCTTGATTCATCGGTCCGAATCTACACGACCATCAGCACAATGCTCAAGAAAGTTTATTCAGAGAAAAAGGTTTCAACAAATTTAGCCCAAGAGATTGTCGACGACTGCCAGCTATGGGCTTTGAATGCCCATCCGTCTTTGGCGGCAGAGGACCTTCTCAACGGCAAGGCGCCCAAGGAGATGGGGATACCCATCTTACACGTGCAGCTACTTCATTATCACTCCATCCTTCTGCTATGCAGACCTTTTTTTATTGACATTTTAGTAAAGACGCGGCCAACTATTTCAAATGATGGAGAGCCCTTTCATCGGACATTCTCGAGGGCAGAAAAGTTTTCTCAAGCATGCGTGGCTGCGTCGACTCATTCCGTGATGATTATTCAGGCGGCATTCGAAGCAAAGTATTTGCCGCGGTGTAACCCGTTTATCTTGTACGTATACCAACTTTGACCTTCCCAAGGGCATTCACTAACACGATGTGTCAGATATTTCCTGTTTGCAGCGACCTTGATTATTTTGAGTAATGAGTTTGCTGGTTTATACGAGAATGAACATTATGCAGAGTCCGTTGGGAGCGCCATTAAAATCATGGACTACTGCGCAACCACAGATGTTCAAGCTCAGAGAATGCTTTACATTCTGCAGTCGTTTTTGGCAGATGTCGGAAAGCATTCAAAGTCTCCGGCCACAAGCGAGCAATCTGAGCTCCCTTTGCCGGATGCCTATATTGGTGACCCGGAAGAAGTTTTGCATACCAGAAGACAGAGCCTTACCGCTCGACGCAATCAGCAGGAACCCTCTACTCCCATTGGAGGGTCATCGTCTGATGTCATGGAGTACTATTCTCATATGGAGACAGACGCCAGCCAGTCAACTATTGATACCCAGGATATGGGCCCTCTGGCGATGAGAGGAGAGCGCTCGATGAGCTCTGCCACCAATCCAGCAGTGCCGAGGCGCTCAAGCATTGGCCCCCATATTTACCGGGGAGCAAATCTAGAGCTTGCAAAGGCTGAACTCAGCCTTGACGAGTTTGACCCCGATGGCTCCGCTGAGTACCAACAAGACATGGACTCGGATGAAATGAAGGCTTACTCACATGGCTACAGCTCGGTCATGATGTCCCATGGGGAGCAGCCTGCCTTTCAAGTCCACCATGGTGGTAACTTTAGAGCTTACAACACTCCCAACATGTCTTCGGCGGGCAGCCAAGAGGCCGGCTCAGCTCATTTCGATGGGCGCTATTTATAAAGTGATGGTAAAAGATAAGTGATATATATATATACTTTTTTTTTTTTTGAAGAGCTTGGCAGCTCAGGGTATTAAGTTTATACAAAGGACGAGAGAAGACTTCCTTCTTCTCCATTTTCTTATGTCATTTTTCTTCTTCTCTGCTCTTTTCATTTTCATCTTACATTTTTACAATGGTGTTTGTTGTGAGAATTGTCAGCTTGAAGCTTTCTGGTTTACATTGATATTTTAAACGTGCTGGAAGACTAGACTAGATGTTTGACGGCATTCAAAAGGAAGTAAAGATCTTGTTTCATTTTCCCCCCCCTTCTGTTTAGTTACTCTTTTTTTTTTTGTGGTTTTTTTTTTTATTCTCTTTTCCTCTTACCTTTGTCAATCCTTTATCAATCTTTTCCTTTGTTTATATTTTTATGAGTATATTTAGTCATTTGCATTTAGACAGCAAACATTCTTTTTTTATTTACTTCTCTCACTGCCTTCCTTGGTGAACGAACGTAGCCTCTCTTGTGGCTTTAGCCCAGATCTACGCACAGCTCGTATATACCTCCAACCAGCAAGATTCAATACAATATTCATCTAAAATACGAAGCCTACAGATCTTTCACCACGAGCTTGGGCCAAAATGCTCCCCCTCCGCAACATGTGCCCGTATAGCCGTCCCTTGGTAATCCATCGTCGTAGTCACGACATCATTGCCCCACCACTTCGGCGGATCAATCCCCTGCATCGTCAGACCAAAGAAGATGAAGAGCGTGGCCAGCGCCAGGCCCAGATCCAAGCCAGACGACGTCAAGAAGTTGGAGCGGCTCCACCACCGGAAGTGGCGTTTCTTGATCCAGAACTGAAAGACGAAGCCGACGATGCCCCAGGAGAAGTAGTTGAGAGGGGTGGCGGGCGGGATGGCGCCCGGGCCGCCAAAGAGGAGCGGCGCGATGAGATATTTGACTGGGGATTTGGGGTTCCTCTTGGCGGCGTAGTAGATGATGACGGGGGTGATGGCGCCGACGATGAAGAAGAGGAAGAGGCCGGAGTAGATTTGGCCGGGGGAGAATATTCGCCCTGGACCGATGAGGCCCCAGATGACGGATGCTGGGAAAGACAAGGCAAGTTAGATTCGGCAAGTTAGATTCGGGGATACACACGGTAGATGTATTCTACATCTGATTAAAGGGGGGGTTGATTTGATTACATACCAGAATAAAAAACTCTCCCACCTGGGCAAGTGAAACGCTCAGGTTGCTGCTCGTCGCACACATCTGGGATGATATTCAGGGCCGTGTTCAGAACAAGGACTTGAATGATGCAGGAGTAAGTCGTAGCAACGACTTGGGCCATGAACATTGTCCTGGGAGGAATCTTCATGTAATGGCCAAACTTGAGATCAGAAACGAAGTTAAGCGCTTGGGACCTGGAGAAGAGATGAGCATATGCTGCTTTTCGTAGTATAGAAATTATAGCAGTCTTTTCTTTCACTCACATAGTAATGTAGCCAAATGTTTTGAAGCTAGGTAGTCAGATACGTATATCACCGTTAGTTTCAATAATTCGTTATTAATGCAATGTACAAATTTGGGATAAAACGTACAGCATAAGCGCAAGCGGTCGTCCCGGCTGGATGTAGCCGTACACAAACTCCGTAAGCACATTCAAGCCAATCTGGTTATTGGTCACGGCTTGAATGATGCCAATGGGCAAGGAGAAGCCAAACGATATCAGCACGGCCAATAAGAATGCCCACCAGGTGAGGTTGGTTGGGTAGGCGAGCACGGTATAGAAGCCCAACGCCAGCATCTAATCAAAAGTACAATGATGTCAGCTGGTGCGGAATATGATGGTTGCCTGTGCTGGAGGGGGAGGGAGGGTGACTGACGATGGAGAAGAGGGTGAGGTACCACCACGTCGGCGCCTCCTTGTACTTTTTCATCAATTTCATGTGAATATCTGGCTTTTCGGTGGTGCTGTTCATGTACTGCTTCCATATGTACTTGCCGTGGTGGAGGTACGTATATACCACGAGAGAGGAAATGGCAGCGAATGACATGCCGTATGATATGGCAAAGGTGGTACTATTGGCCTATAAGTCTCAGGTTTGGGCAGCTTTTGGGCAGATTATTACCTGATGAATAGTGGAGAGTACTTCTTGTAGGACTCCTCATTTAGAATGATACCTGGGTCCACGATGCGGCTAATGTTGTATTTTGCTCCAGTGTTGTCGTATATACTGGCGTCGCTCATGGGCAGGAATGAAGCATACCATGTCCCGGAGTAGTGGAGGAGGGCCGATAAGCCAATGTAGAATACTACGACACTGATCAAGGTATTTGCAATGGCGTGCCTGGATTGTCTTTGTCAGAAGTCACATCGGCTGCACGGCCACAGTCTTTTCTTTCTTACCAAGGAGAAACAAGAGGGGATCCGATATATCCCGATACCTGTGTCCAGTCAAAGGTGATGGGTATGATGGACAGGCCAGTGTTTCCACCAAAAAGCTGGTTAATGACCGGGTTTTGAGGCGCCATCCACGTCGCAAAGGCGAAGACACTCAGAAACTGTGCAAAGAATCCGGGGATGAAGTAGTAGAGAAAGGATGCCGCAGTAACAAGGCCAAACCAGGTATATCTAGGCAATCGACCTCCAAAGACGGTCGGATCTATTTGATCACTTGTCTCATACATGGCGTTCATCATTGTGACAGAAGCCAGATTTGCAGGCCAAATCATCGACGCGGGATACACTGCGAGCGGTAGTCAATTATCACGCCCTTGGACTATAACAAACGTAGGGAGGGCGTCAAACCTAGATATTTACGCATGACACCAGCGATTCCATATCCAAGCGACTGCGTGGATACAGTAAGCAAGATCTGGTATAGCAGCCCAAAGTTCTGCTTATAAAAAACCATCTGCGCCAAGATGATATCTGTCGAATAAGCAACCGAAAAGGATACAGACGCCATTACTCCGATAATCGCATGCTCCTTGCAGTTGAAAGGACCCGGATTAAGACTCCACTTGATGCCGAAGAAATTGAATTCCCGTGCTGGGACAACCTTGGCCCATCCATGGCCAATTGGCCACGCAACAATCTGGGCAACAAGAGGCCCAATGGAGATGGCGGGCTGGCGTAGCGAAAAGATTGTGTTCATCGAAGCGCCAAATATGACGAGGGTCAAGCCAATTGTCCACGCGCGAACCGTATTGCAAGGCATTTCCTCGTCAAAGTTGTTAACTGCCGCCCGAACCTCTGGATACGGAGAGTTTTCCTCTTCTTCCTGCTCATCCCCTCTCTTGGACTCGTCGTCTGACAAGCCGTCGTCAGCCTGTGAACGGCGGCGTGATTCATGCCCCTCTGGCAGATTAGGGTCCATGAGGAGCTCATATTCCGAGCCTTGGTCGTCATCGTCAGCGTCGTTGCGCGCGCCGGAATCCGGCCATTCAGAGATGGTTTCCCTCAAGTTCTCCATTAGGCCGGTTGTTGGGCTTGAGAGAGAATGGCGTGGGTGAAGCCCAGATTCGGTCTCACGGCCGCTTGTTTCGGCCATGTTGTCCATGGCACCGCAAATCCCACGGCGTTGATTGAGTTATAAGCTTGAAGCTATGACAAAAGCGTCATGAGTGGACGGCGCCAATAGATGGGAAAATGCCAGCGAACAGAAAGGGCGTATACACGTCAGTGGATATGAGCCCCTTTACTCTTTCTTCTCCCCTTTCCTTTTCAGTTTGCAGCCTCCATATTGATTTATTTGACAAAGGTGATTAGTTTAGTTCTGAGACACTCAAACCACTACTGGGCTTTCAATTGTTAGTTGAGGCCACGCGACAGGAGAGCAAGTTTAGACTCAGTACGCACAATGAAAACGAATGCACCGGCCACCTCGGCAAGATTTTGGCAGTCAGACTTGAGAAAATGAAATAGCAGCCGCGTGTCACCACAAGAATAAGTGCCTTAATTGAGCGATTGGAAAGACTATTGCATTGTAAGAAATGGAAAATTACCGTCTGAGACACAGAGATGCGAAGCTGAAGCAGTCCAAAACGGTGAGCACTTGCGCATCTGTGTAAAGGGGTTTAGCGCAGTGTCATGGCACTAGTCGACAATAGAATGCTAGGCCAATCTGGGCTATTTTTCTGAGATCAGATCAGCCAGCATTATCTAACCGGGCTTTGAATTAAGTATTTCTCATCAGACTGGCTTTATATCGTTCATTGCACAAGCAATTGGTCATCCGACTATTTGACTATCTTTTTAATTCTCATTCTTGGTTTCTGGGTCAGACCAGCTCTTTATTGTCTTGCTTCTTGCTATGGAAGCATAAAAAATGCGCCGAGTTGTCGTGACCGGCCTGGGGGCCATCACGCCTCTCGGACTCGGAATCCAGAGAACGTGGACTCGCCTCATTGCCGGCGAATCAGGCATCGTCAGCGTTGCGGATCGAGAGCCTCGAGAACGATGGAGAGAGCTGACATGCACCGTTGCAGGCGTCGTTCCGCAAGGGCCTGGCGGCAAGTCCCACGGCTTATGGAAGGCTGGCGACTGGCTCAGTGCCTCGGATCAGCGCCGCATGTCCACCTTTACGCAGTTTGCAGTTGCGGCCAGTGACATGGCCTTGAAAGATGCCGGCTGGGAGGCACTGCGGCAGGAGGAGCAGGAGGCGACTGGAGTGTGCCTCGGGAGCGGTATCGGGAATCTGGAAGAAATGTACGACACGAGCTTGGCTCACGGCAACGGCGTGAGTGACCCCATCTGCATGGATATTCGTATTCACCGTCTGACATGAAGCTCTTGGGCTGTGATCGGAAACAGGGCTACAGAAAAGTGTCACCACTTTTCGTACCCAAGCTCTTGATCAATATGGCAGCAGGGCACATCGCCATGAGACACGGCTTCCAAGGTCCAAATCATGCCGCCACCACAGCTTGCACTACAGGAGCACACTCCATTGGAGATGCTGCTCGGTTCATCGCCCTGGGAGATGCCGATGTCATGGTTGCCGGCGGAGCAGAATCGTGCATCCACCCTCTCACCTTTGCTGGCTTTGGCAGAGCTCGCTCGCTAGCCACGGCGTACAACGATAAGCCACAAGCAGCATGTCGCCCCTTTGACGCTGATCGAGACGGCTTCGTTCTTGCGGAGGGTGCGGCGGTATGTGTGTTGGAAGAGCTCGAGCACGCAAAGGCCAGAGGAGCCAAGATCTATGCCGAGATAAGCGGATATGGCTGCAGCGGAGATGCGCACCACATGACGGCACCGCGAGAAGATGGCCATGGAGCGTATCTAGCCATGAAGAAGGCTTTGAAGAGCGCGGGCATCAAGCCGTCGCAAGTCGACTACGTCAACGCACACGCTACAAGCACACAGGTGGGAGACATGGCCGAAGCAGCAGCCATCAAGCGCATCATGCTCGGCGAGGAGGGGGTTTCGTCCGAGTCCCAAGTCACAGTCAGCAGCACCAAGGGCTCAATAGGGCATCTGCTGGGTGCGGCGGGTGCCATCGAAGCCCTATTTTGCATTCTGGCAATTCACGAGGTAAGTTGAAAGTTCAATCTCCCGCTTCGTTTCAGCAGCAGCAGCTCTGCTTTCTCAGGGCAGAAGCTAACAAAGATGGAAATAATCAGGGAATTGTGCCAGCTACACTGAATTTAGAGAAGAAGAGTGTAGATGCCAACTTCAACTTTGTGCCTCTGGCATCTCAGGAAAAGGAAGTCAAGGTTGCACTAAGCAATAGCTTTGGGTTTGGTGGAACCAACAGCACCCTTGTGTTTTCCAAGTTTGAGTGAGTGCCTGTCTACCATCTCTACGAACAGCAGCACCACTTTGTATAACCACCCATGTATACCTATTGAAGGGACAAACGGATAAATGTACCATTAAAGACACTCAATTCAATTATGTAAAGACAAATAAACAAATGTTAATCGCGCAACAGCAATACTACAATAGCACAATAATGCTTGTTATATTGTTTTGTGAGAACCTTCAAGGCCTGTATTTGAATCTGCCCCTCCTTCATTGGACCCTGGATCTGATAACCATGGCCAAGATCTCAGTACGTGGGGCAGCCGAAGTTCAGCCGCTTGCGCCAAGCCATGATCCGATTGCAGTCAATTTCTGCGCACAGCGAAATCCAGCGCGTCATGGAAGCTGTTCCGGCAATCTTATAAATCGACCTTCAATCTGCCCGCTTTGATCTATAATCCTCTCATGGCTACTCCTTAAGATACCCTCAAGCCAGCTTCAAATTACTCCCCCCAGTTGCTCTTCTCACAATGGCCTGCGAAAGCTGCAGGTCCCAGGCCCGGACGCTGCTTCGGGTCGCAAACCGCACTTCAGTATTATCCCGGTCCTCGGCCGCTGCGAGATCGAATTTTCTGCCGCTGCTCGGTGCGCCTGTCCAGGTCCAGACACGGCCGCCGTCACGGAGTTTCAGCAGCACGGGCTCCAAGAAGATTCTGGGAATTGGAGGCTCGATTGGAGAGTCGTATCGGGTCATTGGCGCCTCGGAGAGGATATTCAAGGCATGCTCCAAGGCAGCTGATTATCGCATCACCGAGGAGGAGCGCAAGAATGACCAGGTGGAGAGATTGGAGGATGGAGAGGAGATTGGCCGTTCTCTCGAGGAGGGCAATATCTGGCACAGCAGTATGGCACCACCATCCACCTTGAATCCAAATCCACAATGTGCAAAGAAGCTCTGGCTGACCTCTTTACAACAGCATTCAAGCTCTCTCCTACCTTTAGCACCTGGTCGCACGTCACCATGCTTCACCTCTACCTCATCAACGCCCGCATACGCATGCTCGAGCGCGACGCCTACCGAAGCTGGCAGCAGCAGCTCATCGACCACTTCTTCTTCGAGTGCGAGAAGAAGATGCACATCGACCACAACATCACCTCCAGCGCTCTCCGACAGCGCTACCTCAAGGACATCTTTGTCCAGTGGCGAGGCCTCCTGCTAGCGTATGACGAGGGCCTCATCAAGGGCGACGCCGTATTAGCGAGCGCCGTGTGGAGGAACCTCTTCAAGGGCGACCCCGAGGTTGACCCACGAGCATTGGTGGCTATTGTTGGATGGATGAGATCGGGCCTTGCATCGCTGGAGGGCGCTTCCGACATGGCAATGCCCAATAGGGCTCTCGAGATCTTGGACAAGCCGGTGGATGTGTTCTGGACGAGACTTGAAGAGCCCTTTAAGAGGGAGCAAGGCAAGGAGAGTGTGGACGAGAGCCAAGAAGCAAAGGCTACCCCAGAACTGGCCAAGGCTGCTTAATCATGAAAGAAAAGAAGGGGAGAAAAGGAGTCAAGAAGCATGACGACGATGACCAAGAAAATGGCGATTGAGGAAACCTGTAAAATATGCAAACTGCAAAAAACGGAAGAAAAGTATCAAAATGCGTGTGGAGATATTCGAGACAAACAAGTCCTTTGTACATGTGTATATAATAGTGCTCGGGTGTACGTTACAAGTGTATGATGTACGGGCTGATAGCTGCCGGCAAACGTAGAGGTTCGGCATCCCACCTCTCTGATAGACGTATATATAGATGGAAAAGGAAAACAAACAAAAAAAAAATTCTATATTCATACTCTCATGAATCAATCAACCAATCAGTACTTCTTCTCCCACATCTGAAACTCGTACTTGATGCCCGCCTCCTCCTGTCCTCCCTCCTCAATCTCCTCGCCCGTCCACGCCTGCAGCTCCTCTCTCGACTTCTTCTCCCAGCCCTCGGCCTTGTCCCCCGTCAAATCCAGCGGGAAGACCGTGTCGCACTCAAAATCGGCATCAAGGCTCGTCAGCAGCACACGCTTCGCCGAGGGATGCCTCAGCGCCGCCTCGTAGATCTGCGCCCCTCCCATGACGAAGACGCGGCCGCCACTGCTCGAGTTTGCTTCTGCCGCGTACCGCAGCGCCGCTTCTACGGAAGGCACTCGGACCTCGGCGTCAGCTGGAGGCGGTGATGAAGGCGGGTGAGCTGGTGCGGAGCGAGTGATGACGATGTTGAGGCGGTTTTTGAGAGGCCTGAATTTGGGGGGGATGGAGTCCCAGGTCTTGCGGCCCATGATGACGGCGTTTTGGATGGTCTATGATGCACTGTTTAGCTTTATATATTACGCTTATCAAAATCAAGATTTTTAAAATGAAATAGTAGGACGGGTGAAAAAAATGTCATCAAGGCGGCTTTTATGGTGAGCCTGATGGAGATGGATTTTTCTTTTCTTCTTCATTACCTGTGATGAAGTGGGAACTCGCGTCGTCACACGCGCAAAGTACTGCATTTCCTTCTTGAGGCCTTTCCAGGGCATGGTGCCCTGGAAGCCAATGCCCATGCTGCGGGTGGCAGCGACGATGAGCGTGAGTTCGGGAGTCGTCATGGCGGATGAATGTATGTAGATGGTGAGTGAGTTGAGTGAGTGGATGAAAATTCAGGTGTAAGTCGTTAGGTGCCGGTTTAGCGCAGCTTCACTGTACTGAGCTCGACGTCTGAGGTTTGAATTAAGGAATGCGCAATCATCGAACACTTGAATCACTTAAAACTCAGTCTTGGAATTCCTATTTATGTACATAAAATGCCTGATTAATGCTCCAAGCAAATTACATCCGAGTCGCTATCATTATCCCAATTTCTCGCCGCCAATCTTTCGCTCACAGCTTCGAAGGCGCTAAAACAGCAATGTCTTGGAAAGGAATGCCCAAAAACTTGTAAATGTGGTGGAATCTGGAAATCCGTCAGCAAAAAGAACTTGATCGTTTTTCTTCCTGTTCAATTGATGCACAGCACGATGATTGTTCAAAAGGTCATAAAACTCACCGGTCACTTCCAAAAAATGGTTCTTGCTCTCCCTTTGCATTCGTCACCCAAATCCAAGGCGCTCCAAAGGCCCCCAAATCAACAGCCTTCTTCGTAGAAGCCAAGAGCACATCCTTCATCTGGCCGCGCGACTGCATAATCTTGTCCACCTCTTCTTCAGTAAACAGCTTCTTGCTGTCGCTTTTGCCGGGTTTCTCCGTCGCTCCTTGGAGCACCGCCCGCAGATTCTCTTCCGGAATGAGGTTCACATTCGGGGGCGTCCAAAAGGCCATGAGGAGAGACTCAAAGGCGGCTAGAAAAGTGGCCTGTGGATAGTTGGCCTTGATATAGAGCAAAGCGCGAAGTGGCGAGACGGTGTGGGAGACGGCCATGAGATCCGGAGGGCCCTGGATGTTGAAAAGACCGACCCGATCCGCGGAACGGCGAGAATCATACTTGAGGTACTTGGCCTTGGTCTCGTTTGTCCATGGAGGTTTGTTGCCTAATAATAAACCTGTCAGTATGGGAACGAAAAGGGGAAGATACAGGATCAGCATGAATGAATAGTCGGCCGATATACCTGACAAGTGGTTGATGCCGCCCAGCAGCACGGGAGTGATCCTAATTTGGACGAAAGATGAGTACTTGATCTAGTATGACGAATTCTCTCACGCGAAATGCACCACGTACTCTATATCGACTCCATTGGCTGCCAGCTTCTCTCGATTCTGCGCCAAGTCGGTGAAGGCAATATAGCTGTAATAGGATGCTGCCCTCAAACGTCTCTGATCAGCTTTGGGCTACAACAATGAACGTTGAATGAGATAGGAAGGTAGGTAGACGATATTAAACACCTAGATAGACGACGATACACACTCAAAGCGCAACCCAAGACTCACCGAGATCCAAGTAGCACTCAATCTTGGCACCCATGATTCGATGCTTCAAACCCCTGGTCCGCCTTATAAGCAGCCAGATATTAGCAGGATCGGCTACCCCAGATTTCTTTTTCTCCGGTTTCTTTCGTCACCGAGATCGAAAGCCCGCAGCAGGAAACAAGAGTGTAGATTGCCGCAGCTAGGCGCAGATGGCGTGATATTTATGATGACAAAATCAAGACGAGAGGAGCAAAGTACCTAGGTTAGAGAGTGATGGAAAATAAACACTAGACCTCCCGGGTTCGGCTTAAAATATTACATGGATGCAATGCTTCCGACAAGCTTCATGACTATCGAGTTTAGGTATGGAGTATGCAGTGATTATGCCTAGGTTGGGAAAATAACGTACAGATTCCAGCGGCAAACATTACAGGGCTCTCCCCTCAGTCCCATCCCCCTAACTCTCCATGATTTCAGACAAAATAGGCGCTACAATCCGCCAAAAATCCACTATGCCTATACCGCACAGCTCGCTATAAGCTTGCGGTCTTTTGCGGGCTTACAGACGCCCCCAGGCGCCGATTCTTCAGACAAAAGCGCGAAACATCAGCGGGCCGAGGTATCGATTGTCCGTTTTTACGTGTTCAGTAATCAAAAAATGGTCCACCCGGGGAAGCATCCACGCTCCACATCTCGGCAGCTTCCCACTGCTGCTGGACTCGCGATCCATGGGCGGATTTGATAAAAGTTGGAGACGGATGGCGATGGGGGGAGATGACATGTGCTTTGGCGTTTTGAAGTTGCAGAGTCATCAATCAGCTTTATAAGCCTGGTCATCCTTGAGCCTCTCTGTCTTCTCATTCGTGACAACATACAACGGCCCAATCGAATTCAACTTGTTTTATTAAGCATAAGCCCAGTCCTCTTCAACATCATCACCAGCATCATCCACAGTAGCCTTTTCATCCTCTTCATCAATTATACGTGAATCTCTCTCATAAAAATGGCCAGCCAAAAGCCCGTAGCCCTCGTCGTGGGAGCTTCTCGCGGCATCGGCCGCCAAGTCGCCATCGATCTGGCCAAGAACGGCTACGCAGGTGAAGACTATCCATTAATTCACAGCTATTCTCTACAATTACACATAAAATATACATATAATCAACTCGTGATAAAACTCCTTTACTCACACATCCCGTCTCCCAGTCGTCGTCGCCGCAAAGTCCATCACAGACCCCTCCAAACTCACCGACAAGACGCCCAACCCAAAGACCAGCGACTCAACCGTCACCACCGTCGCCCGCGAAATCACCTCGGCCGGCGGCGATGCCACGCCCATCCAGGTCGACGTGCGATCCGAGGAGAGTGTGAATGCCCTCGTCGCGCAGACCATTGCCGTAAGCACACCTCACCTACTAATAACTCTTTCCAGTGAATAAAAAAACTGACACTCACCCAGAAATACGGCCGCCTCGACGTCGTCGTCTACAACTCCGGCGCCATCTGGTGGGCCTCCGTCGCAAACACGCCCCTCAAGCGCTTCCAGCTCATGCAGCGCGTCAACCCAGAGGGCCTCTACGCCGTCGTCCAGGCCGCTCTACCGCATCTCCGCCGTTCTGGCAATGGCGGCGGCCGCATCGTCGTCGTCAGCCCACCCATCTACAGCCGCTTCTTCCGCGGCAAGACCGCCTACGCCATGGGCAAGGTCGGCATGAGCGTCCTGACAAAGGGCCTGGCCATTGACTTTGAGCGCGAGGGGCTCAAGGATATGGCCATTACCAGCATCTGGCCCGCAGTGGTGAGTTTGCATATACCTCTATACCTATATACCTATATATGTGACAATACACACACATCATATAATCGACTGTAACACGGCTAACACACCCATCATCCAGGCCATCGAATCCGCCGCCACCGAGCAATTCACCAAGAAAAACCCCGGTGAGGAAAAGGACCTCCGCAAACCCACAATCTTCTCCGACGCCATCCTCGCCATCCTGCGCTCCCCCGCCGCAAAAGTCAACGGCGAGCTGGTTCTCGACGAGGACTTCCTCCGCGAGCACGGCGGCGTCTCCGACTTTTCAAAGTACAGCGTCGTTCCGGGCTCGAGCCCTCGCCGCATCATGCCCGCGAAGCTGCCCGACCTGACTGTTGCCGAGCAGGCAGACGAGGGGAAGAGGGTGGATAGCGCTACTAAATCTAAATTGTAATACTATAGTAATTTCATTTGTTCCTTCGATTGTTCGTAAGCCTGGATAGGATGGAATACTCAGAAGAATCCTCTCAATTGCATACTGTGCTTGGACAGGACCACGACTTTAGTAATGGGTTGCAAACACTGAGACGGTCAGCGTGGCGAGAAAAGTACGAATAAAGTACTCCTACCGCCGTTGTATCATAAATATATGCATCTAAATCAATCGAAATGGACACCACCACACTCGTAAACACTTCACCAACAGTACACTATAAATCGAAGCTGCAAGGAAAGGCTCCAGCCCATGCCATTACAACTCACAATCATTGTTCATTGAAATAATATATCCATAAGGGTGTACATCTAGTTCCTCACAGTAATCTCTCTCTGGCCTATCTCAAAATAGAAAAGGAAAAGAAAAGCGGAAATACAAAGAGGTCAATACATAGTTCCTTTAAACTCCCAAAAAAAAAACATTAGGCACATTATATAAGGCCACTCCTTTTAGTCAGCGCCGGCTCCGCGGTCAATATCAAAAGCCCACCGGTCACTTCACGTACTTTCTACTTCTTTTTTTCTCATACACAAAAAAAGGTGGGGTGGGGAGAGGGGAAAAGAAAACAGACAAAGAAAGTATAAGAAAAAGAGACTTCCTCAAGAAGAGGGGGCCAGGAGAGAGAAGAAGAAGAAAAACAAGCGCTTTGCCATCCCGATCCATTATCCATAATCAATCTTACAAATTTTCTTTCGGCGAAACATACTCGCTCACTCCGCTGCTGAAAGTGTCCATTGTCACTCTGGTACCAGTGCTGCCACTGCGGCCACTGCGAGGAGACAAAAGTGTTGATTTGAGGTTCTCGCTCTCCGCGGTATGTTGATCCTATGCGTCCATGTAATCCCGCTGCTGGCTCAGCGGACCCACGCCTTGCGTACTTTCGATATCGCTAATCGTCTGGTTGAATACCGACGTCACGTCCCAGAGCACCTTCAACCGATTCCATTCATGTCGGCTTCGCCACATCTCATCCATCATCTCTCGGTTGATTTGTTCAAGCTGTTCAATGGTGCAGCCCGAGGTGACGTCCGTCATTCGATGCAAAAAGCTCTCCAGCTGCTCTTTTACCGATAGAGGCTGGGAAGCCTGGGAAGCTTGCTGGCCAGAGTTGCGGGACGATGAGTGTTGCTCCTCCGGGCTTCCATCGTGAGAGGGCAAGCTAATCACTGATTTCGTACCCACTGGGCTCTGATGTCTGTGTGAGCGGGGAGATGGCCGATCTATGAGCAGAGGGGGAGAACTGTCGACATGCTGCTGTGCTCGAAGTTGTGTGGACTGCCAAATGTCCTCGTTGGACGATAAAAGACTATTGTTCTGCCCAATGGGTAGTGTGTCGGGGATATCAGTCTGTTCGTTTGGTTCAACCGGGCGGTTTTCATCGTGGTTACCATTTGTGTTTTGGCTCTGGCTCCAGTTGGATGAGCGATGGGTTGACAGATCCGATGTCTTCGTCGTGGAGGCTTCGTTAATCACAGCAGACGGCGACATGCCAGGAGGCAGAGCAGTAACCACGGATCGTTGGGATACTTGCGTCCCTCCCAGGTTTCTCGAAGACGCGTCTTGCGACTTCGGCGGCGGGCCCATGGGAGACGTCATCTGTTGTAGGGACTGAGATTGGGATGCCATTTGGGTAGTATCGTCATCGGTCCCACTCATTTGTACATCACCCTCTTTAAGCGGGTTGGAGGTAGAGGTGCCATTGCTCAGCTGATGCTCGTCTTGGCCAGCTTCGCCATGTCCATTGGACAAGGGGCTTCGTATTATTTGGAACCGAGCCGTCGTACGAGCTCCCGGCACCGTCTCTCCAAGTGTAAGAGGGCCTTGTGAATCGCTGTCGTTGCCTCCGCCGAGGTCTGACTGAACCCTCTCCAACACAGACTGCATCGCTATTCGCTTCCGCGCTTTCGCGGCTGCTTCCTTAGCTCGGTGCTGCTGGCGCTGGTAGAGCGCTTCCCAGTCAATATGGCCAGTGCTGTTTTCGATGCTGGCTACATCGACCTCGACGTTACTGAGCAGCTCATTGGCCTTGAGAGTGCGCTCCTTGTCACCGATATTCTTGGCATCTCTTGCCAAAGACTTGATATCAAACAGAAAGTCTTTGGGGCGAGCGTAGAATCCGTTTGACAAGCGCTCTTCGATCGTCGTGGTTTCGAGATTGTAATAGTACTTTCCGGATTCAGCGTGCATAAGCACTTCATTGCCATATTTATCCTTGGTAATCTCAAAGGGCCTAATCTCCCCCTCTGCAAGATCCGGCCGTACATAATTCGGGTCCGCCTCCAGGAAGAGGTAATCAATTTGGTTTTGTTGAATGACTGGCTGTCTGAACTTTTTATATCTACGGTTGATCTGATCCATAATGGGCTGCAGCTGAATCTTGAGAGCATTGAGGAGCTGGTGGTCTCTCTTCTTCTGGGCCTTCATCTCGTCTTTGGTGGGCGGCCTGGGCGTCGCTTGAGGAGCCACCGGGAGCTCCTCGAGAACTCTCTTCTTGCGGTTTTCCAGGTCCGGAAATTCGTGAGGGTTCAGCTTCACATAATCCAGTGTTTTCGCAAAATATTCCATGCGATTGGCCTACATATTGTTAGCGTCTCTCAATCACACCAAAAAAGTCCTCGTAGCATTGCGCGCCCTCTTACCTTTTCAGGCCTCTGAATCTCCATCTGGTTTTTACTAGAGTAGCCGAAAAAGTCCTGAATCAATTCCCGCGGAAGCCACTTCTTTTCGCAATCCGCAGTAGCAAAGAGAAGTATAGGGTCTGTGGGGGGGATGGATTTCAACATCATACGGAAGGTAACGAGTGCCATCGTTCCAGTCAGTGCCGAGTACCAGGTGTCGATGTTTGGTATGTAGATGACACTAGGTTTATGGCGCCTCACTTCGGTGAAAAGGCCAACAATTACTTGCTCCATTGGCTATTATATCAGTTAGCAAATTGTAAATATTCTGTGAGTGGATTTGTGTCAGGGAGGCACTAAACCACTTACTCGTACGTCACTAAGCAGGCTGGGGAGATCAAAGTTTTGAACGTGGACTCCCTCAAAGTAATGGAGGATTGCAGATGAAATGTAACCTTGACCCATCCCATGGGCACCGGAGATGAGGAATCTGGGCCGGAAGACTCGAGAGCGTTCAAACTCTTGGCTCAGGGCCTCACGGCCGAATCCATGATCCTTGTCTTCGTACTGCTCGTACATGGCTTCTTCCAATGCAGTCGTCTTCTTTTTACGGGGCAACAGCCGATCAAGTGCCCGCTTAGCTTCGTCAAACTGATCACGCAGAAGAGGCCTAATAGAGGCTGGGAGTGGGCGTGCTCCAGATGTCGCAGACCGCTCCGACGAAGGTATCATCTTCTTGATTGAAATCATGAAATCAGAAGCATGAACCGAAATCTTGGCCGGATCAACAAGCAGCTTCTCTTTGGATGAGTAAATCTGTGGGTAGGTTCGCTGGATAGCATTCAGAGATGCCTCGGTGCAGAGGGCCCTCAGGTCAGCACCACCATAGCCCTTTGTGTTCTCTGCTAGTGACTGCATGAAATCATTCGACAGGCCCCAATCTTGCGTGTGGATGTTAAGGATGGATCGACGCCCTTCAATATCAGGTAAAGGAAAGTAGAATTCTCTATCAAATCGGCCAGGTCGTCGAAGGGCAGGGTCAATGTTGTCTGGCCGATTGGTGGCGCCAATGACAATGACCTGTCCACGTCCGTCCATGCCGTCCATCAAAGCCAATAGCGTCGAGACAATGGAGGCGTGAATCTGTTCTTGTTTGCTCGATCTGACGGGCGCCAATCCATCAATCTCGTCAAAGAAGATGATGCTAGGCTGGGTCTTTCTCGCCTCTTCAAAAAGCAAGCGAAGCTGCTTTTCAGCCTCACCAACCCACTTGCTGAGGGCATCAGCACCTTTACGCATGTAAAAAGATATCTTTTTTCCTCCAGAACCGACCGAGTTGGCAAGGGCACGAGCAAGCAAGGTTTTACCGGTTCCCGGTGGACCATGGAACAGCACTCCGCGAGGCGGCGTGACATGGAATCTCGTAAAGAGCTCAGGATACAGCAAAGGAAGCTGAACCATCTCCTTGAGCTGATCGATATGGCCTTGCAAGCCACCAACTTTGCTAAAGTCCACATTCAAATCCACGCCCAGAGGATCGGCATCAGCCAGTGCCTTGCGGTCCTTGATCTTGCCAACGTTGGGAGTGGCGCCCATGCCGTCAACACCCAGCCCCTGGCCGCCAGAGACAAGGCCGCCAGCGGGAGCGGCAGATGTCGGTGTCATGCCTACATTTCCGGCAGCATTGGATCGATGCATCATCTCATCATCACTGCTATCGGAGTCCGCACCACCAGCGGCACCAGTACCCCATGGGCCGGCCAGCAACGATCCGACCTCGCCGCCGCCACCAAAGGGGCCGTATGTAGTGTTTAGATTCCTATCCCAGCCGGCGCTGGCGCCACCTCGCCGGCGATTGCGAGCGGGCGTGGGAGCAGGATCCTCTGCCTCATCTTCAATGTTGACAGCGGTTAAGGGAGGCATGTAGTAGTTGACCGGGCGTCGCGGTCGGCGGGAACTTTCTTGGTACATAATGGGAGATTCTGTCCGGGCCTTGTGTGGCTTCGCTGACCGTCTAAGCTCACGAGCTTCTTCGTTGAGTTCGTCCATGTCAAAATCAGGTTCGTCGTCAGCAGAAGAGTTTCTACGGCGGGAGGTCCGGCCTCTGGACCGAGTCTTCCTTCCACGGGGAGTTGGACTCTCCATAACATCGTTCTTTCTGCGCCGCTCCTTATCAGAGGCTTCAGCATCTTCGGAATCATCACCTGGCTCAAAGTCACTACTATGCTCTTGAGTAGATTTCTTGGAGCCCCTCGTCAGTCGGCCAGACCGACGGATGCCACTAGCTTCCGGTGTAGCTTCGGCTGCAGTTTCAGCATCAACAATCTCGGTAGACTCAACAGCATTTTCCGCGGAAGCAGCAGCAGAACCAGCAGTACGAGCGCTCCTTGTCCGCCGAGTAGTAGGTATGTCGTCGTCGTCGTCGTCGTCGTCTTCGGCTTCAACTTGTTTTGTAGCAGCGATCTCGTCGACAGGATCCTCTTCTCCTTGGGCCTCATCAGCTTCCTTGGCAGCATCCGGCATGTCAGAGTCAATGTCCTCGTGCTTCCTTTTGGCCGGTGAACTTTGCGAGAGCTCATCAGGAGCATCGGCATCATTTGCATTGCGGAAGCTGCTGCTACCTTCATTAGACGCCTCTTGAATTGGCTCTGGAGCGGTCTTGACGCCCTTCATGCCACGAGTAGCCCTGCCGCTTCGCGTGACTGCTTCGGGGCTCTTGCTTGGCGAGTTTCGAGATACGACAGCATGTCGACCAGAAGTAGATAGCTCCACGAAGTCTTCCGCATCTTCAGTGTGTGCCCTGGTCCGGCGTGTCTGGGCTAACGCTGGACCAGGGACCTTGAGCTTGACCAGCCTCCTCGGTTCGGATTCAGCCTGGACAGGCTTGCCGGGCTTGAGAGGAATATCATCGAGCTCGTCAAGCTCCTCATCTTCCTCCTTTTCTTCCAAGTCATCCTCATCCTCGCTGCTCTCTTTATAGTTTTGCTGCTTGACTGCTACCTTTCTAGCTTTCCGCCCGGCAGCATTTCTGGGGGCATCTTCGTCCTCTGACTCTTCAGTAGCTTCGACAAATGAGCCTTCGTCGCTATCGGAAAGCTCGTCTCCGTCTTCATCAATGTCAGAGCCACGGTATCGGTTAGTCCGCTTTTGGCCCGATTTGACACCTCTGGATTGGCGGGTTTTCTTGGAGCTTCGACTCGGCCTTGCCTCTGTCGGATCAAAGTTTTCGTCCTCAGAGTCAGATTTATTGGGGTCGAAATCCTCCAAGTTTCTCTTCCTCTTGCTGCTAACCATTTTGTCGCACTCTGTAATTTTTGTTCGGTGGTATGTAGGCAGTTAATTGACGGGCCACGACAGATGGACTGCGTATGCTCGGATGGGTATTATTCGGGCCTGCAGCTCAAAAATCCAAATATTAGCTGCTGATCAGTTTGCTTTCAAGCTGCATTGACAGCATAGCCCAGCCCATTCATGCTGTGGCAGCTTGAATGACTTACCTAGGCTATGAATAGCACCGCACGCTCGTTAATCTAAAGCGTGCATGGAATCGCGCAATGACACACCCGCTGTGGGCAGAACCCGGCGTCGACAGCTGGCCAGGGAAGATGCGCACCGCAAATTTGCCGGAATCTGCACTCGAAAGACGTCGCGTCGATAAGGTGCGCCGGGATGGGGCTTCGGGCTGGCACACAAGAAATGCAGCGACGGTCGCAAATCGAGCTGGACAACGAGACTTCGCGCGTCGCGAGAGCTAGCAGTACCCATTAGCGCTGAGGAAAACTGGAGGTTGCCTCCTCACGTGCAGCCACTGCGGCGCGAGCCAAGCCGAGAGTGGCCCGAGCTTTTTTTTTTTCCCTCTGCCCTTCCCTATTCTAAGGATCCAGCTTCTCCAATTCAGAGGCCCGCTAATATCAAGGCCACAAAAAGCGACCCATGAATGACGATGTGCAACCAGGGCTTCAAATAAGCTGTTAATCAGGCGTCAAGAGCCCATTGACGCGATTGAGACTGCCCTTGCAACGTGAATGAGCTACGGCGCAATTGCCAGACACGGTATTTTCCATGTGAAATTGCACCATCAGCAGCATTTCATCGACGTCGCCGACCAGCAAACAGGCATGCCCAATACGATGTCCATCAAGGTGCCGTCGCATCGTCCACGTTCGCATCGCATTTTTGACACTTTAATTTCCAGCTTCCCCGGATTCTTCAGATCTGTCCCTGGCACAGATGCCCTGATGCGGCTCAAGCATTCTGGGCTTGCCGTAGGGCTGATGAAGAACTGCCACCACTGCCGCCACTACTGCCCATCTGGACCCCACGCCTAAAAGTCAGGTGGCCTGGCGCATCGTGGAACGCAGCAGTTGGTGCCTCGATGCCTGAATCTGGTGCCGTCCAGCGCAGCTCCAGGGTAGCTGCATGTGGTTGTCGGCTCCTAGCACTAAAAAGCCCGCTAGAAGACCTACACATTTTTGCAGGTTACTGCCTTATGGGCAGGTATGCCGCTAGGTTACAGCGCTCTGTTCCTGTCTTGCACCTGTAGGAGTTGCCGACCCTGAATCAGCCAAAACCTGCAGCCCAGTCTTGGATTTGCGGCATTCGAGCCTGTTTTTCTCACCCTCTTCCCTGCATCAGGCCAAGCACATTCAGGATTCTAGACACAGGCCGCACAGATCGGCTCGTTTCATGCCGCATAGGAAAAGTGGAAAATGTCCTTCTTTTTCCTCTCTCTTCCCAAGTCGTGACTCATCTTTTGGTCTCGTATGACTGCATTCCCAGTGACCAAGAAAGCGTTGCCTGAAGGGCATTGGCTCGCCCAAGGCTCAGCTCATGCCGCCATGACCGCTATTACGACTGCAGCAGCCCATGCCGCGACCAGAGTGGTAGGACAGGGGGCGGCCTGGCATCGTCCCCGTCGATACCAAGTCCATTCCATCGCTCGGTGTTCTAGGCCACACTAACCGCTACTTTTGGCCCCCGAGCTGACAGGCCCAGACTTGGCTACCGAATTCTTGGCCGACAGCCGTCCCGCGTTGCAGAGCTGAACAGAGTGTCGAGTTTGCTGTTCGCCTGGAATACGATGAATGCTATTCATGTTGGTGCTTGATAGCGTTGGCTAGGCTCTCGGAAGGGCCCGTCTGAACATGATGTCCGGCCCACCACTAGCAATACTAACTCATCACACACTCGTATATCGGCTTAGTAGGAGCTCTACAGCATGTCTTGCCCGTGGTCCATGCCAAGATTTGAGCCTTTGGGTCATTTACCCACTGCGGCAACCGTTGGAGCCCAGGATCCCGGCAAACAAGAACAAAGGGGCTGTCAAAGGGTTCATCACCAGATGCCCAAGCTTACTTGTGCAACTTACCAGCACCAGATGATGCCCTTCCCTGTCGTCATCCAGAGGACCGATCGACACTAGCAAAAAAGGCATCAGGTTCGAGCGTCGAGCCAACTGTCCAAATGGCCAAATGCCCCCGCCATGACGCCAGCCGGGCAGCAAACGCCTCCAATTGAAGGCGGCCGAGAGCGAGACCCTTTGGCGAGACCCTCGGGACCAACGCTCCTGGCTCTCGCTACTGGTCCCCAGGATGCGTCCCTGCTGCCTTATCGTCTGCCCGCCGACTCGAGCCTAGCCTCTGCGATGGCCGGTCGCAATGTCGAGGCGTGATTGGCCCAGGCATGCAGGCCGTCTGCGTGCTTTACCGACAAGCTGGACTCCTGATGGCCCTCCACGCGACTGGAATGCCGGCCTGGGAGTCGCACTGCAGATGGTCTTGGCCGGCTGCATCTGCGGCCTGACACGGATTCGGTCAGCCGCCACTTCGAGGCCGTCAGTTATGCGTCCATCCCTAACAAAGGATAAACAATATTGGAAAATAACACGGGCTAGGCCAGGCCCTCGTCGTACCCCGTGTAAGCTGCCTGGTATTTAGTTTTCTCGACCAACCCAGCTTTCACTTCCTTTCCTTTCCTTTTCTCTTCCCATCACGTAGTTTTTCATCTGCGTAGCAATCGATGTTTTGACGGCGTCGACGTGCTCTCCCGATCTCCTTTTTTCATACGCACCCGGCGTGCAGAACCTCAGCTGCCTTGACGGCACGGGTCAGTCCTATCTTTTTATCATCACGACAAGCCATCAAGAAGCAAGCCTTCTCTCGCGCTGGACAAATCTCGGGCCTAGAATAGAAAATTAGACGCCTCTTGCAACGAATAACGAGAATAATACCAACACAACGACATTCGCTATGCCTCGCTCATCCAGAGCCTACCCTCCGCCGCTGGAGCTGGACACTTCCTTCAGCGGCATGGGTGCCTCCGAACACTCTCCCGACTCTTTTGACTCGCCGCTCTTCTCTCCAACAAAGGTACGCAATTTCAGCACACACAGCCAACATCACCCAGAGTACGAGCAGCATCTAATCAGGCCCTTGACGAAACAGAGAGTAGGAACGAGCTCTACAAACGCTGTATCAATCACCTCGCCCCAGCGCAGGACGTCCTTTGGATTCATCAAGTCCTCGCCCACCGTCAACGTTCACACAACCTGTGGCCGCCACACTGATCAGCTGCTCTTTGGAGGGCCCTCATTATCGGGTCTTGCCCGCGCTCTTCTGGGAAAGAAGAAGAAGAGGCCGACAGACAGCTGAGCGCTTTGGGGGTTTTGGCGGGGCACTTTTTCATGTGAAATTGACCAGTGCGCGCCAAATCCTCATCGACCTAAACCTTTTTTTCCTTCTCTACTTTTTATTATTATTACGACTTACAGTACTGGCTGGATCGGTGCGATATCCAGTACGTTATACGATATGGCTTAATGATACGACTACTACTGTTACGAGCGTTACTACTGTTACTATTACTGCTGCAACTACCATTATCATAATACTTGGCGCAAATGGAAAAGATGTGATGACATAGAAAGACACGTCTTATGTGGCTTGCTATTTATATCTTAGATAACTACTCTAATAATGCCACCTCCTTTTTTTCATGTTCATTTTTACGAAACCATACGGGATCATCAACGTGGCTGCTTACGGGGTTTCACACCTGCATCGCCAATCATAGCAAAGGTTATCTCTCGGCAACTTGATCACCAGATGCGTGCGTGGCCTTTAGTGACCCTGTCATGAGATGCTTCGTAGCACGGCGAGGCATGACTTTTTCGACCCCAAATCAACCGGCAGAATAGAATAAAAATAAAAGGACAAATAAAACACAATGTTTTTTTCAATTTGATCTATCACTCTGTCACTCGGCCATGCTGACCTCCATGACCATCGGTGAGCCCGAGTGTCTCTCAATACCAATGGACCGTACCTGCATCCTGCGGTCTAGAAGACACATTGAAAATTGATACCCAAAACACTCTAGGGCAGTTTCTCTACACCCCTTTCCTTTCAATCCAAAGTGGACACCGACATGTGTGTAGGAGCAGTAATAGTACGTGTATTACTTCCTGCTTCACACTGCAACCCAAAGTCTTCTTGCTCAGTAACAAGAAAAAGAAAAGACAAAGAACGTATCTGCTCACGGTCTCAGGTCTCTCTCTCTCTATCCAAGGCTTCACGAGTATCCTTGCGCGTCCACACGTGGGCTCGGATAGTTCTCCTTATCCGTGGCCGCATATCTCTTGGAGAACCTGTCTAGCAGCGTGATGATCCACCGCTGTGCTTCCGCATTGGCAAACTCATACACTATTCTTATGGAGTAGCCAAGGCGGAAAGGTCCCATGGTGCCTCTTCCTACCGACTCGATGGACCGTAGGATGTTCTGCACGAGCTCTCTTTGGGACTCTTGGTAGTCCACCGGCCACTGGCATCGAATCAGCAGCTCCTGCAGAATCAACATGCTGGCCCAGTATCCCATGTGCATCGACCCAAGCCATCCCACCGGGTGTTCCAGGATCACCTGGTACGGCGAATTCGAATCCTGGGACGGAGCTTCCTTCAGTTCGACACCAATCTTTTTGAAGTCCTCGTACCATTCGGTAAACCGCTCGCGCTTCTCGGCTACGAGCTCGGCAAGTTGCTTTATTCGTCGTGGGCTGACTTGTCTGCCGGCCATGAGAGCCTCGCGGACGGGATAACCCCACCACATTACCTCTGGCATATCTGCCAGACACAGGAAAAACGAATTAACTACCTGCATCGAGAAGTCTGGTGCATCGGGACTGAGAATCGACCCCCACTCGTTGTTGCAGAGCGCTCCCCTCCATTCTGGACAGGCCAGGAAGCATTTGCTGCTTGTCGGGAAGAACAGCGAGCTCATGATCTAGGACAGGGGGGGAAGGATGTCAGCTTTTTGAAAATTCTATGCAAGGTATCGGAGTGTGAGCATCCCCCCCTTTAGCTTGATGGTAGCTGCATGCTGTCCATCAGCTCGAGGCGTCCACAACAGCCGGCCTCTATTGTTCAAGGGGCAACTGGCTCGGAAGACGCAGGAACGGAACAAATTGGTGGTAACAAAGAGCTTCCACAGTCAAATCACCAATAGCGTCAAAGCAAAAGAGACAAACAAGACTCAGTGGGTAAATCGGGAGAGGATGTCTTACCAGGATGCCTCGGAAAGAAAACAGAATGGCGGCGTCGTTGCCCTGCGTATGAGCTGCAGGACCACGTTGTTCCATCAGTGTGGCGATTCCTTGGGCATGTCGTAACCAGGTATCCGGGGCGGTCGTACCAGCAAACAGCTTTGAGATTGCCATGTCAGCCAAAAAGCTCTGGTGGGCTTTACTTGAAAGCAAGTTGCGAAGAAGCTTCAATGCTTTTGAACTATCCATGTGCAATCCTCCTTACTCACCTCAAAGAAACACAGCATGACGGCAGAACAGAACGTCTCAGACGACTTCCATCTTGTAGGATGCCTCAATGTCGCCTGGAGGGCACCCAGAGACCACCCATAAACAGTCCTACTCCGAGCAACGAGAGCATCGTCGGCCAGCTCCTTACCCATCAGATGCAGGGCAAGAGAACAAACGGCGCCATCCAGGGCCGCCACCGTGCCCAGCTCTTCGAATCTCAGCCGGCAGAAGAAGCCCAAGAAAGTACCAACATCCTTCGAGGCCAACCGAGTCTGGGCCATCTCCATCAGCGTGCCAACAAAGAGGGCTCGATTGGGCTGAGGCGAGGCCACCAGGGACACGGCAGCAGTGCTAGCATCGCTCGCAGGTGTCGTGGCGCCAACGGATGAAGTCGAAGTCGAAACGGTGGACGGCGAACTTTTTGCCACGGCAGCGCTGCTATCGCGGTTTGCTGGCAATGGTCGAGAGCCTCTACTTCGAATCGCATGTTTGCCAGACACAAACTTGATTGCTCGCTCATAGCCGGGGCACTGGGCGCCGTACTTGCGACAGTTTCCGCACCCGGGCCTGGCCTCGTCACACTTGACTCGTCTCTTCCTGCAGAGCTGACAGCCGCTGCTGCGCGGAACTCCGACCATGACGACTGATGCCGACGCTCTCAGGCTCTCCCTATCGTATGTGGGTGTGGGAGTGCGTATGCGTGTGTCCCCTGCTCTTGCGCGGCTGTCGCACGTCGACTATCTGAGCGATTCCAATCGTTGGGCGTGATCCTTGGCGAGGCAGGGAGCCATTGGGAGCGAGACGATGCGAGATGGAGACGTCAAGCTACCTTGTGTATGTCAAGAGGACGTGCAAGTGCTGGACGCGATATGTGCGATGCGACGCGATGGAATACTGTCAAAGTACATGCAAGCAATGTAGCAAACTTGGAGGGTGTTTGTGGACGTGTAATTCTGGATCAGGCTGTCTAGATAAGATATAAGATATCATGCATGCATCACTGTATAATCTTTTTTTGGTGTTTGACAAGCCGTCCAAGACGAGATGTAGTCGCAGAGCCTTCAATCAGCCCCCAACATCTCGATACATCTCTAGCTGTCAGTGCATGTAATGGACACACAAGGTAGCTCCGCTGACTAGCAGTACGCCACGTCTGCCTGGCGACATTGACGCGAAGGATCGAGCTGAACCTGCTACTGTATTATAGCTCTGCCACTATGGCCTCACTAGCACGCAGCGAGCTCCATTAGCTGGTGGTTTCACTTCGTGAGGTTCTGTGAAACCAACTCGTGGTGCTTCCATGCTAGTCCTGTTTAGGCTCTCGAAAATAGGGTCGAGTTGCAGGTTATGCAAACGATAGATACGTGATTTACACCACATATCAAGGCTGCAAACTAATATGAGGTAGATGCATATAATTAGTAAAGGAGCTACATCATGCAATGTGTCCATGTGTGTATAATGCTTCAAGAAGAGCGACATCGCCGTAGAGCTTTCAATAAAGCGGCATCCGTGTCCACATACTCGTTTCATCAAGAAACCAAAATGCCACCTCCCCTCTCAACACCCCGCATTGCGTAAACACATTGATGATATGAGAAAAAAACAACAGAGTAGCGCAAAAGCTTGTTACGCCATGGCAATGCCAATCAATCAATCAACCAACTGCGGCAAACACATCTGTTGCAAAGATCTTGGCAGAGCTGCAACAAGATTCAAGCCGACCCCTCTATTAGTCCCGTGTCGAGCAGAGTGTAAGCCGCGAACAGCGGGTTAAAGGCCATGGCGCCGCCGGTTGCAACCGTCCTTCAGACCTCTGCGGCGAACCGGCCATCTCCGCCAGATCAACCGAAAAAAACGCTTCGATGAGCCTATAGGCTGCCCTTGATCTGCGTGGCGTCAAAAAAAAGCAACGGCCCGCGTTGGAGGGGGAAAAAATAATCAAAGGGGCTGGGGAAATGGAGGCAAAGAAACCGTTCGTTTCCGGCTTGCCAGTATTCGTCCATGTCGCAGCAGTTATGGACACCAGCCTGATATGTACATGTATCAACGAATTCCATGAAGAGCTTGAACTGTATATTGTTATATATCACATGTGCTGCGGGATACGCGCTTTTGACGCTGCATTAGCCCTTGCCTTGGCGTATGCCTTGTTCAACGATACCGGCGCATTATGTGAGCAGTTATCTCTACCTTTTCTCTTCGCTGGAAGCGCCACCCACCTCATACGACGGGGCAAGGGGCATGCAAGAAGCTCTGTCGAACACCTTTGTCCATCTATCGACACACACTCTACAGCTACTAGACTAGCGCACCTTTGTACCATCTCTCTTGAATCCCTGTTGCATAATGCAGCGTTTCTCTTGGCTGCCTTTCCTTTTGCGATGGATGGGCATGCAACTCGTGATATCGACTTCAACGACGGGTGTGTGCGCCTATATATCGGAGGCGGGCCAGGCGCCGTGTAACAGCTCACCACCTCGCAGAGAAGCCCCCCCAACAGCATACGGGAACGGCCCCGCGCGATGGAGGTTGCAGAAGTCTTCCCTTGGATGGAAACAGAGATTTCTTGCGCCACTAAGAGCTTCCGGACTATTGGGAACGGAACGGCCTAAAAATAACCGACGTGGGCCTCAGTCTGTGGTGGAGCAGAGGGTCTCGATTCTTCACTGCTGAGCATCGTATGGGACCTCGAGTTGTTGCTCTTCCAGCAGATAGATGTTCGAGGAGTGCCTCTTACAGGCCAGAATATTCTGGAGACTGCCACATCCCCCTCTGCGAATACGATAATTGTCGCATGAGATGCCACTCCATAGCGCACTGCATTAAAGTTTCTGTGTGGGCTCTTCTCTCCGTTACGTCATCTCCTTGTCCGGCTTCGTCTGTGTTTACTTGTATACTTGTAAGCATTTGATTCCGGAGCTTGTGAAAAGAACGAGTAAAAAGCTTAGATCATCACCCAGTGAGGTTTGTTTCTGATTGTGATTACCGAAGGAAAACTTTGATCATATGGTTGAAATGATGGAGCTTTGATCCCCTGCGGCGGTAAGATGAGTGGGAGATGTGCAATTTACACGTATCCTCGTCTCTATGACTTCCAATTTCCGAGCGACAGTAGCTTTTCGACCGTCATCAATGGGCGCAAAAATTACTCTCGTAGTTGTTCGCCTACTGCATGCAATATGTGCCTGTCTTGTTCGCCAGTCTCCGGATAGCTGCATGTTGTTGTGAGCTAGCAGTAGCATGATGGCTCTCCCGAGTCCGGCGCTTCTCTGCGTTCTCTTTGAGAGCATTTCGTGCATATCGTAAAAAGGCATCCCGCCGGCCATATTGCCTCACCTGGGACTACTGCATGAGATAGCGCCATGGGGAGGTGTGGGCTGGCGGTGGTCCATGGATAAACGGCCCACGCACCTGTGCTCTGGCCGAGCCGTACTGAGCTCTGCCGTAGCATCCACGATCCATGGGCAAGAGAAGAAAACATGGAGAAGCGATAAAGCACCAGGATTAATGCTTGTCGATCCCCGTGCCTGCTCGTGGAGATGGTTATTTTCCCTCATCTCGTCAGAAGAAGCTTGGGGTAGCTGCGGGCTTGCATATTCGCAGGCCGGCCTGGTTCAAGTGCTGTAACGACCTGGGTACCTATCAAGAAGGCAAGCAAGCAGTCTATCAAGCACTCACGCAGACAGACTGGGGAGGAGGAAATCCTCCAAGGTCGTATTAGTCGTGAGTAAGCCATCGGGAATCGAGAGTGCCAAGTTTGTTTTGGGTGCGTGCTCCATTCCGTAATACCTACCGGCTACTTTCTCCATACCTCACCTACTCACCTACACACGTACATGTAGGTACAGTAGCAGTAGGCAGCAGATTCCATGTCTGTTGCCCGCCTCGCCTGAGCACGGCATTACAAAGAGGCAGGTAAGGTTCTCGGTCAGGTTTTTTTCGATGGTGCCACCATGACTCTCGCCCAATTGAAGCGTCTCCATGGGATTTTGCAGCCAAAATATGCTGCATGGGTAGATTATGATGGGCCAGTGCAGCGAGGGCCAGTGGCCGGAGGGGCGAAACATCGTATTGGGGACGGGTCGGTGCTGATACTGGCGCTGGGCCGGTACTGGTACGTGAGCCACGACTAGCCTCGAGGCTTGCTGAGTGCTCGGATGCTTCGTGAGTCGGATCTGCTTCTAGAGATGTCGATCCACCGTGGGGGGAAGGACGCGGAAGGGCAAATCGCAAAGCCGACTGACTAGTAGCTGCGGTGATGGCAGAGCCGGCCGCAAATCGAGACACGCCAGGCCAGATAGGAGGCGCTTCGAGTCGAGAAACAAATTAAGATGAAGAGACGCAGACGCCTTCTTTTCCTGTCCTGGCGGCAACGGTCCTGCATCCGGCCAGAGATGAGCATTTCGAGGCGGCATGAACGTACGAGGCCATCCAAAGTCGCGCTACTTTGCCATCATCTGCGGCCCTGGTCAAGGCCCCTGGCCCTAGTGGATGATGCGGTAGCGAGCTAGAGCTACAGCGAGTCGGCGACCGCCCAATCAGTCGCGCCAGGCGGCCCCTTGCTGCTGCTTGTACTTGGGTCTGCACAGGTGGTGCATCAACGCGACCACCTCGGCCTAGCCCAGCAAGGCATGTGTGGACTGCTCAGTCCAGGGGGGCAAGCGAAGGGTACGGCGTCAAGACAGCTGATGCAGAAGAGTTCGTGTTTGCTGCTGTCATTTATGCTGCGCTGTGAAGCGAAGCGTCTCTGGATGGGGGGATATTAAATGACCGGATTGATGCGATGACTGATCCGGAGCGATCAATGTTACTGCGCGCGTACCTGGTACAAAAGGACCGGCGCACTAGAGGTTACCATCTCAGGTGTATAAATTGCAATTACATCAAATGTTGCATCAGATGTAGGCGGGCGGCTGGACGAGCACGGGGCAGTCCGTCTTACCTTGGTAGGTCTGCAGAAGGCGTCTGTAGGTCATCAATGTAATTGTAATGGAGCAGTGACAAAATTAAAAGTCGCAGCAGCAGCTCGTGGCTGGAAATGATGGGCATGTGCTGTCTGAACGCACGCTTTGTACACGACAAAATGCACGCCTTGACAGCACAATCCCACAGCTTAAATGACCGCGCTCCATCCCATGGAAACGTACTTGGAAAGCGGAGCCTCCCCCGAATCAAAATCAGCCGCCTTGCCAAACACAACCTGGGCTTCTCCCTTTAGCCTTTAGCTCCAAATAAGAGCTGCGGTCCAAGGGGTGGAGGCGCCGATTAGTGCTTCGTATCCCCCGAGGCCAAAAGGCGTTCTGACGAAACGACACTGCGGCCACACGCCATTGTTTTTTGTTCCTGTTTGGTTCCTGGTGCAGGAACCAGCGCAGCCGTCTGGTGCGTTGCGCCCGTCCAACCACCGCTCACACGCTGTGGCCGCGGCGCCGGGATTGTCGCAGCGCTGCGCTGAGCTGCCTCTTTGCTGTCTGATGCAAGTACGAGGTTTTCCGTCCGGGCCAGAGCGCTGCAATGCAAGTCGGTTCTTGCGGATGGACGATGGATGGCCGCGCGTAGGCCTGAGCCCTGCCTGTCAACGTCGGTACGAGCTCTGCTGCGTGCAAGTTCCATGTACATCCAGTACAGCGCCTATAAGCCCCGTAGTATATGCATGTACATGTACTGCACTGCAAGCACCAGGGCCCCTCCCGCGCTCATCAAAGTGCTTGTTGACGTGATGCAGCGCTTGTATCGCTACCTGCGCCGCTGTACCTACAGCTGCCAGTCCCGTAGCTGCTGTGCTTCTGCTGCAATGTCCGGACTTAGCTGGCGTCGTTCGCTGGACGGCGCGCTGGGGATCCCCTTCATGCGCTGCCAGCCCTTTGCCTCCCCCCGAACGGGCTAACCACAGCCAACTCCAGGCCCCGCGAGATAGGACGGTTAGGGGCGTGCTCCACCCCTGGCAGCCCGCTAACCTGACCCTGGCCAAGCCCAGCCGTTGCCACTGCCAGGTGCCAGGTGCCCTGTGCGCGGTGCCTTGGGGCGTGGTCACTTTCGCTCGCTCCAGTCTCTCTTCCTTCGACTTTTCTGCCTCCAAGGGTGGCTGCTCTTCTCCTCAGCCCATCACCATCACCACCACCATCGAACCCATTGCGGCTCGTCGACTTTCACTCACTTCTTCTTTTCTTTTTTTTCTTCTTCGTGCCCAAAGCCTTCCCCCCCCATTCTGCTTCTTGGTTCGCCAGCTTTTTTCTGCTTCTTTCGCGCCGTTGTCTCTCTGCTCAGCAAGCAATTTGCAGCGCCTTCGCCGTGCCCCCTTTCCCATCAGCGTTCGCCTTCTTCGAGCCGTCTTCGACCTGTTTTCTTTTCTCTCTTTTCACCACATTGGGCGTTGCGCTTTACTGCACACACGCCGACGTTTCTGACTGCATTGTCTCTGTCTTGTGCATTTACCTTTCCTTTTTCTTGTTCACCTGCTGTTTTTTCTACTATCTGGTGACTGGCTCTGCTAGAAAGCTCTACTTTTTTTTTTCAACTCGTCATTTTCTCCCTCTGAGCCTGTAGTACCTCAGAGCCCATCTTCCGACCTCCAGAAAAGCATTACCTCGATACGAACCACCGATACCTTATCTGCACAACCCCCATGTGTCTTGGCAGCTAGTTGTGGTCCAGCGTGTCTTTTGTGACACTTGATCGTGCTCAGCAAGTTAGCACCTGCCTTGTAATAAGTCGAGTGTGGCCTCGTGGTAATAGTGAGCTCTGCATTTCGACGCGAGGCATCCTTAAACGCCCTTGGCCGCTGAGCGCCCTCCTATTCAATCATCATACCAGCCTTTTCTTCTTTTGCGATTAATTGAAAAAAAAATCGAAAAAATCGAGAATCGAGAGCGATACAAGCGCGTCTGTTTGCTGTCGAGTCGTTTCCAGCCATCGAAAAAAAACACAAGAAAAAAAAGGTTCGATTGCCTTTTAATTCGTTCACTTGCATACCTTTTCTTTTTTTTTTCGCCTGCTTTGCTGTAATATGTTGGTCGATGAACGGCCTCGTTCTTGGACATCTTGGATCAAAAGCTAATGCCCAATATCTTACAGCATCATCAGCTCTGATTTTATCGTGAAATCGCTGCCTTGTCCTTATTCTTCTAATAAACGCCAATAATTCCGAAGCTCCGCCTCCAGATCGTTTTATAATAGAGAAAAAAATTGCTTCTTCGAGCTCGTTCGCCACAGTTCCCTATAGGGGAGGATTATGGCTGCTTTGACACAAACGTATCAGCAGCAGACTGGTACGGCAACAATGCTTTCGGGTCGAACAACACCCTCAGGCGGCATGATGCAGGCCGGTCAATCGAACAGACATCATCAATACACGACTTCGGCACCCAGAGGAGGAGGGGGCTACCGGGGAAGCACTGTTCCTGTGCATTTTCAGCCCTCGCCAAATCTGAATCAGAGCTTGGCGTGGCAGCAGTATGGAGCCTATCAGACGACTTCATCATCATCCGGCATTCCAACGCAGACTTTTGATCCTAGCCTGGTTCAACGTTCTCATCGCACCAACCCTTCAGTTACGAACATGGCCTTGATTCCTTCCTATAGCCCTGGCCACAGCAGTCATGGTAGCAGCCACAGCAGCGGCCACAGCAGCGGACAGAGCAGTGGCCAAAGCAGCAGCCACAGCAGCAGCCATAGCAGTACACGAGATGACTCCGTCAAGTCCCAATCCAGGAGTGCTGCTTCTGCCCAGCGCCCACCGCTTGCTCATATTCCCTCCAGTGGCTCACAGCCGGCCCTGTCACCCGGCGGAACGCCAAAGATGACTCCTGATCGGTACCGAAGGCCAAGCAACTCCAACACGCAGCATAGTCGATCCCAAAGCTCGAATCCTCCGCTTAGCCCTGGCAACCAGAACCTGATGTACCATGCGCCCTCCGGCTCTAGGTCTGTGCCGAATCTCGCGGCGTCGCCTGCGCCTGCTCCGGGCGCATCGATGGACGATTCACAATTGCACCGCAGACCATCTCCAGACGAAGCAAAGAAGATGCGCCGCCGTAGTGTCCATACGATACAGTCCACTGATTCCTTCCGGCCTCTCTTGAAGCCTGAAAATGCTCCTCGTCCTGGGCTAGCAGTCGTCACTAAGAACAGTGACAGGGGTGAAAAATCCCCTCAACCTGCCCCGAAGAAACCTGCGCATGTCCGCAAAGGCAGCTCAGACAGTGCATCGTCTAGCCGAAGTAGCCATTCGCGATCCGCATCGGTAAGTCATCATTTTTTATTGCCGCTAACTATCCCCATGATAGCGGACTTGGGGGCCGTTTGGAGTTATGCATGCTGACTAGGGGATTGATGTGCAGTTTACCAACCGCAATGCGACTGTCCCCACTGGTAACCCCTCTTCACCGGGCTCTGACGAAGCACCTGCCAGGAATGATCAACTCAAAGTAGCCGTACCGCCAAGAGGCTCATCTTCCGATGGAACAAAGCGGACGATTAGTCCCTCTCCCTTATCTAAACCCGCTACGATGGCAAATGAGCAGACCGGAGATGCTGCCGCAGCGGCTGCAGCGCCCTCGACCAAGACTGTAGAGTCGCCGGCGGCGAAGCAGCTCGCAACCATTAACGAGAAGGCCATTAAAGGAAAGACCAAGACTTCCAGGCTTCGTCGGGCATTTTCATTTGGAAGCGCAGCTGAATTCCGAAAGGCTGCTGGTGGCATCGATGGTGAAGGGCCTGATAGAGTGGAAGCAGCCAGGCTTCGTAAAGACCCTACGGCTGAAGAGGTCTATGATGCCGAGCAAGCACGAATCGCTGAAGCACAAGAAGCTGCCGGTATTGGCAATAGCATCTATGGCGGTCGCTTCTTTGGCGGGTCGACGGATAACCTGTCTATCTCATCGACTGCTTCATCTGCCTCTATAATGATCAGGAAGATGGGTCGTGGTATGAAAAAGAGCACCCGCTCGCTGGTTGGACTCTTCCGACCGAAGTCGGTCGTGGGTGTGCCCGCGGCTGATGGTCCCGTTACCGAAGGCCAGGCTTCCGTATCCATGATTACCGTGGAGGCAGAGACCCGACGTGTCAATGTAACTGCGGACCCCCAGGACGGCAAGGGCGGCACTGGATTCCCTCGCCTTGAGCGCAACTCTCTAGACGCCACACAGATCCCTGAAATTGGAGCGGAGCGTCTAGGCAGTGCAGGCACAGACAACTCTGCGCGGAAGAGCATTGTGGGTGGCGATAAAGAGCGCGCAGAGGTGCTGGCGGCGGTTCGTAAGGGCATCCTGAAGCGTACGTATAGTCCGTAATTTCTTTCCCATTTTCCTAATCGGCCACTGCGATAAACTGACCTCAGACACAGGTTCTTCGAGTCCATCAATCCGCCCATCGGATTCGCCGGATCTTGTCCTGCCAAACATCCCGGCCGTCACAGACTCACCCAACTCAAGCGCACCGAGCACACCAAACGATGACCACAAGAGAACTGGTTCCATTGCCATTGGCACCGAGGACTATTTCACGGGTGCTTTCCGGCTTGGAAAGAGTCGGCCCGGAACACCCCAGACTGTCCCAAAGAGGAATGCCACATTTTCACCACGCCTCATCTTCCACGACACTTGGCCCAGCCAAGAGTATGACCGCCGCGGCGAGATTGCCACGTGCAACCGGCTCACGCCAATGCTAGCTCAGCAGATCAAGGAAGAGCTAAACAGCTTCAAAATGGTTCGTCGAAACTCAAAGGTTCAAACATTACTGTGGCTGAGCTAACCTTTGAACTTTCTTCTCTAGGAAATGGAAGTCCACGAGAACTCCAAGATTTACACGCATTTCTTCTGATGATATTATCCGATGGACGAAATCTTGAAAGCTGATATTTTTTTTCTCCCTTTACTACTATGGGTTTTCAAAACCCTAACCATGTATTTCTTCACTTTTATCATTTGCGGCGTTTAGGGACAGCATAGTAAGGTGTCATGGGCGTTTTGTCACACTGCCTCACTACATGTCATGGTTTTTTTTAGCCCCTCAAAGACTCATACATCTCATTAATATTCAGTTGGACTCGTGGGCACGAGAATTGAGCCATTGGGGATGTGGGAGGAGCCGGGATCGGATGGTCTCGTCTGTTGTCATTGAAAGATGAGGAACTCCTCGTTACAGCTTATGGTTCAGCCGTGTGGATAGAAGAGCAGCAAACGTTGTTAGACGATGCGATGCCACGTTGGCGCAAGACGAGCACTCAGGCTTGACTGTTGAGGGGAGCACGTTTAGATATGGCAACTCAACCGATTGGAAGATGAAATATAGGCCGGCAACTTGTGTCTTTTTTCTCTGTTGTTTCATTTAAGCTTGTCTCTATAGCCGGATTTAGTCTATGGGCGTGATGTGTCTGGTATCTCTTTTTTACAACAAATAAGAGCGTTGACTATTCTTAATCAATCCTTGCCTCACGGGCTTTTAATTATTATATACTTGCCAAGAGTGGGCGAATACCACTCTTTGCGCATTTTGCATAGCATTGACGATCTGCAATCTTGATTTATAACACTGTTTATACTTGACGCAAGTGTGCTGTACGATACATATTTGGACATCCTGGTGATCTAATAGTGTCTAATTACTAGTGATTACTACAGTACTACCCAAGTATATAACATATAACAGTATCATAGGCGTGGCGTCTTTGGTGTTGGTGCCTACCTACTATTAATCAGCTGCCAGTGTATAAAGGCGCCCCGCCATGTTAGTAAACTTCAAGCCATCCCGTCGTTGGCTACTTTTTTTTACCTTTTTGGCTAGGAGGAAAAAAAATAGAAAAAACTTTGGTTGTATTTCTTTTTTTCTTTTCACATTGATCCATACCTATATAATAGAGCATTGCTCTTCTTGTACGAACAAGGCCACTCTATACGTGCAGTGCTTCTCTGAAGTGCTTAATGTGGCAGCGTCCGCTTGGAAAGATTCCGGTTTATCGATTGCTGTTTCGACCTCGATTCTCTGTCGTCCCCGATACTTTTCGAGATTTTGCGACCATGACCACCACCGAGGCGGCGACGGGCGCCGAGCCTCCCAAGAAGCTCCATGGACGGGCGTTTTACGAGAGCATTGGGAGTCCCAAGTTTATCGTGGCCCCCATGGTGGATCAATCTGAGTTTGTTTGTCTTGCTCGACTCCCTCAAAAAGGCGTTTTGGCGGTTAGAAGAAGTGAATTGGGCTAACTCTCTTGCGTTGCTTTTTGTGTCTAGGCCTGGCGATTGCTCACACGATCCTTCTTGCTGCCCTCGGAGCAGTCCAAGCTCTTAGCGTACACGCCGATGCTTCACGCGCGATTGTTCTCACAAGACGAAAAGTATCGAAAGGCACACTACCAGGCGGTGCGGGCGGGCTCTTCAGAGCCGTGGCTGGACGGGAACCCAAAGATTGACCGGCCGCTCTTTGTTCAGTTCTGCGCAAATGACCCCGAGGCGCTGCTTTCTGCGGCGAAGCACGTTGCGCCGTACTGCGATGCCGTGGATTTGAATCTGGGATGCCCGCAGGGCATTGCGCGCAAGGGCCGCTACGGGGCGTTTCTCCAGGAAGACCAGGACCTCATCTTTCGACTGATCAATATACTGCACAAGGAGCTTTCGATTCCGGTCACGGCCAAGATTCGCGTACTGGAGACGAAGGAGAAGACGCTGGAGTACGCAAAGAATGTGCTGAGTGCTGGGGCTTCCATCCTGACTGTGCATGGCCGAAGACGAGAGCAAAAGGGCCACCTCACCGGTGTTGCGAATTGGGACATGATTCGCTTCCTCAGAGACAACCTGCCGCCCGAGACTGTCATCTTTGCAAACGGAAACATCCTACAAGACGGCGATCTGGACAAGTGCCTCGAGGCCACCGGAGCGGATGGCATCATGTCAGCAGAGGGCAACCTCAGCGACCCCGGCCTATTCGGCAACCCACCACCCCCCGAAGAGAAGAGCAGAGAGTACTGGAGGGGCAAAGACGGCAGAGGCGGATGGCGAGTCGACGCCATCACGAGACGCTACCTGGACATTCTACACAAATACATCTACGACGCGGATCCCCCGCAGCGACGGCCGCTCTTCGTCCCAGGCGACGACACCGCCTGGCTGACAAAAGGCGAGAACGGCAGCAACTCGGACGACGCAGATGCAGACCAGCCAGCAAAGAAGAAGCGCAAGAAGGAAGACGACAAGGCGCTCAACTCGTCGCCCAACATCTCCGCCCTGCAGCCCCATCTGTTCCACGTCCTGCGCCACTTCGTCACCAAGCACACCGATATCAGAGACCAGCTCGCGCGGGCCCGCAGGGACGGCATCGACGGCTACGAGAGGGTCCTGGCCGCCGTGGAGAGGAGGGTCGCCGAGGGTCTGCTGGAGTACGAGGAGACGGAGGGCAGGAGCTTCGAGGAGGAGTTGGAGAAGCTCGGCGAGAGGGCCATCGAGGGCGTGCCTGAGGAGGAGAGCTCGTTGGGGACGATCAAGAGGTGTAAGCGCCCTTGGTGGGTGGCTCAGCCGATCATTCGGCCGCTGCCGAGCGAGGCGCTGGCCAAGGGGGCTATCACGTTGAAGAAGGAGAAGGAGAAGGGTGGCAAGGAGAAGACTGAGGAAAAGAAGAAGACTGAAGGCGACGAGAAGAACGGGGATGGACAGGTCAAAGCCAAGAAGGAGACAGAGGTCGGGCAACAGACAAAGCAGGAGATTGCATCAAGAGATGAGCTCGTCTCTGGATGAACGACTCGGGGAGGGATATAGAAAGCCTCACAGCGTTATACACAGGAGACATATATATGGATAGACATTAGCTAATGCGATTTCTTTGGTATTATAGACGAGGCTGGTACTCTTTGCTATGGGCATATTTGAGCTAGTCGTCCATCGTTTTGCAACCTCCGTTTGATACAAAAAACTTCCAAATTCAATTCCTGTCTCCATACACCACCCATCATGTTCTAAAGAAGCGTATAAACAGACCTTGCAGCAACTGCAGGCCCAGAAGCTTGGATGCTTGTGGCTACAGTCATCAGCCCAGCTCCAGTTGCACTCGCACTCTGAAAATGGGCGGATAAATTGCCAGCCACAATGGGATTCGTGGCTGTTTGAACAGCTGCAGCTAGGGGCCGTAAGCAAGAGACATTCTTTTTTTGTAAAAGGAAAAGAAAGAAAAAACAGTCAGATATCTGCTAGTTTTCCCACGGCCACCATCATTTATTGGTGTGTGTCACAACATTAGGCACATGTGCCTGCTGCTGCTAGGAAGAAGCCGGCGACGGCCGCGGGGCAGCAATCGCAGGTAACCCGCAAAACAGAGTCGCTGTTTGGATGGTATTCTCGGTAATGTATTGTTGGATCTTTTACTCCGGGCTAGAAATTAGCATACATATGTCATGCATAAGACTGTTTTGGCAATGGGTGTGCTGGACGTGCAAAGCGAATTGCTTACCCCTACTATGGTGAAAGGCAGAGCGGTTTCCCTTGCAAAAATGCGTACCTCATTTTACAATGATATTTCCCCTTCTGCCTCGTTTTCTGGGATTGATTTTGCCAAAAGTCCTCGTTAATTCTGCGAAAAGAAATCATGAGGCTGGGAGGGCGGGAAAAGGGAAACGCAGGTTAACCATGCACCGGATGGTAGGCGTTCCAATTACGCACTGCCAGCTGTCCACGCAGGAAGCGGCGGCCGGTGAAAATGAGCATTTCGGTCTGCATGCAGGTGATATATATGCACAGCAACCAAGTCGCCCGCGGGTCCGCCTCTGAAGGCACTTCGTGCTTTGATTCGTGCAGCTCCTTGCAGGCACGCTGTAGTGAGTGGCTGCGGTGTCCGGCGGTTGGGAAGCAATCTCGCATCCGCACGTCGCTTGCGTCCATTGATTCGTATTCCTGTCATTGCTTTCGATAGATATTGAATCTACTATGATCGGGTAACGTTAGCAAGGACAATACCCTGCCACAGATCAGATAGTCCTCATAGCCATTGGAAACTCCCAGACTGCCAGCAAGGCCAGCTATGAGAACGAACAAATGGTGGCAAGGTTGCATTGCAATGCCGGCACACCGAGAGTGTCCCGCAGCATACGTGTAGTCTCTGTGCCCGATGGAGTGCATTAGTTTTGAGTAGTCCCTCGTGTAGGCCCTAGCAGCGTATGCAATCTTTTCTTTTTGCTACGCCGTCTTGTTAGCGTAAGAGTAACGCCGATGTTGGCTCGGGATGAGGGCGGCACGATGCTAATAGCTGCAAGGAGATGGTTGGCAGTGGCGTGCCCTTAGGGTGGCTGGATCAGTTCCATATACCTGAATTTAGCCCATGCAAAAAGGAGAGAACATGCAGTGGATAATGCAGCAACCACTTCCTTTCGAGGGAGGAAGCGGATAAGAGCTGGAGAGATCGTGTGCCGTTTGAGACTCGGATCCGGGACTATAGCCGTATGTAATGATCCATATGCTTACGGATCAATCTGATACCTTTTTAAGAGAGTGATAGTAAGTGGGATCACTGAAAGTGAAAGATTGAGGATGAGGTGTAGTGACGGCATCGCGAAATAAAGACCGAGGGCCGGAATATCGGGATTCAGTCCCGTGCCTTCCTTATCTTGGGTCGGCGCTTCAACATTTTTTATCCCAGATTCCATGCGACCAAACAATGTTCTCATTTTCACCAATTACAAGCCTGCGACCGATGCAATGGAGGTATGTTTCTCGAGTCATGAAGCTGCTCACGGAGTACTCGTCGCAATCGAGGTAGCCGCTCAACAAGGCGTGTAGGCTTGCCGAACTGAGGATGGCGGTGGCAATCTCGTCATCTAGTCGAGGTTCTGATGGACGAGAAAATCGTGTCAAGTATAGCTTTTACCTGAGAATGCTCTGCAAGCTATTTTCGAGGACAGGAAGCTAGTTTCTAGGCGAGTAAGCCCGTCGATCCACGTCTTCGACTGCAGACGCCGTGAGTATTAGTCTTGGTTTTCTCAGAAATGGTGCGCTCTCTATTGGGTTGGACATACCTTTCGTTCCATGGCTGTTTCGAGGCTTGTGTTGAGTCTCTCAGATTTTCATCACATTAATTTGGCGAAATGCACGGTATCTATTATCGCTGATATCGTCTTTTAACTGCTCATTACTGATACGGCGTTAGTCTTAGAGGTCTGAAAATATTCGATAAACTCACCAAGAAACCCCCTTTCTAGGCTTAGTCGGCCGGTGAAGTCGGAAATGTATTCGAGGCCCTCTTCCGAGCGCGGAAGAGTGTCCAGCTTGCGAGAGCCCTGAACAGTACTATGATGGTACGATCGACGAGGAGAAGAGCGAAGAAGTTGAATATAGCGTGACTATCGAATTCATGACGAGAATAAACAACAAAAGTCGAAATGTAATGAGGACAGCAATGACAATATTTCGTCTAGTGACCTTCACGGCTGCAGCTTCCGAAGGTTTGACTTAGACGGCATTAAACATATATACGATCTCATGAACGGGCTTTCCCTCCTTTAGCATGTGCTAGCCAATGGGATCCTGTTCCGGCAAACTAGTATCCTAAATCCTACGACGAGCCTGACTCCAATAAAATGAGTTGGGTGGGCGGGGGCTTGCGATTATCCCACCGCATGTTTGGCTTCCAGTTATTGAACGCCAAAGTGGCCTGCATACCTAGCTTTTCACACAGACTACAAACCGCCGGAGGATGTGGCACTCCAGAGCCAGGCATGCACTGATTACGAGCTGCATGCGTGCGCATGCCCCGTGTCAGGCTGTCGATCGTCCAAGTCTCTTAGAAATGAGCACAACAGGCGGCATGCAATATGCAAGTTGCAAGTGCATATGCACCCTCGCAGCTAAGTGGAAGCGAGTTTTCAAATCCCTGGTTTCAATACTTTGTGGCTACATATGCAGCCAAAGTCCACTGCATTGACCGGATAAGGTTGGCTGAGCGGTGGCTGTACTTCACATGAAAAATCGCGTTGTCGTGTCGTGTCTGTCAACCTACAGGTTTCTCCTCACCATTCTCACCCTTCGATTGGACATTCGCTGCTCTATCAGTTCCTGCGTTGCGACATGTCGTGCTGCTATTCGACCAGCGCAATGCCGTGAGTGCCACTAATGTGGCCGAAATCACGACCCTAGGGGGGAAACCTCAAGAAGGGGTCTGCTCGGGCATTCTGTTATGTATATATATAAAGTCGACCTTTACTTTTTTATTCATTTGGGCTAGCCATGCATCTTCCCTGAGATGAGTGTTATATTTTGACTACTAGCTGAATAGTGAAGCATTGGAGATGGCGGAAAATCAAGACCAGTTACGGAGGCTGGAGGAACAGCGGAATTCAGTAATGGCAGAAGATGAGCGCAAGGCTGCTTTGATCTCGGTAAGACGAGGGCTTTCGTTTGTTAGAATACCGTTAATGATGCACAGATTAACGTCTTTTTCTTAGGATCTGTTCAAGCATATCGGCGATTTGACGGGGCAGCTTGCCGAAGCACATATGGATCTTCGAGACAGAAAAGACATGCTTGAACTCAAGCGTACAAAACTTGAGTTTGCGGAAAAGCAAATTGAAGATTTACGACGAAAAACTGTGAGAAAATGGAATGGTACTGGTCAGTGAGAAGCCACCTAACAGTTGCGCAGGATGATCATGTTTTTAGTATGGTTATAATTGATGGCGACAATATGCCGGTAAGTTGGCACAATTGTAGGCTTCTTCCATAATAAAGCCGCTCTGACTCTTCTGAAATGCATTAGTTCCAGGACGAATTTGCTAGAGACGGCCTCGCGGGAGGCAAAAGGGCAGCTGGTCTCCTTAGAAAGGCAATAGCTGAGGATATCAAGACGAGATACCCGTCTGTTCCTACGAACGTCCAAGTGGTTATTCGTGTGTATGCGAATTTAAGAGGGTTAAGCAAGAAATATAGAGAACTTATGCCTGACTCGGCATCGTTTGAAGAGTTTGTTCGTGGATTTAATACGGTCCACCCTATGTGCGATTTCATCGACGCCGGGTGTGGCAAAGAATGTGCCGATGAGAAGATAAAAGGTAAGCTTCCGCAGTTGTATACTCTTTTCTTTCTTTCTTTTTCTTCCTGCAAAGGTCCACGGATGACTACATCTGAAACTAATAACTTGCAGCGTCTATGAAGTTTGGCCTTGATGATAGTCATTGCAAACAAGTGTTTTTTGGTGGACCAGGAGACAACGGATATGCCCGTGTTTTCGACTCTTTCCTTGAAGACCAGGCAATCAGAGAACGGATCACGCTGATGGCAGGCCCCCCTTTTGCGTACGAACTGGCGGCAATCAAGGACAAATTCTATAACATTACGCTGGACAGCATCTTTCGAAGCCTGAAGCTTCCCAGCGAAGCCAACCGGAGGACCTCGTTTCACATCACTCCGCCAGGAACTCCCATGTTTCCAAACACTCCGCTGAACTTTGCAGCCGTTGCAAAGGTACCTAGCAGCCCAGCTCACAGCGCTCCGGTCCAGTTATACTACGCAGAGCCCAAAGTGCCTCCGCAGGGGGACATATTGCGGAATAAATTTGGACAGAGAGTGGATTCACGGCTTTCATTCTTGCAATCTGATTTCTCGAATTTGAAAGACCGAAAGCTTTGCAACAATTTCCACATCCTGGGCAAGTGTTACTACCTTGAAAAGTTTGGCAAATGCCATCACGTCCATGGAGAGAAATTGACGGGCCAGCGACTAGAAGCCCTGCGAGCCATTGCTCGCCAGTCTCCGTGCTTGAATGGACTAAGCTGCAGCCACACGGATTGTGTGGCCGGACACAAGTGCCCAAGGGAGCCTTGCCATTTGGAAAACTGCTGGTTCCCCAAAGAAATGCACAACGTTGACTCTCAGGCCGTCGCTGATTAAGATGATGTTTGAGCTAAATATTTTATAATAAGGGCCATGGGAGGGAATTTGAATTGAACTTGTACAAGTGTTCGTTTTGGGACGGACGGACGGACGGATGGATATTACACGGATGGGCGAGGTTGGCTGACTGGCGGTACGATGAACATGATACATGGTGTTCATTTGCACACCGACAGCATTGCTTCGACGGCTAGGTATAATAAAATGATGTTGGTCAAAATTGAGTTAGTTTTTAGTTTTTAGTCTTTAGTTAATTTAATTTTTCTTTTCAAAACAATGGAGGAATAGAAGCCTGGTTTTCTTGTGACAGTTGAAGCTCAACGGCAACGTTGAACTCGTCACCGTGGGGGGTTGTGCTATCGCAGCCACCGGAAAGCCCCCAAGCTGGGTCTCTATCCACTGTGGCACCGCTAAATGGACCTTTTCTAGTGGGCTTTTTAGGCTCGCCGAAGCCAAGATTGTACGAGCTGACCGATGACGCTCGAAATAGCCGTGAAGCCGTCGTATCAGAAAGCTACAAGGTACAAAGTTGCATCCGAGGACCGCAGAATAATGCTTTACAATCTCGAACCAAGACAGCTTATTTTGTCAGGCAATCAAAACTCGGATCCATCTCCAAGTTCTCGATATCCCGAGGCGCTGCTTCGAAGGTGCTACGGTGGACCAGCGTGTACAAAGATGGGCTCAATTTAGAGGTCCAGGGGCTGAACATTAGTGAACATTAGTACCCAAACGGCACGTGGAATTCTGCCCCACGAAACGGCCAACTTCTGCTCCCCCAACATGCTCCAAGACGCCCTTCCTTTCTTGTCCTCTCTTGACAGCCGCTTTTCGGCCGCCATGAAGCTCTCTCGGCTGCTCCCCGCAAAGTGGGGGAGGGGTCTCGCTCTCGTGGGGGGAGAATCAGCTTGAAAGCAATGGCTGAGGCCGAGATGGAGCTTTTGGATGGACAAGAGCCAGCGCTGCACTGTTTCTCTTAAAGGATTCCCTGGTTCTGCTTCTCTTTCCTCTCTCTTCATAAACATTCCCTACACTGGGCTTGGTGTTGAGCGGAGAAAAGAATAAGAACGTATGCGGTACAACGCTGACCTGATCCAAGCCACTCTGCTAGAATTAGAAAGCCTCACCGTCTTGCCCATTCTTCATAATGTCTTACCAAAGCACTCAGCTCGCCAGCGGCTGGACCTTTAGACAGCACCAGGGGCCTTCTGCAGAATGGCTTTCGGTAGCAAAGGTGCCGACGCAGGTTCATATAGATCTGCTGGCTAACAAGAAGTATGCCCCTGTACCCTATACATGATTCTCAAAGACAGCAGCTCCTCTCCATGGCGAGATTTTCTGGACGTGATACGGAACTAACAGCAGCATAGAATCCCGGATCCCTTTGTGGACCTGAATGAACGCGCTGTTCAATGGATTGGCGACAAAGATTGGGAGTACCAAGTCACGTTCAAGCCTGAGCCTGCGGAGGGTGAACATGTCACGAGAGATCTCGTCTTTAGTGGTCTTGACACTTTCGCTACAGTCTATCTCAACGAGAACAAGATACTCGAGACGGAAAACATGTTTGTGTCTTACCGCGTCAATGTCACGGATCGCATCAAATCCGGATCCGACAATGTCCTTCGCATCATCTTCCACTCCGCCATTGCCAAAGGCGAGGAGCTCATCAAAGAGCACAGCCATGAGCACAATTTCCTAGTCAGACAGACTGAGAGGAGCCGTGTCTCGGTACGCAAGGCTCAGTACAACTGGGGCTGGGACTGGGGCCCAATTCTCATGACAGCGGGGCCCTGGAAGCCCGTCACTCTCGAGACATACGTAACAAGGATTGACGATATCTGGGCTCAAAACGAAGTCAGCGAGCATCTGAAATCCGTTTCAGGTTCTATTTTCACTCATGTGGCTGGCCATCTAAGCAAAGATGACCAGGTCTCAATATCTTTATCATTAGATGGCCAAACAGTATTCCAGCAAGTAGTCGATGTTACGGACTCTACCTTGGCCAAGGACGGATTGATCAAAGTTCCCTTTAAGCTTGAAGATCCGAAACTTTGGTATCCAAAAGGGTATGGAAGCCAGCCCCGGTACCTCCTTCAAGCTAAGCTTCAGAACAAGAATTCTACTACCAACGAGGTCGACACCAAGTCAAAGCTGGTCGGGTTCCGTCGAACAGAACTGGTCCAAGAAGCAGACGCACATGGCAAATCATTCTACTTCCGCATCAACAACGTCGATGTATTCGCTGGTGGCTCATGCTGGATCCCAGCAGACAGCTACCTCGCTGGCGTCCCCCCTGAGCGCTACTATGAGTGGGCCAAGCTCATGGCAGAGGGCAACCAAGTCATGCTGCGAGTCTGGGGAGGTGGCGTTTACGAAGAAACTGCTTTGATTGAAGCCTGCGACGAGCTTGGCATCTTGGTGTTCCACGACTTTCAATTCGCGTGCGCGTCTTATCCTGCCTACCCATCCTACCTGAAGACTCTGGAAGAAGAGGCGAGACAGCAGATTAGACGTCTGCGAGCGCATCCTTCTGTGGTGGTTTGGGCAGGAAACAACGAAGACTACCAGGTCCAGGAGAGGTATAAGCTCGACTATGACTTTGAAAACAAAGACCCAGACTCATGGCTCAAATCATCGTTCCCGGCCCGGTATATCTATGAGCACTTCTTGCCAAAGTTGGTCGAGGAGGAAGATCCAGGCAAGATTTATCACCCAAGCAGCCCCTGGGGTGATGGAAAGCCCACCGCCGACCCGACTGTTGGCGATATCCACCAATGGAATAGTAAGCCCTCTAATATGTCTGAGAAGTTCACATCATTGACTAACAAATCTTCTTAAACAGTCTGGCACGGTGCCATGAACAAATACCAAGAAGCAGTCGGCATGGGCGGCCGTTTCGTCAGTGAATTCGGAATGGAAGCGTATCCTCACCTCAGCACGACCCGTCGCATGGCCAGCGATCCCGCCCAGCTCTACCCCGGCTCCATGGTCCTCGATTTCCACAACAAGGCCATTGGCCACGAACGCCGCATGATGAGCTACGTCGTGGACAACTTCAGGCCCCGGCATGATCTCGGCGGCTACACACATCTCACGCAAATCGTGCAGTCCGAGACGATGCGTGCTGCGTACAAGGCATGGCGGCGACAATGGGGCAAGCCAGGCGCCCGGCAATGCGGCGGTGTGCTTGTGTGGCAGCTCAACGACTGCTGGCCGACCATGTCTTGGGCTGTGGTGGATTACTATCTCATCAAAAAGCCCGCGTACTACGCCATCTCCCGAGCGTTGCGGGCCATTGACGTGGGCGTACACAGAACGTTTCATGACTGGACTCAAACAGGATACTGGGTTGACGAGAACTCCGGTCTCGTCACGGGCCAAGTCGACCAGACTCTGCCTGCTCGCAAGGGAACATTCGACGTCTGGGTCGTCAGCAGCAATACAAAGCCCGTCAACTTGAACGTCGTTGTGCGCTTCATCTCCGTTCGTTCAGGCAAAGACGTTTCCGACCCTATCAAATCAACCATCACCGCTTCTGCCAACTCCACAACCGACATCCTCCAAGGCAAGGCACTCCCACCTTCAATCCCCAACGCCGACGACCTTAGCAAGCCCTTTTCCGTTTCCGAGTACGACCCATACGTCGTCCACGCCGTCATCACAGACGCTGCTACCGGCGTCCTCATCGCAACAGACACTGCATGGCCCGACCCCATCAAATTCCTCGACTTGTCCAACCGGGGCATCACGTTCGAGGTTTCTGCTGCAAAGGACGAAATCGTCATTTCAGCTGGCAAGCCCGTCAAGGGATTCGTCTTTGAAGAGGTGGAGGGCTTGAAGCTGAGTGACAACGGCTTTGATATTGTGCCCGGGGAGAAGCAGACTGTGAAAGTGGAGGGAGCGCTGACGGCGGATCAGCTGCTGTGGACGTGTATTGGAGCATCTGACGCATCGTTGAAGATTTCTGATGCGTCTTTATAGTTGCCCAATGGCAGAAGTGAAAATGTTACATGTTTTTAACTGAAAGATGAGATATAATCTGATAGTATAACGTGGTGGGGGGGTCAACTCAACATAGTGGCAAGAGACACAGGGTGTGATTAGACCAAATAGATGAAGTCTAGATCGGGTGGCTTATTCAATCAAAGGCCTGTACTGTAGCCGGACATGGAAGCTGTGCATGTAATATTCACATCAAATAAACGAGGAGATGGGCTGTGAAGAAAATGAATCAATTTATTATTTTCCATTACAATCGCTAAAATCAAACTTATTTTCCTTTATTCCATTACTATGCATATCCCCATCCAAAGGTATAAAACGTAAGCTTAAAAAGAAAAAGTCCTCAGTCTCTCCGTCTCGCACGCTTCATCGGCGGACTACGGCTGATGGAACGTGTCCTAGACCGAGAGCGAGAGGAATAGGATGCCGAAGAATGAGACGAAACCGAACGCCTTCGCTTCGTTGGCGGACTGCGGCTGCGAGAAGGTGTCCTAGAGCGAGGGCGGCCGCGGCCGCGACCACGAGCGCGAGAGGCAGCAGAACTAGAACGGGATGGAGATCGAGACCGGGATCGGGATGCTGAGAGAGAGCGAGGGCGTGAGCGTGATCGGGAACGAGAATAGGAGGGCGACCGTGAGCGAGACCGTGAGCGAGACCGTGAATCCGAGTACGATCGATCCCTCCCACCACGCCTTGGGGGCGTTCGAGAAAGCGATCGGCCTCGTCCGCCACCGCCACGACGAGCCGGAGAACGAGCCGGAGAACGACTCCTAGAGCGTGAGCGAGAAGAATATGACGAGCGAGAATGAGATGAATAGCTCGATACAGAATCTGAATCTGAGCGGTCCTGAGCAACAGGGGCGGGGAGCGCAGGCTTAGGCATGTTCTGAAGATGCTCTCGCATCTCCTCGGTCAAAACACCCAGGCCAATACTGGTAAAGTAGTTGATGGAGAATCTGATGTTGCGGGGGTTCTCCATGGGGAAGATGCCTTCGAGGTTAGGTCGGAGAGTTTCGTCGGTCAGGCGTGCCCTCAGCTTGGGCAATCCGGTTTCCTCCAAGATGTGCTGAAACAGGATCTTGATGAAGATACGGCTACTGGATGTAGTTTCATCTTCGTTGAGGTGAATGACGCCAAGGCAATGCCAGCCTAGAGCGTCGGACGCAAACATGTGACCAAACAGCATTGCAATGTTTCGCAGCTTGTTGTTCTCATATCGGTGAATAGTCTCGTAGTACTTTGCAAAGGCCTGCTCGAAGAGATCGCACCACAGACGGTTGATCTTGGCAAAGCGCTCGCCAATCATGCCAAAGAACTTGGTGTAAGTCTTTTCCTGGGAGCAACACTCGATAATCATCGATGGTAGCTCGGGCTCTTGACCTTCAGGCAGGTTGATCTTCATCAGCTTGTGAACTGCTTCTTCTGGGTCGGCACTCGACATGATGGTCAGGTAGATGGTCCTTCGAAGGTTGACCAAGTCGGCGTTGGACTGGTCCTTGATCTCCACGGCCTTTGACTCCTCGTCTTCCTCCTCCTCGGAGCTCTCGTCCTCGTCGTCCTCGTCGTCTTCGTCATCGCTGCCTTCGCCAAGAATTTCTGCCTTGAGTCTCTTATAGGCCTCCTCGTGCTCCTCCCACTCGGCGTCAAACTTGAAAACGTTGAGCCCGTCCTGAACATCAACCTCGCCATCAAGCTCAACCTTGTGTGTAATTTGGTCCTCCTCTTCAACCAAGTCCAGCTCCTCTTTGATGGCCGGGCTCTCCTTGAACTTATCTTTTCGGATCTGGAAAAGAACTTCAATCATGTACTGTGTCCGCTTATCGATGTCCGACTCGTGGAGGATGTTGCGAAACTGATCGAACACGGCCATCGAGATGGCAGGCTGCATCTCCTCCAGGTATTGCCCCACCTCCTTGCAGAATCCCACAGCAATCTCAACACTATCGTCCGTCGGCTTGTGCAGGAGCAGCAAGAGAATTTGGCCAGCTAGCATCTCATGCTGAACCTGCTGGTTGATCAGATGCGCGAGGAACGTCGTCGAGGAGAGGCAAACGGCCTTGTCGTTTCGCTTGAATCCCTTGCGGAACTGCATAATCAGGCGCTTTATCAGCAGCTCACCGACCTGGGGAAGCTTCGTGTTGACAATCGCCGCCATGGCCGCGTAGATGGGCGTGAAGGGCAAACTCGCAGCCTGGGCTTTCATGATGGATCTGCAGAACAGGCCCCTGCCCCGAACCAAGTTCTCGCCAAACAGCTCGGGAACGATGTACTTGATGTTGGCGGTGTTGACCTTGTTGATCAGACCGTTGATACTCTTCTTCAGCGCCTCCCACGCCATCCTCTGATACTCTTTGCTGGTCTTGTCCGTGATCTGCGCCTGGAGCGCTCTGAGCCTCGCGGGGGGGATGTAGGTTCCTCCCGATCGCATGTTTAGCAGTTTTTCGTACTCGGCTTTTGCTGCTGCCTGCTTCTCTTCTTCGGTTCGCACGGGAGGAGCAGGCGATGGAGAGCGATCGCCTCTCGAAGGACGATAGAAATCACCATCTCGTGGCATTCCGCGCTCACGGCGCGGTACGTCACTCACGGCCGACGCCATTGTATCGCGTGAAGCTGAGCGGGGGGGATCAGAGACCGTGATGCGTAATAAGAGATACTGGCGACTGATTCGTATCCGGGCGTAGAAAGAAGATGAAGCGGGCGCGTGGGCGAGACGATGGCGCTTCACAAGAACTTTTCTATGGTCTAGAGCGGATGGTTTATTCCAGAGTTTGGGAGCTGCAAATAAAATCAATCGGGAACCGCACGGGCCACGCTCTAACTTTTCTGCGCCACAGCACGTAGGTAGCACCTAAACACCATTTTCGGGCTCCATAGCATTTGAGGCTCGTAGATACAAGGCGAATTGTTTTGCATTAGGTGCTATTTAATAGGCTCTTTCCACAAGTCTTCATTGATTTACTTGTATATCTATTCATCTCATTTCTTTTTTTTATAGGAAAAGAGGACGCAGAAATGTTTTCTCCAGTTCTCACCAAATATCTGCAAGCTAGACTTGCTTCACAATACCCAGCATCTTCTTTATCAACCAACAATTCAAAGTAAAAAAAAAAAAAAAAAAAAAAAAAAGAAGCGCACTGCGCAAGAGAAACCAGGCGATTGTCAGATTTTTCTCTCATCTTTCGGGCGTGAAAACTTCATCTGATGTTTCTCCATAAAGTCGTCTGTTCACATTTGGTGTAAGCCCGCTATAACAAACAGCATACATGTATACCGAACAAGAAACAACAACATGGCCACGCTTTGGGAGCAGCTGTAAACCAGTCTCGAGACCAAATGCGCAAATGTGACTAGCCATGAATAACAGTCAAGATGAATAAACATAACTAATATTATATAATTACTTACTCTTCCTCAACCTCTAGATATATCACTCCCAGGTACAAGTTGACAGCCACCCAGCGCACCGCCACATCAACACAGCGCCCAGCCAGCACGCCCCAGCCCCTAACCAAAAGCCCCCAGAAGCCCATCCCTGGCGCGACCCCAATTGATGCCAGCGTGGATGTTGCCGCCGCCGCGCGCGCCTCGCATCGCCTCGCCTCAGCATCAGCTACGAAGCTTCGTTTCTCCCACTTCAACATTTCACCACTCAGCCACGTCAAAGAGACAACCACCCCCCCGCGCTCCTTTAAAACAAAAAAGACGATATACGAGATAGACTTAACTCTCCCCTTAAAACCCCCCATTCTCTCTCTCTCTACATTCTTTTGATTCCCGGTTCATTACACCAAAGCTTTCCTAACAATGGTATGTTCCTCAATTCTCTCCCCCCCAATCTCTTTCCTGTTTCCTTGCTGCTTCCGCCACCATTCAATCTTAGAAGCAATCCTTTTCGCAACACAAACTCCAAGAAACAAGGCAAAAGCTAACTGCTCCTCCCTCAACAGCTCGACAAGCTCGTCGGTTTCACCATGCTGGTGGCCGCCTCCGTCATCTTCCTCTACTACACCATCTGGACCCTCCTCATGGTAAGATATCTCTCTCTTCCTCCCATATTTCCACCAAGAAGCCGAACCTCATCGGACCGGTCAATCACGCAAGAAATCAATTGCTAACTATATAATCTCCTCAACAACAGCCCTTCGTTGACGACGACCACCCCCTTCAGAACCTCTTCCTCCCTCGCGTCTGGGCCATCCGCATCCCCGTCATCCTTCTCCTCCTCGGTTCCGCCGTCGTCGGCTCCTTCGTCGGCATGGTCATGATCCGAAGCAACCAGAAGAAAGCTGCCAAGGCCAAGGCTGCCGCTAAGAAGAAGGCTTAAAAGGAAAAATAAAAAAAGGGAGGGAGAATGAACACCATAATACCGAACCTTATATGTATATGTACCCATCTATGTGCGAGAAACGAATGACCCGTCATCTATGCAGGAGATAACCCAGGGGACTTGTTAGAATTGGTCATGGCAATAAAAAATTAATAATACTTTTGCACAAACATGCACGGGAATTGAATTTTTACTTGATGCTGTGCATGGCAAATCTGTCACGGCTGCCAACGACTACGATAATCGTCATTTGTTTATTATCAACGACTGCCGGCAAAAGCAACTGTGAATATGAAAGAGACGTCAGTTTGGGGTATCTCGATTGGTGTCTATTCAATAATGAGGCGCTACAGAAGCTGCTAAACAGTAGAGATGCTACCTATAGAACAAAAAGGCAACTACCTATGGAGTCATATAGGCAAACGCATCCAATCTAGATAAAAATCTCGAGCTGGTAGTGGTAGTGAGGGACTCGAAGAGTATAAATAAGCCAATTCATAAACCAATCCTCCAACAGTATTGTTCAACTTTGCTCAAAAGAGAGAGGAGAAGTAAAAAGCCAAGCAAAACAATGAATCCAGTGTCAGAAGTTTGTCAAATTAGTGTAAAAAAAAACCTAGTTTATACCCAAGAAAAAGTTAAGAAAGAAGTCCTCTCGAGTCCCAAAATCCTGTAGAGTTGAAGCTCGGTTTCCGAAATTGCGACACCATCACTGGGAGCCAATTAGACTCTCTGGTCAGCAAAATCGAGAACTTCGCAGTCGTCCTCAAAGAATCCATCACCATCGGGATCCCCTTGGTGAGCTCCGCGCCGTCTTCGTGTAGTGACGACGATTTGCTCAGAGTCGCCAAACTCCATAACACGCTCCATAGCCGACGGAGGCAGAGGTCGGTGGTCCTCTGGGTCGTCGTATTCGTCCTCAAAGGCAGTAGGAAGACCGAGATCCAGCTTGACGACAGAAATGTCCTGCCCGAATGCCCAAGCAGATCCATCGGCGCTGCTTGTGCTTGGCGCAGTTACAGCGAGATGCTGTCCATTCTTCGACTTCTTCGAAGAAGGCGCCTTGGCCTCCAAGGAAGAGTTTGCCAAAACTTCCGAGACCCCCTCGAGTTGGCTTCCATACGCAGGAGTGTATTCGCAAAGAATAACGCGCCTATCGGTGTGGAAAGGCTGATATGGTGCGCTACACTCAATTTCTGCCTGGGGAATGGTCTCGGCCATAGTATGAAGTGTATTGTTGGAAACCGCGTGCGGGCGGCCCTTCAGTGTCAATGTCGTTCCAATATCCATTTCCGTGTCTGACAGGTCGAGATACTCTTCTTGCGTGCCCGAATCCAAGATTTGGCGGACTGCAGGAGCAACGTTGTCGTCTGGAAGAAGCGGGACTTGATGATCGGTATATCGATTCACACGTGAAGCCCGCTTGCCACCTGATTGTCGTCGAGATTTGTAAGGATATGTTCGCACAAGTCCTCCGCCTAGGTTGAACAGTGTTGCGCTCCGGCGGCCCCTGATCCAAACCACGCATGACGACGAGGGCAGCGAGGAGCTTGGAGGCAGTGAAAGCCGGTTCTCTCCGGTGTGCCGTAGTTGGCTGATGGCGGAGCCGGTCTTTCCAATCGAGTTAGTGATGCTCGCAGCAATCGCTCGCCCTCCCTGAGCTGCCGAGTCTTTCAGAATGCTACCAGCAGTAGAGGCGCTGTTGCCACTCCCTTGGCGCGAACGTGTTACAAAGGGCATTGCTACTTGGTATGCAGCGCCAAAAGCACCAGACGCGAGAGAAACGGCAGAGCTGGATGGCTCAGATGGCTCGGCGGCAGGCTTGGGAGTCACCTTGCGCCGGCGTGGTGGTGGCCACATGAACGCGCTAAAGGGCATATCCAGGAGATGAACGGTTCCTCTCTCCGTAACCATGGCCAGGCGCTCCCCTTGAGGCTCCATCCACACCACGTCAATAATCCGCGCAACAGTCATGCGCGAGAACTGGGCGATTTGTCGGACTTGAGGGCCAGTGCTGTCATGAGTAACCATCGACGCCTGTAGAGGCGAGGAGTGTGTATGTTGAACTCGAAACAGGTCCCATACCGTCTGCACGTCTCCTTTGCTGCTTGCTGTAAAAAGCGACAGGGAAGAGGGTGAGAATGACAGGAAACTGCATCCTAGAGGCGTTAAGAAGGTGGCAGAAGGATGGATTGACGGAGACAGTGCCAGGGAGTCAACATCCAAGATGGAAACAAGTCCCGAATCTTTGGTTGCCGCCGCCTGCCCAGTCGTTCCATGCGTTGGAGGAAATGCAGCGCCATCGTTCAGAGGGGAGCGCGTGCCGTTCCACTGCTGAGGTGGTGACCAGGGCTGCTGTTGCTGGGATTGCGGGCTGGTTGCCCTGTTCCAATACGAGTTCCATGCCTGTAGGCCCTGCTGGCCAACCCATTTTGCGCCCTGAATAAGCTCCTGTGTTGCCTCGCGCATGACCTTGTTGACAACGCTGTCAGAAATGGGCAGATCCACGGAAGCAGTGACCGAAGGAAGGTGAGGAGGCGTTACAGAAGTAATGCCAGCTCCTCTTCCCAAGATTGGAACCGGTAGATGAGCTCGAATGGCGATACTCGAAGACGGCGCTGCTGGGCAGTAGGCAATCTTCCGGCCGTTGAGAGCGAAAATGGCAGTTGGAGGGTTGGGTCGGCGAGTTGCACCAAGGGGGTTCATTTTATCACTCTCCTCGGGTACATCGCCCCCCCGCTGGCCTGGCTGAATACATGTCCATAGCTTGGCGGTGCAAGCAAACAAGTGCCCATTCTGCGCCTGCAGCAGCTGTGTGTAGACCCAGCACTCGCCAGTAGAACCAGAGCATACCGCAACCGTTCCAGCATCTGCCTTGATGGCAAATGCTCCGGTGGGAAGCGGAGGTTGGAAGATGGGGCTAGTAATGGAAACCTCTGTGCTGATAGGAATAGTTGGGGCCTGCAGAAGGACATCGACTACTTTGTTCGTTTTGAGCGAGTATACTTCGACGGTGGTCTGATATGCTTCAATCGCTTGGCCCTTTTGTCCGTTGCGTGTTGAGAAGGCATCGTGGTGAGTATAGGCGGACCGAGGACTCGCCGCACCGTCGGTTTTCTTCGCCGTGCCATCGTCGTCCTCTTCGTCTGGAGTCGCGGGGGATCGCCGGGGCAGTACGGGGCCATGGACCACCAGTGCGACCAAGGGAAAGATGCCGTCCTTGTCTCCGCCAACAGTCCATGGAAGTATCTTGGCGTAATGAACTCCACCTCGCAGGCCTTTGAGGCTGGCCATGGGTTCTAATCCTCTCTTGCTAACACCGTAAACCTCCAAGCCGCCCTGGTATCCGGCTAAGACGACATTTTCAGAGCCAGTCGCGCTGTAAGGGCTTGGCAACTTGTCGAAACCAAAGTAGAGGCCCTGATCACCCGGCTTCATACCGGATTGTGGCTTGATGGTGAGGTCCAGGTCCGAGACGCCGTAGAAGTGTGCCTGTGGTTGGTGAGGAAGTGGAGGAGGATGCGAGCCCATGCGGGAGTGGCCATGAGAGTACATGGCCGGAGAGTTGACAGAGCTTCGCCGCTGATGCAGGGCAGTCGAGGAAGCCCTGGGCATGCTGTCCGGAGACACGAAATGGGGATCCATTTGGTAGCTGAGGGGCCGCTTCGAGTGACTGGTGGGCGGAGAAGGTGACGCTGGCGACGGTGTCATGAAAGCCCTCTGGGCCGACCAGCCATGGTGAAGATGGCTTGGGTCTTCGTAGGAAGAGGGCTGCGTAGGAGGTGATTCGCTCGCCAGAGCGATGAGATTGCTTGGGGAAGCAGCCATTCGATTCCTCGCCCAGTCGTGGATCATGCTTGGAGCTGTGCTGGCAGAAACCGAAGTTGTGGACAAGGCATCCAGTGAGGGCGACGGCTCCGGATTCTCATTGTCAGGCGCGGCCGAAGGTCGTATTTCGGGCGTGTTGATCGGAGGAGAGGAGGCGTTGGAAGTAGGAATGCTCTTGGAAGAGTCGTTTCCACTTTCGTCGCCGTCGTTGACGGGTCTTCTATTTATCCACAAGGACAAAGGTCAGCGGTCATATTACATGCTATATCATCCTCAGGCACACCGGCGAGTGCACAGCAAAAGGGTGAGTCACGCGGCCAACGGCGAGCATGCGATGCGATGCGATGCGGCGCCATGGCTGTGAAGATGGGAGCGGTTTAGCGGGAGGACTCACACGAACTTGCCGGCGGTTTGTTTGGTCACCGCCGCGGCAATGCCGCCGCTGTGCTTTGCATTTTTCCTGTCCTTCTTGGCTGCAGCAAAAACATGGTCAGTATTGAAACGCTCGTGCCTGGTCATGTATGTCTGCCTGTCCATCTGTCTGCGGTGCTTTGCGTCGACTCGCCCGAGGGATGGAGGAGATGCAAGTCTTATCGCGGTGTCGTCACTGCAGTGGTACAAGATAAGAGCTGCCTGTTGCGACTCACCCGGCATTCAACCTGTGTAAGGAGATTGGAGCAGTTGTCCCGCTCCAAGAGCTGGTGCCTTTGCAGAACAACACGGGTTCCGGAAAGGCCGCAGCTGAAACAAAATGGAAGAAATAAAAAGATGTAATAAATCGAAGAGCACGTAGATGTCGTTAATAATTCTGTCCCTTGAAGTAAACAGAACTGGCGAAGAAGCTTCTCGTCGGATAGTATAGATCGATGCGGTAGCTAGCGACAGCTACCACGGCTGCTAGGCAGAAGCTGTAGCCGGTAAACGAGATTTGAGGTACCGCTAGATAAGGGGCTTGGCCGCCTAAGTTGGGAACGAGGGGCTATCGACGGCGACGAGGGGCTCGCGTCCAAGGTACTACTACGCAGGAACCGGTAGTAGTACGAAGAGATTATTGGCAAGAGAAGATATACGGAAGATGCAGGATGCAGTAATACGCTGGTTCGTGCAACAAAAGAATCAACTGGTTTTCTAAAGGCTGGTGTAAGTGAACAAAAAAGGCCGGTATGCAGGGAATGGCGCAGCCACAAGGGTCGTTTTTGGTGTTCGTGAGAATATGCGTAGTCTATCGTTGATATAGGAAAAGGCAAGGACAAAGCAAATAGGTATCCGTGGAGTAGAGACCGGGTATTATTCAGAGCAAGGCTGGTTCGTCAAAGAAAAAGAGACTGAAGTGCTGTTTGAGCTTGTATTTGTTTCGAGATGTGTTTGTGTGCAGATGAATGTAAGTAAAAGAAGGATGATGGAGAGAAGGGCCGCGGTTGCTCAAGAGGACCTTGGGGGTGGCAGCTTTGGTGAGTCGAAGGCCGCCCGCCAATTACAGCATACCGCACTGCGAGCTGGCGCGGTACGTGCAGGTACCTGCGCCTACTTTGTATGGCGACGGCCGGGGCGCTGCTGTCACTGACTTGATAACGCGGGGGGGAAGCAGCCAGGTCCGCTGTCCGGAGCAGCTGTTGGGGGGGCGTGATTCTGCGAAGGGGGGGCAGAAGGGGGGCGTGGGCGCTCCCCGTTGCTCCGGGCCTGTACAGAGCGGTACCGGCCGGTACTCGTCGCGCACGCATCACAAGCCGCAGTGGTGGCTCGCTCGCTGGTCCTGTGGTCAGCGGCCACAGGGGCAACAGCGCTCGCGACACGCTAATCTCAGCTAGGCGGGCCAGCCGTCGGAGGGTTTCTAGGGGCGTCCAGCAACTGAACGTGTCGAGTTCCAGCGCTTCCATGCCTATCCGCAGTCCCATGGATGGCCCATGAACCAGGCATGTCGCATGCCCACAGAGCACATGTACTGCAGAATGCTGGACGCATATATGAGCGGTGCCTGGGTACGAGGCTACCTCGTTATCTGCTATCGCGGAGCCCTCCGTGCATGTACAGCTCTGACATACAGGCACAAGCCTCATCTCGTGTCTTTGATTACCAGACACCACTTAATGTAGGTACGCTCAAGTAAGCCGCGATGTGGCTAACCTTACTTCCAGGAGGTACACGCCGGTACCTCCAGGGAATGCGCCTATCACAGCGCTGCGACTGGCTGGCTGCCACGCGGTACAGTGCCTATCGCTGACTGGCCCTGCGGCTTCGGGTTCTGGCGGCGCGTTTAGAGGCAGATGCCAGCCGCTTTCCCCAACGGAAACCAAGAGGCGCCGCGCCGTCTGCAGCGTGAATATCACAGCTTGGCGTTTTGTGTATTTTGTGATTGATAGGATTGATGGCATAGCAAACATGTTGGCTACCTACAGGTATGCCGTCTGTCCCAGGAACAGTCGATGACAATGGATCGAGGGATGATGTGCTGGTGTACCCAAGTTACGTAAAGCCCTATAAGCATAGACCCCAGTGTAAGCTGCAGTGGCAGATGTCGAAGAATCAATGGAATTGAGGGCATCAGCTCAACTACGTAAGGTACCTGTCAACCACTAGAGCCTTAACGATAGCTGCTTCAGCCACCTCACCAGACCACAGGACCAGACCAGTGACCGGCTCCGGCGCGTCATCCCCCATCATCCGCCGTGCCAAAATGACGTCCCCGCCGAAAAGGGATGAGATCCATGATTCCTATTGAGCCCCGGCAAATGACTAAGAAACGGCTCTCCTTTCTCTGTCGCCTCGCCGTCCTTATCTGTGCCGCCGTGAGATTTCCTCATTATCAGATGGGTGGTGATAGCGATGGTGATTGCGTTTGGTACATGCCAAGGTACAGCAGGCAGGCTACAAGGCGTGCTGCACGCCGATAAGCTCCCCGTCCCCTTTGTCTGGTGCCGTTCACAGCGGCTAACAGGCTGCGTATCAGCATGCAATAGATTGGCCCTGTTGCGCCACACTTGCTCACACCCCCTTCCTTCAGCACATCAACTTGTACCACCATGTACTGCAGTCGGCACGTCCATCCCATGGCCCTGGAATGGCCATCAATAGAATCGCAGAGAAGAACATGGCTATTTTTATTACCTACTGCCTACCTGCTCCTCCCCTTTAGAGGGACTAAGATGAAGTCAACCACCTAGTATAGTGCACTGGCACTTATTACCCTGATGCTAGTAGTCAACTAGCAAGGAAATTGCATGTTAAAATGCTCCGTGACATGGTGTCAGGTGATAGGTGCCTCCTACGCCATGGACGAACATCCCCCACGGCCAAGCAAACAAAAACAAAGCCATCTATCAGCTTAGCTCCTTCTGTTCACAATTCCTCTCTCTCTCGTCTTCTGCCGCGTGTATCCAGAAAAGCATAAACAGCTAGCACAAAGCAAATCTCGTACTGTACGGACAGCGTAATGCAAGGAACAGTGACGCTGCCGCGGGATCGCCACTGGGGGTGTATATGCGTGTGCGTGTGTGTGTCTGGGGAAAAGGATCTAGACAAGTTCTGGACAACAAACACGCAGGAACACGGCAAAAAGGCGGCATTTGCCCCTCTTCGTTCGTCTCATATCGTCATGGTCCATCATTGCTGTTCCCCAGAGGGAGATTCACACTAGACTCCTGAACACTCCGTATCGTATCGCCCTTTGTTTCTGATAAGCCCGCGACCTGCGTGTGTAGCATCCCGATTACCAAAATCCCTAGAGGGGCTTCTTATCGGAGAGGCTTGCAGGCAAAAACGGCTACCAAAAACGTCAGCACGTTAAGTAAACACGGGTGGGTAGCACAGCACAGGGAACAATCCGGAGTGAACATGTCTGTAACACTTAGGAGCTGTTTCCCACTTGAACTTGAAACACCGTTGGTGAACATGAATGAAGCCTCTCGGAAGCCGTGGATAGACGCATGGCTGAGCAATTAACGTCACACGGCCTGTGCGCCAAGCAACCCAGCAGCAGCTAGATATTCCCTCACATATACGAGGAGAAGCGCATAGCTCAGTATAAGGTCAAACGCGGTATCACTACAAACTTTGTGACAATTTTCATGCAGTCTACTACTCTCTATTTCAGCATATACACGGAATACGCAGCAAACTTCCACTCCTCGTTGCCATGCTCGTTCTGCACCTTTTTCACAGTCCCGTGCCCCGCCCACGCAACAGCGCTTGCGGCACCGTCCTTGGTCTTATACGACACTTCGCCGTAAAGCATCAGCTCGCACTCCCGCTTGTTGTCTGCCGATTCAATGAATTGTCCCGGGAAGACCTTTTGAACAGTGTGGCTCCTCTCTTGTACCACTGACCACATTCCGTTGCGCATTGTGCGGATGTCTGCGTGTTGTTGTCAGTCATTTGGACTAGGATGGTATATTCATTTTGAGGTAATTCATGTGTAGACATATGCCAATGAGCATATGAGATAGAAGAGTGAAAGTGAGGATGTAGAAAGAAAGAAAAGAAAAAGAGGGGAAAAAAAAAACTGACCCTCTCGCCCAGTCGCCTTCGCAGGCCCAACAGCTATCTGCGCGTCCTCGGTGAACTGATCAACCCACAGCTCATTCAGGTCCTTGTTGTCGGATATTCTGTAAAAGTTGGTGATGAATGTCCGGATCTCGGGGTCGGGAAGGCCATCATGGACCGGGTACCGGGGAATGTATTGCGCATTTACTGAGCCAGACATTTTCTTAATTTTATTCTCAAAAGATTTGAGAATGAGGTGACAATTAATGCAGTCAGTATGCTGATGGAAGGCGATTTTTGATAAGTCCAGAGCGTCATTAACACTAGAGCTCTATATATCTTGGAATGAACTTCTTGTAGGGTCTAACTGAAGTCTTGGTAATCAAGGCGGCTTGGGCAACTTGTCAGCAAAAACGGATGTAGCACCTCAAAACTCCCGCCAGCCAGTCTTCATTCCGTCGGCGGTAATATACAGCAACATACCGCATACAACATCTCCGGCGGCGATAACATCTTCGCTATACTGAATACGTTCTAGGATTCTACGTTGTATATGCTCGTTTTGCGGTCCCTTACCCGCTTGGGGTCCTCTTCGAGCCGAACCCATCCGTACTCTGGCGGCAAAGTCTCTAATGTCGGCTACGGTTCCGACGGATCGGCTGCGCATCTCTCACTTTCCAATCATTAGTAACACAGATAATCGGTTGTCATGCACAAAACATCAATCATCATTTTCCCAATTGTTATTTCAAGAAAACAAAACGGGAAAACAGGTCCCCTTTTATCGTATTCTGATGGCTGCTTGAAATGGTACTTAACCGCCCGCTTCGATATAGAGCCCCATTGTATTCCGTCCCAAGTATATCGTATCCCAAAGTCCTCATAACACCATGCTTCAAATCATTGACAATGTAGAAATAAACCGGGTGGAAAATGAAAAAGGAAAAGAAGTAGAAAAATTTAAACAATTTATTTCTTCACGCCCCGGGCATTAATTTCCCCCTTCTCTCCAATATTGAGAAGTTTACGACAATCCGGGCAATACCACTTCGTTGTTCTTGCTGGGATTTCTGAAAGGCCTACACATTCGAGATGGAACCATTCTTGTTTACAGTTCTGCTTGCTTTGTCAGCGCGTCTGTTTCTCAGGGCATATTTCCGCGGAGATGGTGGCCCGCTCGTAGGAGAGAGAGCATCATAGGGTCATGGAGTGTAGACTTACATCAACGTTGTCGCACTGAATCATTGTGCCAAAACTCACTCTGTTGCACAAGCAGTACCGGGGTTCGTTGGGGTCAATGGGGTTGCCCTCATCGTCTACATCTTCCATCTCCTCCGTCACTTGGCCTTTGTCTTTTTTGGTCGCACGAGCCTTCTTCTTCGGCGCCGCTTTCCGCTTGCCAACGGCGCTGTTACCGCCGCTGCTAGTCGTACTCACAATACCGGGGGCTGGGCGCTTAGTCCGTTTGCTCGGCTGCTTAAGCTCAGGGACTGGCGTGTTGCGAGCCGTGCTGGCACGCCGAGATCTATCAACGGCCAACGACGGCTGCGGTTCTTGGCTGGCCGCCTTGCCTCGTGAGCCCGGCCGGCGAGGGAGCGACTCTGGGGCAGGCGTTAATCTGGGGGTGCCACCGCGTGATGACGATTGCTTGGTGGAGTTTTCAGGCGCTGCCGATTGGTCTTGCGGCTGCTGAGGTGACGTGGACGCCGAGAGCTGCTGTGATCGCTTCGCAGCCTCTCCCCGCGTCTCACGTTTGCTCGCCTCTCGCCCCGGCAGCTCTCTAATCGCTGGCGGGGGAATTGGTGTGGTAGACACCCGTTGCTCCGTCTTAGGAAGGGGAACGGGGGTCTCAAACGGTGTCTTGACAGGCGTAGGAGTGGTGGTGGTGACCGTTCCTGCGCCATTGGCTAGATTAGAGCCTGGTGCTGGAGACGTTGCGGACCGAGTCGTGACGGAAGATTGAGGAGGAATTGGTATGGGGACGGGAGTCTCCGACTGGGGAACAACGCCAACTACCCCAGATGTCGTTGCGACCAGGGGCGCAGAGTTGTCGGAGGAGGCCGAGCTGCTCTGGGGAATCATGCCTGGCAACGGCGGTGGGACCGGTGTCTCAGTCTTGGTGCGCTTTGCCGGTGGCCGCGATGACGATGGCGCTTCACCGCCTTCTACCGTCACCAATGGTCCTGCTGGAGCTCCTGCTGCCGCCGTGTCGCCATTGGTCTCCCCATCAGCCTCTCTCTTGCGCTTAGATCTGGAATTGTTTCGCGGCTTTGGCTGCGACCCCGGGCTCTTGGCAGTCTCGGGCGTCATGCTGGAAGTCGAACTGCCGCCCAGGAATAGCTTTGCTGCTTGTTGCATCTTTCTGGCAGATTCTTCGGCCTCTTCAGCCGCAAGCTTCGCCAGCTGCTCCCGCTTAAGCTTCTTCGCCTCGTTGAGCTTCATTCCTCGGTTGCTAGTCGGCACCTCGGTGGCTACCAACGAGTCGACGCTTATTGCACCGGCAGGCATTTGTCGAGTCCCAGATTCGTTGTCAACGATGGGCGTTGGGACCGTCGGTTCAAACACTGTGCCTTCTTCCTCTGCCTTCTTCTTCGCCTCTCTATAGGCGTCCGGCCCACGATTCAAAGCCTTTAGTTCTCGTGCAATCATAGTCTCACTGGGGGTCCACGTAGCGTTCTTCTTCATCCGCTTCCTTAGCTTTGCCAACTCGTACTGCGTCAACTGAAGCCATGGCGCATCAGGGCTGCCAATGACGGCATTCTCCGGCGGGGGATTGAGCAGTGCAGCGGCATTCGCAGCTGCCGCAGCACTCAGAGCAGGCGTAGCATATTGTCCGCGTGAAGAACGGCCTGAAGACTTTTGGCTCTTGTTGCTAACCAATTTGATCCGAGGCGTCGGGACTTGGATTCTGCGGTTCATGACCGGCGCTTCAGACTCTTCATCAGAGCTGATTTCGCTGTCATCGCTAAAGGTATCGTATTCAATTTCGTACGGCGCCAGAACCTCTCCGGGAACTGTAATTCGGGGCACACGAGACCGTCGCACTTTCTGCCCGTCTTCTCCCGTAGCTCTGACCGTCAGCTTCGCTCTCGTCATTTGAGGCGATCTCGGCTCGGCAGGGGTTTGATCTTCTGTGGGATAGTTTTCCATCATCGCCTTGAGCTTGGACAGGAGCGCCGTCGCCTTGTTGTAGTGACGATTCACATTCTCTGCCATCCTCGTTGCTTCTGCGTGGGCAAAGATCCTCGAGTCCAGAGCTTGGTTTAAATGTTCCGAGATGTCAGCGCGCAGCTGCACCGGAGATGGGCGCTCATGCGTCGGCACGCCGGGGAGCTGCCCCCATAATGTCGTCAAGTCGTCGATCTTGTGCGATGCATCTGCATATCGCTCGTCCAGTTTGCCAATCAGCGTCAGGGAGCGAATCATGTCGGCAGGAAGGTATTCCGTGAAGTCGAGGAAATCAGTAACGGTCGTCTGCGCATCGGGGTCTGCGCGTGCCGTGAGAACGCTGCTCACCGGCCCCATGGAAGGGCCCTCGGCGAGTTCAAACGTCGCAGTCTTGGTCTTTGGAGAAACAACATCCTCATTGTCGATATCGGCTTGGGGGCCTGCGGCGGGCTCAGCTGGAGTCGCCATGTTTGGCAGTGCGGCTTTGGCACCGGTATCGCGCGCGGCAAGTTCCCAGCTGGCGCTGGGTCAGATCAGAGTTTCTCAAGCTGATGATAGTCGCACTCAAGGGCGTCCATTTGGCGGCGCTTTTTTGGCCGAGGCGTGTCACGACTTGCCAAAACCGCGTTGGGATGGCTTAGTAGCGTCGCTGCGGCCCCAGTTTGGAGACTGGCGGCTCTGCGCTCAGGGAGAAAACAGCCTGTGCGCCGCGACGCACCGAGAGTATTATGTAAACAGCCAGAGCCAATCGCTGCGCAGGATGAGTCATCTGCTCTGCGCGCTGAACCAGAGCTATTATCCTTCAAGCTCCTTCAGCTACTACAGCTTCCAGAGCCAAAGAAATCAACCTCCATGTAAGATGCAGCACATTCACAATTAAACCGCCATGCTGCATTGCGATTAACAGCATACTGGCTACACCACGGTTGATCGACAAAATCAAGGCCTTTGCAGCGGTTCGACATTCCTACTCGGGACATGCCGCGGACATCAGCTGCAGAGGCCTTGCATACCCGCGGGTCGATAAGATTGTTGCTGACGCGGCAATCTCAATAAGATCCTAGTTTGTGAGATCACCCTATTAATCGAGCTTTGTTTTTTTAATATGTTCTGCATATTAGAGTGATTCTCTTCTTGAAAAGGCTACCTCCCCAGCAACTGGAGTCTAACAAAATAATTCCAAAAAATGCAAAAACAACCATAACACCCGTCTATATTGCTCTTCATTTGGCTTTCGTCCCAAGTGGGCTTGGAGGCTCTCTCATCTCAGAGCTGCAGAAAGACAAAATTGCTTCATACCGAATTCGAAAAAAACGCATCCACCAGGACATCAGTTATTCCGCGTCATTCACCAATCCCAATCTGCTTCCGAGTCCCGCATCAGCTTGGCCCCCGCAATTTCTTCAGATTCCTGTACCAGATAGGTGGAATCTGGCCCAATGAGAGTCAGTGAGCCGTACAGAACCAGGCGTCTGCATTTTCTATGGTTGTCAAGTCAGCTGCGGTGCCTCTGTGGCTCGGCCTTGGCGCTTGGGAATCAATCTTACAGGAAGCCAATGACGATCAAGTTCCCCCAGATCTCGAGTTCGTCCCCTTCCAGGGTGCCCTCGATCCTCAGCTTTCCATATCCGATCATCTTATCACTGCGTTGAATCTCTGTTAGCGACCGAATCATGTCTGCGCGTGCATACTCAGGTGGCTACTACTCACCGGCAGGCTAGGTAACCGTCTAGCAAGATATTGCCGTATGCCTTGATTTGCCCCCTTTTCAAGATCGAACAAGTCAGCTCTATTGATTATACTACCTCTCGGTTGATCCACACGCCCCTTTTCTCTTGCTCCTTCAATCAGCGTGGCAACTTACTGGCAGCTAATTGTCCCCTTTGCGGTGATGGTGCCGTAGGCATCGATATTTCCTCTGACGGAGATGTCTCCCTGGAGGTTGACGCCGCGTCCTGACTCTATTGAGCCAGTCACCTCGAGCGGGCCTTGTGCATTGATTTCTTCATCACTCCTCATACTTTTGCATCTCTTTAGGTTTCTGGGCGCCGTGTATCCTGACGTCGACCCAGAGGCAAAGTACTCAGACATGGCCGTGAAAGGGCAACTGAAGAACCCTCCTTCGGAGCAAGGCACGAAAGGGCTACACAAGGTGAAGAGTAATCTTTGGTTTTGGGGTATTAGAGGCTTAGTGCTCACACTTCCTTGTCGAGCGAGAACCGGATAGAATCTGTCAATGATGGACGTCTTGACAATTACGGCAATTGAAAGGCCAGATCGTGGGCATCTTATACGATCAAGTCAGATAGCGTGTAACTGGGTGTTCGACGAGGCTCCCGTGCCGGAATGGGGATGTTACTTGTCCCGGACGCTCAGCGGACGCAGCAATGAGGGCAGCCTTTGAGGAAGAAGCAGCCCGGAGCAGTCAGAAGATCCAAGGCTGTTGTAATGTGTCTCCGCCGTCGCCTGATGCACCCCTGCAGCACCAGTCATGTCTATTCAGCTCACCGTTTTTGGACGAACAGCTGAACAGGTGAGAATGACGATTCCTGCCCTATTCGCCGTCTTTGTGTCTCTCGTCTGTCTCGCCGCCTAACAACGCCCTTGTCATGAGAGAGCTCGAGATGACGCGAAAGCTGCACCGACTGTGTGACTGCTCACCCTCCCCCAGCTCGATAGCGTTCTTTGAAGCAAGCAGCGTGGTAATATTGGCCAGGTAGGGCGTTCACAAAGCAATTATTGGAATCCTCAGGATACCTGGTCAGACTCCGCAGGAGGGGGTGGCCCAGGAAGAGGAGGCGGTTGCAGAGCGAACGGTGGAGAACGGACGAAGGAATCAGGGCCTGCAAATCTGGCAAGCCAATCTGGTGCTTGGTGTAAGTGACGGGGATGCTGCCACGGGGACGAACACCCAGCAAGAGGTGGCATGCGGTTTCTGTTTGAATCCTCAAAGCCAAGATCCTCGCCTGGTCTTTTTATGGAGCCCGTTCTAACGGGTATACGGAGTAATACGTGCTAATCTCGGTCCCCAGTGCAACTATTTTTTTTTTCTCTCCTCTTGTCTCGTTTCCCCTCTCTCTCAATCTTGACTAACAAAATAAAACCCCTCAATCCCTGCTCCATGTTGACGGTTTCCCCTCTCTCTGAGACAGGAAGCAAAGGAGGCCACATAGGCCCTTTTCAAGCTTGTGGGCTAAACAATGGTTGAGCCATCTCCAGACATCCCAAGAGAGAGAGGCACACCTGGCACACCGGGCTGCGTCCCCATCGAGATGCCAACTATTAGCGGTGCTACACAACGTGGCAGCCTGCTCGCATGGCCAGAACCCGAGGCTCAGGTTCTGCCCCCCCTCCCCCTTCTTCCTCGAGCTTAGCCCTATTACCAGGTTCAGCGATCAAATCTTGCTTTGTCCCGTTCCCATATTTTTTTTCTCCCAAGCCTTTTCACACGTGCAGTATATGCAAGAGGCCATGCAAGCCCCCGACCCCATGCAGAGCTGGATCTGTGCTAGTTTCAGCTCTGGCCCAATATAGAAGCAATGGTTAGCCCTATTTGGGGGCCGTTTTCTCGGGGGTGCGTCACTGGCCAAGGCGGGAAACAATCAACCTTGCGTCCTTCTTCTCGGTGACCCAGTCAACACCATTCCCGCAAACCCGGTCTGCCCTCCTCCCGGGGCTGGGCTGTGATAACAGCCTCGTTCCATCACCGTTGGGCTCCCTTCTGCGCTCTGCGTGACCCCGCTGGAAACCGATGATGACGGCATGGGTTGGTGCCAATCAATGTCCATATCGTATTAGTATTATCGCTTATCCCCTGTGAGGCTGAAGAGAGACACACACAAAAAGAAGTTCAGAGTACCCCGTAGTCGGTCGAGCTATACAATACAAGTCAGCAATATACTTGCCGTGCCGCGGTTGACGCTATCTAGAAGGGGTACATAATACGCCGTTTTCTATTTATTACTGTACTATACGGATACCTGTGTGCGTATAGACAACATATACAATTCCGGAATTCGGCATTCCATCCGCCTTGCCGGGTGCTTCCACCTACATTGTAGCATCTCTGTCTCAGTTGCAGATACAACCTTTCAGTCTGAATCACCCACTCCTTTCCACAGAACGAGGCTCCATGGGTATTTAGCTTCACCGTTCAGGTAAGGCATCCAAGACAAAAAAAAAATTCAAAAAAAAAAATGAGGGGTGATATTTGTTAGATAGTTAGCAGTAGCCATTTTTTGTTTAATCTCTTAGCCAGAACGTAGTCCACAGAATAATAGGTGCATAGTGTCGCCGGCTTACTCACATACCAATCGCTCATACGCTCATGGTAGTCATCCATCAAGGCCTTTTATCCTTGCTACCCAAAAAATGACTGATTTTTTATCATTTTGTTTATTCTTGACTATCTCACCCTCCTCCAAATTCCTCCCATTTTCGAGTCTTCATCCCCATCCACCACAGTTGCCTATCAGCATTTAATATTTTTTCATCCTTCTTCATACTCAGCCTACCTGATGTAGACAAACAATAGACATCACATACCACATGACCTCACCTACTACTACCCTGAACCTTGCCGTTTCCCCAATGCTACACCAAAAAAGCAAAAGAAAATACATACAGTAATAACCAAGAATCCGATAGCGCGTTCCACCAATTATCCCATGTAGATACCAAAAAGGAAGAAAAGTACAAGAAAGAAAAAAGAAAGTATAAAAAAAAAAAAAAAGAAAAAAAAGAAAAAAGAAAAGAAAAAAAAAGAAAAAGAAAAAGAAGGGGGGTACAGTACTAATACAAAATTAGACAAATCCAAAGGCGCAAAAGACTAAAGACATAGACAAGCGCTGTCTACATCTTACCTGTCTGCCTAGCACCTCCAGCTACCCAAAATTCTGCCTACCAAGTCTCATTGCGAAGAGGTCTCGAGCCCTTTCTAATCGCGTCCCACGAATCCCAGTCCAAGGCCGGTGCATAGAGCTGCAAACACCCACACCGCGGCATATGCAGCAGCCCCGGTCTGCTCAACGCCAGGAATGGTCATGGCGCAAGAGAGATACGTGTTGACTCCCGTGACCAATAGAGTCACCGCTGTGCGTAGAATGGCAACCTTGGCCTTGGTCGTATAGCCCCAGAAGTTCCACCACACAGTCTCTCCAAGACTGGCCTCTACGGGGTCAAAGTTGGTGACGCGCTCGTCTTCCTTTGTCTTGCCAGCTGTGGCAAACGGCGGGAAAATGAAGGTGCTTGCAGCGGCGCCGAAGAGCAGTGTCACGGGCAGCACAGTAGCGTAAGACGCCGCGTATGCAGATTCAATGCTGCGGATGCCTGCAAAGTGCAGGACAAAGATCTTAGGCAGCAGGAATCGCAGCGACAGAACTAAGATGACGGTGTATATGCTCGTTGAGAGGCCCGTGGTAAGCAGCTGCTGAGGGAATCCGATGAGCTCGCGGTTAGGCAGCTTCGAAGATGGCTTGTGGACTGCCGAAAAAGGTCGCAAAAGAGAAAAGGGGACCGACGCAGAGACGACGTCCACAGCGAGGGCAGCAATGGCGGTTTGTGGACTGAGGTTGTAAAATGCGAACAGGAGGTAGATCTAGACCATTGCATATTAGCACGATGCCCAGCGAACAAGAGAGGGTAGAAAATGCCAAGGATTTGTACATACCGCCGGTCCATGGGACAAGAAATCCATCATCGCAACATCCAAGCCGTCCAGTCCGCCGAACCAGCTCAGGGCAAGCTCAAACCTAAGCAGCCATCACCATTAGCATAGGAAAGGGCAAGAGTAGCAAGCAACTTACACCCTCCAGCCAGCAAGAATATAAATCTCCTCTGGCGTCTCCTGGCTTCGGCTCACCGTCGCCAACTCCCCGTTTGTCAATTCAGCCACCACGCTGTATCCGAGACTCGCCGTGATGAAGCTGATGCCCGCCACGAACGGGAACACCACCAACGAGGGGATCCTAGCCGACCGCGCCGCCTTTGAGGGCACCTCTCCCTCTCCATTCTTTGCGGGAGTGGTGGCGACGACATCATCGACCTCATCAGCGCCACCGCGACGCTTCGGTGTTGTCTTTGCGACAGCCTTGCCGTCCCTTGGCTTCTCCGGTGTGGCCGTATTATCAATCACGTCTTCCGCGCTCTCGTTTCCAAGCGCTGCCCGCACAGCCTCGCCTTTATGCGCTCGCCGTAATGTCGGCATCTTTGTTCTGTTTTAAAGAGAGGGAAGAAAGAGGACAGAGTCGTCGAGGTTGTAGCAGTAGGCAGAAGAAAGGCTTAGCTGCCGAGCGTTATTCCAAAAAGAGGCGCGCGTCTTCCTGGGATTGGCCAAGTCTGCCGAGCAAATTGTCGCAGCTGTAGCGGGATATTTGTCGCGGATCAATGCTTAACTGCTGCAAACAAGAACAGTTTGTGTGTTTGTTGAGAGAGGGTTCGGAAGCTCTGCCCGCGCCCGGCAACTGTGGGGAAACGTGACGTTAAGGTCGCTGGGGAAACAAACCTTCGGCTGCCAGGTCCCCGCAAATTCTGGATGGAGCTCTCATCCCAGCTAGAGCTCAATTTCGTCGCTGCTAGGGTCTACATCAAATTTTTCTTTCCACATCAATCACTGCAAAGGGCGAGAAATTCCATTCTCATCATTACCGCTGCTCAATTGAATTGCATGGCAATCACCGGTTGTCTGTTGCTTGTTGGCTAGAATTGGTCTACCTTTTGGCAGTCGTTCAAGAAAACAGAAAATATGCATTAACTTTCATCGTCACTGTGCACGTGTGCTTCTCGTACCATGGCATTGGCTTCTGTGATGGTGATGGTCTTTTTTTCATTTTATTTCTTTTTAAACGTCATGTTTTTATTCAGAATTTCTTCGAGTGTACGCTCGACGCCTCGTTGAATCCTCACTTTAACCTCGTGGAGAAGCAATCTCATTCCAGACCTTGCAGCAGCACTTGGCTCGCGTCCAGACAGGCCCTCCACTCCTTGGTGCTGAAGATTCGACAGCGGAGCAGAACCACCCCCAACACGGTTCCATCGAGTATATCGTTGTACAAAGGAAAGGTCGCGCCGATTTCCATCCCATAGGTGATATCCATAATTCATTCCAGAGCAATCCTACTCCGGGGGTCACATTAATATATATAAACAAAAAAAGCGTCAACGATTCGAAGTCCCAAGAGAATTGCTCCGTCCCATAGGTATCCAATAAGTTATTCCTCCATGCGGCCAAAAACTCCGTCGTCGTCTTCGTCGCTGCGGGCGCGAGACCGCATGTCGAAATCGTCTTCGCTGTCCTCCATCTTGACATCTTCACTTCCGCGGCGCATCTCACCACGGGTGAAGCTTTCTGGCTGTCTGCTGGGGAAGCTGTTGATGAAGCCGGTGCTTACAAAGGATGCAGCTTGGTCCAGGAATTGGGCTGGGACGGGGGGCACAGGTGGTGCGTCCTCAGCAACTGTTGTTACAACGTTTCGCGAGCCATTGTTGCTGCCAAAGCTGCAGCTCAACAACTCAACGGCGGCGGCCAGCTCATGATCGTCCTCGCCAATCATAGCATCCGGCTGCAGGTCGATGCTGCCACTGCGACCATGATCGAATCCATTTACATTAGGAATGCTGCCGCGAATGAGAGGGTTCTGTGGCTGCGGGGATTGGAAGCTTCGTGAGAAGATGCTGCCAGAGCTAAAGCGCTTCTCACGATAAGCGGTGGTATCAAAGGTAGGGCCATCCTCGGCAGTCGGCGGCGGGGTAGTATCAGCGGAACTCCGACCATCAGCCTGCTCCGAGTAGCCTGAGGCAGCGGGCGATGCCGTCTCTGGCTCGCTCGCAAAGTCTCTGGCAGAGTCTGGAGGAGTGACTGATCTCTCGTCGGGGTTGCCGTTCATTGCTACCAAAACAGATGCTGCTTCAAGCAGTTGTACCTGTTGGTGCTTTGAGATGAGCAACTTGGAGGTGTAGGACCACTCAGGAGTGTGTTCCCATCTAGCCAACGAGTCAACAAATGGAACCCAAACTACACGCATATTCGCCAGCGTAAAGAAGGAGAGATGGGGGAAGGGAGTGGAAGGGAAGCCAAAGGGAAGCCGGAGATGAGAGGCAAGATGGCGCTGCACCCAAGACCTAGGCAAGTACACATATCACAAGGCATAGAGGGGAGGGAGACCAACAGGTGCTTCGTCAAACAGCTGCTGTGCTTGTAGCCTTTGCCGCAAGTTTCGCAGCGAACCTCTACGCGGTTGCTCTTCTTGCCATCCTTGGTGAGAGGTTGACCGTCACTGGCTCGTCTTATGCGGGTTTGGTCGAATTTGGCGGCCGCCTCGTCGCTCGAAAGCTCGTTGGAATCGTCGTCGATGGCGCTCTCTTGGGCTTCTCGCTTCGCATCCAGCAGCACTGACTTGTTGGGCAGGCTGGCGGGTGGTGAGGGCAGGCTGTCAACCAGGCCAGCGCGGACGGTGGTGTGCTTGGTGATGGTGTTCCGCCTTCCCCCGCTTGTAATCGGAATCGCGCCGCCCTGCTCACTCTCTCGAATTGCCGCCGCCAGAGCAGCGACGTTGGCGCCCGGGGTGGTGATTGATTTTCGGCGAGTTATTCGGTGTGTCGGGTTGAGGGCACCGGCGAGGAGGGAGTGCGAGTGCGAATTGGTTCGGGCGTGGGACTGGCGGCCGGTGAGGGCCGAGGATGCGGAGCTCGACAAGGGAGAACGCTGGTGCGTCAATGGCCTCGTGGAAGGCTGCATCTCCTGCGGACGGACAACGATGTCAGCAAAAAGTGAAGCCTCGCCGGAGGGACAAGCCAGATCAGCGGCTCCAAGCCGGACAACGGAATCATCTCATACTTTTGAGGAGGCCATTGCCGAGCGGGCTTGAAGGATTGAGGGACGAACGAAGGATGCTGGACCGTTGCGGACTCAGCAGCAACGCTTTCGATCGTAGATGATGTCCAGCACAGAAAATGTCAAGCTTGACAGGACGATTATTGATTATTGGTATTCAGCACGTGTAGGTGTCGAGGTGATGAGAGAGAAAAAAAAAAGTTCAGGGAAAAAAAAACCGCCAGGATCTTGGTGCAAGTAGTGAGAACGAGAAATAATTATTTTGGGAGGAGCAATACGGCGCCATGGCAAGGGAGTGTGTGTGAGTGTGTGTAGATGCGGCACGGCGGGGGCGCGTGTATTAGCACGGGCATTCGCAGGAGTAGCGGTACTTGTACGGAGGAGGACAAGAGCGAGTATGAGTATCAGCGGTACCTGGTACGGAGCAGCGAGGAGAATACGGAGTACGGAGCAGGTACCGCGCACGCCTCCCGAGGGCGGTCGGTACGGAGAGGCGCTGGCTGCCGCCAAAACAAAGTACAGAGTACGAGGAATGATACATGAGACAAGGCATGGTACAGGCACCGAGCACGGACAGAGTAAATAAAGGGCCAGATTTCTTTCATTCGTTTAATCTGCGCGCGCGCTCTCCTTGTTTCCTCCTTGTTCTCTCTTTTCCCTCCGTCTCTTGTCAGGAAAATCAATCAATCAAAGCACCCCCTCCTGCGGCAGGTGTACTGTAGGTACCTGGCCGCGCTTCAGTCAGGAGAGCCAGCCAAAGCAAGGCACCGCCCCAGTTGGTTCTGCACCACACTGTGGCCGTTGTGGCCAAACGTTCAGCCCGTGGGGCGCAGCATCAAATGGCTGGTGAGGGCCACTGCAGACCAGGCAGGCACCTTGAGCGCTGGGTCTGGTTGGCCGTGCTTCCAGTGGCTTCCACAGCGATGGGTCGCCTCTCCATTTTATTCCGTTCACTGGCTTCAGGTTCCTCCTCGTCTACTCTCGTCTGGTGTCTTTGTTCGCAGTCGCGCGCGCCCGAAGGTGGGGTGTAGCCAAGGTCTGACTGGGCTATTGGCCCGCTGACCCGGGTTGATCACCAGGTCGAATGGAGAGGCCGTAAAGGGGGATGCTGGAGGCATCTGAAGGAGTAATTGGAGGGCTGAGGCCAGAAAAGGGGGGCGTGCAGCGATGAAGAGCGTACGGCAAGGCCTGAATCCCATATTGGCACTTCTGCACGCTGAAGAGGGCCCGGTACAGTGCCGATAAGCTCTCCTCCCTCCCCAGGGCTTGGGTGGTGTAGGCCTGTAACTGTCCGTACCTACCAGTAGTAATTTCAATCCATCTGCCATCTCCCGTTACCTACACTATCTTTGATGAGATCAATATTACTTACTACCTGCTGCCGCTATTTGCAACTTATTTCAGAGACCGACCGCCAGCAATGTACCGGTACGTGCAGGGAGCGCCAGTACTAACGAGGCCAGGCCTCCCTAATACGGAGCACCAGCCAGCTCAGCAGCGTGGGAGCCGAGTGGGTTGTTTGGGCTTACGTACTGATACGTCCTAGGAAGAGCCCTGGGACGCTGATGGTGCCAGCCAGCGTGTCTCCCTGTCATACCTATCTTGTCAAGCCCTATCATGCTCCCTTGTTCTCCGGATGAGCCCCCCGTAACACCTCCGTAAAGGGATGGGAGTTTGCCTCCTATCAGGGCCATGGCTGAGCGTAGAAATTCTGGAACAAAAGTTGGGTTGGCGGAGGGATTGATGCTCGTACATGGCTCTCATGGCTTCCGACAAGATACTTGTGCCATACAGGCAAAATCAGTGGACGGACTGTGTACTTGAATACGCCTCAACGTCGGATGCTACACCAGCACGAACCGTTAATGCCATCTGGCCATTGCAAATTCGACGCTAGAATTGCAGACTACACTGCTAATTACACAGTAGCTTTTCTATAGCAGCGAACCGGTCCTTACTCATCCGCCATTAGTGCTACGCGTTTAGACTCACATGACGAACGCCAGCCCGTTTCTCGCACGGAGGCACCTGATTCAGTCAAGGAGGGGGGTATGGCTGACGAAGGAACAACATTTGAAGTGAAATGGGCGACTTGGGATTACAGACGAGTACGACTTTGAATCAAAGAACCGCCATCCCGATCGCGGGTTAGTGCAGGTAAAAGGGCACTGCATGTTGTAGCACCGCATCAATTTACTTCGCAGTCTCTTGTGCCCGGGCAGAAGCAAACAGCAGTAATATACCTAGCTAATCAATATTACCTCTTGGGCGCATCATGAATCAAGTCCAACGAGCAGCGAATAATAATCGTTCTATGCGGCAAACTGGTTCGATTGGCGAAAATGCGTGGCGAAATTGATTGCATGGAGAAGGGAGCCATTGACTTCTTTCATGTACCTTGTTTACTTTGTGTACTTGCAATCAATTGCTCACGCCCCTCCGATGCAGGCGAAACGAGGGGTGAGCAATTCAGCTGAAGAAAAAAGTGACAGAAACTGAAGAAAAATCGCCATTATTTTTCAGCTCCCTCGCTTGTGCTATCGACAAGGTTCATAGGTCAAAACTAACACAAAGAGATACCTAATAGATGCATGCTAGATGCGTGCTTGAACATTGGCATTGGCAATTGATAAGAGCCCCAGCCCTATCTCCACGAAACCGGAGCCTGGTATGACTGTAAGTGGCTTGAATGCGCCAGACTGCAACGCACCTGAATCGTTCCAGTCGATAACTGCGCCGGCGCTCGATTCTCGCAAGGCCGAAGTGGATCAACTTCTCCCCGAAGCCCCGTTTCCACCCCCGCAACGTGACTCCGCAAGGCCTCACTTTCCGTGTATTTGCAGAGCTAAAAAGCTATCCGTCGATCTGCTAGCAAGCCCATCTCATCTCGCTATTTCACGCCTGTTATCTCGAGGGACACATTAGGCGAGGAAAAAAAAAAAAAGAAACAAGTACCGGATGGTTTCCTCTGGCTTTGCGGCCGAATGCGGCTTGGATGAGGGGTTCCCGAAGCGGGGGAAGAGGGAGGGGAAATAGGCCTGGACAACACACAAAGAATTGAGAGTCTGTTGGGAACCGACAAGGTGCGTCTGCCGACAGAGCCACCGAGCAGCAGCAATGCTAACATTCTACGAGCTATTAGGTGGTAATACGTACGGCAGCATGCTCAAACGTGTCAATTGGATAGATACGAGGTGCTACTGTCCTCTTACACGCAGCTTCTAGAGGGATATATGCATGTCCGAGCCAATCTTTCCCCGTCGAGTTTCCACAACGGCTTTGCCTCTTCCAGGTAAACATGGACGACAACTGCTGCACAACAGAAATCGGCTAAATACGGCTGGGCTGGTCCGGGGGAATCGTTAAGCATAAGGCCAATACACGGAGGAGGCGTAGCAGAAGAGCAAGGCCCCAGATTACAGTCAGCGCCAGTACATTCAAGTACACCTTCATGACAAAGAGGTAGGAGGAGTCAGGGCTCCGTTAGGTTCTTTGTCATCAGGTATAAAGGCAGCCGGTATGATGGAGACGCTGTGGATATCATGGAGCAGACATGGAGACATGGAGCTGGGAATGGGGTAACATCTCGTACGGAGTCATTTGAAATGGCCTTGCCAACGAATTACAGGGCAAACAGAGAAAAAGACAAGGAAAAGGATGATAACAACACACAAAAGAGCCAGCCCCTGGCGCAAAGCATCTCGGAACACAAAAAAAAAGAAAGAAAAGAAAGAAAAAAAGAGTTGCAGGGCCAAAAGTCAGGCCACAACCGTATCCAACAGCCCGCGACGAGATAGAATCACCAACGGTCACTTCTCTCCGAAAAATCCCCTACGCCTCATCATCCAGGAACCGGCGCAGCTAATTGGGGCTTTCTTTGGCGGTTAGCATCTCCCACAACTAAAAGAACGTCGGCTACACAGTGCCTCCAATTCTTAGCATTCATCTAGTATCAATCCACTCACACACACCATGGCCGCACCCCCCGGCCGTGCGCTTACGCAGGTCACGACTTCCGGCAGCGACTAGGGCAATCCGCCCATGGCACCATCGCAGGCGCATCGAGTGGCCTCAGCAAACCACATTCGCCGAGCCGTGAACCTGCCGTCTGTCTAGCTTCGGCACAAATGCACACAACATGTGCTCTGCAGCACTGTGCAGCAGCCGGTTTCCTAATGCAGGCAGCTGTGATATAGATAAGGGCAAACGAGGCCTCCGCGCAAAACACACAAACACCATGAGAAAAATTTTTCCTTCCCTCATGCTTTCTGGGCGTAGACTCAGGCGGCTAAGAAGACGATGATTCATGCCTATGGTTGGGTTTCTATTTTCAGCAGGCTCTGGTTTACTGCCGTCTCGGTGCCTAACTGGACGCCCCAAGCTTGATTGACATGGGATATATGGATCCCGATGTTCGGCTCTATTTCTTCATGTTGCCATCCCAACGCCAACGCCAACGCACGGCAGGCTTACCATCAATGCACTCAATTGGAACCTGTAATTGCGAGTGCAATTGGACGATGCCTTTTTGAAAGGTTGGAAGGAAAAATTTTCTCTCTGCATTTGTGCTCGAAACGTGGCAGCCAAGGTGGCGAACAATGCCCAACTTTAAGTCTCGAATGATGAACAGACCACGGTGGTGACATTGACAGGGTGGTGGTAGAGGCAGATCCTCCAGTTGATCGCCTTGCGGGGCGTGGCAGCCAAATAGATTTGGAGTCTATCAACTTGGCAATTTAGACCAACGTGCCTGAACATCAACGATGAGCCGGCCTCGAGAGGACCTCCAAGCTAGAGAAGGTCTGTCGACGATCAGTTCTGGGGGGCACGAGCCGAGCCGACTTCTCAGAACCGGTGGAGATTGGGAAGCTGAATCATCACTCGCAGCCTCCTCCCCCGTAGTCATCTTCTACTCTGTTTTGGGGCCATGCAATCGCTCTTTTTGCAACAAGATTTTGCCTGTGTTTTCATCCAAAATTAGACTGTGCGTCGTGATGACTGCGTGCCCTGCACGTTCCGACCAACATTTCTTCAACAGCCGCTCGGTGGCTGATCGGTAACCAATCGGAGCTGCATTTCAACTTCCAAGCGCCCCCAATCATTCTGTCTCGTGCGGACGACGGCGATCATTGGGTCGTGAACCAACCTCAACACTCGCGTCTTGATCCTTTCATCGGGATCAATTGAGTCAACGAAAATTAAATGGAAGAGGAGGGCTTGGGTATTTCGCCTAAAGCGCACGCCTCACCATCTATGATCAATGAATTACTCATGGCGCGCTTTTTCTAGATACAACTCGAAGAGGATGTGCTACCCAGAGATACTTGAATCGGACCTCACCAATGATGCACGCATGTCACGTCGTACAAAATGCACGCTCTATAAAGCTCGACACCCAACGTGGGCGACTATCGGCAACCTGAATCATGCAGTCGGCATATAGGCAGAAAGCTCGTGCGGCCGAGGCCTTTGATGTTGTCTCTGGCAAAACACCCATCTCCTCATCTGCGCGCAATGTCCCAAGACTTTGTCGTATAGAAAACCGCAGCGATATCATGTCTCCATACTACGCCCCCGCCAGCATGTCATTCTTTATGTAATGATGCCCAAGTTTGAGAGGAGCGTTTTGTCATTTTGATGAGCGGTTTTTATGGCTACACTCCTCTCGTTGTTCCAGTACCATAGCATCACACTTCGTGCGTAAAGATGACTGGAATTCCATTGAGAAAACAGTGCGCAAACTCGTCGACTACGGTACTCACGCTCGACAGTTCGCACTGGATCACAAAAGTGCCGCTGACATGTACAGTCCGTTAAAAGTCCGTTAATACTATGGGGCCCCAGTCTGACGCTGCCTCGACGTTTTCCCGCATCTTGAAACGGATCGTGGGCTTTTACTTCTGACGCTGGCACGGCGGATCATCATCTTTTGCTCTCATTCGTGGCATCTCGGAGGGAGCGGAGGGCTTTCCCAATCGCTGATCAATTAGCATACAGTGTACATGTGTTCATAGGTACTCACCCCTGCGACTTTTCCAACATGGAATTGGCGTCTACATTAGATGATTCCATGGAAGCCGAACAAGGTTCGAAGGCGCAGGCACGGCTGTAGGCTCGCGAGCGGAAGCCGTCCGCCACTTCCGACGCTTTAGTGCTTCGATGCCGGGGTTTTTTCCCTTCTTCTCTATTTGAGATTGCGGAATACGGCGGCTCTCTTGATTAAAGAGTGCTTTGATTTGCACGATTTCTAATTGTTCCCTATATTGGCGGCCTCTCCGATGCCAATGCCGCAATCCACTTCTTGCAATATGGGCCAAAACAGAAGAGTACCGACAGGAACTAAAGCTACAGTACCAAGCCCATGGTGAATCAATTAACTGGGACCAGACCGATATTCCTCGATGACAGTCAATTGTTCAAAACGCTGTGGATAGGGCTTGACGATCCACATGGCCGCTAACTACAGACTCTGTACCTACAGCTACAGCTGTCATATTTTCGCAACGGTTGGTGGCTTGATTACAATGCACCTGTCGATCACACATCTACTTTTTCTTTCTGCAGGTCAAACTTTTAATAGTACCAGGGGGGGGTGAAAACCAAAGAGGAGAAAAAAAAAACAGAGCAAACAAAAGTTTCGAAACGCGCCAAATTCCTCTCAGCACAGTTGCCGTTTCTAGACTTTATCTCACCTACGTCATTATGAGTATCCACCAAAATCTTTTTCCCGTGACGTCAGCGAAGCCTCTTTTTTAGCATCACGCCCTGACCAGGGCAACCTTAAAAAACCGGCTCGGGGCTTTTTTTTCCTTCTCAAAGGTACGTGTACGTAATTTCTCAAAGAAGAAAGAGACAGAAAAACGAACGAACCCGCTATTGTCTACTTTTGAGGGAGTTTCTTTTTCTTTGTTATAGCCCTAATCCTTTGCTTCACACCCCCTCCTTTCTTTTATACCCCTTTGGCAAAAGATCGAGTATCTCTACTTTTTTAGAGATGCCTCAGGAGGCAGAGGTAGATACTCTGAGCAAAGTCGGTCGCGGTGGAGCAGGCAATTATGTTTCCTCAAAGCAGGCAGCAGAGGCAACCAAAGTAAATACTAACCTACCTGATATTTGGCGCATCCCTTGACAACTTGTCTTGTTCCGTCGCATCCCAAAGGAGAGCTGCCCTTTAACCAATTTCTTTCCTTTTCTTTCTCTTATAGGATCTTGAAGCGCAACGACTGAAGGCCCTCGCCTCCGCCCCGTCTCCGGCCCCGTCGCAAGGATCCGCAAGGGCAGGCCGTGGAGGCGCCGGCAACTTCGCCGACCCGACGCAGGCCGCGCAGAGCCAGGACCAGCTCGCAGACGAGACGGGCGCCGCAGTGGCATCGCGCCTGAAGAGGCATCCGCAGCCTCACCGGGCAGGCTGGTCGGGACGCGGCGGGGCGGGCAACTTCAACGCGGAACAGGCTGCTGAGCGCGAGAGGCAGCTGGAGGAGGAAGACAAGGGCAAGGCGGCTGAGCTGGATAGGAAGATCAAGGAGGCAGTTGAGGGGGCGTTGAGGCCTCCTGAGAGGGCACACCAGCATCAGAGAAAGGAGGAGGAGGAGGAGGAGCCATGATATGATGGGTTTATGCGTGTGTGTATGCGTGATGAACCACTACGCCGAGGCTATGTTTTGAGGCTTCAAGACTGGTGGGCGTAAAACCATGACAACAGAGCTCCAACATGAGACGAAGACTTGACGTTTTAATGAACAAGAATCTTTACCATATAGCACTTATATTACCTACTACAAATAGCAATATACCTACACGTCTAGAACACAGTGAATGGCAGACAGCCGTCCTGATAAAGCCGCTTACCAAACACATCTAACCATACGATAGCGCCGCAAATCACCGACAATCAAAACAATTTCAATCTTTATTTATAGAACAAAGACTCCATTATCCCGAAGATCTATTTAACCAAAACGAAGATCAATCGAAAAACACATCTAGAAGTAGAATTCCATTCCCATCAGCCAATCGCCACCGGCTCCCCGGATCGGAAAAATCAACCTTCCGCTCGGCAACTTCGTAAAACTTTCCATTTCGCATCGCCCGCATCCACTTCTGTCTGATTGTATGCGCCGTCACATCGCCCGAAAGCCGGAAACACCAACAGAAATCAACCAATTCCCAAACTCGCATCTAGGACAACCTTTCTCTTCCTATACAATGGCATCAGTATTCGCCTGGGGCGCTGGTGTCGCCGTCGCCGCATTTCTCGTACGTTCCCTCATCTCAGAGCAGTCTTTCCAACAACTCTTCTGTGTAAACGCCAGAAGAGCGCATTCCACACTTCTCGCATACCTATATACGACCACACGAAATACATACAAATCAACAAGGCAAAATAGCTAACGTTTCCTCTCTCTCAGGGCCGAGCCGGTTTAGTCGCCCTTCGTCGTTCTCGTGGCGGCGTCGGCGCCTTGGGCAAAGCTTTTTACAAGGGCGGCTTCGAGCCCCGAATGACCAAGAAGGAGGCCTCGCTCATCCTATCGCTAAAGTATGCTTGGAATTCTCTTCCGATCAAATTGCGCAGCTACAAAGACGACATGAATGATACTAATGCGAATTCGTGCAGTGAGCGGGCCCTCTCCAAAGACAAAGTCCGCAAGGCGCATCGGACGCTCATGCTCTTGAACCACCCCGATCGAGGTGGCAGTCCGTACTTGGCGACAAAAGTCAATGAGGCAAAAGAACTACTGGATAAAACTACATGAGCCAGACTGCAGTGAGTAGACTGCAACGAGTAGACTGCAACGAGTAGACTGCAACGAACACAACGAAACGGCCGCATACCCCACGATGTAGCGTATTTTATATAGAGCACCGAGGTCACGACACCGCCACGTTGGTAAAGGAGGAAAAGAACCGGAGTAGCCGGTGTGTATATGCCTTGTACGATATTCGTTTTCCATAGCGATGGCGTTGATGGATTGGCGGGCTGAATTTGAGAAAACTATCTAAAGCAACACGCTGGTAAACGGGTTGTAGGATTTAGAGGGGAGGACTAGCTACATGGCAGATTCGCGGCTTCCAACTAAAAACCAAGAAGAAAGAGAAAAAAACGGTAATTCTCAGCTCAAGACTGTTATGCCCAGGGATCATCCTCAATCGCCGGTTTCTGTTGTTGTTGCACGCCCAGCAGGGCTGGTGTATACTCCTCTCCTTTCGCCTTTACTTCCTTCTCTCTAATGGCCTCAATGGCAACACCAATGAGGGCACGAAGGGTGAACACGGCGTCATTACCGGCGTTGTGTAGATGCTTGCTCTGGATAAGCAGGTCGTTGAGAACGTGATGAAGGCCCTTTCCTTGCTCAGAAGCTCTCCAAGCCTGGTGGATCTCCTTTGTGTCTAGCTGCTCAATGAGACCCTGAAGTGCCAGCACTTCAAAACCCACGCTTGAAAGGTATTTGATATCCTGGCGAACATCATGGCCGACAAATACTAGCTTGCGCTTGTCCTTGATATAGGGCTCCAAGATGGATTCGATCGCCTCGGGAAGTTCAGCCTCTTCTGGAAAAGTACTTTTTCTGTTTCAATCTATTAGCAGGAGTGCCTATGACGAGTGGACAGCGTGATAAATACCCGAAATCGAAGTAGCTAGGACATCCACGAACGAAGCGGTGGTTCACGAGGCCCGAGTATTCTTTGGCTCGTAGATGATAAGCCTTTATAAACTGCCACCAATCTTTGCCAGTGGGCCCTGATTGCACTCCATTAAGGTCCCTGACATCCAAGATGGCAATTCCAATCTCAGAAATGGGATTCGGCGGCATCTCGATTGCTTCAACGTCCATGCAGACAAAGACAACATCTCCACCTGCGCGAGTGCTGTTGCCCCGCAGATGAAGAAAGTCCTGAGTCTCGTGAAGCATTCGTTCTCGGTCCAGCTTGCTTTGAGCGGCCTTTCTCGATTTATTCTTCCTCTTGTCTGCGGAAGCGGGCTTTGGCGCCATCATGCCCCAAAGAGTTTCCCAGCCTTGTCGAATGGCGCCATGTGCCTTGAGGAAGTTGTCTCGATCTTCTTGTTGAAAGTCTGGGAATCTGTCCACTTCAAAAGTTTTCTGATCTCGCGATCTCTTCAGATATCGAGGCCGTGGAGTGCCTCCTTGGCCAAACCTCATATAGAAGCGATCTTGATTTGCTCCTCCTGGAATTGCGAGACCGGTTCCGAGTTCTCTGTTGACGCTCCTTAAGAAACCTTCAAATTGGAGCGTGGGTACCATCACACGAGGCTTCTCGTTAGGCTTCTCGGGATGATAAACATAGAAACTGTTGTAATATTAAAACATGCGCCTCGAAAAGAATGACGATTTCCGGCAGCACTTACAAGTCCCAGACTCTGCCCTCAAGAATCTTGTCAAAGAATGGCTTGGCCTGTATGATGCGTCAGCTGTGCGTTACTCTTCTTTATCTATTTCTTGATGAGAACAAACTCAGTACGTACACGAGGTCCGTTTGCCTTGCCGATGAAGTGATCGGGATAAGTCTGGATGACTCTCCAGGAGCAAAAGTCGATGGTTTCCTCTGCAGGCTCTCCGGTAATGAACTTCGAACAATCTAGTGATGCCAAAGGAGGCTCTTTGGTCTCTTCGCGCTTAGTCTGCTTCTTCGTCGATGGATGGGCAGTGGAATTCCAAGCATCGTGGCCAGCATCGTATCGGGCAGCATCCTTGCCCGATTCTTGCGGCGGCACGACGGCGGGAAATTCATCTTCAGAGTCGACCTCATTTCGCACATGTTCGCCATACTCAAAGTTGACTCCAAGGCTCTTAAGCTTCTCCAAGCGAGCTTCGATAGGCAAGCCAGGCATGTTGAAGCTGTTGAGCTGTTGAGCTGTTAAGCAGTTGAGGGGAGGTTTGTAATCGCTGTGATGGAGAAACTTGAATGAAAGGTGGATGAGTCTGGAAGAAATGATGGAGACGGGAGATATTTGCAACCAGTTTTAAAAAGGGGAAATAGAAAAGGAAGTGCGCTGGGCGGTCAGAATGAAGGACAAGGTGAAAGGAAACTGGCGGGCTGCTGATTGGGCAAATTGGCTGTGGCAGGTTAGGCAGGCGTTGTTGACGGCTGCGTGCAGCAGGTCGCACATTGCTCGGAGAAAAAAAATTGGACGGTAGCAAACATCAACAATTAGGTATGATAGAGTGAGTGTCGTCAGAGAAAAAAAATACAAACGCTCAAATGGTGAAAATAGACATCATTATACTGCGGTGAGTGCACGATTTGAGGTTGGGAGTGGTGCCAGCTTAAACAGTAAACAACAAGATGAAGCCTCTTTGCTACTCTTCCATATATCCTTCATCATAATCATAGACGACAAGGAACTCGTCTTCCTCTCTCTCTTTAAAACTCTTTTTTGTCCCTTGAACAATATATCATCTGCCTACATGATTCCAAATTTATCCTGTACCTGTGAAACTAAACAAATGACACTTCCGGCCCTCGATCTTCACCTCGACTTGTAAAACTGTCCCACAAATCAGCAAACAATAGTCACGCATACCGGCAGTCAGCTGCACTACTCACCTCATCTGCCTCTTCAAGAGTAACCGTAGACGCCTCTGACTGGCTCTGGATGATCAATCCCAGTTTTGCCCATCGCATCTTGAACCAGAAATCCCGTCGATCGCCACCCAGGGTTCCAGAGAGCAGTTTCTTCTTTAGGTCTCGCACAAATTCGTTGTACTGGCCGGGCTCTTCCAGATTTATCAGCTCTTCCCTCATTACACCGATGCTCTCCATTGCCTGGGCGTATTTGTTATCTCCAAAGCTATCCGTGATGAGAGATTGCACAATTGCTCCCATTTGCTTTGTCGCATCAGCAATCTGCTCGACTTCTTCTGACGAGTTCAAGGCCCGCTTGAAATCGGGAATTGCATTCTCGGGGCTGATTGATCCCTTCTTTTCTCCTCCCAACAGAGCGTCCACATCTAGGCCTGAGATGGGTTTAACGGCTTCTCTTTGGCGCTTGCCTTTAGCCTTGGGTGGCACTGCGGAAATGTTAGCGAGAAAGATCTCGAGAACAGAGGGGGTGACAGTATGCTCGCCTTTCTTCACGTCTGCAGCTTTAATTAGGGAGTCAATCGTAGCCTGGACAGTCTCTACTAGCTCTGTCGGAGGCGCTGCGAATCTGAGCAAGACGGGCGGTATTTCTGGCACAGGTCTCTCCGGATGGACTGCCCGCTGCTTGATTGCATGATTGATGCGATGTATTGCAGGGTTGTAAATCTCATCAATGGTGGCGTATTCAGCTGGCTCTCTAATAAAACGAGGTGAATTAGCACACCAGAACATCCACAGCAACGGCGTCATGCTTACCCGTCTTGGTCAATGCCATAGTTGGAAATGTCCATGGCATCCACATAGTCGCTCATTGCCTGGCTGAGTTCATCTGACGGCAATAGGCGATGCTTGGTGATTGTTTGGCCGCTAATAGTAACAACTCTATCCAGGGGAGGAAACTGATACGACCTGACATCCTCTGCAAAGGGTAGAGGGACGTCATAGAGGCAAGCATAATTAGGCTCCAAATATGGCATCAGCAACACCATTATAGGATCCTTTTCGTCCTTTGTCACCAGACGGGCCACAGCATAGGAATCAAGCTCTGACAGTGCCCATACTAGAGAGCTAAATGCCAATTCCGACTTCTCGTCGTATTTGGCTGCAATAGTAACACATGACTCGCCGAGGTTAAGAAGCGGCTCATACTGGAAGATAGTCAGCAAAAAAACACGGTCAGAAATGAGAGGAAGCAATTACCTTTTCTTTCGGTATAAATCCAATAATCTTGAAGCTTTTCTGCGTCTGTAGTTTGGTAACGTTATGATCAGACTCGCTTATGTGCACGGCTGTCCTGCCGTATTCGTACCCCTTGGCCAGAGATTCAAACTCAACATCACGCTTGCCGCCGGGGGCATCTGGGTCGTTGACTTTGTATGTTCTGGACTGCTTGACGGCTGTGAGCTCTACCCCCTCCATCTGCTCGTCATCTGCCGCCTGCGAAGGCCCAGCTTGCTCCTCTTTGACTACCACAGTGCTGGCTGTTACCGGCCTAGCGAGATGAGTTTTGAAGTATCTTTCAACGCGAACCTCAACAACTGCGGGGGCGTTTTTCGGGTCTCCCAGAGTCAGTGAGCCATCGTATGTCTTGTATGGCTTGACTGATTTTGCTCGTGGCTCATTCATGTCATCAATCGCTTCGACAATGGAGGCGAATCGGGCGTCTTCACCACAGCCGTCCACGAGCTTTTTGAGCGTCTCCTCATTTTGTTTCTAATTCTGATGTTAGACAGCTTTTCAAAAAGAAACACATCGTAGAGACGATGATATCTTTAATACCTTTACTGCTGGTTTATCTTCCTCTTTATAGCCGTAGTCAGGAGCATCAAAGTCGACACCCCTTGCATGGTAGTCAGCACTAAAATTGCAAAGGTCCTGGCCATGAAATGCCTCTTCGACTCACAAGACTGTCAACTCAATATTCGAGTCCTTGATTTTCCGCGCAATATCACCGATATCATCCGGGTCTATCTCGCCTTGACCGTCTGTAACAAGACATATCTGCCGTTTCCACTTGTTTTTCTTGGTAAAGGTGTCAATCATATCGACCGCAATCACAATGGCCGATATGGCGTCGCCTTCGGTGGTCTTGCTCGGCTGTATCTTGGGCTGCAGAGTCTTCAAGCCGGACATGGACATTGGCCCCAGCGGCTGCAAGATGGAGATGTGATCGTAGCCATCTTCGGCCAGAGTATGGCTGGTCTCGTCGGTTCTGAGTCCCACAACACCAACACACAGAGTCTTGCGGTTCGAGGCCACGACGTTGCTGATCTTGTCCCACACATAGCTCATGCTCCAGTCGAGGTCCGACTCCTTTCGCCCTCCATTGGTGGCCTTCATGGACGCGCCGAGGTCAATGATGAAAACGGTCGATTCCTTGTCCGCCATCTTGACCGAGCTCAGCGTTCTTCTTTCAATTGGAGGCAGAAAAGAGGTGAAGAGAAGGGAAATAAGAGAAGGCGTAAAATCGTCAATTCGTTGTCTATGCCATTTCACACATCCATCAGCCCTTTTTTATAGGTCCCAGCAGCTGATAGGCTCGCCTCGCTCAAGCTTTAGGCAGACGAGGCCCGGTGGAGTACAAACGCGCAGGTATCGCGACACCACGTGATCGGCATGCATGTCAGGCAAGGTAGGATTCGGCTGCCAGAGGCTCAAACACTTAAGAAGTTGGCCCGCGTATCACCTCAGCCTGCGGTATTTTGCGCCTTTCATCCGTCTCTGACGCCGGTTCTCTCTAGAAGAAAAAGCAACAATGGCTGGCTCAATTATTGCTTCTGTGGCCCCGTACCACATTATAACGTGGGTGCTCCATTTCGGATTTGATCCTTGCCCACGTACATGATGAGCTGATGCTTAGGCCCCGGCGCTCAACGACTCAGTTACGGCACCGCCCTGGGAACAACATTTTTTCACGTATGGCTGTTATATCTCTTCCTTTTCCCAATTGTGCCTTCTTAGGTCATTGAAACCGTACAATCGCTTACACCCCGCCATTGCAGACCTTTGTCACCACTGTCGTCATGATCCGCTCGGTCGACCTCAAAACCTTCCAGGAAGTCCTGTTTAAACTGTGGCCCTACTACTTTGGCCTACAAGCTGCCACCTCTGCCGTCCTCGCTCTTACAACTCCCGGATCTTTGCTCACCCACAGTGGCATTAGCGGCTTCCTTGCGCCGGCAAACCGGTGGGGTACCTTGGTGCCCATCGCGGCCACCTTTGTCAGCAGCCTCGCCAACCTCTTTGTAGCTCTCCCCGCTACTATCAAGCTCGAGCAGGAACGCTACGGACAAGGTGATTCATACTACCATTCCATCCTAATACTTTGCAAGTAGTCTCTGGAGCCCAACGCTGATCTTAGTCCCTACCCAACAGGCAAGCGAGACGGAAAGGAGTGGTTCGAGAAGGAGGGTGCCTCGGCTGAGATGAAGGCTCTGAACCGCAAGTTTGATATGCTGCACGGCCTCAGTGCGTCCCTCAACCTGACCAGTTTCTTCGGCCTGCTGGCCTATGGTTTCACACTGGCTCGTCGCTTCCAGTAGAAACTCAACGGCATCATACAGACTGCAGATGCCACCAGAATATCCATTACGAGCCACCCTCGCGCCCAACTCCACTCAAGTGCTGTAGAAAAAAGATCGCCGCTAGGTAGTAGTTATGCAGTACAAGTCAAAAGCCGCAGGATGTACATTCGTCATAAGAATTCAAATTTATAAACCCAAAAAATATCTCTAGCCTGCTGATGCTCTATTCCGCAGTAATAGCCCGTCTGAAACTCTCCAAGGGTATAATATCCTGCCATCCGTTGCGCCGCGCAAATATGAACCAAACGTTGCAAAGTGGACGTAAATTCGTCAGTGTAGCCGCTGCCATCGCCATTCATTTCCTACCAGAAGCATTCTGCAGCGTGCCCTCGTGAAAGGCCAGCAGCTCTCGCTTGGCCGTCTCAAAGTCCCTCGTCTTCTGCTCCTTGTCGTCGGATCGGGATGCGGCAATCTGTGCCCTCTTTTGGTTTGCTTTCATCTGGCCCTGGAGGCTCCATCTCCCGGGCTGGCGCTCAAGAGCCTCCTCCACGTCGATGTCCTTGGCGGGCTGGGGATACGCTCGCAGAAGAGGTGGCAGAGGGTTTGTCGAGACTTTGGGTGGGACGCCGCTAATAAACTCGCGAGCCTCCAAAGTGGGAGTTGATGCGAGTGAAGCGGAGGGAGTTGAAAAATTGCTGCCGCTGGAAAGACTGAGTGACTCAGAGGTCAGGCGAGGGTTTGATGACTTGGTATCCATGGATACTGCGAAGGTGTCTAGCGACTCGTAGAGAATGGGAAGTAAAGGTCCAGGTAAGATAAGGGCTTTCGTCGCTAGGGGTATAGAGATATTACGCAAAGTAGTAGCGAAGAAGAGTGTGCCTCGTCAAATCCAATAGGTTTCCGGAGGTTGAAGAGGTAGGAAGGGTAGCAAGTATTTGTAGCTGGCAAAGAATTTTTTAGTCTGCCAGGAAGCTCCTATTTTTATTCGACTTTTCTCGGTGCTTCATCGTAGCCTCTCAGGAGCTCACGAGTCAAGCTCCAGTCTCTTAGCATAGCCCATTTTTTACAAATGCATGCAGCAAGTGTCTCCGCCATCAGGCTGGATGAGTCTTGCTCTCTCATGAAACCTAAGCGATACTTGGCACACGTGCTATAAGCCAACACGTCATGGGCCCACGGATATAAACGTCTTTGCCTTTTTTTTCGGGCCCAACTCGATGTTCTTCTTCCCGCAGCTCCGATGAAGTTTTTGCCGCGAGCATCTCGTCAAAAGTCACAGTTTCTGCTTGTGATCTGCACTGCAAAAACGCCGCCTTATCTCCTGTCTAGCAGGGTTTTCCTCTTCGGTTCGGCCGGGCTGGCGCCGCTCGGGATCCATAATTCGGTCGCGCCTTGCCTCATTCCACCTACTGGCAGATCCAGGGTCCTTTTCATTTTCTGTATCGGCTACGGCGATCGGCCAATGCACTAGAAGATGCTTTGCCGATAAGCAGCAGTATCAAAAACTCGGATTGTTTGACCCTTGTATAGTGTCAAACGTTACATATACCTTGCCTATCACTGGTGCTTTCCTAGGAACGATAGGGACATCATGAGATGGAAAAGGAGCAGTGTTGTGCTTTTCAGCGGCGCAGCTATACGAGATGAAGCAGCCCACCGTCCTCAGCTGGTGAACACGTTACGCCGCACATACGCAGCAGCATCACCAAGTTTCGGTATTTGAAAGGCTAAGAAAAACTCGTACACCCAATGCTGCATGCCGTATGCTTCAGGCCTCTATTGATGTCTAATCATCGGCTCACTAGCTTCAGGCTGCCTAGGGCGACGACTGCACGTCCGAGTATACGATATGAGACCGCACAAGAGTAAGTACATGGCAGCCGCAACAACTTGGATTGGTCTTCATCGGATGCTGCCTACTCCCGTGACGGATAACCCATGCTTTCAGTGCTTCATCATTTCATGTATGAATGCCAGTAAGGCCGCCATACATCATGCAGCCGTCTAATAACGCACTCTGGAAATCTTCAATGGAGGGAAAGAACTCGATGGAGGAATATCTATTACACAGCAATAACCCCCACGATCACTTCCATTGGCATAGAGTTCCCTTTGCTCCATACACACGCCCGCTCGACTTATAGCCCAACGTCAGAGGAGACGACATGTTCCCCGTACAAACGAGTAATGTTGGGCTTCAAGTCAACTACCCGCAATGCCTAGTGCCCGGAATCAAAGAACCCCCGGATCTTGGTGTCCGTATCAGCCGGGGTTGATTTCAGAGTTGAGTCTCTTTTCACGACTCGTATTTTGCGCCACAGCAAAACGCCAACTGCGTAGTGGCTTGCTGTCAAAGAATAAAGACCACCCCTACAATGACGTCGTTCGGCGCCGAGATTTTCGCCTCCGAAGTCGCAAGATTTCAATCGCCTACCCTACACCTTTCTGTCAGAAACCGTCAAATTTACAGAATGCAATCGAATCTCACTCGTGCTTGTAGGAGTAAGCTGATTGAATGGTGAAAATCCTCCTTTACTAAATTTAGCGTTACAGTGATCCTCTTGGATACAACGCTGCAGCTTATTCCAGCGGCTGCAGCGTGGATTTGCAGCTGTGATGTGACTGACTAAGCACAATCTTACACCGTTCCAAGAAGCCGAATATCCTTGACTCATTATGAAGAGCCTACTAACCTATTCACCGCTCGGCTGAAGGTTGTTTAATTGAGACGGGATTTTTCTCGTCCAGATTTCAATTCTTCACCATCACAAAAACCAAATAGAGACAAAATGGCTGCAACGCCGAAATACCTCACCGGCGACAGTGCCGGGATCAAGGAGTTTATTGACAAGTTTGACGTGAGTGATTTTACCTTTTTTTTGCCTTTAGACCCACGTTTAATGACAAGCTCACTCACAAAAAAATAGACGTTCTTGTTTGACTGCGATGGTGAGTAGACTCATTCTCTTTGAAACTTCAAGCAAAGTCTCACACAACTAGGTGTATTATGGAACGGAGACCATGCGTACGAGGGCGTCCCTGAGACAATTGCCCTTCTCAAGTCAAAAGGTTTGGATGCCGAGAGATGACCGAAAAAAGGATCTTGAACACTGAAAGCTCACCGCTCACCAGGCAAGAGGCTTGTCTTCGTAACAAACAACTCTACAAAGTCACGGGAAGACTATGTCAAGAAGCTCGCCAAACTAAACATCCCCGCCGAGGCCGAGGACGTCTTTGGCTCCTCCTACTCCGCCGCCATCTACATCAACCGCATCCTCAAGCTGCCCCCCGGCAAGAACAAGGTCTTTGCCATTGGCGAATCCGGCATGGAAGTCGAGCTGGCCTCGGAGGGCATCCCGTTCATCGGCGGCACGGACGCCAGCTTCAGGAGAGACATAACACCGGCAGACTTTGAGAACATTGCCAACGGCTCGATGCTGGACCCGGAAGTCGGCGTTGTCCTGTGCGGCCTGGACTTCCACATCAACTACTTGAAGATTGCGCTCGGCTTCCACTACGTCCGGCGCGGCGCCGTCTTTCTGGCGACGAATGCGGATTCCACGCTGCCCATGCACCACGACTTCTTCCTCGGCGCCGGGTCATGCATGATCCCTCTGGCCTATGCGCTTGGCGAGCAGCCTACGGTGCTGGGAAAGCCGAGCCAGGCGATGATGGACGCCGTCGAGGGCAAGTTCCAGCTTGATCGCGCCAAGACGTGCATGGTGGGAGACAGACTCAACACAGACATCAAGTTTGGCATCGAGGGAAAGCTGGGAGGAACACTGCATGTGTTGACGGGTGTCCATCAGAAAAAGGACTGGGATTGCGAGGACGCTATTGCTGTGCCTGCTTTCTACGCTGATAAACTGGGCGATCTTCTTCAGGGTGCATAGAATCATTTTAGACTAAGTATACTCTAGATTAGATTTCTTTTAGACGACAACGACATGGTATGATATCATAGACATATAAAAAAAAGATTATCCAAAAAAACAACGTTTCAAAACTCCCCTCTAGAGTTTTCATAGTGAACCATAATCTCATTAAGCTCCTCCTTCATAAATATGCTGATAGAGCAAGGCCATTACATTTGGAGAATTTCAGGACTGCGTGCATATCAGTACTCGTCCTTTTCAACCTTGCTTCTTCTCTTGACCTTTTGCTTGGCCTCGACTTGCTTGGCCTCGACCTGCTTCTGCTCCGCGCGTCTAGCCAGATCGCTCGACCTGATGACTTTTGGTGACGGGGTCCTGTAAGGGACCAGCGTCTTGGGAATGAACATGCCAACGTGCTTCTGGTACGCCTTGTACTCTGGGTATTTTCCGGCGGTGATTCTCTCAGTGAGATTGGTGGACCCTTGGAAGAGCAAAACGAGGAGAACAGCCCCGGTGCCGGCCCAGCTGTACGGGGTGTTGGCGGCAAAGCAGCTCCACGAGTAGAGGATGAACCAGATGGACTGCTCGGCAAAGAAGTTGGGGTGCCTGCTGTATGCCCAGAGACCTTTGGCGACGAAGCCCCGTTCCAGTTCGGCTGACGTGTATCCACGGGTGAGCTCATCATCATCGTAATATTTGTACTTTGCGGTTTGGTAAGCCCATTGCTGGCCGTCGCTTATCCATTCGCTGACGACAAGAAGGACCTCGACGCCGAAAAAGACCAGATCAACCGGTTGGATGCCAGGCTCTAATTGGGACGACAGTAGGATGACGTACGCTGGTACGCAAGAGAAGAGAAACAGAAGAATGCACTGGAAGAATGAGATGAAGACAACGTTGAAGAGGAACCAAAGGATTGAGTTGGTTTTCGCCTTGACAATCATCCTATGAAACATTAGTTCTCATGATGTCATTGAGAAAGGGAGTCAAGGGGCCTTTACCATCTGTAGTCCTCTGAGCCAATGCTGTAGCCGCCGCGCCTCCAGTAGTTGTACGTCAGTCGAATCTGAGACAAGTCCCATGTCAGCAAGTTTTTTCCTGATTCACTACGTGAGACCCTGAATAGAGGGCAAGTGACTCAGACTTACACTCCAGATGGTTGTAAATGCGGCAATCAAGTCCACTCGCTCATGCGGCACACCAGCCAGACGAGCCCAGATGGCGATGTGGACAACAAAGAGGTTCGGCAGGATGCTCCACAGGCGGTCGACCTGCGAGTAGTTGCGATTGACCTCGGACGCGATCAGAGTGAGAAGCCCAAAGACCAGGGCAAGGAAGAAGCCAGACACCAGCGGGTTCGTCGTCACGCAGACCGACTTGATGCCATCGAGGCTGCCAATGTTGTCCCAGAAGCGCAAGGGCAGCTCGTAGAGTTGTGGCACGAAAGGCTCCACGACCTTGTGGTAGTCGACGCACTCGTGCAGAGATTTCACCTGCGGCAGGACCATGGCGGGAGCTTTCCAGATGTTGAACGAGGTGAGCAGCCTGTCGAGCGCAGGCATTGCCTTTATATAGCTGGCCATGGCGGGTAATCGATCTGTATTACAGTTTTGTCTTGGAATAGATGACAAGACGACTTGCCGCCTTCTAGTATGATTGAAGGTTTGCGAGCGCGGCGGACCAATAAAGGGGCCGTGCCGCCACTGATGAGTTAGCTCTGTGGCCGATGTCTTCAGCAGGCGGCGTTGCTGCTGATCGAGGCGCGGCTTAGCGTCGTGTTTCAGCGCGCGTTTGCCTCGTGCTTCAGCGCTGTGATGTGCTGCGGCGTTGCATTAAGTGCGCGCCGTAGCACAGAGTTTAGGCAGAGCAGCATTGGAGCTAGCGGGGTGGCGGGGCTACGTGTGATAAACTGGAGCGAGTACGTGGAGCCAAGTATCATGTTAGTGCCTTGCATGAAGCTGGTCCACGCTGGGCAAAATCTTGGCTTCTGCGATTGCTTGAGCGCGCAGCTGTCGAGACGACGAGGCTGTTTGGCCATGAGTTGCGCAGAATGACAGCTGAGAAATTCTTCACACATCGGTGACTTATTGACGGCAGGCGGGGTTGATGTGCAGCCGCATCCAGGGGGTGGGAAAAAAAAATCTGAAGAGAGACGTGAATCTCAAGGAGAGTGCATGAGATTCACCCAGCCTCGCCCAGCCTCGCCCTTTTCAACGATTCGCATCCTGGGCCTGGAGATATGAGAGTCCTATGCGTGGCCGAGAAGCCGTCCATCTCCAAGGCTGTGGCCGGCCATCTCTCTGGAGGATCCTTTGCAACAGTGCGTGCCTACCTGTAGCTCCCAGAATTACTGCTCTCCCTTGGTTCTTGTTCTTATATACGCTGGACTAACGCAAAGGTGACGCAAGCATAATACACGCAACAAGTACATCAAAAATTACTCGTTTGACTTTGACTTTGGCCAGCAATGGGGAAGCTCATCCGTCACCATGACCTGTGTCACAGGCCATCTCACCAATGTCGAGTTCACCAACGAGTACAAGAACTGGAGCCATCCGCCACCGGAATCACTCTTCACTGCACCCATTGTGAAGAATGTCCATGATGTGAGTGGCTACATGTACTGCGCAATGGGGATATCACATTGATGAATGTTTGAATAGGACAAAAAAGATATTGCCAAAAATATAGCAGATCAGGCCAAATATGCTCGTCTGCTGGTGATATGGACCGATTGTGATCGAGAGGGAGAACACATTGGACAGGAGATTGTCGACGCAGCAAAGGTGGGCAACGCTGCGATCCAAGTGAAGCGTGCCAGATTCAGCAATGTGGAACGAGCGTATGGATCCAATGCAAAGCTCCTACATATTGATATGACGTATACTGATATTTCTATTTCTTAGACATGTGTTGACGGCTGCTAGACGTCTGATCGAATTGGACGAGAAACAGGTCAATGCCGTTTCAGCAAGAATAGAGCTGGATCTTCGCATTGGATACGCGTTTACGCGTTTTATAACGAATAATCTCAAGCATCTAGGCGGACCTCTGGCAGAGCTGGTTCTGAGCTATGGTACAAAACGACACCCCCCTCCCAATCCATCATAATAATATTTTGACATCTTGGCTAAAGAAACAACATAGGATCATGCCAATTTCCAACTCTGGGATTCGTGGTGGACCGGTATTTTCGCGTCAAGAACTTTGTCCCTGAGCCGTTCTGGGGCATCTCGTTGACACATAATAAAGACGGCAAGCAAGTTCGCTTTTCCTGGGCCAGGAACCGTCTCTTTGACCGTATGACGGCCGTACTGTTATACGAGAGATGTCTTGACGCAAAAAAGGCCAAAGTCACCAAAGTTCAGGAAAAGCCAACACGAAAATTCAAGCCGTTACCTCTCACCACTGTTGAGCTCCAAAAGGCAGCCACTCGTTTGCTTCGAATGTCTGGTCAGCAAGCCATGACGATAGCAGAAGGCCTCTACAACAAGGGATTCATCAGCTACCCGAGAACAGAAACCGATCGTTTCGACAAGGGCATGAATTTGAGGGCTCTAGTTCAAAAACAGACTACGGATCAGCGCTGGGGTCCTTTCGCCCAGGGACTCGTCAATGGCGGCTTCCAACAACCAAGAGAGGGGAGGCACGACGACAAGGCCCATCCACCTATCCATCCCATTGCGCATGTAGCACCATCTGTATTGAGCCACGACGAAGGACGCCTATATGAGTATGTAACGCGCCGATTCCTCGCATGCTGCTCCGAAGATGCCAAGGGCATGGCAACCGATATTGAACTCCAGCTTGGAGACGAGTATTTCAGCACACGAGGCGTCATTGTACTCGAAAGAAACTACTTGGACGTCTACGTATACGAAAACTGGAACAACTCCACAGAGCTTCCCAAATTCACAGTCGGAGAGCAATTCGAGCCGACAGAAGCAATGATGACAGAAGGCAAGACGTCACCGCCAAACTACCTCACCGAAGCAGACCTCATCGCGCTCATGGACGCCAACGGCATCGGAACCGACGCCACCATGGCAGAGCACATCCAAAAGATCCAGGACCGCGAATACGTAGCGACAATAACGAGGGGAAACGACACAGCCGGAGGAGCAGGAGGAGGAGACGACGAGGAAGAAGCAAACGGAGCCCCGGCTGCACGAGGCGGGGGCCGCGGTCGTGGAAGAGGAGGCCGAGGCCGAGGAGGCGGCGCCTCAGCAAGAGGGGGACGAGCAAGTGGGCTCAAGGTGTTTGTGCCGACTCAGCTTGGCGTAGCCCTTATCCTAGGCTTCGACCGGATGAGCTTCGAAATGAGCCTTGGCAAGCCCTTTCTGCGCAAGGAGATGGAGCTCCAGATGAAGGCCATTTGCGAGGGGAGCACGACGCGCCGAGCGGTTCTCGAGCAGAGCATTGCGCAGTACAAACAGGTATTCTTGCAGTCGCAGGAACAAGTGGGAGTCCTTAAGCAGGTAAGCCAAAACCTTGCTCAGTCATTGTTATCTGAAAGTAATAATTTGTTTAATAACGTTTTGCATGTATATCTAGGCTTGCCGCGAGTTTGTCTTTGGCCAGAGACCAGGAGCATAGGTGTCGACTCATATACATCTTACAGTCTTCTTTTATTGCATGGCGAGCATGTCCTTTTGCTTGTATCAACTGCCCCCCTTTCCATATAAATCGTCCAATGTACAAACATTACAATTCTCCATCTCGATCAATCAATCAGGGGGTACACAAACCCTATTCCCCATCGCGACGACACGCACAAATCTGAAAATAGTTTGTATTCCCGTTTCTTTGCCGTGACTCGCGAGCGCGTCATCTACGCTTCCCCTTATCGACACTAGGCCATATACATATAAATAGCATACAAGCAGATGCCATTTTCAATTTCAGAGCATGAAGCCACCAAGGTTCTTTCTCATGGGTACTCCATCCAGGAGGAGGAGGGGTGTGCAATAAAGTCCCCAAAGCACAGCGTAGCCGCCGATCACTAAAATGAAAATCGTACTCGTACCTGTTCATCTGTACGTCATTTCCATAAAAGAAGACTACTTTTTCAGCAGAATAGCCAACTCCACACAAGGGGGACGTTCGTTGTACGAAAATGGGGGCTTTAGCCCTCGAAATTCAATAATTACCGTACATGTGGGATGAATAGGAAAAAAAAAAAAGTGGACGAGGTAAATAATCGCTCTTATCGCTAAAAAGATCCGTTTTCGAGAAAATGGCCGCGGGGCCAAGTTTCGGCGTGGCTGACGCACCACCACACACCTCTGAACTGAGCCCGTGGCTCATGCTAACAGCACTGCTAATTGTCGCTAACTCACCTAATACCACTTACACAGCTGCTCACACACCAATATCTGGCCAGATGGAGGGTCACATGGGGGGTCATTGCGAGAATAGCGACTCGCCTGGGCCGGGGTGCCAATCAGCTTATCTATCGCGCGCAACGTGATGGTTGCACAGCATTCCCTCGTTTAAGAGGCGCTGGCAGGGAAGCCTGGGCTGTGACAAGACACAGTATCGAGCACAGTATGCGGGCATGCGATAAGACCGCTCCAGTGGTGTTGAGTGGCAGCTTATCTTGGACATCTGCAAACGACTCGGTGACGGGCAGAAACAGAGTCCGCGGCCGCATAATACCTCCTGAGGTAAGAACCATCTAGAAAGAGCATATACATGGCCCCTTTCTACATACACCCATGGATGTATTCATCTATCCCACGCATCCGCGCTTAGGTAGACGTATGTAGGTACGACAGGCAACGGGAGTTGTTGGTTCCATAAATTGCTCCCGCCTGGTCCGGTGATTGAGACAGAGGTCACACACGCAGTGGTTGAGACTGGCGAATTTCATCGTGTCAAACTTGACTTTATTTGTGGGCTCCGTGGTGAAGATCAGATCGGCTGATTTGCTTGCTTGTCGCAGCGCATCCCGTCAATCCGACCATCTGCGCCGGCGGGCTGCCCCGATTGGCTGCCTTGGGCCTTGGTAAAAGGCGCATTTAGCATGCCCGTGTATGGGATTTGGGACGGCATATTGGTCCAAGCATTTCCATTAGGTGTGCGCGCCGTCAACGTTGGGGTCGAACATTGGGCGTGTAAGTGAACCCCCCTTTGGCGGATACGGATGCGCGCTTTGCAGTCCATAACGTCGGATATGCCTCTCGCGCATCAAGTTCGTAGCCAGCAGCCTTGCTGTTCTACATGTCCTCATTTGCCGTCTTCTGTGCATTGGCGGCGTGAAACGTGTTTGCGCGGCAGGACAGCTGAGACGGTTGGACACACGAGTAAGTGCTCTTGATAGCTTCTCAGCTTCTCCAGGCCTCATCTTACGTCGGCGGGGAGAGAAGCGGCCTCGTTTCAACGCTTCGGCTTCATGTTCTTAGCCTGCCCACATGGGCAATCGGGTCTGCCCACGGCTCTCCGTGGTCTTTCAGCGTCATGGCATGCTGGTTTGAAGTGGATTCGACCTCCGTACTAGACGGTTCATCACCAAAGCCGACGTCGACGGAGCCTCGAGCTACTCTAGCCTGGCCAGCTAACGGCACGCCCCCGCTCACTACAGAGGCTGCTTGTTGGCGCGCGATGTCGATTTCCCGCGATGGGGTTTTGATGCTTATTGCGATGCGAACTGGCGCAGTTGGCTCTCGCCTACACCCGCGGCCAAAGCCCTAGAATCAGGGCTTTGTGATAATTTGTTTTGTGCGCGCTCTCCTGTCATGATGGGACCAGGTTAGATGCCATACAGTATTTGTATCTGTATCATGACGCTGTCTGCTGACGTGCGAGGCCGTGCTGCTTGTATATATGCTGGGTACGGAGTACAGTAGGAGTTATCCGCCTGGCGGGGCGTCTTGGAGAACCTTGTCGACAATAACTGTGCGCTGAGTTACTGTTACGTCCTCTGAAACAAAACTTGGTAATTATTTTCTGTGCGCCCCTCTCGCAAGATCAGATCAACGATATTTGCCGAGCTGCCCAAGCCATCGTTCGAGGCGCAAAGCATCGGGTTTGCTGGACGGATGAGGTTCTGCCATGGTCGAATGAGAGCCAGCCCGCGATGAATGTGCGCGCTAGCTGGTTCCCCAGACTCGGGCCAGGGGATGGGTCCGTCTTGATAGCTCCACGGTAATGTTTAGGAACGTGGAAAGGCCTTTGGAAGCACGCTGGGCTTGCACGTTGCCTAGGCTGTTGGCCGAAATGGCCCGAACCATGCCTCCCCGCCAAAAGGACGGCGCGACGACGGCCGCGGGGCTGGAGAGGGTATCTCGTAGTCTAATCCATCGCTACGACGGAGCATATGCGACTCACTTACTCGTGGGCGAGCTGGACGGCGTGTAGGTGGTGGAATGTAGGCACATGTACCAGGACGAAGAAGCACGTATGTCAGGAATACATGTACATGAACCAAATAGCCCTGCCCGGCGCTTTAGCGATGCAGGAGACAAGAGAGCAGTCAGCTCAAGATGACGGGTATTAGTGCAGGTACATGGAAGGAAGGATCAAGTCAGCGGACATGTCGTTTGTCTGCAGCAGGTATCGCGTAGGTACCATCGGGGGACTCGATCTCCGGTGTCGCTGACAAACGGCACGTTATTAGTCTTTGTAGGAGAGAATGAGTGTAATATGAATCATCGCTGCCGTTGTAGATGCGCACTTGGGCCTGTGTACCGTCTTCTCGGGCACCGTTCATAGTGTTACGTTTGGGGTTCATCTATACCAGCAAGCAAAATACCTGATATGCCGAGTCCCTACATACCTACCTACCTATCAAAGACATCTGCATCTTGCACATCAGTATTCAACCGGCTTCATCGTACTGGCTGGCGCGAATGCAGCAAAATGTCCACCGAAATTCCATCACCACCAACCAAAAGCAATCCATCCTCTCGCTTGGCACAGCGCACTTGCTCTCTCCTCCCTGCCTGGCTCCATTAAACGACGCTTACTGTAAGTATTACCCTGCCTGCGCAGATGGTCGCATTGGGCTCCGGGACGCCGTGCCGCGCAGCGTATCAGCGCCGATTCCTGCTGTGGCTGGGGCCGAGTCCCCATATACGGTACAGTAGGCACATTTCGTCGCTGCTACTCCGTATGAGTCCAGTTGTTTGCTGGCCGCTGGGCGTTTGATTTGCCCTGTGCATTAGTTCCTTCTTTCATCCATTACTGGATCATCATGATTTCGTCAAGGCAGCAGCACAAAGAAAGGGGGGTCTCCTTGCTATTGTCCTGCTTCATGCTCCGTCTTGTAAAACGCCAGATGGCCACCCCGTTGTAACAGGATTACTGCCAAGTGCAAAACACCAGATAATGGCTTCGAAATCGTGTGCGTCAACGCCTCCCTCCAACCACGCTTGCCAGAGTCATGGGAACCAGCCCGCTGGAGGTACAAGCAAGTACCGGCCGGTACCAGCCCTGAGCCACAGCCTGCCCAGCACGCATCGCTAACGCCACACCCCCTCCCTTCACCACAACAACAGCCGCCCCGGTTTTCCTTCAGAAGGGGGCGCCCGGCTTGGGCTCTAGCAGGTCCCCCCAAGGCCCCTCCAAGCCCCTCCAAGGCTGCAAGCGTCCCAGCACCAGTCGCAGTCGTGACCAGTTGCCGGGGCGTGGCGCTAGCAATCGCGGCCTTGCCACACGTCGCCGTGGATTTCGTTTCGTGCCTGCGCTGCGCTGCGCATGTACGAAGTACGGAAGCGAAGTACACACGGCCTTCATAATCGCATCACGCCCGGCCGATTCCTCTTCGCTTCTTCCTCCTCCCTCAAAGCAATCACAACAACACAGATCCGTGCAAACGATTCACATCGGGAATCAGCCGTCACAGTCTCGATCGTCGCGCCAGCCCCTGCCAGCGAAGCCCGTTCTCCGTCGCTGTCCTTCATCTGCCCAGCCTGCCTCCAGCGCTGGCTCATCAAGGTCAACACCGCTGTCACTGGATTTTGCTCCTTTTGGTACGTACAGGTACTCCGCCGCGACCCCTGGCAGTGACTCAACCCCTTTGCCAGCAAAACTTGCATTACGGCTGGCCCTTTATCACCGCCTCTTGCCTGCGTGCTGCGTGCTTGCTTGCTTGCCTGCATGCTTTTTTTTCCACTTTACCTTGTTGTGTTTGGAATTCCTTTTACGGGGGATCCCTTTTTGTTTGCATGCGCCGGCTGTTTCTCAGGGCAAAAGTACTTATACTGACCAGAGCCGCGTCCCTTGCCGCAGACTTAGAGCTCCTAAGCATCTCTTGCAATTCCGGTATAAAAGAAAACATGGCTTCTTTGGCGACTGCTGCTCGTGATATCCCCCAGGCCTCCTTGAGCCGAGACAACTTAACTGCTGTAGCGGCTCGGAGCGATCCTGCGATGACTGTGACACGATCTCGGGACCTCCCGACCCCTCCAAACTCCATCTCTCCCTCCTTGCCGGCCCACGGCCTCAAGGCCCAGCTCCAGAAGGCCAAGCTCGAGGCCATCGACTCCGACTTGGACCTTCATGACAATGCCAGCAGCCACGGAAGGTCGCTGTCTCCGGCGCTCGAATCGGCCGGCGCCATCACCAGCTCCATGCTGGCCAAGTACCACCTGCCAGAGATCCTGCTGAACCACGGTCCTCTGGCCATCCGTCACATCATGGGATATCTCACCACATCGGTTCCTGGATTCTCCGGTATCCCGCCGACCAAGGCGCGAAGGGTAGTTGTCGGGGCGTTGGAAGGACGCGGAGGCGAAGGCAGAGGAGTTGACGGAGACGTCGTCTTCGAAAAGGTGGGCTGGGGGCGATGGGATGCGCGCCGACGGGGACAAGCCGCCCGGCATCGTCAAGCAACTCCGCCCAGCGGCCCATCCTCCTACACCGCTGGAATTCCCATCTTCAGGGCCAGCGGCCGGGGCTTGAGCCTGAGCAGGGCGAGGCTGCACGCTGCCGGCTCCAGCGGCGGTGACTCGGTGCAGTTCTCCCACGATGACCACTTTGACATCTCCATGATGGAGCACGAGGCCGACAAGATGTCCATGGACGACTCCGCGTCGGCTTCATGCTCCGAGGCGCCAGATGATGATGTCGCTATGAATGATGACCCAGAGGACGTCACGGACGACGAGGACTGGGCTGCTGTTGGCGCCGCTGCCCTGCGGGCCGACTCCTACCCAAACATGGCTTCCGCTTTCGAGCCCGGTCTATCCTCCAACACGTACTCTGGTGGGATGCGCACACTGCCTTCCAACTTTGGGGGCGTGGCGAATCCTCCCCAAGTCAAGATTGACTATTCTGCGTTCCCTGCCACTGATGCGCAGGAGCGCGAAGCCGTCGAAGCCCTTCTTCGACTGGGTTCTGTATAATACTACTACTACCAACTGCATGCATGGCGTTTTGCTTATTTCACGTTTCTTTTTGGTGGGTACGGCTTTGCTTCTTTGGGTTCCCGCGGTGGGAGGGTTTGACTTGGTCCTGGATGGACTGGTTGGCTGGACCATGGAATACGTGTCATACATGGTCGGGGCGGCGTCCCGGATCAAACCCTTTCATGCTGATGATGACACGCTTGCTCTGCGCGCATTGATTTTTTCTGGACCCTTTTACTTTCGATACTCCGCACACGGCATTGTTTCTGTTTTGCGTTTTGGCCCCTCGCTTTTCCCCCTCCAGACTCGGGGAATCATTCTCTTTTTCCCACCTACCTGGAGGGATGTGGGAAGCACTTGGGCGGCTCGCTTATCTCAATGCGACCCTGGCTTATGTTGGGCTTTGGATGAAACTCTCAAAAGAGGAGAGAAAATGGACAGACTGATCTCAGTGTTGATCGCTGATGGATATTTCCTCCCTCACTTTTGACAATTAATGCCCCGTCATGCATGTCGAACGATTGTGTCTTGATGCCTTGTGGCACAAACCCGCGTACGGGAGAACTCTTATACCCTCGTCTCACGACGAAACTTTTATGGCTGTCCTACAATAGGATGGTCTACCCTTGGAACAATTTCCTTCATCGGCGGCTTTTCTATAACGGTATATTTTCTTGCACATACGCTACTTCTTTTTCATCTTTTCTCTTTTGAAACTCCAAAAATCCTAATAATAAAGTGCTTCTTTGAAAGCGCCTGGTTTTTTCAACACCGCACACGGAGGAATTTCAAACCTGCTATAGCTGCCCAAAGGCGGCATTTTAGGCTCGATCTGCAACACTTCTCCACTTCAGATGCTTTTCATTTATTATTCTTTTTTTCGCTCCCTTGCTTGATGTTGCACAAGGGGAGACGGCATTGGTTGGCAATTATAGATATAGGACTGGGACTATGGCGAGGACGATTGGGAGCCAAGTGACTTGGGCTGGCTGAGAGAGTTTACAACGCGCAAAGCAAAAAAAGAGAAGAAAGGAGGCAAGAGGAAAGCAGAGGCGACAAAGCTTTTGATGCTTCTCTCTTTTATAGGTACTATGCTACCCTCAGAAGAGAAGGATGGACTGAAGGTGGATGAAGAAACAAAAAAAATCTTCAAAATAATAATGGAGGGCTGGCCGACCAGATAGCTTCCCTGGGCTCATTACGAGACTCGTTTATCATACAATGGAAGTATAAATCATTTTCCTCCAAATCTTGGGTATCCTCATGTGGCACGTTTATTGTTTGTGATTTGTGTGCTGTACGTGCTGTACGTGTTGTACATGGAAAAGAGCGATTTAATTGGTTTACCTGCGGCGTTTCTCAAAGCTCAAAGGCGGGGGAGGCGAGTTTTGTCTTGCCATGCATGCATCGCACAATGCCGGCTAGTAGAGGCATAGAAGGAATACGTGTTGGTATATTGCCCAGTTCCAGGTGCTTCTATGCAGTAGTAGAGCATGTACTGCAAGGAGCCGGGGCTGAATGATACCTAATAAGCCTTTCTTCCTTTGCCTGCATAGACTAGAGATGCTCGCTGAGTTGTCACTACACAAGTGTGGCTACGATTTACGCAGGAGCATCGAAGATCATCGGGGAGCGTGGCTAGTGAGTGCTGATGGGGCGGTGAGATTCTGGGGATGTGCTTGGGAGTGTCGGTATGGACAAGATATAGGGAGTACAGAGACGTATCTAAAATGGGCCAATGTTTAATGCTGCTCAGAAGAAGGCAGAGGTGTAAAGAAAAGGCCAGAAACAAGCCAGTCTAAATGGTATACGGTGGGTGGAAATTAATTTCGACGAACCCAGAGGGTAGATGTCACTAGAAGCTTTGTTGGAATTAGTTTGTCTCTACTATTTCAGCAGCATCAAGATGAGAGATTTCCCAAGATTTTAATTGAAGGCGCAATTTCACTTTGAAGTCTTTCCGTTGAGCTCTTTTAAGTGAAATTACATGAGGTTGTGGGGATTCGGTTGTAATAGTTGCAGTGGATGGCAGAATGTGCTTTGTGTTTCTTCACACCGCATGGACAGATGTGGCTATAAACATATGAAGAGGCATATATATATATTCCTATATATCGTGTTTAAGCATCTTGTCATCAAGAGGGGACAGGGTCGGATGCCCAGTTGCGTAATGTCATAGAAAGACAAGAGAGAAATCCTTCAGCGCCAGGATGTAAGCTTAATGACCCTAGAAATCGTGATCTACTCTATACTAGCACAATAAAAGGAATCCGAGATGGTTGGATTAGAAAAAAAAAGGCGGGAAGAGACAATATACCTGGAAACTGGATACATGTAAGTTGCTTGGCAAGCGAAGATCCCGCCGCCAAGGCACTACCACAGGTGAGGATTCGTATTCTTACAAGAGGCAGCCGGTGCGCTCTATTGCAAAGTTGACAGGTGGCAAAATGGAATAATACCATGGCGATGCCCTTCCATCATATCATATAAACCTTGGGGAAATTGTAATGAGGAATCATTCCAAATCTTTTGGCTTTTTCTTCAAAACCTTTTCTGCGTCGGGGGATAAAAGCTTATGCTTACTGAGTGTCACTGTATCTGATCTGATCCTTCTGTTCCCTTGCCTCGAAACCACGTGCAGCTTGGCAAAAGCAAAAAGCCCATTTTACAAGACCATCGACTTGAATTGCACTGCCACCATCTACTCCAAGTGTATGATGCAAGGGACAACTTCGCACTGTAAACTGTGTGTCAAGTAGTGATAGCGGCGTCTTGGCAAATGGGGAGGATTGTCAAAAGAGCTTGTTCGGTGGATATGCCCAGACTGAATGGCTTGTCTTGGCGAAAGGGGGAAGGGGGGGGGGAGGGAGATGTTGGAACTCGAATTGCCCGTTTTATCCCTAGCATTATCTGTAGCCAAGATATCTTCTTTCGGGCTACCGACGGTGGATGGAAGGCTGTGTAAGTTGGCCTCGGGGGCATATTTGAGGGTCCGAGGAGAAATGCTACGTCGATTGGAAGAGGTTGGATAAATGAGTTTGACGTCTGTTGGTTGGTGGAATTGGACCAATACGGATATAAGAAGATGGTCAATGTTGGAGGCAATATTGATGCTCTAGACTTGATGTCATTTTACAACCGCCTCTTTGTCATAGTAGGGTCAATGACATTTAGGTCTTGACATGCGAAGATGCCATATCTATAAGTGGGCAGCATGGAATAAGCATGTATACAGCCAAAGTTGTGCGAATAGATTAAGGTAGATAACGATTAAGTCGGATTCAATAGTGCATGCCTTGGCCTCTCTCTTCCAAGGCGATTTGCCCCAATCGGGAAAGAGAGTCGAAAGCACACACGCAGGCTAAACAGGCCCTTTTATCCCGCCTGCCGGATGCGATGGACGGTTTTGGGTCGAGAACACTCGAGGCCGGCACGGTTGGTGTGACTCGTTGAGAGTGCGAGAACTGGTTGATTGCAACGGGACGTATCAGCCAGTACCAAGATACTAGTCATCAATCAAACACTGCTAGCACTGATTTGGCAAGCCTCGTGTTGCGAGCACGCACACGAGCATTCCGTAATCCAGTTCCAATAATATTTGGTCCCGGCACTGCTAATGCTTCTTAAGGAAATGGCATCGGCGCAGTCGGAGCTTGTAGCGTCCGTGGTGCCGCCAATAGGGGAGCTGGGCCACGACGACAGTTCGATTGATTCTCCGACGACGAAGGAAGAGCCCCTGGTCCCGTAGTCTATATTTCTCAGCTTGGAGGATACAGTAACAACGTTCCCAGGGCAAACAAAGGCCCTGGTCCACTAGTTGGGACTATTGCTGCTGCTAGTAATCACCAGTGCCTCAAGCGAGACGTGAGAAAAAGCAAAGAGAGAAGAGAGAGAAGAGAAGCCAAGGTTGTTCATTGGGTAGCAGTCGCTGCATTTGGGGGCGGCGGGAGCTGAAAAAGAAAAGAGAAGAGACAAAGTATTGTTCCCAAGGCAAGCAAAGCCGTGTCTGCAATACATACCTACGCATACGAATACATGTACCAGATGCAATGTAGAGGCCGCTGACGTGCAGTGGCCACAATGCCAAGAGAGGCGCCAGAGCAATAAGCCTCAGGTAGCCCCGACAAAACAAATTAGCATCTGCCTCGGCGCTCTTGGCTTTGCGTCTCGGCGTGCTTGGCTTTTCCTCTAATGCGGCGCTGGGCCGCGGCAGGGCGGGAAAAGCTTGATTCAAGAATGCGGGATATGCATAATATGGAGAGTATCCGACCTGGCGGGTATGCCTGCGTGTATATGCCATCAGATTAGATGGGAGATGGCAATGATTAAAGCTACAGCTATACAATAGTGTCGATAATGACAGTGTAAATGGACGTCTAAATGAATCAGTCTTTAATCATCTACTCTCCTCTATAAGAGGAAAGGGGGAACCCTAGCAAGCAGAATCCGGGGGAGGCAGCCTCTCCAACGGACAGCAGGAATAAACTCCGTTGGAATTGAATAGTCATCGCAATGCTGGCCAAAGGGGCGCCACCGCACGGCACGGAGGGTCTGATTCCGCATACAGAAACGTGCTCTGTTGCGACTTGTTCCGTACAAACGAGAGCGACATGCACAGCCCGGGGCGTATCGAATATCTACGCGGCTTTGCTTGCTCAACGCAACAGAGTGGCTGTGTGGCCGCCGAATACCGGTCGAATCAGCGTAAAGCAGATGCTGTATCAAATCAACCAATCGGCCAGTCATTATTTGCGACAGCAGTCATACATACTGTGCAGGAGCATCAAGTACAAGCAGCCGCAGCATGCATGGCGGGAGCAACATCTGCTGCTATTCCACTGGGCTGCCTGACAAAGGGACAGGACAAGGAGGTCTCTTCCGTCTTTTTCTTCCCCCTTGCCGTCCGAGCCGAGTTTGTTTAAGCTTTTTTTTTTCCCTTTCCATTTCCGTTTGCTTCTTCCATCCTGTGATCTACAAGTAACTCTCCGTCTGTATCACCTCAGCCTGGTCTAAAAGGCTCAGACACGGCATTTGTAAGAATCAAGTAGCACCGCCTCCCACACCACTGCAAAGAAGAGGATTATAAAAAGTTGATGTCAAGCAGAAGAAAAAAAAGGAGACAAAGGAAGAGAGATTAACCAGAGACAGCAGAGATGAGGACAGCGAGACGAGCCCGACAATGGCTCGACCGGACGCCGCAGACATGTGCATCCTCGATCCATTTCACGTAAAAGTCGCGGCGTGAGCGGCCACCACAAGGGACCGCCAGAGTCGCTGCTGGGGCCCCAGGGCCAATGGAAGGCGCTGGGTGGGCACCGCGCCAAGGATGCCAAGTCTTGGCATTTCTTGGCATCGTATGCGCACCTGCGCTGTGGTGGGCTTGGCCTGCTAGTGGCTACCTGGCCGGTACTTGTCAGCGCTGGAAATAACGCGGAACCTCCAGGTAGCGCCCAAGTTGCCCTCCATCCGATGCGCTAGCTCAGCAATGCCAAGAAATGCCAAGACCGCCAAGAATTTCCGCTTGGCCCTCTTTTGCTTGCCCAGGCCTTTGTGACGATGTAAAGGGAGCAACTGCCCCCAGAATCGCCTTCCAAGAGGCGCGAGTCTTTTCCCCCGATCATAATCCCATATTTCAAAGTGTCGTAACTCTCCTCCCGTCTCTAGGAGAGTTTTGGAAAGGCACACGTTTTTGTCTCGTGAAAGCTGCATCTCTGCTCGACCTCTACTGAAAATTCGGCCCTCGCTGCGCCAGAGCGCCTGTGGCCCCTCCCCGAAAGAATCTCGGCAGCCTCTGGCAGACCTTTTTTGCGCTCGACTGCCCCACCCGACAGCAACCTCCGAAAAATGTCGGCCCAGGTCCCCGAGGCCGTCCAGGCTCTGTCTCCAAGCCTCGACAAGTCGGCATCGCCCGCAGACGCATCGTCAACTGCCAGCGCCAATGGCAGCTCCGGCACCGCCACCAATACCAGCGCCAGCAACAATGGCGGCAGCACTTCGTCCAGCGCGCAGGTTTCGCCGCCGCTCGGCGACTCGATGGACACGCCCCGAGCGCTTGTCTGCCGCTGGAGCCAGTGCAACCAGAAATTTACCAATGCAGAGGTCCTCTATGTAAGTATGAGAAGCAGCAGCTAAAGGAACGAAAGAGGGAGGCGACTGCGCTCATGATGGTATAAGAGCATGTCACTCTCAATTTCGAGACTGCTCTTTGTAGCTTTGGAGCTATAGACTACTCTTCATATCATACATGCTAACCAGATACATCACCCTGCAGGAACACATCTGTGAGCGTCATGTTGGTCGCAAAAGCACAAACAACCTGAGCCTCACTTGCCAGTGGAACTCTTGCCGCACCACCACCGTCAAGCGTGATCACATCACTTCACACATCCGTGTTCACGTTCCCCTCAAGCCTCACAAGTGCGAATTCTGCGGCAAGTCGTTCAAACGGCCACAGGACTTGAAGAAGCACGTCAAGGTACGTATCCGCCCATTGTCTATCTAACCGGCTCCAACGACACTCTCCTGACATACTCTTGTTACAGACTCATGCCGATGACTCAGTCCTTTCCCGGCCCGGCCAGGATAACCCACCAGGTATGAACTACAGACCACAGGTGCCAAAGCGTGAGTGGCTCCTTGATAGTTTATTTCACTGTTACTAACTCAGACTTTCAGCCCCCAGCTACTACGACCATAATGGGCAGATGCGAAGCCCTGTCCCTGGCTATCCTCAACCCGGCTATTACGCTCCTCAGCCGTCGACAAACTATGGACTCTACTTTAACCAGCAGCATGTCAACACCGCTCCCCGCAGCGAACAGCACATTGGCTACACAGCTGGATATGAGCGTAAGCGTACGTACGATATTGTCGACGACTTCTTCGGCAGCGCCAAACGCCGCCAGGTCGATCCGACTTCGTATGCCCAGATTAGCCGCTCCCTGCTCCCTCTCCACGGCGCGCTGGCCATGTCCAACGGACCCATGACTGCCACGGAGCCCTATCTTGCCCAGCCAGCCGGCCATGCTGCGATCCACGCAGCCCCTGTACCCAGCCAGAATCCTTTGGCGCAGCAATACTACCTCCCCATGCCCAATGCGAGGACGCAAAAAGATCTCATCCAGATCGACCATCTCCTAGGCCAGATGCAGGACACAATCTACGAGAATTCTGCCCATGCTACTGCCGGAATCCATCCTCATGACGGCCAGTTTGCTGGATACCGCAGCGCCCAATCACCCACTGCTCTTCATCGAGGCCCGGCTGGTATGCACGTCGGCACTGACGGCTACCACCATCCTGTCTCGGCCGCCAACATGGCCTCCCCGTTGACTGCCATCTCATCCCACGGCACTCCTGCAGTGACACCGCCCTCCAGCGCCATGTCCTATTCCTCTGGCCACTCACCAAGCCCCTCAGCTTCCTCGGGATTCTCGCCGCAATCTCGCCACAGTTCAACTGTCTCATCAGTCATGTATCCTAGCCTCCCCACCAGTCTGCCTACCGTCAGCCATGGATTTGGCCAGTCTACTACAGCGACACTGGGTCCTAGCTTTGACGCCGGCGAGCGCCGTCGTTACTCTGGCGGTATGCTCCAGCGGGCTCGCGGTGCACCACCATCGCCGCCGCTGCCGTCTTCTGGCGAGGCGAACGGCGCAACGACTCCTAAAGCAAGTGAATCTGCGCCATCGATCGGGTCTCCTTCTTCTGATTCATCAGATGTCAGTGAGGGCACTCGTGAGCGAGAAGAGCGTTACGAGAGATGGGTCGGGGATATGCGGGCGATCGAAACACTTCGCGAATACGTCCGAGCACGCCTAGATCGCAGAGACTATGTAGATGAGTATCCAAACATTGGTACAATCGGCAAGGATGTTGACGCCATGGACCTTGACGGCAAGTCCAGGAGTCCGCTTGCCAATGAACGTCCCCAGTCTAAGGAGAGCACCTCCCTGTATCCCATTCTTCCCCTTCCCGGAACCAGGTCATGATCTGTATGCATTTTACATGGGGAAAACCCTACTTTCACGTGTTTTCTTTTTCCACTTCTTGTTCTATATATCATGTTGGCAATTTTGATGGATGAAAATGATGCACTGCAATGGTCATGGCAATCGGCGTAGGTGTAGTTGGGTTTATTTGCTATACGGTTCAAACCAATGTATGATTTACACTAGGAGGGAGGAGTATATCTTTATATATATATATGTGCAATACAAAATGATGTGCACTGCGACTCCGTTCCAGCCTCAAAAACATGTCTAATCTAATAGAGGCTCGCAAATCTTGACATGCTAAACTTTGGTCTCAATTTTCCGCTAGATTCTAAGCCAACGCATATTTCAATCTAGTCAAACCAAGGTGATGTTCTTGAGGGTGGCTGAGATGCCATCACTTTCCGGGTCCAGAATCACAAGTCCGACGCCGACTCGCTTGAAAATCCCCTCTCCAGCAGGACTCGGTCTGAGCAATAAAACCAAGTAAAGTGTCTGTGCCGCTAGTTAGCGGGCATGTTGGTCTTTAATATGACGCGTCTCGAGCGTTTGGTTTGCCCTCACTTTAATGATTCCCTTGCCATGAGGAAATTTCAAGTTGATTCTGTCTTGTACCCATCTTTGTACGCAGGTCAATCAGTTTTTAGATTTTTAATCGTCAAAGATGTGTTATTCGCCAAAACCTTACCTATCATATTCTTCCCATTGCATCAGAAAAAGAACATGTACCCTTTCATAACCCTCGTCATCGAAGACAGCTATACCGGCAAGTTGAGCAGGTCCAGATGGAGTTTGAATACAGCGCGGCGAGATGTGCTGCAGATACGGATGTGCTAGTAGTAATTGATCAAGAGCAACATCAGCCCTACCAGGCCTCGTACTGAGAATTCCACATTCTGCTACGAAGCCTTGAGCTTTCAAGATGCCAGACGGCTCGAGGATGAATTGGGGATATGACCTTTCACAAACCTGCGTATCTTTGGTCATGAAGATTTTCGGCCCTCCTCTTGACGCCCAGTGCCAAGAAGGCAGTGCCGCCAGGTCCTCCGATTCGTCCGCTGCATCTTCCAGCATCCAGAAAAGCTGCTCTGGAATGGATGATTCGAAGATGCCCAGGGTATACTTGTCGCGAGTGACCTCTTGGATCGCCCGGCCTAGCCCTTCGAGGGCCACTAGCCGATCCTCTTTGTAAGTGAGCTTACAATCAGAGAAATCCTCCAGTATCTCTTCCCATACTTCGGGGTAAATCCAGGCAAAGCTGTATCTTTCGCTTGTCATCAACCCACTGCACCTCCATATCATACCAGCGGGCGTAAATCGCAAAATCCTCCGTGCTAGACAGGACTCCTGAAGGGCCCATCCTCTTTGTCTCAGCGGTCCCCAGTACGGCGACGTCTCTCTTTGCACAGGTACCGAGAGCCACATGAGGCCATCTTTTCGGCCTCGTGATGAGTAGTACGGCACGCTTACGGCGTATGGGCACCGACGCTGGCTCGAATAGCAGCCCTGCTCTGGGTTCTCAGCTCCGGAGGCGGCAATGACCAGATGTGCGTTTTGGTAGACGCCTGCCATTTTGCCGGCCTCGTTTGCCCAGTCTTGCTTGTCTCCCTGTATGATGCAAAGGCTGTCGATCCAGAGGTAGCGAATACCGATTGCGCGCGTAACAGTGACGGCATCTTGAAATGTCTTTGGCAGGCTACCAAACGGAATGCCACCGAGGCGATGATGGATGTTATCTCTGGTTGTAATCATGGTTTGCGTACCCTTTGGACCCCAACAATAGCTGAGAGCGCAAAAGTTTCCATGCCGGCCATTGGATTCTATCAGCGAAATGTGCTCGCAACCTGCGATTCCGACATCCAACACACGAGTCGGGAGTTGCGGACCTAAATCTTCGTTGATCAAATTACCAGACATTGTTCTTTTACACAATTCATGCTGCTGAAAACACGTCTTGATCCAAGAGTTGGCCAACGCAAACGCCTCTGGGCCGTTGTCACTTGTCAGTTGTGGCGTGGTACATATATCCCCCGACTTGGCAGCGGAAGAGCCTAGGCATACTGTTAATACGTCCCTTTTTTCCGTAAGGTAGGGTAACAGAGGTTATTTACCGGGGTCGCTCCAAACTGATATCTCGGCCCTGCAATCAGGCTCTCCTCTGCCTGTACTTGTAAGAAATACATGCGAAAGCGGGGAATCTACATCCATATCAGGCGTTCCATATTCTAGACTTGGCCTGTTCTTGCCAGGCTGCATTGCCATGTGAACATCTGGATTCTCAAACATGTAGTCAGACATCATTTTGCAGAGGCGGCAGTCCCGTGAACCGGCTCGTCGCCGAGCGGCATTCCAGAAAGAATCCAGGCCTGGCCAATATTTGAGCCTCCTGGAAATTGCAACGGCCAAGCCGTCACAGTCATGACAAAGACCCATTTGAAGCAAGTCAAAGTCAAATCGTCATTGACCAATCCTGGTAAGAATCGAGAATGTTGAAGAATGTCGCACCCTCGGCTCAGGTCAGTTGGTCTTCTGAATAAATGTACATGTATGCTCACTGCTATTGCTGGTGCCTGGGCTACAGAGTGCGGTTGTAATTGGCAGTCAGCCTTGCTGTGTACCTTGTTCATGCACGTACATGCATTTACGAGTTGAGCAATTGAATATGCCTTCTGCACACCGTTCTTACTTCATTCTGCCCAGCTTACTGGAGCAAGGCTTGAGTCTCCTCATTACTGAAAACCGACACCGAGAATGAGATATTCCCACCACATGGTATAGTTCAGAAGCGCAGTGAGATGCTTCGTTATGCCGCTGGCGTTGGGTACTACTAGTAGTATGTGCAGCACAGTGCAAGCCCAACTGGCGCCCACAGCCCTGTCAGACCTTGTAGTATATGATATCGACTCTGCTCAGAAAACTCGTGCCCAACAACATTCGAGCATATTTACAGCATTCGAGTCGTATTATACCGCATATCCCTTTATATTGATAATGGGTATAACCCAGCTGAGAACGTACAAGCACGGGTCCCTGGAGTGAGTCAAGACCTTTGATCCTAGATATTTCATCCTGGCCTAACCAGACTGTAGTCTGCGGGGCAGAGCACTTGCTGTTACGGTTGGATCAACCAACCCCGTGACCTTCTCCGTTCATGAGCACTTGATTTGTCGCACTTCGGACTATTTCAAAAGAGCTATGAAGGCCTATTGGGAGACATCTACCAGTGGGTCTGTTACTCTCAAGGAAGAAGATCCAGACGTGTTCGAGGTATACCTGCATTGGTTGTACTTTGAGAAACTCCCAGTCCAGAATGACAGCCCTGGACTGGAAGGCAACACTGAATACGTGCAGCTCGCAAAAGCATACGTATTGGGAGAGATGCTTCAAGACGTCAACTTCAAGGACGCTGTCCTAGATGCCATCTTGATCAAATCCCGCTCCAAAGCATCAGACGGTCAGGAGTGGTTTCCTGTTGGGCCGGCCATCCGCCACATATATGAAGGGACTCCAGAGTCATCGCCCGCTCGACGCCTTCTGGTTGATATGTATACTTACCATGGATATGGAGATTGGCTAACGGAATGGGCCAATAAAGACGACCTGCCTAAACAATTCCTTCTCGATCTTGCCATTGCAACCTTGGCAAAGAGACCTCGCCCGGCCGCATCTCTGGTTTACAACGCAGGGACTTGCGAATATCATGAGCATCTACCTGATCCAAACAGCTGCTACATCAACAGCTTAGCATCAAGGCGCGGTGAGGCATGACACATCGCATGCTGTGATGCCTAGTAGATCAACTGAGTTGTATGATTTGATGGTGCTAGAATCTGGCAAGATAAAAGACGGGCTGCGATTTCTTTGTTGAGGTTGCGGTTGTTGCCTCTCCTAAGCACTACAATACCGCTTGAGCTGCTGTAAATTGACATGAGCTGTGTCTAAAGCTGGCCATTTTGAGATGTTACCTATTGATATAGAGCTAGAGTTGGATCTAGCCTAGGAGCGCGTCTGCGGTTCGTAGATTTACGATGTGAAAATTATTCCGGTTTCTACTGTAAATACCAAGGGCCCTATCAGCTGCCATTTCGTTTGTTTGTGAGCGGAATACAGTCCAAGGCAAGGCCGAGACCAGAACTCGGGCCTCTTTGGCGAAGCCAGGCGAGACCAGCAGCCGTCGCAGGAGCCTCCCGATGTCCCGTGCCACTATTCGGAGCTGGTGCAAGTACATATTAGGTAACAACTAGGTAGTTTCAGACGAAAAAAAAGATTTTACAAGGCAAACAGTATCACTGCTACTGCTATTAGCAGTGAAAAAAAAAAGACGCAGATAATTGCAGTTTCTCGGTGAGTGGTCGGGGTTGGGTGGGATGCGGGCTGTGAAGCAGAGTCGCACAGAACAGGGAAAAGGAGCAGAGCCAAGAGAAATGGAAGAGACAAACGGGCCGAGACACGGCAGGAATGGCGATTCACATAAAATATGCTTATTTTTATACGTCAGAAGATCAGCGAGAGCTTGGCAGTTCTTTCTCTTTCTCTGGCTTTGTGTCAGCCGAGATGATCGGAGGAAGGAAGGAGTGGTGAACAAGTGCTGCGGCGGCGCAGACGCAAGGAAGGAGCTTTGGCCGACGCGCGCTTTGTGCCTCCTCGGATAGACATTGTCAGAGAGTTGAATCGCGCCAAGGTGCCACGGTATGGAGCGACCTCAGGTCAAGAGAAATTAGCAGGGCTTCACTGGGGCAGCCTCTCCCATTGTCATCCTTGTTTATGTATTCGTCCTCAATAAATCCTCAATAAAGTCGCTCCTTTTCTTCCCACGCTCTCAGTCGCCTAGATAAAGCTCCTCTGCTGTTCTAATTTTGGTCTTTGACCTGACCACCACAAAGAGAAACATCTGCAACATCTGTCCAAGACAAAGCAAAAGAAGCTGTAAGTGCGCCCCCCAGACTTTTTGGTGGTCTCGGGATCATGAGACATTCTTTTCTTTTCTTTTTTTTTTTTTGCCTCCCTTGAAAGCAGCTAACCATGGAATAATAAAAGTCGAACAAAGCCCGCCCACTTTCTCTCTCTCCCTACGGCAAACCAAACCGACACACCCAAGAAAACAAACAAACAAACCACCAAAACCATGAAGACCTTTTCTCTGGCCGTCGTTTCCATGCTGCTGCTGGGCGCCACTGCCTACCGCCCTCCTGTGCGCGGGCCCAAGCCGCCCATCCAGGACGCCTGCTGCTGCTGCGACATCTCGATCAACGCAATCTCCTGCGACAGGAACATCACGGCCAGCGACTGCTTCTGCGCCGCCGTCGTCTGCCCCCCTGGCGCGCCAACCGTCTGGCACGGCGAGCCGGCGCCGCGACCCACCGCACCCACCCAGCAATTCTATCCGGTGCCCGACGAACCCGCCGCGTATTAAGAGGGGCCAGAAATGGACTGCGGCTCTGGCTTCTCCCGGGATCTGATACAACTTTACGTTGATCTGGACATTGTGAGACAAGACACGGGAGAAGCAGCGGAGGAATCATGGCAGTTTTTCTGGGGCAGGGCGATGCGCTGAGAGTTGTGCGGTGGGCTGGTGGAGAAACATAGAGTATCGGGTGTGCTTAGGAGACATTGCTCAGTTGTAGAGGCTGTCAGCTAGCTTATACTTGAAATATTTACGTCCAAATTGTTACTTGATGCAATGTCAATAGACCCGGTCTGATGCCCATGGATGTTTTGCCTTTCTTAACGTATCATTAAATTCCAGGTTATTCATATCTCGAGCAATGAAGCTCGTTTGCTGCTCCCACTATTACGTGGCCCTAGTCAGGTCTACTCGTAAAATTCGCTGTATTGCGCTTCTCCCACCACTTACACATGCTCCTCTTCCCCCTTCTTCACCAACACCTGCCCTCACTCCATGACCAAGACATTCCTGAACCGCGGCTTGCCAGCTTCCAAGCTCTTGATCGCCTTTTCGACATCGCGGAATGCATACTTCTCAATCATGCACTTCACGCCGTGCGTCAAGGCAAACTGAATGGCCTCCTCGCTGTCCAGCGCATGGCCGCTCGCCCAGCCCTGCACGCTGGCGCCCTTCATGATGAGCGTCACGGTGTTGACGTCGATGTTGCCGACGGGCGCGAGGCTCAGAATCTTGCCGTTCGGGGCGAGGCCGTCCGCCAGCGCGCCAACCACCTTGGGGTTGGGCGCCGTCTGGACGATGATGGAGGCGCCGCCGAGCTTGGCCAGTTCGGCGGCGGAGTCGGCGTTGGAGGTGTTGATGTAGTGGTGCGCGCCGAGCTTGGTGGCAAAGGCGGCCTTGTCGTCGCCGTGGGACAGCACCGCGACCTCGTAGCCCATCTTGCTGGCGAACTGCACGGCCAGGTGGCCCAGGCCGCCGAGCCCCTGGACGGCGACGAGGCGGCCCTGCTCAACCCGCTGCTTGCGGATGCCGTTGAAGACGGTGACGCCCGCGCACAGCAGAGGCGCCGCCTGCGCAGGCTCCATCTCGCCGGGGATGCGCACGACGGCCTCGGCGCGCAGCAGCACATACTCAGCATAGCCGCCATCCCGCGAGACGCCGTTGATGACCTCGTCCCTGCAGTACTGGAAGTCGCCGCGCTGGCACTCCCTGCACACGCCGTCGTGCCCGCCGTGCCACGGCCCGCCCACGCGCTGGCCCACGGAGAGGTTGTGGACGTCGGCGCCGAGCTCGACAATGTCGCCGACGATTTCGTGGCCCGGCGTGCGCGGGAAGACGTCGCCAAAGTGGCCCTGGCCGACCTCCACGTCGGACCAGCAGACGCCGCAGGCGAGGACCTTGACGAGGACCTGGTGGGCGGAAGGGTGCTTCAGGGGCACATCTTGGATGGTGAAGCCCGAGTTTGGCGCCGTGAGGACGACGGCTTTGTAGGTTTGGGGGAGGGAGGGTGTCATTTTGGTTCAGCAACTGTGTAATATGTCTATTTGCTTTAACGTTTTGATGGAAAGTGCTGACAGGCGTATACAAATTACGCAACTTCAGCAGCTCTAGTGAGGTCTTGTATGAAATGGAGGAGCTTTGGAAGAGCTTTGAGAGACGGAGAAGTTTGGAGCTATCACCAATTGGAGGCTTCAGAATTAGAGGAATCTTGTAAACGTTATATACTTCCAGACAAGAGTGAAGCTCCTCATTCTATGGACTAAGATCGATATTTCCTCATACCAGCTAATACCTCTTATCAGCTCATAGCAATTAGCCCATCTCAATCCGGGCAATTGCTGATGATGGCAAACTAAACAAAGTAGTGCGCTACGGTGAAGTCAGTGTGACTTCATCAGTGGGGGGAATGAAATATGGAAAGAGTCCAAAGTTTATGGGAAAGCTGAAAACTACTTCCGCCCGATCTGCCTGGAGTCGGCGTTCGGGGTTAGGATTGGAACGATACCAGGACCGGAACGTAGCATTTGCTCTGCCATTGTTCCGTATCTGCTGCAAGATAACATGCCTGGGTTTCGACTGTATTGGTGGAATATCCAGATGAGGGCTGTAATTCAAAAAGGATAAAGCAGTCATTGTCAGCTATAGTTTCCTTTCCCCCTGAAGCTAAACATTCATGTAATGGGATATATGATTACTTCAACGAGATTCGCAATAAGATCCAGCCATCACCACCTCATTTCTAGACCAGAGACCGTGATTGAATCAAGGTCCTGCTTTCCAGTGATATAGAGCTCCCTAGGGTATGAATGGCAGTTTCTTATCATTTCATATTACCGAATCAAATTGAAATCACTGCATCAGCAACTATGACTTTGTATTTGCCCAGTTGACCTTGCAATTTCCTGTCTTGATGTCATCTATATAAGTGGCAACGTCAAGAGCGGCGTGAATCAAAGAGCCCAATTAGAACAGCACGCCCTTGATTTTCTCACAATGTATCTCGCATAAGCTTCACACTCATTCAAAATTAATCGAACAACTTCACTACCCCTCATCCTGTCATATATCTCCTCGTAAAGTACAGATCAAATCACCCAAAATCAACCCTATTTGCCTGTGCTCCAGGGTAGCAATAGAACCGTCCAGTGTAGGTGCATCAGCTACCGGCGGGGCAACCTCTTCCGGCTAATCCTCGCTCCTCGCCCTCCAGCCCAGCCAATCACCGTCCTCCCATTTCCGACATCACGGGGCAAAAGAGGCGAATCAATCAGTCTAACCTCCAGGTATCCCCAAACTCCAAACTTCCAGCCTCGCCCCAGCTCTTCCTAAGCCGCGGCTCTCCCGAATCTTCCTCCCAGAACTCGTTCATTGAGGTGTTTATCCCCACCTCTACCTCCGAGTCTCTGTTTTTTCTCCTCCACACATAGCAATCATGCTTCCGGCCACGCGATCTGCGGCCTCAATGGCCCTCCGAGGTGCGTTAAATTTTCAAAGACGACGTCGAATACACCGATTCGCTCTCTCAGCCATTCAGGACTCGGAGTAGCTAACGCCAATTCCAATCATCTCACAGTCAAACCTGCCTCTGCGCTGATGCCCTTCCGAGCCGCCGCCGCCTTCACAACAACATCCCAAAAGGATGCCACCTCGTTGACCCCCCACTCGCCCAGCTTCGGCAAGATTCGCAAGGAAGTCCCCCTCCCCAGCGAAGAGGGCACCAAGGGCGTCATCCAATACGCGCTGTACGTAAACCTTCGACATCCATTCGACCTTGGGTTGCACAATATATATAAAAGAGAGAAACGAGAGGAAAAACCTTAGCTCACAAATCTAACGATAAATCTTTACAGCACCTCCCTCGACATCATCGCCAACTGGGCCCGCCAATCCTCCCTCTGGCCCATGACCTTTGGTCTCGCCTGCTGCGCCGTCGAAATGATGCACCTCTCCACCCCGCGATACGACCAGGATCGTCTCGGAATCATTTTCCGTGCCTCCCCCCGTCAGTCCGACGTCATGATCGTGGCCGGCACCCTCACCAACAAGATGGCCCCGGCCCTGCGCCAGGTCTACGATCAGATGCCCGAACCCCGATGGGTCATCTCCATGGGCAGCTGCGCCAACGGCGGCGGCTACTACCACTACAGCTACAGCGTCGTCCGCGGCTGCGACCGCATCGTCCCCGTCGACATCTACGTCCCCGGATGCCCGCCCACCAGCGAGGCCCTCATGTACGGAATCTTCCAGCTGCAGAGGAAGATGCGCAACACCAAGATTAGCCGAATGTGGTACAGGCGGTAAATGTTGGAGAGAGTGAGGGTGGAGAGATTGAAGGTGCAATATATGCAAGGAAGACGGGAAAAGGAAAAAGATGGGGGGTTAAATTGGCATTATGTGATTTTGAACGGATACGGAGAATACTGAAGAGTATGGAGATGAAAATCACTTTTCCAAAAGGGGCATGGATATTCAAACCATGGGAAATGACGGAATTGTCTAGGCAAAAAGTTCCGAGTTAAACCCCAGACGCAGGAAGAAGCGGTATCATACATTGGCTCGGTATTTAATTTTTTTTTACCATGTTTTCTCAAAATCTGTGTATATATACACTCTGGGCTGCCATGAGGTTAGAGGTGTTAGTGTAGAGTATCTGCCCAAAGAAATACCGTACCAATACTAAGAGCTGATTAAAGAAAGTAGGCTGGGTGCCTCGTGTGAGCTGGAAAAGATATACCTATACTGCCGTAGCAGAATAGCAGTTTGATCAATTTCACTTTATTACAACAATCAAGAGTAAGCCAAACTGTATTATTCCAACGAGGAAATGCGAGAGAGAAAAAGTCAAAATTCCATTCCATGCCTGCTTTACTATATCTTGCAATACCCTTCAGCTATTAACTTCATCTTTGCGCTCTCCAGCATTCGCAAACGCAACACCGCCAGTTAATGGATGCATCTGGTCATCGAAGAATTCGAATGGAATGCCAAAAACTGGATAACTCATCTGTCGGCCAACACAGCCAGCAGAGTACCACTTTGTACAACCCGTTTCGCATGGCCATGCACGTATTCTCGTTCCATAGCCCGCCTCTTTTTCACATTTGACATCATATAGCATCTCTCCTCGTCATCCCCGCATGCTTCTTTTTGCTGATGCCTCAAGGCGGCGCTGCAAGCCATTCTATCTCAACGCGTCACATCTTGCCTGATAACAATAAAATCCGCCAGCGCCAAACCAAAGCCTACCATGTCTGTCTGCTGACTCTTCAACCAAAGCATATATACCCAAATGAGGAAACCAAAAATCAAAATAACGATCAATGAGGGGACATAAAGGGATTTTTTGTTGTTGGAAAGCAAAGGCTACGAAAACATCGTAGAAAGCTGTGTGATGCGAGTATATCCTATACCAACCCGCAGTCTATTCTTGGCCAAAGCCCATAGTCTCCTCAACGGCGATGGTGAGCTTTTGTTGTAGCGTTTCCAATGTTTTATATGCGGGTAAATCAATACGGTTAAAGCTATATTTGTAATTAGCTTTCTTTTTCTTCCACGATTTTCAGCGTCAAGAAATAGTCAAAACTTACCAAGTGTGTGCCTTGGGTAAATTAGCCAAGTCACCGGCCTTTTCGATTGTAAATCTTCTGGGACCATCGCTGCCCTGAAGATCTTTGAATCCGTTGACCGGGATTCTGGAGGTACCGGTGGTGAATTGCAACAAACGCGACTTCTGCTCGCCGTCCCAGGATCGCACTGTTGCCCAGAAGTTCTGGATAACTTCGTCCGATTCAGTGTAGCCTCGGTAGTCGGTGTGCTTCTTCCAGTCATCCACGTCAATCTCGGCAATACCACCAATGAGCAACTCCAGCTCACGCTCATCAAATACATTGATGAGATCGTGGGGAATCAGCTCTTGGAAACCCTCCTTGAAAGCTTGGAACTGCTCGGCGATACGCTTCTCAATACGCCATTTGACCATAAGGTCCACATACTCCTTCTTGTTCTCATTTGTCACTTCAATATCACGGCCGCCGGGAATCAGATCTTCAGTGGTCAAGACACCAAAGCGCTCATCTTCCGTGGAGAATGTTTGTTCCAGGATTCCTCCTGAAATATCATTGTCCAGCATCCACTGCAATGATCGGTGGAAGTCGGCGTCGACTCCTTCCATGTCTGCCAACGTGACTCCCTTGCCCAAGATCATCTTGTAGAGAGCCCCAATGAAGAAGGCATCCAAAAATCGGCGGTGGAAGATGGCCATGCCGACTACACGGCCAATGAATTTGAAATAGTTGAGATGTTCTGGGTTGATACCAGAGTGAGGGTTAATTTGGAGGGTATAATTATCATGCGCTGAGTACTCGAATAGACAGTAGAAAGGGTTGAACATTTCGTGCGAAAGGAGGAAGAAGAATTCTCGGGACAAGCCACCGTAATCAAGGCCGTCTTCTCCGTCGAATTTGATCATGAGACGCTTCTTCAGGTCTGTAGCAGACTGGCGAGTAATCTCGGCAAAGGAGTCCTCGAAAATGTGTGATCGTCGGACCTTGATATGGCATTGTCCGCTGAGAATGCGCATTGCAGGCTGAGAGCGGAAGTAAATAAGCTTCCGTCTGAAGTCTCGCTTGTATTGGGGTACATTCTGATCCAGAGAAGAAGGAAGACGCGGGTCATCCCAGGTGGTGGTCTTGGTGTTGTGGTCCACAAAGTAGACTCGGGCAGTGTTCGTGAGGCGCATCTCCCAGCCGCTAGGCAAGGGACCAAGCTGAGAAACGGGTTGTTGCTGGATTTGACCGTTGGTGTTGTTCTGGCCGTACATGCGGATGAATTGCTGTCGGCGGGGATCGACCCAGGTCGTGGTGCGAGTGTTGTGATCGACAAAGTATGGTCGTCCTTCAGGAGTCCAGCGCTGTTCCCAGCCCGGAGGGAGCTCACCGGAGCCAGGGCTAGTGGCGCCGGTGTGCATCATGGCCGTGTGGTTGCCGTTGGGAGCAGCATTGGGAGCAGCGCCGCCGACGGGGCTACCAGAACCAGAGCCCTGCTGCTGAAGGGTTGGCGAACTGGTGCCAGTTCTGTCTTCGGGCAAAGTTCGGTTTTGGTGTCTCTGGCGCTCGACCTGGGTAACAGCCTCTCGTTCGTTGCGGACTTCAGCGGCGGTTCCGTTGGCTGTCGGTCGGTTCCAGCTGGTGGTTCGGGTGTTGTGGTCTACATAATAGGTGCGGCCCAGATTATCTTCTCTGCGTTCCCAGCCTGCGGGCAAGCGGCCTTGGGCGTCTTCGAACGGGCTCAGCTGGCTGTTGGGGCGAGTAGAGCCATTGACACTCGCAGAGGCAGGCGCAGCACTGACGCTGGCCGGATGGGTGGTGAGGTTCGGCTGGGAGCCGAGCGCGTTGCCGTTGGGGCCAGACATGGCCGAACTTGGTCGTTCACCAGCCGGAGCAGATAGCGTTGACAGGTTGGAGCCACTGGGTGCTCCGAGTGTGGGTCGGTTCGATGATGATGCTTGGCCGGCGCGAATGGGAGTACTGAGGTTGCAAGACAGGTTGAGGATGAGCTTGCCGTGCACAACGAGGTTATCAGTCGATTTCTTGAGATCCCTGGTAATCATTTGATCTGGCAAGTGCCAAGCGTTAGCGAGCTACTAGTAGTTGGGCAAGAAAATAAAGGGGGCAGGGCGGCCTGAGACATACCGTCTGCCTCGGGTCCGACTTCAGGAATCAAGTCGCCGATTCGGATATTGATAACGCCAAGGAAACCCTGGTCCTTCTTCTTGAACTTCTTCTGGTCAAACACCTGGACGGCGAGGATGCTGCCCTCATCAACCCGGCTGCAGAATTCAATATTTAGCATATAAACAGCCTTATCAAGGTTGAAAGGAACGGCCGTACAAATCAAAGCTCTCGTTCCAATACGGGTTGAGCGTCTTCTTGCTCACCGTCGTCGTCTTGGTCTGTTCTCCGTTGATGGTCGCGACGGCAAAGGGGTCGGGAAAGCCTAGTGTTGTTATCGTTTAGCTGGCAGTCGGAAGACGTGGAGCCATGACGCGAAGGAGCAGACTGGGAGAAAGAGAGAGATACGTACGGAAGACATCTCGCTTATACAAGCCATCTGCGGCGATGACTATGACGACAAATGTTAATAACCCAAAAACCTTCCGAGACAGGAGTGGCTTGCACGGGAATCGCACTTGTTATACGCAGATTGGGTCGACTGTAAGCCATACGTTAGACGAGAATTCTATTATAAATGACCGAGCGACCTATTGCCAGAGAGGCCGGAGGGGAAAAAAAATGGCACGAGCGTGAATCTTACCCAGCATCGTTGTTTCGGTTCGCCATCTTGACGAGATGGTTTGTGTGTATGCAGCGCTCCAGGCACGGCAACACCAGGCTTGCTCAAATGCACAACTGTCAACAAATTCGACACCAGCGCAAGCCCTTTTTTTCTTCGAGATGGCGTCCAGGGGCGGACGTTTAAGGAGGAAGTCGGCGCTGTAAGTGACGCCAAGCGACGATATGCTGCGGACTGAGCAAAGTTGGGGCTGTGCAGGCCAGACTCCCCGCTCTATGGCTGGGTGGCGGGATGAAGGCACGTGACAAGGCCTGCGCTCTGGCCGACGGCGACGGTTGCGAGACGGAGCAGGAGGCGTGAGCAGCGTAGAATCTCACGGCAGCGCAAAAATAATGGCGGATGGGCAATGAACGGCACTGGGCGGGCTGTGACGATGATGGAGGAGATGGAATCCAGGCGTTTGCAAAGGCGGGCTGACAAGTGGAATCCCTCTGCGCACAGCTCAGGCGGCTACGGGGCGCTGGCTGATGGCCGTTTGCTGGCGATGGGAGTGGGGGGGAGGGACGAGAAGCTGCTAGGCGGCCTCCTTTAGGGCCCTTGGGCTGTCGCTAGGGCGGTTCCTTTAGAAGGAAGAGGGCCCCGTGGCTTCTGTCAGTAACGAAGGAGTCGATGTAGATGTACTCCGGGATGTGGAGGAAAAGCGGTATGTGCTTTTATCTTACTAGTGCCAGATATAAAGCCATACATGTACTCTTGCAGTGTAGAGTAACAAGTGTGGCTTCTTGTCCTCCTGATTAGAGGCTGGTTTGAGCCCCCGGAAACAGAGACAAACAGACCTTTGGGTACCTTACCCAGAGCGCGTTTTTGCTTTTGCTTTTTTATTTTCTCTCACGCCTCAGGACGGCGGAATCCGGCAAACAGGAGCCGTCAAAAGCTTGCCGCTACGAACTAGGTTGCTCCGCAGCATCTGCCTGATTCCACTGGCCGGTGCTTCACGTACAGTGTGGCATTCGCCAGTGCTCAAGGTGTCTTGATCAATCGCAAAAGGATCAAGCGAGCACGGGGAGAGGCCTAATTCGCGCCGACAAGCAAAGGCCCACGGCAAACACGCCCTACAGGTAGTACGTGCATAACACGCCAACTCTAGGGCGCCCGACTTTATTGGCATGCTTGCGTGCGGAAGCCCGACATGCGATTCATCGCGCCGGCATAGCCTCGATAGGTAGCCTCTACTACCAGTAGTAACTAACCAGCTGCATTACTCTCGACCTCTCAAGGTGCTCCATCTGCTAGCGTAATAAACGCCGTGATGATTGACTAATACCTGTTAAATCATTTCTCTCGCCTCGTCTGTCATCATTATCAACAAAGAAAAAGGGAAAGGAATCGAAAAGAGGGTAGGTAGTATTTGACATGATTACCAATAGTTTACTCCCCGGACGCAAACTTGGATCCATGGAGTGTTTAAACAAAATAGCACTGCGCCATATTATCAGCGGCTTTGTGCTATTAGCCTCTATTTCATACATCTACACATCATCAGCACGGCTCTGTTGATCACCGTGATTTCATTTAGCGCCAAGATGTTGCTATTAATGGAATACCTTTTTTCGGGGACGGGGGTGCTGGTGACCATCGTCGTCCAATCCTACGTCGGATCGGGCACTCCAAGCTTTCATGTAGCGGTATTAGTAGCAGGGGTCGACATCTAGTCTCACGAAGTTTTGACTGCGTATCTCGATCATTTATATGACAGAATGAGAAAACAAGAGGCTGTTTCAAAAGGGAAATGGAAGAAGCCATTCGACACCATGTCTGAATTTTCACAGCACTGCTTCTGTAGACCTATATTGTGAAAACGCCACTCGGAAACGCAGTTCCAAATCTGACGCGCAGGATCTGCGATGCTACTCTACTGATCAACCTCTCTATGATGCAAAATTTAGGCGTAAAAGCGAGGCCGGTTGTTGTCGATAATAGGGCGCGGAGTAGATTGGCTCAGGCATTGAATTTGTAAGACGACCCCCGTACAATATCTCCATCTGATGAGATCATTAACCATGGCAGATTTCTTAGAAATACAAACTGATTTTTGCATATGCCCGTTTCACAGCCCTGTTTGAATTATTCCAAGGATAACAAGGAAAGAAAATCAATTTTACTTCCTCATCTAACACCTGATTTGCCATCTGGCGTCAATATCAAGGCCTAAAACTCCAGATCCTTTCCCGTCTGAAAATTCAGTGTTATACACGCAATCTCATCGTCCCATACCTGATCCCGTCTTTCTTGACTTAATCCTAGCTAGATAGTAAATTTCCATCATAGTAAAGTAAACACTAGTGTCTTTGTCTTCCGTATATTTTTTTTGTGTGTTCCGATCTCTCGCCATAGCTCCTCTTATGCCACTCTGCCCTTCTCCTCAATTATACCAACCGAAATGCCGGATATCTTTTGTCAAGTGCGCGGTTAAAAAGAACCAGGGGAAAAAAATCCACCTAAACTCTCCAAAAAAAGAAAAAAGAAAAGGAGTTTGATAAATAAAAGAAAATGAAAAGAAGAAAATTCCGTTTTAATCGCGAGAAATGATAAATTTCTCTTCAGTGTCGAGACCAAAGAGACCACCCATTCTATTGCACTGGGCAGATTGCGTGTTTGGAGAAACATTTCCTTGGTCCTAGTAAGGGGCGTAACCTCGTCCACGGCCCCGGTAACCGCCACGGTAACCGCCCCGAGGAGGGAATCCTCCGCGCCCGAAACCTCCTCTTCCACCGCGGGGCCCTCCTCTTCCACGGCCGCGGCTCATGCCGGGAATGTTGGTGCGCTTGGGAGTAACTTTGATGTTGCGTCCCTTGAAGACACTCTCGTTCAGCACGAGGGCCTGGGCAACCAAGCTGGGCTCGGTAAACTCGACATAGGCGTAGCTAGAAGAATAGAAAAAAGGCACATCATTAGCTTCGAATACCCTTAATCTGACAGAAAGAAGCTCAGAAGAGCATGTGTGATGTATGCCTACCCTTTGGGCTGTCCGGTAAACTTGTCCAGGAGAATGGTAACTCGATTGATGGAGCCACAGCTTTGGAAATGCGCCTGGACTTCCTCTGGAGAGGCCGAGTAATCGACGTTGCCCACGAAAATGCTTCGAGCGTCGACAGACTCTTTGTCATCGGCGAGATCAGCCGACTGCTGCTCCAGTGTGGCCTGCATCTCACGCAGTTTCTTAGCCTCCTCTTCCATCTCTGCGACTCGGCGCTTCATCGCTTGGATCTCCTCCTAGCGGGCGGCGTGTCAGATCCATCAGGTAAAAGCTCTCATCTTGAGCGCGCGTAATGCTAAACCCACCTCTTCACTGGCCGTCATCTCGGTTTCCGGCTCGCGCTCCTCCTGAGGGATGCCTTCTGGCTTGTCTGCGTCCGACATTGTGCTTGACCGAATGAATCGACAGAGTCTCTGCTGGGATAAAACTGAGGCGGGAAAAGATTAGAATCAGCACAAGTCGCAATTGAGAAAACGAAGTTTCTGGTGACAACAACAGAACAAAGGCCCAATGGAGCGGATATGGCAGGGGGAAAAAAAGCTCGGATGCGCCCCCTTGCGCAGATTGGGGAATAACGTTTTGAACTGAGCCTGAAGCGCGACCGCCTCAGGTTTCACGTTGGGCAAACTAATTGGAAAGTCAAGAGCTACCGACCTGGATTGAATGGCTGCAGCGATATCGGACGCGACAGCAAGATATGTCTGCAATGGAAAACGAAGGGATGATTCTGCAGGGCAAAAAGCAAGCAAAAAAGAAATTCGTGATGGACAATCGTCACTTGAGCCTCGAGACGCCGCGACGCAGACCCGAAGTTTGCCCGCCCGCAAGGCTGCTGTCCGCGGTCCGCTAAGCCCAAGTCACTGCCCTAGCAAGGTGCATATGCTGTTGCGGAGAGCGACCTACATGAATGCTACCGTACGGGCATTAGCTCACTGTAGTGCTTCGCAGCCACTGGCTGCATATCGCTAGCACGGCTAAAGCTGTCTGGGGGGCCTTGAAGCTGCCCCTCCTCCAGCAGCTTCAGGCTTCATGAGGACGGAAATCGGCATGTTGCTGTTGACGAGCGTCTCCAGCTGGGATCTCAAGTAGCCGACAAGCGCCCCTCTCAATGCTCTCGCATTAATGCGCAAATGCGTTCCTTTCGACATTAGTACAAAGTACCAGCTGACGTCTTAGCGCTTCACATATGTGCTCCCTCCCTTCTGAGACTTTATATAACCGCCCTGAGCCTTTTCCTTGTAGTTAATGCAGACATGCGCCGTACGTGATACTTACTACTGACCATCAACCATCGGCTTTGCTCCTACTGTCGGCTGGCTTATAAAACTTCAGACATGGCAGAACGCTCGTCCACCCCGCTGCTCCAATCTTACCATGGCGACGACAGCGATGAAGCGCCCGTATGGCATAGGCGCTCACGGGATTCATCTTTCTCCAGACATTTGCGACGATGCCGCCGGACAAGTCAGCGCTTCTTGGAATCTCACACAAAGCACTTCGCCGTCATGGGCATCGTCGCGCTGGATGTAGCTGCGCTGCTCGCAAACATCTTTATCCAGCTGATTGCCTGCGAGATGGATGAAAAGGACGAGCCCTGGGTGGAAGACGTAACTGAAGGTCTGGAAATTGCAGGCCTAGTCTTCAGCAGCATTTTCCTCCTTGAGCTCGTTGCATGCTTGTTTGCTTTTGGTCCACGGTAGGTTTTGTTTTTCCTTTTTTTCCTGCGCTGTTTTGGATTTTTTTCTTGCTTTTCTAACTCGTCTGGCGCGTAATAAAGCTTCCTTGCCTCTTGGTTTCATCTATTTGATTCGGCAGTCATTATTGCTAGTTTCGTGATAGACATATTTTCCAGAGGTCTAACCGAATCTATCGGCTCTTTGATTGTTGTCCTTCGTCTATGGAGGCTGGCAAAGATCTCCGAAGAGGTGGTGCTCGGTGCTACAGAGAGGATGGAGATTCTGGAACAGCAGCTAGAGGACCTCGAAGCTGAAAACAGCAGACTACGATCCCAACTGGGCACCGAGTCTTCCAATCATTCGATAAATGAGTAAACATCATATGAGAAAAAAAAAATTGTTCGATTTATGTACAACTGTTGCGTTTAATATATGCACTATGAATGGCCTCCTAAAGCAAAACCCGTGTGTCCAGACATTGCAGAGCTGATAGACAAGCTCTGATTATGGCACTAGTACCTAGATTACTCCCATCCATTCCTTCTATTCGAGACAAACTCCAGATATGTATGATGAGAACTCTTCAACACTTACGCCATCAATGCGGATTCAACCGTTCCAAAATAAATAGACAGGTAGAATGGAAAAAAAAGGAAAAACGCCTTTGGTATCTATGCTACCTCCCTCCCATGTCCCGCAGTTGCCCTGTGTTCCCATCCGAATGTATATGAAATATTGTACCTGATTGACATGGTGATCGCCGGTAGAAAATGATACGATTTAAAACAAAACAAGAAATAGCAGTCATGTGTGTCGACTGCGTTTGCTTCCGTTGCCGGCTGAGTCTTTGCTGTCAAAACAGCCACCAAAAAAGTCGTCAAAGTCCATCTTTCGCTTCGCTCCTGCTCCCCGGCTATGATGTGATGAAGATCGAGGGCCGTTCCTCGAAGAACTCGATCCGAACTTGGAACTGAATGACGGCGGGAAAGAAGATACGTCCTGCGGGCGTGGGTCTGACAGGTCCAGGGTGGCGATGTTGGGATACGTCGAGTGGAAGGTGAAGGCTTCTTGTGTCGGTATAACAAAATGGGTTGGTTCTGCGTTCATAGGAGGAGGCGCAGGGATGGCAGCGGCAGGTACGGCAGCGGCCTCGGCAGGTGAGTGTGTTCGAGATTGGATCGGAGCTGATGTAGACGCTGATGGTTCGGCACTAGCCCGAGAAGTCTCAGGAGACGTATTTCTCTCGCCCTTGTCGGTCTCGTCTTCGCTCTCAGTGCTCTGATGTCCTGCCTCTCGACCATCAAGCCTCTCTGTAGCCCATCTTCTTATCCTCCAGCCCTCGCCATCGTCCAAGCCAATGCTTTGCTTATCAAGGAAGAGGAGGAGGTCGTCCAAACAGTCTTGGTATCCGTCAACGCGAGCGCGTGCCTCTGCTTTGGCAGATGTCTTGTAAAGCTGCGTCACGGATAGCGCCGCGGCCTTGAACACGTCCAGCAGCGCTTCGGGTGACTCATATTGCATCGCCTGCTTTCCCGGGCCGCTGTAGGTTTTCGACGAGTCCATCTTTCGTAGGAGATATTTGCTCTTGGGCAATAGCAAGGTGAGTGCGCGTGTGTATGTGCTATGGTCTAGGTTTTTCGTTAGGTTAGCGTAACAGCAAACTAGGAGCATTGTGTGCCTACCTTGGGGCGATGGAGAGGATTAGCCTTAGGGAGGGAGGATTCGCCACTGCCTGGTTTATTAGGGGGTCGCACGGCAGACACAACGTCGTCGGCCTCTTGCAAAAGAGGCTTCGAGCTATGAGGATGCAAAGCTCTCCAGGTGATGCAGGGAAGCTCTTGATATAGACCTCTAATGGAATCAAAGCGATGGAGGGGAAAGTCCTGGCAGTATATTCCGTAGCGGCAAACTTCTAGGTCAGCAGGTTAGAAAGGCGGGCGAAGGCGGTAGAACTGCACGTGGGGCGGCTGGGTCTTTTACACGTGATTTTTATGGCTCCGTACCTTGAGCTATGGGCTTTTGGCATCTGGGAAAAGGTGCGAGGGGGACACGTTGAATTTGGAGAGCGCAGCAATTGATTTTACGGCAATTTAATTAGGAAAGTCTGCGTTTTGGCTGTGGTCAGCAAGGAGCGCGCGCAGAGGTAAGGGTAGCTCCTTGCAGGCCTCTGGCTGAGGCAATTCCATGGTTGCACCACCCAACTTCGTATATAATGAGAGGTACCTACAAAGTACAGCCATGGATGCAGCTGTAGCACACCCTGTAAGATTTGCTGCCGCAGCTGTCTGCATCTGCAGCGGGCGGGAAAAGCCCCTGACCCGTGACGTCGTTCTCTTTTCCCTTTCTGGACTCGGACTTTTCTTCTTCCATTGTAGGATAAATGGGTACAGCGGCATCGATTTTGCTCTCTAGCGCGGAGAGACAAGGGTGGGACCTGCACGCGCGCTAGGCCCAAAGTCGACAGCCTTTCAATGAGCACGTCGAGACTCTTGCCAGGCGCATTTCCAAAAAACATCGTCTCTTTAACACCGGCACAAGGGAGTTGGATCCACGGCCTCGAAGCACCACGCAAAACGTCTCAAGAGGCCAGAGCCATCTCATAAGTCCCTAGAAACTCTCTGGCCCCCCTGGACTCCTGGTTACGGGCGCATCTGCAGCGCGTTTCGTGCACGCAAGTCGCGTTAAGAGGCTCCCCTCCAAGATTTTAGTCGCAATGGCTCCGCGACCTCGATCAAACGGCGTGGACACCGACGCGTCCATGTCTGACGCCCCAGAGCAGCCTCGTGCTGAGGAAATGGTTGGTTCATCTATTTACACGGCAAGCCTGACATTTTGTTCGATGTTGTGGCTAACTTAATCGCAGGAGGTCGATGAAACTCCCGACTATACCGACTCCGATACCAACCCCAACACCACAGCTAGCAGCGTGGCCGGCGAACCCCTCACAGACGGAAGGAAGCGACGCACCGAGGCGAATCAATTGCGTCGAAGTATCTTTGGAAAGAAACATGATCGCCTTGGTGAATCAAAGGTGTGCCTCTCCCTCGGAGGGCCATTTATAAGGCGATGCCATTAGAAATAGCAGTCCATACTAACCTTTTTATCTCTGAACAGGAAGATGACACAATTCGAAGATTTCGTTACCTTCTCGGTCTTACCGACTTGTTCCGGCACTTCATCGAGACAAATCCCGACCCCAAGATCCGAGAAATCATGACCGAGATTGACCATCAGAATGCCGAAGCTGCTCGAGCCAAGAAAGGCGCTGGCAGGAAAGGAGGCGCTACAAGCGATAGACGGCGACGAACTGAAGCTGAAGAAGATGCAGAGCTCCTGAGCGACGAGAAACATGGCGGATCCGCTGATACTGTTTTCAGAGAGTCACCTTCCTTTGTACAAGGACTTATGAGAGACTACCAGGTTGCTGGTCTGAATTGGCTAATCTCACTGCATGAGAACGGTATTTCGGGTATCTTGGCTGACGAAATGGGCTTGGGAAAAACACTACAGACCATTGCCTTTCTGGGTTATCTCCGCCACATCATGGGTATTACTGGACCACATCTTGTGACAGTACCCAAGTCAACGCTCGACAACTGGAAGCGCGAATTTGCAAAGTGGACCCCAGAAGTCAATGTGCTTGTGCTCCAGGGTGCCAAAGATGAGCGTCATGAGCTCATCAATGAACGCCTCGTCGACGAGAAATTTGACGTCTGCATTACTAGTTACGAGATGGTTTTGAGGGAAAAGTCGCATCTCAAGAAATTTGCTTGGGAGTATATCATCATTGATGAGGCGCATCGCATCAAAAACGAAGAATCATCTCTATCGCAGGTCATCCGACTCTTCAACTCCCGCAACAGACTTCTCATTACAGGTACACCTCTGCAAAACAACTTGCACGAGCTCTGGGCCCTGCTCAATTTCCTTCTTCCTGATGTCTTTGGCGATGCCGATGCATTTGACCAATGGTTCTCAGGACAAGACCAAGACCAGGACAAGGTCGTTCAGCAGTTGCATAGAGTCTTGCGCCCGTTCTTGCTCCGACGTGTCAAGAGTGATGTTGAAAAGAGTCTCTTGCCAAAGAAGGAAGTCAATGTATACTTGGGCATGTCTGAGATGCAGGTCAAATGGTATCAAAAGATTTTGGAAAAGGATATCGATGCTGTCAATGGTGCTGGAGGAAAGCGAGAGTCCAAGACCAGGCTTTTGAACATTGTGATGCAGCTACGAAAGTGCTGCAATCACCCCTACCTCTTTGAGGGCGCTGAGCCAGGTCCCCCTTACACAACTGATGAACATTTGATCTACAATGCAGGCAAGATGAAGGTCTTGGACAAGCTGCTAGCACGACTTGAGAAGCAGGGCAGCAGAGTCCTAATCTTTTCTCAAATGAGCCGATTGCTTGATATCTTGGAAGATTATTGCGTCTTTAGGCAGTACAAGTATTGCCGTATTGATGGTGGAACCGCTCACGAGGACCGAATTGCTGCCATCGACGACTACAATAAGCCTGGGTCAGAAAAATTTGTCTTTCTGCTGACAACGAGAGCTGGTGGTTTGGGCATCAACCTGACAACGGCGGACATCGTCATTCTTTACGACAGCGATTGGAACCCGCAGGCGGATCTGCAGGCCATGGATCGTGCGCATCGTATCGGACAGACAAAACAAGTCGTAGTGTACAGATTCGTCACCGACAATGCTATCGAAGAGAAGGTGCTCGAACGAGCAGCCCAAAAATTACGACTCGACCAGGTCGTCATTCAACAGGGACGTGCTCAGGTTGCAGCCAAGGCCGCTGCAAACAAGGATGAGCTCTTAAATATGATCCAGCATGGTGCCGAGAAGGTGTTCCGATCCAAGGGCCCCACTGATGAAACGGCAGACAAAGAGAAGGAATTGAATGATGAAGATATCGACGAGATCTTGAATCGAGGCGAGTCACGTACCAAAGAGCTTAATGCCAGGTATGAGAAGCTTGGCATTGAGGATCTTCAGAAATTCACATCCGAATCTGCCTACGAGTGGAATGGAGAAAACTTCGCCCAGGCCAAGAAGAATATTGGCATGAACTGGATCAATCCATCTAAGCGAGAACGCAGAGAGCAGAGCTACTCTATGGACAAATACTTTAGACAGGCCATGTATCCCAATCCCAAGGCCGACGCCAAGCCCAAAGCTCCCCGAGCGCCCAAGCAGGTACCAGTCCATGACTATCAATTCTATCCGCCTCGTTTGCAGGATCTTCAGGATAGAGAAACGGCCTTTTACCGCAAGGAAATTGGCTACAAGGTGCCCCTGCCAGACGGGGAGGATGATAACTTATCAGAACGCGAAGCTGAGAGAGCGCTTGAGCAGCAAGAGATTGATAATGCCACACCGCTTACGGAAGAAGAGCGAGCGGAGAAGGAGGAGCTCTCCAACCAGGGATTTGGCCACTGGAACCGCCGCGATTTCCAACAGTTTGTGAACGGATCTGGCAAATACGGACGAAATGATTTCCAGGGCATTTCCAATGAGATTGACAGCAAGACGCCAGCGGAAATTCGTGCCTATGCCAAGGTGTTTTGGCAGCGATACACTGAAATTCATGACTACCCCAAATACCTCAAAGTAATTGAGGATGGAGAGGAACGTACGAGGCGCATCGACCACCAGGGCAAGCTTCTTCGCAAGAAGATGCAGCAGTACCGTGTGCCTCTCCAGCAGCTAAAGATCAATTACTCAGTGTCTACTACCAACAAGAAAGTCTACACTGAAGAGGAAGATCGCTTCTTGCTGGTTCTTCTTGACCGCAACGGAATCGATTCTGAGGGTCTCTACGAAAAGATGCGAGATGAGATTCGCGAATCTCCTCTGTTCCGATTTGATTGGTTTTTCTTGAGCCGCACACCTATCGAGCTGTCGCGACGATGCAACACATTGCTTACAACTATTGTCAAGGAGTTTGAGGAGGGTGGTGGAACCGGCAAAGGTTCAAATGGCGTCAACGGCAAATCGAAACGCGACCTTGATGACGAAAATGACGAGGATAGCATCCTGAGCTTGGCTCCGGCAAAGAAGAAGTCTAAGAATGGCGTCAAGGTACGATATACTATTTGTAATCAAAGAAGAAATTTCTTTTCCCCAGCACTAACATGTCTTGTGTAGAATAAGGCTCTTGATAACGTCAAGTCAAAGTCTAGCAAAGCCAGCTCTGCTTCGCCATCAAGAGCTTCCAGTGTTGCTTCCAACGCCAACTCAAACGCCGGTGGTTCTACAAAGGGCAAGAAGACCAAGGCGGTAGGTAGAAAGAAGAAATGAGGAAGAAACGAATTTTCCTCATCATCTTATTAAAAGCCCAGAACGCGAAAAGGAACGAATGACAAAAAAAGGAAGTCGAAGAAAGATGATGATGAGCTGGCTAGAGGGAACAAACCAGGTTTCAGGAGGACAGGACGTGGATACGAAATTTTAGAAAGGTTTTATAACCAAAATTTTATGGTGGCGGCGTTTCATTCTTGGGAGAGATTAATACGAATCAAATTGAACTTGTGTGGAGGTTTGCTCTGTCGGCGGAGACATGCATCTTTTTTACCTGGCCTTTGGTGCTCGTCGTGTAGGAAACGATACCGACGATTCTTGAAGGCTTTTTTCCTGTTTAAAACAAGAGAAAACAAAGATAGTCACGCTGAGTGTAAGTAGGTAGTAATGCAAAGAAAGCATCTGACTTGAGAAACGCCGCCATAGAAAGAATAAACGCATATAACTACTACATCTTTTCGAATGGGGTACAGGGGGGCACGATTGCAGTGCTTCAAAGTGATATGCACATCTCTACATATCAAATTTATCGCTTTCGACGTTGACAGCTTGTTTGTTTGTTTTTGCTCTTCTTCTTTCCCCCTTTATTCTCTCTCTCTACAGCAACAAAGAGACACCTAGTAAGGATTACATACGGGAATTTGAGCATCCCACTTCTCTCCCTTCCAGCAAGAAGACTTTGTTTGTTTCCCTTTCCGCCCTCCCAAAACGCCGTACAATATGTTTAACGCATGCAAGCAAGCAAGCAAGCAGTCCGCAATAATCAAAACACAGACTGATCATTTCTGTCTTCCCTTATTTTTCATTTCCCTCCTTCCCTTTTCCTCTCTATAGGTCTTCCCTTCTTCTTTGGTTTAACATCCAGGCCAAAATGAAATGAAAAAACGGAGGATTGAGAAAAAGTTGTTCTTTCTTTCAAAGAGGTAATTTTTCGTCTGTCCGGCCGCTTTTACTCCAGTCGGTTCAAGCGCTCCCTCTCAACCTCGTAGTTGAAATCGAAATAGCCCTTGTCGAAGTGGTGGACACGGACGTAACCGTCCTCTCCTCCACTGGCATAGCTACGACCGGTGGGGTCAGCAGCAACGGTGTTGAGAGGACCGAAGTGGCCACGGACACGGCCAATCTCGTCTTCGAAAACCTTGTGGTAGAATCTGGCCTCGAATCGACCCTGGCGGCCGGAGGTGGTGGTGACTTCCATGGCGGCCTGACCACCTCCCAGAATAACAAAGTCCTTCTTGGGGGTGATTGTGGCGCTGTTGAGAGGGGTGTCTGCCGGGTAGGTCTTGAGGGTGGTGAGATCGCGAGCAGAGATGAGCTGTTGGAAGGAAACCGAGTTAGCAAGACATGACAAGTCTAACGAGTATAAGAAGGCAGCCGTACCTTGGCAGTCTTGTCTCGGCAAGCAGTGATGAAGTAGGTCCTGTCGGGTGACCACTGCAGGTCGACGATGGGCTTGTCCAGCTCGTGGGCAGTGACCTTGTCCAGCAGCTCGCCGGTCTTGGCGTCGTACTGGCTGACACTGCCGTCCTCGTGGCCGGCGATGATGTACTGGCTGGCCTGGCTCCAGCCAGCAACGGTGGCCTTGCTCTCGTCGCAGACAATGGTCAGGGATCTCTCGTCGGTCTGCTCGGCGTTGATGTCCGGGTTGATGTCGATGACGACGATGTTGCTCAGGTAACCCATACGCTTCTCGGTAACGCCCAGCAGCTTGGTTCCGTCCTCGTTGAACTCGACACGCTTGACGGCGGTGGGGAACTCCCAGGTCTTGAGGCACTTGCCGGTCTTGACCTCCCACAGGCGGATGGTGTTGTCGGCTGAGCCAGAGGCAATCATGGTGGAGGTAGGGTCGACGTCGACGGTCCAGATGGCACCGACGTGGCCGTGGTAGGTTCCTAGACGCTCGCCATTGTGGGAAAACCAGACACAGATCTGCTGGTCCTTTGCGACGGAGAAGATGAGATCACCATCGAGGTTGTATCTGATGCGCAGAAGAAAAAACTTGAGTTAGCTCGGGCCTCTCTTATTGGCAGCGTCGAAAGGAGGAGTGAGGAGGGGCTGGCGCAGAAAAACAGCAGAATTAGAGCTCTGCCTCTGCTTGTGCTTCGGCTCCTCTCCTTGAGGACAGCAAGCAAGACATACTTGATCTGGGTGAGAGCACGCTCGTGCCCGGCAAGAAGGATGGGTCTCATTTTGTCGGTGATCCTGATGCTGGAAGGCTGAGGAAAGAATTAGGGAAGGGGGGGATATAATATGGGCCAGCACGAGGTCGGATTGGAGATGGTGGTGCTTGGAAATTTTGGCGATAATTGTGCGTCTTGGTGGGGCTAGAGTTGTGGCGCGGGGAGAGTCATTGGTGGCGTAGCCCAAAGAGGGAAGTCTGGGCGTGAGCATGTGGCTGGGGTGTGTGAACTTTCAACTCCGTGGCGCATATTTTCACCTGCTAGGTGCATGTTGTTGTCAACGACCATTTGGAGCAATTGGTGTTCCAGCAAAGCCTTCTTCACACATCCAATCCGGGGTACGAAGTATGCATGCGGCGATTTCCTAATAGAGCCAAAGCACAGTACTTGGATGATGACTGTCTTGATTCGCCATTTCCTGAAACAAACACTTAGTGAGTCACTCAAGGCACGTTGTTGAGTCACTGTCATCACTAGGAGTCAACATCGCGCCATATTGCATTTACTACTTCTTTTACTCTTAATGTCCTGAACATCCTTTAAAATTGTAATCACAATTTATATACTTGGAGGGCGGGCAAGTTTGTACGACTGAGATGCCGACATATACCCGCTCCTAGTAGTTTACATGGGGGCATGAGCTGAGCTTTGGCTGTTCTTTATTCCTCAACAACAATAGACTCAAAGAAGAGAGCAATATTAACCGGCATGCCTGGTAGGTAGACAAAGGTGGTGCGGACTCTGCACTTCTGACATTTGATAGGTTCAAAGCTTCAAGACTACTAATTGTTTCTAGTAATATTTACTACTAATAAGCAGTAATACACAGCTATGTCTGGCAATAAATGCTACACTTCTCTCAGCTCCTCCCTAGAGTAGCATCTTGCATCCTTAGCGGATCAATGCTGAAGGAATAGTGGTATGTTTCCCTTGTATTGACCCGCTCTCTTTTCTCTCTTTCCATATTGCATCAAGTTCTCTACCTACCTCTCTATGAATAAATGTGCTGACACACGGTTCTCAACAAGACGTTTCTTTCTCCCTGCCGCTCTTGCCACGTCGGCATGCTGATGATCGAGCTGATACATTTGACGCCATTGCCGCCTTAGTTGTCAACTTGCGTATGTAGACATCCGGGTAGAACATCAGGGTTCCGCACTGTCTACTCTCAAGAAGGTCGTGTAATATGGGAAGAAGAACAAAACCCCCACGCTGGGCATGCTTAATTGGCAGCCTATAAACTGAAGCTTCATCCAAAGCAGCAATAGCAATGCCGCAATGCCGCCATGCCGCCGGTCTAAATATGTGATCCGAAGAACAAGCAACTGCCTGAATCCAGATCTGCCCGGGCCCTGGCCGGCGACGGTCTTGGATCAAATCGAATCTCCACATAACAGGAGCCGACACCGTCCCGACACGGTGTTCTGTGAACCCTGCATTGTGTCCTATAAATCTGCCCGTGTCCTCTGCCAAGTCGGCGTAATTGTCAAAAGCAGGTCATTTTCCCTCTGTTCCAGGCATTGAGCCATCTCTTCGTCCTTTACTTGCCCTACCTTTTTCGCTTCTTTATATATATTAAGCTACACCATTGTTCGAATTCCATTCCACCATAGCGCAGGTCGTTAAAACTTTTGCGCCACTATCAAGGTCACGGACGATCAAGCGAGCCAACCACGAAATAGCGCCCTGATCTACCTCCGCGTTCCGGACCCTAGATAAGCTAAGGAAAAAAAAAAATTCGACAGAAAATAGTTCCTAAGAAGACAAACAAGCAAACAACCGAAAACAGACTTCAGTGCTCAAGCTGACCCTAAAGGCCCAGTTGCCTGATCGATTTCTGCAAGCAACCATACGACAGCCCTGCTTGGGACGTTGTACAGGCTTACGTGCAGCACAATTGCTTGAGGCTTGCAAGATCCAAAGGTCCTATTTAGGATTTACAGAGCATCATGGCGCCCTATCAGCGCCTGCGCATGGCCCCCAACAGGCTGCTGTCGCTGTCTTCCAGAACGTCGCAGCGCTGTATCACTAGCAGCGCTGGGAATACAGCGGCCATCGCCCGCCGCTTGCCGTGCCTTTCCGGCAGCAGGGCCCCGAGTGCGGCGACTTTCAGCCCCTCAGCGGGCTCAGCACAAGGACTTTTGTCCGCTAATCCTTCCAGCTTGGGAGCTCGTCATTTTTCATCCGCGTCGGCGACTTATTCAGTCTCTGCTCCTTACTTCTCCTCCTCATCCTTCTCTTCCTCCCCGTCTCTGCCATCTACAGGCCGATTGCCCTCGCGACTCCAGCAGCAGCGATCGTTTGCGACGACAGCCGCCGCCATGGTTGCCACAAAGCTTGACGGGAACAGCATTGCCAAGGCCATTCGCGAACGCCTTGGCGCAGAAATTGCAGAGAAGCAGCAGAAGAACCCCAGATACCGCCCCAGCCTCAGGATCATCCAAGGTATGGCTGAGCACGCGCAGGACAGCAAGGCTGGAGACGTGTTTTCTCCTTGCTCTCTTGCTCCTTACCTCTTCTTGTGCGATAATAATTACTAACTGGCTGTTTCTCTCTCTCTCATCCAGTTGGTGATCGCTCCGACTCTTGTAGGTTCCCCCGCCATCCTTATCTTGCTCACGATCCTTATCGGGTCAATTTGGAGCCGCGGCTAACGATTCATGCAGCTACGTATGTGCGTATGAAGCTCAAGGCTGCCGAGGAGGTAAGGCACAAGAAACCATTTCTAGGCTCCTTTTAAAAACAATAGTTGGCTAAGATGTCGTCTCCAGGCCAATATCGACTGCAAGCTGCTCCACTTCCCAGAGAACATTGCTGAGATTGAGCTCCTCGACCAAATCCGCCGTCTCAACAACGACGATACCGTCAACGGTATCCTTGTCCAGCTGCCTCTTCCTAAGCACATCTCGGAGCCTGCCATCACATCCGCCGTCGCTGACGAGAAGGATGTTGACGGCTTTGGCACAAACAACATCGGCGAGCTTGCCAAGCGTGGTGGCGCACCCATCTTCACACCTTGCACTCCCAAGGGTGTCATCACTCTGCTGAAGGAGGCCGGTGTTGAACTTGCTGGCAAGAACGCTGTGGTCCTTGGCCGAAGCAATATCGTTGGCGGTCCCGTTGCTCAGCTCCTGAACCGAGCCAATGCCACCGTGACCATCTGCCACTCCGCCACGGCCAACCTCCAAGCCCATCTCAAGAACGCCGACATTGTGATCGTTGCCATTGGCTCCCCCAACTTTGTCAAGGGTGAGTGGTTGAAGCCTGGTGCTGTTGTTATTGATGTGGGAACCAACTACATTCCGGATGCCTCGCGCAAGTCCGGTCAGCGACTCGTGGGTGATGTCGAGTTCGATACCGCTTCCGAGGTCGCCTCCATCATCACCCCAGTTCCCGGCGGCGTTGGGCCCATGACTGTTGCTATGCTGTTGGAGAACGTTGTCGAGGCCACAAACACGTTCTTCGAGAAGGAAAAGATCAGACAGACCGTTCCTCTTCCCCTGCACCTACAATCCCCTGTCCCATCGGATATTGCCATTTCTCGGGCTCAGGCGCCCAAGCAGATTACTCGCATTGCGACTGAGATTGGCATTGAAAGCCATGAGCTGGAGCCCTACGGAGCATACAAGGCCAAGGTCGATCTGAGCCTACTCAAGCGACTTTCCCACCGACGTGATGGTCGCTATGTCGTCGTCACTGGTATCACCCCAACTCCTCTTGGTGAAGGAAAGTCAACCACGACCATGGGTCTGGCCCAGGCGCTCGGCGCTCATGTTGGCCGTGTGACTTTTGCCAACGTCCGACAGCCCAGCCAGGGACCGACATTCGGTATCAAGGGCGGTGCTGCTGGTGGTGGCTACAGCCAGGTCATCCCTATGGACGAGTTCAACATGCACCTCACAGGCGACATTCACGCCATCACTGCCGCAAACAATCTCTTGGCTGCCGCAATCGAGACACGCATGTTCCACGAGAACACTCAGAAGGATGGCCCGCTCTACCGCCGCTTGGTTCCTGCCAAGAATGGCGAGCGAAAGTTCTCTGCCACCATGCTTCGCCGCCTCAAGAAGGTTGGCGTTGACAAGACCAACCCCGACGAGCTGACTCCGGAAGAGATCCGCCGCTTCGTCCGCCTCGATATCGACCCAGAGACCATCACCTGGAGACGAGTGCTGGATGTCAACGATCGCCACCTCCGAGGCATCACTGTTGGCACAGCCCCCACTGAGAAGGGACAGTCTCGTGAAACTGGTTTCGACATCTCTGTTGCTAGTGAATGTATGGCCATCCTGGCACTCAGCACTGATCTTGCTGATATGCGAGACCGTCTGGGCCGTATGGTCATTGGTACTTCACGCAGTGGAGAGACTGTTACTTGCGACGACATTGGTGCCGCTGGTGCTCTCACCGCTCTGATGAAGGATGCTATCAAGCCCAACCTCATGCAGACGCTGGAAGGCACTCCCGTCTTTGTCCACGCTGGTCCATTTGCCAACATCAGCATTGGCCAGAGCTCTATCCTCGCTGATAGATTGGCCCTGAAGCTCGCTGGCACTGAGCCTGATGAAGACCACAACGAGAAGACTGGCTTTGTTGTTACCGAGGCCGGTTTCGATTTCACCATGGGTGGTGAGCGTTTCTTCAACATCAAGTGCCGCACTTCAGGCCTTGTGCCCGACGTCGTCGTGGTTGTCGCCACTGTTCGTGCTCTCAAGGTGCACGGAGGCGGCCCCCCAATTGCCCCCGGCGCTCCCCTCGATGCTGTCTACAAGCAAGAGAATGTCGACATCCTCCGAGCTGGCTGTGTCAACCTGAAGAAGCAGATTGCCAACGCCAAATCTTTCGGCATCCCTGTTGTTGTCGCTATCAACAAGTTTGCGACCGATACCGATGCCGAAATCGCTACTCTCCGCGAGGAGGCTCTTGCCGCTGGTGCCGAGGATGCAATCCTTTCTGACCACTGGGCCAAGGGTGGCCTTGGTGCCATTGACCTGGCCAAGGGAGTCATTGCTGCGAGCGAGAAGCCCAAGGAGCTTCAGCTGACCTACGGCCTCGACGGCACCATCGAGCAGCGCCTTGAAGCTATTGCCCAGAAGATGTATGGCGCTGCCAATGTCGAGTTCAGCGAGCTTGCTCAGAAGAAGATCGACACATACACCAAGCAGGGTTATGGCCACCTGCCCATCTGCGTTGCCAAGACTCAGTACTCGCTGTCGCACGACCCCGACCTGAAGGGCGCGCCCACTGGCTTTACTGTGCCCATCCGGGATGTTCGCATGGCTGCCGGTGCCGGCTACTTGTAAGTTATTCTGCTCCCCTTCACAAACAGTGTGAATTCTTTTGGGGTCAAAGTGCTCATGCTAACTTCACTCCAGGTATGCTCTGGCTGCTGACATCCAGACCATTCCCGGTCTTCCCACTGCTCCTGGTTATCTCAACGTTGACGTGGACCTGGAGACTGGCGAGATCGATGGTCTTTTCTAAGGCAAACGCAGACTTGACTTTTCTTCTTCTGTTTTCTTCTGTTTGGCATTCGTGACTGGCACTGATTGCCACATTATCAACTTTTTTGATGAAAATATTATATACCCAGAGACTCAACGTGGGGCACAACAAGGATATTAGGAATTTTGGAATTTATGACTGGTGCATCTTCAACATATGGCGCAGGCATGCGAGGCATAGGGTTATGATTGGGATAATTAACCCGCTTAGAGTTAACAAGTACTACTACTAGAGCACAATAGAAGGCTTTAGAAAGCACTCACTCTTTCTCTCTCTTCTTTTCTTTTCGTTTTCGTGGGTACGCATACATGAACCCTTGTCTTACATTACGGTAAGCAAGCGACTGTGAACTGAGATGTCGAAATCAGTTGGAGTCTCGTGCATCTTCTAGAACACAAGAGTATACCTCATTAAGGAGACTGCATGATAGGAGCGGCAAGCGAAGTAGTAGGCGGCTACCAACTGATATGGAGACTTGGACCGGTTGGATGAATCAATCCGGATTGGGATTCGGAGGAACTGTTGGCCGAGAAGATGCTTCTACTTTATACTTCTGGAAGAGCAATGTGGAGTAGATACGGAGATGAGACGATCATTAAACATGTCAGATAGGTACTTTGAAAAGGAAAATGTTTACTTTGGAATGAGACGGAAATATGCACAGCGAATTACACATCACATATTTGGAGAGATTGGTGAATGGGTATTAGGCGTGATTCAAGTAATGTCGATATAAGTTTTCATCATCAGCCTGTCCAAAAAAACCGCCAAAGCTAGACGCGCCCATATCAATTGCTTTCCTGAAATTCCAAGCTAAATGTTCCGCCAAATCTGATTGTCGCGGTTTTGAGTGTTTGTCGTACTAGGCGTCGTCGCTTGATTGTCTCACTTCTTCTTTCAAATCTTCCGTCACTCGAGTCAATATCCTGCCGTTTTCCTTCTCCATTTCGTTGATTGCATCCTGGCAAGTCCATTTCAGGTCCGTTGCGCAGTCGTCAATTTGGTTATTCATCTCTTCAAAGATCTCTTGTCTCTCTTCTGTTCCATATCGACATGGGCTGCGGCCATTATCGAGTACGTCTCTGAGGTTGTCTTTGATGTATTGCTCTAGCCCAGAGACACGGCTTTCCATATCATCAAAGCGTGTTTCAATCCGATTTTCGATATTGTCCAGGCGGCACACAACGTCTTTTAGAAGAACTAGGACGCGGGCTACACCGGAGAATCATCATCAGAGTTTTCAGCTCGGCGGCGTTTTTCTGTTACAGTTAATTTTGGGTCCAACAGGGATATCACAAAATGATTCATGAGATGAATTGATGATGCTTACTGGAATTTTGAGGGTTTGGCACAGCGCCAGCGTATGGAGGAGGGCTTTCCGCAGTATGCGTAAATTCATTCTTCTCGGCAACTTCGCCTCCACGACCAGCATACAGTGTAGCTGGGTTTGCCCGCGGCAGATCTGTGCGCGGGCGGCCTTCAGGGCGATCGCCCGAGAATGTTTTTTCGAGTAAATCGAGGTCTGCTTTGCTTAGAACTGCGTTGGAACTGTCGAGATGCACAATAAAATTGGTCACGCTGGCCAGGTCTTCAATCAAATGTAGTCGAGTCTTCGTTTTGCCTTTAGAGTCTAAAGGGCGTCCTTTGGGGCGTATGAAATCAGGCGCTTGCGTCATGGAAATGCATAGTGAGTAATGCCGAGGCTAGAATGTCTTGGGGGTTGAAGGCTGTGGATTGTGGTAGACATTGTACTTTATAGCTTAAATCCTTTCGGGATATATGTATAAATGAACAGCTTGCTTGTTGCTCTTGCCTTTGCCGCCTCTGAGGATAACATAAGCATGAAGCTTGAACATTGCTGTATTGGCTGAAGTGTTCAAGTACAAGTCGAATGAGACATCTTCCATCTGACAAAGTTGTTCACTAGCATCATTCCATGTTACTGTTCTTCTGATAAGATATGTCGATCACGGTGGCGTTCTCTTCTTTTGCAGGTTCAGTCACGGCTGGCGATTCATTGATGCTACTCTTGATCTGTTCATCTCCGTCGTCATTGCTGTTTACTTTATCATGGCGATTATTTTGGGAGACACTAGAATATCTAAAGTCAGAATACATTAGCAAATCACACATGGTGCATATTATGGCCGTCATGTGCAGTTCCCCTGACCATGGCCGTGAATACAGTGAGTAGCGCGGAGCTCCAAAAGTCCCCCCACTCATTTCAATGAAAACACTGCTGCGGATAATGTACTGGCAACGGTAGCAGACAATAGTAGCTGCTACCTAACAAGATCCCAACCCCTCCACTGACGCAAGTCAAGCGATGGCCTGAGAGCGTAGGGCTGGCATTGGCATTTTACGACCTTGTCTCGCAGGCAACAGTTCCGAGGAGTATCTTCACCGGAGCAGAACAGCGATCCACGCGAAGCGATAGCCTGCCATGAATGCGGAGCTTAAAAAGTCCTCCGCTCCTCAAGGAAGACGTTAGCTGCGGATAATGTACTGGCAACGGTAGCAGACAGCAATAGCTGCTACCTAACAAGGTCCCGACCCTTACAGCGGAGTCAACTCAAAGAGTCAACCAGCGCGTAGTGGGCATCGGAATTTTACGACCTTGTCCCGCAGGAAACAGTCCCGAGCAACGTCTTCGAGAAGAGCAGAATTGCTATTCACGCAGCGCTATGGCTTGCTGGAGCCGCATAGGGACATCTCACTGATCCAGGCGAGGAAACAGGTTGTGTCGCGTCGTTGTCTTCCTCGTTGTAGATGGCGCCGTCATTCATTGCGGGGATATTCTAGACGATGAATCGATTAGGCGAGATGCATTGGATGGCTGGGAGGTTGGTTGGAAGGTTGGTGAATTGGAAGAAATGGCGCAGCAGCGCGTACATTTTAACATGAGACCTCCTGGCACTGTCACATGACTCAGCCAGCCAATCAAAGCTTCAATTACTTGGCTGCAGCCGGAACTCGTTAGTGAATTGAGCGTCAGTACACGTGACTGTTCATGCGCTGGTTACAGTATGAACACTACGTCTGCACCGTCTGGCCATATTTGATGCCGCGGCAGATTCTACTGCTTGACGAGTTATTGTATTCGGTCGAGGAGTGGCCCAGTAGGATTCTACCGTATAAAATCTAATTCATCGCGAAATACCCAAAAAGAAATTGTGGTTTTTTCTCTTCTTTCTCTCTTTGAGCCATGGCGCTCGTAAACAAGCTCTGATACGCAGATCCACGGTGTGCCACTGCTTTCGCTTTATAGATGCAGCACGGTCAATAAAAGGCAGTGGGGAGGCCTAAGAAGAGCATTGAATTGGTGTCTTGTGGATTACAGGTATAGAAACTTGATAGTAGCTACATGTAAAGAGCAATTCGATATTGGTGGCATCCAGAGCACACTCTCACTGTAGACTGCACCATTGCCGACTGCGAGATAATCCGGTGGGTGTGAGCTAACAAATGCTGCTACTACTATACGCACAATTAGCACTCTTGTCCACGTCATGCAACTTATCTCACAATGCAAGACGCGAGATTGATTTGTGGGGTGCGCAGGATTTCTATGTACATATATATCTACATGTATATGATGGAAGGATCTAAGCACTGCCCAATAGCGTGTAAAGGAGGCGAACCTGGGCGAGTTGAATTAAAATGGTAGAAGCAAAATTGAACAACCGCCGAAACGAAAACAACAAACAAAAGGGAAACCAACAAGATATCTCCATGAATCATGCCCTCCATCTCACTTTCAAAATGCAACCCCTTGGTGGCCGTTAGTCTGCGGACATGTTGCCCTTTTCTACGACCCCGGGCGGAAACGAAATCCGGATCCCGAAGCCCTACGAAACAACCGCAGTTGCCTCGTCCCCTGCATGTGGAGTTTTGCGAAAGCCACTGTGCCGGATCTTGGTCGTCCCGAGGAAGAACGAACCCATTGGCAGCATTTTACTTTGTTAGGTGGCAGTAGGTTAATTATCGGTCTCTGCCGCGGGGGGGCTAAAAACGACGACATAGAAAGCTTAGGCAGCTGGTGGCCAATATGGACCGGGGGAGATGAAGCGCTTCGATTTTAGGGAGCTGTGGTGGGCATATCCACTCTGTAGTATCGGCTCAGTCCCTGCGGAGCGTCTTGGATATATTACTATTGAGCTTTGCTGTTTCTCTGTTGCTTCTCTTCATCTTTGCTCCATTTCCCTGCTCTACTTCTGGCGTATAAGTCGATATCCCGTTTACCAAGGGGAGGTTCTTTGTCTGTTAACGGCTTAGTCGGAGCGAGTAGTGAGACTCTCACTCGGGTTGGGTCAAGAAGATTCAAAATACACTTTTCCCCGCCTTTTTTTGCTGTTACAGCTTCAAACACCAAAAGGTCTCTTTACGGTGACGGCGTCGTCGATAGGCCTCTGTGTACAGCCATGGCGTTAATCCCCATCGCCATTGCGGCGTTGGTCGCCTACCAAACTATCTCATATGCCTTGCGTCTGCGGTTTCATATCAATGAGGCCAAGAGAAGCGGATTGCCCTATATTGTCCTTCGTGCGTTCACTTATATTCAATCTCCCGCGAGCCTTCATGGGCCTCTCTGAGCCATACTAACGTGACGCCATAAAAAACACAGCTTGCTCGCCGTTCTGGATAGGGTGGCAAGTGACCCATAAGCTATGGGTTCCGCTCATTAAGCTCCTTCCAAAGTCATGGTGGGATGGATGGCTCGAGTACGGGATGCCCTCTCTTATAGACTGTTTGCTTTCCCAAATTGGTCAACTGGCTAACAACTGTGGTCTTCAAGTATCATGCTTCCCAACTTTGTATATACAACCCGCCATGAGTGGTTCGCCAAGATTGGCGAAACTTTCTTTCTTGTTTCTCCCGGCAGATTGATGCTGCTCACGGACAATGCCGAAACAATCCGGACCATCACATTAAAGCGAGAGCAATTCCCCAAATGGACTGCTGTGTACAACATTCTGAGGCAGTTTGGTGAGAATGTTTTGACTACCGAAAGCAGCATCTGGCGTATGCACCGGAAGGTGACCTCGCCTTCATTCAATGAGAGAAACGCTGCCTTGGTTTTCCGCGAGGCCATTGTTCAGACTCAAGGCATGCTGCGTATGTGGACAGGCCCTGAAGGCAACACCAGAAAAGAGCCGCTCAACACTCTCCAGAGGGATACGATGAGACTAGCTCTCAACATTATCAGTTATGTCGGTTTCGGGATGCGATTGCTGTGGCCGGGCGCAACACATGCTGCAGGGACGGACCCCAAGCTGTTGAAATACGGCTCTCATGAGCCTTCGGTAGGTCACCAGTTGAGTTTCCCAGATACCATGGAGTTCCTACTTGAGCGCCTCCTGGTTTTACTGATTTTCCCACGGTGGATTCTGCGTGAGTATCCTATTATACTTTTATTTGAAATGTTTTCCTCGTACGAGATGCTAATGCTCTGGATTGCAGAATTACTGCCTTTTGAGAAGATCAAGAAGGCAGTGTTGGCTTACGACGAATATGTCAAGTATATGAACGAGCTTCTGGACGAAAAGATTGAAGACGCACGCAAGGGAGACCACATAGAAGGCATGGATCTCATGGGCCAGCTTGCGAAATCATGTTTTGGAACCGATAACAAAGGTGCTACCTTGACTCGCGAGGAGATTATCAGCAACGCCTTCATCATGTTTGTCGCTGGCCATGAAACAACAGCCAACACCATCCACTTCACCCTCATCTTCTTGGCAATGAACCCCGACGTGCAGCGCAAAATCCAACAAGATATTGATTACATCACCCAGGGCCAGGACCCGAAAGACTGGGACTATGAAAGCTTGGTCAACCCAATGACTGCCAGCATGATTGGTGCTGCCATGCACGAAACGATGCGGCTCATGTCTCCTGTGGTAGTGATTCCCAAGACTACTTACAGCGATCAGCCCTTGGTCATGGACGGCAATAAATATGTCATTCCAAAGAATACGGGCATCTCACTGGTGACGATTTCCGCCCACGTCAACCCTCGTTACTGGCCAACGCGACCAAGCAAAGTGACGCCCGGCAAGTCCAATATCCTCGACTACGTCCCAGAGCGATGGTTCCAGGGCATGGACAAGGACAGCAGCGCGGGCAGCGAAGACGTCGCCGGCGCCGACTCGGAAGATTTTGGCGGTTTCCAGGGCTCCGACATCAACGCGCAGCTCTTCAGACCCGAGCGAGGATCCTACGTTCCCTTCAGCGACGGGGCGCGATCGTGCCTCGGGCGGCGCATTGCCGTGGTGGAAATGATGGCGGCGCTGGCCGTCATTTTCCGGAGCTACAGCGTCGAACTCGCCGTGGACGAGTGGGCGTCGCAGGAGCAGGTCGGCCAGATGAGCCGAGAGGAGAGGGCGCGCATCTACAAGAAGGCCCAGGACAAGAGCCGGTGGACGGTGGGACAGGCGACGTCGAGGCTGACGCTGAACCTGCACGACGGCCAGTACGTGCCGGTGCGGATTGTCAAGAGGGGAGAGGAGAAGTTTGTGGACTGGGTGGATAAAGAGTGATTGGTGGTGGTTGTACAAAGATGCCAATATTTCATGTAAGTCTTGATTCAACTACTTACTGTACGAGCCGGCTACGAGATTATTGTACCATTATTGCACACAACATTAGCATAAACTAGTATTACATATAAGTAGCCTGGAATAAACATTGACAAATTAAATCATGTATGAACTGTTTCCATCAAGGCCTAATCGCAAGGATTGCAGCATTGGGTAGGAAAGCAATGGAAGCCGCTGCAGATACCCCATATCGCCATCGCCATAGCAAGCATCAAATGCGGAGCTTTCTGCAGTGTGCCATCTCCAGCCCCCCATCCTCGATGGCACTCTGGATCAGCCGGGGTGATATCAGGCAGTATCAATCGATACAACCTGCCGAATCACCATGTTCCAGGTCCTCTGGCAACATGAAATATGAGTGCTCCATATGTATGCAGCAGATTCAAATCGGTATCTCATATCAAGCCCATAAGCACCCGATATCCCACTGCAAACTTGGATTGATTCCCATCTCTCATGAAAAAAACAGCCTCAGCTTCTGCCGTTGGTGACAGCTCTCCTTCGCATCAGCGGCGCTCTGCCCCCATTCTGTCCCGGCCAATGTTGATCAATCTATCCAGCTCCATCCCCCCAGCCACGCCCAACGTCCTCTCGAGGTACCGCCTGTTAGCGGGGTACCTCGCAAGCGCCGGCTCCGGGACGCCTGCCAGCGTGGCACTCGCAAACGCAGCAACACGCAGGCGACTTGTCCCCCTCCTTGCCGCTGCCGCAGCGTTCAGCCACACGCAAGCAGAAAACGGTGGGAAGAGGGAAACGTCGGGTCTAGTCCTAAAGGGGCCAACATAAACAAGACAAATAGCCCGCCTTATCCCGCGCGAGCCTTTTATCGTTTTTTTCTCAATATTCCAACGGCCGCTCCCCGCACCCGCCCAGCAACGCCCAGCAACCAGCAAGAAAACATTCGACATCCCACTTTTTGGACTTTGGACAGCTGTTTGGAGCCGCAGCCCTCGCTGGCACAACTTACCACAGGCCCTTTTAATTTTTTCCTTTTTTTAATTATATTGCTATTACTTGTTACAAACCGCGGGACAAGTGAAGACACACTTATAACAATCACAAGAGAGAAAGAGGGAAAAGGGAAAAACAAAGACAGAAGACACACACGTTGCTTGTGCCAACTGCCGTTCTGAAATCCAGCGCGAGTGCTGCGGAGAAAACAAACCGAGCTCTGCAATTTGGCCAATCACATAACAGTCTCTTTTTGGGGAACGCAACACACACACACCGCAACAATATCATTGGGCATTTGAATCACTCGACCTACCTCTTATTTTATTTTTATTCTTTTTTTGCTGCGACTAAAGACAAAGAGACAACCGCTTGTCATCGCATCGCATCGCATCGCATCGCATTACGTCGCAGCGCCGCGCACCGCCAAATCTATCGCTTCCGCATCGCCATCTCGTCTCTGCAAACCGTCGCCATGTCCGCCACCGCGCCCTCCAACGCCTGGCTGCGCGCTCAGCGCAAGAGCGACCTCGTCGATTTGGCCGAGAGTGTCGGCCTCCAGAAGTGAGTTTTGCGATTCTGTGCCTTTGATTTCCCGCCATGGCCCTTTTCCCTCCCCGGCTGCGAAGCGCATTTCTATCCCTTGCGTCATTGTTTTGTTTGGCCGTTGTTGCACTCGCCGCCTTTTCAGCAGCGATGGCGGCTGTTTGTAGCTACGCGCGCGTAACGGTTGTTGCGACAGGCGCGATAGAAAAGCTGCAGCTTCAAGAGCAAGCTCAGCTTCATTCATCTTCGCTTCTTCTACTTCTGGTTCCCCGAATTCTCTCTTTTCCTTCTTCCTTTCCTCCTCAACCGCGCAATCCCGCTACCCCTCGTCATTGGCGCGCCGCCGCATTGCCACCGTTGGCTCCAGACAAAAGTAAACAAAAAAGCAGGCTAACACGGAATCGTTCCGCGAACTAGCTACGATGGTCTCAAAAAGTCGGAGCTCGAAACCGCTCTCGATGAGTTCATTGCGGGGAACAGCAGCCGCTTCAACAGCCGATCTGATCTGTCGGGCTACTTCAACAGCCGGTCCAAGGCGATGGGCTCTCCCGTCAAGCGAGAGTCCAAAGAGCCCATCAAGGAAGAGCTGGAGAAGGGCATCAAGACGATCAAGCGGAGGGCGACCAAGGCTGCCGAGGATCTGATTAATACGTAAGTTCTTCCCATACAATCTCTGCTTGGCTGGCTCCCAGGTCCGCCGCCGTCTTGGACTTGGCCGAGCAATCATCGCCAGTCTCTCTCTAACCTGCTCTCCAGAGATGCTGAAGACGTCCGCGCCGCCTCAACTGCCCTCATCCAGACTCCCGCTCGCAGCCTGTCGCAAGTTGCCTCGCGCATCTCACTGCCTGCGACCCCGGCCGACGTAGCCAACGCTGTCGACCGCTCAACGATTGCCGTGCGCCGCCGTGTCTCGTCCATCTACCAGGAGAGTGGCATTGGCGAGACTTCCAACGCTGCTCGAGAGACTCTCAGCAGCGTCACCAGCATTCTCCTCTGCGTCTCCGCGTTCGAACTCTGGTATATTCGACCCGAGATCCTAGCTAACCGCTACGCATTCACCGTCCCTGCCATTGGCTTCCTCGGCACGTCTGACCATCCCGTGTACCTGCCCGACATGTTCCTCCTGCTCACCGCGAGCTTTTGGTCACCCGCTCTCACTTGGGCCTTTACCAGCTTTATTTTGCCCAGCCTGCTTGGCTACTTTTTCAACCTCAGCTCTGCCAGCGGCTCTCAGGGCCCCAAGACGCGCTCTCGGGCTAGCACTCCGGAGACTGCTGTTGATCCCTTGACCTACAGCATTGTCAAGGCACTTGTCTCATTCGTCGTCTATGGCCAAGGCGTCACTTTTTGCGGTCTCCTCTCTGAGACAGCTATTGATCGGCTTGACGGAGCCGTGTACGGAGGCTACAAGGGCATGCTGACCGGAGCTGCCATTACCGGATTGCTTAGCATCTACGATGCGGTCCTGAAGAAATAAATGGGCAAAGAAGAAACTTGCTATTGTGGAATGAGACTTCCACAGCCCTGAACAATGTCGGGGTACTATGCGATTTGGCATAGTGGCGTAACAAAGGAAGGAAGGGAGAGCGGCGTTTCAGGTGTTAGACGGCGTCAAAGCGCAACTCTAACTAATGCTGCCTTTTTTCTTGCCTTGGCTATCCTTTTTTTGTTTCTGATTTGCCTGGACTTTCTTCGATACCATGCTCTTTTGCGCGGTTTTGGAAACTTGCTAGCTTGGAATGCTAGTAAACTTACTTGGGGAGGAAATTGGCTTTTTTTTTCTCTCTCTCTCATTTAAGCCAGAAGCTACCTCTTTTATCGTTGCTTTTCCCCCATCTTATTGCCTTCATTCTTCTGAATCTTATTCGAGGATGATACTATGCAGCTCTGACTCACCTTTGGGCTGTGGAAGAGGCATTCCAAAATCATCATTATTATTTTGCAACGTTTTTGAAGCTAGGGGTGTTTCTGCCATTTTGGTTTGCGACGGTTCATGATTTTCAGTTACCTGGGCTTTTAAGGAAGAGGGGAGCAAGGTTTTTTTGGTGTATCTTATTTATCCTTTATTTGCGTTTGAAATGGGTGGGATTGGCGATTCTTCGCTGGAGGACAGGGAAACTTGGTATTTTGTACGCAGTACAAGAATTGGGCCACGAGTTATATGAAAAATGCTTCTTTTTTTAAATACGTATATTTATATCCAAGAGCGCTCCATGCCTGAATGCTTATTCATGAAACCTCTATATCTATATGCACAAGCCATGTATTGGCTGAATCCCAAATGTCTATCCTCATACCAAAAAGAACGTAAATAATCCATCTTCTCTCGCCTGACCAGTTCCCACAGGATATAGAAAAAACAGTTACTGTGTTGACCTTACATGTTCCGTTCAAAATAACAGAATCAAAGCCGTCATTCTCAACTTGTGTGATATATATTGGCGTTGAGGAGCAAAAAAAGAATGAGAGAGAAAAAGTTAAACGAGTATAGAAGGAATAAACGCCGATATCCATATGCAACCGTCCAGCTAAAAAAGCAACTGCGCCACGCTTCAAGTTTGCTGAAACCAATTTTTTTTAAGGCTTTGCTTTGTTTTTTTCAAGGCTTATCCTCGGGGCTTTCCCATTTGATTGGGTGCATGAGGAAACTCCTCAGACACATGCGGCCGCTGCTTCCTTCGGCCTCCTCCTCTGCCTTTCCGCCTCGCAGCTTGCCCCCTCCTTCCTTTCGATGGCCGTTTCGACCTCTGCCGTCCAGCTGAGAAAACCCCAGCCATCGCCGCCATAAAAGGCCTGAAAACTCGCTGTTATAATACCAGCTTGTGCCTCTGTGGTTGTGTTCGTTGCGCAGATCAAACGGGCTGCCCACAGCCGAAGTCGAGTGGTCACGTCCGCCGTTGAAAATTTTATCAACCGAACTGCCAAGAGGGTCCCAAGCACGGTCCAGGAATGTTGGGTGAGGTGCGTATACAGCCTTGAATCCATGGTGAAAGGCCACACTGGAAGGGAACATTTCAGTCCACATCGTGCGGTGATGGCGCCATATCTCCTCATGCATCGCCATCAAGAGCCGACGACTTAATCGAGATGCCGTGATAATGACACATCTTCTTGGAGGAGTTTTTCCATAGCCGGTTGCGTCATTAGAGAAAACCCAGGCTGAGCCATGCACGTCAAAGATGGGATTCAACGTAATGAGGTCTGCTGCCTCACCAACACCACATTGCGGGCTGTTTTTATCATTCGCACAAGGAGTTGGTATGATGGACTTTCCGTGCTGCTCAAATCGGAGCTGCTTCGTTTCAGGGAACTCAACGGGGCCAAAGACGGGCGCCTCGCCAGAGTCGGCCGTATATTGCTCGACGGCAGTCGTGAAATTCTCCCAGCTACCGTGGTGGGCGGGAATATAGTAGCGCGAATTGCGCTCCCAAAGAAACGGACGGGGCTGTCGGTCTGCCCAGACGCCCAAGCGGTCAAATAGTTCATACCAGTTGCCCATATATCGCATATCCATCTCCCAGTTCCAGAAATGCTCGTATTCCGGGTGCTGCAAGGCAAAAACTTGAAGTGGCATATGGGCGCTGCGATATACATCGTGTATTTCCTTCTTGCTGGGATTGCCAATTGGTTCCTCGAATTTACCAGGATAGAATAGCTTCATCTGGGCTTCGCTCCATAGCGTCACCAATCCATGGAACTCGGGTGGTACGTGGGCGTCGAGCAACTGTTGGACTGTCAAATCATCAGACCATATTGGCGAGTCGTTATCCTTGACGTGCAACAGAAAATGGACATTATAATCTCCGCCAGATTTGAGAGCTAGCTCGTTGATCATGGCCCGGAGGTTCAGTACTGAGAACTGCGTCCACTTAAAGCCGGTATATAGGCGGAGCACTACAGCGATCCGATTCTTCTTACCCTCCTCCGGTTTGAGCACTTCGGTCTCTGGGTCTGGCTCTGTGAACCGGTGCTTGTTGGCGGTAACACATCGCTCCTGCACATCACCCCAATCAATCCGGCCATAGTCAATTTGGCCCGTTTCCTTCCAGACGGCTTCGCTTCCCGAGGACTCTGTGTTGAGTCCCACACCAGCGCCACCATCTTTAATGTCGTAGCCAAAGCCATATGGCCCATAACGACCAAATCGGTCAAAACAAACATCGTCTCGAAAGCCAAACATGGAGTAAGATCCAAAGGTTGGGTCGGGCATATATTGCGGAACGCCTTCATAGGCATATATGCTAGGTGCTGGGATTTTCTCTTCGTCATCGAGATAGCAAGTTTTGATGCTCGAGTCGGACGTGTTGTATGGATTGTAGGGCTTAGGTTTAGGGATCTCTTGTTTGAGCGGGGGTTCGCCAAGAGGAGCTTTCTGAGCGGGGTTGGGGTATTCGGCAATGTGCTCAGATTTCTTGACCAGAGCTTTAAGACCATGGAAGTAGCCGTTCAGGCTAAGCGTAAGAATAATGTTAGTAGTCTGATGCCTCCGTACAGCGGCTGGGAAACTTACTGAGGGAATCGAAGCCATGGCATCTTCTTGATGTCTTCGTCCCACATCTTCTGATTCTCTGCGTCTTCTTCTGCGCTCAGTTCGTCTTTGTCGTCTATAGATGACTGGCTCTTCTGGTCATCTTTCTCTTTCTCTTGCTCTGTTGTTTTCCCTTGCTCCTCTTTTATGATCTTCTCTTGGTCCTGATCACTGCCTCCCTCTTTCTTTTCGCCTTCTGTTGGCGTCGCTTCCGGTTTCTTACTCTCGGTAGATTCCTTCTTCTCTTCATCTACCTTCTTTGACGGTTTATCCTGGTTGTCTTTGTTCTTGCCCTCCACAATCACTAGAACAGGGCCTCCATCTTCATTGCCAATTATTGTAGGCTGTGGGGGCGAATACTTTGTTGCTGTGGCAGGCTGAGCGAATGTCTCAGTAGCCATGCTGTCACCAGCTTTGAAGAGGGCAAGCGACACAAGAATCATGCTTGCGACAGTCCATATCAGGATTCTCCGATAAAAGCCTCGGCCGAAGATGGAAAGCCCTCGAACTGGTTTCGTTTCCATGGCACTTTCTGCATATGGTAACAAGGGCTCATTGTTTCTATTCGTCGAAGCAGAGGAGCTAGAACGGCTACTGAAGCTGAGAAGTGAGGCCGTGCGCTCCATGGCGGATGGAGCGAGGCAAGGTGATGAACACCCGCGGTTCCGAGGGTCTTGGGCGTCGCAATCGCAATCGCAAAGATTTAGGCGTGGTTCACTCTAAACTTCAAAATTCCGCTGGCCCAAGGGGAACGAACGGTCGAGGAGGAAGGAGATTAAGGAAAATTAAAATATAATATAACCCAAAAGGATGCAAAGATGAAAGCAAACAAAAGGCGTATTGCGTGACTGGTGAGATAGTGGCAACTGCTGCCGTCTCGGAGGGGCACGATGAGGTGGGAGAGAAAATTAACGAGAAAAAGATGAGAAAAGGAAACGAAAGGTCTGCGGATGAGATGGAAAGCCTACGAGAGGCTTCTTGAGGGTTCCGCAAAAGGAATCGAGATAATAAGAGGGGAGATAAGAAAAGCACAGACAAGGGTATGGATGTACAAGTTTTTTTGGGAGATCGACAACGACGAAATGGCCGGTACAAGGACTCCGTAGTCGTAATAACCATAAACCTTGTATAGGAGGCAAGGCGAGAAAGGCTTTGCAGGGGCTGCAGAAGAGGTCGCGGGCAAAGTGGGAACAGGCAGGAGCCGCTGGGCACAAGGTTCGATCCTGCCAACTGCCTGAACTGCCCAGGCGCGCGCAAAGAGCGATCGACAGGCAGGTGCGGGACAGAAGCTTCAAAAAAAAAAAAAAAAAAAGGCACGAAGCAAAGAAGTGCAGACAGAGACCCAGATAAGGCGCCGGGCGGCAACTTCTTCGCCAGATAGACTAGGCTTTTCTTTTTAATGGCCGCTAACAAAAGAACGGTTGCGGCGTTTTGCCTGACGGATCCAAGCAAGCCGGGCTCCCTTTTTACTGCATCCTTCGTTTTCCAACTCATAAGGCAGACTCCATTTTAGATCCGGCAACGGATTGGATTTCCAAGAGCGCAAATCCCAATCCGAACCGCTCTCGCCAAGCCGGGCTCATCGAATGGGAGCGCGAGGCGCCTGTGAGACGATGGGGAACGAACTGCAGCCATGATACGAGCGCATACACAGTCAGCTTTGAACGACGCCCAGTATTAGACCGCTATAGAAGCTAGGCCATGTCCTGCCTACGGACGTTTCAATCTCTCTAGTATTGTCCGAACCATACCCTGTTGAACGGTGGGTGAGCTGAACCCCCATGAACAAATATGCTTGTCGATTAGGACTAATCAAGCCACAAAGCATGTTCCCTGCTAAGAGTAGTTGCCGCCGCAGACGAATTCCTACATGGGTATTCAGCTCAAGGAAAATGGCAGCTATGAAGAATCAGAATGATGGTGAACCCGTCGAGCGAAGCTCAGTCTGAATATCGCTGGCCGCGCGGCTTTGATGCTGCAGCATGCTGCAAACGCAAATGCGATAGCGCTGCGGCTAAACTTCCGTCAATCGCACCCGCCGTTACAACCGCATCGTGCCCTTTTAGAAGCCACTACGACTAGGTCCAGGGCGGCTAGGCTTCGCTAGTCCATTCCGTCTCCCATCAACCTAATTCGGTCCAGTCCTATCAGCTCAGTTTGTCTCTCCCTGGCCAATCAGCGCAGCACGAGCCTCAGCCGGGACCGCATACGGCTGCCCCGATACTGCTGCCACTGAGCGTACCCCTGTGAGCTTTCCACCAGCGTTTGGCCTTTGGCCTGTCGATCCAGCTACACATTGCGTCATTGTTGCACTACACACAAAGTCGAGCAGGAGCGCAGTTGTGAAGGGTAATAAAGGGAACGATCCAGCCAAAGTTTGAGGCTCGCTTGCGGGCTTGGGGGGCTTTGGGAGAAGGGAGTTGAGGGGCACCAAACTGCTCCTCAAGCCGTATTGCTCGTGTGCCCTATTCCGGGATGATCGGGCTTCCTTGCTGCTGAGAGTGGAATTTCGTTGACGATGGAGAAGGGAAAAAAACCATAGGCGGGACACAGCTGGCGTGGACCCGTCGTATCCTTGCCGTCCAACCATCCCGCCGGCACAACATGAAACACGCGTCGACGGCAAGGGTGGATAGCGCAGTGCACATTCTGAGCCTCCCGAAATCCGACGCTGCTGCTTCTTTACAGCGTAACAATAGCGGGATGCATCGTTAGGCTATCAAGTGCGATAGCAGTGGGAATCAACCACGCCATCATGCATCGCGTTCTCTTTATAGACAGTTCACGATGATACTTGCTGCTCAAAACCTAGAGCTTGTGCTCTGCCGAGATTCTCCTTTTCCAGACCGGGGGGCAAGCCATCTCATCAAATATTACGGAGCATCAGAACTCTCATTCCGCTACCACCTGCTCGTATCAACATCTTGTGGAGCAGGATTTCTCTTGTCATCTCGTTCGCTCGCCCCCATGGAGACTCTCTTGGCGTAAGTCATAAAAGTGGCCCATTGGTTGCGTAGGGTGACAAGAATCGACCGCCAAGACTCTTCTACGCTGGTTTTGGCCTACGCAAACGGACTGGATGCCGGCCTAGCAATTCAGCGTCGCTTGCCAGGCAACCAAGTCTCGCCAAATCCCCCTCCCCAATACGCTTCTCGGTCACTCATCATGACGCTGTATGCCGAATACACCCAGTGTTCGGCATGGCTGGTATCGCATTTAAACCTGCCGCTACCGAGCAATAACTCGCTGCATCTCATCCCGACGACTGAGACATTCACAGAGGTACCGAGGACGGAGGTCAATCAGCCCTAATTGATTACCGCCATTATCGATCAGTGCCATTACTAGCGCTTGCCAGGGGTTAAAAATAGATATACGCTCGGGGAGTTTACAGAGTATTAACAGGTCTGGTATTGCTATACTATACAAATTACGAATTGCATTCATGCAAAGCATCAGTGCCGTGCAAATTAGGATAGCTATATGCTTCCAACCAACAAAAGCAGTAAACAGTTTAGTGATGGCATCAAACCACCAAGTCCACATCGCGAGGCCGTATTGAGACCGTATCAAGCAGAGAGGGCGTATAGCACTTTGGGGTGCTGATAAATCTGAAATCAGTTCATCTCACCATCAAGGCTCACAGAATTCCAAAAAGAAGAAAGATAATATGATATTAGACCTATTTGCTATATCCCAATTTTCCTGCAATGCATATGCAAAGCTATTCCAGCCTCCTTTGGCGTTTTGTTTCCAGCATCAAACATCATCTACGCATCAATAGTACGACCATTCAAACTGATTCTTTTGGCTTTTCCTCATCCATAGCCTTGGCCTCGTCATTTTGCCGGCCGTGATTGCTTGCCTGGTCTTCCACGTCAGTCACCTCGCCGCTCTCGCCGCTGGCCGAGTCTTTCTTTTTTGCGTCGATACTTTCCCTCCACTCTTTACCCCATCGAATAGTAGCCATGACGCCGAGTGTTGAGAGGACCATCAATCCCGTTGAAAGAGTCTCAAACCAGCCAACACCGATTCCGTCGATGGCTGGCAGAACGACGGCAGTTCCCACGCAACCAGCCAGGTAACGGACAAAGTAATTTGCTGCCGTTACCTCTGCACCGCGTCCGGGCATTACGTCCAAGCAGTACGTATTCAAAGAGGGAAAGGCAAAGAGCTGCCCAACGCCCTGCAAGAAGAGCATAATAACTGGCACTGGGATGCCGCCCACCGCTTTGTCTACCGCCCACCCATACACAAGTACACAGCTTGGCATGAGAATACCCATGAAGGGGAGTGCAGACCGCAGACGATCTTCTGGGATGCGTACACCATTGCGCTTCTTGATCCATTGCTTTACCGTCCTGTCTGCCCATCTCCCTCCCATGAATGTACCCAGCAGGTAGCCGCTACCTGGTGCAAGGTAGAAAAGCCCTGACAGGATCGGTGATTCCAAGTGAAATCGTGGGTTTAGCACGTACCGAATGGGAGTGAGCAAGCTATACATGTTCCACACAAGTGCTGAACTGGCGAGTGCTACCAGTACCTGGTTCCCATATCGGAACAGCCGAATTACTCGAATCGGGTTGGTCATGCGAAGCACGGCTATGATCTTTTGGTTCCTAGATTGGCCTTCCAAATCTTTGATCTTTTTGTGGTGGATCGTCTCAGGCACGAGGAAAAAGACGCTCAAAACGCCGGTGCCAGCCAATGCTGTCTGGAGCCAGAAGATAGATCTCCATGTTGCATAAGTCACCAAGATGCCACCAATGAATGGGCCAAGTGCGGGCCCAATCAGTGTTCCAGACATGAACCATCCGAGAGCAGTCGCTCGCTCCGTAGGGCGATATATATCTCTGCTTCTCTGTTAGCCACTGCCAACTATACGCCAGACAATGTTGCTCATTAAGCTTGTGCGTCCCCAAAGTGACCCTTTGACATACAAGTCTATCCGGCGTCAAGATTATTGTTTCAATTATCTCGGTGCCAAGATAGCTATGGGCTACACAAGGCAACATAAGAGGCCTATGTCAGGGGGTTCGGGCAAGACCAACTTTCTGCATACGACGCTTGTCGGGTGCATACTCAACGGTCTGGGGCTTTCCGCGAAAAGAATACACTCGTGCCAGATTACTTACCCCAGGCAAGCCGCTCCCAATAGGATAAAGGCTGTTCCTTCAAAGGCTGAGAGCGCTCTGAAGACAAAGAAGGCTGCCAGATTAGGAGCAAGAGCAGTAGCCATGCTCAACAAGAAGAACAGCACAGCTGTTAATAGCGTCATCTATACAACTTAGCATGCATGCCGCTGCAAGTTAAGAAATTCGTCTCTCAGGATCCGGTAGTGTGCAGCGATGTGCGTGGCCAAGAATCTTTCAGAGGAACAGGGGACAGCTCAACTTACAGGTCGTCTGCCGAATACCTGGCTCATTGGCCCCCAAATAACAGGTGATATGCCCATCAGCGCCATGTATGCAGCATTGCTCACGTTGATGATAGAACCAGTCGTATTATATGTCTGTGCTACCTCGGGAACAGCAGCCAGGATGCTAGTACTTGATAATGGCGAGAGAAAAGCGCAAAAGGACAACACCGTCACAATAATGTGTTTGCGCCGTAATGACACGCGATCATATATTTCATCACCTCTCTCATGGTAGCCACCATCAGATGGTGATGGCGACTGTGGCGATGATGGCTCAAATGCGTCTGGCCCAGACACATGAGACGTCGGTCGATAGAATAATCCCACTGGTTTTGTCGGTTCGGTCATTCCCTCGGTATCGCTTTTACCGTGAGGCTGCTTGGAAATCTCATTGGTCTCAGGGGCCCTCGAGAACGATTTCTCTTCGGAGGAAACCATGATTGCGAGATGCGATATACTCGATCCACAGCCGTTTTCCAATTCACGAGGCTCGCATGTCAACCTTGACTCGACCGACTAGAAGCACTCATTCAAAGATGAAAGACTTTTAGCATATGAAGAAGAAAACGATATGCAAAACGTCACGAGTTGCCATGTAGACGCAATGGTTATAGCTCAACTGTTTTGATTTCGCAGCTAAAGAAGATACCAGTGCTTGTTCGAAGCAAAGCAAAGCAAAAGTTCAACACATTGATACAATACAAGAACAAGTACAACAAGGGAGGCAGAAACGCCGATTAAAAAGGGGCCTTGAAAGAAATTTATTACAGCATCGAGCCCACCAGCAGCCGCAAAATTCGTCAAAGAGTATGTAACCGAATCAAGAAGCCGCCATATAGCCTTCTCCACAAACCCGTCCGGTCGTCTTATCGGAGCAGCCCCCCGGGAAGCGGAGCCGCTCCCGGGCTTACCCAGCCAGCCAAGGCTCTTTGGTTGTATGCTCGCCAGGGGGGGCACGAAACCTAGCAGATCGAATCCGCCATCGGCCCGCCTTTAGGCTCTCGAAAAGCTTCGATTCTTCCCGAGTTTTCTACGCAAGTTGGGTGTAAGAGGCCCTACACCTCTCACCATTTGAGCGTGCCTCGGCACAGGAACGGCCGCCCTGCAGCTTTTTAGGGCAGGATTTGTTGCGAGAACCGGATTCATTCGTTGTATTTGCTCCGAAGTGGGCTTTTTCTGGATCATGTTAGCTGATAGAAAGCATGGCAAGCTGTAGATTTTGTTCTTTTCGTGCAAAGTCCGTGCTATTACCGGCCGTGGTTCGGGCACTTTTGGCTTGGGAATTGATTGCCCCAAGATAGCCATTTCGTAGCCACCACTCTTGTGCTCCATCGTAAGAAAGACGCACACCGAACCCGAATTGCTATGAAGAGAAATCGGCCCCCGGTAATGATAAGAGTCACTCTTAGAAGCCGATTTACTTTGATGTAGAGTAAGCAATTGTAACAGCATTATCGGCCAACATCCGTCTGTAACCCCTTTTTCATGCATAGTCAGACAAAAGTCGAAGCTTTTGTAGTTCATCAAGTCACTTTGGCCAGTAAGGTATATGGAAGAAAAGATACTGTTCGGTTTTCATGACTCGTGTGAAGCTTCTAACGTACGTCTATCTATCCAAACTGATACTTGAAACTTGAATCCATTTGCTATACAAGAAAACAAACTCAACCCTTACTCCAATGCATGCATCGTCTTCTACATTCGCCCTGTAGACTTTTTCTCTCCGCGGTGTGAATACGTGATGCTAACAAAAACGCAGCGCAATGCAATGTCGAAAACAACCAAAACATCCTCCAGTGCCTCTTTTGATATGAGATATACAATTCCATTCGGTATTTCGTGCAGTGCAGTTGTTGAAATCTGAGATAAACAAGCGTCAAAACAAATGTTCCCCATCACGCCAGTAGCTTCTGTACTCGCTCCTGAATCACACGATCAACAGGCTGGAGGCCTCTCTGGATCACAACATTCTCTCTCCCGCCAATGGTGACCACCTTGAGCCACTCGGGGGCGATTTCGTTGGCGATAAGTCGTATACAAGTCATCCCTTCTTCTTTCGAAAGCGGAACTCGTAAAGAGTCCTTGAGCTTGTCTGAGATGAGTACCATGGTAAAAGCTTGTCTCGGCAGGGAAGCCGGGTTAGACAAGCTGAGCATGGAAACAGTAGCACAAACGTCGGCGACTCGGTTCAAGGCAGCTCGGCGCTGAAGCTCCGGTCCGGATGGGGGGAGAGGTCCATTAGCTTTGGCAAGCTGCTTGTGTCGTAGACGATCCAACAGGCTCATCTTTGTACCGTCGGAATTTACCATGGCGATGGTAGCCTGCTGCTTGACCTCCTTTTCCTGCTGCTTCGCAACTATTCCTTCCTTGAGCGCTGATAAAGCATTGTGTCCCTTGTTCAGGATTGGATTGATTTTGATACTGCTGTCCATGTTCCTAATTTCAGCGCGAGGCAGTTCTTTCAGGGATAAGCTGGCTAGAGGCACATCCGCATCGGTGACATCGTCCTGTGCTCGGCCAGCGCAGAGAGCTCGGAGATTCTCTTCAAACTGCCTGGAAAGTCGCTCTTCGTTGATGGACACTGCGCCATTGTTGTGGTCAGGGTGCAGCTCTATGCAGATCTTTCCGCGGCCATAATCAGATACAATAAAGGGAGAAACCACATCAGGGTCTCGTGCGGATGTCTGGACGGCAATGCATGTTCGGATGTCGTCGACCGTGACCTGTCGCTTGCCCCATGTGCGAGAAATGTGTGGAGCCACGGACGAAATGTCAATGGGCACAATGGTTCCGTTGTGGATAATCTGGAGAGTAATGGTCTTGAGGAAGGCCTTGTGCAGGCGGATCAGATCGACCAACTCTGGGCTGAACTCGCTTTCAGCCTCCTTTGCCTTCTTTTGGCTAGTTACGCGATACGCCTCAAGCTTTGTCTGCACAGTCTTGCCGCCCTGCTTAGACTTTGCGACGATGGTCGACTCGCTGGGCTTATGCGCAGAAGCAGCCCGTGAAGGCGTTGGCTTGGCAACCTTCTTTCCCTTGGCCGGGGTCTTTGGTGCAGGCTTCGCAGCGGGCACTACTGCTACCGTAGTGGCCGCTTCGACGTTGGATTCTCCTCTCCGAGCACGCTTTGCCGGCGCTGCAGCCACTGGTTCTTCATCGCTGCTGGGGGCGAATGAGACGGTCCTTCTTGTGACTCGAGGGTGGTGGTTGCTGTCGGCATCATCGCCTGCGGCCTTCCTCTTCCGTGAAGATGTCGGTTCCGGGTTGGAGATAGCGGTCTTCTTGGTGGCTGCATCAGGGAAAGCCTGGCTCTTGGATACGCGAGTGAAGCTGCTGATGGACTGTGTTGTTGAGGGAGCCTCGGCCTGGCGCCTTCTTGTGGTTCGGGCCATGATGTGTCCTCTTTCCTTGTTCTTATATGTGTGGTGTGATGTTCCCGCCTGCTCCTTCTCTTCCCGACAGCGCGCCTAACCTGCAGCTCCAAACGAAGCAAAAATAAATTGGCAAGAGCTGTGCGCGCAGCCTAGAAGTGCGGGTCGATACTGTGGAAAAACAATAGCTAGTAGGAAAGAGATGCCTGATGATGTAAAAACAAAGTCGTCACTGCCTGCAGAAAGGAAATGCTGAAAACGCGAGAAGCTGCAAATTGCTAAAAAGCTGCAGGCTGAAAAAGAGAGGAAGGAGCCGAGCAGAATTGCCTCGACAACGGAATTGCTGCTCCATAGTACTACCAGGGTGGGAAGATTTCACGACGCGACCCGCAGACGCGCCTATGAGACGCGGTTTCAGTTTTGGCCGCGCTGAGAAATGTGTGTTTCTGTATGCGCGTAAAGCGGCGCCGGCCTCCTCCACACTGATATCTCAGCTGCTGCTTACTTAGCCTTTTAGCATTTCACCTCACAAGTATTATCTTCTGTCTTCTTCCACCATGTATACGTTCTATTGAGATGCCAAGGAAAAAGCTAAAACAAAGCGGAGTAAAGGAAGCATGTGTTATAGTTTGTAGTAACTGATATAGCCCCACCTATCCTCATATTGCAGTCAAAGCCATTGTCATCGTAATGGTCCATTCTTTCTCCATCTCCTTATCTTCGTCTCCAAACCCACTATTACCAGATGATCATGTATATTATTTCCATTGATGTTTTTTCATTATTTGTATTGATTCGTGTTTGTATAGGATCAGGTTTTGTACCATGCCACTCTTGGCTTACTCTCTTTGATGACTCCCAGGTGTTATCAGTGCGTTTCATTTGGTTTGCTGCCACCCACGGTAAAGGCGCCGATGATAGGTGATTATTCGCTGAATCTCACATCGTCTGCTCGAGTGCCCTCAATACGGGCGTGATCTGAATCTGCCTTTCCAGTCGCAAACTGCATGTATTGATCGAATTTGTTAATCGTATCAGCTACCATTTCGAATTGTTTCCTGTTGAGAACTGGGCTGGGCATTTTCCCTTTCTCCAATGCACTTTTGGCCGTATCATAGCGCGCAAGCGACGAGGCAATCTGGAAAGCATTCCTGATTTGCCGGCCGTTCCACTGCGCGGACTCGCTCGTGATTTGTGCCTGCTTGTAGTAATTTCGAGCCCAATTCATGATACTGTCTCTGTTAATGATGAGCTTCTGATGTCTAATACCAGTTCCTGCAAGCTTCTGTTCCCTTTCTAGCTCCATTCGTTTCAGCTTTTCAATATTGACCTCGAAAATCTTCTCGGTCTGGGCAAGCGTCAATGGTTCATAATATAGACTGACGTGGATTCGAGACTTGAAAGCCTCATCCATGGTACCCACTCGATTGGTTGTTAGAAAGAGGATGCCACTATAATACTCGAGAACTCGTAGGAATACTGTGAGACAGTTAGTGTGCGAATAGATAGACCCAAAGAGAAGGTAATGGCGAACCTGACACCAGAGCATTTCTCTTCAAATTCCAAGAGTCTCGTCTTGCCAAGAATACGTCCGCTTCGTCAAGAAGCAACACACAATCCCAGAGATTTGCCAGTCGAAAGATGCCGTTTAGCTCCTCTTCAACTTCTTTTGGAGTAAAGCCCAGATCACCGCATGTGATGGTAAATAAAGGCTTGCCATTGGCTTGCGCTACCGCCTCGGCTGTCGCTGTTTTGCCAACACCTGGGACGCCATGTAGAAGAATGAAAAGGCCCAGCCCCTTGCCGCGGATTAGGTCCTGGTTCATAGAGCCAAGTCCTGGCCTGGCTTTCTGTAGCTCCCTCTTTTCAAAATGAGACGCCACCAAGGATTTGACCATCTGTTTGTTTTTGTGGTCAATCTCCAAGTCATCAAAGATGCTTTCCTGTGGAGGGATCTTCTCCATTGTCATGACATCAACACTAGCGAACCTTCTATCGCGGAGGACGTAGGCGAAGAAACGATGGGGCAAGACAAGAGAGGCAGATCTAATTATATTGCCTCTCCCATCCTCGATATCATGAGGCCCTGCTGGATTTGTGTCTTCCTCCCACCTTTGGAACATTGCGTCTCCGACTCCTTCCGATCGCTGTATCTTCTCTGGTCTGGAAACTAGAAGCTGCGTTCTTTTGTCACTATTCCAATGGCATATTTCCATCTTATCATCTCCATTTAGCCACGGATCGTCCCCTAAAACTCCATAACTTAATCCAAATCCCAATTTCCAATCTGGATTCTGATTTAAAGCCTCTTTAATGTCAATGATGACGTCGCTGTCAACATACTCGGGCGGGCTGTAAGCAAGATTTTGCCTTTCCACAGTTTTTTTTCCTATTGGGTTGTCTGGTAATGTCCAGCCTTGGCAGTATACGTGCTTTTCCTTGACCATAGCCTTAAAATGTTCCCCTTGCTTTTCCAGTGTCGTGAGCCGTGGTTCATAATCATGTGCATAATGAAGCGGGAATATTGGAAGGCTGGTAATCGTTTTTTCGCCTTCATAGCCATCAATGTTGAACATTTCTTCCACCATGTCATATCTGTTTCCATCGTTGTCGACGTAATAGCACCATATTATCAAACCACGATTATTGAAGTCGTCTGGGTAATCGTCTGCAATGGGCGGTATCGCTTTCCGATAGATGATAAACGCCGTTTGCTGCTGTGAGATTGCTCTAGAAGGGGCGCAGATGATATCTCCAATCTGAAACAGATGCCACAGATCATTTGACTTGATTCTTCCACTTTTCACAAAATAATCCCTAGTTGCTTGCTCGAGAGGCAGAATTATTTGTTCCATGAATTTTATGTAACAACGCATGTGTCTCAATGCTGTCGGGTCATTCAGCTTAGGGTCGCTGATGTCGATATCGCCATCGCCGTTATTTGCGTCAGTGTCGGTGTTATCTTCATCTTCCAGGATAGCCTTTTTGTTGACTCCGTCTTTCTTTTTCTCGCCAAAATCTTCAGCGCCGTATTTAATGTAAGAATTTGACTGGCTTGTAGGTTGTTTTCCTCTCGTAGCGCTATTTCTGGGTTCTTTTACTCTATTGTCGCTATTCTTTTGATCCACTGACGCATACTCATCATCGCTACTATATTCTTTAGCTGGAGCGTCCTTAAAATATCCAAAGTCTTCTGGTGGCGTAGCTTCTCCCCATCGTTCTTCCAATATGTCGAGATGTTGCTTCATTTCTGGGTAGTAGTGGCTTAATGCCCTGAACGGCCAGCAGAACACCCTGGGCTTCTCAATATCCCACCCTAGGTTGCCAGCTACGTGGCTGAGATAGCCCAAAATCATTGTCGACTGGATGCGCACCCGTTGTATCCTTTCAATATCGGACGGCATACTATTTTCCACTGCCGAAGTTTTTAACTTGGTTGCGTTGGCTGTTTCCTTTCGCCTATTCCATTCATCTTGAATCTCGTCGGTCATTTGAGGCGTAGCTCTAAGGACCTCAATGATGTGATATTTGTCATCTATACCATAGCGATTCTTAAAATGTTCAAAATCCATCACACGGACCGAAACCTTCGGGCGCTCATCAATTGGACCTCCCATGGCGAATGTTGGACCTCCCACGACAGTTATTCGATCTTCCATGGCGAATATTGGACCTCTTCTTGCTTGTCGAGATTTTGCTTCCCTAAATATTCTTTTTATTTGAGAATGTTTCATTGTTTGTTCAAGTTGGCTAGATGGGTAGAACGTAATATCGGAAGAGAGATAAATATTGAAAGCACGATTCTTGTCACAATTTAAGCGCCTCTCAATCTCGCCAACAGAATAGCGAAAGAATAAGCTAAAGTCCGTCCGTTGGGGATTGAATACAAGTGAGGGGTATATATAAGTCTTTTAGGAACAGGCGGTCAATTTCGCTGTAACCCAAATATATCCTATTATGCACCCAGATGCATTCGGTGGACGAGGCTGCCAATCAAATCATAATTCGAAGCGGCATTACGCCCCCAACAGCAAGGATTAATCTTGATAGCTAAGTCCTCTGAGACTTCAGCCTATCATAACTTGCTCACATGCATCGTGATTTTCATATTGACACGTTGTGCTGCAGCAATACATGCCGTTGGGCATCAACCGTGAGGTTCCCATCCGCCAATTTCTGATATCATTGGTCACTGCTCTCCTCCCGTTAAGGTAGTATTTTACTCCCTTGCGACTACAAATTAGCAAGATGCCCGATCATTATTACAACTAACTTCAGCCCGACCATTTCCACTTTGGCTCGATCTTGTTGGTTCATTGGCTACTCTGTTGTCACTGAGCATAAAATTGGGATAATGAGTACAAAAAGGCAAAGAGGGGAACCAGAAAATAGTAGTCCTGAAGTTTCGTTTGCAAATAAAGAAGCTTCGAGTGTTCACAGTGCTTTTGGAGGATTAAGGGTTGAAGCAGATAGAAAGCTTCGATATCCAGTGCCGAAGAACTTAGAGTATTGATACAGCCTCTCCCTCTACCTTTACCAGATCACCACAGCTGATTCGCAGCGTTAGCAATATTCGAAGGGCAGTTGTCGAGTCCAAACAGCTGGGCTCGACACTGGCGCTACAGCCCAATCATTCAAACGACGAAGTGCAGAGATGGAATCAGCTGTTAGATAAGCTTGCCGAAACTGAACTAGAGGCGACAGACTCAAAGAAAGGCGCCTCCCGGATATTTTCTCGAATGCTAATCACCATTGGAGAGAACAAAGAAACCATCGACCCGTGGGTCAATTTAATTCCCGACGACTATGGCCTGTGCATCGTAAAATCGGGCCTTTTGGTCTTGGTGAAGGTGTGACACTCAGATTGCTGAGTGACCAATGCTATTACTAACTCTTTGTCAAGCTTGCACAGCGACACACAGATAAAAGGCGGAAGGTAATCGACGGATTCTCGGAAATTCACCAGGTTATCTGCAATGCTACGTTGAAGCGCAGGAGCTTCCAAACAGATGCACAGGTCTGCGAGGCTGCCGGCGATTTATATGTCAGCATTGTAGATGCTATTGATGAGTTATTAGACATTGTCCCATCGCCTTCCTCAGTTTCTAGATGTACGTGGTTCTGAAGCATCAAGAATGGAGTTCCCAGTCCATAGCCGACTCTCATTTTATGGCCATCTGCTAACATTTACAGTGCGGTCAAAGCTGTTGAAAGAAAGAAACAAAAATCCTATCGGAAAGAAAGCTGGTATTGATGAGATAATGGAAAATATTCACAATGCAGTCAAAAAATTCGAAGCTTCCGTCGATACTTGTCGAGACCAGCACATCGAAGCTACACATGTTAAAGCTAATGAGGTTCTGCACGTTTCGATGAGAACGTCAGACCAAATACGGGATCTTGGCGATCAATCCTCGAATAGGTTTGATAAACTGGACCAAGGTTTGCTAAATTGTATGAATTTGCTTCAAACACTCTTGCAGAGCAGAGAGGATGCAACCGACGCGTTGAGAATGTTGCTCAGCGGACTCCAGAAGAGTAAGCAAATCTATATTTGATTCACAGCTACAGTCTCTAACTTGGCATCTCAGGTAATGTATCCCAAGCAGAACAAGTCATTAAAAAAGAACAAGAAACACAACCCAGCGAAAAATCCGAGCGAACCACCCCAATCAATACCCAGCAACAAAAGGCGGTCATTTCATTTAAAAGACTACTTCAAATTCTATCAGCATCCGCTCCTGATAAGATACCTGTTGGAAACAATGACATTGAACTTCAAAACATTTTGGCACAGCGCGTCGAAGATCTTGAGACCGTCGTTAACTGGAGCTCGAGGGTAGATCCTAGTGCTCAGGCACAAGCTTACTCCATCCTTGAGCAAGACCGCTTCCTCCAGTGGATGCGTAGCGAGCATCCTGATATGCTTCTCATTGACGGAAACCTCTCTTTTCGCGGCGCTAGTTCCATCGAAAAGATCTCTGCTGTGTCTCTTTTCTGCGCATACTTCATTTTAAGCATGACTAGCCTGGATTCATCGCATATCTTGCTGCATTTTCACTGTGGCTTGCAGTGTAGCCCTAGAGATAGCTGGTACGGCCCGACTGGTCTTGTTCGGTCAGTGATTATGCAGGTTCTTGTCGTTTTATATGACAGAGGTCTGCTGGATTTGAACATTCTTGATCGGCGGAGCTTTGTTCAGGCACTAGAGAACCACAGCCTAGATGAACTGTGCATCTTTCTGCATCAACTCATCCGCCAATTCCCTCCCGACACGACTATTGTTCTTGTTATTGATGGAATATCTCATTTTGATCTAGATTTAAATGGGCTATTCAAGAAATTGGCGGTAGTGCTGGAATGTCTGCAGCGGATAGTTGAGGATGACAATCTGAGGCCAAAGTTCAAAGTGCTTATGACTTCTCCGACCAATAGCTCGTGGAGGCTAGGCAGAGTGGTTGACAAGAAGTATCGCCTTGGGCTGTCATCAAGGAGGCTGGCTCCGCTTCAGCTTTCGCAAGCAAGAATGAACGTGGCACTTGGACGTGGTCGACCGGAATGAGAGACTATAGCAATAATATTTTAGAGGACAATACGCGATCAACGGAGCAAATGAGTGTTGGATTACAAATATAAATGAAGTTCACAAATAGGTTGTTGATACGGTCAACCGTGAATAGTATATAAGACCTTTGTTAGTGAGCATATACGATTGAGTAAGGGCTCTCTGTAAATGCTATCCCCCAAAGCCGCTAAAAGAAAATATTCCCATATCTATCGGAGCCAAGGTGACAATCTCACAAAATATTCATCAATATGCCATTGCCCAATTGATGCTTCATTTGCCCCCCTGTGGTCGCGTACAGTGGCGGCCGGCCCTCCCCCACACTGAGAGCCACACACACACGCTTCGACGGGCACTAGCAAATAGAGCTGTTTGGAGCCTTCATGTTATTAATAGACACCGGATCTCAGTGGTAGGATATAATGGCCAGGATTCCTGTTACTACTCCAGGGCTGCTACTACTGCCACTACTGCTACTACTAGTGTATATCATACACAAGGTATGCAGCCAAGTATATTGCCTGCCTGTACTTCCGTGCGGCATCCAACAACTGCCAATAGCCGTCCCATCTTCGCAAGTAGCTTCGTCGCTAAGGATAGTGGCAGTGGCAAGCTTTTCGCTGCTGCGTCTCGTGTAAGCCAATGGCAATGGCAGCGAGCGTGGTTGCTTGGCCGCATGCATGCTATAGTTACATCCTCGCGGCGAAGGATGGAGGCATAACGGCCAATAGCTACGGCACTCTGACCGCTCTTATGAGTCAACCATATCCAGCTGTCTTGTATCACATCGAGGCTGAGCGGTACTAGTTCTCCTTTTGGCACGCATTGCGAAATTTGCATGCTGCAGTGGTCTTATTGCCGCGCAGTAGCGGGAAATCCATGTAGTACAGCATCAAAAGCTTGGTTATAGAAGGAGACTGACTCGACCGAAAAACAAACTGAGCAGAGAAAAGCTCGTACCCGTAAAACTATAGCCATCACTCGCCCCGTGTTATCTGCCAATTGCCTGTCCTGGGCCAGGCCCAATGACACGGCAAATACAAGCAACCCACGAGTTTTGTCTTTTGTCCTCCCAAATTTCGCCCAAATCCCACTGTAATTAACCATTAACCATTAACCGTCCCTAATTCACCAACTCCGAGCTAGAGAAAAACAAAAGAAAAGGAGAAAAAAAGGCAAATACCAGCCGTCTAAACCCTAGTGTACAACAGTGACCGAAGTGAAGAGTAAATGATAGTGGGGTTGGCCTGATTACACCCCATATCAACTATGCGTCGGGCCTTTTCAGTCTGATGAACAAGGCTGAGCATGGTGTAACAGGACTCGGCTCCTTTAGCGACAAGCTGGCGCGGGCCAGCGATCGACCCTGAAGCTAACAGGACTCGGCGGTGGAGGAGCTGGAACGGTATAATCATCCTCAAAGACGCGATGGGCAGTGGCTGTGGAATTGCTGCCGTCCTTGATCACGGGTGCATGATCGAAAGGGATGATGGGACGTTGATGACCTTTCAGTGGGCTGAGAGAAGTGCTGAGCGAGGAGTAGATATCTTCGGATGTTGCCAGCCGAATGTTGGCCCGTTGAGTGGGCTTGATGGGATAAGGCGCTGCGATTTGACCACTTGACATGTTGCTGGTGTTGATGCTGGTATAAGCCGTGTTTTTTTTGGGCCAAGTAGAGAGGCAGTCTAGCTGAGCTGGCTGATGAAGCGAACTAAGAGATGTTAGAATAAGAGAGAGGCAAAGAGTAGATGGAAGAGGTGAACAATTACTGACGCTTTGACGAGTTGGCAGGCCCGATCAAGTGCAGCTCACAGATGGAGATTCGGTGGAATCCACCAGGTGTTGGGAGCAGTGGAAGAATATCTGCTGATAGACAGCACCAGTTGGCGATTAGAGAAGAGAGGGAGAAGAAGATGGTGAGAGAAGAAACGGCGACAAGTTTGGCCAAGCTGATATTTCAGAGGTGGTAGAAGGGCAATAGTAATTGCTGTAAATGGAAAGGAGCTTAAGAAGCAGAAGCCAGCCCAGATGAGAGATGAAGAAAAAAGGATCTTGGGCTTTTTTTTTCTTTGACAGCCGAGAAGAGCAGACAGGAGGGAAGCTTGAATTATAAAAGCGAGAGGGCTCGGGGCCATAGGGCAGGGAAGAAAAGGAAACAGGTACGAAGTACGAAGTGGAGGGAAGGCGTTGACGGGGCTCGGAAGGGCGGCTCCAGACGAGGAGGGCGTGCAAGAGGGAAAGAGCAGAGTTTGTGCTGCTGCTGTTGTTGGGGGAGAGGGGGTGCGGTTAGCCGAAGAACGTACTTGGTCGTCGACTACAGGTAGAACCACAGCCTGGGAGAGCAAATTGGGTACCTGGCCAGCATGTTGCTTGACCCAAGTACCTTTGCGGAGGGGTGTACGGGTGGCACGATTCAGTGCTGGATGGACTATTACGGTTTGTAATTTCACCATTCTGGGCGCACCAGAGGCTCCGGGGAAACGCTTGGGGAATCCGGGGATGCTCACGCCGCGTTTGTGGCAAGCTGCATGAAGGACTCGGTCAGAGGTAGACAAGCCGACGCATGGGGAATAGAGAGCATTTACTGGTGCTTGTCTGCGGCGGATTACCGCCACGGAGTACCGCTAGCACCAGCTGCAAACACGCTTTGTCCACGTCAAGGATTTTTGCAGATGAGGATTTCTATTTCAAGGAGCTGCTGGGTGCCCAGATATGGGGCGTGTAAGAAGGAGGGAAAAGGCAGAAAAGGGGGAGGGGTGGGCATAGGCGGGTCTGGGGAAAGGTGTAAACAGCCTCGGAGGACCCATGGATGCTTTACTTGCTCTGCTGCTTGCCGTGAAAAATGTATAAATGCCACATAACTCTGATACTGACCATCATTACCGTTACGGCGCTGCCAAAGTGGACTGAGAGACACGTTGGTAATCCGGCACCCGCGCATTTCACGTACTTGTACACGTCGCCTATGCCGCTAATCAAAATGACACGAAACCGCCTTGCAAAAGGACTGGAAGCAAAGCGTTGGGCAAACCGCCATTCAATGCCGTCTAATCCCTAGCCAGCAAACAAAACACGCTACCGCTAGCAATGGCTCTCCGACGTCCCGATTAATTGGGAGATTTGGGGTAATATTGCGGGGACCAAACAAACTACAGGGGCCCGCCCCTTGGAGAGCTTCGAGTTGACCAGGGGGGGCCAAGAGGCGCAAAGCAAAGCTGAGCGTTGAGGGCAGCAGGCGGAAGCTTACCCGTACAAGCTCTCTTGAAACAAACAAGGTAATGCTGCTACTTGCTAGTAGTAAGCAAAGTTTTCTCGGAAGAGCTATCAAGGTTGTAAGTTCGAGGTACCACGGCTTCGTCGTCATGATGGACAAGGTACTTTATATGCGAATAAGAGGGTACGGACTTGATACTTTCGGAGGCAAAGTTAGGCGAACATTGGCCCGAATGAAACCCACTGGCCACCTCGAAAATAGATGCCTGGGATGCTACAGCCACCTTGCGACTCAGCGTTGCCCTGCCGCCGCTGTTGGCACCAGGAATTAGCACCTTCATGAGTAGCCCCAGACGGCGGTGTCTCAAGCCGTGATTGCAGGCGAGGCACACGAGCGGCAACGCACGAGGACCGGTAGGCAGACAAACCAGGCGTCCGTTCTTGTGCCCCCAACAGCAGCAGCAAAGGCATCGAGGCGGACAAGAATTTCTCCCTTGGGGGGAGCGGATGGTGCCATGTGCTGGTAGGGCATCTGTCCGTCTGTCCGAAGGCATCAATGCGTCTCTGGCCTGAGCCGTGGTCCACCCAAAAGTATCGCCGCCAGCATGTTTGCGCCGCCCGGCCAAGGGAAAAGAAAAATTACTTTGCAACGCTCGTACGAGTATGTGATACCTTGATACCTTGATGCCACCCTGCAGATGCTGCCCTGACGTGGCAGGCGGGCTTGTGAGGAATTGCCCACAACGACAAGGTACGGTACATGATACAAACGTGGAGTGCAGACACGATACCTCGCATTTCCCCATCCATGCAGCCATGTGTGAGAACATGCACGCAATACTGCTAGCGGTGCGTATTGCTCCGCCAAAAAACAAGAAAGAAGGAAGCCGAAGCCAAAGGCCTGTCAGAGCCTTACTTGTACGTTGTAGTGTAAACTTGTATCGGACGACCGCAATAAGGTGGCTCCACCATTTGACAAGATCCCCCGGCTTGCTGGTCAAGCAATTTGTAGGGGGGGATTTTGGATTTGGACGGGCATCGCTTCCCACGGCATCCCCGATGCTGACCCTGTCCTTTTCTTTTATTTCTTTTTGTTCGAGAAGTCTCGTGGAAACTTCATGTCGGGGAAAGATTGCAAGGAATAGCGGATAATAATCCTAGGTAGCGTATACCTGCAACAGCTCCAGGATGACTTGACGGCGGATTCTGCGATTCCCTGGCGATCGATCCTGAGCAGTTCCGCCATTGCTATGAGCAGCAGTTCCAATGACACTTGCCTCCTTTCTAGAAAGATTATCTACTGCTAGGTAATATTCAGGCGGAAATAAGGCGCTAGGGTATCGCCATATTCGCGAATCGAGTCATCTTCCAGCCAATGTCGCGTAAGTCGAGATATTTTATACTACATGTACCTCCCCGGCAGCGTTAACCCCCAACAATGCGGCTCTGCGAGACAAGAAAGAACTGTTGAAATTATGACATATGTGCTTTCGCTGTTTTTCTTCAATCTCCCCTTACACCCACACCTCCTCATTTTTTCTTTTCTTTGCGTGCCACGACATATCTTCAGCTTTTAATGTAATTCGTGTAACGCAGACATGCCCTCTCTCGGCTTATTAGATCCAGCAGAAGGGAGGAGGGGTGTGCCAAAAGAAGTTGCATGGTTAGACTACCGGTGCTGCTGAAAAGGAAGAAAAAAAAAGCCATGCCGTCTTCTCTCTCAATATGTACCTACTGGCCTGGTGTTAGCTGAGATTCCTTGCGGATTGCGGATTTGGCATCTCCCAAGTAAGACAGCTGCCACTTTTGGTGGTCTCGTCCCCCCAGAGAGCTTGTCAGCAAAGTAAGCAGGTTGAGCCGATTACTTTGCGAGGTTCTACCCTGTGTCGTACCTCGGGTACTCTAACCCTCCGATGACTTTTTGATTTCTAGATGAGCTGATGGTTTGGGGAGCAAAAAAACGCCGTTAATGGTACTTTCGTAAGGCCAAATGATCAGGTAAGATTTGGTGCAACACATTGATTGATGGCTTGCCTCGTATGGAGCTGACTTGGAGGAGCCTTGTGGCCATGTCCACAAACCGCTGCCAAGAAGTTCTACGAAACGAGACTGCGGAGTAGGACATGGGCTACCATCCATCATTGGATGGTTTGTCTTGTCTCCCTGCCAGTAGTAGTCTTTATCCCGGACAAAGATGGGCCGCAAGAGTGTTACTGGACTGGGGAAACGAGTTTTCAGCCAACGCTGCGAGCAGATGGCCCAAAGAATAGCCCCTTGCAGCTGCTCTGCATTTGTATGCCTACAGTAGACTATCGATCTGCCTGGGCAAAGGAGTTGCAGAGATCGATGCAGTAGCCTGCTGTCTACCCCATGTCTTGTCGAGCTTCCCTGCAGCAAAGTTGTCATCAAAGACACGTTTTGGTCCAAACTCGCCGAGGTTAAGGAATGCATTCCTACACGTCTCCTTTTAGCTTCCATGGAACCTAAGAAAAAATTGCCAGCCCTTCATCTATCAGGCTTCCCTTTTCACATCCATACTTCCTCCCTGCTTCGAACTTTTGGACTAACATCACCCTCCAAGGGGGGGCAAGTTTCCATTCCATACTACTGTATGTCACTCCCGTGCAGAACCCGGTGTCGATCTTGACGTATGAATGCGCAAGGGTGTCTGTTTTTGGCGCATGAATATCTGAGACACCAAATGGGAAAAAAAAACAAGAAATCGAGATTTAGAAGTCGGGATCTGGGAATTCGTTAACGCAGGGCAGCATCAACTGACAGCAAGCAGATACTGCATCATACAAGTGCACAACCACATTACGGAATTCTTTCTTCTTCGTCTTCTATTAGACAACGTAATGGTATACGAGCATCTCTTGCGCTAGATCGTACTTCTAACCAAAAGTTGCATTCACCAAAGTGTCTCACGCTCAATTGCTCCGCTCGAGACACCATAAACAAGTCCCCATTAAGTTAATCAAACGTATCATATAACATCATATCATGCCCTCATCGCAGCTTTTGCTCCGAAAAGTCATTAGAAAATTTCTGTTGGTACCACCACACACCTTTCCCTACTCTTTGTTCTTTTTTTTTTTTTAAGGCAGATAGCCCTTGATCATCTCCCAACAATCCGTCCATGCTCAAGGCTTGGCCGTGTTTGTCGAAGCTGCTGCCGCTGCTGCCGCCGACGCTGTTGAAGCCGTCTTGGACTTCCTCCTCGCGGGCTGGTACACGTCGTTGAAATTCATGGCAACACCCAAGAACCTCATGTCGACGTCTGGCTGGTATGCCAAGTCCCCCAGTAAGATCTGTAGCCTGGTGCGGAATGAAGTCCCGAGCTGTCGTAGGCGTTCCTGCAAGGCGGGAAATTCGGATGGTACGTCATCAGAAGATGCGAGACCTCCATCATCGTCACGGCGTGTTATGTTTCTCAGCTCGGCTTCCTGTCGCCGAGTATACTCTGCACTGGTCCACGAATATAGTCCGACGATGGTGTCGCGATAATGTAGCATGAACCGGAGAATCTCACTCAGCTGATCGAGATATGTCGTCCTTTCCTTATTATCAGAAGGGTGATGTCGGAGTTTCGGCCCGAGAAGGCCTTTATGGGTAATGTCCTCGAGGTATCGTCTATGTGCTTCGATAACGTCGTCCAGTGTGCAATCTTCCTTCCGGATTCGCTTCTGCAACTCGCCCCATGAAGATTCAATGACCTCGAAAAGGATATAGTATTGCAGCTGTCCCACAAAGTGTATCATTTCGGCGAGCACACCTCGTGTTGACTTCCACGTCTGGACTACCGCAGGATTAGGGCTCTGCAGCACTCTTCTGGATCCCGTCATACACTCCCGCCATGTCGATAAGAGTACAAATTCCACCCGCTTGATTCGCCATAGGAAATTGAAGACTTTGAGGTACTGCCGGTTACCCCATTCGGTAACGACGACATCTACGGGAGCGTCGATCTTGTATTCTAGAGTGAAGCAATCCCAGCCAATGTCGCCATGCGATAGCTGGAGCATTCGAGCATCTAATCGCCGGAGCACTTCTGGAGAGTCGTACTGAGCGTTTGAGCCGCGAATTGCATGCTCCAGCTGGGCCGTGAGTGTATGCCGATATTGAGAACCCGAAGGGCGATCCAAATTCGCCGCGAGAGATTCCATGAGCAGTGCGATAAAGTCGCCCTGCCCTAACAGGATATAGTCCTTCAAGGCCTGAAGATGGACAAAGAGGCGGAACTTGGTCTCCATCAAGTCCATCAAACGTTTCATTGTTGTCTTGTACGCCTCGTCAATCCATACTTCAACTGTTGCGGTATCGCCATATCTCAGTTCTTTTGAAGCAGCTTTGGAGTAATCTTCCACCCATAATGAATCGCTGCAGCTGTGCCGGATAAAGTTCAACGATTTCCCAATAAGGAATATCTTTTGAGCAAACTCTTGTGAAATGATGCTGGGAACCATATCCTGGGCTATCTCGTATTTATCTTCCCAAACGTTGCCCTTGATGCGTAAAGTATCCTCATTGTCGGTTTGCTCTCTAACGAAGAATTCGAGGGATGGGTCCGATAACTCTCCGTCATAGATCCAGTGGCGAAGAATGCCATACCAAGGCCGGGTGAAGCTACCCAACAGCCGTTCTGCGAATGCAGCAACAACGGGATCTCCATTGGACGAAGCAAAGTTGTGTATCAGAGTGATAATCTGACCACCTTTTTTGTTCTCTGACTCTTCAGCAATCAGGGACAAGAGCCTCAGTCCCATTGTTGCCTCTCGTGTCCACACCACGCATCTCTTCAATGTGACACCGGTGTTCCCAATACCCCCTCTGGGCGCATTCTCGTCCAAAAGAGATAAAGCTTTCCGAATCTGGCCCTCCAGAGTCGCAACTAACGTTAGATATGAGCGTAGTTCGTTGCTTATCGCCGATCGCAAGCTTTGAGCCAAAAGACCGTTGGCAGGGGTTTGACAGAAAGCATCCAGGCGTCGATAGAGCAGCGAGGGCTCGGCAAGGGTGTGTAAAATAGAAACTAGTGGTAGAGGAAGTGAAGGAGGGAGCTTCAACATATCTTCTCTCGTGAAAGGGAGAGTCGTGGAGGATACACCTTGGAGTGTGAATGGAAGGTCTCGAAGGATGGCCGTTTCTGAAGGTTCGATTTCTGCATAGTTACTAGATAGCAGAGCTGACTTTACCGACACATCCCTTCTCACCAGCTCTGTCTGCTGCTGCTGCTGTTGCTGTTGCTGCTGCCTTTCCTCTGCGATGCGCCTCTGTTCTTTCGATGGTGGTAGCTTGTGTGGTAGCTCTTCATGTATCGGAGACTCTCCCATTGGGTCATCTTCTATTCTTGTAAGAGGGATTGATTTTGAGCGAGCCCTAGCACGCTTCTTAACTGCATCCCGGGCAACAGCCTCACGATAGTTGGAAGAAGAGGGCTGGATTATGCTGAGCGGCGGCGGAGGCGCTTTCGGATCAGGGGAGTCGGCCAGAGCGTATAGGAGGTATAGGATTGCCCATTTTGACTTGAGGACGGGGACTGCCAGCAGCCTAGAATAGAGGTCGGAGAATCTGAGCGCATGGGAAGGATTACTCTGGATGAGCTTTCGTTTGATGGAGTCGGCTGCCCGATCAACGTCTGACAAGATGTCAGGATCAGGCGGGCTACAAGGAGTCGTCGTTAGTAAGGTCACAGTTCTCCATCATATACTCAACGTCAGGTGCGCAGACGCCATATTTACCTGTTTATTATGGCTCTGACAAGCTCATGGCTCAAGTTATACCGGGCTTGCCAAGAGTCCTGGCCTTCGTTTGGGCCTCTGGAGGGGACGATTTGGGTTATCAGGTTGTCAAGGGCATTGGCGACGCGATCTGGTGCCATGGCTGCATTGTTGTGACCAGCAATAATTTGAGTGAGGCAGCTAAAGATGGAGGGGAGAAAAAGAAGATTTCAACAGAGAGCTGCTCTAGCGACAAAGAAATACCTGTAACTGTTTCTTTATGCAAAGTTTCAGGCCGCAAGAAAAGCTGCTGAAGACGCGCAGGGGACGCGATGGCTTTGGAGTGGGATGTAACAGTGGATTATCCGGCGGGGAGGTAGCTGCGACCTCCAAATTGGGCGCGTCCTGGTGCAGTCTAGAGGTACTCAGTACTCCTTCAGCCGCCCTACAGTAGCGCATCCCTCTGAATCCGTCACTCTACCGGCAAAAGTTAAGACTTCACCTAACCATTAACCCTTTCCCACCACGCCATCGGAACAAGGACGCAGCAGTTTGCCATCGAATTTGCGGCCTCACAATGCGGTTTTCATCAAGATAACTCCACGGCAGCGATCGCATAGCATCCCTGATCCCATTTATCGACCCATGATTGTTCCCTCGCGTTGCGCGCCGCTCCATCGCTGCACGCGACAACTGTAGTTGACTCTCCGCGATCCACGATGCCCGACATCGACCCCGCGGCCTTGAGCCGCCCGTCTGTCAGCGTTTCGACGCCTATTCTATCGACAAAGACGCTCACAGTTACCGCGCCGGGCTCCACGAAGTCTGTCAAGACTAGCCAGATAATACCATCTCGAATTGACCTTGAGCCGCTGTATACGGCCCTGAAAGCCGCCATCAGCTCTGAGCAATGGCTCATATATAAAGAATCCACAACTGAGTTTCTAACTGGTACGGATAAGGTTTTTCCAGACTTTTTTTTTCCAAATTTCTTTTTGCTATCCACGAATGCATTTTAATTTCGACATCATTCGTGATGTATTTTACATGTTTATAAATCCAACTATATGCTCATCGTTAAATCGAACAGGACGACTCAACCAGTCCGAATACTCCAGCCGAATCGATCCAATATTAGCATCACCAACAGGAGAGAAAGACCACCTGCACAACCAACTTATTGCTGCAATCTATGGCAATGTTACTCGGGAGATGCCTGATATTGGCCTTGCGCCATGGGTTAGTGCCAATGACAAACCCACGACGACTACGGGCAGTAAACCTGTGTCGGGTGACGCAGCGGAGCGGAGGTTAAAGGGAGAGGTGATGCAACTACCCGCACGGGATCGACGGCGCATCAAGGAACTTACACAAAACGAGGTTCGCTCCTATTTTCTCTTCAGATGTTCTCACCAAGTATTAACCAATTGCCTTTTTTTTATAGTATGACCCCCTTGAGAGCTTGGCAAATATGTTTACGGAGACGCACCGGAAACCGCCTGTGGCTACCGATGTTCCGCCAAGTGCAGCCGGCGGCATCAACAACATGAGTTAGTGGCCTGCCTCAAGTTTTCTTTTGTTCACGCTTGGATACAATGTCTAACCCTCGTTCTAGACTTTGACCTGGAGATTCGAAAACGATATACACAACCACTTGCTGTCGAGTCCGGCGAGTTCCCTGATATGAGCCTGGTAGCTGGAAGAATGCTGCCTTTTTGTTACGAGGCTGGTCTTGTCAACGGGCATGGTCCAGAGGCGTCGACTCTCATGTCTATTGCTACAGAGACATTCATCAAGGAGATCTTGACGCAGATCTTTAGTCGTACTCAAAGTAATGGCCTGGGCGAGTCAGGCAGTGCAGGCTATGGAATAGGTACCACATGGGTTCAAACGCATAAATACAGGCGGCAACTTCACCGCGAAGAAGACGCGGCTCAGAGAGGAGAGATAAGCCGAGACAAATCAGGCTTGCTGCCCATCGAGTCCAAAGCAGCCAGCGAAAGAGGCCCGCTAGGCATAGCGGATATGCGGATCGCCTTGGAGATGGCAGACACTGGAATATCTCAATTCCCCATTATTTCGGCACAAATCTTGTACGGTTACCGGGAAGGCGAGCTCGAAAACTGGAACGATTATACCTGGGCTGATGGCGAAGCCCCCGCGGCTCAAGTTGAGGAGATCATGGCGAATGGCAGCGCAGATCTCACCAATGGCATTTTCCCAGACGCAATGGATATCGACAATGAAATATGGTGGGACGGAGCCGAAAAAATAGACATGGATATGATAGACAGCGCCTTGGATTCCTGTCTCGCCGTCGGATCATGAGGGGGTGTCACAACTTTGCCGCTCACTAGCTGCCGTTCTGGAACAACAAAAAGAACAAACAACTTTGACGGCTATGCCGAGTAGAATATTCCACCCCAAGCGCTATAGAGGGAAGGGTTTCAGGGTAAGCTTGCTTTGGATAGATTAAGTGGCTAACAGGGCACCTATCGTTATGGGAAAGCCGGGATTTTGACAGGACACCCACATCGGATAGAGTGGATGGATCGCTGTTGTGTCAGCAAGGGTTCAGCCTTGAGCGCCTAGCACCAATCGGCTGCTGCTATACACGTATGGCTTTGACCACCCCTGGATATATTTGCCTTTTTCTTCTTCTTTCTTTTCTTTTGTTCCCTCTTCCGTTTTTGGTGTTGTGCAATAATGTGTTTGAAACGGATGGGATATCAAACGGCGTTGCCGGGCCGCAATTATATTCACTACAGCGTTGATATTTTTTTTTTCTTTTGATTTCATTTGTTTGAAGGGGCAGGGAAGTCTGGATGGTTTCACTTCTTGGGATTCTACGAACTGTATTTGTATAGGACGATACCCTAGTTGAAGGGGCAAAAGCAAACCACCATGAGGTAGATGAGGTCGAATGGTATGTACATACGGGTGGATGGATGCACCGCAAGGAGCAGGAGGGCTTGATTGCACGTACATTCCAGCAGCACGCCTTGTTGGCTGCCGGAGCAAGCGTCTGACCTGAGATAATATTATTGACAAGTACCAAAATAGCAGATAGTACTAATACCAAAAGAAACAATTAAAGAAGAAAAGGCGATGAGCCGACTGAGGTGCACACGCCGTAAGCACCGTGATGGAGCGCTGATGATTGAGTCGATTCCGGCCTCGCCTTGGGACAGCACACTACCTCTGAGATACGATTGGACTACCAGATCAAGACATTCTGCAGTACCGGAAAGTACCTACCCAGATTTGTTTAAGTGAAATTACTCCTGACTCTGGCTTGATGGCCACTTGCAACAATGTCGCCACCGAATAGCCTCGACGTCACAAACCGGCCGGCAGATGGCGGTACTTGGATACCCAGCGCATGCATGCAGGGTCGCGCCCAGCTGGATCCGGAAACAGCCAAGATAAGGCGGGATGGTGGACAGGGGAAACAAATCATGGGAAACAACAGCTTCAAGTGAATGAATGCTACCTTGCAAGGTATGCAGCAGCAAGCGGCAACGAAACAATTCGCAAGAGTCATGGCATTATTGATTTGTTTGGCTGGCTTCCTTCTTTGATATTTGATCACTTCAGGTCATCTCCGAAAGGAACAGCCACCACAGCTGGCCCTTCTAGTGCGCCACTTACAAGGCATTCATCTTATTCATCTTAGCCCGCGCTGCGCGGTACGGCGTACTCCGTGCCAACAGCGTGAATACGGTACGAAACTCGGGGCTTTCGTCTCCTAGGTAGGTCTTTGGAGACGTGCTGCTTGAGGATGCTGATGCACGCTCAGGTTCTGCATATTGATAGCAAAAGATTAAGTGCTTATCTTGGTCAGACGCGTGCACGCTTGCTGAGGGATTATCACTACTAGTCACCGTCACTTCAGTCTTATTCCTCTAGACCTTTCTGAAAAAAAGGAAAAGAGAGGCCCAGCCTGGTCCCCTTCCGGCTCCCAGAAGCTCTGCATCCTAGACCATCTGCCCACCAAACGGGCCAGGCGCGTATAAGGATCCGAAATTAGAAGAAGCAATAGCACCACTGCCACGAGATGAGAGCCCATGCAAGTACGGGGTACTAAGTACGGTGCTTGCTAGTCATGTTACCGTCTGGACAAGGGTGCTCGAGTAAGTTTGGTAAGGCACTTTGGAGATTTGGGGGGGTCTGGAATGGGTGTGGGATTGGAAAAGAAAAGAAAGGGAAGAAAAAAAAGTCACCTTATGGTCAGCGATGGTGTGTGCGAATGGGGGGGGAATTTAAGAAAATTTGGGATGGAATTCCTTCTTTCGGCGGTTGGGTTTGATTCATGCACGCTTGGTGATACGGCAGAAAAAGGGGCTGGTGTGAATGCGTTCATGTGTGTTCCTTTGTTCGATGGAGTGGGTGCTAGCGGTCTGCTGCTCTGCACGCACAATGTACAGCATCTGTACCTGCAGCTGTACCAGTAAAGCACCTGCTAGGCATGCCGACCGCTACAGTACAGGTGGCGAACGAACCGCTAAAACAGCCCTTCTGCAGAGGCACCCAGAGGCAGCTGCACAGAAGCCAAAGAAGCCCTGACGGAACCGCCACGGCGAAGCGTGGAAGGGGTGGAGATGAGGGGGTTGGGGCCCTCGGGTGGCCCGTGCGACGCTTCTAGAAAGCTTCCGCAGGGCCCTTGCCTCACTGGCTCTCGCGGCCACGCCAACCATAGGCCGCCCTCCCTTCTGGCTGCCTGCAACCCCACCCATTGCATTCGCTGCCTGCCTTTGCTGCTCATTTCGACGTGCTGCTCTACAGAAAGCTTAGGTCGTGCTCCCGCCCGCTAGCAAAGCTGCTGCGCTGCTATTGCTGCTATTGCTGCTAGTTTGCCTCTGGGCTGAGGAGCTTCTGGACGGTGGCCACTGCGTTTTGTGCCTTCCAAGGTTCTTTTGCCAGCCCTCCCGCCGCCGCCGCTGCCTGTGTGCTGCTGCTTCGATCTGCGTGCTGTTTCTGTCCAGCCACCGTTGCTTACCCACTCCAGCACCTACCGATTGCCCCAGGTAAGGAAGGCTCTTCGCCCGGTTTTCGTGCCTTAGGACCAAAGCTGCAGAGCTGTCAATCAAGTCAACGCAAAAGCCTCTTCCCATCCTGTCGTTGCCCTTTCATCACCACGTCCCGCATCCTCAATCGATTGCATCCATCCGCCAGCCAGCATCGCCAACCGCGCGCATCATTGATCCGGGCCCGGCCCACAAACCTCTTTTTTGTCTCGCCATCCATCTATCCTGCCCTCTTCCCCACGCCGTCTTCCACCCTTCTAGGCTCGGCCCCTCTTCTCCTTTCGTTAACCCAGCATCCCGTCCTTGTCGATCCAACGCAAACGCTCTGGGCTCGTCGCACGACCCCTCCTCTGCCCGTCCAGCGCCCTCGTCTCCTTCGCCGCTCTTCTCTTCATCTCCTCATCTAATCTCGCCCTGCGCTGCCGCAGCCTTGTCCCTACTCGCCTGACCTCTGAACCACTTGCGCCCCGCGTGCGCCGCCTCTGCTTTGCGACCGAAAGAGACAGACACGCCATCTCGCTGCTGTTGCTGCTGGTAAGTTTCAACGAGTTTCATCTTGTTTGCCTTGCTGTGTGCCCTCCCTTTCCAGCCCACGGCATCTTTGTTTCGATGACCGCTGCTTGGGACAACCCCCGTCCTCGGCTGCAGTGGTAGCGTGCTGGTGACGTTTCTTTTTGGCCGCCACCCTTCTGTGCTTCGAGAATAGCTTCCCACAGAGCAGAAACGCTGCCGGCTGGCGCTGCCGCTGTCACTTTTTGTCTCCGTCTGTGTCTCGTTTGTCGCTGGCCTGGCTGCACACCCCCGTCTCACCACTCTGGCTTCCCTCTGTCGCCTTGCTCTTATTTCTCTCATGCCTGCCCAACCTCTGGTCATGCCGCCCGATCGGGTGCTAGCAGAGCCCTTGTCCTTGCGCTGCCTCTAGTCGTTCGCATCTCGGCCTCCCCGGTTCGACGCCGTCAGGCCTGGGGGGCGTGCAAATGGCCACGACCTGCGGTCCTTGTGGCCCTTGTCGACTGGGGCCCTCTGTTTGAATTTCCCGTCCTCTCTTCTGCGATGGCGGGCCACCCGGTTCTGAACCCCGGCCGCCTGGTAGCGTGCTGCTAATTATCGTCGCGCAGCTTTCGCGGATACAAAACGGCTCTACATCCCAGACCCGCTCCCGCGCAAGCTGTAGGTCCAACTCACTCCGGTCTTTACCTTCTTCAATACGCTCCTTCTGCGAGTTGCTTCTTTTCTGCGAGTTTTACGTCATATCTGTTTAATTCTAGCCATCACACAAACCTTTTGCAGACATGTCTCTCCCAGAAGCTTACCAACTTGAGATTCAAGCTCTCAACAAGCAGGTTCTGCAAACCTGTCCTTCCGATATCTTGCAGTTCTGCGCCGACTTCTTCAACTCGCGGCTAGCGACCGAACGAGCAGCGAGCATTTCCCTCTTCCGCGACCGAGGCACCCCGTCGCCGAGATTCCCTCCATCGCCCACCAATCCTCACTTTGGCATGATGTCTAGTCAATTCTCGAGCCCCTTTGGGGCCAACGCCAACCCCTTTGGCGGCAGCTCATCAAACCCCAATCCTTTTGGCGGCAGCGCATCACCAATGTCATCCAGCGTGATGCACCGCGTCGTTGAGGAGGACGAGAGCGATAACCACTTGGCTCCCGGTGGCTCCCTGTTTTCAGGAGCTTTTGGGGGCGACGCATCTACCGAGGCTCCACCTACTTTGAGAGCCCCCCCTACCACCGATAGCTACCCGGCCCAGTATAACTTTTCACGTCGGACATCCGTTTCAGCGGAATCCCTGAAGCCAAGTGCCGATGGCTTCGATAACTGGACCCCTCCGTATACCGACAAGACTCCCGAACAGGTTGAGCGACTCAAATATGCCATTGAAGGAAACTTCCTCTTCAGCCACTTGGACGATGAACAGAGCGCACAGATTCTGGGAGCTCTTGTAGAGAAGCCTATCCCTGCCAGAGGCATCAAGGTAAGAAGAGAAGAGAGGAGAGCCTCCAGAGAGATGATTACTTGGTAGTGAACGATCAACTAACAGCGTGACAATAGGTCATTAGCCAAGGTGATGCTGGCGACTACTTCTACGTTGTTGAGCGGGGCTCATTTGATGTCTACGTCAACGACTGTGGTTTTATTGAGCCTGGCCCTGATGGACTGGGCAACAAAGTCGGCACCATCCAAGCCGGCGGCTCATTTGGCGAACTTGCTCTCATGTACAACGCACCCCGCGCGGCCACCATTATCTCAGCTGAAGGAAGCTGCACGCTATGGGCCTTGGACCGAGTGACATTCCGCCGTATCCTCATGGAGTCAACCTTTGCTCGCAGACGGATGTACGAAAACTTCTTGGAAGAAGTGCCCATCCTTTCCTCGCTCACTCCCTATGAGCGTTCCAAGATCTCAGATGCCCTCGAGACGCAAAAGTTTGCACCAGGAGACGTCATTATCCACGAAGGTGATCCTGGCCACTCCTTCTATCTGCTTGAGAGCGGAGAGGCAGCTGCATTCAAGGGAGAGGAACAGGTTCTGAGCTACAAGAAGGGTGATTTCTTTGGTGAGCTGGCGCTGCTCAACGATGCCCCTCGAGCCGCTAGTGTCATCGCTACGTCGGACGTCAAGGTAGCAACGCTAGGAAAGAACGCGTTCCAACGACTCCTGGGCCCTGTCGAAGGCCTCCTGCGAAGGACAAGATATCTAGGCGTCAAGACTGGCGTTGAAGAGATGGATCCCCTGCACACTCAGTAACTGCCGACCGACGAGCGAGCAGCATCCTGATGTGGTACGCGTGTATTGATTCAAGGAGTATGATTTGTGCAATGGGCATAAGTTGAAGTGGCGGTGATGACGCTAGCGGTTCAAGACGCAGGATATCATTCTGGACACGAAAACAAAAAGGTATTGAGCATAGATAGGCTCCACAGATCGGTTCTAAGGGAGTGACAGGAGCGGATTGAGGCATTGGTTAAAACGGTTGCATTTTGATTTTTTTTTTAACATGGCCGATTGCGAAATCGTGCAAACGACTGCTCGCTTTATCGGAAACCAACTGTAATGGGCGCGGCTTACCGGCGTTTTTCGGGATACTACTTTTGCTTTTATTTTCCTTTATTGTCCTATTATCTCCACCCTCACTTTTTCTTTACCCTTTGAGAGGAAATATGTCTATTTGAACAGATGCCTTGTTTGATACCGTTATCAATGCGACTATTATCTCCTGAGGGCTGACTGGGGTTGAAACACTCATTCTAATACTGCTGTAATTCTCTTTTTCCTCTCTCTCTCTTACTTTCATTATTTGTTACAGGAAAGGAATATAGTGTAATTCATACGAAGATGTCAGTGTATTATTTTATTTTATGCTTATAACTAGTCAAGGTGATGTATACGCCAGTAGTGCTCCTGTGTGTATTGTAGTCCCATATATGCTCTGTAATTATGTGTTGACCATTTTCCACAATCTTTGAAGAGACAGAAAGAATGCAATAGCTGAAAAACAAAAAAGGAAGAGACAAAAAGAAAAGGGAAAATAGAACAAAGTAATTGGGAATGCTTATTTCCCCTCTTATTGTGTAGGATTTTCGGCAGCATTGGCCTTGTTCCTCAGCTCTTGTCGGATCTGTTCCTTGAGCTCCTGGACGGCGATTTCAGTCTCGAGAACCCTGCCCACGCCGACGCGCCAGTTCTGCTCCAGCCCTTGCATCTCGGCTTTGACGTCGGTTTGGCGAGACGCGCGCGCGGCATTGACGAGATCAATGTCGCGTTTGGTGTCCGCCAGGTCGCGCTCGAGGCTGCGCAGCTGGTCCTCGAGGTGGTAGTTTGAGAGGAGCCAGGCGTTGCGGCCGTGGGCGTCGAGGAGCGTGAGGTTCTGGGCGCGGGAGGAGAGGTAGGAGGAGGAGACGAAGGCGTTTGATAGGGGGGTTCTTAGCGCGTCGACGTTTGTGGGTGATGATTTTGATTTTGCGGGAATGTCTTGGGCTTCGTAGCGGGAGAGGTCGAGGATCTGGGAGGGTTGTTTGGAGGCGAGGCGGGTGAATTCGGCGGTGATGGCGGGTGAGAAGGAGGGTTCTCGTTCTTTGGCGGATGAGGAGGAGGATTCGGGGGGAGGGGAAAAGGTTTGTTGTTCGGCGGAGATGAGGGCGTGGGCGGCGGAGAGGGCTTGGGGGGTCGGTTCGGGGTCGATGTCTGTGAGAGAGGAGGGTGTTAGCTTCTTCTGTTTTGATTGATGGGAGGGTTTTTTTTTGGGGGGAGGGCGTACATGGGAGGGATTCGTGGTAGGCTGGGACGGCCATTGTTGCTTGTTTGTTTATTTTGTGTTATATTCTTTGAATTGCGGTAGTTTTAAGGGGGTATAGGTGTGTGATTTTGGACGATTGGGTGAGTTGTTGCGAATGGTTGTCGTGGATGATGACGAGGCTGAGGAATTTCGCGATTGTAGCTATCTCGGGGGTTTTTTTTTTTGGAGATTTTGAAAAGGACTTGCGCAACGATGAATAAAAATTAGTAATTTCGTAAGATCGGACGTAGTCTGAGCTTCTTGTAATCTTCGTTTGAATTGCTTCAGCTATGGGTCATTTAATTGAACAAAGTCGTCATTCGATTGCAAATGGAGGTGATGGCTTGGAAGGAAAATGGCCAAGTCTAGAGATTTCGCGACCAGCTTGGAACTACGGGCACGTGTTTTCTGTAACGCAAGGCTGAGAGGTTCTGGGGCTGCTTATCTAATGGCTGCAAGTCTTTATTTTCCCTCCTGCTCAGTGCACGGGCCATGTGGGCGGTCAAAGTGGATGTGGGTGGGTTCCGGGGCCCTGCGGAGTAGAAAACAGGGAGAGGAGACGTCTGTAGTTGAAAGTATTTTGGGGATTGACACCTGTTTGGCAGCAACATGTTGAACAGCGGGAAACTTTAGAGAAGGAACATGGATTTATCAACAAGTACATTGGATGGTATACACATGGAACGAAGCTCAAATAAGTGCCTAGGTATCCTGTTGAAGACTGAGAGAACCGAAAAAAAGGGCAACCTGCAATCGGCCTGCAAAAGCCATGACATCGGCTGCATTGGCCCCCCATTCTCCCTTCTCCATTCGCATCCCACTACTCCAACTTGTTCCGGCCAGCTTCCTTATCCATCCAATTAGCCCTCGCCGTCATCCATTGATATACATGCATATTACTACTTCGTATAGTATACCCAGCACAAGTGCTGCAACCCTCACGAGTGCTGTCATTTCAAGTTGCCGAGCGCTGCTCTGCGCAGACAAGCAGAATCCCACGGTGTAATCGGTGCGGAGCGCTGTAGGTGCGCCTGCTAAGTAGCTAGCATGATTGCGACTGCCGATACCTCCCCCATTCATCTGTCGATCTGCAGCGTCTCTCCTGGGGCTATTTTGGAAGTGGGATTTAGCCCGAGCGGGGTTGCGCGGTCGCATCGGCGGCCACCGACACGGTGAGTTTCTGGGGGGTCGAGAACTTGTCTCGTTCTGACCATGGCTCGAGGGGGGAAGAGAGGATTAGCTTGTAGCGTATTGCCCTGAAACTGTTGGCGCCGGAAGGCTTGGGAAAACATGCCACCATTCTATTTCTGAGTCACTGTGGTGTTTGAAGATTCTCAATCATGTATAGCACACGGTCATCACAATAAAGAGAGGATTCGTGTTAAAATGTTACACGGGCTAGTATTGGTTCTATAGTAGAGCCGGAGCCTCCATATGGTTTCGCGATGAAAGAACAGAAAAAATGAAAAAATAGATATTATACAGTAATACACTTTGTCCCGCCGCTCTAGAAGCAAAGAAGGCGGGGATGCATCATAAGTTGTGGCCTCAGATGAGCGCTGCCATGTCCGGTTTCCATGGATATCAAATCCCCTGCTCCGTTCCTTTTGGAGACAAAAGGAAATGATAAAAAAAAAGAAGAAAGAAAATGGTCCCATAGCTAAAAGTAAATATAAATCATCATCATTTCCATGGTAAAAATGCAGGGACATTAGACGCTTCCAGGATAGGATATGCATATCAGCGTCACTCTCTGGGCGGGCGAGAGGTGTTCTCGCTTAGACGGAGTGGACGCTCTCGGTGGAGTCGGTCTTGGAGAGGTCATCTCCATTCTCCTCATCAATGGGTCCGTGGAGAGACTCGTCGTAGAGGGGGTCCATTTCATTCACTTCAAACTTGGTCTTGAAGTCGGAGAGGTTATGGTGGGAAAAGCTGTTGGAGCGGCGACGAGCGTTGGTGAAGCGGAAGTTTTCATCAACAACTTCCTCGCCCACGCTTCCCCTGTTGGAAGATGTTGTGTAAGTCAAAAGTGAGACATGATGAGATGTAGTTGTAAACACGTAGACGTGTGATGATGGGAAGAAACAATACGTACCAGTTGCCTTTGCCATTGCCGTCCTTCTTCACCTTCTTGGGATCAACGTCGACGTAGCCGCTCTTGGCAAAGAAGCGAGGCAGCTGTTCTGTTGGCGAGACGCTGCCATCAGCGAGGCCCTTGTGGTCACGTTCGCCGTACTTGTGAGAGCGAGTCACTGTTACAGGGCGTCAGGTTAGTTGTCTTTTCATCCTTCCGGCAAAAATGGGTAATATCAAGGGCATCACTGGGGAATGGCATGGGCTAAAGGCTGACTCTTTGAATGGTGTTATGGAAACTATCAGATGTTTGATGGCAGGATGAAAGGAAAAGCCAACAGGTGATGGACGTTTCTTATCGTGTGTGCAGTGCAATTGTATACGATACGTGAGGATATGAGAGGGGCGAAACAGGATGATGAAAGGAGGAAGACTCTCGACTGCAACACCGAAGAGAGTACGTGATACAGATGCGGGGGTGCGTAGCTGCAGCTGGGCAAACTTACTTTTGATGGATGGACTGGTGGGAGGCGACAAGACGAGGGCTAGGCGCAGAAGGGGTAAGACGGAAGCAGTTGCGGGGGGAGGCTTTTGGCGATGAATTGGCCGCTGGTTGGTAGGAAGGGAGACAAAGTTGGAGTAAGGTGAGGAGGCGTTTGCCGGAACAGGGTGCCAGTGGCTTTTGCTGTGTGGGAGGCCCTTTTTATTCCCTCTGCTAACGTGTGTGTGTGTGTATACGCGGCGGTGGCTGGTTCTGGGGATGTAGATTGGATGGAACCTGGCGAGTTGAATTGGATCGAAGATGCTGGCTTTGCTGGATTGGGTCGGATTGGGATGAAGTTGTGTGTGTGGAAGAGATGTGAGAGATGTGAGAGATGTGAGAGATGTGAGAGACGAAGAGATGAAGTTGTCCAAGGTGAAGAACAAGATGGAAAGGAAGTCGGGAGCTGGGCAGCTTGGGCTTTTGTAGCAGTCGATGGTTATATCACAGGGTGTCACGCGAGACGTTGGGGGGTGGCGCCAATGGATGGGCGAGGAGCGGCGGGCCAATGGCCAATGGCGTAGGCAGGCAGAAATGCAACGGTGAAGGAGCAGCAGTCAATCAGTGAGTGAATTGGCCCAATTGCCATGGCAGCGGCAGCAGCACTCAATCAGGGCCGCGTCCAAGCTTCCACGGGGGCAGTGAATAACGTCCTGGACCAGCATCGACCCGTTACTTGCGTCGTTTGAGGGGGCAAGGGGGTGCATCCATGCATGCAGCTTGAGATGAATTGGAGCAGTGCCAGTAGCGTCTAGCAGTACCCGCAGCTTGACGCTGTTTTGCCGCTGCAGCATTCAATTGCATGTACTCCGTGCGTCGACGTTGCCGCGTGCGTTGTTGCCCAGAACATCCAGTGGTGGCTCAATAGCATCATATATCGCGTGACCTGACGCAACAGACGCTACAACTGGCCCCATCCGCGATCAGAGTCATCAGTTTGGGCCGGTGGGTTTCGGCACAGTGCGCAGCAGCAGCTCCTTTTCTCATCTCTCTCTTTCTGTACATGCAGTACATGCAGTACATGCAATCAACTGTTGCATCCTGCTGCGTTTGCGTCCTGATTCCTGTTTTTTATATCAATTCCAATTGACGCGCTGCTGCCCAATTGACTTTGCCAGGTGCTCAACTGCCCTGCTTGCGGCCGCTGGACCCTCTGCCTAGCCCCGTTTACCCCAGACTTTAGTGACGCCTTGGAGTGGGCATGTTTGTGCTCGGTACCTGGGTACGCCGCGGCCGGCAGCGCATCCACCGCGCGGCGGGGTACGGTGTACATGCACAGCCAGAAATGCTCCGTGCTAGCGCACAACACCAGACAAGAATTATGGGGAGCGTGCAGCGCCGTATTCCGGAGCACAGCAGCTTGGTTGACTCTGTTGTGATTCGGGGCCCAAGGGTCTGGGCCTCCCGCAGGAAATAGAGGCTCTCGGCGGCAGCTTTTGTTGAGCTGCTGGGCTCGTCTTTGCACGGAGCGCCGGTGGTGGAGCGTCCGTGGCGAAAAGGCTCAGCCGAGCGCTTCCGTGTCCGGACGGTCGAGCCAAGTGGCCAAATCGCTAGCTGAGTTGAGTTGCGCTGACCCGCATGCAAGGCCCGCCGCCGAATTGCGAAAGATTGCACCAGTTGCTCACCTTGTTACTCGATTCGGAGTCATCGTCGCGGACTTGGAGCAGCAGCAAGGACAATATTGGCGAGTTGCCTGAGACGCAGCTGCCGATGTCGCTGGCAATGAGGCAATACGGGGTCAATCCAGTCCAGTATCGTCGAGGAAATAGGCAGCATCTCGGCGCTGTCCTAGCCCAATTGCTATAGCACTACTTGGTAGTATTCGTCACGCTAGGAGGCATATCAAGAGAAACGACCTCAGAACTGCGCATCAAAACGACTCAGGCCTGGCACATGACTGGAGCTGCAGAATAGGGGTCCAGGAAGTGTCTCGGCCAAGGCTCCAGCGATTGACGCGAGACATGCCCCCTTGGGAACGCTCAACTTGGCTCAAGAGAAGCTGCCATCGTCATCAGCCATTCGCAAGTATGTCGTCGTCAATGTCGAACCTTGAAATGCCCTGCACATCAAATACCGGCATACTCCGCAGGGTCGTAGATGCTGGTGAGTCTATCGAACCTCTTCTGGACTATAGCTTTTCCCACTACCTATCTAGTAGTATTGGTTTTGCGATGATGTCCTTAGATTATTCCTAAAAGCAAGGCGTATTGAGCTGCATTCCCCGTTGGATCGCCGAGAAGAAATAGCTTAGGAGAAGTGTGCATTCCAATTCGTGATTTCAGTTTGGTCAACCACCTTGATGACACCTCGAATTGGTTCGTCAACTTGGATTGATCCAATCTAAAAGGCTTCCGCAAGGTTTTGTTCAAGATGATTGCAGAATATAAGAATAGCTAAATGCAGCTATAGAAGTTGCTAATGTAAGGCTAAAGCGGAATATTTAAACAATGTCCAATACTTTGATGTGTTATGTGCCAAACCAAACTTTTGTGCTGAGTCAGTAAATGACATGAGGAAAAGAAAGAGCGAAGAAACAACCTTTATCGCGTGCAGATATAAACTACCGTAGCCGTGGTTAATGCTGTCGGTTTTGTCGGTTTTGTCGGCCTCGGTTTTCTCGATTTTGTCGGCGATATCAAGATTATGTCAAGAAGAGAGAAGAAAAGACACGATAAGATGTTGCGCCAATATATGTCCAAGATCTCTCCTTAATCCGACGTTTGGATCGTGTACCACGAATGTTATCTTCTTCTCGTCATCTCCACAGACTTGACAAGCGAGCAGCTGTGATATAGACCGACGCGATTTCTTCCACTACCGGCCGTTTACCGTAGCCGGTGTTATCAAGGGTATGCTAACCACAGCCAACAATCTCATTGCAGCGATATAAGTATACATGCACCTAAAAGAAATATTAAGTTGTAGCAAAGGCATCCTAGATCATGTCTTGGCCTCAATCAAGTCATGGTACTCTCCCGCGTACCTGCATTTACAGATATGCAACTATAGTACATGTATCATATTACAAACAGCTCCAATAAGAAAAAGAACAGTATATTAAAAAAAAAAAAAAAAAAAAAAAAAAAACCGTTCTTCTCACTTGATACATAAATACCTACCTTACCAACAACAAGGATTGGTTGAAAAGTGTTCAGCAGCGTAGGCCAATAGTCCTGGAAATGACCCGAGGAGCTTGTAAAAGCTCGCCCACCTCACCATTGCAGATTCTCATGTACTACTTCCATAGGAGCGGGATGTCGCCTCTGCAGCTGTGATGAGAAAGTTAAGCATTAAACCGTTCGCTTTATTCGCTTTATTCGCTATATTACGTGGCCTGCTGCTAATAACTTTTCTAGGCGGCAGTGCAAGTTGACAGTGTAATCCTTCGGACAACCATACAACTCTCGCCCCGCAAATTTGGCTGCACGTGGAGCGTTCCTTCAGCAGTACTTAAAAGGGAAGATGCTTCAACTCTTCAGGTGTAGCACTTACACCATTATCCTAACACGTACAGACACAGCTTGTCAAACTTTATTTACTCTGGTAAGCTATACCGATGCCCTTATTCGAATCCCCTGAGCTAGATGCAGAGAAAGAGGGGCAGTCATACGACGCTGGTTTACACTTACACTTATACTTACACTTACACGCTTACTTACATGTACTTGTCTCACAGAATCGCCCGCGTTCTTAATCTCCAAACACTTCCAAGACACAGCCTTTCAAAATGGACCCATCTCCGGAACAAGTTGCTGCCATGGTCGCAAAATATCCATCGCTGAAAAAAGTCGTTGAGTCAGGCATCGCGGTAATTACAAGTTGAGAATAAAGTTAAAATGTGGATTCACTTCTAATTGCTCTCTTCATCAGACCGACGACGGCCGCGAAGAGAAACTGCTCTCTTTCATCCTTTCTCATCCTGACCTAGAAACAATGAGAGGATCTCCGTCCAAGATTCTCGCCGCCATGGATGAATTCTCCGGCAAGCACGACTTCCTCATCAACATTGGTGACAACAAGGCCAAGATTCTGTATGACCTGCTCAACGAGGAGAAGCCGCAGACGCTCGTCGAACTAGGCGGCTATGTTGGATACTCTGCTATCCATTTCGCAGACACCATGCGCCGTTACAGCAAGCCAGACGCACAGCCCCGCGTTTTCAGCCTGGAGATGAAGGCTGAATTTTCCGCCATTTCCAGGCAGCTGATTGAGCTTGCAGGGCTTTCGGATATCGTCACCGTCGTTACCGGCCCTGCAGAGGAATCGATTCGGAAGCTGCACAAGGAAGGCACCTTGTCGAATATTGACTTTTTATTCCTTGACCATGTCGAGTCCCTGTATACCCCTGACTTCAAGGCTTGTGAAGAACTTGGACTCCTCAAAAAGGGCGCAGTGATCACGGCCGATAATGTTGTGAGACCAGGCGCGCCCGAGTATCGCGAATTTGTCAGGAATCATGCCAGATTGCAGAGCACTGGAGTCAAGGCGCTGATTCAGCCTGGAGATATTGATGTAAGTACAAGTAAAATGCTTACTGTTCGGCTGGATTGACCGCTAATCTGTGCAAAGGACGAAATGGAAATCAGCCATGTGATCAACTAGAGTTGGCTGCTACTCTATTGCCCACAGATTTGAAGAGTTGAAGATTATAACGAGGATATTTCATGCTTGTATCTGCAATGTAATATCGATATGCCTATACGGCTTTCCCTTTGGCCATTAATATCACCTTGACGATGATGGCAATGTATCTTAAGATTGTACTCCCCTCAAGCTTTATTTGTATACGTGTTTTGCTTCATAAAAACTGCGCATGGCTGTAGCTACTTAAAATAAGAAAAAGCAATCATTTGATGAATCTATAAGCGAAGAACATCACAGTCAGTCTTGTATATCGTATTCTGCATAATCACTCGCTGACACTTGCCCCTCATTCAGCTCTGCCCCTTGTTCTCCACAAGCTACCTGTATGTTAAACTGGATTCAGCTAGATTACCGAGCAAGAATGAGCCAGAAAAGAGTTTGACGGCTTGATGAGTGGAACAATTGGCGCATCTGTTGACTTCAGGAGGGGCTAGTACAGCCAACTTGATTTGGAGAATTGTTACTCTTCTATTCATGCCTTGAACATACCTAAAGTTTCACTATATCTACGCAGTACTACTCACTTTATTCACTCAAACTTTATCCAGATGTCAGCTGTAAAGACCACAAGCCAACCGTATGTCGATTCACAAGCAACACGAGATTCGTGATATTGGTATTAATGGCTGTAGTTCATAGACGTGCTTTACGATAGTAAATATAGGCACCAACAGCGGCATAGGCGTAGGTACAGTAGAAAAAAAAAATTATATAGAACAACAAAAAAAATTATCACTTCGAAAGCAAAAAGAAAGTTGAGCGACACCTGCAGGATTCGAACCTGCGCGTGCGAACACAATGCCTATGATACCAATTGATAGCAGGGCATCGCCTTAACCACTCGGCCAAAGTGTCTTATCATTTCTTATCAATCTGGGCCACTAACTACAACTATATTCTAAATTGCACTCTGCTAGCCATTTTCGAGATGGGGCGGTATCGTTTTCTGCACGCACAGCTTATAAGAGGTAACAAAGCAGCAACCAATCAGAAGACACTTTGGCCGAGTGGTTAAGGCGATGCCCTGCTATCAATTGGTATCATAGGCATTGTGTTCGCACGCGCAGGTTCGAATCCTGCAGGTGTCGCTCAACTTTCTTTTTTTGCTTTTTATTGTCACTCTTGAAGTTGTATGCTTCTTCCTTCTTTTTATTCGAGAAGCCTACTGGTCGGTATTTAACAGCGGGGAAAGTAGTGTTGTGCTGGCTTGTATTGACTCAATACCGTTGGCGTTCATTAAAGAAATGCTAAACGTCAACTCATAGCCTACAGGTGGCCTTTATAAACATACGCAAAGGAAGCATATATGTTATAGCACTCGATAATTATCAGCTCAGTCTGTCTAAAAAAAAGCAAATAGCCAATTATTCTATTTTGTTTTTATGCATAAAGCTCCGTGTCGACGACGCCACCAGCAGCCAGCTCCCAATCTTGTCAGCAAATAATAAACACAAAAGAGAAAATAAAGATATTCTCGCTGCCAATGACCCCTTGTCGAGCTCAGCCCCCTCTCGAGCTATGTTGAATCCTGACTTTCTACACAATAATACTAAATTGTAAACACACGCGAATCATTAATATGTAACCCTAGATTTCGCTCTTTTTCACTTCCGGTCCCCCCCCCTCTAGGTCGTCATTATTTGCCTCCTATCGCGCCCCCATCTTGGAGAACTCATTCTGGAATCGCAGCTTGAAACCGTTACACAGGGCTCGCATATCGGGGTATTGGTATCCCCTAAGCTCGAAACCCTGGGGAATGGTCCGTACTGGCAGGCCGATCACGCGGGCTGTTTTGCTCGCCTTAAAGCAAAGCCAAAAGTATCCGGGATGCTTGGTGTCGATGCAGAAGGCGTACGCAGATCGGTTGGGATTGGCATCCACGTATGTAATAAGCCATTTTTCTGCGTCAATGTTAGAATGCTGCTCATTCGAGAGAAACGGAGAAAAGTCAGCTAATAAGAGGTGAAGAGTAACTTACCAGTCTCGTTACGCGATCTATTTTGGTACTTGTCGTGTCTCATCATCTCCTCGACTTTTTTGGCCATGGCCTTAACATGGTCCACAATCAACTCGTCCAGATCACTGTAAGTATATTTGCCACCTATCCGGAGAAGTTTGCCGACGGAGAATTCTGTATCCTTCTGCATCTCCAAGACATCAATGTGTTGGTAGACGCCATCGGCAACCTTCCAGGTAATGGCCAAATGGTCATTACCCTTTGAAGAGGGTCGAATGATGACCTCGCCAGGAGGCTGCGATCCAAGAAATTCCTCTGCTTGAATTGAGTTGTAAGGTTTGAAGTTGGGGTGCTTGACAACTCGTTGTGTCCTGCCCGTGGTTTTGTCTTTCTCACGGAGCTCTTCTTTATCGGCAGCCTCGAGGGCGTAGTCCCAGCCGTCACGACCAAAGTTGATGGGAGGCTTGTACGGTATCCGCAGAGACTCTTCTCTCATGGAGAGCTTAGCCAGGAAATCCTTGTAATTCATCTCGAGAATCTTGGCTTGTACCGTTTGCCCAGAGCTAAGTACGTCCTTGACAGACGATCGGTTCGATACTTCATGGCCTTCTATCCTGCCTTCGATGCCACAGTCTAGCTTCACGATGGCAAAGTCGTCTCTGACCATGCGCACCATAACGGGAACAATCATGCCCTCACAGAGAGTTGATTTGGTTTCGCCTGTAAACATGGTGAAAATGTCAGAAGGCGTGAGCAGCGCGAAGCTCCTGCGCAGTTCTTCATATGGAGCTTGCAATTCTGCACTAATGGCCTCGAGAGTGGCTCGTTTGCGTTGGCTAAAGTTCCTCTGCAGCTGGTCGGCATACTCGTCAAGCACCAGTTCGTTAACTCTCTCCTGCTCGTCTTGCTTGAAGAGTTTTCGCACGATGGCACCAGGTCCATTCTCATCAGTTTCGGCCTTGACATCTTCTTCGTCCAGTTCAAGCGCATCTGCCGCCATCTTGCGACCCAGCTCGTAATCCTCTGGGTGAACACGAGTGTTGTCCAGAGGATCTGATGAGGGATTGGTTGCGTCGTACTCAATGTACAGGAAACTGGCGCAATTGTTCCAGACGCGTGGTCCTACGACAGGAAGCTTTCCGCTATCGGGATCGCCAACCAGTTCGTCTCTTGTGTTGACCACACCTCCGTTTGCATTAATAGTCTTGATGACGCTGGTGGCTTTTCGCGGTCCTAAACCTGCAACATAAGGGAGGAGGTTGGCTGTGTATGAGTCGGTCATGGCCTCATTGATATTGACTCCGACCATGTTGACAGTATCAACCATGGCGGACTCCAGATATTTCATCAGCTTGTCTGGAGGGAGAAGGTTCTGGCATGGGTGGAATGAAAGAGAAGCCACATCTTTGTTCAACGCAGCGTACTCTTTCATGGGGTTTTGCAGATATCGTGCCAAAGCAATACAGTATCTTGTGATGGGGTTTAGCGAAGGATGCTCGGCTATCGCACGGGGGCTATCCTTGTAAAGGCGTGCGACTTCATCCTCCACAACAATGACTTCAAGGAGCTCGGTGCGGTAATCATTTGTCTCCGGATCTTCAAACTCTGCTCCCATGAGGCTCTTCTCGCTCACTAGGCCTTCCAAGTCACGTACGAGCTTCTGTGTATCGGACGACCAACCGCCAACACCAATGACATCGGGGCGCCGTCGCCGTACGAGCTCGACAAAATTTTCACGCTGAGTCTCGTCTCTACCAAGATTGCCAAATTTGCCTTGTTCGAGCACACGTCCTTCTTCCTCTACCCAAGCCCAGCACACAGGGTCGCGAGTGGGATCACCACCTCCATTAGACAACACCAGGACTCGGGGAGTGGTGCCTAGGATCATCCCCTTGGGCTTGTAAGGAGCTTGATCCAGCTTGCGGTAGAACTCTTGTCGACACATCTTAAGAACTTCGTCTTGGCAAAACGTTCGAATAACTTCTTTGATGTTTTTGGCCACAATTTTTTCCAGCTTAGGATAGGCGAGATCCAATACCTTTTTGCGCTCCTCTCGCCACTGCTCCGCCCGATCGCTAAAGTTTTCTGATTCAAACTCTTGGTAAAGTTGTCTCCGGAAGTCGTAGCGTGAAGGCATCTCCAGCTTGATTTCCACCAGGCCTTCCTCCTCTGCGCGCATCATCTTGAGGAACACTTCAGGCTGGTGCACCAGATCGGCAATCGCTTGGTTTTGTATGTACTTGACTTCGTAGTAAGGATGCGTATCGTCAATCTTTCGCAAGCCCTTGTCTGTTCGGCGGCAGCTTAGTTCTGCTGCCTGGTAAAATGAGGCTCTCAGATACTTGCGCATCCGGGGGCTAGCAAAGAGCTCTTCGGCATACATCTGGCGAGCAGCATTCATGACTTGATCACCGGTGTTAAAGCTGTCGTCAAGAAGGGTGTCGGCAAGATCCATCGGGTACTGCTCATTGTCATCAGGCGCAACTTTTCTGCCCTGGCGGAGAGCATTCTTGGCTAGCTGATCTGCAGTAATTCCGTAGGCCTTGACAAAATAATAGGCCTTGCCATTGCGAACACGGTCGAGCAGGGAAGATTTTGAACCCGGACGCTTCGTTAGCGATATGTTTCCAGCCAGGGTGGCCAGATCCTTTAGCTTATTGGCGTATTGGAATTGCAAATAGTCTTGCAGATCCTGAATCTCTTCCATGGTGGTGGCTTCCGGAATCATTTCTTCGACCATGCTGTCTTGGACGTCCATCGATTTGAGGTTTTCAAATGATTTCTCGAGTGAGTTTCTCTTCTCCACAAACGAACGGAATTTGATATCCAGCTCTAGGATTCTCCATAAGTCATCCTGGTTCAAGAGCTTATCCGACTGAATTGTGTAATCAGGACCATCAGGGTCGTCCCTGGTCGATTTGCGAATTTTCTTGGAGTGTAGGAGGTAGTCTTTTCGGTGCTGAAACACAAATGGAACCTCCACTTCGTCGACAATGAAAAACTCGAGTACTTTGCTAACAGCTTTGCCAAAAGGGGCCTGGAGTTCCTGGACCAAGCCCTTCTTCGGCCAAAGCTGGTTGGTGATCCATCGAGCTTCCTCCTTGAACTGCTCTGCTGTCAACTGTAGGTTCTTGAATGATTTACGATCCAGTTGGAAGCGTTCGGGCTCGTCGGTAAATCGAATCTCGTTATCCTCGTCGGTGAGCAGCTTTTCTTTAAGCTGTGAAGGCTCAAAGACATCCTTGAGTTCAATGCCTTGCTCCTCTCGCTCTCTGTCCTCTTCCTCTTCTTCCATCTGAAGCGCCCAGTCGTAATCTTCGCCATTACCGAAAATAGCTTCCATATCATCCAGGGCATCTTTGTCCAGTCCTGTCGTGTCAACAACTCCTCCAACACCACGGTCTCTGGGGCGGGCGACCTCAGCATCTTCCTGTTGGCGTATGCGCTCATCCTCATCTTCGGGATAGTCTTCCTCTATGAAGTCGTCGAATTCGTCTACTTGGGAGCGGAAGCCGGGTCGACCGTATGAACGCTGTTCTCCAGCGTCCTCGTCTTCGTCGGCGAAGATTTCTTCCAGCCCTCGCTTTTCGTGGGCTCCATCGTCTTCATCTCGGTGGCCACGTTTAAGGCGCTTGAACTTGGACTAAATATGACGTGTTAGAAGAAGAAGAAAAATCCACTCCGTAAAACGCGAGCAGTGAGAGACTGACTGGAGCCTGGGGCTTTGGTTGTTCACCAAATTGCTCGCCAATTAGTTCTAGATCTTCCTCATCAAGTGCCTCTTCCTCCTCGCGGTTCCGATGCTCTCGCTTTCTCTTAATCGGTCGGCTTTCGACATCGGACTCCGCTTCTTCCTCTTCTTCGTCCTCATCGACAATGAAGCCCTCGCGGATCTAAGAACAGTTGAGCGTGTCAGTAGGCAGCCGTATCATGAGTCAAAAGCACCTCGAGATACCTTGCGAGCTTCTTCCTCGTCGTCATCATCTTCTTCCTCTTCGCTGGAGTCGTCGACGTGAGCAGTAGGTCTCTTTCGGCGCTCTCGGCCAGTTTCTTCGTCAAAAGATTCGTCATCTTCGTCGTCGTCCAACTCGGCCTCCCCCGAAATCAGATCGCGCATAGTAGAGCTCATCTTGCCGGTACCTAACGCTATCGCGTGGTGTGGATGTCACAGGGTGAATCGAAGGGCTCGCGACCGAATTCTGCGCGGATAACGCAATTCAGCCAATTGTTGGGGAGATTTTCGATGATTTCAGAAAGAATGACTTGGTTCCCACGACGACGATTAGAGAGCTAGATGAGGCTAGCTGGCTCCTCTCCTGAGAAGTTCTTTATGAATTTTTGAGCAGTCTCGGCAATAGCCTTCAGCCTCGTGTCGCGTGTGGCAGGGGTAGCATGGAACTTTATTTACCCGAGTTCTGTGCTTACGTAAGTGGGCAAGCTCTTGCACCGCCCAAGTGACTTGTGTATCAACGCCACAAATTGGGTGCAGTGGAAATAACTGGAGAGCGCCATTGGTTTGATTATAAGATTTTTAAAAATCCATTCCCTTGCTTGTCATAGTACATGAAGTTAATATTCCGTTTCCGAGCTTGGATTGACTTTTAACCCATTTGTTTACATCTTTTGGCTGCAGTCTCTGCAAGTGTCTTTGGTCCGCCCTTAGTGGTGGTAGCAGCAAAGCTGAAATGTCGATGCTAATGACCACATAGACTACTCCCCGCTCTGCATATTCGGAAAACGGCAGATACTGCAGCTCGCTCTAGCCTCAAGATCGGACCTCAGCTCTGGATGCTACAGCCAGTGTGGAGTCGCAGGCATACGAAGCACAAGGCTCTAGCACGACATGTAGGCAATAACGCTGGCCCCGCAAATGGCGGGTGCCGGAGACTTTAATTAGAAGACGGATTGCAGCCCCTCACTAACACCAGCTGCCAATGTTTGGAACGCTTTGGAAGGCCATGCAAAAGTTTCGACAGGCTGCAAAACAATTTGTTTCCATCATCTAAGGAATCTGGGAGAATTCGTACATGAGGTGGGGTGCTATAGAATTCGATTTTGAGCCAAAAAGCTCACTGCTAAGAGACGTTTTTGTTGCCTTTGACACAACTGTTCAGCAACGAGTACAATCCTACACAAGGGATATAAACAGCGCCTTGCACACCAGCGGCATAGGTAATTGGCTATCTATGACACTTGGCACGACGAGTAATTCTTCTGGAAGCCAATATGATTTATCACAGACGAGAAACTTGCACCAATCACTATGTAAGCTACTGCTGTAGGCAGGTCGTTTCCAGGGTAAAGGGATCTGAAACGGCCTCTCGTAACACTACTCCATGGGGCATAACAGGGAGATGTCCAAACAGGCAACGCTTATGGGCGATGAGACGTTATCTGTGCTTCTGGACTGGCCTTCTATGGGCACTGGAGCATATAGTCAGGGCTCTTCATAGTATGGAGATGATGATGGGCACTTCCACCTGAATCATCCCACATACGGTAGAGGCTCAGCATCGAGCGTCCAATGCCATGGATGCACGCTTGTAGAGCCAATAGCGATGCTAGATCTAGATTCGCATGATTGGCGAGGGCTGAACAGGCCCAGGAGCGATAGCACCTTAGCTGGGTTTCATCCTCCTGAGCCTCGTATATATGAAGCATCCCCCATCTTTCAAACATGTCCAAACGTGCCATTGCTCGCTAGGGTGCGCGGGAATGGCCCGAGACCCGCTGATGAACAAAGTCCCCAAGCCGTGACTCGTGTGAAGAGCTTTTGGCAATGGAGATTACTTGTAGCAATAGTGCTACGACACCACTACTGTTAGTATACGGAGCACAGAACACTTGACATGATGCATTTTGCAACAGGAGGCACAGGAGGCACAGGAGGCACAGGAGGCACAGGAGGCACAGGAGGCTGCCACAATAGGGGCGGCTGGGCTCCGGCGCCTAAATCAAGGCCTAGCAACTTAGGGGTTGGTGCTGGTGGCTCTTGGGGCGCCGAAACAGGCAACGTGCATGCTAGCCGTGCCTCGAGGTGTGAGGCCGTTAAAGACAAAAATAGAAGTCGATGCAGCATGATTGGAGAAGTTCTCCTGACGCAGGATTTCATCCAATGTTGCTGGGCTTGGAAGATTTCCAAGCGCGCGACATTTAAGAGGGCCAGAATCTCCCAGTGGCTGTCTGCTGGCCTGAGGTGCAGCGTCTTGCTCCCAAAGCCGTCCAGAGCATCACGTTATCTGAGGCCCCCCCACACGGACATTGCAGCGAGCTACTACCGCTACCTGAGAGCCACTAATTAGCCTTAACCCGACCCATAGCCAACCTCCGTCTACGCATTTCGTCTGCAGAGTACCAGCGCTCAAAGGTGCCCTCTATCTGCGGAGAACCAAGAATACACACAGAGGCATTTTCGACTTTGTTTGCCCTCTCTTTTCTTTCTTCTGGCTGCCTGCGCATCTTGGGTGGATCGGAACAGCTGGAAGTGCTCAAAGCCGACCGCCAGGGCCTTCTTCCAAGAATCTGCATCAGGCTGCATTTCCTGAGCTCCATCAGCGACCTTTCCGACAAGCATCGCCCACTTCACAGCGAAGGCTCGCACGCTGCTTGCTTCCAAGTTGAAAGAAACTTGGGATTCTACCTACTGCCTAACGATCGAGCCCGACCCAACCTTGATCGACTTTTGCTCTGCGTCCAGTGCAACGGTCGTCTCGCCGCCAATCCACCGCTTCCTCACCTGTTTGCATCTCTACCTCGCCCATCATGTCTGATCCGTTTGCACCGCGCACTATGAAGCGCAAGAACGTCAAGGGCCTCGCCCTGACGCCAGCAGCGCCGCGTCCCTCGCCGACAGCCGATACAAGTAGACGTGGCTCAGAAGTCAACAAAGACGAGGCTGGCAAAGAGGAGCAATTGGAAATTGGCATTGAGTATAAGCTCGACTTGAGACCAGAGGAGCTCGAGGTGCTGAAAGAACTCGGCTCTGGCAACGGCGGAACTGTCAGCAAAGTCAAACATCTGACGACAGGAACAGTCATGGCCCGCAAGGTTCGTTCTATTTACTGCCATCGCCCCCGAGAACCCTCTTGGGCGCCTATATCATGACCTCCAGCTAACTTGGCTTCTTTCTAGGTGATACACGTGGAAGCCAAAAAGGAGATGCGAAGACGAATCGTTCGAGAGCTCCAGATTATGCATGGATGCCACTCTGATTATATTGTCACATTTTATGGCGCCTTTTTGAATTCCAACAACGATGTGATTATGTGTATGGAGTATATGGATGTTGGGTGAGTCTCATTTATAACATAGAAGTGCGATTTAAGATTGGAAGAAGTGCGGCTGACACCAATACTCGAATAGTGCACTTGACAGGGTTTCAAGTGTCTTTGGCCCGATCCGTGTGGATGTATTGGGAAAGATTGCAGAAGCAACTTTGGGCGGTCTGACATATCTCTACGTGAAACATCATATTATGCATCGAGATATCAAGCCGTCAAACGTCCTCATCAACTCTCGCGGTTCTATCAAACTTTGTGATTTCGGTGTGTCTGGAGAGTTGGTTAACTCCATTGCCGACACCTTCGTTGGCACGTCGACATACATGGCACCCGAAAGAATCCAGGGCGAAAAGTACACTGTCAAGTCAGACGTGTGGAGTTTTGGTCTGACCATTATGGAGCTTGCTATTGGAAAATTCCCTTTCAACACAAACGAGCACATTGACGAGGATGACTCGGGTCCGGCCGGAATATTGGATCTGCTGCAGCAAATTGTCAACGAGCCGGCTCCAAAGCTCCCCAAGAGCGACGCTTTCCCCAGCATCTTGGAGGACATGATTCAGAAGTGCCTGTTCAAGGAGCCAGAAAAGCGACCTACCCCACAGGAGTTATTTGTAAGTTTTCTTCTTGATTTGTGTAATTATTTGCAACGGCTACTGACAATGTTTTTCTTTAAAGGAACGAGATCCTTTTGTTCAGGCGGCCAAGAGGACCCCGGTGGATCTCAAGGCGTGGGCTTTCAGTCTCATGGAGAAAGACAACCGCAAGTCTCATCTTGTACCCCAGATATCCCCCAGTGGTACCCAGGATCTGCTTCGATCTAGCGACTCATCGCCAAGGTCGCGCAACAACGAGGAGCCCCAGTACGGCGAAATCCCGATTGCCGGAGTCGGTATCTTCTCACCGAAAGATCGAGCGCCCATACAGGATCGATCACCCTCTCGAAATGGCGTAGCCGCCGGTCGACCTGCTCATCCGGGCCTCGGACAGCGAGGAGCCACCACCAATTCGATTCCTCAGGCCTCTTCCTCCAACGCCAACACCTTTAACCTCCCCGTCCGGCCAGCGCCGCCAACGAGCTCCTTTGCGCCACAAGGAGCACCACAAAAGCCCGTGTCGGCGGACGAAGTGCGAAGTCAGAGTCGAAGGCAGCCCAAATTTGGTCTGCCCTCCAACCCCAATCCTTCATATGGCGTATAGGATCCGCCACCATATTATTGACCTCTCTGACTTCCATGTCTCTGCATCTTCTCACCAATTCCTGCCTCAGCATCATGGCGGCGCATCTTACTTTTGATGAGACTCTCTCTTCTCTCTACGCTTTTCTCTTATTAGAGGTGCCGAATAAGGGAGAATAGCCAAGGGAAGACTCTTTGGAGTGGGCTGTGGAATCTGTGAAATAGCAATGAATTTTCACTGGAAAAATATTCTGATACACCTCATTAGGATGAAACGATAGGATTGTGTTTTATGTTATAGTGCGATGTATATGTAGCGAACACAAAGCGTTGAATCCAGCAAGAAAAATGAATTGGCAATCGAAACACAGACTGAAAAGAGGACTTTGCAGTTTAACTTTAAGTTTTGTAGTTGTCATGTCCCTTGTATGAAACAGAGTACATATTTGAATGTTAATATTAACATGTCTGTGCCTACAACAGCCAACTGACTACCAATGGGAGCTTTTTCTTTTTTTCTTCCTTTTGTATTATGCTGGGAAGCTCTTGGATCTAATATATGGATATAGGACTCGAAATCATGACTGTAAACGCCCTGGCTCTATCAGCCGCCCCTGGAAACCAGTTTCTAGTATATGAATCAACTCGTCCAGCTGGTGTATCACCAAATCTGTATTCTCGTGGTTGGCCAAGTCCCTGTTTACATCGTTGAGCAGCAGCACCGTCGCAGCGCCCGCTAATCTCCCTGCCGTCAGGTCATCAAGAGAGTCCCCAACCATGATTAGGCCGCTCGCATCCACGGCCCCGGAGCCATCTATCAGGCCCCAACTCTGAGCAATGTGTATTATGCCTGCCGGATGAGGTTTAGGAGGGCGAAAGTCCCGGGTGATGACGGGGTAGAACTGGGAAGTGGGTATAAACGTGGTGATAAGGTGCTGGACGGGGAGGTCGAAGTTGCGAGTGCAGATGGCTTTGGGAACCTGGTAGGCCTCGAGGTACGACATGAGGGTCTGGAGGCCTGGCTGGGGCGCCTGTGAGGCCATGGCCTTGCGCTCAATGGCGCGGATGGCCTCGTGGGCGGGCGGCTGTTGGTGAGGGGGCAGTTTATCAATGTGTTCGAGAATGTCCACTGATTGAGGGATTCCGAGGATGGAGCGCATTTCCCTGAACATGTATGTCTGCGGCACACTACGAGAAGATCAATCAGTAAATAATGATATAGTCTCCAGATAGAAAGATATCTTCTTTTGCATGTGCCTCTCTCTTCTATGGCTCTTCCGAATGTTAAAAATGAGGGGCACAAATTGGAGTAAGCAAGCAAGTGAGTCAGGCTCTGCGGTGGACGAGGCTTCAGACCAAGTGTCATTTTCCAGATTTCTGCCGTTTAGAGTATGCATAATCTTGATACCATCTCTTAGAGGACATATGACGAAGTATGTAAATTATATCAAATGGGAAAGAGTGGTGTTTGGTGTTCATCTTCTAAGAGGGTGGATATGGGGGGAAAAACCATATAGGGCACAACGAAACGCAAGTCAGTTACTAAAGAAAATTGCAAACCCTTTCATACCTCAACGTCCCATCCATGTCAAATACAATGCCTCTCAGCGGCGGAGCGGTATTGAAAGGTGACAAATCTGCCATTGCTCGCAAAGGAGCGAATCTTCTGGGCCCCGGAGAAGCCATGGCGGACAGAAGCCGTCGTCGGATGAAGGCGGCCAGCGTGTCGATTGGCCAACAAGAAGAGGGGAAGCGTCTGAGTGAGATGGACAGAAGAGAGAGGGCAGAGAGGCCCGAGTGACGGAAGTGCTCAGACTAGAGGCCGGCAAAGGATGGAGGAAGAGAAAGAAGCGCCAGCAGGCCGAGGCGCGCGTAAAATGGCGTGAGGAGGAGGCTTATCGTGACTGCGAGCCGCCGGGTCAGACAGTAGGGCGATGGCACTTGATCTGATCCGGGCTCCATGAAAGTGGACGGCGCCAAGATTTAGAGTGAAGATCCGTTGCCTCTGCCTTCTCGAGCATATGCAACAGGCTCAAAGAGGCCTGTCCAGACCAGCGCCGGCACCGCAGACGCATCGTTTTGATAAGAGCATAGCATCGTGGCTAGTGGTGGTGGTGGTGGTGGCGCAGCCTAGTTAACGTGCAGTAGACGCTGCAGTAGACGCTGCAGAAGCGCCCAAGACGCCTACGATGCGACCATGTGCTCGGCACTATTGCCCTTGCTACCGCGCGCGCTGCACGGCGGCGGCCTATAAGACGCGGCCAGCGCCAGATCGCCGAGCATTGCTGATTCCGCCGCCCGCGATCTGGGCCATCTGGCGTCAATCAGGACTGACAGCTACTGCTGGGACAGGGCTGGCCCACCGCTGGCCCCGCTGGAGCTGTCACTGCCGGTAGTGCCTGAGCAGCGCTCGACCAGGGCCGCCAGCAGGCGATGGCGGTGTCCCGTGCGCCATAAGCTAGCTGTGCCGTCCGTCTTGTCCTGGAGCTTGCATCCCATCTTTTTTCCCTTGCTGCTGTTGGGAGCTGCTTAGCCCGAGCCATTGTCACCCGCCCATTGCCATCCATCGTTGCCTCCAATTCCTCCAATCCTGCTTCTTTCTCACGAGCCCGCATCCCTCCCCTCACGGCGAGTCTCCGAGGAGCGGACGCGACAGCCGAGGCAGAAGCTACGACGTGCGGCCGCGGGCCTTGCTCGAGCCCACGAGAATGCTGGCCGCCCGCAGCGACGCGGCTGACGCAACTTCCACGACCCGGTCGAGATGAGCAGCTCCAACGGCAGCAGCTCCTCGACGCCGCCGCCATGGCCGCCCTCCCGGCCCTCCAAGAGGAGCGTACGTGATGGAATCGCCTTTTCCCCATCCAGAATTGTCTGCATGGCGGCGCCTTGCTTAAGTCCGTGGCTAATCCTTACTTGTGTCTCTGCATAGAAAATGCGCAACGGGACGTTTGTCATCCCTGCCACCGGTCAGCGGTCCCGGCGCCAGGTCACGCTCCGCACTCCCAGGAATCGGTCACGCTGTGATGGATCCCGGCGGCGTTCGTCTATGCCCTCTGTTGGTACGGCTGGCCAGCATCTCCAGGCTGTGTCGCAGGCTGTTTGGGAAAAGTGCCTGGCTGCTTGGAGATGGCTCCAGACTGACCAAGGCCACCAGGTGCTCAAGTGTACGCTGGCATATCTGCTGGGCACCACGGCGACATTCTGGCCACCATTATCGAACTTTATGGGCCGTAGAGATGGCAAGCATATCGCAGCCACCGTGACGGTATACTTCCACCCGGCGCGTACGGCTGGGTCCATGCTGGAGGCTGTCATGATTGCTGTTGTGGCCGTGGTGTACGCTGAGCTGGTCTCTCTCTTGTCGATGGGGATAGCGATTGCCTCTCGCGATATATGGGGGTCTGCTGCCCCTGCTCATGTCATCGTCTTGGTCATTTGTATAGGAGGCGGCCTTGGCCTTGTCGGTTGGACAAAGCAGCGATTAAATCAGCCCCTCGTGAATACTGCGTCCACCCTAGCATCGATGGCAATCATTTCCATCATTACCAAAGAAGAATCCGTCCACAATGGCTATTTTTCTGGGGATAAGATTGTACAGATGCTCAAGCTACTCTCGCTTGGCATCTCCTTCACCGTGGCTGTTAATCTCCTGGTTTGGCGCGTATCGGCAAGAAAGGTGTTGCGCAAGTCAATCCTCACGGCAGCTGTAGCGTTGGGTGATCGACTGTCGTTCATCACCAGTGGATTTTTGAATCGTTCGGAGGACGAGGTCAGCTCTCCCGAATATGCTGAGGCTTCTGCGCAGTATAATTCTGCTTATGCCCAGATAATGACTACACTTCGAGAGGCCAAAATCGAGCACTATCTTCTTGGGCAAGAGAACACATATGCGTTGGATAAACGCCTTATTAAATCACTAGAAACGCTCTCACAGGCTATTGGGGGTTTGCGTAGTGCACTTCAGACCCAGCTTACGCTTCTGAAAGAAGGTCCAGACTCTGGTTTACCGCCGCTATCCGGTCTATTCTCCCCTGAGCCGCCCTCACGGATGTCCCGGGCTGTGTCGTACTTTTCTGATGATGCTAGGGACCAACTATCGATTATTGAAGAGGACGAATTCGAACGACGTTCAATTCCCTTCAGCCAATCCGATCCTACTCTGGATCAAACACCGATTTTTCGCGTACCGTCAGATATATTTGCTCTCTTCTTGGCGCTCTTAGGCCCCTCTATGAAGTCCTTGGCATATACGCTATTAGAAACGCTCAAGCAAAACCCATTCAGCCAAGATCCAGAAAGCCAAGCAACGACGATTGAGCAGCTCCGTACAAGCCTACGAGATGCCCTGGATTTGTACGATAACGCCAGAGGCAAAGCTCTTCATGAGTTGTATCGAAGCATACAGCTTGGAAGAACAAGGTCCGAGGAGATTCAGGCCGATATTGAGGAGGTTGCCGCCGCTTGCGGCCACTTCTCAGTTTGCTTGCAAGGTGTAGCTGAGGAGATGGATGCTTACCTTGATGTTCTTGGATCCGAATCGATACAAAGCCAAGCTCGCAGCTGGAAATGGATCAAGGTTTGGAGACACTGGAAGCTGTTCCAACGCCGGCGAGATTCAGATGCCGAGATCGAGCCCCTCTTGCCAAGGACGCCTAAGCCGACTAGCAAAAAGTCGCCTACGCCCCAAGGCATACCTCCGAAAATGCTAAAGCGAAGGGATTCTCTTCATTGGGACGCTTCACCGCCAGAGAAAACAAGTGCCTTTGTCCGTAAATGCTCTCAAGCTCTGCTGAAATTTCTACGATTCTTAACGCGCGAGGATGTTTTGTTTGGAATCAAAGTGGGCATTGGCGCTATTCTATGGGCCATGTTTGCCTTCATCCCGTCCACAAGGCCAATATATCAACACTGGAGAGGCGAATGGGGCCTCCTGTCTTACATGATTGTTGTTGGTATGACCACCGGTGCTTCTAATACGACGGGCAGTTCTCGATTCATTGGCACTTTGATAGGAGCTGCGTGTGCTTGCGTTGCATGGTCGTTGAGCATGACCAACCCTTGGCTCCTTGAGCTTTATACCGCCATTGTGGCGCTGGGAAACTTCTATATCATCTTAGTCATGAAGAAAGCTCCTTTGGGGAGAATTTCACTTTTGGCGTATAATGTCATCGTGCTGTATGCGTACAGCCTTTCGCAGGATGTCGATGACGATGACGATGACGAGGGTGGCATAGATCCTCTGATTTTCGAGATCACTTACCACCGAGTGTTGGCCGTCACACTGGGAATCTTATGGGGTATTCTCTTTTGTCGACTGCTGTGGCCAATCTCTGGGAGGAGGAAATTCCGGGAAGGGCTGTCGGTGCTATATCTGCAGCTTGGGCTTATATGGAAACGCGGCCCCCTTGCTGGTATCTCGAAAAACAAGAATGTCTTGGACTTTATGCAGGAAGGAGAGCAGATTGCGCTTCGACGATATGGTAAGTTGAATCTCTTGCAGCTCCGACCGCACTTAACTAATAGATGGCGCTTCTGCGTTTAGTTTTCAAACTCGAGTCATTGCGAGACTCTGCCAAGTCCGAGTTTGAACTTCGGGGACCCTTCCCGAATGCCGCCTATGGGCGAATTATGCACTCCACGAAACATATTTTAGATGGCCTCTATGCTATGCGTCTTATTACGCAGCGTCGACATACCCTTTCAGAGGGCGAGAGTTCTCTGCTGGAAATTACGTCGGCTGAAAGACTGCAACTGTGCCAACGCCTATGCCACGTTTTCCAAGTACTCGCATCCAGCGTCATGCTGGAATATCCTCTTACGGATGCTATTCCAACCATTGATCGCACCAGAGATCGCCTCCTGAACAAGATTTATGAGTACCGGAAGAAGCACATGGAGATGAATTTGAGAAATAATGATGACGATGCTACTCAGACGATGACGGAGGAGAGAGATTTTGCTTTGCTTTACGCGTATACCCTTGTTACGGCGCAAGTGGCTGCTGAATTGAAGAAGATAAAAATGGAGATTGAAGCGTTATTTGGAGTTTTGCATGAGGATGAATTGCTCTTGGAGTAAAAGTTTGGAGAGCAACGCTCGAATTCATTTTGGCTTCCGTTTGAGGATTTGGCTTGCAGCTTGGATGATCTTTATACACGATACGGCTCTTTTCTTTTGGCGTTATTTTGCTTTGGGGGAAAGGACGATTTATGACTAAATGGATCTTATCAAGCATACGAAGGGATAAAATGGAAGCAAGTTGGTATGAGTGGCATCAGGCCATCTTAATAGACCAAAGTTATTGTGTCAATTCAGTTATTCATGGCCTCTGAATCTTATATCATTATACATTTGCTCTTTTATGTGCTCAGCTATATTATGCTCATAGCTACCTATATACATATCCTTTTTGATTATAGGGCTTGTAATCTTCCTTGGCCAGTTTTTCATGCAATTCGTGCCCAAATTTGATTCCATACTCAACCCAGCAAATGTTCCTATACCAACCCCACCCCCCTTTTTCCTTTATACTTTGCACATCGTGATAGAAAACATGCTATAGAGTACACTCCCTTACTCTCCCTTGCCGCCCAATCTCATATTCCACCCATCTTCCTACGCCCTTTCGCCCAGATACGAGGATGCTTCCCGGATTCATGACATGGCAGCCTTCATATGTGATGCAAAAGGGCGGAGCTGTCGTATCGATGAGTGCCATTGCAGTTGGGAGAGGGTACAAGTGCAGCGCGGATGCGTAGTCCCAGTGTACGGGGCGCGTTGATTGGCGGAAGGGAGACAGATAGCCTTGGTCGAGGATTGTCTTGACGAGCTTCTGGGCTGTCTTGATGTCGAGTGGAAGAGAAGATGGGGGCTTTTCTGCGGAATCGACTTCCATGGCGTCTTCTGCCGCAGCGGTGGTTGAATCATCCTGTTGGATTTCGGGTGAGGCGTTTTCTTGGACCCCGTGCGATTCGGCGGCGGCCGTGCGCTTGAGGGTGACTGAAGTGCGCCTTAATCTGGCAGAGATGTCGTCTCTGAATAATACTAGTTCATGGTTCGTTCCGAAAAGGGACATTCGGCTTGGGTTGCTCGTCCACACTGCAGATCCTTGAACGCCTGTGTTGCCAGCTTCTGCGTTTGCTGCAGCAAAAGCACGGCGGATGCGTGAGGTGAACATGTCAGGAACAGGTTTCCGGGGCAGTGGTACGGAGGCACCACCTGTGAAAGAGGAGACCCAGCCATCATTGTCGCCTGGGACGAAGACAAAGGTGGATGACTCGAGGAGGGTAGGGAAATCGGAGAAGGTAGAGGCCAGGGCGTCAAAGTATTCTTTGTATTCAATGCTGCCACCGCTGCCGCCCCTGGCCATGACGGCGTGTTGTGTGAAGTTGCCGGCTAGGACAAATGTGAGAGGGGAGGTGCCTTCCGGTTCAGCAGCGTATAAGGAGAGAATTTTGCGGAGGGCCTGAAGAGCCCGAGGCTGATCGAGATTGATTTCACCAATGATGACTAGTCGATTTCGGGAGGGCATATCCTGGTCCAAGGAGGATGGGAGCAGCCTTCTCTCTAGCCTCCGCATTTTGGAACCGATAGCTCGTTCGCTGCCAATGCCAAGGAAATCGATCCAGCCGAAGCCCCCTCCAATTGTTTGATCATGGTCGTTGCCATCAGGGCCGCTGATGCCGAGAGTCGACTTACGCTTCTCGCATGGAGGTTGCCCGATAAAGAAACCCTGAAAGCGGCCGCCAAGGGTACCTCCAACACCGCTGCTGCCGCTCAATCCTTTGCCAACAGACTCCTCTTCTTCCTCATACACACCATCCACAAGAACCATCATCCCAGGGCAAAACCATGCCGAATCCTCAGGAATGGCAACAGCTTGTGTAAGGTCGAGAGCAATGGTGCCCGTCAAATCACTTACAGCCAGGTCTCCTGTGGGTAGGATATTTAGCTGACCGAGGAGCATGTGATTGCTCCCGTGTCGACCAAGCAAATTGGCGATTGGCGTGATTTTGAGGGACTGTTGATTGGAAAGTGAGCGCTGAAGTGTATGTCTACGGGACGAAGTGACAGCGGAGACTTGGAATGATTCGTTTCGGAGGAGGCGTTGGTGGATGACGTGGTAGCGGTTTCGGAAGACGGTGGTTTTGTGAGAGGCGGGGGGTAATAATGAGGGCTTGGCCGTATCTCTGGGAGCCGTCATGTGAGCTTGGATTCTGAGATTGGACAAACACAAAGCGTCTTACCTTTCAAAGTGTTTCTTATCAACGTTGTAAAGGAGTCGTGGCTGTTCATACGCATCGATGACTTTCAGCCATGCTCGGGCATCGTTGGTTTCCTCGTCGTCGCCTGCCTCCTCCTGCATACCCAATCCCGACATACCAAAGCTAGCATTACTATCTTGTCGTGGGAGTGAGGTCGGCCTTATGCCAAGTCTGGTGTTTAGGGTATCGTTATCGGTGATATCCAGCATGCTGTCTCCTCTGGGAAGCTCTCTGCCAGGACCCATGATCTTGCCGCCGCTCATATTGCCCTCCAGGGTCTTGAGGATCTCCTGTAGCTCTTTGCTAGACCCTTCTACCATGACACCGCCATTGCGATTCTTCCAACTCCGGGCCACCTCTTCCAGCACCCTCTCTGCTAGGCCTTCCTCGCGCCATCCTGAGCCGCAATGCCGCCCGATGAACGAGGCAAGCTCTTGCAATGCAGACGATGTGAGCGTGAGCGAGTGCTTCTTTGTAAATGTGCGGAATGCGAGCGGTCGGAGAGTCGCCGGCGGCAGGATAATGGGGAGGATGGCGGCTTTGGGAGCATTGATGTTGAATGGCTTTGGAGGGTAGACTGGCGTTCCGAATGCCGGAGATGACGATGGCGCAACGGACGAAGATGGGATTAGAGGTCGCTGCTTGCGGAAGATGGGCGCTGGTGTTTTGTCCATTGTGGTGTCAGTTATGTAGAATTAAGAAGTAGGCATAGCTTGGATTCAAGGACGGAGGCTCGAGATGGCGAAAAGATGGCTGTAACTCTCCACCAAATTTTTGTCTCTGCAGAATAATTGGCAGCCCACCACTGCAGTAATTCACACTTCCATCTATCGCGTATTTTGGAGGGGACCGCGTCGACGCGTCTAATTGATTTCTTATAGATGCATAAATGCGCATAGCGGGGAGCGTGGGGTAAAGCCTGAGCTTCCAGAAGCTCCAATTCCGAATGACCTCATTGGTCTTGATTTTCGTAGACCGGACCACATTTTCATCTGCAACTCCAAGGCTTCATACGCCCCATTGAAAGCAATAAAAACGCAGACATGATATCTACGAAATTCCGGATAAGTTCTCAAAGCTCCAGGCTGTTCTTCAGAGCAGTTTCTACGCTAAAGAACAACTCTCATATTGTTAGCTGCAAGCTGTTTCTCCACGAATCTGGGAATGAGTATACTGACAATGCCACCATAGAAAGTCTTTGACAATGCTGCAGCTCCGTCATCATATATTCTCACATATCTAGACACCAACCCCCCTTCAAAAACACTTGCCGTTGGCGTAACTACAGCAGTCCCCCCAACACCTCAGTCATTCAAAGAAAACCCCAAGTTTATATCAATACTCAACGAGGTGGTATCCGAGTATGGCCACCAAGATGAGGATGTGATTGCGCAGGCAAAAGCTTTTGCAAGCACCGGGGGGTTCAATCTTGGATCAGGGGGCTCCTTCTTTCCTGGCCAATCCCAACAGGGCCATCGAGGATCTTCCGGGAAGCAAGGGGGAGGAGGAGGTGCTGGAGGAGGCGGCGCTGGCGGTGCCAGTGCTCAGGGAGGTGCTGGAGGTGCGGGCCGTGGTGGATTTGTTCACTTGAGTGACCGCAGGAATCCTCCCGACTTTGGCCGGATTGCGTGGCCGGAGGATATACTGGGGAGTGTTGAAGTAGATGAAGCTGGAGAAGTTGTAGGCAAGCTTCAGCCAAGTGGAACGTACAGAGCAGTGACCAAGGAAGGAATGTAAGTGACGGGCGAACATGTTTCTCATATAATTAACTCCCTTTCTATTTTCTCTTTGCTGACTTTATTTGTTTAGCCTTGGATTAAGTCCCTTCTTGAGAGGCAAGCTGATCGATCGACTTCGGCAAGAAGAAGCAAAGGAGAAAAAGTCATAATGTTGTTAGTAGTTTACAAAACGTAATATCCAAACCATATTAGATGAGTTGCCGTCAATGTCGCAAACGGGGATGTATTGCCCCTACATCGCTACCAGAGAGCTCATTTCGCCATGAGAGTTCTCTCGCTACGAAAAAGTATTCATATCAAACCCAAACACCTCATTCATATTTACATCTCCATCGAGAAGATCATCCCAATACGAAATGTCCATCGGCACATCCCAAAGTCCTTGACTTGTTCCAATATTCATGGCGATCTCGTCAGCTCCCTCTCCCTGCGTGCTTTGCCATGTCTCTGGGGCCGAGCTCTTCTCGATGAGCTTTCTTACTTCGCAGGACAGCCGGTCGAATGCCACCCAATGCGGATTTACCGCGGTCCATTGTAACGAAATGTCCTTGAGCATTTGTCGACAATCATCGAGCGCTTTGATGACTGAAGAAGGTTCCGGGATGTGATCCGTAGCTATGGATGAAACAATTTCTTCTCGGCTTTTGAGAATATTTGATATATGGATTCCACAGTACAGGATCATGAAGCCCGAGCGCAGAATATCCTGGATCCATGTCCTTTACACTTCAAGTTAGTTTACCGGAAGAGGTATACGTCCACGGTCATTTGAATCGACTATTACTTACCATAGGACCGTCTTGACACCCTTGACTAGCAGGGTTTGGTAAAGAAAGATGATTTGAACAGCCGGGTCCAAGCAGAGGCTGAGGTATGTCACATTAGGCTTGAATGAACGCGCCTCTTGTCCCGTCGGAACCACCAAGGCGGAGTAGATGAAAAGTCTCTCTCGGTAAAAATTCACATCCATATATTCCCTGGTGTGGAAGATGCAGGGAGACTGAGGTATTGTGCTGATTTCCGCATGTGTGATATGCCACTGGTCCAGCTCCGCATTAAGCAGAATGGCAGCTTCGGCCTTGGTCTGGAAACTGGTGTTGGTGGCGTCACGTCTTCCATAAAGCTGTTCATGGACTTTTGCTGAGATTCTTCGCAACTGAGCTTGCCGATTGAGCACAGCCACCTCGACCCCATTGGGCGTACCTGTGTCAAGCCCTTCTTGCAGATCATCTAGACGGACGTAGTCGGGCATCTATATCTATTAGCTGGCGTATGTTTATGCAGAGTCTATTCTTGTGCACACTTACAGCAACTGTAATATCAGAATCTGTAATGGCTATAGGCCGTCCCAAGCCACATGCGGCGAATCGTTCTTGAACGTAACAGCACCAAAACAGCCGCCGGCGTCTTTGTTCAGTTACTGGATCAAGAGGCCTCGAGGGAGCTTTGTGGTATCCAAGCTGAACACATATCCTCATAGCTTGCCTCGCTAGTTTCCATCTACTACCAACTGGATAAAGGGGCAATGTCAGAAGGGGAAAATGTCAGAAGGGAAGAAAAAATAGAGAGAGAGAGAGTTACGAATAAGAAATTCTGGTACTCACTTCCGGTAGCGTGTTGATGAGCAAAAACTAGAAGCAGCATCGTGTTTTGGATTTGGGTTTCGCCGTCTGTGTGAGACAAGACCTCTTCGGCGTATTGCATGGCAGAGGCGTAATAATGGATAGGAGATTTGTTTGATGGTAACCTTTTGGCATATGGCAAGCTTACTGCAAAAAGCATGAATAATTGATATAGATCATTTTTTCTTTGTAGATCAGAGCCTGAGGAAGACCGATTGTCGTATAAACGTTCAATCTGCTGATATGTCTGACTTCTATTCATAAAAGGCGAAACCCTGTGGAACCCTATTTCAAAGCTTAAGATGAATTATGAGTAAAACGGCTACACGAAGTTTCAAGGGGCAGATATAGAAAGCTCACTATGCGTCAACCAGATCGCAAGCCACTGAGAGGGGCGGCAGGTTGTCTTCATCGCTCAAGGGGACCTCAGTACCATCAGCTTGGGGCTGTAATCGGAAGCGAGTTTGGAATAACGATCGGGCCCCTTGAGAAAATTGCGTAGACAAAGCTGCGGCTACTAGATGTCCAAGACTGAGCGCATATAATAGATGATTTGTCAGTCTATACGATATTCAGGTAGAGCGGCGTGTTACTCACCTAAAGATACTGCCGTCGGCAAATTTTGAGGGTTCTGTAAGGACGGATGAAGACCTAGCAATAGACTTGATATTTGGCGAGATGCTCTGGACTTGGTCTTCTGCGGGAGTTGAGAGAGCTGAGACAGAACCTGGTAGCGTTTGGGAGTAAGGACTATTGACTTGCTCTCGAAGATAGGCGACTCGCATCTTCAGGTCTGCAATATATCTATAGAGCGCAATTATGGTCGAGGAATAGTCAGTATTTCTATATCACCGGAATCATGTACTTTGGACAAAAGCCGGCTCACCCTCTCTCATATTGCTCTCCGGATATTGGATCGATTTCGATACATGGAGTCTTTGCACGCTCGCAGTTGGAGCATACTCGAGCGCTTTTATCGCACTGGCGATATTTATGTCAGCTCAAGAACAGTTTCAAAAGAGAAAGAGAACACATGGTTGAAGCAGGGTTGAGATGGATCACTGGCCGAGTCCTTCCTCTATTCATTCCTTACTTTGAGCTTCTTCGCGCGACAGTGGGCGCATGCGCCAGAAAAGTTGGCTGACTGGTGAGGCATGCTTGAAAAATGCCTTAAATATATGAAATCCTGCGTCCAGTCTCCAATGCGAACTCAACTCAATGGAAATCGCTCTCCAATGAGGCATTGACGCCGGTGTTTCTTTCGCATTTGCCCCAATCTCCAACGAGCACGATGGTGGTGAAGAGAGTACGTCCAGAGCCGCCGCTAAAAGAAAATGGTGTCAAAGATTGTCGGCTTGTAATTGTAGCGCCTCGCTCGTATGTCATCCAGCCATTTCCATCCAAGTTTGCTCTCCAAGACTTGGAAGAAGCTGGGATGGATGCATTCGCCATTTTGCTCCAGGAATCTGAGTCTGAATAGCGACGACTTTCAGCATCTTACGGCGAGATGGCCGAGTTGGTTATGGCGTCAGGTTAAGGCTACCTTAACAGCAATTCCTGGTGGAGCAATCCGCGTGGGTTCGAGTCCCACTCTCGTCAAGATCTTCTTTTTTTTGCATTTTTACTCAGGTTGTCGCCTTCTTGGAATAATTGCTATTGTATAAGCAGCTATTTGCTCTCGGGTAGGCCTTCCTTTTTACTTCTTTTCGCTCAGGTTCTTGACTTTCGAGGCGGTGGCTGGCTGTGATGCCTCTATAGTAGTTGACCCTAGCCAAAGCCATAACTAATAGTCGTAACTGTAATGGCCCACTTCTTTGTCCGGAATACCCCGATTGTAAGTAGATTCTTATGGTAGAGAGTTCTCGGAGGCATGTCCGCCCGCAAACTTGCGTCTGGCGGACGGCTTTCCGAGGCTTGCCTAATCAGGAAGTTTTGGCGGAGCCACGATCTGCCTTCTGTTGACAATCTGGAATTTGAAACGTGTGCGAAGAGAATTTAAAGAGCTGTTAATCCTGTGAATCGTAATTCCACAAAAACTCGATCCAGGATTGAAACCTGAAGAGGTTTCATTCTCTTACAAAAGATGATGAGTGAAGGGCAAGGTCTCCAATGTTAGCATAGTTCTATGAACTATCTTACGGCTTGTTCATTCAACGAAGAACAAGCGTAATTGGTTTAGTGGTAAAATTCTCCGTTGCCATCCGAGCAACGTCGGGGAGCCCTGGGTTCGATTCCCAGATTACGCATTGGATTCTCTTTTTGATCCTTTCTCATCTCTTTTTACTTTTTGCTTTCTCCAGCCTGGACTTCATCTTGTGTCTGCAAACTTCTACCTCGAAAAGAAAGCGCATTCACTCCATTTGACAATTCAATCACGACCAAAACAGAGGTGCAGTGCCATATTTGATAGTCAAGAGTGGCTTAAGTTTGATGGATTTGCTTCCGGCTTGTTTGTCAAATTAGAGGAAACAAGCCGGTTAAGGAGAAATATCTATATCAACGCAGTTCAAAGCGTCCCTGCAGAATTCATAGAGATTACTTCCCTCAAGGAAGTCAATGCTTTGTCGAGAATCGGTATCGAAAGACGTTATTTGCTTCAATACACCGCTCAAGAGTAGGCTGTGAGAATGCAACCCGGAGAATTTGGCCTTCATAACAGACAAAACCATCCCAGCCAGAGATAATAAATGAGAAACTTGGCTTACTCTTTGATTCCGAGGCATCTCATTGCTGAAAAAGATGCCCAGTAGCACTACCTGGAATATGCTGTATCCTGTGATCCACGGTAGCGCGGGCCAGATATGGATTGAACTCTGAAATGAGATTAGACAGTCGTAAACCAGTTTACTCTGTGCTGCAGACCCAGAACTGGCCGATAATAGTCTTCTAAGGCTCTGCGCAACGAGTTGTAGTTCAAACGCTCTTGGCAGATGGGATGTATTTTCTTCGCCACTCAATCTAGGTTGTAGTATGCGCTCTTCATAGCAGGATAGGTAGCCCGCGGCATCATTTTTGGGACTGTTGCAGAGTTCGTATGCCCAGCTGAATATCTCTACAAGAGACAGCTCTTTACTTCTCGATCCAGATGCGCATATGGATGTCGGTTGAACTATATGTGCATCCCAGTCGAAAGACATGTCGCGATTTTGTATACCCATAGGCAGCCCTAATGCTGAGCTAATAGTACTGGAGTATCATGAAAAGTTATTGGCTTGTATTTTCACATACTGGACGGTTACACTTACAAATCAAGTACATAAGCCGCCTGAAACAGTGTTGATCCTTTTACTGGCGAGTTTCTCGCGGTTTCTGCCTCTGGTTGGAGCTGGTGATAACCCATGTCTATGCAAGCTTGGGTGGCAAGATCTATCAGATGCCATGAGCTGCCCGTGCTGGGATCGAAAAGCGAACAGATAGTGAACAGGAGGAGGATCTGCACTGTGGTAGCCGATTCGTCATAAGAAAACAGAATGTCTAGCGATCGTAGGAAATAGTCGGCTGAATGGTAAATGTCATAAGCGGCAAACGATTCAATAGGAAGGATTGCACCGATAGAAATAACGAGATAAGATATGGTGCGTTCCCGAAGATCATTTTGGGTGCCAGCTGCCATTTTTCGGAGTGTATTTCGGATTGCATCTTCGGAAACGATAGGAAAGGTAGGGTGAATGTAAGCAAAGTATTTGTTCGCATAAGAGATGGCTAGATCATAGTCCAAAGGTGCACTGGAGCTATGCGGCTGAGAATATGATGCCAATAAACTCTTCTTTTGGGTGAGATTTAGCATTCCTCGAGGATCGCAATTCTCTAGGCGGATAGCTCTGCGTGCCATTTTGTGCAGGCAATAGAGTTCACCACGATAAAGTGATACAGTCTCGACTTCTTTGAGAACATCCAAATCCACGCTGTCCAGAGACTGCTCTCTAGAAGCCATTGAAGAGATGGGAGTTTCAGAGGGCATGTGAGTTGGATTGTTTTGCGGCTGAAAGGTAGCAGGTTGGAGAGGCTCTGCGGCGGTTGTCTGTAGCCGTGATAGCCGAGCTTCCAGGCTTGCAATTTCCTTTTCCAGACTTTGAACAGAGCTGCGAAATCGGTTTAGCAGATTAATCGAGATTACTATCGAAATGGAGTGCCAACCTTTCTTGTGTACTAGCGCTTTTGACCACTTGCATAACACAGTCCAAGTTTCGCCTTGTGCAAAGACTGCAGCGAGGCACCTTGCGATCGCACTTTCACAGATGGTTAGATTGAAGGGACAGACTAGCCATGATGACAGTTGATACCTTTCGCTTTCTCTGCCTGCAATTCTGGCAGGCGAGTCCATTTCGCGGAGAGCCACCAATTTCGATCACTCCAAACATGGCTAGTCGTTTTTACCAAAGTGTGAGTGATAATGGTGTTTTGCAAGACGACTAAGCTCAGGCGCTTCGATTGTGATTATTTTTCCCGTTGAATTGATATATTAATTATGAAGACAGGTGAGGTTGTAAATGGTTCTTTTACGCGGAAGTTGGAATTACTATAAACTCTCGGATCCATGTCCGCCAGTTAGCCTTGACTAAGCGGACTAAGGTCCGAACCAGGTCAAACCTACTAATATCATAATATGGGATTATTTTCTACATCCAACTTCTTTAAAGACTTGCAAACTTTGAGCAGTTTCTTGGCCAAGATTTGTGCCGCAACTAAATAACCACAACAAACTGCCAATTCATGTCGCTGAGAGGCCATGGTATTATAGTGCAAGACGACAAAGTTGCATACCTTCAATAATCCGCCCAATTTCGAATGCATTTACAAAATTTCCTAATAGCTCGATGGCAGCCTCGCTCTCAGCCTGGCTCCATAATACCAAAGTATGCATATCGACGGTATGGTAATGCCAATCGATAAAAATGCCAGCAGACTGTTTCCCCATCCGTAACCCAGCGCCCTGTACATGCTATCAGAAAAGAGCGGGAACGCAAACGCCAGCAAACTCTTCAATAATTGTGTTGCAGCAGATGCGGAGCTGACATGCTCATCATACGCATCCATCACGTAGGCGCGCATAGTGGTACCGAAAACTTGCATTCCAAGTGACAACAAAAGCGCTCCAATGTCCAGAACCAACCAAAATAGATGGTACTTTGCAGCCCAACCGTATAAAAGAAAGCCAATAGGAGTAAGAAGAGCGCTAGGCAGCATGAGTGGAATCCGTAGTTCAGGCACTCGAGTGCTGCCGTCACGACTCTTCAATCTCGTAAAGAGGTAATCCATCAGCGGCCCGCAGATCTGCGAGCCAAGGATTTCACCCAAGCAGATGGCAATGTAGTGCAAGCCGGAGATGGCGACAGATTCACCATATGCGTTGACGTATAGAGTAGAGAAACTAGACAGTGTAAAGTACAGTAAGCCGTAATTGATTCCTTCTAGAATAGCGTCCATCTGAATGATGGAATGAAACATCAGTAGACGAACAGGGCGGGTCAAGCTGCGGCGAATCTTCCAGGCAGTAGAGCGACCAGATTCTCGTTTCTCAATCTCGGAATGGTAGCGAGAATCACCAGTCTCTTGGCGCCGTTTCTCAGCTCGTCGACGCAGGAGGACAGGCGCGTAGCTTTCGTGGAACACCGTCAGTGACGACACTTCAAGAACAGCTTGAAATATCGCAGTCGACCAGAACATCCAGCGCCAAGTAGAATACTGAACGATGAAACCGCCTACTATGGGCCCCACGGCAGCACCAGTCAGCGGGATGAGCAGATACAAACTCAGGGAGCGTCCTCTCTTCTCTGGTGGCCACACATCGCCGAGCACGCCGTAAGCCAAGCTGAAAACTGCACTGGCACCAAAGCCAGCGAGGAAACGCGCAGCAATCAGCAGCCCTTTTGAATGGCCAAAGCCGCAGATGAGATTCCAGACCAGGAACCAGATATTGGTGACGTGATATATGGATTTTCTGCCATACACTTCGGATAGAGGGCCAATAACCATTGGGCCAAGGGCAGTTGCTAAAACGTACACAGACAGAGCCATGGTTGATTCAATGGGTGTCATATGCAGTTCCTCGGCGATGGTTTCGATCGCTGGAGCCATCATCTGCGATCAAGCATCGTTAGCAGCATGCTTCAAAAAGACCTCTATTGGTCAGCAACACACGCAGCCTTACTGTTGAAACCATGATTCGGATGAAACCCGTGCTGGAAACTGCTGCAGTGACTCCCCATTTCACTTTGCTAGACCAATTCAAGGGATTCTCTTGGTCATCTGGGCCGAACACAACGAGAAATTCTTCGTTCCACGGCGTTTCGGCATTCTCAGTGGCGTCCTTGGTATGGAATTGAGCCGCCGCGTCTGCGGCAGTCTTTTCGATATCTTCTTCGTTTTGGTGAATTGACTGGGCGCTTATGATCTGCATGATGGCGAGACCAAGAGGCGAGTGGGACGTGTTGTAGAAATAGAATAGTTATCGATGTTGGATGACATTGTACGAATCTCTTGGCGACGAATTGATGTATTTATCTCTCTGCAAAGCCAAGGCAGCAGCCTTCGGAAACCGTTCGTTGGCCGAGCGGTTGAACATGATGATCTGTTGATTGAAGTTACATAGCTGCCAGTAGCGGCCAACAGATTTTACAGGGCTATTACGAAATAATAGCTAATACTAAAAAATAACTGCAAGAATCCACACGCCATCGGATCTGATAAGAGCCGTGCCCGTTTTCGAGACACGAGATCACTGGGGTGGCTTGACCTAACTTCTATTATAGACTAGCTGTGATCGTTATTAGCCGGTGATCGAATCCTACCGGTGCTAGGATTCAGTCCCTTTTTTGGGTGGCAACAATACATTGGGATTGCTGACCTTGTTGGTTCAAAACACCTATATTGCTGGAGTATCTGTCTTCGGATTAAGCCAGCCTACCCACCTCGGTAACATTACCGTCAGGTGCTTAGAGACTGGCAGTGCCGTCATTTGAAGCATACAGTTTGAAGACTTTCACGGACGCTGAAAGTACTCCATGTGGGACACGCCAATTACGCAGGAGCGTATACGCCGTATATTCCAGCGAACAGGGGGCCAATGTGGATCTTTTGAGTCATCGCAAGGGACTAACTTCTGGGGGCAAGTGAGCCGAGTACGCTTTGCTGATTGATAAGATGAATCTTATCAGATCCTACCGCTAATTCTCGGACTTTAGCCAATTACACCGTGATTGGGCGTGCCTCAACTGGATACATGCATTCACGTTGGCGCTTTTTAATTCATTTTTATATATTTTACGGCTTCTGAAATTAACCGCCCCGAAGTCTTTTGAGTTGCCTGTTCTAATTTAGCTTCTGGTTCCTTTGTCATAGGCCCAAGTTAAAAAGTACTCTTGATCTTGAGGTGTACGAGGTAGTCCCGATTTCTCTAGATGGCGCGCGGGTTCTTAACGAACGTTTCTGGCCGTCGTGACGTCAATAAGTCTCGCGTTAATGCTAATGTTCATTAGAATACAGGAGCGGCTGATGCTGCAGAGTTACCGTTCTTGTTAGCGAGAGTAATGAAGCAAGCCTTACTTAAACCAGTTTGGAGGAAGCATGCTATCGATAGAAGATTATCCTACATTTACAATCAACTGTGCAGCTGGGGCGATTGTTGAATACAAGAGATGAGATTGGCCGATATATTACTGCATCATCTATATTGTGACTCCCCCCTCCATTTGTACTTCAGCAGTAAGTGCGTTACTAAAGTTCTTCGATCAAGTCTAATGTTCGACAATGTCGGTTCCCAAAGTAACTGGAGGGCCAAAATGTTCTTTTCAGAGCCAATCATAATCCCTGCCAGAAAATGGAGTATCGTATTGCCCCCCCACAAATGTCTTGGGGAGAAATATCAAGAGTTTGGGGATGTTGAATTGAGTATATTCGAGATCCAGCTCGTCTTCATTGTCTTTCGAATCTCAAGCAGATCATCGATCTTGAGGTCGAGTTCGAGTAACCCTCGGATATGGCCTTTTGTCCGGCTTTTTAGCACGAAAAGTCACTCGACAATAACAACTATCGCGGTTCATGCGAGGGTGGAGGGATCGGAGCTGGATTCTAGGGCGTATTCTACGATGTCAAACGTAGGGTATGCGTAAAGGGAATCAAAATGTTGATTCCTCTATCTAACTAAACTAAAGGGGCGTTGTGCTTATATAGTCCTCCCACGATACCCCGGACCTCCTGCCTTCCGGGGGATGTCGGGGCAGGCGTCCCCCAACAGCAACTGAAATCGGAGAAAAGAAAAGTATCACCTTTATATATCATATTTAGGGAAAAGACAAATGTGTCAGGAGACGGACCAGTGAACTTGAAGTAGGCGTCGTCCCCGTCTCTCATCCGAAATATTACTCTTTTATATAACACGCTCCCTCTCAAGCTGATAGTTGGCCTCTATGCGGCACTAATGGGTCTAGCCTTTCCGAATACATATGCATTTCTTCCACCCCCTGCTCTGTAACTCCAGGAACATTTGAGCTATTTATTATATAACCTGGGATTAGTGGTCCAAGGTCATGTAAATCAACTGCTTTAAGTCCGCCGATCGAATACCATACAGGCGTCTGGCTAACATTGCTTGCGAGGGTATTATATTCAATAAGAGGTGGTATCTCCTCCTGCGACTGCGATGATATTGGCTGCTGCTGCTGCTGTGGTGATGTTTGAGGAAGGCCGTGCCTCTCCTTGGCTTTTTTTTTAGCATAAAATGAAATATTGGATCTTCAGCATCATACATCTGTTGCAGATGTTGAAGCGTGGGCTTATTGGATATCCAATCACTCACCCAGGAATCCCACATATCTGTATGCCTAGAACTCAAATCATAAGGAGCATCGTTCACAAAATCTGCCTCTTCCGTTTCAGACAGCTTCGATAGTTCATCATTCATCCCATATGTATATGAAGAATTGCCGATTAATAAATCATCGGTTGTCTTCACGCTGTGCAGCTCCGAGCCACCACTGCCATCCTGTTCGCTTCCAACATCGGCCTCTATATCCTCTTCGTATGGTGGAAGAGATTTAAGAGCAAGTGATCTTAAATGACCAGCTACATGATTCTCTAAGCGGCCATCAACCTCTGCCTCACTTTTATCGCATAAAGGGCAGGATGTGAATAGCCTCGGAGTTTTGCAAGCGCTCCTGTTAGCTAAGATAAGAAGCATCTCTTCTCCCATTTTAAAGTTGTGAGCCTCTCGCACGTGTTGCATATAGTCTTCGCGAGTCGGAAACAGATTCAGTTTACGGTGAGATGGGCAGCGCCAGCACTGACTGTGCTGGTGCATGTGGCTAAGCCATTTTTCGCTGTGCGTATAGAGTTTGTCTGCCTCATTGCATTCTTCAAAAAGACATACGTAGGGATCCAAGTCATTCTTTACATGTTTCCTATAAGGCTACTAGTCAGCAAACTGTCTATTTAAGACATAATCTCGTAGAGTAGCACTGAGTTACATAAATGGCTGCGTTAACTTACCGCCATTTTCGGTGATCGAATACCTCTATAGCTGGAAGAGCTTCAAGGCAATACGGGCAGGTTATCTCTCCTAAAGCTCCAAGATCCGCCTCCAGAGTGTCTTGAAGATCTTTCTCTGCAATGGCTCGCGAATCTCTATCAAAGCGAGAAAATATCTTGGAATCTTTGTTGGGGTATGCCTTGTCGAGTTTATCGAGCAAAGTTTGGTGAGCAGCTAATCGCTCTTTCTTAAGTTGTTCAAATTTTTGTTTGGCATTGGCCCCCGGAGCAGTTGGGAAACTGAGAGTTTCGTGGTCGCTCAGAGCTATAGTCATGGCTGAACCAACTGACAGGCTTGTAGCAGCTATTTTAAATCGATCGGGTTGTAGAGTGGTCGCGCTCTGAATCTCGGATAGTGCGACCACAGGCTCTGCTGCTCTACTCTTCGGTTTGTTTATGGCTGAGGCTCTGGTACCGCATGCGTGATGATGGAATTTGTTTTGGGCAACTTATTTGCAGCTTCTTGGCGATATCTCCAATATAGAACTCGTTTTCGTCGAAAAATCATCGCCTCAGCCAGTCTCTGTTGAATAATTTCGCTGGCTCTGGGAAACTTATCCCCGATATGAAGCTTAAAAATATCGAGTAGCATGCGCTAAATGTTTTTATCTTCATCCGTGGCCTGAAAATTCTTCATTTTCAACGCTTGATTTTCCTTGCCACTTCTTCGAATTATGTTTGACAATTTGTGAAGATGACGGATTTCCGATGCGATGTCATTACAAGATCGCTCCAGTGGTTTAGTTAGGTCCGAGACATCTGATTCTGGATTCTTGACATGACCATCTATAATATTAGAACCTATTGGATTGTTAGAGCAGCAAAGCAAAGCCTGAAGATATGGTGGCTTACATTTTCGAATGCGGTGGTTTAATGAATATAGCAAGCATATGGCGACACTCTGTACATCAGGAGAGCATCGTAGCCGATGATCCATGGATGCTCGTCCAGGAGCAAAGACGCCAATACCACTTGTCCAGGAAGAGAACCTCGCTGCTTGATCCTCCACCCTCGAGAACTCTCGGGGATGGACAACCGATGCTTGTGCGAGGCACGTCTCAAATGACTCTAGACATTGGCGAGAAGCAGAGGCAATAGTTGTCTCGTCTAATTCCAAATTCGTGTGGGTGTCTGCCATGGCTGAAAGAAATGCTGATGATCAGACGATGAAAAGTTTCATTATACGTAGCCTGCTCTCCGAATCAACACACAATATCCACGTTGTATCGGCTTCGTTACGCCGCTCACAGAAGTATTTAACCCGAGCGAGGCTGAGAGATTTTAGCAAACCCTCTGTGGCAAATCCCCGCCTCAATCCCGCACCTCTCACGCTGTAGGAGCGGCTTCGTGTTTGCAATACCAATTCGATGATATAAAGTCTGGAATATTCCGACCTTTTTAGGCTTATATCAAGGTATACGTGTACCAAAAGCCACACACACGATATGCGGGAGCTGTCTTTGTACTCTCCGCCAGAAGATGGCAATGAAGATGGGAGCGAGTCTGACCTGCTCGTGACAACGTTTCGAACTATCTATCAAATCGCAAAATTTATCCGGAAAATGGATATTGGCGAGGAAGAAACGATATTTTATAGCCACCTTAGCCTCCATTGCATAAGGCTCCAAGAAGGCATAACTTGCGCGTCTCAAGCTTCATCCCGGGTGGGCAGAAACTTGATCAATATCGCTCTGTGTCAGCTCAGTTCATTAATCGCCGCGACGGGCTTTCAGGAAATGTCATCTAACACACCGACATTTCGGCTGAACGTGTTCAATGTTCACTGGAATAAAACGCGTGAACAAGACGATAACGAGAAGACCCACTTCATCAAAAGATGGCTGAAACCTGAATAAACAAAACTTTGGAAGAGTGTGCAAACAAGTTAGAAAGACAGCAGCCAGAAAAGGTTTTGGTGAAATCTAACGTTCAAATCGCCAGAGACCATGGTGGACCCTCATTTAGTGTCTGGAGAATCAGGTCATATGCGTTCACTCAAGTGATGCACTAGGAAACGCTTCTGCCTTCAGTCCGACTGCTCAGCCCTCTACTCTGAACCTTGCAACCATTGAAGAGTCGATAGAGTCAGCATAGCCAACATTTCTTTGTGGTGATAGTTCAACTCTACAGAAATACGTCAGACCACGTTCAGGGACGTCTTACGCAACGCCTGTTATGGCAGGGATTGCAGCGTTCTTTTTACAATGCGCAAGAATACATTTGCCGGAAGAAGAGGTGCTAAAATTCAAGAACAAGATGGAGGCATTGCTGAAGAGATGTGCTGAGCGATATTAAGCGGCATGCTACCCTGATAGCTAGGCATGGCAAAACAATATAGATAAATATTACAGAAAAAGGATTTACCAAATCATCTCTCGCTTGTTCCTGTTACATGTACTTTTCATTAAGCCCAACCGTTTTCTTGCGGCGTTCAACTTTGTCATTTCAGATATACTTAAACTTTAAACGTTATCAGTGTCCACAGTGATTCATTAGCAGCAAGCTCCCTGAAGTGCCGTACCTATAGCGAGACAGTCACGACCTAGCTGTAGTTAAGTTCCTATAATTTCCATAGCATTGACCTTAATTGGCATACACGGCCCGACAATGGCTTCCATCTAATGGTTGGCAAACTGACGTCCTTGAACAGCTGCTGTCTGAGCAAACCGGGATCATCAATGGTTAGTGAAGCTTGATCGGTTGTCCTTGTAAAAGCCGAGCGCGAAACATGTAGTTTTGGGCGTATAGAGAAGAAGAAAATGGAAAAAACGGAAAAAATTAGAAATAGATATACTCGATACTTGTTCATACGCGTATCTCAATCCCACGAAATTCGGCTGCAAAATGGCAAAAGTATATAAGATGGATATCGTCAAGAACAAAACAAGAAAACCGGTTCCTTAGCTCAGTGGTTTAGAGCGAGAGATTGCAGTCTTGCGCAGTTATCTCTAGGTCGCGTGTTCGATTCACGCAGGAACCTCACATTCCTTTTTTGCCCTTTCTAACTCTCATCCCTTTTTTTTGGTCATTCCCAACAATTAGGCCGTCCATCAGATACGGTTCATGACGCCAATGGGTTTTCAGCTTATCAGCGAATGATTTTGTGTACATGTAGTCAGCGTGGCAGAGAACGGCCAAAGTTAAAAACCAGCGCGGCGCCGTGGCGGCCAGCCCAACCACTATTAGCTACATGCTCTGGTGTCTTATCTCTCTATACTGTTGAGCTTTATCAAACCGCTTAATTTGCTCCAGTGGTTCAGGCCAGAGGCACGGCTTCAAGGAGTAGACATATATGATACGTTATACATTATGGTGTTGGTCAAATTGTAGGTTGGCTGGTGTATAGAAAAGCATGTAGGAGGTGCTAGCAGACTACTGCTCTCGATGCTTAGACGCGCAGCTGGATCTTGTAAGCCCAGGATAGGAATGCGTGGCCAATGCAGTGCGTCTCATGCAGATTCCATGTTGAAAGCTTTGTATAGTAACAAGCTGATAATTGTTGATAACAAGAGAGGCCACAGCCGTGTTCAGTTATAGACATGTGACAAAGGATTGATACGCGCGTATTCGGCACTCTACAATGTCTGCATGTAGCTTGCTCGGAGGGCTGAGAGCACAAAACGCCCTCATTAGGCCAATCTTTCCGGCCGATTTGATCGTGCAGTTTACAAGCCCACTGGTAATCAAGTGCCTACCTCTACTTGCACGATGACAGCTTTGCGCCAGGAACGCGTATAAGCACACGTGCGGCTACGAATTCGTCCTACGTTGACGTCGATGTTGCCCTGGAATATACTGAGTGCGGCATTCCAGCGGCTGGGCTGAGACGAGCTGAGGCCACAGTAAGTTCAGGCGCCGCTGCTGCCGCTGCAGCTCAGCGCTTTAGCCGTTGAATGCGCTGCGCTACAGGCAAGCAGCGCCTGGGAAGTGCAGGTTTGTCCGCTATTTGTCCGCCGTGCACCCAAAAGGTGGAGCAGAGCCAGCGCCAGCATCGCTAATTTTCCGGGCTGGCAATGTAGATAGACATAGTGACGTTACCCCTCCATCTCAACCACAGCCTGCTGCTCCTCCATGCATGGCCAAAGCCAGTCCGGTCCTCCACTTTCGCTGTTAAATCATCCACGCGGTTCTCCACGTCCGGCATTGATTTACAAGGCGCCGCGAAAAATAAACTCTGGGCAAAAACTCCATCTTACAGCCCGTACCTTTTAAACAGCACGACACCCGCACCGCCAGAGCGCGCCGCTGCCCACCATGGCTCCTCGCGGCTTCGAGGACGAGGAGCTGACCATCTCCATGTCGTCAACCCACGTCCGGCGACACCAGCCGCCGCCTCAGCAGGAACAGGCCGCGATGCCGCCCAAGATTGCCGCGGACCAGCAGGCGCCGCAGGAGAAAAAGTCCCGGTCCGAGCAGCGTATCGGCGCCTACAAAGTCATCCGCACGCTGGGCGAGGGATCCTTCGGCAAGGTTCGCCTGGCCATCCACAATGGCACCGGCCAGCAGGTGGCCCTCAAGATCATCGCCAGAAAGAAGCTCATCAGCCGGGACATGGCCGGCCGAGTCGAGCGCGAGATTGAGTATCTCCAGCTGTTGCGGCACCCGCACATCATCAAGCTGTATGTAGTTTGCTTGCTCAATCCCCCCTGCTTGTTGATGTCTTACTTACCTGCGAGCCGAACAGCTATACCGTCATCAAGACGCCCACCGAGATCATCATGGTCCTTGAATACGCTGGCGGCGAGCTTTTCGACTACATCGTCCAGAACGGCCGTATGAAGGAGGCCGAGGCTCGCCGTTTCTTCCAGCAGATGATTTGCGCTGTCGAATACTGTCATCGCCACAAGATTGTCCACCGAGATCTCAAGCCCGAAAACTTGCTGCTGGATGAGAATCTCAATGTCAAGATTGCCGACTTTGGTCTTAGCAATATTATGACTGACGGCAACTTTCTCAAGACGAGCTGCGGCAGTCCCAACTATGCAGCTCCCGAGGTTATTGGCGGAAAACTCTACGCCGGCCCAGAAGTCGACGTGTGGAGCTGCGGTGTTATCCTCTACGTCCTTCTTGTTGGCAGATTGCCCTTTGACGATGAGCATATTCCTAGCCTCTTTGCCAAGATTGCCAGAGGCACGTATAGCATGCCCCAATGGATGCCGCCTGGCGCAGCAACCTTGATCAAGGGCATGTTGGTGGTCAACCCGGTCCAGCGCATAACTATCGACGAGATCCGGGCTGATCCATGGTTCAACATTGAATTGCCGCCCTACCTACAACCACCCGTAGAAGAATTCTTCCACACTGGTGTCGATCCTAACAAGGCAATCAAAAAGAGCGACATTGCGCCGAATGCCCCGGAAAAGGTCCAGGAGAAGCTGCACAATGAGGTTACAGAAAAGATTAGCAAGACCATGGGTTACGGCAAGGACGATGTTGAGGAGGCTCTTCAATCCGAAGAGCCTTCTGCCATCAAGGACGCGTATATGATTGTCCGAGAAAACAAGCTCATGCTGTCAAGTAGTAAGATTCCATTTCCCTCCTAACTCTCCTAGGTTGCGTATAGGCCAACTCCCACCAAGACGAATACTGACTGCCTCCCAGATCCAGAATCTGGCCTTGCTGGTGAGGAAGGCAGCAGCCCTATGATGAGCATATCGTCTGCGCGATCTGCCATCTCACCGGGAGGTGCCTCTCCCCGTCCCTACGTCAACAAAGTCGGTATCCTACCCAGCAGTATCCCGGCCTATCACAAGGACTACATGGAGAGGGAAAAGAGTGGTGTTAACCACGATCTTCCTCCTCCCCTGGCCATTAATGACGAGTTGCCTGGTACCCGTACAGAAGCTGAAAAGGAAGAGGCAGCACGGCGTCTTAATCCTCACGCACGCTCTACTGTACGACTGGACGAATCTAGCAAGCGCCCGCAAGGGATGACGCCGATCAATACGCCAGCTAAGAAATCCAAGCCTGTGCGCTGGCAGTTCGGCATTCGATCTCGCAATGCGCCCTGGGAGGCGCTCCTATGTATTCACAAAGCATTATTCAAACTTGGCGCATCTCATCTTCGCGATGAAGGCTATAATGAGTTGCATGGCATACGAAACGAAGACCCTGCGAATGACACTGAAAGCTCCGCCAACGGCGCTCCTTTAGAGCGCGAGTCTAGAGATGGCACTGTTGACCCAACTAAATTGTACAAACTACCCGCCGACCCATGGCATATCCAAGTCAGATGGCCATCAACAGGTAAGCCGCATCAATATCCCGTCCATTATGCAAAAATGCGTCAAGTATATGTTGGCCTAACAAATCTTGAAATCAAATAAATAGATTTACAAAGAGAAGCAGAGCGCTCCAATGAAGCTGAACCCGAAGCTGGATCCAAGAGCGGCTCTCTGGACAGCTTCCATGTCTACTCTCCGAAAAATCCGGCGTCACGAAAGGACTTTGTTGCTCTACATATGGACATTCAAATCTACACGATGGAGCAAGGAGTCTTCCTTGTAGACTTTAAATGCTCTGGCTATGAAACCCAGGACGGATATCTGCTCGAAGAGAAGGAAGTCACCAGTCCTTTTCCGTTCTTGGATCGGGCGGCGCAGCTGATTATGCAGCTGGCAGATGCTGACTAGGAATCTGAGTCGCGTTGAGATTTGCCCGACCAGTGACTAGCTGGACTACTCTCTATGGTTGGTTCATTTTACAGAATCAGAGGAAGGCATAAGAATAACAAATATAGATATATGTCATCATTGCCTTTCGATGTCATGTCGGGCATTCTATGGCTTATTCTTCTCTCTTGAAGGGGTATCCAAGCTTGGGTCTGCCATCATTCTTCTCCTCAGCACCCTCTGCTTCATTTACCCCCTTTTTTGTTATTGTTATTTAATTTCATCGTCTGCAAATATCTAGGCAGGCGTAATTGGTTTAGACTTTGGTGTGCAATATTACTGCTTTGTTAAAAAGCGCAATGCGGGCGAGTAAGGACCGGGGACATCCTTGGGTTGGCCGGGATTGGCGTCTGGTGTCTCGACAACGACAGTGGCCCAACATTGATCGTCAATGCCATGATAACTCGCCTGCTGTTCATTTTTTTTCTTTTAGCTAATGGGTTTTTTGAATTCACAGGACTAGTATGGAACACAAGTACATATTTTAATTTAAAAAAAAAAGAAATTGCATTACTATGGTTTTGGAACTGTGATTTTGTATTTGGATTTCTAAGCATGTCTTTTCAACAAGCTTATGTATACAAAACAAGCCCAAGCAATGACAGCTTTTCAATCCAATCAACTAGCGTTACGTATTATCAAAGAAACCGATATCCAAATTGCTCCTGTCCTCATGCTCTTAAACAGGGTATAAAAATTTGGCGAAGACGAGAAAATGTAAATGAGGGAAGAGGGAATACCCTTTCTCTAATGGAACTGATCCTCAGTCACGCCCTTACCCATTGCTGCCGTAGAGCTGACGCCGCCGGTAACCATCTTTTGCAGCTCATCGACATAAGTGGCACCACTCCACTTCTGGTGCTTGACCACATCGACGCCCTGTTCCATCTCAGGCTCTTGCACAAGCTCGCCGTACGCGCGCATACCATGAGAGGCGTATGCGCGGGCAAACTGGTGGCTGATAAGAGCGGTTGTATGTAGGCCAGCAAGAGTGATGAACTGCCAGCAGTAACCCAGCTGAGCAAGTCGGCGAATGTAAGTCTCTTGCTCGTCACGAGGCATGGCAGTTTTCCAGTTGAAAGATGGGGAGAGGTTATATGCAAGCCTGTGTCATCCAGTCATTAGCATGCAGCTCGAGAAATACCAAACATCCAATCCAGTGAGGGGCAACTTACTTCTTCTCTGGCCAGACGGCGTGGACACCGTCGGCAAACTCCTTGGCCTGAGCAAAGTCGGGCAATTTACTCTCCATCCAAACGGCATCACAGAACGGACCGTAAGCAATAGCACGGTTAATGGCACAGTCACAGCCACCCTTCAAGCGGTAGTAGCCCTCTCGTGTTCGGGGAGCTTCCCAGTCGAAGAAGACATCTTTTCCGAGGATACTCTTGGCGAGAGCACGAGCCTCAGCGTTGCTCTTACCCTTGGAGCGAGCAAGATAATCACTCTTGATCTTGTCAGCATTGGAGGAAGATCCAATGGCAGCAATGACGGCGTCATCAAATCGTTTTAAGCCAGCAGCGGTAATCCATTCATCTTCAATGCGCTGGAGCTCATCACCAGTCTTTCCGCTCTGCTCAGCGGCAATCATGAGGTCGTTCAGAGGTTGTAGGCTGGGGTTGGTAGAGCCAAGGATGAAAGAATGATCACGAGGGTCAATTGTAGTGGTGATGAGTGTCGCAGCTTCAGCGTCGGTACGAGCAACAGCGATCAGGTCAGAGCCCATTATATCAGCTTGCGCACGAATGGCAACAAGGCGGTTGATGTGCTCGCTGATTGGTACCAGAACTTTACCAGCCATGTGTCCGCACTTCTTAGTACCAGGAGCCTGATCCTCGATATGGATACCAGCAGCACCCTTCTCGACGAATAGCTTGGTAAGTTTCATAACAGCAGTCAGACCACCATGGCCGGTATCAGCATCTGCAATGATGGGTCGAAGGTAGTCAATATTGGCCAGCTTGGCACGCTGAGCCTTTGGTACGCTCAAGCGCTCTTGGCGCTGTTTTCGATCATGGAAAAGCTGGGCGGTAAAGAGATGGCCGACTTTGTTGGGTACAGTGGTCTGGAGAGACGGATATTAGCCAAGACAGTCTTGTGTAAGTGTATGGTATTCCGTCTTACATAAGGGTAATCTGCCAGATCGGGGCCAGGCTCGTCCGACGCAGAAGCAGTTGAAGATGATTGCCAACCGGAGACGTAGACTGTGTCGAGATACTTGGCCATCTGAGTGACCATTGTAGGCTCCAAACAGCCATAAGTGTAGCTAGCATCCTTGTTCTATTTCTTGCTATTAGCAGCTGCCTTGGAAGTACAGACGCTCAATCGTATCCCAAAAACAATGCGTATGACTCACCTGAAAGCGGTTCTCCATGATGTTCCATAGCTTCTTGGACTGAGCATTGCTGGGATACTCAATCTTCAGATGGCCTCGCTTGGAAACAATCTGTTCCGCAGTGAAGGGACGTTTCGTGTGTCTCCATCTTGAATCGCGCCACCAGTCCTTGACCTGCTGGACCTCTTTCTGGAACAGGTCGTCTTCAATGTCCGGGTTCACAGCCGGTGTGACCATGTTGTTGGAAGCCATGATGCAAAGATGTAAGTGGTTGATGCTTTGTTAGGCAATGCAATAGACTGGCCGCATCAATTGGATATAAACTCGTATGATTGACTATCACACTACAAAGTCACTCCAAGAAAAGAGGAAAGATGAAGAAAGGAAGAGGCGGGAGGAGAGGAATAAAAAGAAGTTAGAGTTTTAGATGCCAGAGGAGGCCGAGTCACAGGCTTCGAAACAAGCCATGCCGCCGCTCACCCACACGATGCATAGGAGGGCGGCATCCAGTCATGCACCCGAATCAGCCACAGCAGCTGCCTCGCCTTTTCCCCATTTGCACCTCGGAACTTGCGAGCGGCCCTCTTTACTCGTTGCTCTGAGCGCCGGAATGGCCCGACACTCAGCATGGCCCAGCCACTTAGACGAGGCATGGGGAGCCCATTCAAGCTCGGCACTCGAGCAGGGTCAACCATTGAGTCGAACCTAAGCCTGTGGCAGCCATACACATGGGGCGGGCCAAGACGCCCCTGCAGCTGAGACTGCGTGACGTGACCGAGTTTCAACTGCGAAAAGCCACCGCGAAGTCCAGAATCCCAGATGCGGCGCGGCTCCAGCTCGGCTCAAGGGGAGCTTGGATGGGCGACAGGTTGACGCAGTGGTTAGCCGCCATTGGCCGAGATGCCGACGAGGTCAGCCGTTGGCCCCGCGTCACACTGAACACTGGCGGGATGGCCTCCATGTCTCCGTATCTTTGTTGTGGATGATTCAAGATGAGGATGTCGTGGTGGAAGTTGTCCAGCAGAGAAGAAAAAAAAGATTTGAACCCCTAACCTCTACTACTTTCCATTTTTACTGCTCTTTTTTATCTTACCTCCTCTCCTTCCTCATCTTTTCCCTTCCTCTTTCCTAGCCCTCGTGCCTTCCATCTTACATAGATCAAGGTACGTACCTCTTTAAAGTGGCGAACTCTCTCTCCGCATCAGCTCTCAAATCGGCAATGCACCAGCCCAAAGGATCCACTTTCCCCACCACTATGCCTTCCTCCTATACTTTCCCCCGGCCCCGGTGCACCGGAGCTCTTTTGCATGTGAAGTGACGCATCTGCAATATTCCTGTACATTCCCAGCGTCAACAGACAAGTGATTCGACTACTATGTATTTACTGAAGAATTGTAGAAAAAATTAAATATATACAAGAGAAAAAAAGGCCAAATGGCATTCAGTCGGTCGAAGCAGTACGGAATCAATTTTACGGGCAAGAACGCTCCCACCTGAAGCGTTCACTTTCTTGGTACTCTGAGCGTCTCGAACACGATAATCCGCCTACTTGTAGGTACCTACCTACGCAAATAGACCGGAGCAGACTCGGTTAAAGGATCAGCCGTAATCAATATGGTGACATGGCCTAGCCCTGCGCCGGAAGCCAACATATAGCATATCCATTTCCATTGTTAGCTATTGATGACTCCTACTTCCGTTACAAATAGCTCGGTACTCGTCCGTCTTACCAGTAGGGCCTACATATTTCATAATCACATGGAATTACATCTTCCCGGGAGTAGATGAACCGACGTGCAGCCTACACCACCATCTCTGCATGGCATGTTAGCGGCCACCACTGGCTTGCCATCCAACCATCTTATCTGACGGGTAAGATGACAGCATTTCAGAGTAAGTCATTGCATTGCTTGCTTTCTGTTTTACTTTATTGTGTATTCCAGTTGGCTCAAAAACTACCAAGACAGCAATTCATCATCGCCATGCTAGTTCGACGTGCTCGTCTCCAAAGGCCCTGGTCTATAATCATGCTCTGTCTTTTGCGAGTGACGACATTCCTCTAGCCGCACACGATGTCGTTTCGAGATGCCACCACTCCAATACATATCCCCACAATTAGCCATGCCACTACAATGTCAAATTGGCCAGGGCTCTTTCATTGTTCAGCTCAATCGCCTTGATAAACGTCTCATACGGGGTCAACGTTCCCAATGCTCGTCGCATGTGCGCATTTACAATCTGGAGTCCGTAAACATAACTGGCATTGACCCAACCGAATCTATCATAACTTTACGTTAGCATCTCTCTGACGGATTCTCATGCTAACTTGTATATTAGCATCGAAAAGTTGAAAGACTTACCCTTCCTTTGCAACGCCCTTGAAATCTAGGCCTTGGTTTCCATACTCGGCGTCAACACGATGGGGGTCAATCGGCCGCGTTACGTCGTACTTTTCAACCACCACTCCGTTGAAATCAACAAACGCCTTAGTGATCATAAAGAGCCATTTATAGGCAAGACGTTCGGCTTCCTCAGTGAAGCTGTACCGAAGCAGACCTGTCCAAGCCAGCATCTGCTGCGGGGCCCAGCCGTACGGGTAATCCCATTGTCGATTCGGGCGTTCCAGCCCAATTTCACCCCGAGATTTCTCCGTTCCTGCTACCAGGCCTCCAAACATCTCGAACCGAGGCAGGCCCTTCTTCACCAAATCGGCAGCCTGCTTAGGCGATGCAAGTCCAGCCCAAAGTGCCCACAAGGTTGTAGCAGTCTCGTACGTACACCTCTTTCTGTTGGCTGTGTCGTAGTCAAAGAACATGCCCTCCTCTTCATTCCACATCAGTTTGTCCATTGTCAGCTTTCTCCGCTTCGCGCGTCGGTCCCAGACTGCCGAGGAGACTGTCTCGCCGGGCTGGTACGGCGTTCCCTGACAGAACTCGGCTGGAATTGTCAGCTTATCGCCAAAGAGACTTCGGATGGTTCGTGCGATATCCGTCTCATATTTAAAAAGTAGAGAGTTCAGATCAATTGTAGCGAGGTCAGCACAGACGCCTTCGAGACGGTACGATGTGTCATGACCAGATTCGCGCACTGCGCGGTCGTGCAAAAAGTATGCGTCCAACTCGGGCTCCTGGATCTCTCCGTAGTTGTAAGCTCGGACAAAGTCTTTGAACTCCATCTTATGCTTCTCAATGTATGGTTTCAAGATGTGAACGAAATGGCTAGCTTCTGTCTCAGGAGGCACGCCGAGGCCCTCTGGTCTGTATCTCGAAAGACCCGTCACAGGGTCCAGTCTAGGCTCGCAGGTCCAGACACTATGGTACTCCTTGATGGCTGCAAGGATCGCTCGTCTCAAGAATTCCTTTGAATCAGGCTCATGCTTGATCTTTTCGTACACTCGAAGAGCCATATCCGTCAGAAAAGGGGGTTGCGATCGACCAAGGTAGTACGATCGAGTGGCATTGAGAATTTTGCCATAATGCTCGATACAGAAGCAAAAGTTGAGGACCATTGCCTTGGCTAAATCGACTCTCTCGTGGATCAGCAAGCCGAGAGACTCCATGTAGCTATCCCAGCCGTAGAGTTCGTTGAAACGGCCACCAGGAACAACAAATGGCAAGCCCTTCAAAGTGTGCACCACATTGCCCTGTTCATCCTCCTCTTCCGCCTTCTCTACGGCCACGGCCAAGAGACCAGGCTTGTCATTCATGTCTCGAATCAGCTCCGGAGTAATCTTCTCCGGCAAAAGCTGAACATCAAGGCGGAGCTCCGGTCTATCGGCAGCAACCTTTGTATAGTATTCATACTGCTCAGGGGCTCCAACAGGAACGTAGATTCTCGGGCGGGGATCATCCGTCCAATCCTTGGGATCACGAGCAGCAATCTCAATACTCGAAGCATCGATTCGCCGTGTAAGGCCATCCCAGAAGTGATCTCGGATAAGGCGGGATAAACGGTCAACAGGGTTCTCATTCAGGCGAGCTTCATCAAGGATGATTTGCTTCCGCCCATACTCCTTTGCCAATGTCAATTCCTGCAAGAGATTCGACAGCATGTACGTTCCTCGGACTTCGAATCGGTTGTAACCAGCCGAGGCAGCAGTTCTCAGGGAAATGACTTTGGGGCCGTTATCCTCAATCGTGATCTGCATGTTTCCGTCGGTGTCTTCTTGGTTCTTCAGAATTTCCAATGTGGCGTCAACCTGCACGAGAAAGCGACGGCCCATCTCTATAGTGCTCTCATCTACACAATTGCGGTCAATACTTGCGTTCCATGCTCAATTCAAATATGGAGAGACAACTAACCATGGCTTCCACGTCTGAACGGCTCCTGAGCCCCCATCCTCTCCAGCTGCTTCACCAAGCTATTCTATAGCAAATCCAATTAGCATTTTGAGAGTGATGTAGTAGTTTACGTTCTTGCTACATAGGATGGCACCTACCTGGGAGTAGGTTCGGGTCCGCACTCCATAGCGGTTGCTATGCCGCTCCTCTGAGGCATAGTACGTCTTCGCATCGTCGAAAACCCCGTACTCCTCAGAACCGCGTGAGCGGTGGCCTGATGCGCTTGACATGAGGAATGTACGTGCTTGTGTATGTATATATCACTCTTGCTCGGATCGGCTGAATTGGTTGGGTTGTGTGCGTTGAGAAGCTGCCCGGGTATCAATGAGCAGCGGTGGTGGTGTCGTCGTCGTCGTCGTTATGGACCAGTAGCAGCAGGGCCGGAAGTCGCAGCAGCTTTCGTCCAACAATCTCGGGATGATAGATAACTTTAGGGCTCTGGAGGTGACACCGGCGGTCGGGTCTAGAGAAGAGTCAGCAGCGAGGAACACAAAGTACAGGCTACACGGCCTCGCATCAGGGGGGTCACGAGCGTGGGCGAACTCCCATATCCGTTACCACCACCTCCATCTACCTCATTACCATGACCACCACCGAGTGACAGGATGCATGGACCCTGCGGGGCATAAATTGGACGAGCTGGGGGTGATGACATAGTACGTACCGGTACCTGGTGGCAAAGGGCCTCGGCTGGGCTGGAATTGGCAGCAGATGGAGGTCGATACTGACTTGCACAGGTAGCAATGGCTGTAATGATGATACAATAACGGAGTGCTGGAAACGAATGTAGAGAACTTGGTCGATGCGATCGACGGAGGGGGCAGAGGCAGAAAAGGTCGACGAGCTGCATCGACCCGACGCTGCTGCTGCCAGACCAGTTACGCAGCTGTGGATTTGTTTGTTGTTCTATTCGTTCACCGCCCACCCCACTGTGGCTCCTGCACGGGATGCGCGCTGGAAGTGACGATATGACGCATGAAAACCAGACATATCTGGGCCGCCAGCCAACAGGGGCCCACGTAGCGCTGATAGGGATGCTGGGCCTTGGCATTCCGTGGCTAGAGCCCCCACGTCCACGTTTCTGCTCCCACAGGGCTTCAGCGCTGGCTGCCAGAGGGCACCCCTTTCAAATCGAGGCCGTTACAGGGCATGCAGCGCCCTAAGGGCCCCCTTAATCGCCGTCTCTGCCGGACTCGGCCGCTAAAAGTCCTTCCACCAGCGGTCCACCGTTTTTACGCCAGCAAAGGCTGATTGATTGCAATAACGACAAAACACCACTAACAATAGCATTGTTTTTCAAGGGGCTCGTACCAAACTTACATCCGCCATCAAGCCACTTTACACAAGGGTTACAGTACACGCTTCAAGGGCCATGTAAGATAAAGGGGGCGAGAACGAAGCTGAGGATCCTACAGGTACTGCCCGAAGACGTGCAGCGAAGTACAGCGCATCTCTTGCCCCCTTGCAGAGGTACAAGTACCACGGGAATGCCTCCTGAGACCAGAGCACAGCAGGCATTCTCGCCGAAGCTTTCCTTGCTTCCAATGCTTGTTGCAGTGAAAGCGGCAGCCAGTTTGGATTCTGCCGCATCAGCTTACATGCACGCCAGCTACACGTCGTACTCGGGTGTTTTGCCCCCGAAGCAACTGCGTGGGTAACTTTCTCTCTGCATCGAGACTGTGATACAAGCCGGCGTTTGTGGAATGAGCAGTCAGACTGTAATCGTATGGTTTTACATTACACCACTAGTATTAGTCGTAGTATCTACTCTAGACATAGACCCCCAGCCTACAAGACTGGGATGAAAAGCAACCCCTACAAGTTGCCATCCGTATTTCGTGCAGGCTCGCCAATGGGTTCATTCCCACCGTTGCACAGACCGGGTTCGTAGCCTCCAAGCTCAAAGAAGGCGTACTAGGTATATGATACTTCAAGACCCAGGCGTCTCGGAAGTCCGGGGATGGATCCTGCGGCGTCTCGACTTGATCATGTGTCTCCTAGCTTGGGTGCTTCGAGACGCTAGCAGTAAGAGTAAGAAGCATCAGCAGCACGAGCTGAGAAGAAGATATCAAATGCCCTGTTGGATCAAAGAGCGCCAACGTCGATCGCTATCCATTCCATTTTAAATTGAAAAAATAATGGCATTCAGCATCAAGTAAACCAAAAAGGTATAAAAAGGGCAGAAAATTCGATAAATGATAGGCAAATCACTACTCCTAATATCTCTCCCCAACAAAAAAGAAAGAAAGAAAGTTGTGTAAGCCAATGCAGCAGCAAAGTCAAAATGGTATCTCGCAAACAATAATCTCAAACGCCCAACATATTCGACCCATCGGCTTTTTCTGCTCGCCCAGCTCTAACTCACGACTCCGACGAGTCCCGCGCTGGCCTTGGCCTCGCACCCAGGCGGCTCCTTCGTTTGGCAGCCGTCTCAGCATCCCACAGGCCGGCGAACACAGCCTCGCACTCTTCATCGTCTTCGGAATCAAACTCAACTTCGCTGTGTCCTTGGCTGTCGCCATCTTTCTTTCCCCTGGCAATTTCTTCTTCTTCTTCTGCCATTTCATCCATGAGCTCCAGGCCCTCGGAAATCGTGACGTCCTCCCAGCTCCGATGTGTCACCACCCGCTCCGTCTCCAAGATAAACTTGCCCACTTTGTACTTTTGTGATTCCTCCTTGGCATCCACGTATTTCCAGCCAAGCTTGCGGGAGCATATTCCGCAGCAAATATCTGCCACGACATGCCATCCAGTGACAAGCTGGCGATTCTCGTTCTTGCCAATGCGGACGTTGAGCAGCGACACGGATGGCGCATTTGCATTCGCCGAGTCTGCTAGAGGGGAGATCAAGTACGCGCGGCCATAGCGACCAGTGAACCCCTTGGAAATAATCTGCGAGGTGAATGCAATGTCGGTAGCACAGCTCGAGCAGCGCAGCGTATCTGCCGCTGTCCGGGAGAGTCGTCGACCAGAGATTTTGTTTCCCAGTGTAGTGATTGCAGAATCGCCGTCGGGAGGAGAGCCATTCGGCGTGGTCACTGCTGATAAAGCGCCATCGCCAGGACCGCTAGAGAAGTCCGACGATGTGGAAGATGTTGAGGATGTCGAGGATGCAGAGCGGCGGCGACGTCCTGGGAAAGTGAACTTGAAGCTCGGAAGCAAGTAACTAGGGAATATCGGCTTTGTGGCCGCAATGCCGCTCTCTCTCACCATGACGCGAATATCTTCTTCGAAAAAGAAGGCTTCCCAGATGCCTCCCGCCATGGATTCGGGAAAAAGAAGGTAATCCAGCGTTTTTCTTTTCCAACGAGCTGTTTCAGCCCCGTCTGCTAGCCGATGCTAGGTGGCTCGATGGGCTGTAAGGGAAGCTTTCCGGTGGCTCAACGAAAGGCCGACGCCGCCCAAACTCTCTTCTGGTCCTACGCGCGCAATTCAGCTCAGCTGCTACTGCTGCTCCTCGGTAGTTTAGCTCGTTTTTTATATGACGAGTACCGGTATTGGCTGATAATGCGGCCGATCAAGCAACCCCGCAGACGGTGTGTTTGCTCCGATGTAACCAAGGCGGCAATACACCTTATGCTCCCAGTATTTTGGGAGGTGTATCTACAGGCAAGTTATTCACTCATTTCCTCCATCAGAAGCCCAGCCGAACGAGCTTTAACAGAAAGGTGAGGGAAAGGCCCCCGGCCACCTGAATAAGGTCATGGGGCGTCAGATGCCCTTTAGTGAGCGATTAGCGGCGGGCTGCATCGCCGGTACTTGGGCTCTGACGTGCGATTTAGCACCATCCATCGACCATCCATCGGGTTCAAGGTGCCACTAATTGGGCCGCTAACCCGGTCGCGCACGGATGGGGAGGGGCCTCTGGCTTTCTAGTGTTGGTGCCCAAGTTGACTAGTGCCTCTAAACAACATTTGATCGAGAGTGAACAGTTATTGATGACACAATCAAACGTGGTAAACTTCATATGAGTAAGAGTATACTTGGTCGATAGAGGAGACAAGCAATATAGATGAAACTTCAACATTTAATGCGACGCTTATGCGTAGCTTTGAATCCTTGGATTTGGTATATAGGATACACATCTTGTTTCTGATACTTTGTTTGGGATTTTTTCACTAGTTTTTGCTTCTACGCTTAGTTCTGGGGCTCCTCAGCGACGTAGTGCAGGTAAGCACCAAGCATCTTGATGCCCTCAATGTAGTTGCCCTTGTCAAGCTTCTCGTTGATAGAGTGAGCACCGTCTGTTGAGCTTCCCATGGGCAGCAGCAGGACATTCTTGCCGGTAGCCTCCTCGAAAGTAAGAGTGACGGGGATACTATAGAGGAATTTCATTAGCATTTTGCAAAGCGCAAAGGATCGAAAGACAGGAAATCCATGATACTACTCACCTTCCACCCTCACGAGTAAAGTCAGGGGCGACACCCCAGACACGCTCAACTGCCTTGGCAGCAGCAGAAAAGTTCCAGTGCTTTGGCGAGGCAACCCACCACTTTCCGGTGTGCTGAGCCCAGACCTTCATGCTGTTCTTGCTGCCAAGCTTGGCAAATTGCTCCTCCACGTACTTGTAGACCGCAGCGTTGGTAGTGTCAATGTCCATATCAGGGACAGTTCGGATAGAGAACTTGCCAGTGACCTTGGCGGGGATGACAGTCTTGGCACCAGGAGAAGCGAAAGCGCCCTCGATACCGTGGAGAGACAGAGAAGGGTATCTCCAGCGGGCCATCAGGGTTGGCTTGGTCTCATCGTGGATGGTGGTGGTGCTGCCGAGAGATTCGTGCAGGTCGCCCATGGTGAAGGCAATGGTGTCGTAGAGCTTCTCCTCATCCGCAGTAACGGGAGCAACCTGCTCCTTGATGCCGGGGATGTTGATGTTGCCCTTGCTATCAACAAGAGATGCCATGATCTGAACCAGATCAGTCATGGGCTCGTGGGCCTGTCCGCCAAAGACACCGCTGTGCAAGTCGGCACCGGGGCCAGAGACTTCAACAGAGTAGTAGTTGCAGCCTCGGAGGCCGTAGGTCAAGCAAGGCTTCTCAGTTCCGAGCCAGTAGTTGTCAGAAATGCAAACGGCATCGGCATCGGCGAAGAACTTCTTGGCCTCCTCTCGGATCAAGTCATCCAGACCCTCGGATCCGTACTCCTCCATACCCTCAAAGCACATCAAAAGGTTGACGGGGAAGTCAACACCAGCCTTCTGGTGGGCCTCAATGGCGTTCAGCCAGCCCAGGACGGGTCCCTTGTCGTCGGTTGAGCCACGGCCAAACATGCGGCCCTTGTCGTCGACGGTGAGCGTGAAGGGGTCGGTTGCCCATCCATCGCTCTTCTCAGCGGGCTGGACATCGTAGTGGCCGTAAACCAGAATCGTTCGCTTGTTCTTGTCGTTTCCGTATCGTCCAAGAACAACAGGAGGCAGGTCAAGGTGAGGCCTGTGAGGCTCCTTGCCGAGCGGTCGAAGTTCAACCTCAGCACCCAAAGCCTTCAGCTCATCGGCCAGGAAGTGACCCATGCGCACAACATCGGGACGGCGGGCATCCTCGGCGGAGATGGAAGGGATAGCAACAGCCTTGCGCAGACGCTCAATGAAGGCATCCGCAGAGGTGTCAACCTGCTTGAAGAAGCTGTCGAGTTGAGGTGCCATCTTTCTAGCTTGGTGGGCACGGATCGAGTCAGTGAGGTAGGGTCGAAACGAAGGAGCAGCAATTCGAGGACGCTGGAGTAGTTGAGAAGAAAAAGGCCTGATCCTCGTCCAGAATTGACGAGAACTCATGAAGAAAGATGGTGCGGGGCATATCGCCCTACCAGCTGCTCAGCACGCGAAGATACAGCGCCTGCAGAAGCTTCACGTGGCGGGGCAGAGGGCAGGATGGAGGGGAACTTTTTTTGTTCCAGGCCGGTTACCAGCGGCAGCTGATGGTGAGACGCTGCATGGTACCGCAGCAGTACCTGAGCAGACAGATGCTCAGACGAGCAAACAGGCACTTATCGTGTGGACAGCGTGAGGTGGGGATCTAACACGAGAGGTACCCTGCAAGTTGCACTTGTCCCTCCTCAGCCTGTCGGGTATTTGCAGTAGTCCTAATTCCCGCCGCTAATACTGCTCCATGTCAGCCCGGAATACTGCTCCCAAACAGGAAGCTTGGGCACGTGAGATGCCGGCGGTGGAAAAACATTTTGCCTTAGCGCAAACGCTAACTGCTGGCAAGCGGCCTGAGCTCGCTATCAATACGCGCGCCTCCCATTAATAATGGAACTAACTGTCCCCAGTCCCTCCGCTTCTGTTTTTCTTCTCCTCTTCTCGTCCACATCAACGACACACCGTCCTCCCGCGAAGTCATCGCCGAAGCATCGTCGACTTGCGCCCAGGTGACTGCTCGCTTGCCATCCATCGATTTTAATCCCGCTAGGCTACGGCTTCAACGAATCAAGCGCCTTACAGCCTCCATTGTGAGGTCGAACAGTTCCGGTAGAACCGTACGCGTGCCCCATCCTCCAACGACCCATTCAGCGAAGCGATTCTCGCATCTCGCGACCCATCGACCTGTGATTTGCTCTCTGTTCCGCTTTACCAAATAAGTCTCGGCTTTCTTGTTTATTTGTTACTCTATTTTGGAATTTTGCTAGTCTGTCCGACGTGGGTTCCTGAGACGGCTAGCAAAGGGTTGTTATCTACTGGTGCATAGGCTGGTCTGTTATGGTGATCAGGAGGTGAGGGGGAACTCTAGGGTTGTCTTTTCCTTCTGGCTTCTACCACTTGTACTCGATTATTCGTCGTACCCATTTTTTCCCTATTGTCTTTGTCTTTCCACCAATTACAATCAGAATTGATTATTTTGAGTCCATCTTGAGTTGAAACAGCACCGAGGTGCAAAACCAAGAAAAGAAGAAGAATCAAAAGAAAAAAAGTTTCGCTAGCAGCAAGAAATTCTATACTCACTTAGTCAATTGTTTTACGACTGAGGTTTCCGACGTATTTACATCACAGATTCATAGCCCCTTCGACCTTACATTCTTGACGAGCCTAACGTCTCTGACCTCTTTTACTCTTTCACATTTCGTTGCTTGTAACCAAACAATCCCCCCTCAGCAAAAATGTCTTCATCAGTGTTCTTCAAATTCAAGTCGCAGAAGGAGCCCACAAGAGTGGAATTTGACGGTACAGGTATCTCAGTCTTTGAACTGAAGCGTGAAATCATCAACAAGAGTGGTTTGGGCGATGGCACGGACTTCGACCTGTTCATTTACACCGATGACAACAGTGAAGGTGAGTACTTGGAACTGATACCGAAAATTATCCCTTGCTTCCAGCAGCATAAATACTAACTTGGTATGATATAGAGTACGATGATGATACCACAATTGTCCCCAGATCAACGACGGTGATTGCTCGACGACAGCCGGCCTTAAAGCCCGGGGCTGGGCGAGCCGCCCGATATGTCTCTGGCAAAATGCCCGTAGCGGCTAAGAATGCCGGCCGCAAGGAACAGCTAGGGAAGGTTTCGACTTCCAAGCCGAACTCGAACGCTTTTAGCCAGATGAACGATGCTATGACGGAGGAAGATCGCATGGCTGCCATGTTTGCTGCTCAATCCGAACAATGGTCAGCTCAGCAAGAAGAGTTGTCTCAGTAAGTTGTCTTTGTTTGGTCATGCATTTTCTCTAGCGTAGGGTATAGAGTTGCTAACTGCCTGAACAGACAAGCACCAGTTTTCAAGCCAGGTGCTAAACGCCCAGCAAATGTCCCAGATCATGACCCTCCCAATGGATACATTTGCTATCGATGTGGAAACAAAGGTCATTGGATTCAATTGTGCCCTACCAACGATGACCCTGATTTTGATAATCGGCCCCGCGTCAAACGGACTACTGGTATTCCTCGATCATTTTTACAAAAGGTGGATAAATCTGTCATTCTAGCTCAAACTGAAGGCGACGAATCCAAGCGACCCTCAGGAATCATGGTCAACGCTGAGGGGGATTTTGTCATTGCTGAGCCAGACAAGGCGTCTTGGGAGCAATTTCAGGCCAAGGCCCAATCCTCTTCCGCCGCGGCCAAGACGGCAAAGGCGGAAGATAAGGAGGTGCAGGAGCGTGGTCTCGAATGTTCGATTGACAAGAAGATGTTCATAGAGCCAATGAAAACCCCATGCTGCCAGAAGACGTTTTGCAATGACTGCATCACCAATGCACTCATTGAAAGCGACTTCGTCTGCCCTGCTTGCCAGACTGAAGGTGTACTAATTGATGATCTTCAGCCTGATGAAGAAGCATCAAAGAAGATTCAGGACTACATTAAAGAGAAAGAGGCCGCCAAGGTCACTCCTCCCTCATCCCCCAAGGCCAAATCGGAGGAAGTGGCAAACAGTTCCGAGAATGTCGCTGGAGCTGAAGAAGCAGACAAGGTTGGGCTAAATAAAGCAACAGACTCTGAGGCGGACAGGCCGAAACTCGAAAAGACTGAGTCTCAAGAGGAGAAACTTGACTCACCAGCCACAGAAGTCGCCGACTCAGCGTCCAAATCTCCCTCAACCGAGTCCAAAAGTCTTGTCCTCGCTCCTCTGGCAGGGGACAAAAAGACCGAAGTAGTCAAAGCAGAAGACACTGCTTCAAAGAAGAGGCCTGCAGAAGATTTCCTCGAAAATCCTAAGATCCCCAAGGGCCCCCGTGCTATGCAAAACCAATCATCACAAAATACGATGAATGGAAACATGATGAATGGCATGCCAAACATGGGAATGAATAACATGATGTTCAATGGTGGCATGGGCATGATGCCAAACATGATGAACATGGGCATGGGTATGAATATGGGTATGAACAACATGGGCATGGGCATGGGCATGCCGATGATGAACGTGCCTATGATGGGGATGCAGGGCTTCAACAACATGAATGGGGGCTACGGAAACATGAATGGAGGATATGGTATGAACAACATGGGTGGTATGAACGGCATGAACAACATGAATGGCAGTAACATGAACGGGAATTGGGGAGGTATGAACAATATGGGCGGTATGAATGGCATGGGTAGCATGAACGGCATGAATCCCATGGGTGGAACGGGCAATATGAATGGCATGAATGGTGGAGGCATGATGAACGGCTATCAAAATGGCGGCAACTTCACCCAAGGTGGTGGCGATGACGATGCCTACTTCCGAAAGCCGGTCAACCCCCATCGACACCAGAACAAGCAACGCCGAGTCCGGCCAAGCGACTACAGAGAGCTCTAAAAGAAAGAGATGAAGAGAGCAACCAGAGCAACCTCTACTATTACGATATGCAGCACACAACAACCATCTGGAATGGCTCTGCGCCGAAAGTACGGCGGACGACAAAGGCGGCATGTTCTGCTAGGGGGTTTTCGTTTTCAACACACAGCGTTTAATATCGGATACAGCAACACCTAAAGGCCCCTACTTTTTTTTTTCCTTCTTGCATTTAGCTGGCGAAACACTGCACACACAACGCACACCAAATACGACACAACAATACATGTATGAACAGGGAGCAAATACCACACACAAATATAAAAAACAGGGAGGACGGTTCTCATTACCAGAGCTCAACTTGGCTTGGATCAGGCGTTTTTTTCCCTTCAACTTTTTCTGTTTTCGTCTCTTATGTCCATGAAAGAAAAATATTCGAATCGAGCCGTTTTAGCCATCTTCAATCCTCATACCTCTTTACAGATCAGCAACTTGCCCTTTTTGCCCCCGAAATGATGGACGCTGAATTCCGCATGTTCCATCTTAACCCTCTATGAGATTAACGAAAAGAGGGACTGGGTATTACTGTATGGTTATTTTCAGGGTGAGATTGAGTTGGAGACGGCTTTTTTTTTTTCTTTTTTGCTTTTCCCCCCCTCTTTAAGGGTGGCATGATGAAGGCGCAGGAAGATTTTTAAGTAGAACAGGTGTCCCAGAAAGGGAGCGTCAATTTAAGAAACTGAATTGTACACCACACACACATGTTTACACTGCACGTGAATTGAGTGAATGAAATAAGTCAAGACCAAAGGTGATGGATAGGTGAAATATGTAGACTATAAGGGCTGAAAACGCCTGGACTCCTTATACTAAATCTATTAGAAAGAATATCTAGTCGGTATACACGGCCCATAAGTCTTTGTTCGTGACGTAGATGATAATTTTTCTTTTCTTTTCTGAATTTTTTTTATGCATTTATTCTTTCTTGTTCTTCTCTCCCTCTCCTTTCTCGTCTATTTACCTCCCCTTGTCGTTTTTACTGCGGCGGAACGTACGGCTTCACCAGCATCTCGCTAAATTTCTCCAGCTTCTCCTTGCCTCGCACTTCCTCCACCAACAACGGCATCTTGACGACATTGAAATCCTCAGCGTAAAGCTCCTCGTACTGGTCAAGATACTTGCGCTGCATCTTCCTGCGGGCGTTGCACTGCTCGCAGTCGCTCTCCTTCTTAGGGAACAGCAGCTGGTTGACGACGATGCTGTGGGTGTCGATGCCGTAGTTGGCCAGCTCCTGGATCATGCGCTCCGTCTCGTATAGACTCAAGAACTCGGCGATGCAGACGCACACAAAGGTGGTCAGCTCGGCGTCCTTGAACTGGGTGTTGACCTCGGAGATTGTGGCGCGCAGGGACTCGAGCTTCTCCATCATCTCGTTGAGGTTCTGGCCGTTGGGCAGGGCACCGTTGGAGCCGAGGAAGCCGTTGAGCAGCGGGCCGTACTGGGAGGAGAGCTGGGAGACCTTTGCGAGGGCCTTTTCGAGGACGGAGGGGAACTGGAGGAAGCGGAGGGTGTGGCCGGTGGGGGCGGTGTCGAAGATGATGGTTTCGTAGGAGAGGGACTTGACCTGCTTGAGGACTTCGGCGAAGGACATGGCTTCGTCAATACCGGGGATCTACAGAAAGATGCGAGTTAGGTTTCATGTACTAAGAAGATGGGGAAAAAAAAGAAGAAGGGGAAACGTACAGCAAAGGCGAGATCCTGCATCATGCCTCCAATCCCCCCGCTCATGGCATTCAGGTCCTCCGTGTTCTCGCCCTGGCCAGCCAGCAAGTCCTGCATGCTGCCATTGGGGTCAATCTCCATGGCGCTGAGGTTGTCGAAGCCGTTGATGAGGCGGGCCTCCTTGCCGAACTTCTGGTTGAAGGCATCGGACAGGTTGTGGGCGGGATCAGTACTAATGAGCAGGACGGAGCGGCGGACTTTGGCGAGCTGGATGGCGAGGGAGCACGACGTGGTGGTTTTGCCGACACCACCTTTGCCGCCGACGAAGATCCAGCGGAGCGAGCGCTGGTCGAGGAGCGTTTGGAGAGACGGCTCGAGAGCGTCTTCGTCGATGACGAGGGCCATGGCTGTGGAGGTGCTGTGTTTTTTTTTAGTATGCGGAAGAACAGAGAGAAGAGAGAGAGAGAAGCAGAAAAGAGATTGGTGGAGGAAGAGACAGACGAGGCTGAGACTTGAGGGGGGTGACGCAGACGATTTGAGTTGGCGAGGCTACAGATACGAGAGGGAGTGGCGTTTGGAAGCGGAAAGAGAAGGATGGAGCGAAGATGGAGGGGCAGAAGATGACAAAAAGGATGCGACAGTAAGTGGTGTCGATATGGTGGGGGAATGAGCGTGTGTTTAGGCACCTAGAGCTCTAGCGGTTGCAACGCCCCGAGGCTGCCAATGAGACTGTAGCTGCATGAATAAGTTGACAGCGGCATGATGTAGATGAAGATAACAATGTCGAACTGCATAACACGGAGTCCTCCATCCAAGTACAGCGGCTTCAGCCTGGCTTTAACGAAGCATCTCATTGATGAAGCCTGGTGTATATACATACATGTACCTACTCCGCATATCAACGAGCAGAGCCATGGCCAGCGGCCACCTCCACCAACTACCAACGGCGGCCGGCGCACAGCGTGGCTGAGCCAATGTGCTGCCTCTGCTCCCACCGATGCTGATTGGATGCGCTGTACTTGCCAGCATGTGTCGAGTCCTACACTAACAAGGCCTGGCGGTAGGCCTAGCACTGTTAGTACTGCCCAGTAACTGAGGTAGCAGCAGCCGTCAATCATGCAGGTCCTTTAAGAATAGAAACAGCTCAGCCTTGGTCTCCTGCTGTCCTCGTCACAGCCTTCATTTCAGTCTCACGTTGCGCGCGAGTTTTATATAAAGAAGACGTAAAACCTTGTTTTGCATTCTCTCTTTTTCTCTTTGTCCTTGTCCTTCGCCACTGAGATTTGATTTGCATCTCAAGATTGAGTTGATTGAATCGATTCGACCATTTACCCCACCATCCATCCATCCATCTCAGCCCAGCCATCAACCATCGTCACACCACATACTCACAGCGAGAGAAATTCAAAGCCTCAGCCATGGCCGACAAAGACCGCATCACCTGCCACGTCCTCGACACCTCCGTCGGCCGCCCCGCAAAGGGCATCCGCGTGCGCCTCGAAGGCCCCGGCACCTCCAGCAGCCACGGCAACGTGCTCAAGACGTTCGAGTCGCTCACCAACGACGACGGCCGCATCACCGTCTGGCTGCCCTACAGCTCCGAGACGGCGTCGGGCGAGGTCCCCGTCTACACGCTCGAGGACGTGCTGGGCGCCATCCGCGGGCCCAGCAGGTGGACGCTGCGCTTCGACACCGCCAGCTACTTTGGCGAGGACAAGACCTTTTTCCCGGAGGCGACGGTGGTGTTTCGCGTCGAGGAGGGCCAGCATTACCATGTGCCGTTGCTGTTGAGTCCGTATAGCTACACTACGTATCGGGGGAGTTAGGAGGGGCATAGCATCATGGCATGAGAGAGGAACTTTGGAGGACGAATGGGCAGTGATATTTTGAGTCTTTTGTGAAATCAAGCCACAATTCAATGAGCCCTTTACAACTGTTTTTGCAGCATGCTTCTTACTCTTGCAAACCTGCCAATGATTGAACATTTGTTGACAAAAGAAGAAGAGGAGAGTGCGAGTCATGATGCCGCAACACTGTCGCTTTTATTACACACAACAGCTATAATCCCAGTCTTTTTATGTGCCTTCTTTGTCGTAAAGATACAAAAGAAAGTAGACAAAATAAATAATATGCCGAGCAGATGCAAGTTGTACCCCAAAAATATATAAAGACAGGATCCCCCATTTTCTCAAGGGGAAAGGCCGTATCGCTCTGTTGCCAGGTTTCCAAAAATATGCAGTAACCCCTTTTCTCCCAAAACTCCGTCGCTCATGGAAATGAGAACGCCCATAAAAACAGATAATAAGCTGTAAAATATATTATATAACACAAAAGAGAGTCGTGAATTCGTTTCGGTTTTTTTTTTTTTTTTTTGTCTCCTTCATTTTTTTTCTTTCTTGTGTAAAGGTGGTTGTCCCGTTTGGTGTTTGAGTAAGTCAAGAAAGTGTGATGCATGCTATACGCATGTATATATATATATAAAGTTGCCTTCACATCACTTTTTCCGTCCTGCGGTTTTCGTTGATCAAGACCGTCGCCACTTGCTGAACCGGTTCGACTTCTTGGGGCTGTGCATCACGCTATCGGGAGAAGAAGGCGGTGTCTCATCGTCCTTCTTGGTCGACTCGGCGCTCTCGCTGCCCGTCTTGGACTGGAAGCTGGCCTCGGAAGGGCTCGTGAGCTTGGGGGCCTCCGCCTGGACACGGAGACTGGTGCTGGAGCGGGAATGAGAGAGCGACAGGGACAGGACGCTGCTGAGGAGCTCGGTCTGGGGGGTGGCGAGGCCGTCAACGAGGCTTCGCTTATGCTTGTGTCGTCGGTGGAGGAATGAGAGGCGCTTGCGCTTGAGGGCATGATCGCCGGCGAGTTCGTCGTGTGAGATGCAGGCGTTTGGTGAGAGATCGGCGTCTGGGTGAGGAAGAGTGGTGTTGCTCCCTAGGACGGAAAAATGTCAGTAAAAAAAATATATGTATACCTTTATTTAGAAAATTGCATCCTGATGGAAAGAATGAAAGAAACAAAGAAACAAAGAAAAAGAAATCGGCGTGACCAAAAGGGGAGTGCTTACATTTATCAAAGGGTTCTGGAAAGCCCGTATCCCGGCTCACACGACCGGATGCCCGAGATGATGTCTGAGAAGCCATGGCGATGAGGCAGAAATGAAAGGGTTGAGATGAAATCCGATGAGTAAAAGTCGTAAATCCCCGCAGTTGAGCTCCTTTTTAACTTTGTCCTGGTACTTGTTCAAAAAGAGGAGAGAAAGGCAAGCGGGATGGATGGCGCCTGATGAACGCAAACAACCAAATGACAGCCTGGCGGCGCGTGGTCTTTGTAAGAGTGAGTCTGAGTAAGTTTTGGTGGCTGGTTGAGTGACCGCCCCGCCTGCAGTGCGTTTGGTGCTCGAGCAAGTACCCCTTGGGTACCTAGCAGTTGCGAAAGTTCAAGTTGTTGAGGCGAGGTGAGAGGCGCAAGGTAGGTTTCTGGATTATGGGTGTAAATGGAAAACGGGCGGCCGCAAGGTTTTGTTTAAGAAAACCCCCCTTGGGTGAGTTCTAGATCGGCCAAAGAACCATACAGAATAATAAATAAGAATCCTCCAGCAAGGGTCGCTTTGATGGTGCTTCAAGGAGCCGAACCGCCCGAGCCTGGGATGTGGGAAATTTCAGCGAGATGAGGGCGGCTACAACAAGATTATAAACAACGGACGGCCCAGCAGCCAGTAAGTTTCTAGTGCGTGTGTGGGGATGGACTTGGATTTGGAGAAGAGGGAGGAAGGGCGGGAGAGAGAGGAAATAAAAGACACAGATGCTTGTTGCAGATTACGGCAGTCCCTATGTAATATGTACCTCGCGATTAACCCGGGATGCAAGTATGCAAGGCGAAGGCGTTGAATCGTGCCAACTGCGGCATGGGTGAGTTGCTGCTAGTGGCCACCACAGCGAGCACATCGCGGCCCGGAGGCAGCTGATGGGGGAGAGCACAAGTAGCACCACCTGGGACCTGCCTAGTGCCCCGGCAGCCGTAGCCGTCGCCATCGCCGATAACTCGGAATTAGTGTCAATTCCATTCCTTGAAATCGCTGCTGAATGCCTATTTGTGCCCAGCTCGATGATTGATTGGCTGTGGCTGCTCTGTAGCAGGCATTACGAGTGCCATTGGGGCTGGTCCCGTCAACGGGATTCAACGCCTGGCCATTTCTTCACCGCGCCGCAGCACTGACGCTTCACTTCAACCCTCCCTGCCCGGACGCTCTCAGCAGGTCATGGGCTCCGGTGACTGTTTAGCCGTAGTACAGTACAGGTACCTGACATCAATGTATTCGTACTGGCTGGCCCTGCTGAAAAGCCCCAGTGTCAGACATTTGAGCCCTCCCGGATCTGTCCCATGGGTGTCCGGCAAAACAGGGGCCGTCAGATGGAGTCGCTAATACGATATGCCTCATGTACGGAGTACATACGCTCTTTGACTCTGTATAATGCATTAGACCCAAATCAAAATGGGCTTCTGCTCAGGTACTTTGGCTTTGGGTCAGTGCTATCGATTGCCTGCTGCGCCTCGCTCCTGGGTGGAGCTGGGGCGAGTATAAGGTAATGAAAAGGGACATTACGGGGGCAGACAGGAAGGGAAAAAAAAGCTGGGGAATCGTGTAGGCGAGGGAGCAAGTTCTGGCTACCGATGGAAGCTTCTTGGTCTCGCGTCTATGTGGTGTTAGTGGCGGTCCACGGGCTTGAAGAGCCAAGAGCCAAGAGCCAAGTGATTTTAGCAGCGCGCGAACAACGCCAACACAGGGTGGAGATGTTGACATGGCAAATCAGCTTCAGTCAGTTTTGTAGCCGCTGCGAGGATGGAATCAGGACGGGGTGGCGTGAAGCGCTGCATTACATGTCCATGAATTGTTTCAGGCCGTCCAGTAGGACTTTGCACGGCACGCCAGAAATGAAGCATGACGTTTTCGCTATTGGTAGCTCCATATAGACAGCGCTTGGACTTGTGCGAATATTTCATCTAGGTAGTAGCACTAGTGTCTTGTACTCCTCTCAACATGATATTGCGACGAGCCGTTCCAAGAGCTCTTGGTATCACTATAGCGTCTTTGACACCTATGAACAACACACCAAACGCCGCCAACCAGGTCGCTAATCTATATAGCTGCATGTAGGCAGAAGCAACCTTTACCTCGATCCGTCTACCTAGCAGGGTAGTTGACAAAACACGGGTGTGTATACTACAAGCTCTCAATCGTCAATTGGGCCATCCAGTCCCATTGCGAAGCTTATTCACTCAGCCACCTCCTTCACCGTCACTGACGCAAAGGCGAGAACACGATCAGCAAGACAGAATCCCCCTCACCCATATTTCTGGGCGTCTTCACTTCCTAGCCGACATTCTGAGCTGTTCGCTTCTTGGCTCTTGGCTTTCGATCTTGGCGCTTGGCGGCTCTGCCATCAGCCAGCCGTTTGATTACAATATCATACATGTACACTTTATACAGGCTAACCTCGTCTCTGGCGTATTACGGGCGCTAGAATTTGTGCAACAGGATTACTCATTGGAGAAGAGCAGAAACACACATAAGCTGGTTCGTGCCCACCACTCCCCCGTCGTGCTGTTACCTACAGTAAAAGCCTAGCCGCTCGGACAGCGTCCATGCCATGCGAGAGCGGCAGGCGAATTGGCTTCGCGCCCTCAGAGCCAAAGAGGCCAGCCTATCAAACATGAACCGGCTCCGGGGGGCCGAGACGAACCAGACACACGCCCAGTTTCGAGACCAGGCGGACCTGAACCAGTCAATCCGCATGTCTGATTCATCGTGTTCACTAAAGAAGAACAAGAAGGCGGCACGGTACGACGGGCTGGCGGCTAGAGCTGGACAAGACTCGTACTTGTAAATACAATCTCATCTATACGATCCCGCAAAAGATCCCGCAAACGCCACGGTGACAGCAAAGGGTAAACTTGTACAAGTACGTACGTACAGTACCGCTACTTGTAAGCTCGCATTCGCCTCTTTGCTTCTGTCTTCCTCCCTCTGGGGCTCGGCGCTGTCGTCAGCCGCCGTCGCAGAAAATTGGCCACTTCGGATGAGGTGTGCCGCCCGGCCAGTCTCCGATTTCCCAACAGATTGGATTCGGGGCTCATGTGCTTTTCTGGCCGCTGTCTTGCCTAGCACTAACACGATCACACCCCGTGCGTGTGTACTTTTGTTTCTGTACTGCCACCTGCGCTACTGTAGGAGGGGATCGGTGTATTGAACATGCCAAGGCGGTGCTCCGCAGCTAGCACGGATCAAGTCCGAGAGCGTTTGGAGACGGAAGCAGACGCCGGTGGCTGGTCCCTGGCTCCGCAGCCTCCATCTCTGGGACTGGCCTCGGTCCTTTGCAGAGTAGCATCACCGGATATACAGGTCCTTGGGCTATGCAGCAGTAGATGGCGTCTACTACTAGTAGCTTGATGCGTTCAAAGCACGAGTCACGTCCTGCGTTGTTCGAAAAGAAAAAAGAAAAAAAAAAAAACCAAAAAGGCTCATGACCTGACCATCCATGCATCGCTTCTGCTAGGCACGCAGCAGCACGATGCGCCATGTGCATGCAAAGGCACATCTGCCTCCTCGGATTGGCAGCAAGCCAGCTAATGATTGCTAGAGCCGCAATAGCGTCGCTCCCCTTGCACCCGCTACGAGGCAGGAATACAGCTGTTCAAACACACTGAGACATGCATGTCTTGAGGGGAGAACAAGTCTACTGCCAACCGATATTGCCCATGTTTTGTACAAGCTGCATCGGCTGTGGCTGGCTGATGCCAGTGCTCTGCATGAAGCTAGCATCTGGCGGTGACGGGGTACAGAGAACTACAAGCCCCTACTAGGTGTCCTAGTCAATGTACATGCCCAGTATCGAGCAACCCTTCAACAATCCATCAAGAGCGAGATTGGAAGCTGAGAAAGACTAGGCTGGGGTCTATGCGAAGGGTCGATCCATCGATACCCGGGCCATGATGACAATGGATCGCCTTCTGCCACGGGAAGCGGCATCAGCTCTCGACTTACACTTGGCGGTCCACATGCCTAGCGGTGCAGTGGTGCTACCACTACGTCAAGTTCATGCGGCGTTTCCGCTGCTGCTGCAGATGCCGGTCAAGATCCGGTTCAAAACCACCAGCTCATCCAGCCGTCATCGCCTTTTTACTAGGCAGCCCCGTTTGCCATTGCAGCTGATGCCAATTCCAAGCCGAGCATCATGTTTGGGAGTCAGAGGCTCTCCTGTTGATCCGTATTTGCCTCTCGGGGCTCAGAACCATGGCCGACCGGCGATATGGAGAGCCCCACGAGCTCCAGTATTAGGCGCCTCATTCTTCTTCATTTCAATACCTTACTTGTATACACGTATGTACTCTAATATGCGGAATCTCATCCACTAAACGCACGCCTTTAATCCAGTTATCGATAAGTAATTACTGTCCCGGGAAGATCCTCTTTGAAGCGAGATAAACCGTAAAGTTGTCAGTCATGCCATCAATGCTCCTATTCAAACTCCTTTCTTCCCACGGCGCGGCTGGGGAATTCAATCTTAATGCATCGAAATGCCAAATCTCGTCGAAATGACGATTCTCGGTGGCGTCATAGTCCCATTGATGGGAGAAGGGGATGCAGTAAACCTGAGCACCATGGAAACTTGCATGTCCAAATAATATCTAGATTGCTAGATACCTGGTATTAGCTATTGAGAGTGGATTCATCTGCCAACTGTAGCACTAGCAATCTGTCAGTCAGCTAACGATGCTCGCCATAAATTAAGCTTACAAGCTACGTAAAGAAAAACACGTTCTTCATTGTTGGCCCAATGCCGTAATCACAAAATCACATGCTCTCAAATGCTGCTGCCAAAAGACAATCGACGTGAAAAATGCCTACCCGGGATTCCACACACAGTAAGCGGGCGTTTTCTTTGATCTTTTTTTATCAACGCATGGAAAGCCCGGATCGCGTGCTGACGAAGCACTAGCACCGCCACACCCGCGCACACAGCCTTGGCGGAACTCGTAATGCCGCACCAGCCACAGCCATGAAGGCTCTCCAGCGTCTCTGTCTTCAAGGACAATCAAACCCCTTGGAACGTCAACACCATCAATCACCATTTCTGTAATCGCCGGCCTCCCTTCGACCTACGCGCATTGCTGTGCCTGTCGAAGCCACCGACATGTCCGACACACCGCGCGGAGTCGGTCACACCGACTCCATAGACTCTCACGACTCGGCCCCGAGCAAGCCGGACAAGAAGAAGAGCCGTCGTCCTGCGAGTGAGTGCCTGAGCGAGCGCCGTGATGGCCATGTGCTGCTGGTGGAAGCTGGATCGCTGACGATGCCTTTACCATAGACACGGCCTTTAGACAGCAGCGGCTCAAGGCCTGGCAGTACGTCTTCCCCGCTCATTGAACCGGCGCAAAGAACGAATCTGGGCGATGCTGACTACTTGGCGCAGGCCAATTCTGACCCCAAAGACAGTCCTGCCGCTCTTCTTCGTGATCGGCATCATCTTCGCTCCCATCGGCGGCTTGCTGCTATACGCAAGCACTCAGGTGCGCACATATACCTGGCCCTTCTCTGATTCTGGATATACTGGTGCTGATGGGTTTGTTGTTGTTCTTTAGGTCAAAGAGATCCGTCTAGACTATAGCCGCTGCTCGCTCGATGCTCCGAATTTCGACAACGGCAATGGCTTCGGCTCCATGCCAAGCAAAGACGTAGACTTTACGTTCAAATCCTCAAACACCTCGGTCGATCCGCAGTGGGCCGTCCAGTCCGGCGTCAACATAACAGTCAACACAGGCGTCCACATCAAAGGCAACCGATGCCATCTGCGATTCACCATCCCCGAGAACCTGAACCCGCCGGTCCTGTTCTACTACCAGCTCACCAACTTCTACCAGAACCACCGTCGCTATGCCGATTCGTTCGACGTCACTCAGCTCTCGGGAACCGCCAGGTCGTACGGCGACATCCACGATTCCAAGTGTACCCCTCTCTATGGCGACACCGTCGACGGCGTCAAGAAGCCCTACTACCCGTGCGGACTTATCGCAAACTCCATGTTCAACGACACCTTTACCAGCCCCGAGCTCTTGAACCCCCCCGGAGCCAAGGAGAACCACACAGAGACGTACTTTATGGAGAACAACACCAACATCGCCTGGAGCAGCGACAAGGATCTGTACAACCCAACCAAGTACAAGCCTAGCGATGTCCTGCCGCCTCCCAACTGGCGCGAGCGCTATCCCAACAACTACACCGAGGAGAACCCTCCGCCAAATCTAAAGACTTGGGAGGCCTTCCAGGTCTGGATGCGCACTGCTGGTCTGCCCACTTTCAGCAAGCTCTACCAGCGTAATGACACTCAGGCGATGACTACGGGACGCTACGAAATCATCATCGATGACTGTACGTTATAGAACAACTCTGAAACGTCACCCGGCATGCTAAACTTTTATTCATAGTCTTCCCTACTACCGAATACAGAGGCACCAAGTCCATCCTCATCACCACCCGTACCGTTGTGGGCGGCAAAAATAACTTCCTCGGCATTGCCTACATCGTGGTTGCTGGACTCTGCGTTGTCCTCGGCGTCATCTTCCTCGCTTCTCACCTTATCAAGCCCAGGTAAGTCCATTTTCTATAGCGCCAATCCAAAGCCACCCCCTTAGCTAACATGTCAACCACCAGAAAACTCGGTGATCACACCTATCTGTCATGGAACAATGTCCCTACAGCCAAGCCTGGCGCCGGCGGTGCCATGGCATCCGGCCGTGAGATCCGTCCCGATGCTTAGGCAACTCGCGATGGTTCCCGCGCCGCGCTTCACATGGCCCCGATGTCCCCTGGTAGCGGCAGCTCCAACTCTCGGATTTTCCAAACGCCCGTAAGCCCGAGGTTTCGAAACAAAATTTATGACCGCTTGAATCAAAGGAGCATCCGGAAAGGGTAATGTGCGGCAGCAAAAGAGCAAAAGAGAAAAAAACGACGCAAACCCCTTAATTTTTACTCTTATTGCATTTTGTATGGATGTAATGCATTGCTTCTCCCCACCGCGCGTTTGCTGGTTTTTTTTTTTTTTTTTTTTTTTTTTTGGTTTACTATTTTCTCAATTTTTTTTTTCACCCTGTTCTTTCTCTCTTTTCTTTACGGGCATCAGTTCAAGACAGGTTGAACTTCTTTGACTTGTGACACTTTTCTTCTTCTTACAAAGTCATCCACGTTCTTTCATTTGACCACAGGGAACAAAACATGGGAAATGAGGTGGACGTTTTATTTGTCGTAGATGACAAACAAAAAAAAGTTCTTTCGGGAGGAGGGAAAAGTGTTTACAGAGACACTTTACTCGCCTCTCGATGAACTTGCTCAGGAGAAGGTCTTTTTTTTTTTAAACACTTGTTAACCTGTCGGAGTTGGGGCGTCGGAACCGTTTCGCCAACCTTGTATTTCTCTCCCTTTCTTCCTCATCATTCTGGAAGCTGGGAATTAAACCTTTGATAGAAAATAGTAGCAATGTTGTTTTCGTAATCATGCCAAGGTGCTAGATTTGAAGATTTGCTCTTTTGCTGAATCAAATAACGTCTTAAAGATGCACTGCACGACGATTTGTATGTAAATTCAAATCGTAAGAATCTCTCCTTTTTGTATTCATATTCAGAACCTCTCAACTACACTGAGCCTACTGGACCTATTAATAAATCATCATCATACGCCGCCTCGACCCAAAGATTTTCCTTTTTTTTTTTCTTTGCCTTTTTCTTTTCTAGAAAAGCACTAAGGTAACAAAGCCACAAAGCGATGGCTATTACACAGTCGAAAAAAGCAAGCCCTAGTAATTTTTTTTTTTCGGTAATACGAGCTCCAATATTTAAAACACTTTGCCAAAGAAGAAAGGCCCGATTCACCCCCTTATTAAACGTTTCGGCTACGAGCCATGTTATCTGATTTATATCCCCCGTTATCCGTTCGTTCATCGCTTGCGAGACTTCTTCTTGCCGCCGCGATCTTCTTCGTCGTTCAAGCCACTTTCGCGGTCGCGCTTGCTAGCCTTCCGCTCTAGCTCATCCCAGTCCTCGCCCTCGTCATCACTGTCAATATCGGCCTCTTCGTCGTCGTCATCACTTGCGTTGCTACCAAAGTCGGAGCCCTCTTCGCTGGACTCTGATACCTCATCTACTTCATCATCATCCATCTCGAAAGCAGATTCTTCGTCTGACTCATCCTCGGCACCAGAATCGTCTGAGTCAGCCTGCAAGAACGACCAACCACCATCAACGAAGAACTGGTGGGTATCTTGGTTGACAGTCTTCATAATGGTCGGCCAGTTGAGGTTGAGGGGACCTTCTGTGTAGGCGATGTCGGAAGAATCCAAGAAATCCTTGACCTGGTCAAGGAATTCGACAGGAATGGTGTTGATGTGATACGGGGCACGCGTAAAGTCTTTGAAAACGAACACCATGTCAAAGTTCTTCAAACCGAATTGGACACGTTCCAGGTGAGCGACTTCGATGTCTTCAATCGTAATAACCATGAATGGCGGTTCCACAACTTGGATCAGGCAATCCGTGGTTGGTTGGATGAAGACGTTACTGCGGAAGGGCACACCGTTGAACCCCAGGTCTCGGATGGGCATATCAACCTCAATATTCTCGCTACGGCCGGCCTCAGCAATCTTCTGAGCAAAGCCCTGGAAAAGCCTATCCAGCTCGGCACGGCGGCGCCGTTCTTCTTGTTCAGCTTCAAACTCGTCTTCGTCTCCATAGCGGTACTTTCGTTTTCTGTTTCCAGTCTCGTCAAACTGAATGTCAGTCGCCTCACGGTAAAATTGCACGTCCTTGGTCTTCTTCTTGTTGCCCACGAAAATGGGGTCTTTCAGATGAATGTGGATAATGACAATCAGCTCGTGCTGACAAGGTTGGAAGAAGAGGTGCTTGACATTCGAGAAGAGAATGTCTACGCGATGCTGAGCGTTGAGAGGAGACTGATATCGGATACCATTCTGGTGAATCTCGACTTTTCCAGGCACTCTTTTGCCTTCCATAGCTGGTCGGATATACACGTTATCCAAAACAGCCGGGCGACGATCTTGAAAGTAATTAGTATCATCCATGTTGGGGCATACGTTGATCTGAATCTGAACTTACTTCTTATCTCCGCTAATTTGTCCTGTTCCACGACATCTTCCATATCTTTCTTCTCCTGCTCCTTCTTCACCACATCGCGCTTCAGGTTCGAGATCTGAGTAGCTATCTCACTGTATCTCTCTCCATCGAGTGACCGGAATGTCAAACTGCGAACGAAATGCGCGGATGCGTCCTCAAAAGGCTGGTCGTCTTTCCTGCCAACACCCTGGCCAGGAGACAGGAAGTTGATTCTTAGAAATGCGAATTCTCCCTCATCGCTCTTGCTGGCATTCTTAATAGTGTTGATATGAAATGGAACGGGCCGTCCCATGATGGGAAGAACAACCGTGCTGTTCTTTGAATCGACAACAATCTCGAGGTTCTTGATCTTCAATGGGAACTGGTTATCCCGCTTATAAGATTCAAAACGCTTGAACTTCTTGACCTCTCCTCCATTTTGACCGCTGGTAGATTCAGAGAACCTGGCCAGGCCCTCCTTCTGTTTCTTGGAAGCAAGCTCTTTCTGATGTTCACGACGCTTCTTGTCTGCATCATCATCCGTTTGCGTGGTACGTTCGGAACGAAGTCGGGTGCTGGTGATGTTCTTCGTCGCAACAGCACCGACTCTTGAGTCTCTCTTCTCCTTCTTCGGCGTGGGCTCTGCCTCCTCGTCATCTTTGAAGAAGAATGAGTTGGCATCGGCGCTTGTCGGCGCCTCAGATGTGAAGACCACCGGCTCTCCAGATGTCACTCGAATGGTATCGGTAAGGACAAGTGAGTAATTTTTGCTGTTCTTGTCCTGGGGTTGGGGGTTCTCAATGTCTTGAAAGCCAGTGTTGATGATCAAAGTCATTCCGTCTTTGAGGACGCGCTGATTCTTGGCATTTAGTGTAAGAGTAGGATCTCTGTTTTCCAGCCCAACTCCCCAACCAACGTTCTTCAGGAAATGCTTTTCCATTTCTGGTTTCTTGCTCTTGATGACAGCTAGTGCCTTTGCGTAGACGTCTCTTGCCGCCATTCCATCGCGGATTTCCTTGATGATGGTGTTGTGTACCATGTAAAGGAGCTTGTAGTTGCTTTCTTGAGATTTATTTGGATCGACAAGGTAGGTACGTGCAATCGTTGAGCAGTACGACTTGTATCGCAAACCTAGAGCAGCAATGATGATACCAGCATGTAAGTTGTCATCATTGGGATCAGCGGCAAATCGCAAGTCGTATTTGCCACCGCTCTGAATCGAGGGCCCCAGAATCCAATCCAGCTGAGTGGGATCGAGGTCCGAGGGCAGCTTGCCTTTGCTAGGAAGCTCGACCGTCTTCCAAAAATTATTATCATCGAGCTTTTTGTCGACTTTGTCTGCTAGCACAGAGTGTTTGACTTTCTTCTCGGCATCGAGAATGTTGGACATTTCATCGAGGAAATAGGGGGTCATGAGGGCCACGCAAGCCTTGGAAGCAGTTCGCATCGCTCGTAGTTCGCTTTCGTCTTTGATGGAGAAGGCGTGGGTGGACAAGGCGGTGGAAATGTCGACTTCCTCGATGTCTTTGCACTGTTCGCTAAACACCTTCTTCCACTCGTCGACGAACGGCCCCTTGGATGTATCTTTAGAGACGATTCCGACTTTCTTCTGTTGTAACAAGCAAGTTAGTTTCTGCCTGCCAAACTTCACGTCTAAAAGGATGACTTTGTAGATGCTCGAGATGGGTATTCAAGGTAGCTTACCCCCGCTTCCTTGATCTTGTCTGCGACAGTGACAAACAGCTTCTCATTTTCGGCCGCATCTTTGCCTCGCACGAGCACCTCAATGGGGAAACGGCCACCCTTGAGCTGGTCGAGATGTTTGGCTGCCTAAGCCGTTAGTGTCTAGATAATCACAGTGCAGACTGGGCTGATTGGCGATTTACGTACCCTTCTTTGCAGTGGTGAGGATGTAGAGGGTGTCGACAGTGAACAGCATCAACGTCGTCGGAAACTCGTATCCCAAAAGCCAAAACTAAGAGCAGCAGGTCATTAGTTTTCATGGTCCAATTGTAGCAGTTCCGAGGCGCGGATCAGCACTTACGTGCACGGCGTTGTTCTTGTGGAATTCGGGGACCTCTTCGACCTTGCCCATCATGATAACGAAGGACGACACTCCGCCAAAGAGGCTATCTTTGGAGCGGAGATCATTCTTCCAGGCAGTGATGAAGTGCGAGAGGCGCTCCTGGAAGAGCTTGCTGTCGATCTTGATCTCCGCCATTGTGATTAATAGATGAGCATTTGGCAGGAGAGAGAGCTATTGCATAGATAGGCACTACATCTATGTAGGCACGCGGAAAAGTGAAGTCGCGTAAATGGGCAGTAACGGATCACGTGATCAACAGCGCGTCTGAGATCTCGCGCTACCACTTTAGGCGCTCATGGAGCTGCATAGAGGTGCGCAGTGTTTCAGGCCTGTGACAGGCAGTGAATATTTGACATATAACAAATGCGTTTGTATTCCCACTTATCTAAATAACTTGGGCTTTACCTACGTGCATGAACTTGCTTCTGGATTCGTCGATTGTGCCTAAATTAGATGCATAAAAGTAATTTGTAGGTACTAGTAGGTAGTGGGCAATGCACCTGCTAGGTAGTTGCATGTAGACATTATGTAGAAGGGTCTCATTACGCCTGATTCAATGTTGCCTGCAGGTGATTTGCCTTCCAATCTGATATCTACTCAGACTGGATGCTATTATCAACAGTAGGTAGGTAGGACTCATTACTAGCACAGTAGGAGCGTTAAAGTGCTATATAAGCTGATGAGAGATATCATGCTTACATGTATCCCTCCTTCAAGTGCGATATACGTCGCCAATGAGTCAAGGGTGTCATCGGTCTATTTTTAAAAAGCCATTAGAGTCCCACCGGCCAATTTTCGAGGAAAGGTGGTAATAGGCGGAATACTGGCGGATTCAATGTTTTTACGAGACTCTTGGGGGAGGTTACAAATGCTGTGAAGTTCAGAGCCCCTACTTACACAGGTAGGTAGGTAACTTAGCTGGTTAGTGATGCTAGCTGTGATGAGTGCTAAAATTCCAAGAAATAACCCTGAAGCCTCTTTAGCGAAAATGTTTCGCACCGTTGCCGACTCTCACAGCCACTGTCGCCGCTAACAGGACCTCCTACCCAAAAAACCCCCCCGCCTGGTAGTAGGTACATGGATGCGGCTCTGCGACTTTGCGGCTCTGCGACTTTGCGACTCCTCTACATTCCATCCATCCAATGATATGTATCACACCCTTCTCACCCTAGCCTCTCATACATGTTAGTCGAAACTGTATTTTAATTACTTTCACTACCGAGCAAATCAAGATCGCACTAAGCACTTCGCGTCTTATATCTTACAATGAAAATGGAGGCTCCAAGTCCTCAGCCGCCTGGATTGCACAAGACCGGAGTTTGCCCTGTGTTCCTTCAGCCGCCTCAGCCACATCATGACTCTCAGCGATTTTAGCATCCATTTTAGCCTCGTTCATTCTCGGTACACGCATTTCTGTTCAAATGGGCTAAACGCGACCCTCTACAGAAGTAACAGTAGAGAAAGAGACAGGGGGCCATGTACCCTGCCCTTGCGGCTCAAGTGCACATGTAACTATCGGTCCTGGCCCGCTCATCCCCATGGAGGCTCTTCTGTTCCACTACCACACAAAACCCCTACATGAGGCTTTCGCAAAGCCTATTGTCACCGAATGATTGCTTGCCACGATCTTTCGACAGCAAATGAATGGGCTTCTGACACGGCGTCTCACGTATGTCTCCAGATAGCACGACATTAAGGGGCGCTCTCCTGATATCTGATGAGACCGAACTTCTCCATGAGCCTCTTTGGAAGACACATGGACAAACGGATGGAATGTAAAATGTTGCACCAAAGTAGATAAAAAAACGAAGGAAAACGGGTCGGACGCCACTGAGGAGACGGGTACATGCATAGGCATCCTTGGCTATAACTGAGCACCCATCGCCGGATCCCTTATCACCACGCTTCTCCCACTACCCAATCATCTGGACCATTCTGTCTTTTACTACAAGGCCCCAACCATGAGTCTCTCCCGAGTACCTGATGAAATCGTTCTGCTCATCATAGAGAATCTGGATCCAGATGATTTGCTTCAACTGGCTTCAACTAGCCGCCATTTCAGGCATATTATCCATGATAAGATCATCTCCCGAAAGGCGCTGGAGGTTAGTTGTCATGGCATTTTCTCAGACATACTCATTTTTGTGCCATCATACTAAGCTGGAAATCATGCTAACTTTACTGAAGAATATTCCGTTTTCTTTGGACTATAAACAAGGCCAAAAGACGGGGGATTACGGCCAAGCACTGAGAAGACGTGCCAAGCGACGCAGCGCTCTTCGTAAGGCAAACCCATTTCATATTTTGGAAGTTTCCAGAGAAGCTGTTCATTTCACATACACCAATGGCGCTCTATGCTATACTACGAAGCAAGCCTCGCCTGCTCACGAGCATCGACTGCGGATTTTGCTTCTTGAAGGCTCTCCTGTCCAAGAACTAAACATCAGCATTCTTCAGCTAATATGCGAATCTGAAATTCCTGATTTCGATGAAAGCCGACCCTATCAATTCAAACCACTGTATCACGCAGAAGGCATCGTTTCATGCTTATTTGAACAAAGAAAATCTCATTCTCGCGGCCGCTGGTTGATAATATATAGCATTGAGAAGGGAAAGATTCTTCAATCTAAGCCGCTGCGCTCAACTGCGAATATTTTTGTCCGCAATAATAATCGTTTTCTTTACTACGGTACAAAATCGGAGCCATTTGACGGCCAGCGACGATGGGTGCTTCATGGATTCTCACTGGAAAGCCTTGAATGGCTACCTCGGAGAATTATACTCTGGGACTTGGCTGGTTCTGATATCGGGTTAACAGTATGCTTTGAGATTTTTAACGACCATCTATATGGCGTTTCTAGTCAAGAGCTGACGGAATTGGAGGATACCGAATGGACCGCATCGGGGCACCCTCTGAATTCGTTTTATTACGCCTTTCGGTTCCGTTTGGGAGATCATTCTACAATTGACATCTTGCCACGATCTGCACTCTGGCGAAGAGGTGCAACTGACGGACCAATCGACGATCGCTGGAATCATCTTCAGCTTGGGCAGGACGAAAGGTCTGGCCAAGTATCCATTTACGAAACTCGAAAGGAATGGCTCTGTTCGTGGAGCCAGCGCAGCTGTTATGGTAAACAACTCATTTTCCCCTCCCAATCTCACTTTGGAGGCTCAAATGCCGATGAACGGTGTTACGAAGGTTGGGACGATGCGATCCAACATGCAACAAGCCCAGAGGGCACAGTACATAGAGGCGACAATGGCTTCTCCTCTTTGACTTTTGATCTCAGCAATTCTCCTGTTCGTTCTTACAACCCTAGCTGCCAAGCCTTCGTGGACATTGTCAGTACTACCACATCCTCGAGCCCAGCTACCAAACGCCTTCGACTACGGGTAAGGAGACAATTGGACCCAACTTCGAAATCGGACCGTTATTCACCGTCACCGAACGACACTAGCGACCCTGCTAATACAAGGGATGACGAGGTTAGCCTTTGGCCAGCGGATCAGGGGGACAAGCTACCCGATGGACCCCCAGACACTCCTCTCGACCGCTACATTGACGGACTCCTGAACCCCCAGGCGTATTTCGATGAGGTCGATTGGGCAATGGATGAGAGGGTATTGGTCTATTCTCCCAAAACTCTTCATCAACCTGACGCGCCACGATCAATCATCCTGATTTCTTTTGATCCCGCCCTACATTTTGAAGGACTGGGTTGCTGGGACGAAAACTTGATGTCACCGCGTTTGGTCGGTAACCGCTCTGGCAAATCGGATATTCACTCGGAATGTACAACAAATACCGCTATGATGAATCTAGCATCTACGACATACGGAACTCCAAAGATCCGAGGCCTAGATTTGTCGCGTATTATCAGATCCCAGGACTCTACCCGAAAGAGGAAGAGAAGGTCCTCCACCACCTCACCGAACGATTACCGGCCAGCTGGGATCAAGTCTTACACCGAACCAAATACGACCCCAACCCCCTTCAGATGACTTAAAAGTCGAGGACAAAAGTGATTAATCATTTTCTATGTACCTTGCGTTACATGGGCACAAGCGTTGGGAGCGCATCGAGCGCATCGAGCGGCTCTTTTGGCTATTTGTTCTGCCGCAGTCGACATACCCTTGAGCCTCTTTCTGCGGCTACATCAGGGCTACTCTTGCGGCATTTCTTTTTATGCATGAGGCAAAATTGGCTCAGGTTAAATGAGTATACATTAATTTTCAAAGTCACACACAAAAAGCAGGCTTTCAGAGCACCTACAATTTTCGGTTCACCCAATCGGATGTTGTTGGCTTTGTTGTTATGCACGGCTGTAAGTGTGGTTGCACACGGGCGAGCAACCAAATAAATGAAACAACCAACCAATTAAAAAACATTTCGAAGAGTCACCGCTACGGCTAAACAACCTTTCAGCTACATCAGCAGTCATCTACCCAAAACATATTTATTGCCCTATCAGCACTTATCATCGCTCTCGCCATTTCGTTATACGTCACCACCACTAATGCACGACGCATTACTACAAGTCCCCTTTCATTTGTCGACTTTTCCGGTATATTATCACATGCCCAGCGGGATGCATGAAGCAATGCAAGTATGCTGTGCGTTGTTGTCTCCCAACGTGGCTCATTTTGGCTCATTTGTGTATACTATTGGCCTACAAGATGTCTTCTATATACGAATCTTACTGTACATAAGACACAACTGGATACTGTAATTCTTAATCTCTTTGGTGGTTTAATGGGAGCTGAATATATGTAGCTTATTGCATGGCGTGGCAAACTTTCATTCGTACAACTGTCAATCCCGTTAATTCCCGTTTGAAGCTGAATAGCAGCCCTCTTTATTCTTTGGGCCGTGATGCAACTGACGTGAGAGATATCGTATGGTACGACTTTAAGAGCCTCAAACGCGTCATATGATGCGGTGCTGTCTCAAACAGTGACATATCACAAACAGACTGACTAGTGCTAGACTAATACATGCGACCTATTCAACAACAGAGAAATCATTAATCGTCATCGTGGGATTTCGCCGCTTCATTTTCGCTTTATTAATAATCCTGATTATCGAAGTACACTATAGATGTATGGTAGGCTAACCTACTGATTCCCCGGTATGCTCTAATAAAGCTAAGAAAAAAAGAGACTAAAATTGGTGTCGAAAGGTTCTTCTACTTCTTCTTCTCCTTCCTTGTCCTACCCTTCTTTCCATCATTTCCTTACGCCCATTCACTGATACCAGTTGTCCCCTCCTTCAGTTTTTGCCTTTTTTTTCTAATTCAGCTGGACGTAATTTCCTGTTAAAAAAAAGGTTTCATTAGACTCTGATGATGCTGAGGTTCAAAACATTCTCAAGAGGAAGATGAACATACCTGGAAATTGCCCTTGCTTGCCGTTTATTCTCCCTGTCCACCACTCATTGTCGTTCTTCGTTCTCTGTATGATTTCGATAACGTCGCCTGCCTGGAAGCTCAAATCACCGTCTGCTTGCGCCGCATAGTCGTACAAAGCCGTCACCGTCTCGGGCGGCGGGGCGCCGCTCAGACGGCCTGGCTTGGGCTTTGGTGGTGGTGGAGGCTTCGCCTTGGAAGCAACAACCGACGAGAGGTTTGCTCCACCAGGCTTTGTAGCTGTGCTGTATGGCGGCGGTGCGGCCGCTTCACCATAGTCTTCCGTTTGGGTTTGGAAACTGCCAAACTTGGGACTCGTCTTCTCTGGCGTCACAGAACCTGCGGTGAGTAATCCCTGAGGCTTGCCGGCCTCAATGGTGGGGCGAGCACCATGCTTGGGAGGTGGCCGCCGCTGTCCGGTTGTCTTGAATTTTACAATGCCCAAGGCTTCAGCTAGCTCTTGAGCATTTCCTCGCTTGTCCTCGAAGGCCTCCTCAATATCCCGGGTCAGATCAAAGTATCCAATATCGCACCGCTGCATTCGCTCGTGCAGTGTGTAGAAAATGTTCAGCTGCATGTAGTAGAAAGACTGGAAGAGTGGCTTGATGAACTCTTGCTCCAGCAAGAAGAGCTTGGGCAGCTCATCCTTCAGCAGGTTGTTGTAGTATTCAAAATCTTGCGTGGCTTGCTCGACTTCGCCCTCGGCCTTCCACATTGCCTTTTCATCTTTGGCGGAGCGATCCTTCTTATCCTGCAGCTTCTTGAGAGTAGCACGGTGTCGATCGTAGTCGAGTTGCTTATGATCTCGCTTTAGTGCAGTCTTCCGAATGACCTTGATGACGTCTAGCAGCTCGTTGGCAGGTCGGATGACCCTGGTCTCTATCGTTTCCAGCTCTGGCGCCAGAGTCTCTTGCAGCTCCTGAACCACAGCCTCGTACTCCTCGCAAGCCGCGATGCCCTCTGGGTTGCCTTCGGGCTTTATGGAGTCGGGGTCGGACACGCGCCCGGAGATGGGCTTGTAAACCTCGGTCATTGCTTTACTAAATTCAATCTGGTGGGACAGCATGCCATTGATGGCCTCGAAGTATTTCTTGGACTCATCGTGGAGCTTCTTCGTCTCCTTTTCCAGCTCCTGGAAGCGGCGTTCGGCGTCGATATATACTGCGTCTTTCGTGTGCTCGCCGATGTTGAACCTGGACTTGAAGGTTTGCGGCGCCTATATTGTAAGCCCAGATTAGCCACTGCATCGCATCGCAGCTGCATCTCCCGTGGAGGTTTTTTCCCGCCCTTCTTCTTCAATTCTCTTGGCTTCGCCCAGCTTCGGAGGGGCGGATTTCTGTTGCGGCCGCATGAGGTGAGGGGCAGGGGGAAAAGCCAGAGGAAATATTTACCCTAATAATGCTCTTCTGGAAGCCTTTGAAACTCATGGCGACGAGGACTCTGCGGAATGTGCGTATGATGGAGAGAAAAGACAAGTAGAGGTTCTGGAGGCAAAGGAAACCAAAAGTCCGCGCGCAAAAGCACCGGCGATCCGGGAGACGGACAGGTGCCTTTGCAAGCTGGGTTGCAGGTCAGCGGCCAAAGTCTAAGTCGATTGTGTGCAGGCGGACAGTGACGACTTTCCAGTGGCTGTGTTGGCGCGGTAGGCGTTGGAGCTTGTGGCGCAGCGGAAACTCCGGGTCGCTGCAGAGCCCTCTGGGCGCCGGAATTGGCCACTAAGCTGCGAAGCTGGGTTCCTGGTCTGGGCGCTCCACGCTCCGTCAGATGACGTTGTGGTTGCTTGACTGCAAGCTTGGCAGGCAATACTAACTGAAGGCATTAGAGATCAATGATGATTACCTGGGCCTAGTCGCTGCGCCGTCATCCCAGCGCGGCACGTCTAGCGCCCCAAGCGAAGGGTGGAAAAGCAGGGAACGGCAAAATCGTTGAGCTCATTGGAGTAAAATTACAGACGTCCAGAAACCGCAACTGGCTCATATGCCATTGCTTGTATTGATGCCATTTTCGGTATGCGCTTGTTCCATTTGCGGCCCCGATAGTGCTGCCGTTCACTTGGCGCCGCATTAGACTAGCAGGTCTCCAAAGCCCTGTAAAACGGGTAGATGGCGGTCCTGTACGTGTATTGACAGCCTCTTGCTCACGTAAACGCGTCAAGGCGTCTCAGGTCTCCTTACAGCAACATTCAAATTGATAACCCCCATCTCGTTGCAAATAGCACCAGACCAGCTTTACTCAGCACAACCCAGAATTCATCTTGAGTCGAATAAATTTCATCAACTCCATCATCAATTACCGCCCGCCATGGCCCCGCCCACGGAATATGATATCCTCACAAACTATCTCCTGCAGCCAGCTCCCCTGCCTTCCATAACCACCTTTAACCAATTCGCGCTGCTATTTCCCCGGGCACTGCACAATTCATCTCAGCTGCGGTCTCTCTATCGCGACCTGCAGACCCAGCGCAACGTGGTGGTTGATGCCGTTGCCGCGAGCATACAGAACGAGGTGAAGCGCGGAGCGGTTATGAGAAAAGAGGTTTTGCGGCAGAAGAGGGAGGCGGAGAGAGATGACATGGACGGTGAGGTTGAAATGGAGAGAGCGGTAAGTCTCATTCTCATGTACCTTGATTCTCTTCTCTTCTTCGTCTTTGCAGCAAGCAGGAACATGAATCTAAAGCTGCATACCCCTTTGTACGTTGCCACTCAATGTTTCATACTGACCAGAGAGCAGCTGTTTGGCCACGATTCCGGCGTAAAACGAGCCATGCACAGCCTAAACTCGGTGATCCCAGAGCTTGAAGGCGCAGTTGGTGCTCTGGAAGCAGAAGTTAAGAGGCTCGAAGAAGAAGAGGCCGCTCTTCAAGACTCCATTCAGCAGACCGTTGGCGGCTTAAGCGATCTTCGTTATGGCAAGCTGTCCAATGGCAATCTTCGCGACGAAATCATTGACGGCTTGAAATCACTCCAAGAAACATGCGAGAGCAAGTCATGATTTAAAAAATTGGACTTTTCCCATTTTTTCCCGTCATAAAGCTACGTATCTCATCATACCCAAAAAAGTCTTTGACCAACAACCCTCATGTTGGCATTATTCATAAAAGACAAGCCTCCCGGGGTCTATTCCCCTTTTCATGATATACATCACTTCATCCAATGCTCTATGGCTACCTAGATATTCGAAATCCTGCCAAAGACAAATCATACAGACTTTTTACAAGCCACTTGATTATTTTCGTGGGGCGGCGGCGGGGGCTCCCTGGGGAGCACCACCGGGCTGTCGGTTTGGCTGCATGCGGTTACCCCTAGATTGGCATTGTTAGCCATGATTACGCGAGAATAGCTTGGAAAATGGGCACGCAAACTTACATGAAGCTTCGGCTAGCGAAAGAAATAATCAACATAAAGGCCCAGTTGGGGAGGAGGCCGAAAAACCACATAAGGTATCCAAGAGGAGTGGCCAAGCCAAGCTCAACGGCCTTGCCGTTGAAGGGGTGGAACCAGGAATCGACGAGGGTAAAGCTGTCCTTGTTTCCGGCCTCGTGCAGCTTGACAATGTCGTCAGAGGTGACGGTGGTCATGTTCAGCCTCGTCTTGTAGATGTCGATGGGGGCTGGCTCGGGAAGCATCTCAATGGCCCAGATGTTACCGGGATTGGCAGACCAAGCGTTGCAGAGGACGGGCTGGTTGTCACAGTTGACAAGGCCCATATGGGGAGTGTTTGGGAGCTCCGCAAACTTGGTCGCCGTCTCGTTGAAGGCAGCCTCAATTCGGCCACAGTGGCCTGGCGCAGGCTGGGTTAGCCATACAATTTATACCAATTGAGATACATTAATCCATTGAGGAACTTACCGAAGCATGTCTTGTTACCGCCGCTGAACAAAACATACCACTCCTCGGGCGTCTTGGATCCGGGTGCCACAGGCTCGTAGAGCGTCTCCTTCCAGTTGTCCAGGCTCAGGACAGACAGCTTCATAGGACCCGTCTTGGCCTCGTGAGCGCCGGCGGCATCATATGAGCCGGGAAGCGGGAGCTTGGAGCTAACCTGCCCCAGAATCTGCTGGAACTGGGCCACGTACTGATCCAGAGGATTCTCTTGGGCGGCGGCGAGGGCGGGCAGAGCCGCGACGAAAGTAGCTGCGGAGAAGCGCATCGTGAAGCTTACTGTTGGGGGAAATGCGGGCGAGACGTGAAAACCGACGCGATTGGACCTGGGATAGAGGAGATGTAGGAGGTTAAAAAGCAGCAGCACGATGGAAGGAGAGAGAAGAAAAGGTCAGGCTACGGAATGCTAATCTAATCTACAAGTAGAGTAAACTTTGGAGAAATGTGCCGCTAGCTGCTGCCGAAGACCCTGGATGATTGAGTGCTCGGGTTCCTCTCTTTGATTTGTTGAGCTCGCGGTGGGCTTCTGATGGTCAACAAAGCTGAGTCGTCAGTTAGGCGGAGGCCTGGACGGGTCTGCGTTAGCGTAGCAGAGCAGCAGGATGATGGCCGAGTTTTTGCTTCTGACATGTGTCATTCGCGCCATGTGGACGGATGAGCAGGTATAATGCAGAGAAGATGTGAGGCAGAGTTGGATGGAGAATAAGAATGGCTAATTCAAGGCCTACTACATGTAACCATCATGCCATCTATCTACATCTACCCATCCTATCATTGAAGTACTACATACATACGGTAGGTATCAATTAATGTCGGTGTGTGGTAGCTCCGATGGATCAGTAGATGTGCTGCTCCATGTCTTGAAAAAAACAAAGTCGCGGGGTTGCGAGCCGCTTAAAGCCGCTAAGTTCTAGAAGGCCCCGCTGGAGAAGAGTGCGTCATTGGGCGACTGTTTGCAGGTCGGTTTCATTAGAGTTGGCGAGGGCTGTAGAAAGTGTGGGCTTCAATGCACTGCGCGATGCAGGAATTAGCAGCTGAATCAGCGTTTGATCTTTTCTGTCTTGCGCGCCAGTTTCTTGGCTTGACTTGATTTGATCCGACTCGACTGCTTAAACGCGGGCATTTCTTTTTCCTCATCATGGTAATTATTACTCTTGTTTCTGTCCATCTGCGGCCTTTGCCATCACCAGAGCCGAATTCGCTAATTAGTGATTCATTCATCTACACAGGCGCCCGAAGCGTCAAATCCGAAGCGCAAACGCGGCCGCCCATCCAACGCGTCCAAGCTCGAAATCAACGCGTCGCAAGAGCGCAACGATGCCACCGAAGCGTATCAAACAAATGCGCCCGATCAGATTCGCCCGAAGAAGCGCGGCAGGCCGAGGAAAAGCGTAGGCTCTCCTGACGAGGAGCCCAGCCCAGCGCCGGATGGTTCCAAGCCTGCGAAGAAGCGAGGGAGACCATCGATGGGGAGTAAAGAAAGGGACCTGAGTGAAGACCAAGACGAGGCGACGCCACCGCAGCAAAAGCGGAAGCGAGGACGCCCGTCGCTAAAGAGCCGAGAAGACGAAGAGGAAGATACACTGCAGCAGAGCGACGAAGAAACCGAATCACCGACTAGTCGACGAGGGACTAGAAGAGGTATCAACTATGCCGAATCAGAATCGGAAGAAGATCAGCTGCAGAATGAGACCCCAGTGCCGGTCAAACGAAAAAGAGGCCGTCCCTCTCTGCAGGCTCAACGAGAGGAAGAGGAAACTCCAGAGCGTGGCCCGACCAAGGGAAAGAAACAAGGAGAGCCGCGAAAACGAGGGCGCCCATCGCTACGAGATATAGAGGTGCCAAATGAGATTCGGCCAAAACCTAGGGCCAAGGGAAAGGCGGTGGACAGTCCGTCGAATACAGCATCAGGCAAACGTCGTGGCCGTCCTCCCGGAAGCGCGAGAACCTCAACTGGGAGGGCAGCGGAGGATTCTCCACGCCCCACTGCAAGAAGATCCCCTGAGGCCGAAGCTGAGACAGCAAAGGATTCGTCTCTACCAAAGAAGAAGAAGCGCCAATCTCATGAGAGCGCCGATGCCGAAGACGATGACGATGCCCCTCCTTCACCTCCAAAGCCTTACCTCCATGTCTCGCCTCACGTCCACCGAGTCCGCCAATCGACCATCGAATCTAAATGGACCCCCTTGACAGACTCTACAATCTCAGCCGCTTCGTCAATGCTTCTCGTGGCTCACCGCCCCATTCTCCAACGCCTCTCCGGCGAGCAGCGTCACGCCCATACCTCGGCTGCGCTCCGTCTCATTTCTCACCGCATCACCCGCAAGCTGGCAAAGGGCATCCCCTTTCCTCCGGCAAGCATGCCCTCCGCCCGGGTGCCTCGTGGCGGTCGACAAGCCAGCGCCGCATCAGCTGCTGCTAATGCGATAGATGGGCGTGCCATCGAGCTGGACTTTGAGAGCGTTCTCGACGCAAAGCAGGCCCTGGAACGGCAGCTGGATCCGGCGCTTCACGCAGTCGAGCTGCTGACTCGTGAGAAGGAGAAGCTGGAAAGAGAGCTGGAGCAAGACTATGAAGCGCTGCGGAATTTGGAATCGAGCGCAAAGGCTCAGGGGAGAGAGTATCGCGGCATGCTCAAAAAGGCACACGTCTTGGCGCCTACGCCTGAAGTCGTTCATGAGCGGTGGAAACAGAGGGCTGAGCAAGACATATCTTTCAGTCACTCTAATAGCTCTATTCTGGGTGGTCTCTTCAGTGTAAGTTTCTTTTTTGTCTTCTATTTTGCTTCACTCTCAACTATGTCGTTGTTTCATTGAAATCGCTGACCGGGAGATTCGCTATCGTCATAGGACCTCGATGACCCAGAGCTTAAGTCTTTAGCTCTACAACTCAGCGACCACATGGAAAGCATCAAGAACAATCTCCAGCAAACAGACGGCATTGTCCCGCAGCTGGCCCGGAGTAAGGCTGCGTTGCAAGATGTCTTGTTCAAACAGCTGGGCCAAGAGCAGTATGAGCGCGTGGTGCTTGGATGAGAAAAAGTCGAGAAACGAAGCTTCAAAAAAGCGAAAAAGGGAAAGAAATAATATTTATTCGTACTGGGGATCTTTATTTGTTTTTATTTTATACGTGGAGAATGGGGTTTGTCATTCGTTGGGCAAAGCGTGCGTTGACTTTTCTTAGGCCTTTTACAGAGGATACCGAGCTGGCTTGTGTCATATATATATCCCTTAGTATGTTCATGATGAAACGAATGACGCATATCTGTTAAAGATAGGGTACGATTTACTTTCAACAGACAGTATTAATAAAGAAGGACATGTTTTTTTTTTTTTTTCACCATGACATCGCATTCGAGCAAGACAGCCAAATTCGGTTTATAAGCGTCACAAATCGTTCAATTCAGAAGAAAGAGATTGCTCTCAAGTCATTTCTGACAGCTGTCTCGGACAGCCGGTAAATATAACATATACACACACGAATGTTAAGTCTTTCAAATAAGTCACAAAGTAAGTACAAATCGTCTCTGCCCTCGCCGGATATATATAACATATATCCAAAACCCTCTCAAAACGCAATAACCATGAAAAAAAAAAAGTCCAAAAAACACGTCTATCATGCAACGGCGCAGATGAAGAAATCTCTCTCTTATCTAGCGCTGTGATATATGCGTCCTTTTCCTTGATCGAATAATCCCGGTCCTTTCCTTCTCCTTTTTTCCTTTTACAATACTCTTACAAGGCTTTGTTTTTTTTTTCCTATGAGAAAGGGGGAAAGTAATCCCTTTATCGGCGGAGCTTAGCAAAGCCAGAAGAGGAAGGGCGAGCAGCGCCGCTGGTGGCAGCAGTGCCGTTGTTGACGGGGAAAGGAGTGACGGTGACGGTGGAGCGGACGGTGGTGGTGATGTCAGTAGGGCAAGGGGTGGAGGTGGTGGCGGCAGCGTCACCAGCACCGTTGTTACCGGAGCCGGAGCCGGAGCCAGAGCCGTTGTTGGAGCCAGAGCTACCGTTGCCGTTGGAGGCGCCGGAGTTGGAACCAGAGCCGGAGCTGGAGCCGGAGCCGCTGCCAGCAGCCTGGCCGGTGACGGCAGAGGAGGAAGAAGAGCTGCAAGAGCTGGCCTCAACAGTGACGAAGACGGTGGAGGCAGGGACGGTGACGGTCTCCTTGGCGACGGTGACGGTGACAGTGGGAGCACCAGCGCAGTTGCCGGAGCCGTTGCCAGAGCCGGAGCCGTTGTTGGAACCAGAGCCAGAGCCAGAGTTGGAGCCGGAGCCACCGTTGGCGGGAGGAGCGTTGCCACCAGTGCTGGAACCAGAGCTGCCACTGCCGGTCTGGACGGGTTGGACTGTGATGTAAGTCGTGTCAGTAGTGGTCGAGTGGAGGGTGGTGGTGGGCTCGGGGTTGGTCCTACCGTTGCCGAGGGTGCTGGTGATGGTGATGGTCTTCTGGGTGGTGGCCTGGACGGTGGTGGTGAGGACCGAGGCGCTGGCGCCCTTGCCAACGGTCATGGTCAGGGTCTTGTCGGTGACGACGTCCGAGACGGTGACCTTGACACCGCTGCCGGGGGCACCGCCGGCGGGAGGAGCACCGCCAGCCTGGGCCGGAGTGGTGGCCGCAGGGGCCGAGCCGGTAATGGTCGAGCCGGTGATGAGGCCGGAGGAGTGGGCGGCCTGGAGGGAGGAGGAGATGCTGGAGGCCTGCTCGATGGGGCACACGGTGGTGGCCAGCACGACGGTGTCGGTGACAACGACGGTGGTGCGGGCGGACTCGGGCAGGCTGCCAATGGCCGTGGCGTTGGTGCGGGCCGGGCAGTTTGTGACGGTGGCAGCGCAGCTGATGACGGTGTGCACCGAGGTCGCGATGACGGTCAGCGTGGTGGGTGCGGCGGCGTTGTCAACGGCAGAGGTGATTGTGCCGTTGGATCGGGGGAAGTGCAAGTGGCGGATGGGCGAGCTGGCAGAGGCCAGGCCGGCGAGGAGGGTGGCAGCAACAGCAGACTTCATCTTGAAGACTTGTTTGGTGGTGATGTTTTTTGTGGTGTTTTTATTGCTTCTTGCTCGGATAGAGACTGTGTAGGCGAGAAATCAATTCCGCGTATATATGTATGTAAATGAGTGCTGGTGTAAGTCGACGTCAAGCCGAACTTGCGAGTAAAAAGACTGGCTTTTTTGGTAAAGAGTGTAAAATACGTTAAGCTGCCAAACAGACGAGCTGCAAAAAAGAGAGACAGAGCAAGAGTTTTATTGTGTTGAAAAAAGAAGAAGAAGAAGCAAGAAAAAAAAGAGAGAGAAGGACGAGTCAGGATCGGATGGATATCCAGCCTTTTTGTCGGAGCGCGGCACGGCCTTTCCCAAGCAAACATCATGAACAGCCCCATCCGAGCCCACCCCCTCGTTTCCAGCAAAACAGCATCAAATTCATTTGCTGGGGGGGAATTGATTCCCTCACATCCCCCCCCCCCCCTTCACTGCTGCGACCCCCTTGATGGAGTCGCAACGCTGTAAGTGGCCGTGGATGGATGTCACCGACTGGCGGTTCCGAGTTCTGGCGCTAAGATTTGGCCGAAGACGTGCTAGTGCCAGGGGCCGATGCAGGTACGCAGCGCTGGCTTCAGGGTCCTGAGACGAGCCCGGAGCCAATCAGTTGGCCATTGCCAGAAAGAGGCGTTTTTCTTCTTCTTCTTTTTTTTTTGTTTCCCGTGTTTTTGCTCATGTTTGTACTCTATTGTATGCTTACACGTATTGGTGCCTGGGCGCACTGCATCGGCTCGGGCATCTTCCTTGCTCAGCCCTTCCGAGTGGCTGTAAAATATTCAACTCAGCTCAATTCCCGAGGATACACAATGTCGTGTCCCCCCAATTTCCAATTCGGCCTCTTCCCAAACAGGACATATAACTTGGAACATGTACATGCACCCTTTTAACCGATGAGGAAAACACATGAGAAAAAAAAAAAAAAAATTCGAGATGCAATCACAAATAAAGTGCCAAGCCTAATGCTCAAACCCCCCGTCCCCGAAGCAAATTTCAGCCGCAAGCCCTTGCCATTGGCTCACGCTTTCGCCTTTCAAGGGCGGCCGCCGTAACCAAAACAGCCAGCAGGGCCCTTAATTTTCGAGGAGCCCCAGCCAACATCAACACGCAATACGGCCAGCAATAGTATGCGCGGCCTCACAAGCACAATGCGTTGCTTTTCTTGTCTTTTCCTTTATTAATTCGGGTTGTATCTGTACTAGCGCCTGCAGAAATATCCAATTTTATTTATTCCCTCTGTATCTCATTTCCTTTTAATCTTGCCTTGGCAGGCGCAATATCAGCGGCTTCTTCTTGTTAATTCGCTCAACAACGCCGTTGGTTTTGTGTATACATGACCTGATCTCAGCTACTACTACTGTACCCCCAAAGTGTTTGCCCGCAGGTATGTGCGCATTGGCCAAGCATCGACGTTTATTCTCGTCCTCGCCTGATACAATTCTCGCCCCCTTGGATTGGATTGGGCAAAACCCCCGCAGGTCAAGACAACCCCTGCAGCCTGTGAAACGACCAGCTGCTGGCTGGGCCTTGGTTTCGGCTCGCCACCAGAAGTAGGCTCAGCCTGCTTGTTGCACAGTCGCACGCAATCGCGAATAGTTGCGATTACTGTAGCAATTGCTCCATATATTCGCTGTGCTACGGCTGGCTCCTGGTGTTGCTCCATCCGCCGCGCCGTATCAACCGCACCGCCAAGATCCGAACCGCTCTTCTCCGCAGGATTTGCGCTGTGCAGCCTGTGTCACTGGTGCTACTCCGTCCATCATTCACCAGTTTCCCCTCCGCTGTTCTTGTATACGGCGTTTTTGCAAGGGTAGGCCCCCGTCAACCTTATTCTTGTGAATCCGTTTGAGATAAGAGAAACGAGAAACACCCCCTGCGTCAGCTCCATGTCCCTTGCTTCCAACGTTCTGTTACCATCATCTACTCCTGGCCAATACGTGTACAAGTACAGTAATCACTCTAGTCGCGCGTTAAGAAGATATTTCTCTTTTTTTCCCTCTCTTTTCTTTTTTTTGAGTCAATTTTTTTTTTCTCGCGCGCTCCCTCTTCCCGTCTTTCGCCATCGTGTGCACGCCATCCTGAGAAAGGAAGAAAAAAAAAAAAAAAAAACTGACAGCGCTTTTGCTTATTTAGTCGGCATGTCACGGCGCCCCGGAGTGGGGAGGCTTCGAGTCAGCCACGGCCTCCAAGAGTGCGAATCACGGTGCCACGGTGACGACTCCTAGCACCGAGTGCCTGGCGGTGCCTAAAAGTAATATCCCGCGTAACCATCTTCGGCTGACCGGCCTGTAAATTGGAGATTGCGTTTGCATCTTAAATGGGACGTCTTGATGGGGCAATGCATCTAAATCATTTACAGGTAAGCGCCGCGCGTGTAAATGGACATCTTTGGACATGTCGGCTCTTTGCTCCGTCTGATTACGACTGCATTGCTCTATGAGGTATTAGTAGAGAAGACGAAAAAGAAGAAGTCGGCGTCGAAAAAACTTCCATCACTCCACCTCCTCTATCCTTGGCCGCGGCCGTCCAGCAGCGTCCACCAGGGTGCCCTCAGGATTCACATGCAATCCCGCTAATCTCGTCAAGCCAGGCGCGGCCTTCGCCTCTGCTTGACTCGGCAGCAGACTTGCCATGCCCCAGTTGTCAAGACTTTCCACAACGTCGCGTGCGTGCTGTTGCACCAACCCATCGTTATCTGTTGTGGCAATGTAGTTCAGAGTCCTCTGTATGTCCTCTCGGCTCTGGTCTGTCAAGCCGAATCCCAATCTTTGTCCGGATTCCTTGGCCTTGTCCAGCGCTCTCACAAAACTGAGAATCACGAGGATGGCTGCCCGCCGAAGTATACCCTTCTCTAGCTCCGGCTCCATGGCGAGGATATTGATGCTGAGGTCGACTCCTGCCGAGACCAAAGTCGGCCCCATGCCAAGAATGTTCGTCTCAATGGCATTTCCAAAGATGGATAGAGCCGATGTTCTCATTCGAATGTCTTCGCTCCCCCTTTTGCTCTCCCACCCTTGGACAATTTGGGCCAATATCTCATTATTGGCCATCTCATCAGATGTTGCCTCTTCATCCGCCATATCAATATCGGCATCGGCATCTCCGCTAGCTTCTGCCTTTTTTCTCTTAAGCTCGTTCAACCTTTCCTCTCGTGCCTGTTTAGCCATCGTTTTCGGCCTGTATCCCCTTCTGCCCGCAATCGACAGCATACTCTCGCCCGCCTTCTGAGCTGCCTCTCCTGTAAATGTTTCCCCTAGTCTCTCAATAACCTGGAGTATTGTCTCGCCAAATCTTAGCCGAGTATCTGTAGACGATTTCTCTTGCGTGTCCAAGTAATGGTCAAGCAGCTCTTGCATGGTGGATTTGGGGTGTTTATTCGCCAACTGTGTAAATATGCGGATGACTCGAAGATTGATAAAGTCTTCGTTTTCTTTTAGAAGATTAGACATTAGGACTGTGACGGCTGAAATATCCAACACTGGACTTTCGGCCACAATCAGGTTAGACAAGAGATTCAAGCCCTCAGATACTACCGGTGGTGGGCTATCGCTGTCTCCCGTAATGTAGTTCATCGCTAGGTTGTAAGTCTTGCGATCTTCAATCTGCCGGGCGGTAGGGGCAATAGTTTTGTCATCTGGCTTTTCCACCTCATCTCGGTATTTGAGCAACAAGGCCAGATTCTTCGCTGTGATTGATGCATCACCTCGATCTTGGTCCCCAATTCTCGCCAGTGCATCTTCCACGACTTTTAGCTCAACTGGGTTAATATCCGACTTCTGAAAGGTCGGTGCTGTGATGACCAGGTTGAGTAAGCTCAGCACAACTCCAAGGATATCATCTCCCAAGGCGTTCTGGCCGTCGGCTCGTAGCACATGAGATATGAGCTCCAGCAGCTGATCGAAATGACTGATTAGTTTTTCTGGAGCCTTGTCCATGAACTTTTGTAACAACGTTACGTCGACAAGATCCTGGAGTGCCGAGTCTGCTTCTTCATCGCGATTGGCTACCTGTATAATTAGATCGCCATTTTGTTTGCCTGCCGACTGTATCCATCGCCGTAAGAGATACAAAAAGGCCGAAGAAACTTCCTCTGTGGAACAGACAGAGCTCACAAACTCGACCAAGACCGTTGACTTGCTCTCGATTTCCCCCCAGTCTAATTCATCATCCTGTTGCTTCTGCTCGCCAAACGCTAGTTGGATGGCTTCTATTCCTCCTTCAGGCCGAAGGTGGTAGCGCCATTGCAATTCTTCTGCATCATGCAAGGATCCTCTGCATCGAATGTTGCGGATAAACGGGATGATATTGTCCACGTCACCAAACAGTCTCAGGTGGGTCTGCACAAGAATCCGCGCAGGCTTGCAGAAGCGCTTGTCAGTATCCTGAGAGGCGTTGATCCATGAAGCGAGCGCCCAAAGTTGTAAACGAACGGGCTTTAGAACCCGTTTGCAGAGACCAGGTGAAGGATTTGACATGATCAGCAGCTCTAGCCGTCTAAGTGATCTCTCCAAATCTGAAGCCATAACAAGGATCTTGTTTCGACCAAGGTCCACGATTTCATCAACTTCTTCAGACCTGAGAGCAGAGTCCAGTTTTGAGGACTTCAGTGATGGATTTATGGCCTCCACTAGGGGCCCTACAAAAGCGTTCCAACCAGGTGATCCTGTTTACCCAGGTTAGTATCCAAATATACAGGGGGAAAACCATTGACGTTTTAGGCAAATTCTCGCTTTGTTACCTGGTGCTCCAAATTGCTTTTTACCCAGAATACCGAATCCGACAATTTGCGCTGCAGTTTTTGCAACATCAGGCCCAGCCTCGCCATCGAATAAAGCGAATAATTGTCCCGAGATGCCGTCGAACCACTGCTGGGCAGTCATAGAGGCTGGAACAGATGACAGCAATTTCGTTGCAACAGCCACCGCTTCATGGGTGATGGCAGCACCCTCTTTTCCGCGGCTACCCCCGTCATTCGTGGGCTTCCCGGTATTACTTGGGTGAACTGCAAACACAAACTCCATCGTGGCCCTGACGCCGTCGGACCGCAGCGGCAGGGTCGTCAAGCTCCTCATCAACGGCTCCCTCAGCCATAGCGGAAGCACATTTGGCTTAATCAAGGCATTAAGAGCGTGTATCAAGACCCACGTTTGCGTTCTGGGTGCATGTCAGGTTCTTTTCGCTCTTGGCTGCTTCTCTCAATCTCGATTGGCCTCACCTACCTATTGACTAGCTCATTGTACTCGTGCAATCCTTGCTCGCGGCTTTCAGCGGTTGCCGATGGATTGAATGCTTTCTTGGCCGCATCGACAATATCCTGCGTGATTTTCGGCTGAGACTGCTGAGCATCCATTGAGTCTGTCGTAGCAGCTGGATTGTAGTTGAGTATCAAACCGAACACCCCGGACAGGCTTCTCTTACAAATGAGCTGCTGAGCTTTGCCATCCCGCAACATACACTGTGCTTTTGTACCGTGCATGTACATTCCAAGCTTGTTCGATAAAGATCACGTGCCGGCGCGTTCCGTTTGTTGGTCCGTGCGTCAAGCTCTTTCAAGATATAGCTTCTCCACGCGTTTCTCAATGTTTACTAGCATCAGAGCCATCGTCAACGCCATTTCAGATGTGCCAATTCCTCGATTTGCTGCCGGAGATGCTGCCATTGTCCCAAATAACACGTCCCCTTGAGTACGTATAGCCTCTTGGATTTCTTCTTGTATCTCATGATCGAGCCTCCTTCGCTGTCATACAAATGCAGCGCTCTTCTTCAGCACGTCGCCTCCCCCACAGTTTCCCGATTCTCGTTTTCCGCACGGAATGTCTATTGCAGGCCCCCCTCCCCAGGCTTGGTCATCCGCAATATGCCGCTTCCAAGCCTACTTCAGGATCTTGTTGAACGCTGCAGTTGGATCTATTGCGGTGCGTCTCTGCCCGGCACCCAGGCAGCCAAGTCTAGCTGGGGGAACGAGTTTCGGAACTTAACCCTAAGCATACATCTGGTTTAGTATTGCGCTCAGTCGTCTAATCCCCTTTCTAAGTCAACCCCGTTTCTCGATGCTGCTCCCGTCGAAAGATGGGCACGGCAGTAACGCAGAAACCTGTGTTGATGGACTAGGGGAGCGGACATCCAGTCACTACCTGGTGCGCAAGAGGAAGGATGCCATGAGTCGTTGTGGTAAGATTCTCTGGTCTGAGGACGCTCGTCAGCCCTCTCCGCTGGAACTAGCACTATGGTCGAAAATAGACTTCCTTGAGATGCTGTTGGCATTGATAGGTAGATTGATTGTCTGCTGTCTGTTGAGATCTGCGCCGGTGGCTTTATCACCGCCGGTGCAAGGTCTACGGCATGGAGCTTGAGCACAGAAAGGGCCTCAAACAGCCAGAAGTCGCATTTCCGAAACCGTATTTCATCCCTATGGCGCCTTGCCGGAAGCCTGGCTTATATCAGTGCTGTGAGAGCCACACGGGAACACACAGAAATGCAACGACTTTTGACCAACCCAACGCCATTCTACGCTGCTCTCGGATGCTCTTATATGCCCGCCCTCTATTGGGATTTGAGTCAACATGAAGCTCTCAGCATTATGATCCCTTCCTATCGGGCCCTTTGCTCCTTGGACCACACCACAGCATCCTGCTCCCGGTGTGTGATGCAGCTGCGTCTAGTCTGACCAAGCGTATTAACCTTGGGTCGTTGGCTTTGTCCCTCGACTTCGCAAGGGCGCCAGTCCCCGGCTGGGCTATTGCCCGGCAGCTTCCTCGCAGATTTTGTCAAAAGCTGCCGAGATGATAACGCGGTTTTTATGGATGTATTTTGTCCGCGTGTCAACGCCCTCCTGACTGTCAAAGTTTCGGAGAGGAAACAAAAACAAGTCTCCGTTGGCAGTGCGAGACACACGGAAGGAGGCTCGCTTGACTACATCAAGAACATTTAGGTTGCATTACGCTACTTGGACCTTGGGCTACGTGAGCTCGAAGAAGGCAGCAGATTCATGATGGGACTGGCTAGAGGCAAAGTCCGGAAATCGGTCCCTTTTTCGGACACCGCGGATGCGGCTCGGTGTCGATTCTGGCATGGAACTGGGACCCATCTCGAGTTGGAGTCAAAGTTTAGTGCTTGTCCAGTTACTTGGCCAAACTCGTCTGCTTTGAGCTGGATCCGCGGGCAGTCGTCATCTGGCTCGGCTCACTGACATGTGCTTCAGTACAACTACTATTGGCTTATAAGGACACACCGTGGATGTGGGAGGCAGTCCTGGTTGTCCTCTTCCCAGAAATGGCTGGAGGGCAACCCCCCGCTGATGAGGGGATAAGTAACCCCTGTTTCTATGACTATGAGACTTGTCACTAACAAAGCTGTGCAGGTGAAGCTAAAGTCATCCAAGGAAGCTGATACAACTCTGTCGTCATGCCGTAGCCTCACCGCCGGTTGAAATTTTCACGTACGGTGTGCTGCAAAATATGGAGTAGTATCAAGCCAAGATATACAAAACGCCGATTAGCAGACGGCATCTCCGGATTTACAAGCTATATGTAAGCCATTAAGCACTAGCTGCCTTTGATACCATCAATAGGCGGCAGTGGCATTGGCCCATCCGGCGCACCCCTGATGGCTCATCTGTTTGATAAAAGTTTTTGCAGATGTATATCCTAACCAAAACTGAAAGCACATTTTTGTAGATCTGCAAACTAGACAATCCCCCCGAATGGAGCGGCGGCCGGCAACACGGCTAAAGTCGCTGGCATTTCTGCCATACAACTCTGTTCCCTGGCAAAAACATTGCGCGGCAAACTTGGCAATGCCATATGGCGTTTACAAAGTAGAGTAGCAACAGCTTTATCAGTCCTAGGTACGGGGGTTGATGCAACGTAAAAATGAGTATTCCTGAATACTACTGCATTGGGCGATGGAGCCGCTGCGGCCCGTGGGGCATCACCAGTGGGGTCAGGCTGGCCGCGGAAGATGCTTTGGGCATATCGTTCCTGGCGGCAAAGTGCTAGCAAGCACAAGTACAGGCATGATGAAGTGGTGGCAGCAGCGCTACTGCAACTACTCCATACTCGCAGCCAGGCTGCAGAATTTTGTCTCCAGGTAGGCATTAATCAGCCGAGACAGGGCCAGAGGCTCTCCAAAGAGGAAGTTGAGGAACAACACTATCAAGCTTCGATTTGAGCGGATTCTCACAGCGGCACTAGCTCCAACGGCTTTGGCCGCGTTGATCCGCCCCACAGAATGCGAGAAAAAGTATCCGCCGCCGCTCAATCAAGGACGTAGGGCGATGCAATGCAATGCAAGACAATGCAGGGGAGGCGGAGGAGCCCTGGCTGATGTCGCAAGAGGCATGAAACATATCAATCCAGGGCCTACAGTAGACTGGACCTCGGACAAGTCCTCCTGGAGCGGGCAATTTAATCAACATCGGGCAAGCAGGTCGGTCGGCTTAAGTGGTTTACCCGGAGAGTTGGCCTGGCCACCGAGAGTGGGCTGAGACTGGCAATATTGGGCAGGCCTAGAGGTAGCATGTATACAGCACGGGCATGTATAATCCGAAGGGCCTGGTTTGCCGTGCCTGGCCAGCAATTGATCTGCTGCTATCGAAAAAGGCCCGGATGGAAGGGCTGGGGGTTCTAGAAATCGCCGCGGTGATGTGATGTAATGCGATGGCAGGGTGGTGGTGAGTTTTGAGTGCCCGATGCTCGGGTGAGATTGCCTACCTTGTCTGATGGCGGTAGATGCCAGTGCATATGAAGATCAATGGGCAGGCTACCTGGCTGCTAACAGGACCAATCGGCGCCAATTGAATGCTACCCTATCATTCTTTAACATCAAAGCAGGCCTTCTTTTGCCTACCTACCACGTAGTAATGTAGGCAGGATTAGGACGCTTTCGCTATCCCCTTGAGGCGTCCTTTGGAAGAGAAAGGGCACTGTGGTGAAATATGATGTGTATCGTGCCTTTGCACTTCCATGTAAATGCTACGATACCTGGCCAGGGACCAAAGGTTACATGAGGGCGTCATCATGCTTCACACCTGGGTTAGGTAGGTGCAGGTACGCAGTGCTACCGCAACCGCCATTGCTCAAACGGTGCTGGGGACCGCCTCAAAAGTACCCACGCGGCAAGCCCCCCAAAACGTGGGTTTGGAGCACTAAAGCACCGTTGATTAATTAGTTGTTCAATCAATCAGGTAGGTACTCTAGATGGAAGGCATTTGCGGCTTAGGGCACCAGGTGAGATTATCGGCCAGGTGCTCTACTGCCCTCGGGGTACTTTGCGTGGAGTAATACCTGAATACTACAAGTCCTACTAGCAGTAGTAGTAGCGCATATACGGTACGGAGCAGGCCGCGAGGCACGGAGTATCCATTGACGCCTCGGCCGAGTGGAAGTGGGCCGGGAACGGCAGGCATGACTTGCATCTCTGGCCAAGTTGCGACAAGCACGCAAAAAAGACCAGAACTCGCCCCGGCTCCACCTGGCGCACAACGGTCTTGTTGCAACTCTCAGCTTTTGACAAGCACAAACGATACGAGACGAGGTTGGCCTCTGCTCACTGACAAGGCCGAAAGAACTGGAGCAGCCGCTAGGCTAACGGCAACGCAGCCGACTCGCCGGCCACGAGCCCACAGCTAACGGGAAACGGGAAAAGGGATCGCTTCCCTCGACGGCCACCACCGGGACAAGAGGCTAGCATGAAGGGCCGATCCTGTTTGAGACTCTGGGATGGACGATTGATCGCTGCCTGCCTGCAAGCACACGCAGCCGAGCCGTTTCCTAGGACGCGCAACTCCGTTCAGAGCAAAATCTCACTGCATCAAAGCTATTCTACTCGCAATCGATCTAAGCCCAGTAACGACAGCTCGGGGTAGCGATAGGTCGAGATGCGAAGACAGAGCCTCGCAAACTCCGCTACCCCCATGAAAGAAAGGCAAAAAAGACAAAAAAGGCAATAAAGACAAAAAAGACAAAAACACACTTTTCCACCCCGAGGTTGCATAATCTTGCCCGAGAACAAAAGTCCTCCAAATCCCTTGCCAGTTTCCAATCCCTTGTTTTTCCGCCCTCTGAGAGACCTGGTAGTCCAGTCTGCGGGCATCAGGCCATCTCATGCAGCAGCAGCCAAGGACTGCTGCAACAGGGTAGTGCAAATTTTTTTTTTTTTCCGTTTTCTTCTTCTTCGTCTTCTCATCCGCTTCTCCTTCTCTTTTGAACCAACGCCGAATTTTGTCTCAACCGTTGAACCTAGCCTAGCCCAAATCCTTACCATGTCCCTTTCCAAACGAATGTGTGAGAGCAGCCATTTTAGACTCCGTGAGTCCATGATGCTTGTCATGGAGGAGAGTCTGGAACAGGCCATGTCTGCATCTCCTACCTACATGTCTTTCAGCATCTGATAGAGCTGCTTCAGAGATCTGAAGTGACCCCTGCTCCATCGTCAGCCCTTGAAACAAAATAAAAAGCGGGCCTGGACATCATGGAGCCTCTTTTCTTACCAGAATCAAATGCATGTGTTACCACTAGAGCAACTGCCAGAGGGCTTTCGGGCGATGCGAAAATGGCATGTCATTTCCCATCGCTGGTAGCGCCTCCGGTGGCTCAGCATCATCGACAATGCCGTTGAATTTGTCGTCGAGAGTCCAGCTCTCTCCGGCGGCACTTGGTGCAACAAATTCTGCAATTGTATATTGGAGAATGCCGTCTCGGACACGAGGTGTGGCAGTTTCTCGAGACGTCATCGATGACGATTGTGATCGTTCATTGGCATCTTTGCCCTCTGCCTTTAAGAGAGAGAAAATTCTTCGTTAGCACCCCAGGTCTTATTACCCGAAACATTGCTTCGAGGAGTGTATCCACGTTGGACGGCAGCCCTCATTTCTTGATATGACTTACAATGCAGGTGGCACATGGCGAATTGTTCACCCACACCCAGTTTGGGCAATTGTGTGAGTAGAAATTCTTGCATCGGTACTTGTAAAAGCCGCCGCTGCTACTCATTTTCATTGATGTGACAAGGTATAGTAGGGATAAAAGAAGAGTAAATCGAGAATGGGCAAGCCAAGAGTCGCTGACAATAAAGCAAGACTGCTAGCAGTGCAAAATTGCAACGTAGTATAACTTGATGATGATGATGATTGAAAGAAAGGTTGAAAGTGCTGATTGAGATAGATGTAGGAAGAAAAGATTCTTTGACGACTTATATATGAGATGGCGGACGACCGGCTTCAGGACCACCCCCGGACCCCCTCCTGCATGTACGCAATACACACATGTCACGGAGTCCTTGTTTACATCACCGAAAGAATTATTCTCACCCTACGCTATCCCATTCCTCCGTATCTTAAAAACGCTCTTTCTCGAGGGGGGGTGTTTGCTGCATTGTAGGCTTTGACCAGGTCTCCCCTTCCCGCTTTCGAGGACGGTAGCGCGGCCGGGGATGTTCACTTGCTCAGGGGTGTCTGGGCCATGGCCAAGGTCTGGCTCTGAATCCCCCAGTCGCTTCACGCACACTAAATAGCCGAATCCTTGCCTGCATGCTGCAAAGCACGGGATGCTCAACACCAGCGAGAACGCAGCATGTAACGCCGCCTATCACAGATGGGTTTGATCCAACCCAAGATGCAACAAGAAGTCATGCCCGGTGAAGGGGTGTGTTCAACCTTCATACCTGGCACTTGTGAAGGGTGTTCTGATAGCTGACGTCGGACTTGGACAATGATCCTGCGCTGACATGTGAAAAACAGAATAGGAAATAAATCCATGGCTATAGTAGGCGCGCTTTTGCGATACTAGCAGAAGCCTAGTAGTAATTTACTACTACTGTGCTACTACTAGCACCTTCTCAGCTGCTGCTACTAAAGATCCACGATGGCATCTTCAGAGCACTAGCTCTGAACAACACTGCTCAATCTTTTTTCTCTTAGCGCACCGTTGAGATGTGGCAGCTCATATTGGGCGGCCGCCCTACGGGGCCAGGTCATCGAGGACTCGCTGGTGGAAACGATGACCCCGGGTGTCCAATCGCCTACTCCAGCATGCGGCTGCATGCATGTATTATTGTGAATGGAGCAGTCTATACTCCTTCGCTCGTCTCGCCATTGCCCCTTGCATCCTGCATATGAGGCAAGTCTGAGCTGTATACGCCGCTGGTCGAGATGATGGCCCACTACGGAGACACATGAAGCTGAAGGTGTAGAGCTAACACGTCAACTAGGTACATGAGCCTAAATATGGATGAGAATGCGATAATCTAACGGGAGACGGGACTGTCCGACCCGCACACACTTAGGCGAGCAGGAGAGGATTTAGGCTTGTTTGCACTTTAGGGGGTTGGCGCTCGGTCAACATCAATCAAGACACCTATGACGGGTCCTCGGGCGATTGAATGTCAGTTATTCTCTGCGTGCACAAGGCTCAACGATGAGACGCAAGATTCAATAACCAGTCTGTATCGAAGGCGGATTTCCATGAAAGCTATTCAAGCGGCCCATCTCGAATTTGCAGGATACTGGCCGACAAAATTCACCTCCGCTACGGAATACCGGACGCATCTTGTTGGATTCGGATCTTGCCCAGTTCCAGAAACCTAGAGAGATAATGATGCTGTTTGTTCCGAGGCATTGCACGCTTGGTGGCCTTTTGTATAGGTAGTAGACAGCAGTCTATTGCTGATCGCTGCTGCTGCCCTTTGCTACTGCCAGTGACAAACGGCATTCTTCCAACGTCCAAAACCGATGTATACGATTACAAAATACATCCTTGTTTAATTTATATGCAAACAGCATTTTCCCGAAGGTACATTTATAAGGTCCACAACGGAATTCCGCCTTGGGCGTGAAACAAGAGATTTGAATATTGTCTGACAGTGTTTGACACGGCTACAGTAATGTGCAGGTCCGGGTTTCCACAAAGGCTGTTGTCCCGATGCGGCATGTATTCAGAGAAAAGAGAAGACAAGAACTGTGATTGTTGTGTCGGATCAAGCATTCTCATCCTACGCGCTTGTTATGCAGTCTATCATTGGCTGCACATGACTCTCAAATTGCTCTATTTGGACTGCGAGAGAGGTTGTGATTGGTGAGTGCTTGGAAGTTTTCTCCTACGGATTTGCCATCGGCTCTGGCTAACCGAACCGACCAGATCAACGCATCTTTTCTCTCTGCTGCGTTCTCATATGTCGCAGCCGAGAAGTAGCAACAACTTGGGACCCGAACGAAGCCTGCGTACGCAGACGGCCACGGAACGCCGAAAGTATGACGCGGATAGAAGAGAAAAGAGCCTTTACACAAAAGTCCCGCCCCTAAATGCCGATGCTCTAACAGGAACTTATAACGAGGCATGCCATGGGTTGGATTGAGACAAAAGCGCCCCTTGGTAGGCTGCATCAAGGAACATCGCTGTGCAACTTCACGTAGATGCTACTTACTACCTGGATCCGCTTGGGCTCTCGGTCCGCTCCGTGCAGCAATTGCGGCTATCTGGTCCGGCGAGCCAGGTTTGCTAATTCTGGAATCCTAAGCCGTACAATGGTACCGTCGTAGTTTGACAGGCCACGGTCCTTTGACACCACTTGGAGCCCTCCATGGGGTCGCAATCGGGCCTCTGGGGCCATGGGATGTACTTGTACATGTGCGGTGGAGCAATCGCGACGGTCCTGCGTCATTCAATGCAGTTTCAACATTCATTTATTACTCAACCGTCGTAATCTTTCTTGTCCTACTGGCCGCTTTGAAGTTGACAAGGTAGGAGAAAGAAGGGACCCTTGCGCAATACTTGCGAATTACTGGAGAAGGGCGGACTCTTAGCTCCTCGTACCAGCAATTCGAAGAGTTGACGTACGATGTCTAATTGTTCAGAAATCTCGTACTGTCGCCCAATCGTGCTTACCTGGTCGTAATGCCTGATAATATTAAGATGCCCCTCTGTCAGCTGTTTACCGATGTAACCGATATTATACGGAAACGGGATCAAATAGCCTCATATCCGCCTCATTCTCGGTACCGTCTTCATTTTCTCACTTGGTTGCCATGCCATTCCTTGCTAACTCACACAAGGCTTCTGTCCGGATAGGTGGATCCTGGCACCGTCGGTGAATTGGCAGCATGGCAGACTGCGGAGTAAGGTATGTGACATGTACCCTATGCGCAAGGAAACGACACGACAAAGCAAGTCTTGTCCCACGCCTATGCCGATGGCGTTTCAGCCGCATGCTAGGAGCATCAGACGCGCTCCTAGAGCCGCGAATAGCAGCGCCTTTGGGAAAGGTGCCCGCGAACTAGCAGTTGCAGGAAGCCAAGTTGAGCAAACAAGTCGGATTCGGGCGCGTGCTGGAGCAATTGGAGCATCTAAAAATACCATGGTGCTATTATTGACTCCCGCCGAAGCCCAATTGGAATAGATGCCATGATGCCGGTTTGGATGCTGTTTCGTCGCTACCAGCATTGTTGTCACTGTCGCCAGAATGCCGTCAGACAATCCCAATTTCGGCAACTGAATATTATGCCATGTCCTTTCTTGTTAAGGAGTGGTCTCATTCTCTCGTCTTGAGATCGCCACCAACGTTTCCATAAGTCAGCTCCTCAAGGCTAAACGGTCTTTGCGGAAGGGTACCTGAGTATATGACGAGGTAGCGCTAGATCCAAACTTTCCGCGGATCGACCCTTGTTCCTGTTTCTGTGTTCGAGCGGCGCTATTTAATTATTACTTTAGCTGCTTTTGCAGCAATAGTGCACGCCCCCTCCACATCCAAATACTGTACCAGTTGCAAAACACATCACGCATTTGGCAGTGTGTCGTTTGCTATGCTACTATACCTGCGAATAGGCGCAACACTGTCTCTATGCAAAGATGGTGTTATACTAACGTAGCTCTGCATGCCCGGCGCAGCTCTAAGCCTCGGAGCATGGATTCTCGTTCCCCGAGCTAATGCTCCTCATCCTCTATGCTGTTCAGCTTGCAGCAGGTCAGGCTGCAGTCCAGCCTGACCGCTGTCAAGTGACCAACCAGTTCGTCTGCCCGTTTACTTGGCTGCATACCTAGCGGTACATTAGCCGACGGGACTGCAGTAGCATAATGCTGTCCACGGCATAAGAAGCTAAGTGGGCGCGAAGGATGGATATGATGGACCATAGATTTGCGTGTGTGACAACGCAGCTACGAATAGCTCCACGCGGGTGCTGCCGTCTACTAAGGGAGACGTGTTTACAAACCCAACAACACTATTGACCTTTTTTTTTTTTTCTTTCGTGTTCGTGCCAGCCTCCGGGAATCCGGGCCGCTTGGTAGAAGGATCTATGTGTAATGGTCCCCATCCACCGTTGGGCGAGGACAATAGGCTGGATGAAACTGTCAAGGCTTTCGGAGTTGCGCATCTACGAGGCCAATTGCCAGCGCAGACATTCGTTGTCTCGGCGTGACATCTTGCTTTATGCTTCGAACGCTTCTCAACCCAACGTTTATGCACTCTGCCATATCCAAGCCAGGTTTGTCTATTGGTTGCAAAGGGGGCAGCTGAATGCGTTTGGGAAGCGACTATTTGCTACAGTATCCGCCTCCTCTTGCTTACACTTTCCCCCCCTTTTTTTTCCTTTTCCTCTATTTGCTTCTTTTCAGCGGTGACATTATGAACACGAGCAACACATACATACATACGTACACCTGATCACAAAAAAAGAAAGGAGGCGTTGCAGTGCGGGGGGGTATCCAAGCTATCTCCCAAAGCATTCTATATTGCAGCGGCTGAGAATCCTCCTCATACGCGAGTTTATCAATAAAAAAAGCAAACAAAGTCTGCGTCTAGATTCTAACTGGTCCAACGAATAAAAAACTGACGCCATGAAAGCAAGGCAGCTACTAATGCAAAGCCTCCTCTTCATCCCTTACATAGAGAGAAACAACGTCCATTTTTCTCCTCCCCCAAGATGTACATGCCCCCCCCTAAAAAACAGGGAAGAGGAATGAGAAACCGGGATTCGTGGGATTCAAATGTGGCAACAGGCCATTTGGCAGCTGTGTGCATATATTGTCTATACCATTTGGCTTTCTGTGGTAGACGGTATTTTTTCGAGCCAGCCCCTTCGAGGATTACTTTTAGACCAGTCTCTTTTAGCAAGTCTACTCCAAATGAGCTGCAAGGAAGGACGTATGAGAAGAGGGCTCCCCCCCAAAAAAAGAGCAAGAGAAAGAGAGGCTGTCATCAGAGCTGAGCCGGCATCCATGACGGCACGCGACAAGTCCTGAGCCAATCTTGGCAGGTTTGATTAAGTAGCAGCGCCGTGCCTCAGATTTATGTCATCTTTTTTTTATTATGGTTGCATGCCCGCTCACCGACCAGCCTTCTTCATGGCCTCCTTTCTCCTTTTCTTCTCTGCGGCCCGGACTAATGACCGCCTGATATCGCCGTCTTCAAAGGTGTCAAGATTAAAGTATATGGGTGCAATTTCCTGTATCAAGTTAGCGTCATGCCTCGCCTCGCCTCGCCTCGCTTCACTATTTTTTTCAATGCAAAAGGGTGGAGTGTGATTGTAAGATAACTCACCAATAACCATTCTGGCCTGATGCCTGTGCATGTTCGAATATATTGCTTGGATGTAAGGACGAATTCGTTGTACAGAACCCAGTCGTACTCCGTGCGAAGAACCGTTGAGGGATGAATCATGACGGCCTGCTCGTCCTTCACAGTGCGGTAAACCTTGCCGGAGCTCTCCTTCATGGCGACCTGCATGAAAAAGCCAGCCAGCATGGCCCTCCGGATGTTGGTGTAGTAGTTCTTGTCCTCGAATGGCGTCGAGACAAGGTCGAGGCCGTGCGTCTCCATGATCCGCTTCAGTTGGGCACGAACGCTGTCTGCGCTGGAAAGGTGGCGGAAGGACACAAAGTGTTCGTGGCACCACTGCTTGGCGTAGCTGGGATCCGCAGTCTCTTGGCCCTTGAAGGCGTGGTAGGCGTTGAGCAACGTCAAGTGGTCGCCGTCGGGGTGAGCAAAGTGCGCCTTCATTTCGTCTGCGCGCTTACGGCTATTGGCGGGTCGGACAAATATCTGGGGGACTGACAACAGGGAAGTGATGGATAGAATCTCATTGGAGCAATAAAATTCCGGCGAGGAAATAAGCATGACGGCCAAGGCGGGGTCCAGGGGAAACTCGGATGCCAGACTCCCGAGAGTGGTCAGCTCTCCGTCGTCGTCGAGACAGGCAAGATAGTTCAGCTCTTCCAGGGCACGCATCATGGTCTCCGGGGCAGGAGGATCCATGAGGTCGAAGTGAACAAGATCCTCAACGCCAAGTTTCTTCAATTCTAGAACGGTGTTGGCCAGATTAGACCGCAGAATCTCGGGATAAGTCTGCTCAATGAGCTCCTTCTTGAATGCCTTTTCAGTGTAAAGTCTGAAGCATTTACCAGGCTTTGTACGACCGGCACGACCGGCACGCTGCTGTGCCGAGGCCTTGGAGATGGGCGAAACCAGCAGAGATTCGACTCTGATTCTGGGGTTGTAAATCTTTTGCTTGCTGAAGCCAGGGTCAACGACGTAGACAATGCCGTCAATGGTCAAACTGGTTTCGGCAATGTTGGTCGAAACGATGACTTTTCGGCCAGGCCGTCCTCCCTTCTTCAGCGGCCCGGGGGCCTTGTCAAAGATACGCTGCTGCTGGTGAGGTGGTAGCGTACCGTACAGAGGATAAATGGCCAGCGGGCCGGCATCCACTTCCCGTGTCAGCTCCTCGGCCTCAAGGCCAATTTTTCGACAGGCATCCTCAATCTCATCTTCACCCGTGAGGAAAAG